CTTGGCGACGAAAACGATACCCGAGGAGCTGAGATCGTAGTTATCCGTGCTTCCAAATGGAGGTACAGGTGATTCGAGACCGGTTCCATTGAGAGCATTAATAGGCTCGCTCAGGGTGTAACCTGAAGTACTGTTGCTGGTTCCGACGGACAACGTCGAATACCAGATGCTGTTTTTCTGTGGAGTAACATAGGTATCCCAATGTCGTACAAAGATTTGAGTGTACATTCGGCCGGTGGTGTAAGGAGTCTCTGCCAATTCTGAATTGTAAAGTGTGCCATTTGGAGCAGCAGTGCCAAAGAAAGCCACAGCGTATGTGCCATTTCCAATCGACACGACCTTGAGGCCATCAACGGCGCCTGGAATTGATCCAGCTGTGAATGGTCTGTATTGTGTTAGTTATGGCTTTTCTGCTTAAGATCTTGTTGGAGGCGCTATGATTGAATACCCTCAACGGGAGAAAATTCGTCTTTACAAAAGAGGTCTCCAAAAAATGCGCCTCGCAAGATAAAGTAAAGAGATAATAAGCACTTACTCGGCATCAGGAGTGGAAGCATCACCCACATTAACCGTAGTCGATCCATCGTCCTCAGAATGAAACCACACAAACTTGGTCTCCGAACCAGGCAGCCAGACAGGATTACTATCGGCGCTCGAGTTGCTAATTAGTGTTTTCGATCCCGTAGCCAAATCCAACACATTTAAATAATATTTCCGCTTGTGAGTAGTAAAGTTATATTGGTTTCCAGCCGAGAACGCGAGAGTTCCAGCATCGTTAGGAAGGGCGCTACCTCGTCTATCGATACTGAGCATGGCCTCTGGTGTAAAAGTACCAGCGCTCCATACCGGCGAAAGAATGCTCGCGACAGAAAGCGCAATTGAGAGCGGAGACTTCATAATTGCTACCATCTTGACGGATTTCCTTGAGGCGATTCAAGAAGGAAATGTGAAGGATAAGCTTGACAGGTGAAATGGTGGGAAGGTAGCTTACTTATAGTCCTTTCGGGCAACCTTGGATGAGAGCTACTGCATTTGTAACCCTGTCTTTACCTTGATGGTACAGTTTGCTGTGCAAGGAAGATTCTACGGGTACCCTGCCAAGCACACCATCTGCAAGTTCCTGTTCGATTTTGAGCATAAGCCGGGGTGATTGAGCGTGCTGGAAGATGACGATCCAGTGCTGATATGCAATTCCCTACCTATTCACCTGCGGCCTTTTACCCGCCTCCCCCGCCGGGACTCCATTAGAGAGAGGAACAAGGAACGAGAATGGAGAGATGGGGTTACACTAAGAAGCACGATCGTCCTTGCTAGGGATGTGCAGCTAGATGCTTTTATCTAGACGGTAAGCCGAATAGTGTCGGGGAAGGTTGTTGATAGGAAGGCGAGTACGAGTATTTGGTGGAGGTTGGTAAAAGGTTTAACGGCCTCGGGAGATTCACCACCTAGAACTGTTTCTTACCTCTTGCACCTCAATTGTGCAATCAATTGACATCCTTCCAGCCATTTACCAATTCAATCCTCTCTACGTCGCACAAAAGAAATCTCTGATCTCGCCATCAACCACCCTCTCATCAAGCTTCCCAACGGCAACGCCATCGCCATCAACCCCTCCATCGGCCCCTCAACTGCCTGCCTAACAAGGATAGCAGACGCAAGAAAGGTCGTTAAGGCGATGTGCTTCGAAAGAAGCTCCATCGGGAAGGTGTCGAAGGTCTTGGTATGCTTGGCATTCGTGACTTTCGGTACCTGACGAGCTTCCGAACGGTGCAGTTGACGTCGACGAACAGGAAGCCGCAGAGAACTAACAGTTGGATCAGGATTGCCTGCCTTTCTGGGTAAGAGTGAAGGGTCAAGAAGTCGTACGCCGAGCACGTAGATAGTGGGTGGAAATCGGGTGGCTAGATGGACTTCTCGATTGCGATTTGTGAGATGGAGCAAGAAATTTGTCGCTTAGTTGCGCTGCCACTGGTTGAGGTTGAAAGGGCAGCGAAGTAGACAAACAGTCCATTAGCTTGGAAGCTTTTCTACATTTCTAATTTTAGTAAATCGAGACTCGATCCAGGATGTTCAGCGCACCAGAAGGTAGTAAATAGTCATTTGAAGGTTCGTAAAGGAGAAAACCAGATTGACTTTTGTTTGATTGGTTTTGAATAGTCAATAGACGTAATCCGAGACCTGGAATCTGGCCAACCGAAAATCTTCTTGACGTCTTAAACCGTCGAGTGCGGCCGCATGATCCCTTTCACTATATTGACTGGACGGTTTATCAAGATATCTTCGTCCCCTTCACAGTTTGGTAATTGAGTGACACGTCAACACGAGAGATGCAGAACCGCTTGACAATTATGGTTTCTGGCTAACGCTTAACAGCATACTCAGCAACGTTGCTACAAATACAATAATATTGCGCTCGCTTAAACTATACAGTGGAGATTTCCTTTTACACCATTATGCTATTACTTTTTGCTTTTGTCCTCGTATCCCTCCACAACATTCAATCCCAAGCCTTCCGAATCTAGGTAAAGCTTGTTTCGTCCTCCAGCCTCATGTAGAATTGTGGCAATAGCTCTGGCATTTTCGATTCTCTTCAAATCCACATATGATCGACTCTTCTTGATGGCGTCTCCAATAAGCTCGGCAGATCGTGCTTCTCCCTGGGCTCGAACAACCATAGCTTGCTTTTCCTGACGGGCTTTGTCAACGACGAATGCAGCACGTTGTGCTTCTTGCTGTGCGACTTGTTTGGCTTCGACGGCAGCGGTAAATTCTGGCGAGAATGCGAGATGCTACAATATGTCAGTACTGCGGATTCCCCGCGATTAAAGCCCACATACTGTTAATGAAACATCATCCAACATGATGTTGAATCTCGCCGCCCGCTTTGATAGATTCTCCCTGACCAATCTTGCAACATTCTCACGCTGTGTAATCAGTTGACTAGCGTTGAACTGAGCAACCACACTCTTCAAAACCTCATTTACAATCGAAGGCAAAACTCTCTCGTCGTAGTCTGTGCCCAATGTTCGGTATATTTGAGGAAGAGCATCCACTCTCGGTCTTGACAGCACACGGCAGGTAATGTTAACCATCTGAAGATCCTTGGTACCGGTGAGGGAGGCAACATTTCTCGGTTTCGCTCGAACATCGTAATCTATTGGCGTCTCGAACCATGGAATCTTGATGTGAGTTCCTAAATGGTGTTACGTTAGTTTGGCTGTTCGGTCGAAGTTGTAGCCGCAGTAGTCGTACCTTCAGAGTATATTTCCTTGCCAACACCACCGAGTCTGGTATATTTGATCGCTCTGTGACCACCATCGACGTTGAAAAGTGCATTGCTTCCGACCATCGCGACACCACCGAGGATTACAAGACCCACGAGCCCTCCCGCAGCTCCCCTTGGACTTGGCCCGCCTCCTCCGGATTTTCGAGTCTTCTCAGCCATCTGCTGCAACTGCTTCCACATTTGCTGAGGATTGTTCGCCATGGTGGATGATTTGATATGGATGAACTGACTGAATGAGGCGGTAGTGTTGATGGCGTTGACAATCGTCAATGTCTTCGAGCTCCAAATGTTTACTAGTGTATTTTGCCGGCCGAGATTCTGCCACAGAGGCGTGAAATGGCAGCCGCACCTGGACCGAGCTCTAGCCTTCTCCGGATTCTCTTAGTGGCACAACCAAATTTGAACCTCACACCCATATACGCATGCTCAACTTCATCAACACATCCGTTATTTCGAGGTGGTCCTGCAGATAGGGTCAAGGGGCAATTGTATCAAGAACTGATACGACTAAGCAGATTTAGAATAGCCAGAAACCCTTCTCACAAGACTTCTGTGCCCTTTCTCTCGTTTCTTCCGCAAGGTGACAAAGTGATCTTCAGCCTTCATTCTCAAGGAGGAGCTTTGCATCCTTTGTGATCGTGTCTCTTCCACTTCAAACATCTCAGCAGATTCATCATACATCACAGTCACCAAAATGTCGACAAAACCGCCATCTAAATCAGTATTTGTCGGTAATATACCGTACGGTATGCGATTCTCCTCCAAAGGGCGAAAGGTTGAAAGCTAAAACTCGCAGGTCTTACGGAGGAACAGATCATAGATATATTCAGTACTGCTGGGCAAGTCTTAAATTTCCGACTAGTTTACGACAAGGACACCGGTCGTCCAAAGGGCTTCGGGTTCGCAGAGTATCCTGATACAGGTTCGTGCTGCTGCTTGCAGCTTTCCGTGTTTGCACGACGTGACTGACGCGCCATATAGACTGCGCATCTTCTGCGGTGCGAAACCTCAATGATTACGAGATTATGAACCGGAAGTTACGCGTCGACTTCTCTAATGATGCTGGCGGTGACGATGACAACAACAACAGCAACAATAACTATGTAAGGAGTGACCACAGTTGACGAGATTAACTGGCTGATATATGGCAATAGAACAACAACAACAACTCCTATCAACCTCCTCCGCCACCAAACGGCATGCATATGGGGCAACCACCTAATAATGCGAACTCATCATCACTCCCTCCCTTGCCAGTCGGCATAGACCTACCCCCAAACCTCTCATGCCCTGATGCGATATCTCGAACCCTCCATACTCTACCTCCAGCACAACTTCTTGATGTCCTTTCTCAGATGAAGACATTGGCAACTACCGATCCGGCAAAAGCCACCGAACTTCTCAATCAAGCTCCACAGCTTTCATACGCAATCTTCCAAGCTCTGCTTCTCATGGGCCTCGTCGAGTCTGAAGCACTCGCCTCTGTAGTCCAGTCGAATGCACCCGCGCCCGCGCCAGCACCGGTGCCTACACCTCAACAAGGCTACCCTCCCCAGCCGGCAAGCGGTTATCCAGCAGGTTATCCTCCTCCACCACCACACATGAGCGGACAATTGGGCATGCCCATGGGATCAACGCCTACCCAGGCGCATTCGATGTATGCCCCACCGCCAGCACAACATCGGCCACCACCAGTACAACAACAGCCACAAAATCCAGAAGCGGATGCATTGATGCAACAGGTTCTGGCTATGCCACAAGAGATGATTGATAGCCTACCTCCAAATGACAGAGCGCAATTGATGGCATTGAGAGCAAGCTATGGACGTTAACAGGGAAGGGCTGCTATCAGTTTCGCCAGGGAGGTTTATTATTATGCTATTGGGTGGTAAGCTAGGAAAAGGTTGTGATAGGATCTTCAGCAGGATAATTATTACTGCAATAGGCGTTATGCGTTTATAGATTGTGTAAGATAGGAAGCCTCCCCTCAGGGTAGCTATCAGGAATCAGCATGCGTGATTTAGAATCAAATTTTAAATCTACGGCTCCACTCCTGTCCTTTACGCCTCTTTGAGAGTTCACCTGCCATGACCAACATTTCGGAACGCAGGTTTTCTTAGAACAACACGCTGTAAAGAAACTCCTTCGCTGAGATGCTGCTCCTACATGATTCGGATAAGTTCTGTCTACCACGAAAGCGGTAGGAAGGTATAGAATGGAGCGGTTACCCGCAAACTATGCGGAATATATACCCAAAATCAACCACTTCTGTCACATACGACCATAGACTGAGGAGAATTAGGCATCCCGTCCGCTCTGCCAAATACAAGCCTCAGATCGGTAGATTAGTAGTTGGGTGGGTGACCACCAGCGAATACCTACTGTTGTATGTTTTTGAATTTTTTGTCGTTTGGCTGGGGGTTTAAGCGAGAATGGGAGATGAGAGGTAAGAGGTAAAGTAAGAGGTGAGGACCTTGGGAGTTCTAAAGGGTTATCTTACCAAGATATAGTAAGACGAGCAAGGACTTTTCAATCGGTTCTTTTTTAACTTAAGCGGATGTTATTTAGGATGTAGGAAGGGAGGCAAACCTTCGTTGAAGAAATGTCGTGTTAGGTAGAACTTCTAGAATAAGAGGTGTGGGATGAGCGAGGCGGAAAAGAGGATGTCTTGAGTTATGTAAACTATGTCAAGGAGTAGTAGATGGAACTGAAACTGGGAAATAATCGTTTAAACAGATAAGGACGATGGTACGAGGTGTTGCTTTTTAAAAGGGAACCGGCAGAATGTAATTTTGATTAAGAGTTTAATGTCACAGAATCTGCACATTGAGTGTAAAGAGAAACTCTTGTAAGGGAATTTAGGCAGAGTTAAACCACAGTGAAGACTTTCGTCTGTAACTCGGGAGCGGGTGTAGTGATAAGTTTGACTACCTTGATATATGATGATTTAAAGGAGTGTTACCAGGAATGCTATCTCATTTCATATTGTAGCACGATATAGTATTAAAAGTAACTTTTAAATAACCGCCGTCACGACATTGGCTCAATGAGAGCCTGCTCTTTAGTCTCAAAGTGCTGCGGTTAAAAAGGGGGAATCTTTAAAACTCGCTTAACCCCTGACGGAAGTTTCCCATCTCTATTCCCTTGAAAACATCCATCGAACCTTTTACGACTCACTAATTATTCTACACAGTAAACAATCTATTGTGATCTTGTATTCATAGCCTTAACAATTCAAAAGTTCTCAACTCAAACCCTCATAAACTCTTTCAATCTCCTCCCCATACAACTCCAATGTCAACCTCCGAATCGGCGCTCCCTTACTAGACCTCACGAATCTCTTGCTCTCTACCCCAACAACAACCAACTCCCTCGCAATCCTAGCATGTTCAGGCACCCCCCTATTAGCCCCCTCAACAACCCTCCACACACTCTCACTCAACTCCTCCTCCCCCTCCCTCCCCTCAATCAAAATCCCACATCTCGTCCTCCCCTCCCCAAAAACCAAACACCCAGCCACAAACGCACAACTCTGTACCACCACCTCGATATGCAACGGATTGACCTTAAGTCCATTACTCAGAACCAATACATCATCCGTACGTCCCTCGTATCTATACAGATTCTCAAATCCCGGATCCGTGCAACGACGTAGGATATCGCGACTCCGCCATTCATCAAGGTGAGGAAAGATATCAAACACGGGCGTGGTGATGGTAGCGGGTCGACGGACGACAACTTCATACAGTCCTTCATCTGCGTCAACCAGATCGAGATCCGGTGTGAAGCTAGGGTGGAATTCGAGGTACGACCAATGCGATTTCGGGGGGATGAGGAGAGGGAACATGTGCATCTCTGTGGAGCCGTAGATTTGCCAGAGTGTTACGGTGGGGAGGTGATGAATTATCCAGGAGCCGGTTGAGGGACTTAGGGGGCCTGGTAGCAAGATCATTAGTACTCGGGATTGAGAGGCAGAGGGGGAGAAGTACCACCAAGCCAATTCACATGTTCCAATTCCCCCAAAAACCCCTCAATCTCCTCTCCATGCTTCGAGATCAAGTGGTCTAATAAACTGGGCACCATAACCAAGCCGGCGAACTTCATACTTTTAATCATCTCATACATCACCTCCCCACTCGGCAGTCCATCCGCAGGACCGAAAACGATTGTATACCGATTAAACAACGCCATGAGCGTGAAGCAGATGCCACTTAAATGATAGAGATTCGTTCCGCATAACACCGCTTTTCCAGGCTCACAGAGCGAGGTGGAAGCGTTTACACGTCCTGGAATGGTGGGGATTTCAGATTCGATATCCAAACGACGAATCACGGAATTATTGTGGCAGATGGGTTTTGGAACGCCTGTGGATCCTGAGGTGTGGATTATCATAACCACATCATCTTTAGCCTGTTCCCAGGTTTTGGTGTACGGATAATGAGGTGTTTCGCTGTTTGTCATTTGTGATAGTAGAGGGACTTCAAGCATCGTAAGTTCTGGAATTGAGTTCTTGAGCTCGGATTCTTGGACCCCAAGATCCCCGCTGTAAAATACAACCCTACACCCCGTTTCTCTTAATAGTGAAATCGTATTCACAACCGCGTTTCTTGGCGAAGGAAGAAGAATTGGTCTTCCTATCTTGATAGCTGCGATTTCTAGGACTAGATATCGGAGATCTTGAAGGCCGGAGTACCCAATTGGTTCGTTGGATGACAGGTGGAGCTTTTGGATAGACTGTTCGATCCAGTAGGCCATGTAGTTGATCGCGTTGTCCAGTCGGGAGACGGTGAGTTCATCGTATTGAAGTGGTGCGTTTGGTGTTTCGGGGAGGACGGCGTTCATGCCAATGATGAAATCTGGGTCTTCGGCTGCGAATTTCTCGATGAGTTTGGGGAGGAGTCTTTCATCTTTCTTCGGATCTGGGGCGGCATTTTGGCGGGATTCTTCGGAGAGGATAGTAATTGAGGCCATTGTGAGTGAGGTTGATTTGACTGGGACTGCACTCTGGAGAGGGAGAGATAGTAGAGTCTTATGTTGGTTAACAACCAACGCTGTTGGTGTGATTGCATACACCCATTTTTATGGTGTAGGTCAGCGGTTTTCACGTACATAATCACTCAAATCATAAGCCTCTTAAAGGATGGCTAGTTATCTTGGTAGGTTTGGAAGTAGAGCAAGATTCTTATGTAAGAAGTTGGTTGTTGATTGTTTGAAACGTGCGGAGAACAAGTGTTTGTTCGCAAGTGCTCTTACAGACACGGAAACTGGAGAGACGACTTGTAGCTATGGGGATTGTGCATACATCTCCTTTAATTATCTGACACTACTATTTGCAACCTCTAACAAATTAGGGATATCCGTGGAAACTCAAATAGAAACTCAAATTCATTCATCACACATAATGTAGTACAACCTGCGCGCGATCAACATATCAAGAGGCTGAGAAGCTGACAACCAACAACAAAATGACACCAGACCTCAACCCCTACACCAACCCAATCACAACAGGCTATTTCCAAGTTATGATATACGCAACCCAAGTCACAACTCTACTTCAGACTTCCAGAAACCAAACCCCGGATAAACACCAAATTTCAGTAACGGTCCTAACGGACATAAGGGTACTGTTAAAAACACTTGCGCATACCAAAGGTAAGATGGATACATACGAGGATAAGCGACCGCACTCATCTCACCTCAGCAAATCCAACACTTACGTACGATCCAACCAATTGAGAGAGGCGTCTCTAAAATCATGATAGAGATTTGGAAGCATACTTCCTATTACATTTTTAAACCTCTCGGCAATTAAGGGCGGTCTTTTGACAAGCCACCGAGCTTCACAGTCGCTCTGTAGATCGTAGACCGTACGCAGTAACGCGATCAAAAGACGTGTTTCTCTACTCTAAAGTACCAAGCGAAGCTCTACGGCCTATAGAAATCTCAAAAATCACTAAAGTCTCCTTATCTAAATAAAAACCCACTATAAGGTACGTTGTGTTGAAAAAGATTAACCTCAAGACCCTAGAGAACTTAAGAACGAAAGGTCGGTGTATTGATGCGTGTCCTATTGAGGGAGAAAACGTCAATATATAACAACTCACATAGACTAGTATGAATCGAGAAGAAATATCCAGCAATCAGTATCCCCGAAGTCGAGGACATTATACATTGCGTATAGAGTAACCACGCAAGATCCTTGTACTAAGCACCATGGACGCACCAACAACTCGTCCTTAAGACGACATCATCACCCAGAAACAGCAGTCAAGAATGAGGCAGACCAAAAATTAAGGAGTGTGGTATCTTTATTCCAAAGAAAAGTGACAAAAGCGCTAAACTAAAAACCCAAAACAAAATCATCATCCCCAAGTCCCAGCTCTAATGCGCGTTCCAATCCGGTAGCGACGCACATTAAAGATCTACCATCTATTCTAATCCCATTGCCATGCCCATGCCCATATGTTTCCCCAAATAAATATACAATATGTTTTATGATTGATCCAGTATTCTAATAGTCGTCAAGAGCGAGAGGCATCTATGCGGTGGATGCCTTGATTGATCGTGCCATTCTGCGCTTGCTGAGGTTGTGCTCAATAGCACGCTTCTTGGCGGCAGTTGACTGTGTGAAGGCACCAGCTCCTCCGAATGGACCTGAGGGATTGTTAGATGTAACTTGGATGTAGAGAAGTGGAATACTTACCAGCTGGAGTGGCGTTCTGCATCTTGACGACACAGACGTTTGTGGCATCGCCAACGGTACCAGAGCAGGTCATTCCAGCTGGCATCTGAACCTTGACTGGGAAATCAGTGGTAGTGGTGGCTGAGATACCAGCAACCAATCCTGGAACATTCTGGGTGACCTCAGCAGTCTTGAAGGCAGCTGGATCGGTTCCACCAGATGTGGCGTCAACCATAGCAGTGAAAGGACCGGCACCATCTTGGTTGATCTGGTGAAGAGTCATTGTAATCTCGCCGCTGTCGGATGTAGTTGGGAGACCATCTGAAGCACCAGCACCGGCGGCGGCACTAACACCAGTCTCTGAGGTACCAGCTGGTGTCTTAACACTTGCTCCTGCGGCACCACCGCCACCAGCCTTGTTACCACCGAAAAGTTGACGCTTGTACATGGTGCTGCGCTCGTGGATGTCACGGGCAGTGTTATTGGCTGCGGGTCTGTTAGTAAAGTGCTTGAAACCTAATGTTCGAAAACCACCTACCAGTTCCACCCATGTAGATAGCCATCATTCTCTCAGCAGTGACTGGTCCATTGGCCTTGGTTCGTCCCATAGCAGAGGCTTTGCTTGTTCCGATCTCGTTTGCTCGAATAACAGCGGTATCATCTTGAGCACCACATCCGGCTGAAGGGCAATCACGAGGAGTACCGTCAACTACGGTAAGACCTGGCATGGTAACACCTGTTGAATGTTAGCTTGGATTTGACTCTCTGTAGTGAGGTTGAATTACCATTGGCACCCTTGACTTCAGTGATAACACCGTGAGAGAAGACACTGGTGACAGCGAAAGCTGCACAGAGAATGACTGATGAGTATTGCATTTTGAAGGTAGGTATGAAGTTGGACTATTAAAAAGTATGAAGCTGAAAGAGAGTAGGTAGTAGACGACCGGCGTCGAAGATTCAAATGTTAAAGATAGAGTTGAGAAGAGAAGAAGAGATGATTGGAATGCTGATGATGATTGAATAGAGAGCAAACCCACGATACTTTATGTTCTTTTCGAACACAACCAAAAAGAAACAAATGAGAGTGGTCGGCCTCCTAACACAGGTACAATTGGCCTGGCACGCTCGATCTGCGACGAGGGAGAAACTCGAAGCATTCTTGGTGGATTGCCAATGTCTTGGTATCTTGGACATCACCAGCGATTGCCATACCTGAATCGAGTCTTGGACAACTGAGGTGCAGACTTCGGGAGCCTTGCGCAAATCGTAGCTGGCTTGGCTGCAGCGGCTACGGCTCCTCGATGCAGGACAGTACGGGAGAGCGGAAAGAGACTGTGAATAGCTTCAAAAATGGGGCTTGAAGACTGTCTGTTCCATACGCCATTTTGACACCGAAAATAACACCGTACTTTGGGTTCCCCTCGCAATGAGTCTCTGCCGATATTTTTGCAGATACAGAGCTCAGATTTGGCCTTTCTCAAGATTATGGTAAGTACCCCACTGACAGTTCCTGGTCTCTGTTTGCATTGCTTCCCCAGGTGGCTGTGAAGGGCCAAGCTTTGACTTTCCTTGAGGGCCATGGAGATCTCGAAACGCGATCTGATGGGGGAGCAGCCACTAGCCAGCCAGTCGTATCTTCCATGGTGGAGTTGTCTTGGTTTTAGCGTATTGGGGAAGTTTTGCGATGTTTTGTTTTCGGATGTTTTCACGATGCGCCTGTTTTGTTTGTGCGTAGTTTCATGTCAGGCTCGTGCGACGAGACTATTTGATTCTCGAAGGTCCCGGATCGAGCGACCTCCAGACTTGGCTGACCGTGATACCTTGATTTAGCCAGTGTAGACTATGGATCTTGGGTCCATTTTGTGTGAATCCGGAAATTTGAAGATGGATAGCAGGACGTGATCTGGGAATGTTTCCATCAGTACAGAGTCATGTTCATGCGTATGGAAGCCGGAAGGAAAGCGAGGGAGGAAATATGGAAGTGTCGAGCAGCTTCGAAATGCTCCTGTATCAATCAAACAATCCGAGCCCCGGATGTTTTCAACTATTATTGGGGATGTTTGGTTTGGTTTTTGAATGTCGTTCATTCAGTCTTGGGAGGAGCCTCAAAAGCTTGGACCTCTCGGATCGAATTTTAGTGTCGTTGTGAGCTTAAAGCCGAACACCAAAAGCAATATTGAGTCTTGAGAAATTATCTTTAATTCTTCATTTCGATACACCTTTTCGAAATCATTTATCTATTCAACGGGATATCCCGCCAGGATCTGAAATACTTCATAAAGAATTAAAGGTTTGTGGGCAAAATGCTCACTTGGTGGCAGCCCAGAAGTAAGTTGAACCACCTACTCTTGAAAGAGAGAATGACAATCGTCACAGAGTACGAACTATGACCGCAAGCAGGAATTATCCTCTTTCTGTCCCGTTGCGGCGGATGATCTACTTGAAATTGATCCCTTGGTTCAAGATATTCTCGGAAAATCTGCTAGAAGTGGAACCTTACAATGACTACTCTCAAAGGAAGAACATCGACGCCCCAGTCGATTTGTTGCTTGGAATAATACATCGCGCAGGCTCGTAGGCTCAAACACTCTTGGCGCTATTAACCTCATCTGCCCTTTGAAGACTCTCTTCCAGCACCGCCCAGAACCTAGCAACATCCAATCCTCTCGGAATCTTCACACCCTCCTGCCCCTCGTCCAACAGCTTGACGATAGTACGACCGGTCTGAGCCCCATTTTGTGCATCATCATGACTTCCTTCAGTGATAACGGAAACAGCATATCTTTCTCGTCTGCGCTTATTTTCAGCACCATCAACTGCTACAAAATCTCGAAACGGGATCTCGAGACCTGGAATTCCATCAAAGATTGCGGCTACGGCAAGGGGATCGTGTAGAGGGGGGCCAGCGGTGATAGCGAAATGCGAAGCGTAACGATCAGCGAAGAAAGTCAGAAGCTCAACAAGCATGACTCTCAATGTTGTCTTTGCTTTGCCTGCCCCCTTCGTATGAGGAGTCTTGCCCCAAGACAAAAGTTCGAGAACGTCCGGCGTAGCAAGAACAAGATGAGTGACATCGAGAGGAATCAGGATGGTCTTCTTGTTGATGCCAGGGTTCTGGAAAATTGCGTCGGCAGCTTCAGGGTCAATGAGAATATTGAATTCTGCCCATTCGCTCCAATTGCCAATGCGAGTCGAAGCAGCGCCAGAGACCTTGCCCATGGGTGCTGAAGTGAAGCCATCTCCAATAGCTCCCCCCATAATACTCAATCCTTTGAGATGAGCTGCCACTTCTGGATGTTTGGCAAACAGAAGAGCAACATTGGTACAGGCACCCGTGGCAATGAGCCACGCAGAGTTCTTGGGTGTTGAGAGCAAGGCTTTGGCCATTGCCTTAACTGCATCATCTGCTAACGGATCTGACACGGGTTTTGGGAGGAGATCAGTTCCGTCAAGTCCAGATCTGCCGTGAATGTCGGGTGCATGCACTGCGTCTCGTAGAAGTGACTTTGCTGCTCCTGGATAGACCGGAACCTCAGGACGACCCATCGCCGTGAGAAGAGATAGAGCATTCTGAGTTGTGTTGGCTAATGAAGAATTGCCATGAACTGTCGATAAACCCAGGAAATTAATGGAAGGATGGTGAGCACAGAGCAGAATGGCGAACGCATCCTATAAAATTAAAATTAGCCCGCACTTCCGAGACGTAAAAGCAAGAAGTCTTGGAGCAGGTGCGGGCAAGCAGCGCAGCATAGGGATTCAAGTGAGCAAATCGTCAAGCGCGGAGGCTTGAAGAAGAACCTTGCCGGAATATTAAATCGCAAAGGCTTGTTTACTCACATCGTGGCCTGTCCAAAGTCAATAAACTTTAACTGGGAAAAAGTGTTGGAATGCTTGCAACGTACCTGGATCGCAATCCAGCCACACGGGAATACTCTCACCAGACATGTCAAAGAATTTCTGATAGTTCCTTGACGGTTGGTTTCCGCTTTATAACTGAGCGCTGATATCCTAGGTTTGATGACCTCGCAGTTGTTTTCGGAGGGCGGATGGAAGATTGTCGGATCTTAAAAGTGGGGTGAACACCAGTATTCAAGCTTGTCAAATTTTGGAGTGGTGCCAATTTCTTATATTCTGGGAGTACCGGTATTCACGCTAGCAAACACTGATGAAGCTTGGTTAAGTAGCAAACTTCTGCAAGACCACCGTGGAGCTCTCATCCAACGGAATCCTCTTACAAACACAGCTCATCCGTCCAATGAATATGATTTCCCCGAAGTTGTGTATGCTGTCCATGGCTGCATGAGCGTCATCCCACGACACGTCGTATGGGAAATGGACTAGCATAATCTTTTGGGACGTAGACCATCTCTGTTGCTTGCGTCTGCATCGCCGAAGTTTCCCAGCAAAACTTGGTACAGGCTAGAAATATCTAAGCCTTTACCTCCGATAACATCTAGTCAGTTATCATAAGAAGTAGTAAGCTCGACCGAGGCGTATCTGAAACCTTTTCCATGATTCAACCACGTTGTGCCTTATGAAACTTCCTTCTCTTTGTCTTGCTTTGGCTCCCCATCCGAGTCGAAGCCAAGAGCTTCAAGCTCTCGAATCAACTCATTGATCTTGATGACTTTTGCAAATTGTTCCGGTAATAACGCGCCTCCTCCTTCCTTCTTCTCTTTCAGATCTTTAGCCTGCTTGAGTTTCTTCCTCAAGTTTCTAGCTTTCTTCTCGCGCTCTGCCTCAAGATCAACTTCTTCCGTGGCAGGTTTCTCTGCTGCCTCCTTGGAAGTTTCGTTTGCACTTCCTCCATTAGCTTCTTCCGCAGCTTTCGCCTTCTTCCTAGCCTCTCTTCTCTTTGCGTTTTTATTGCTTGCAGCCGACCCTTCCGCTTTTTCATCCTTCAACCCATCCGCACCTGGGATTCCACCACTGCCACGAGTTTGAAATGCATTTGCGTAACGGTTCTTGTATACTTCAACATCCTCTGGCGGCTTGTAACCCGGTCGAATTTTAATCTCTCTACGCTCCGTCCCATCCGCCCGTACGGATGATGGGATGTGCCGTTCTCCAGAATTTGACTCGACGATACCGGCCTTAGTCGGCGTAGGCACGGAAGGCATATCTTCAGGTAAACGTCGAACTCAAAGTAGCCAGCACAAATTTGGTGATATTTATATCCTGTGTTCGTGTGAAAATACTATGTGCTGTGCCAGTTGTTTTTGCAAGCTGTCTGACGTTGACGAGGCTGAGAAGTTTTGGCATCCGGAATCGAATCCCTGCAAGGATGACTAATTCGGCTGGCGGGACTGGATTCTCAAAGCTCGTCGACCTCGAACGACAACAACACCAAGAAGCATTTACGGCGCCCACATCACAGTATCCTCACATTAGTGCAGTAATACGATTCAAAATGGTACATCTGCTCTATGACACCGTTTCTGTAACATCCACAGCTTGCTAACGATGTCAATTGCAGGTTTCCGCCAGCCGGGGTATCTACAAGCAAGTAGCCCCCCGTACCCGCCAAACTGCCCTACTCAGCATCTATCAACGATTATACCAGAACGATCACTAACTTGCAGCTCATCACAGTACTCTTTTCCGCAAGAATTACACTTTCTTAGGTGTTGTTTTTGCTGGCGCATTCGCTTTCGAGATGTACGTTGAACAGACTCAGAATTTTGTCATCGGAATTCGGAGGAAAGAGTCATGATCTGACAGACTTGTAGGGGATTTGACAACGGAATGGACAAGATCTGGGACTCCCTCAACAAAGGCGTAAGTCAGGGGCATTAATCGGGAACGAACGGAGAGGAACATCGAGCTGATCACATCATGTAGCGACAATGGAAGGATATCCGAGCCAAATACGTACAAGCAGCCGATGACGACGATGAGTAAATTGGAGTAAATTTGGAGCGGATGGGGAGTAACTGCTAGAAAGGCAGGGCAGCTAGATGAATCCAGCTGGAGTCTGAGATATGGAGCTCGGGCGTGCATGTGTATAAAAGAGAAGCATTGTACCAATTGAAGCACAGTGAAACCTTAGAACAATGTGACTTCACTTATGTTGGTGGAATGATAGCCCTGTGGAATTAAACTAATTATAAGTTGACTTCTGAGTTAATATTGTTGCACAAAGAACATTCTTATTGGCTAGTGTGATATCGGGGTCGAGCTCTGACAGCCTTCCCTGTGACGAACCTCAGCCGTCACTCATACACAAAACTTGCCTTGCCCCGCGGCTTAACAACAAGCACAGAAAACTTCTTGCTCATAGATCTTTCTTGATCCTTGAAGAACGTGCACTGGATGCTAGCTTCTAGCTGTAAAATCAAAGCACCAATCCGAAGATAGCTCTTGTGAAGCTCCAGTTGCCAATATCGAGGCTCGATCGATAAGGCTTTATCATCCGCATCTCCACGACAACTTCTCGTGCTACTGAGTTATAGGAGACATGCAAGATACCTCTTCGATCTCATGATGGACAATATGTCATCTCAAGAGCTTCAGCTCTGCGAATTCCTGAGGGAACAACCCCGCTATCGCGGAAATCGATATACACCACAGGCGGAGAACGACTTGATTTACCACCTCTTTTGGTCACTAGCTGGCGGTCAGCAACCATACTTCAATCTACTATTCCCGAACGGACAGCCCGCGACGGGTGACAAATGGCTCTTACGGAAGGAACAAGGCGGCGAGGATGGAGATGAATTCACAGAAGCGGCGCGTGGCAAAGCCTGTGGTCATATATTCAAAGCGGGGGAAGCTACATACAGATGCAAAACCTGCAGCGCAGATGATACTTGTGTACTGTGCAGTCGATGTTACGATTCGTCAGATCATACTGGGCATATGGTCTATGTTAGCATATCTCTAGGAAACAGTGGCTGCTGTGATTGTGGTGATCCCGAGGCTTGGAGGATTCCCGTTCACTGCTCAATCCATACCGACTTTGGGGACGCAGCAAGAAAGAAGGCAAAAGGAAAAGCGGCAGAGCTACCCCAAGAACTTGTGGATTCGATTCGCATGACTATTGGCCGAACTTTCGACTACATCTGCGACGTTATTTCATGCTCCCCAGAGCAGTTGCGACTCCCGAAATCTAAAGAAAGTATCTTGGAAGACGAAAAATCATCAAGGCTAGGGTCGGAGTTCTACAACGGCGATGTTGTCGAAGAACCGTGCGAGTATGCATTATTACTTTGGAACGACGAAAAACACACAGTGTATGAGGTTCGCGACCAAGTGGCGAGAGCATGTAAAACTACCATGAAAGAAGGGCTGCAGAGAGCCCATGAGACCGATGATGTTGGTCGGAGTATTGTCAAGTACAGCTTTGATATTGATGAGCTTCTTCGTGTATCCCAGGTTATAGAACAGATCAAGGTGACGGTCACAATTCGATCCGCAAGGGATACCTTTCGGGAACAGATGTGCGGATCAATCATCGAATGGCTAAGTGATATCGCTGGATGCAGTGTAGGCCAGGATCACGATATTTTACGGCAGGTGATTTGCGAAGAAATGCTCAAGAAATGGAGTTTTGGAAGTTCAGCAACTAATAGAGATGTTGGTATGAACGGCATCGACGACCACGAAATGGAGGAGAACCGAAGATTTCAATTGATTGAGCATAATGCAGAGATGTTCAGACGTGCGGCAATTGCAGCGGCGGCGGCTGGAACAGACGATGAAGACAGTGACGACCTTGGAGACGCAGTCGACGAGGGCGACAATTTTGGTGATAATTCTGATGGGACACCTTCTGTAGATGAAGATGACTCCGACGGCGATTTTGCGAACGCCGTTGAACAGTACTTGCTGCAACCTAGTGCGTCGCAGGTTGTTAGAGACCAAGACGGCGACACACAAATGACAATAGAAGATGTTGAGGAATCGCCTCTTGAACATGGCGAGGCAACTGAGGCAGGCTTTCCACCTCCACCACCGCCCCCGCCCGCACCACAGCGAATAGCTCGGGACCGAGATCTCACACCGTCAGATTCAGATACTGCTGAAATGCAGCCTCTCATATCGGAAAAGGTCTATGCGAAAGCCAACATGGAAATCCCCAAAACGCCTAGGAATCATTCCAAGCTGCTTTCGCCCCCAAAACCTGCAAGGTATTGGCTCGAGACATCTCCCACTTTCAAAGCTCAGGAGAACGTGCCCCTTTATGAAAACCTCCAGGAACGCTTGCGACTAGACTGGATGATTTTGTTTGATCTGCGAATGTGGAAGAAGGTTCGTATAGATCTGCGGGATCTGTACATTGCTACTGTCGTTACTATACCTGAATTCAAACGAGTTTTGGGATTGCGATTTGCTGGTTTATATACCACTCTTGCCCAGCTGTACTTGATTGCGGACCGAGAGCCTGATCACTCTATTATCAACATATCTTTGCAAATGCTAACCACACCAACGATCACCTCGGAGATAGTCGAAAGGGGTAATTTCTTGACCAATCTGATGGCCATACTCTATACCTTCTTGACCACGCGTCAAGTTGGTCATCCTCATGAGATTTCACCAAATGCGACATTGGCCTTCGATTCTGGCTCGGTAACAAATCGGCGGATGTACCACTTCTTCCTGGACTTGAAATATCTTTCCAGCTCCGAACATATCCAGGAGAAACTTCGCCGAGAAGATAGATATATGTTGCAGTTTTTGGATCTTGTCAAGCTTCACCAAGGTATCTGCCCGAATACACGAGCAGTGGGAGATCATGTGGAGTACGAAACCGACGCCTGGATATCAGCGTCTTTGATCACACGCGAGATCAATCGGCTGTGTAGACAGTTCTCGGAATCGTTCCAATGGTCTCTTGGGGAAGATCCTACCTATATTCAAAAGGCCCTCAGACTTGCTGCGAAATCTGTAATTCTCAATTCTCTCGGAGCCGAGCGAAAGCGTTTCGATCAAGCCGAAATCAAGGACGAGGTTAAATTCAAGAAAGTTGGCGACTACGAGTTCGATACTACAGAGATGGCGAAAAGTGTTCTGCAGCACTCGGTCGTTAAGTTCGTCGTTGAATCGCAGCCGATAAGCTTTCACCACGCCCTACACTATACTCTTTCATGGCTAGTAGAATGCGGGAGGAGTATGAGTCCGGACGAGATGAGGTCCCTATTATCCTTCACAACCGCCGAGCTTCTTGACAAGCCAAGAGCAATGGGCCCACGAGTCATGCCAAGCCATAACTATACCGCGGAGGATCATCTTATAGCAGCCTTTGATTATCCACTCCGGGTTTGCGCTTGGCTAGCCCAGATGAAAGCAAGCATGTGGGTCAGAAATGGGATGAGTTTACGGCATCAACATAGTACATATCGTGGAGTCAATCAAAGGGATGTGTGCCACCATCGAGACATCTTTCTTTTACAGACGGCCATGGTTGTTTGTCCACCTGCGCGGGTGTTGGTCTCCATGATTGACCGCTATGGCTTGGAGCACTGGATGAAAGGGATTTATGAACAGTCGAAGTCGGAAGGAGTTGATGATGGCCAAGTGTTAGATGTCGCAGAAGATCTGATCCATCTACTCATCGTGTTGATCAGCGACCGAACTTCACTGGTTACCAAAGAGGACGAGCCCAACTCCCACATTCTTGCTATGCGACGAGACATCACTCATGTCCTCTGCTTTAAACCACTATCATTCACTGAAATATGTAATAAGCTGCCAGACAAGTTCCAGGACCAGGAAGAATGTCAAGATATCCTCGATGAGATGACTACATTCAAACCTCCAGAGGGCCTTTCCGATGTTGGAAGCTTCGAGCTGAAGGAGCAGTATCTTGAGGATGTGGATCCGTACATTTCACACTATACCAAAAACCAGAGGGAAGAGTCTGAAAACGCCTACAAAGCCTGGTTAGCAAAAAAAACAGGTCGACCCGCAGCGGACATAGTATTTGAGCCCAAACTTCGTCCTATTGAATCCGGAACATTTTCGGATTTGTCAGCGTTTACGAGGACTGGCATATTTGCTCAGATAATCTACTATGCGCTACTGTTTCCACTCAAGGCTCAAGATTTTACGCCCACGGTGCCTGTAACACGTGTTGAAGCCTTTTTGCAGGTTGTTCTACATCTCGTATTGATTGCTATATTGGAGGACAAAACTGATGAAGATGAGATGTCTGAAGATTCTCTCCAGTCGTTCGTTTACATCGCGTTGACGAGCCCCGCTCGAAGCAACTTTCTCCCAGACTATCCTAACTCAAGGACCATTGCAGCCATTCTGGAAATATTATCCCGCAAAGAGGAATTCAAGGCATGCCACCCGAAGATTGCGTTAGTCCTCAAACGTATGAAGCAGAAGAGGCCACGCAACTTTGACACCGCGTTTGCACGATTGGGTGTCCCGGTGGATCGAATATCGACGGCGTCTCCTGCTAACAGCACCGTGCTAGAGGATAGAGAAAAGAAGAAGCAAGCCGCTATGGACCGTCAAGCGAAGGTTATGGCACAATTCCAACAGCAGCAAAAGAATTTCCTAGCAAACCAAGGTGACATCGATTGGGGAGAGGATGGAGCAAGCGACATTGATGTTGAAGACGAGAGTGAGAACCATAAAACGTACTGGCCATACCCCACGGGTACATGCATCTTGTGCCAAGAAGAGACAAAGGACGGTCGACTTTACGGCACCTTTGCCCTCATAACGCCCAGTACAGTGTTGCGGCAGACACCCTTCGGCGATCCAGATTTTGTCCGAGAAGTTCTCAATACACCAGCAAATTTAGATCATTCCGCGGACAGCATACGACCTTGCGGTGTTGCTGGCGAAAACCGGGAGGAGGTGCACAAGGTCAATGCCAGTGGAGTTGATATAGTCACTGAGCGCCAATTTATCGGCAAAGGATTTCCGGCGAAGTCAACTCGCAATGGCCCGGTATCTGTTGGGTGTGGTCATATCATGCACTACAAGTGCTTTGAAGTATATTATGAGGCATCTCAAAGAAGGCATCAACATCAAATTGCCAGACATCACCCGGAAGTTCTTGAAATGAACGAGTTCGTTTGCCCTCTGTGCAAAGCACTGGGCAATTCTTTCTTGCCTATCATCTGGACACCCAAAGAAGAGATTCCAATACAGCAGCTCCAACCTCAGACTTCGTCGACATTCGATGACTGGTTATACTTAGCCGCAGGGCCCAACGCTGTGAGCAGGGCCGGAGGAATCAGCTCCAAGCCCAGCCGGGCCGCCCCCAGTAGTCGAAGTGTTGAACTATTTATGCAGCACAATACGGCTGTCCTTGGGCAACCTTTAGCGTCAAAAATGTCTGAGTTGCTTCTCGATGCCTGGGAAGCTCCAACATCAGTACCCTCTCCACTTCCTTTCGGTACACCTACTGCTGAACCCGTAAATTGGGCACGGATGGAATCTGCACCATTAACAGGAGGTGGCACTGGCCGGTTGCCGTCCACATTTGTGTCACCCATGTCAGAACTCGTGGACATATATCAAAGGCTGAGAGACTCGATGGTAAAGAACAAGCTAGAAAGCCATCATCCTCAACTCCTTCCTGGATTCTCGGAACATGCCTCTCCCCTTGACCTCTCGCATAGCGACAGTTTGGCCAAAGCATTGGGGTTTTCCATCTCAGCTGTGGAAATACAGCAGCGAGGCGTAGGATCATCCAAGGGTTCGGTTTTTATTGATAGTCTACCACAGCAAGCGCTCAGCCATCTTAGAATTTTATCCGAGACTGTTGCCTCTTATATATCCATTGGTGGTATACGCTATGCGGGCGACAACAGAGTGGCTCAAGAATTCAGTCGTGATTACGAGCTACAGCACGTATTGTTGTATTTGCGACCCTCTTATCCAGGCGGCCTTGAACAACCGCCTTCCGAAGACACTTTGTTAACCAAAGACATATTTACTTTTCTTACAGAGTGCTCAATCTGTCTGGCTCGAGTAGACAATGTTGATATCATGCACCTTGTTCGTTTGTGCTACCTGGCAGAGCTTGTCAAGGTCATAGTGAACATGGGCCGTAATCAAGGTTCCTCTGGTTACTCGACCTGGATTGGATATGAGAAACTCATGAATCCTACGGATCCCAACGTACCTGGCCGAGAACCCGGATTTGATGCATTTGCCGACTTCTGCATCACTGTGCGAAGAGCTGATGAGGATTATGTCGAGAGTGGAGGAGATCTCAAAGGGAATGCATTTGCACAACCATGCTTCAACGGTCTGCAATCATGCCTAACCTTTGTACGAAGATATGCACTGGCGTTTCTTCGGAAAGTTGTAATTCTATTGCATGTTCGTTGCGGACTCACTTTTGCAAATTTCATCCCATCAGACCCCGAGGCGGATGAGCTTGATCGACTGACAGAGGCACTCAAGCTACCCACTTTTGATCAGATGTGTGCTTCAGTTGTTCCTATTTACAAAGGCCACAACCCGGTAGTCAATTCTTTGGTAAAGGGCTGGATTCAGCATTCAAAAGCTTGGAGTGTGCAGAGCCTCACTCTGAGCCATCCCGCTATATTTGAGCTTCTGGGTCTTCCGAAGAACTTTGATACTTTGATTGAAGAAACGATGAAGCGCCGCTGTCCAACTACCGGAAAAGAAGTCTCAGATCCTATGCTCTGTCTCTTCTGTGGCGAGATATTTTGTGGCCAGGGTATTTGCTGCTTGAAGCCAGCTTCGACAGCTACTGGAGGAGCGCGTGTGCCCAACATAGGGGGAGCGCAGCAGCATCTGAGAAAGTAAGTTATTCCTGGATGTCAGCTTGCATATGCTAACATTGCAAACTTTAGGTGCCAGAATAATCTGGGTCTTCTGATCAACATCCGCAAATGTTGTGTATTCTATCTCTACCACCTGTCTGGTTCTTGGATGGTCGCACCATACATCGACAGATATGGCGAGGTAGATCCAGGTCTAAGACATTCGCGACAGTTGTTCTTGAACCAGAAGCGATATGATGCCCTTTTGAGAACAGTTTGGCTGAGCCACGGTATCCCTAGTGTGATCAGTAGAAAATTAGAAATGGATATCAACAATGGTGGATGGGAAACTATTTAGGCTGAGTCTTTTGAGAGCGTCAGGGAATAAGGCGTAGGAAGGTTTGTGGAGTTGTAGCTGGCGTTTCCAGAGCGGGTAAGACGATGCCTTATGATAGTGCTCGATGATTACAGTTTGTCTTGTTTATAGCGTTATGTGTTACGTTCTTTTATGACTGTAATTTCGTTGTCATAGGAAGTTACCCAGGTAGATTGGGAATAGATCAGTGAGAATTGTGACCAGAACATACCCGCTTTGCCCCACTTTGATTGTAATCTTACTATATCCGAAGCCTTATGTTAAACCCGAACCGCAAGGCTGAACAATTCCATCGACATCACATCTTCAATATAAAAGCGCTTTGCAACGCAGAGGTAACGGCTCAACGTTACCGGAGAGATATGAATAACAATCAATTCCGGAAGCTTGTATTAGACACACCCGCGCGCCAGGCGTCCTCCGAGTCTAAACCCAAAAATGGAGCTCAAGGGCCATCTGCGACGCCGAGTCTGGGAAGTCGAGCGAGAAGCTCGATACCTATGACACCGTAAGTTCTCCTCTTATCCAAGATACTACGTCTTGTTCTAATAGTACTGAATTAGGCGCAACGTAAAAGGCTATTCCTCATCCAACGACTTCGCCCGCCAACTCGCCGCGCAAAACCGTCCCAAGGCGCAATCCAAGAAGTTCCGCTCCACGACCGCGCCCAAAGGCGCCAAACTCCCAGAGGGGTATGTTGATCGAGCGCGCGCGCGCGGCGGCGATGATGCGGTGGAGGGGAGTGAGAAGTTTCAACGTGTGAAGGCGCTTGAGGAGATGATGAAGTTGCAGCAGATTGATGAGCCTACGTTTTTGAGGTTACGGGAGGAGATTTTGGGCGATGATGTTAAGGAGCGCGCGGGACTGGTGAAGGGGTTGGATTTTAGGCTGCTGGAGAGGGCGAGGAGGGGGGAGGTGGGGGTGTTGGATGTGCTTGAGGGGAAGGGAACAGAGGAGGGAGATGGGGATGGAGAGGGGGATGAGGAGATTGATGATGAGTTTGATCGGCTTGAGGAGAGGGAGGTGGAGAAGGTTGAGAGGGAGGTGGTGAAGAAGAGGGGGGAGATGGCGCCGCCTTCGCTTACGGGGAAGAGGAATCGTGATCAGATTCTTGCGGAGTTGAAAGCTGCGAGGTTAGCTGCGAAAGAGGCTGCGCAACCGAGTCTGGGTTCGAGGTTCAAGAAGGTTGGGGATAGGCGGCCGGAAACTAGACTGGAGAAGGATTCGAAGGGGAGGGATGTTCTTATTACTGTTGATGAACATGGGAATGAGAAGAGGAAGGTTAGGAAAGCCGTGTTGCCGACGGAGGAAAAAGGAAGTGGGCTTCTCATGCCAGATAAAGATGCCGCACCGCTGGGGATGGAAGTTCCGGAGATACCCAAACCAGTCGAAGAGGAGAAAGAGGATCTAGATATCTTCGACGACGCAGGAGATGATTATGATCCCCTAGCTGACTTAAACGACGATACCTCCGACGAAGAAGAGAAAGAAGACGGCGAACTCGACGACTCAGAACCAAAACCAACCTCCAAACCTACACCTACAGATCCTACACCTACAGATACCCAAACCATGCCCCCACCCCCCTCAAAACCCAAAAACTACTTCAACGACCCCACACCCTCCACCTCCCTCGACCCCTCCCGCCCCGCCGCCCTCTCAGACCCAACCATCCTCGCCGCCCTCAAAAAAGCGTCCACCCTCGCGCCCGTCGCCGACGAAGCGGCCGCCGCCAAGGAAGCGAAAAGAAAACGAATGTTACAGCAGGATGACCGCGATGCGCAGGATATGGATCTGGGGTTTGGGAGTTCGCGGTTTGGAGACCAGGAGGAGGGGGAGGAGGGAGATGGGAAGAGAGTTAAGTTGAGTGAGTGGGGGAAGGATGATGGGGATGAGGAGGGGGGAGGGGGGAAGAATGGAAAGGGGGCGAGGAAAAGGGGAGGGAAGAAGAGGAAGGGGGATAAGGATAGTGTTAAAGATGTTTTGGGAGTTTTGGAGAGGAGGAAGGGTGAGAAGTAGAGTGGGTGGGGGGAATATAATAACTTATAAATCTTGGATAATTATCGTTATTGATGTCTTTATCAGCCGACAGTATGATTGAAATTTTCTACACAGGCTTTTCGCTTGGTCTAAAGTTAAAGGGCAGAGGCACCGGCGAATGGCAGGTCAGTATCTCACCGCTCCTCTAGAAACCGGAGACTTGATTAATCTGACCTCAACGAGAAGGTTAATTACCTGACCCTATTACTGATCCTGGCGAGGTTATCCGCTCAAGCTTCGAGGAGTGATAATATTAAGAAGAGAATTCATTACTGCGACATCTAAATCCAAAACCTCAAAACAACACAAATTACATCCTCCTAACCTCATCCCATCACCAACAACCTCAACTTAGTCCTACCCAGTATTCCCCAACCCACCACCACCACTCCCACTCCCCAACCCCCCAAGTCCCCTCCCCCCATTCCCACCCCCTCCATTCCCCAGCGCCCTTCCCAACTGCGCCAGAAGCCCCTGCGTCCCTCCACCTAACCCACCTCCCCCCAATCCACTCCCGCCGCCAAGCCGTCCATTCCCACTCCCACTCCCCTCAACATCCACACCCAAATACTGCAACAACGTGATCAACTTCGCGTCTCTCACACGATCCGAGTTAAGCGAGCGCGGGGCAAGGAGCGAGGTACCTAGGCCATTGGCATTCGAGTTAGAGAGGGAGGGGTTGAGTGGGAGGTTGTAGGCTGCGAGGATACGGTCGAGTGTTTGATCTAGAATCATGTCAGTGTATGAGGGGGGGATGAGGAAGAGGTGGGAAGGAGAGGGAGGACGTACTATCAGCAGCTAGAAACGATTCAATGCGATGCGGCGTGTCGAACTCACGTGGGTAGCGACCATCGATGGTGCTTAACTTAGGATGGACCTCGGCATATTGCATGCGTGGTGTAACTGCGTTATTTGCTATTTGGGCGATCAAGTTGATGCTGTATACGTGTTAGTTGATGTTTGCTTGCGTGGTTTTCTGGCAACAGCAATGAAAATGGGGGGAATGAACCGTCGGATGTCATCTAGCCTCACTGCGTCGTCCATGTAGCGATCCCCTAGTGGACTATTATGCCCGTTCAATCTCCTCATGTCGGATTGCCCGTAGGGGTCGCCGCTGATCAGGACGGCGGCTACGAGATCTACGATGGTGGTGTCTGCGTTGGAGTGGTATCCGGGGTTTCCTAGCGGCATGATGGGAGGCCGCAAGTTGAGTTTGGGATGGTGGAAGGGACAATGTTTTTTGTGGCACGGATTTAGTAGACAGGGCGAGATATCAGGATGATGGTAGCGGCAGTGTCTTTTGAGGCAAGGATTGAGTGGACAGGGTGTGATGTGGATGAGTTCCTTTTTGCGTGGACACGGTGGTGAGATGTAGGGTACGAGTTGTAATTCTGGTTCTGGAATTGGTTCGACGGGGACAATAACAGGTGGAGGTGGGGGTGGATGTTGAATTATGACTGGCGGCGATGGATCTCGGAGTGGTATTCTTGGTCTGCGCGGACGTAGAGGATAGAGCACTGGTTCAGGCAGAGGAAGTGGCTCCGGAGATGGTATATATGGTATATGTGAAAGTGAAGGTATTCGTCGAAGTACTGGAGGTAGCGGTTCAAGTACTGGAGGTGGTAATGAGAGAGGAGGGAGTCGAGGGGACTCAAATAGGATGGGAGGGTCACTGATTATAGAACTATTATATAGGCGACGTCGGGAACGCCTTGCATGTCTTGGAGGAGGCGAGTGCGGTAACGGGCAGCAACCCAAAGTACTCCAGCTATTAAACATTCTAAATGTGTTGGATATGACATGGTGGCTGCTCCCTTATAGATTGCTTTTGGTGCCACAAATGCCAGACCTTTGTGTCAAGCAAACTCGCTTACGAGAGAACCGAATATTGCCATAAGAACTACAGATTCTGAACAACACATCAGGACTGACGCACCAACATCTGAGGGCCGAGGACGGGTAACATTGAATTTGCGTATCACAATCACGGCTTGCGGCAGAACAACCGTTGGCTTCCCCGTAGACATATTCGACGTAGCAGTAGTGAGGCTGACTGGAGCGGAGATGGTATCATGATCTAGAACCCACAATGTTACAATCCAACAAGTTTAAAATACGGTGTGCGGTACGATGTGGCAGAGCATGGAGAGCATACACATACGAAGTAACGTATCAGATAAAGCCTAGGCATTAAGTCCAGACACAAAAGCCGCGCAAACATGATGTCTTCATGATACCCACCTGGGACATGTCGTGAAAGGCACCGCCGACCTTGGTGGTGATGCTACTCGACCAAGGCAACAAAGCTGTGAGAACAGTTCCCAAGTCCGACAGCCTACATGGACGGCCATCGTCATATATCTGTTAGGCATAGTCTATTGTCCGAAGTTAGACAGGTTCCAGGAAAAAATGGAGTGGTGACAATATTAGGAAGCGGCCACATGCGGATGACTTACAGCTAACGGAGAATAAGTATGCATGTAAGCATTACTTGGGGTGGGATCTGTACAGAAGACTTGTACAGATTTCCACATCGTAACTCGGGATAAATCGGTGTAGACTACGATGATCTTCGACACTGACACATGAAAAAGTTGTGTGTTGTACGCTACCAGGGCACAGCGACCCGATTCAGCCTTGAATCTTCGAAGAGAACACGTCTGGCGATCTCATGACTGATCAGCTCATTATGAAGCTGGCATCAGGGCCGCTAGACTTATGGCAGTTCAGTGACTACAGCAACTATCACTGTTATCTGCATCGCTCTCTTTTGCAGCATTCTTTTTCGTCTTGGGCACACTCTTAAAGATGCTGTCGAGCGTTTTCTGCTTTTTCTTATCCACTAGACCTTGCTTCTTATCTGCTTGCTCTTGATACTTCTTCCGCTCCTCGCTACCGGCATCTTGAAGTTTTTGCTCATCTGACTTGAAAGACTCACTCTCTGGATCGCGGCCAATGAGACCTTCAAGAAGTTTGATTTCTCTAGCCCAAACTCCTTTGTCCTCTTCCCCTTTGCGCTCGGGTCCTTCATCGATCGGAGTTTCAAGTACCATGGGCAATCCTTGGAAAGGGGCGAAATTGACAACATTATGAAAAGCCCGTAAGCCAAGAAACCCAGTGCCAATATTTGCATGCAAGTCCCTGTGAGACGCAAAGGGAGCCTTGCTGTCATTCAGATGTAGTGCCTTGAGATACGGCAGTCCGACAACATTTGCAAACTCGTTCATCGTTTTCTCGAAAGCCTCGGGTGACCGAAGATCGTATCCCGCCGCATGAGTGTGGCAAGTATCAATGCATACACCGACTCGTTCCTTGTCCTCGACCAAAGCAATGATGTCGCGGAGATCTTCCCAAGTTGAGCCAATAACGTTTCCACTCCCAGCCATGTTTTCTAGAACTGTGATGACGGTTTTGGTTGCCTTGTGAGCTTTGTTTAATTGTGCCGCAATTCGCCCAATAGCCTCTGGCCGAGGGTTGCTTCCTGTATTTCCCGGATGGAAATTGTACAACTTGATGCCCAATTGCTCACACCGCTGTAAATCGTCCAAGAAACAATCGTACGCTTTAGTTGCTGCCGCAGCTTCCTTCTGGGCGAGGTTGACAAGGTACGACCCGTGTGGGAGGACATGTTTTGCGGCATCAAACTTGTGCTCTTCGCAAAAAGCTTTGAACTGATCCCGCGATTCTGAACTCAGAGGTGGGCTTTCCCATTTCCGCTGCGACTTGAGAAACAAGGCAAAGGCATTGCCACCTATATGCAGAGCATTTGTAACGGAATTTTGCACGCCTAGATCAATTTTAGTGTAAGCCAAATGTGCCATTTGCGTAGGCTAATGGATTGCTTGAACGTACCTTTTGCGCCGCTCACATGAGCTCCAATGTGCATGCTCTTTTTCAGTGTCACAATCGCGGTCCTTTCTGCCAATGGCACATTTTCCGCTTCCTTCTCTTCTTTCGTTTTACGTTTCTTCTTGGTCGCGGTTTCTTTCTCCTGACCAGCGTCCTCCTCTTGGGTCTTTGCTTTGCGCTTCGTCACGACTTTCTTTGGCTTAGGTTTAGATTCCTGCTTCAATCCGATGTCGACTTCCTCCTCGACACTCTTGATCTCGCCATTTGCCATTGTAGAGACAATTGCTTCGGCATGGATTTCCGCCTTGACCTTTGTGCCATTGGGAGACTTGACTGGCTTCGTGTTTGCTACCAATACATCGTCCTCTGCCTTGATCACTTTTCGTCCTTTCCTTGGGGTTGTGCTCGGAGAGGTGATCATATTTGCTGTGTGTGCCTCCAGAGCCTTAACGTCTGACTTGCGACTTGATCTGCGTGACATGGTGGCTATTCTATTGACAAGTGTAGTCCGGAACATATTACTGAGGTAGCTCGGCCGCGGTGGTGTCGTTCACGACCCCTGAGAACGCGTCAATGAACTGGACCCATAAAAACTCCACAGCACGTGACCTGGAAGCGAACTTCTCTTGATGCTTAAAACATCTTTCTCCCACTCTTCTACAATATGCATTTGCCATTACCTTGACCCTGAAGGGCCGACGCGCTCTATTCTATGCTTCTGTGGGTTGTTGAAACACACGGCTTGGACTTTGACCATTTCACAAGTTCCTGAACAATCATTGCACCGTCCTGAAACAGCAACTTATTGGAAGATACGTGATTCAACAGCTACCATAGCTTGGCAGCTTCTTATCGGATCATCGCTTGGAAAAGGTATTTGAATTGATGGTTCAACGAGACTTTGTCGAAAACCCACGAATGGACGCCGGAATGTCAATCATTGGAGATGTCACAAGCAAATGAAAGTCTGACTTCCATACGTTTCTGAAGCTAAAGTATGCATCGTAAGTAGCTTACCTTGCCAGAGGTAACGGGTAAATTCTTCTCTGCGTTATTATCCCACGCAATCATGTCCGTCTGATACGAAGAAACACACCATTAGCAAGGATCCTGCATAAGCACTAGAAACAGGTGGGGAACACTAAAAAGCTTCCCCTCCTTTACAGTTCTTCGAATTTCTTTGATAAGTTGATAACTCCTCCATTTCTCTCTTCTCTCTTTCTTCAACTTCGCCTCAACATATTTTTCAGATCGTATTACCAAAACAGTTTGTCATACCCCTAACACACCTCAAACACTACTGACTTGTATCTGGCTCAACAGAAACCTTCAACGTACATATCTCTCTTCGCAGAGAAGCCATGATGTCCCATCAATGGAATTGTCCCTAATGGATCAAGGTATTTAATCGAGTGTGAACATCTTGCATGAACCGGTGTTCGTTCCCAGTGCTATCACAACTTTCAATCCACCATCGTTGCAGATGAGATGGAAAGTCTGATAGCTGGTACTGGGTTCGTTCTGAGATGATACGGTTAAACACTTGATCAGGATAATACCTGCGAAAGAATCATGCCTTCCCTTCTCAACTGAAGGACAAAACTAATCCAATCTAGGTTTATCAATCTTGATCCCTAACATCCACCATGTCTCCACCAGTCGCCATGTTCGAAGAGCGTCGCAGCTCTGAAGTTGACAGTGCTCCATTGAAGTCGAGCTTTGATGTCAAATCCTTCCCAGTCCGTTCCAGCAAGTCCAAGACTCTTGATGAGCTGGCCGATCAATGGGAGAATGGCTTTACTTTTGCTCCTATCCGCGAGTCTCAAGTCTCTCGTGCTATGACCCGTCGTTACTTCAACGATCTGGACAACTATGCCGAGTCAGACATTGTCATTGTCGGAGCTGGATCTTGTGGTCTCAGCACTGCTTACATGCTCGGCAAGGCTCGGCCTGACCTGAAGATTGCCATCATTGAGGCATCTGTCTCACCAGGTGGTGGTGCTTGGCTCGGTGGCCAGCTTTTCAGTGCTATGGTCATGCGGAAACCTGCCGATGCATTTCTCACTGATCTGGGTGTTCCATTCGATGATGAAGGAGACTTTGTAGTAGTGAAGCATGCAGTATGTTTTAGTCTATCGACTGACAATATTTATCAAAACATCAAACTGATCACTCCCACAGGCACTCTTCACCTCCACCCTTCTGTCCAAAGTTCTCTCGTTCCCGAACATCAAGCTCTTTAACGCCACAGCCGTCGAGGATCTTATCACTCGCCAAAACTCAGACGGGACTCTACGTATTGCTGGTGTTGTTACCAACTGGACACTGGTGACCATGCACCACGATGACCAATCCTGCATGGACCCAAATACCATCAACGCACCTATCGTTGTCTCGACCACTGGTCACGATGGTCCCTTCGGTGCCTTCTGCGTCAAGCGTCTTGTATCTATGCAACAGATTGAGAAGCTGGGTGGCATGAGAGGTCTTGACATGAACACCGCCGAGGACGCTATCGTTAAGCGAACTCGTGAAGTGGTCCCTGGACTTGTTGTTGGTGGTATGGAGTTGAGTGAGGTCGACGGTGCCAACCGAATGGGTGAGTTATTAATTGATTCATATCATACACGTCCATTCAGCTAACATACTTTCAGGTCCTACATTTGGCGCCATGGCACTTTCTGGAGTCAAGGCTGCCGAGGAAGTCTTGAAGGTATTCGATGAGAGAAAGAAACAGAACGCCTACTAGATTATACTGATCTTGCACATCTAAGTACACGTGGTTCATGGATAAGCCTGTATACACTCATTTGATATTACCAATATAAATACATCCTGCTGTCACTCACTTGTCTTGTTGACGTGAAAAATACAGTTCAATACACAAGCTTACATCTTTATCAACATTGCCCAGGCATGTCATTTATGGCTACTACATCCCAGATCTCTAATTTTTTTACTATTTCAACCTTGATTTTACCCAGTCTCAGACACAAAAGCATCCCAACAAAACAAAGGAATTAGATCGATGTTTTAACTCTAGTACCGTGATCAATCTTTGTAAATCACGTGAGGTTTACCCCCTGAGTGGGCCAACATTAGCCGAGTGTTACTTTCCTCGCATCTCGTAAACCTTAAACTGCTAGATTCACCAACATCACTTCCAACAATTCGCCTCGTGCTATACGATTAATCAATCTCCATTCGGCGTATTCTCTTTCGTAGTATGGCGAGTCGCACTCAACTGCGCGCGCGCGGGGGCGCTATGTAAAACGCCAGGATACCACGCTGCGGCTCAATGTACCTCGAGGGTACCAATAGGAAGCTCGGATATCTCAAGAACGGTTGGAGCCTATTCTCAATTTAAAAACTACTGCCATTGGCTTTTAGTACTGTTCTCGAATCTGAACAGAGCTTTGTTCCATCTCAACATTCATCTGCTTTTGCGTTCCTTCACATACGCTCGTGACCTTTAACCATAAATCGATATCTTCAAACACTTTAGTCTTCACCTTACACAATGATCGGTATGCCTAAGCTTTACTGCTTCACTTCTTTTCTAGCGACACTATGCGTTCTCTTCGCCCTGCCAGCCATCATCAACGCTGAGGATTGCGTCTACGCATTCAATTCATTAACAGGAAAAACGCAAAGGATACAACCGCCATTTCCAGGCGTTGGTGCTGCACTGAGTAACGGCATGTACACGTACGAAGCTGCGACTGGCGTCTTCAAACCTCTCTCTTCTCAAGATATCCTGACTTCACAGTCGCCAAATCACAAACGTAGCAATATCGACGTTGGCATAGATTTCAGCCCAACCGTATCTGTCTGTGGAGAAACCTCCCACGATAGAACGCTGGTGTATGCGAAGCTTGGAGGGGTTTTATTGTACCTGTGTAACTTCGAGCGGCGGGAGGTTAGCTGGGCGGATGTTAAAGAGCAAGTTGGGAGGCTCAATGCTCAGTGTGTTCATGGACAGTCAGGTTTCACTGGTAAGTCGTCAAAAATTAAGAGGTGCCCATGGCTAATTGTTTAGGTTGAGAAACTGGCTAAGCCAGGCGGTGGCGAAGTTAGGGATTTGCGTTTTAGTAGAAACAAAAGTTCGCAGGAGATATCAAAAAGCGGCCTGGATTATTTGTATATAATCATAGAGTTAAGGGTTGACGTCTGTAGAAGTATAAACAAGCTTGGAGTTTGGTAGCTCGCATATTCCCACCGCTTTGCTTTGCAAAGCGGTGGGAATGGACTTTGGCGTAGGCACTGGTAGCTCAGGAAATATTGACGCCTCTGGAAATCGGTCGTCCAATGTCACATAATCTAATTTCGGGCGTCTGGTTTATTGGCCCAACAAAGCTTGTATTTTCAAACACCAACATCTACACCTTACGTATGACATCATATGGTGCCCTCGCGTCAACACCACATTTTTATCGAATATTGCTTTTTTTGCTTAATTCTTTTTAGTATTGCCACCTATACTATTATTAAATGAACGCTAATGTAGTTAAACAGTGTACTACGAGCTTAGGTTCTACCTACTTGTATTATAATTAGAAGTATAGTCATTAAGGTAAATTCTTACAAAAGCCTTTATTGCGATCTATAAACAGAGAGTTAATTCTAGAACAATGTGATAGGTCTCTAAAACTGAAACGTACATAAGTACTTACTATAGAAACACCTATTTATTATAATTACGAGCGATTTCAGCTGAGATAGTGATTTGGCGGGAAGGTACCATATGATAGGCCTTACTTACGGCCTCCTACAGCAGGCTACGCGATGATTGGATGTCGTGGATTTCACAACATGGCTGAGCATTCAGAGTACTTTCTTTCACTTCATTCCATATTATACTGCTACCAGGCTGCGACCCGACATTCAATTTTGAATCGGATATCGTTCTTTGACGAGACGTTATGGCAGCCTTTCCCTAGAAATCGATCCAAACATTAAGCGGAACCATCACAGCATGGCTTCCACTTCCCACGCCTTTCATCTCCCTCGCAGCATGTTCGTCGCAGATATATCAGGCAGGTAACGATCATGAGCTCATAGCCTTCGACCCTGCCTTCACGACAAGGGTCATCTTATCGGGAATCCAATGTCTACCTTTAGAGGTATCTGCATCGTGGGGTGGCAAAAACCCCGAAACAACAACCGTACTTGGTCCTTCATTCGTGTGTCCAACTGCATATAGCGGCGTACAGACAATTCTCGTCAACGAACTCACGACGCAGACTTTGTGTTGTCCATCGTACGCTCCCAATTACCGAGTCTATAAAACGTAACTGCTTACACGTTGACAGGAAATATCAACTAGCAACCGGACTAACAACTTTCGCAAGCTTCCCATCTCAGTGTTCATCAAGTTTAACGCCAGGCGAGACAATAGTCTACCAAACACTGGGCGCAGATGGGGGGTTTGCCGCAACGACGTCGACGATAGCAGCGTCTTCAGGTCCCTCTTTCGTCTGGGGATTCCACGTAAACGGCTTCAATGTTGCAAATTCCACATCAATAAGCACGACAAACCAGCAGACAGCCTTGTCTCAAACACCAGCTACAACTTCAACCTCGAATTCCCTCTCCACATCCACCGCTCCATCAGCAACCTCAATCAACAACGACCGGAAGACGATTGTCTTGTCAGCGGGCGCAATTGCAGGTCTGGTGGTTGGGATCCTCGTTTTACTTGCATCTGTGATATTAGGGATTTGGATTTTTCGACGGCGGAGGAGAATATCTCGGAATTTGAGGCCGCCCAAACATACGGTGCCTGTGATGGCTGATAAGCTGGTTCGTCATGACCTAAAGGCGGATGGAAATATTGATGTGCAAAGAAATACAGGGGAAGATTCTGGGCCTGGGGCTATTAGCGAGCTTCCCCAGCCGGAGAGTCAAATGAGAATACATGAAATGAGATAGGACGGTACAGGAGATAGGCGAGAGCTAGGAAAGATGAGTGTGAAAATTGTTCCCAAATGATGTTTGTAGATGTATGAGTGATTAATGAATAATCATTTGATGAACCAATGATGAATTGGGATGAAGAATTCATGTGAGAGTTTATTAGAGGATTGTAATATCTTGGCACTTGCTCATTGTAATATGATGAAGATACTTTTCAAAGAATAAGCCAATTAGTGTATTTATGTAGTAAAAAGCCTTAAAAATTGCTTGTAGAACGACAGTTACATATCGTGTAAGCAAAATTTGTTGCCCTTATGCGAGGGCTTGATCCTTTTTGAGCCCAGATTCCTATAGGATCCGATCCCTCTTTAAGAATGTTGTTCTTTCCGAGCGACCTTCTCCTATGTGTATTTAAGGGAATTATACTTTCCGTTTGGACCTCTTCCTCCCCGCTCTATTTTTGATTCTTGTTTTCATATTCTGCGTCCTTAGTCCTTACTATAGGTTCAACTTTTTGTACCTGGTCCACTGTACCCGCAGCTTTCACTTCTCCTAAGGCAGTACACTCGTTGTCTCACTCAAAGATTGCCCTGGCTTGTTCGCCAGCCCATTTCATAGCTCTTCCCAATTTTCAATCACCACAAAGTCCTCCATCAGCGATAGCAACTACTTAAACTACCATCTGTGACGCAATTTTCTAATCGTCTTGGCTGGTTGGAGTGCAGATTTTCCTGTAAGGGCTTCGAGTTCTTCATCAACGTTAGTCGAAGACAAAGTTGTCGTCCATTTCAATAGTTGATTACGCGGAACCACAAACCACGAATCTTCCTCATTGTGAAAGGCCCTGGAAAGGGAAAATTTAGAACAGTGCCACTACTTACTTTGAGACGTATGCTTCTTCGAGCATCCAGCTTCTTCACACGGTTTACGCTCTTGATGTTGTGGAATGTATCTGAAAGATGTGTAACCATGCCTGTTCTTCAACGGAGTTTTTCTTGCTTTGAGGATTGTGACCGTGGAATAACAGGAGGGAAGTCTACAGAAGAGAGCATCAAGAATTTGCCGTTGATAGGAAACGAATTTCCCATTGTTCCAGGATTCGACTTGTGGAGATATGAATGACGTTCTTCATCTTGCAGAGCTTGGCGTCGATAAGCGCGAACACGATCTGGTACACTTGATCTAGGGACGGCATCGAGGTAGTCGGACATTTCCTTCAAGTCGTCTGCGTTCACTTCATCATCTCCCTGCTCCCAGTAACGACTACCATCAACGGTGTCGTCGTACCACTGCTCCTCATCCATTGCTTCTAAATCAAAGTAATACAAAACATCCGCTCGATTTAGTATCGGCGATACAAGTCTGGATGTTTCCATTCTTCCGTGCTCCCTGGACACTTCGTTAATGTCGAGTTCATGTTGTTGTCGCCGGTTGCGAAGTTTCTCGAGATGTGGGTGGTGCTGAATCCAAATTTGAAACAGCAGAGTATCCGGGTCGCACATAAAGTCGAAAACTTTATCGACATCACCTCTGATGGTTCGGTAATGGTCCACCCAATAACGACTGGCGTATTCTAAAAATGCCCCCGAGGGATGCTTCTGGATTTTTGACACCCATTCCCCAGCTAAAACCTCTAGGTTAGAGTCGTTCAATTTGTTATATTCATCATGAAATACCATGTGTCCAATCAGTGCCAGATAGTCCACGCAGATCTGGAACAAATACCGGTTTGCAACTTCTGGCAGAATGGAGTTCTTGAACACGTGAGGAGGTTGAGATTCTGCCTCAGCTTTGGTGCCCTCAAAGTCCCCTGGTATGCCATGTTGTCGCATATACTGTAGCTCTTTGGCGGTTGGGCATGAGATGTTCCAATTGAAATCTCTCAAATAATAGCCCACCGAGAAATCTTCCTTCGAACTTGTACGTAAGAGAAAATCTCGGGCTGTTTGGTGAACTAGGTAGACCTTTCGGCCACGGATTCTCAGGAAATGTCCGCATATCAATCTCAGATGGTTTGAAAAAGGGTGGTGAAGCTGATCTGCAAGTTTGTCTAAATTGTCAACCCTGCCATAGGTTTGGCCATGACTTGCTTCATCCATAATCCTGAAGAGCGCTTCTCGACGGTCAGAGCGGTTGGTTCCAGCTTCGAAAGTGTATAGCCGTCGTTTGTAGTCTTGATGGATTTCAGATGCCACACTCAGCTCGTCTAGAGTCAACGGCCTGCCTGCCGCAATGACAATATAAAGTATTTTGCGTGCTTTCAAAGGATGGCGTCTGCTCGAGAGAAGCTGCTCGTATATATCATCGATGTCATTTGTCCGTAAAATTCCAGCAAGGTCCATTCTTGACATCCCATGCACCGAGCCCTGCTTCAAAAGTTGGATAACTAACGAAGTCCAAAGAAAAGTAAAATCTGATCCTTTAATTAATTTTTCCTGAAGATCAGCTAGTAGATCAGGCGAGAAGTGAGAGCGGGCAACAATATCCTCAACACTGGCTTGTACAAACAACTGGATATCTTTATTGAGGTTTCCAACAGTATCTTCTCCCCGGATCCTGATGTTTGGTATCATCCCGAATGCAAATTTAACAACGTTGTCTGGTCGGCTCGTGGCAATAAGTTTGAATCGAAAATTCTGTCCTTGGTTGTTCGCGAATAGGCGAGAGAGCTGTTCCACAAACAAACTCCGTGTCATTTCCTCGCATTCATCTAGTGCGTCGATGATACAGACCGTTTTGCTAATCCTTTCGTCACGAATACAGTCCTCGAAAACCTCCCACAGCGCAACAAAGGTCTTCTCTGTTGTCGAGCGTATGAAATGTCTTCGTTTGGAAATAGAGTTTTCCATTAGTTCAGGCTGGTATGTGAAAATCTGATGCAGTAAAGCCGATAAAGCATGTACGCTATCTTCTTGCTCTGGGTTTCCACTTCTGAAAATGAAAAAGCAAACATTCCATCCTGGTATATAGTTCTTATGGTATTGGATCATGTATTTGGCCAGAACCGATTTACCACAGCCTGCGTCAGCAGATATCCATAGGAGTCTTCCTGTCGACGATTCATTCCAGCAACGATATTTATCGGTGGAAAAAATCCACCTGCATGTGCCATGGACTGCTTTTACTATCTCAGTTAGATGCGAACCGTAATCCGAGGTCTCCAAGGTTGATAACAATACTCTTTCTTCTTCACTCAAAGCTATATCATTTAGTACATATTGCATAGAGACCTTCTTTCCTTCTACTTACTTCGACGATTCATGTGGGACTTCTGGACGCCCCTTGTGGCCATTTCTTTGAGCCGGAAGATAACTTTGCGATACTCAGGTTCTGAGCGCGACCTGAATGTGCATATCGTCCTGTGATTTGCATTCATGGGTACTTTGTCCTCATTCGCCCAATTTAGCAAGGCGGAATCCTTTTCAACGACCTGAATATAACATCAATTTGCAATTACGTAACCTGACCTTCTTGGACTTACAATGAATCCGTGCACAACCTGCATCTCGTAGCAGCTCACAATTTCTAGTTTCGCCCCTCGGTGTATCCAAGACTCAGCAACATTAACTAAAAAGTCAGAACGTAGCTTGAGATCCTTGGATATGACATTCGTGGACGTGTTGAAGCTCGCTGCTCTTACGATGTTCGCGGACATAGATTTCCATGCCGCCAAAGTAGCACCCCTATGTGGAGTGCCAAAGAACACGACACCATAGACGTGATCTAAAATGCTTGAGTACTCGGGCTCTTCATTAGCCCTGATGAGAATCTGACAAATGTCAGTACCTAACCCGATGACAGTGTCCAGGTTCGAATCAGTCTATTCACCTGTTTGAAAACTATACCCCCCAGACTATGGCATAGGAATATGGTTGGACGGGACTTTTCAGCCTCACTGGTGCGATGAGACTTGTAATCGACTAGGAAGTCCAACGCGAAGTCGCGTATGTCTGCATTGGATTTGCTGAAATATTCTTTGGAGTTGTAACCATATGATAATATCCTCGCTCCTGGAATATCATCGCCGAGGAGCTCCTCGAGCCAATTGATTTTACTTCCCGGTTCCGTCCATGTTCGTTTCCAATTGCCTCCCAGTCCATGTATAGCGACGATGTCTATAGCATCTTGTTTTGATTTAGGTTGACTTTTCACAATTTTTAATCCAAACTCTGCATCGTTATATTCTTCGTAATCGTTGTTCTCGCAGTCCAAACCTGTGTTGTTCGGTTGAGTAGATGTCGCAGTATCACTTTTTTGGTTCTGCCCCTCTCCAAAGGCAGACTGGGAGGCAAGTTGCTGTGCGATCAAACCAGGCTGAAGCTCTGACTTTAATAAAGGTCCGCCAGGTCGAGCTTGTTCTGAAGATGCCTTGAATTTGATGAATGGAAACTTTTCGGTACGTCTCCACATGCCGGCGATGGTTTTAGTAGTGATTAGTTAGCGGAGTGAGACTTACCGTAGACGGTCGGCTTATGAGTGGTGGAGTAATCTACAAATGTAAGTCTTATGTAGGTTAAAACAGCAATAGGGTGTTCAGCTAAGGCCGCTTTGCTCTATCATACTAGCTTTCGGCATAGATGATCTTTAAAGAAGTTGAAGTAGTACTTCTCGAGCTGAATTATCGTAGCCTCGTGTGTATGAAACCCGATTTCCTGATTTATCCCGTGATCCTATGACCCCACAATCACGTGATAACTTAATTGCTTTTCATATTATCCAGGTACTAAAGATATTGAGAAAACCGTTTGATAAGCTAATAGCTCGTGTTGTAGTACTCCAAGACTTGCAAATCTAGGTGGGCGAATTAAGAAAATCTCGGTATGTAGTCTAGTTATTATCGGTCTCGGATCTCATTTTATTAGAATCTAACCATGGTCGTCCAGATACGCTTACTAATTTGGTTAAAAAGAGACTTGAGCTCATTGAATTAGATGACTATCAAATGGGTCAGGACTTAATCACTCTTTCTTGTGAATGCTTTACTTTATCCAAAGACCTCTCTTACTCAGACCTCTTTGGATGACACCCCCTTTTCTTCAGCTAACCTCGTGCTTGACTCCTCCTCTTCTTTTTCTGTGCCCACATCCTCTGTTTTGGGTTCCTGTCTCAAAGGAAGATCGCTTTTGGGTTTCTCTTGATCAAGGATTTCTTCTTCCTATACGATAAAGTCACCCTCACTCTCACTCTCATCAGCAGCGACTTCAACCTTAAAAGCCCTACACGTCTTATCAAGGTCCCTAACTTTCTCCATATGCCCTATACACTTTCTCCTCAACTCCTTGAGCAAACTATCCTTTATTTCCTGCGTAAAAACAGCTTGGTTCGGCCCTCCTTGACTGAGTGGTGTTATGATACCCCTGTAGATCTCAAATAGATCCGTAAAATACCGTAACATTAGTCTACAAAGATCCAGTAAGGATTCACGGTAGTCGAGTCTCAGCGAGAGATCTGGGGACTTCAGATATAGGTTTTCCATTACGGCATAGCGCGCGATAAGAGTTGTGAGTTCGGTTGTCTGTACGAGAGCCTCCTCGAGGAACCCTTCCGGAGGCTCCACGACGATGAGATTTCCTAGGATATTTTCGTGAAGCTGTGTGTATCTGTTAGTATTCAATTTTGATAGAAGAGTCGGACTTACTTCAAGCACTCTCCATACGCAAGACCAGCCTACTAAAGCGAGGGAGAGACCCATCTGCGAATTCACCATTTGCAAGACTTTTAAGATATTATCACTTAGTTTCAAGGTTTCTATTGCTTGTCTGGGTTGAGACGAGTGATTCTTCACTTTTTCGGCCAAGCGTGTCGTGATTTCTGGATTTCTTAGGGTTCCAAAACCAAGGGATCCAAGATTTGTGGCGAGAACTATAGAACCCATCTCACGGCTCGTTTGCAGACCTCTATAGGCTATCCACCAGAAGGTCTGGGGTTCTGATAATTCAAGTGAATTGGGTTTATTCATAGAATAATGGTATTGGAAGCTTTGATCAGGCTGCGCCTTATGGAGTGGCCATCCATTCGGAAGGATGGGGGGTGGTCCCATGTTTGGGGTGCCATGAAGCAAATATGCCGACCTCGTAGAGCTTCGTGGTCTTGATACCGGTGGTCGACCATAAAAGTCCTTTCTGTCATATGCCATAGACGCTTCGGAGGAAGATAAATCGCCGTAATGGGCTAAGGAAGCTCGAACAGGCGCCCATGCGTGTGTGGTTGATGACAGGGAACGAGCCCCGGAAACTTTGCTAGCATCGGTGATCATGGTATCTTGGAATGCAGAGGGCGAAGCAAGAACAGCGTCGTTGTCACGAGAGAACACCGGATCGGGCTCTTTCTGGTCTTTCTTTTCAGCCTTTTTATCCTTTTTACCCTTCTTAGACTCTGTTAGAGGAAAAACACTTTCTCGTGGGTCCACCGGCTGGTATGTAACTGTCGAACCTTCACCGATGGTGGATTGAGACGACGGGACATCGTCTAGAGTCGAAGCCTCAGGGATTTCGGGTTCCTGACAAGAGCGTGAATACCCTTTACCTTTTTTCTTGTCTCTCTTTCTACTCTTCTTAGATAGGGGCAAAGGGAACTCATCTTCTACTGAGTCTACTGTTTGACCAGGGGCTAGAACTTCAGCGGCGGTAGATTGAGAAAGAGATACCTCGTCCTGAATCGAAGATTCCACGATTTCGGATTCCCCATGAGAAGGATCCCAACTAGCAAGTGATTTGTGTTTTTTCTTGTCTTTCTTTGATTTCTTAACAGGGACAGCGGCCCAAAAATCATCTTCTGGTACATCAGTGCCTTGGTCTAGCACTGCTGGGACTTCTGGAGTGGTAGATTGAGAAACAGACACATCGTCATAAGTGGGTGGGAAAGCTTGAGATGCGCGTTCTAAATCTCCGCCCAGCTTGTAAAGTACGTCGTCAAGGAACTGGTCAGTGCTTTGCAACGCATCGGCTGAGCCATATAATTCTGTACCGGCTGGGCGAGGCGTCAGTTGTTCAGGATCGGGTACGATTGCCGTTTGTTGGGAGGTTTCTAATTCAATCAGGCGAGCACTCTTTTTCAACAGTTCCGCCTCTCGCAACAAATCTTCCAAAGTTTCGTCCTTTCCAGCAACGTCGCCTTGATCATGATCATATACGTCGCGCGGCGTCATTAGTCCCCCAAAGTAGAGTCCCGACGGTGGTAACATTGGCTTATCAGGCATATTACTAAAGAATCTTGTGGCGGTTGTTGTCATTGCTGAAATTTTAATCATCCGGGACAGTTCTTGCATGACATTAATGACTTCTTTGCCATGGCAGTCAGACAAAGGTAACAATTCGGTAAACATCGACGTTTTTAAGTGTACATAACTAGGTATCATCCATTGTATGGCCATAGCAATGTCCGTCATTACCGACTGGGCGATGCCGTCGACAGATGACAGGTCTAGTAGAGTTAGCGTCGGTGCATAACGTTAAAGGTCGACCCATTTGTCTCCGAAGCGCGGGTATGGGAGTTTGTAGTGCATCTAAGTCGGAGACTTACAAGTTTTTGAAGTGTTGAATATTTCAACATACATGCGTCCACAACCTTTGTGGTTGACTTCATGAATCTGAGCAATATTCTTTTCTTGAAATGTTAAAGACTCTTTTAGAGATTCGGCTGCCTGCCACGTAGAGTTTTCACTTGTAAGACGTTGCTTGATCAAAAAAGAAAGGTTATCGATAGCAGTACGAAAGGCATGCAAAACATTTCTTATTGCTTCAACGTCTTGAGATGAAGAATTGTTCACGGGTTCCTGTGTCGACAAGGCGCTCTGGAAGCTCTCGACGGACGAAGACGTTTTCAGACTTCGCGTCTCGACCATCACTCGAGCGGACCGACTTGGTTCAAAAACAGCTGCTGTCGCGGTGAGTCCTCTGGCAGATGGTTCGCGCTGCAGCGCCGCTGAAGACTTTTTGCTCGGTATTAAATCCGGACGTCTCATCATACGACGAGCTGTGCTGGGAGCCTTTGAGACCGTAGATGTGACTTCCTGAGTCTTAAATTGAGCTGTCATGCCGGGTCCAAATCCACTGCTAGGCAAAGCCATCAAATTGTGAAATATACCATGGTTCTCTTCTGTGCCAGGTTCAAGGTGTTTCTCGAAATCGCTTGTACTCCGACTTGAACTCGACAAACTTGGAGTAGATAACTGTCTAACCCATGACTTAGCATGAGATAGGGATTTGAGCAAAGGAAGGGTGAGCGCTCTTGACAGTGAACAAGGATGAGTGGCGGCAGGGCTTGAAACGAGACCGCCAAAAAGGCGCATGGAGTTCAGAAGTAAAGTTCAAGAAAGCTGTATAAACTCACAGAAGCGAGATCCCTAGCTCTATTTGCAAACTCATAAGAATAGTTGCTAAGGTCGATTTCATACTTTGCAACCTTTTCATCAACTTCCCGATCTGCGCGTCTTTATATACAAACTTGACTTTCATTTTCCACTATTGAATCAGCAAGTTAGAATTTGGTGGCTGAAGAGGGATTGAACAGAAGTGAGTAGAAACAGCTAAAAATTGAATACCCACAGTACTCTTCTCTTTACTACCTAGTTTGATGAGCATCTTGTCAATTTGTTCGTATAGCTTAGAGCACTTCTGGATAATCTTAGTCGTCAAGTGGCGGATCTCATCAGAAAACCATGAACGACTATCATTTAGTAGCTTCGAAAGATGTTTGAGCGAGCTCGAAAAGTCCTCCAGGTCGTCAGCCAATTCTTTGACATCGTCGGCAGCAGAAGAAAGCTCAGAACTCAAGGAATAGAGCGTCTTTGAAAGTTTGAAAGCAGTATCAGCAAGTGTCAGGACACTTGCTGCCACGCCGACGATGCTTAATGGGTCCATAGTGAACGTTCAGAATCATCGGCTGGGGAGAGGATGGTTCACTTCACAGCCACGACCTATTAATGGCAAAATATAGATCTTCGTAATCACTTGCTGTTGATGAAAGACCTCTCGGGGGACAGCTAGAAGGTATGAGAAGGAAGCCTTGCGACGGGATGCAACAACCCGTATTCTGGGTTCAGGCTCGAGATTCGCCCATTTGCCGAGGGCGTGACTGCATGAAGTGTTGGTGAGTGCATTTTCAGTTGATTTATGATTTTCTCGTGTTTTGAAAGGTTTCAAGAAACATGTTGTTTTCATATATTCGAAAGGAGTAATTGGGATCAATACTCAGCATCAAGTCGTGTGAAATCACAAGCATCAAGGTGGGCGGAGACACAAGGGAGGTCGACGAGAAAGGCGGTGAAAAAGCGATGGCAGAAATTAATTCTGCCCTCAAAAAATATAATACATGGATGAAAGCTAACATTAAGAAAACAACATTGAAACCCCCGAAACGATCATTATGGGGAGCAAACGCAAGCGGAAAGCGCAAGAGGCGGTTGCCGCAACTCCGGCAGCCAAAAGACAACAAAAGAACAAATCTAACGGCACAGCGCAAACTCCCAAACCGACCATACCCCTCGATGTCGGCCCGTTCCTTCTCGAGCCTAGAGGAACTGATTTACAAAAAGAAGTCGAGCTTTACAACATTCTCAAGAGTGAGGATGTCTCGGACAGATTAGCGGCTGCGAATGCGATCATATCTGGGCTTTTGGGTGGTGAGGGAGTCGAAGAATCGACGTTACAAAGACATCTTGAAAGAAGGCTATTCCGAGGTCTTGCGAGTGGAGTCAAGGCAGCGCGATTGGGATACAGCATTGTGTTAGCTGAGCTCTTGAGTCAATTGTTCGGAAAGAAGAACTTGTCAGAAGAGAAATACCCTGGACTTACATTCGATACGGTCCTCGAATTTCTGATCGCGAAAACGAAACCAGAGGGCGATTTGAATGGCCAGGAGTTTAAAGATCACTTTTTGGGACTGCTATTTGGTCTGCAAAGTTTCGTTAGGGCGAAAATACTCTTCGAAAACGATGCGCGCTGGTTCGCGATTCTGGATAAGCTGTTTGAGCTGCAAGAAAAGAAATCATGGATTCGAGAGGAGTGCGGATGGGTGATCGTTGAAGCATTCGAGCAAATGAACCAAGATCAGGCACAGCGGACACTCAAAAAGCTAAACGAAATCGGACTGGCTGCTTCTCCAGAGGGAGTAGGAATTTGGCTTGCTGCTCGCAATCGCTTCCCCGATATGAAATTTCCGTCGAAGCCATGGGGTCATAGTGGGAATCCCCTTGAACATCTCAAGACACTAGCAAAAGCGCTGAAAGAGAGTGAGGGAAAAGACAAGGGGGATCAAGAGGCAAAACAAGCGAAGCAAACTGGAAATTGGAACCCTAAACTTCATTTCGTCTGGAGTCTCGTGTTAGAACAGTTTGCTGAGAGGTCACGAAGTAGCGAGGATAGCGGAGTAGCAGACTTTGAGAATTTCTGGAAAGTCGCTGTTGATGGTGAGTGTTTCTATAAAGCTAATGGCCACCTTTCTAATGCATTTCAGAAAACCTGTTCTCCAAAGATGCATCTAGGGAACGCAAATTCTGGGGACTTCTTCTCTTCCAAAAGATGTTCCAAGACCCGCAAAAATACGAAAAACTTCTCCCTGCAATCTTTAGTCGTAATCTTGTTCGATGTCTAATAAATCACGTTTCGGAGGAGGACAGGTTCTTGAATAAATCCGCTGAGAAGTCGCTCAATGTGCTCATACAGGCCGTCGAGTCCAATCCGACTTTGCTTGCCACTGTGCTTCCACGATTGATATCCGAGAACGGCACTTACAACTTTGATAGACTGACGAAAACCAAGACGATTGAGAAACTGTTAGGTTTTGTTGATGAGAACAATGCCAAGTCAATTGTCAAGATCCTTGTCAAGCCGACCTTGTCTGTCAAAATCGATGGGTAAGTCACCGCCCCTACTGCTTGAGGTGTACCTTGGCCCTGCCACTTACTAGACCACAAATCTCTCTTGTGTCGTGACATCATAGCTAATAGATTATCAGAAGCCGTACAAGCACAGAAGCACAGAAAGAGGCAGAGACTCGGCGCCAGCTTCTCGCAGATTATCTTCTCGTGATAGTTCGCAAGATTGATGCCCGTGATGAATCTTTGGATCTGACTTGGGTCAACAATACGGTTGTATCTTTCGTAGCGAACGTGGCCTACTCAGAAGACGAACGGTTTGAGCCAAAATTGTCGGAAAAAACAAGAACGTTGTTTCGAAGTCGGTTGCTATCCATATTCACGCACTTTTTAACCGATCTAAATGGAGGCTTAATTCCTTGTACGCTGGCGACTTCCCTGAAGCCCGACGCTGTTGACATGGAAGAGGAAGTCTCTAAAGCAAAAGACAGCGCTATTTCAGTTATTAACAAATTGCTGAAGAAGAGTCACAAGCTTAGTGCTGAGAAGGCCGCGCCATACAAAGCTCTAGCTCTTTTATACTCTTTGGTTATATTTCAATTGTACGATGGGGAGTCAGATGCCATTTCTACTCTAGAAGAGCTGAAATTATGCTACGACAAGCTTATTCGGCATAAAGATACAGAAGAGGAAGACGTCGATGCGTCCGGCGTTCTTGTCGAGCTTCTCTTGTCATTCATCTCAAAGCCTTCTGCGCTTCTGAGAAAGGTATCTCAACATGTGTTCAGCGCTTTTATGACCGATATGACAGCGGAAGGCTTAAAACTCATTACCGATGTTCTAGAATCTAGTGAGAATCTGCGAGGTCAACAGGAAATGTTTGATCAGGAGGTTGATGGAGATATACCAGAGGAAGAAGACTCGGATGTGGAGATGGATTCGGATGTCGAAGTTGTAGACATGAATGGCGAAGAAGGCGAGCTTCATACCAACCTTGACGAAGCCCAAGACGAATCCGATGATGAGGATGAGGATGACGACGCGGAAAGCGAGAACGCAGATGATCAAGATGATGATGAAGCCAAAAAGCTCGACGATGCGCTCGCGAAGGCTCTTGGTACACACGCTCTCGATCCTGCAGCTGAAGAGTCAGATAGCGATGCAGACATGACAGATTCGGAGATGATGGAACTCGACTCAAAACTCGTTGAGATATTCTCCCAGCGAAGGAAGGCCCCAAACAAGAAACAAGAACAGAAGGATGCGAAAGAAACGATTGTCAATTTCAAGTCTCGAATCTTAGATTTACTAGACATCTACGTCAAAAAACAAGCCGCAAATCCTCTGGCATTCGGTCTACTCCTTCCTCTCCTCCAACTCATCCGCACGACGAAAACCAAAAACCTAGCCGACAAAGCTCGCGATATCATCACCGCCTTCTCCAAAGCCGCAAAGAAAACCACCCCTACCTCGGTAGACGTATCTGCTCAGATAAAGCTGCTAAAAGCGATCCATCTCGAAGCTTCGAAAGATCCTTCTCATGGATTCGCAAGAGCAGCAAGTACAAGTAGTTTGTTAGTCGCCAGTAACGTGTATAAAGCCGACAAAGAAAACTTCAAAAAGATCGGAAAGGTGTATTTGGAAAGCATGACTAGCTGGGATGGGGGTGAGGTGGATATGCAGGCTGTGATATTTACGGACTGGGTCAATTGGGTGCAAAGTCACCGGAGTATATAGCCAGGGATTTTTTACTGATTCAAAGAAACCTTGAATGTCTGAGATGTTGAGCATGAACAATCTCTATCTACCTAGTCAGTGAGATTGGCGGAATGATATGTATGGTGAATCTCGACCCGGTTGTATTCCACATAGTGACGTATGCAGCTTGGCGCGGGTAACGCATGCTCTCATTGGGTATCATCATCATCTACGTTCCTGGTCCAGCTGAACCTGTTCTCAAAGCTCCAAAGCAGGCTGCGCTGCGTAGCGTTGGTGGGGCAGAAAGCTACCCCGCTCTGGCATATCAAAAGCAAATACCTCTCCATCCCTTTGCTGTTTAATACATAACAAACATCCCTCCTCAAGATACCGTACAATCTAACTCAATCAAGAAACTTCTCAAGCAAAACTCATAAATCAACAATCATGGACTTCGTCAAGAAAGCAATGGGCGGCAACGAGCAACAACAAGGCGAGGGCCAAAACCAAGCAACCACGCAAGGCGGCTCCTCTTCCAACCAAGAAAGCGGTGGTTTCCTCTCCGGAATTGGTAACAAGGTGAACGAGGCTGCTGGTGGTGGGAAGGAGAGTGAGAAGAATGAGGATTACTTGGATAAAGGTACATAAGTCTCTCCCTTTTATAACAATGATGAATGGATGGATGTATGGATTGATAGATGAGTGGGAGAGGTTAATAGGCTAACATGATGGTGTATCAGGTGTCGATTTCGTGCAAGAGAAATTCATGGGTGCCGGACCCCAGGACAATGAGTCTGCGGTTGAACAGGCCAAGGATGAGCAGATTAGTGATTTCATTCGGGGACAGTATAAGAGTACGCCCCCCTCTCCTCCTTGTCGTATCTATCGACTAACGACGTGTAGATACCACTGGAAGTGACGTACCTATCAAGGATAAGGAGACGAGATTTTAGGTTCGTGGAACTATGAGGGGATTGCATTACAGGAACAGGGGATATGGCATGGTTGGGATGGCGTTGGAGGATAGTATTTTAGGCTGGAGTGCCGTTGGTATGATAGCTGATCGTGATCTTATGAATGAGAAGCCATGATTTATTAGCATATGCTTTGATACCTCACGTGCAACTTTACACTCGGTTCTCCCTGCCTAGGGCCATACGACACAATCCTTTTAGATGAGCATGAACTTGATTTTCCACCTCGCCGAGGCGAGTGGGTGTCCTTGAATCTTGCCGAGGACTTTTTGATTCATACTATCACATATAAATCAATGCCATTTCCCCGTTACACATATTCATCCTACCATAGAGTGTATTTTGTTCCATTTTCTTCATTTAGCGCTCACATACAGCGGCTTATCCCTCCTATCTATCTATGTAAGTGAAGCAACGCTCACCAGTCCTAAACACAACCGGTCACCCCACGTCACGCCGTATGTAACAGACAACCAGCTAACCACCCCAAGCGCCAGATTCAGACCCCCAAGCCTGACTCCACGGTTCGCCATGCAATGGTAGTTTATGTGGAATACTCCAATTTTCATCTCCCAGGCTATGATGTCGCTGCAACAAAATGTTTAAATAATTAATAGGCAAATGAGATGATGCTATGGCTATGCCAGATAGCGGTAAGTAGGTTGATCCGCTTCTTCCACACGCATTAAGTATTCTTTATCGATCAAACTCTCGATTTGCTTCTTCATCATAGCTACATCAGGTTTGAAGCGTGAGGAAAGCTGTGTAATGACTTCCATGATTAGAAGTGAATGTGCGAGTTCCTTGCGTGCCCTGTGAAACTGTTAGCTGTTAATCAACTGGAAATCGATTAGCGAACTTACTTCATAATACGAACAATGACCGAGTCGATGATAAGACCCCGATATAGGTCATTTTTCTCCTCGGTCTCTCGCCTCTCTTCTTCACTCTCCGCCTTGTTCGCCAGACCAGAAATTACCGGTTGCTTTATTTTGATGGCCTTGCTGCTGAAGCTGGTATTGAATGAGAACCTATCACCAGCTTTTGGGTGGGTTCTATCGTCTGGAGTTTTGCTTAGGACTTTAGCTTTTGGAACAACACTCAGAGTGTAAAGCTGTCGCGAAAGCTCTTGCGTCGGCATATTCGTGGCTTCTTGGATTTCCTCAAAGCTGAGTGAGCCGCCATCTTGTAGGTCGTTAAATTGGAGTAGAACGAGCATGGCATAGGTCGAACAATTAAGTTCGTGTCTCCGTACCTTGCTCAATGGGCCGACCTCTTTTCCTGAAACTTTTGGGAAGACAACCTTAACATCGGCGTTACCCAGATAGCCCAACCAGGTTAAAGCTCTACCATTGCGCTCTTTTAGATAGAAGGCCTTGAAGGACTCTTGCAGCGTAACGATCTCGGAGGGCCAGGTACACTTTTCGCGCCCTGCTTCTACCCTGGAGCCTCCTACCGCTTCTACGGGCCAATGGTTGGTAGTGAGAATTTGAACACCGAGATCGATATTCTTCCTGTCCATATCCCCAAGGTTGCGAATGTGCTCCCGATATTGCGTTGTCAGCTCGCCCGACATTTGCATATCTTTGAACATGCCTTCCAACTTCTGGGTAAAAGCATTTCCAATCTCCATCTTCATCCTAGTAATCATAGCTTTCTCAACATCAGCACTTTCTGATTTCGACATCAACAGTCGTCGAGCAAGATGTTTCTTGTAATATCTCTCGAACATATCTTTGTCTTGAAGATATCGAATCAATATAACTGCCTTATCTAGGACAATGTCAATTTCTGCTTCTGTCTTGCCTTTGATGCCGCGTTTCAAATTCTCGTCAATGAAGAGCGAAACATATTCAGACGATCGATCAAACATGTTGATAAAGTCTGCGAAGCTCTTGGTGAGTGCTGTCTGCAAAAGTAGGTCCTGCTTGAAGCAGTTCTCCCACATCACATCAAATTTGTCTTTCAGCTTGAGCACCTCCTCTACCCACTTGATAGCAGCAAGTGTTTGTGCATTGATAGTACTCTTTTTTGAAGGAGGCTTAGGCTTGCTGGCTCCGCCCTCGACTGCTTCGACGGTCTCGCCATTTTCTGGGGCGGCTTGAACAGTTGTAAAATCGGTTTCCGTGATGGATTTATTGATTTCCATACCCAAGCTTACAACTTGAGACTGGAGCGCTTTCTTCAGCGGCACCTTTGCCGGGTCAACCCTGGAAATTTGCTGATAAAGAGCTTCCAGATCTTCGAAACGATCATTGTTGATCATGGCTTTAATACCACTGCCTTCCATTTGAAGGAACTCGGAAAGATGTGCGCTAATCATTTCTTCTTCAACAACCTTTGCAATCTTTGGTGCCGTAAGCGGGGAGATGGTGGTTTGGCAACGTGCTGCCTCTTCCGCCAGTCGTTTTTTCGTCTGGCGCAGCCATGTGCTAGCATCTGAGTCTCGAAGTAAAGCGCTGCATTCTTTCTTGTAAAAGGTTCTGCTGTTCGCCAAGAATTCGGGCTCAAACATCGTTAGGTAGAGCTTGTCATTCTCTGCCTCTTCATCCGTCTCGTATAATCTTTCTAACATAGACATACATGATCGGATGTGATATTTGTTTATGACGTCTCCATCTCGTTCCATACCAATTTGGTCCAGGACAACAGAATTGAGAATATCAGCAGTGATCATGTTCTCACTTGTCGCAGCGAGGGGCGCGCGAAGAATATGGTCGCGGAAGAGTCCCATAGTGGTTGTAAATATCGAAGCCTTTCGGTTGTCGTGGCAGTAGATCCGGTCCATATACATCAACACATCCGTCGTCATATTCATGACTGTAACATGGTCTTGCCATGACAGCTTCAGTCCTTTCAAAAATTCTTCCCCTGTCAACCTTCTCTCGTTCGCCGTTGCGCTAGCGATTCCACCTTGTGTAATATTGATCAGGTTGTTTGTGATGAGCTTTCGGATAACTGGCATAACTTGGCTGGCAAACCATTGCTCTTCGAACTCCTTGACATGCTCGTAAAGTCTGTCTCCCTGCTTCTTCAGCACAATTTTGTATGAGGCGCGATATAGCTGTTCGAAGGAGAGTTTTGAGGCGTTCTTTTCATGAATTTCTCTTAGTGCCGACCGTAAGATCTCCCACATCGCCCCGAATTCGTCGCCATCGCCATGGGCACCAAGCACACCCTATCAAGCACTTCAGTTAGCATATGGGGATGAGAAACACGAAGACTGAGTGACAATAAGTGTGGGGGATTACCATGCTGTTGGAGATGGCATGAGCCAGGGCCCTGTCTGAAGCAAGGTCCGCCATCAGAATACAGACGTGTGAATCCAAAGTTGCTTAAAGGAATGATACAAGAGAAAGAGTATACAGAGCGGTAGAAATGCCAGAAGAATGGCAGATCGGGAAGTACATGAGGTAGGGAAGCACTTGAAGGTGAACATCAACAAACGAATAACTCACCCTACGAGGCGCCCTAATCTTTCCTCTTCCACGTCCCGAAATCATCCTGTCCGAGATCCTGATCACAGGGACCGAGTCGTGTCATGAAAAGTTCACTGTGAACTTCCCAGTGTGTAGATTCCTATTTTGTATTCGGCTTGGTGGGGGTGAGAGCAGGGTGGCTAAGAAGCTCAAGGTTGTATCGTGCATCCTGTGCGAGACATTTAATATTGGAAAAAGACAAAAGTAACAGACATGTATAACTGAATTCACGCAAAAAAAATTACAAAGTGTTATGAAGAGTGAGCGTTGGGAAAATCATCTGGTTATGAAGATGTGAATTGGGGCGAGGCTCTCGAGCACTTCACTAGTGAGGGCTAAACCTCGGCATGATAACGAAGCTTCGAGCCGTTCCGCATGATATTTTGTGATGTATTCTGCCAGTTTTCTTACACCGCCTAGGACCCGGATGTTCATTGCTACTCGAGTACTAGAGTATTGCAAAAGAAACAATATTTTCAAGACAGAGACATTCACAATGCCACCAAATACCATATCCTCCGCTCTGAGAGCTATCACACGCCGTCCCCTGAGACCACTTGCCCCGCGGCGCAGTGTCTTCTTACCCGTAACCTCTTTGCGCCACTACTCTGATGTTCCGCCATCAAGCGTTCCCCCAGGAGTCGAGACACCAAAAATCGAATCCCCAAAAGCTTCAACACACAAAAGGCCACTACATGGGCCGCAATACACGGAAAATAGCACCCACCAGTTCTTTCAACCCAAACCCGTCAAACCCGAGTACTGGATAACATTCACATGCACCCCATGTAGCCACCGATCATCGCACAAAATCAGCAAACAAGGCTATCACCGGGGCAGTGTTCTCATTACCTGCCCTGAATGCCGGAACAGACATGTCATCAGTGATCACCTACAGGTACATTCTACTTCTTGCGTTGTATATGGGAAAACGTCTAACAACAAAACAGATATTCGGGGATAAAAATATGACCATCGAAGATCTAATGAAGGAGCGCGGGCAGCTCGTGAAGAAAGGAACGCTGAGTGAAGACGGGGACTTGGAATTCTGGGAGGATGGAACGACGACCCCGACTACTTTCCGCACGGAAGCTAAACAGAAAGCGATTTTGGATGAGCATTTTGCGAAGATAGGTCGGACGAATGAGCAGAACACTACCAAAGACCAGGGCGTCGAGGATGTGGAGGAAGATCCTGGGATGGCTGGACGATAGTATAATGATGGACGAATGTGATGTGTGTATAATATAGAGTTGAGATTTGCTGCGCTTGAGTGTTACGCCGATCGTGTAGACTCGAGATGGAGCTAGCATTTCTTCACGGAGACAGGACGGTCATGTGATATTTTGATAATGTAAAACACCACTTAGGGAGTGTCCAAATTAGAAGCGAATGATACCAACTTTGAGTTTATTACTAGAGATCTTCTATAAAACTCTCGCCTCCCAGACTCTCGCCATATATACATGCAACAAACAAGCACTCATTTTTATCTCCAAAACGCCACGCAATGGTATCGTAACACTCTATCTACAATCATCATCCCCTCAGTTCTCGTTTCTCCTAGCCGCATGCTCAGCACCTCTTTCCTTCCGCCTCTCCTTCTTCCTCTCAGTCTTTTTCCTTTTATGCTCCCCGAAGCGAGCTGGTTCAGCAACAGCATCTCTCCTCCTCTTTCCGCGTCTCGCATCCCTCCTCTCTCTCACACCCTGCCTGACCTTCAACATAGCCTCAGTAAATTCTTTCGTTCCAACCTTCCTCTTAAGTGTTTCCAGCAATTCTTCGGCATTGTTCTTCAAGGTGTCGTAATCGGTCTTGAATAATTCATCTGTGGAGTATGGCGCCGGAATAGACGTATCTGTGAGATTATGCAGTGGAAGAAGGATTGTCTGTAAAGCTGGCAGAAGATGTGTAGCTTCAACCTTGGACACAAGGTGAACTAGTATTGCAAGTGAGGAGGTTTTTGGAATAAGAGCTGGCGCACGTGGAGGTGATGTCTCTCGGCGGAGGATAAACGACAGGCGCCCAAATAAATAATAAAGCGCAGTCTTCTGTTCCGGAATCTCGTCAGCTACATCATCAGCTTCATCCTCGGACTCAACAGTTTGAGCAAAGCGCCACTTGAGATTATTTGCTGCGGCTACCCGGCCCAGGAATACAAGGTTTTTGACAATTTCGTCCGCCAAGGTACTTGTCAGGCCTGGAGTCTTGAGCATATGAGCTGAGCGTCTAGTAAGGTCCAAAATGTCATCAGTCTTAAGCTTCAAACTACCTGAGCCTTTCAACGGAATAGCGAGTTCTGTTTCCACATTGTTTCGAGCAAAATCCGCAAAGTACATGCTAGCGAGTCGTGCTGCAGACAATTTTACCCATGCGTGTGGATACGACAGACAATAATGCACAGCGGACCAGAGTGAGTTGGTTTCCGGGCCTAGCATCGCCGCTGGAAACCTTTGCACAAGTACAATCGCGAGTTGAGAGGCAGCATATATTTGTTCCCAATCGGAACTCGAGTCTTCAGCCAGTTTAAGAGTTCCCGTTATGGCAGACGTTAGCATACCAATGTCGTTCCCCTCACTAGTCTGCGACTCGATATAGAAACCATATGCTTGGAAAGCCAGCCTTACTACTGATGCATTCTCGCTTTGCTGAATCCAAGATCGAAGGAGGGCTAAAAATGTGGTGGTTCTTTCTTTGTCGGCTCTCTTGAAGATTTCCTTGATGACTTCACCCGCTGCCATACGGCACTTCTCACTATCATCATTCGCAAGAACAAATACTAGCGGCACAAAACAGGTTCCGGATACCTCCTGCACAAAGTCTTCGGAAGATTTGGAAAGTAGGAGGTGAATGACCTCCAGAATAGATAATCGCCCACCCTCTCTCTCATACTTCAGGTTCGCTACAACAAACCCTAGCTGCTTCGTCCATCGGCTTTTCTTCTGTGGATAGTCGCGCAAAAATTGGAAGTATGCTCCTCTAGCAAGATCCCGAGTGTCCTTATCATCGTTTGTGACCATCACTGTTCCTACATAATCAAGAGTATCATAAACGACTGCCGTTTGTACTTTGGAATCCATGACCGCTCTGAGGAAGTTGAACGTAACGTGGCGACGCTCGGGCTCGGTCATGTCGTTCTTGAGTCTGACAAGGAGATCGTCAATGGCCGTATCCTTGATAGGTACATCTTGACGGTCTCGAAGAATTACTGAAACCATCTTAATGGAAGCTTGAGCCAGGTCTGAAGTGGTGCTTGAAGATGCCGAAATACATTTGGTAGCCTCTCCTGCAGCAATACGGTAAAGATTGGTCCCATCAGCTTCCACCTTGAGCGGAACGCGAACGACTGTCGTAAGTAGGCGGAAAGCGGCAACTTTGACTTCTTCTTCCGCTTGAACCACGGCATCGCCCAAAATAGGAATGAATCCGGCTAAGTTGCTTGATGTGCGGAGGTCGTCGTACTTTTTCAACACTGACCGAAGTACGTCAAAGGCGAAGCGGACCAACTTGAAAGTGTAAATAGTATTTGTTCCTCTTTCTCCACTTCGTTTTGCTCCTTTCTGAATGAGATATCGTCTTAGTCTGTAATTGGGTTTTGTTTTTTCTTGCGTATTGGCTACAGCGTAGACATCCTTGATAACCTCATAGCAAAACACCAGACTGTCCCGGCTTTGAGCTGCCGAATTTCTCAGCAAACCGCTACTTATCCTATTCAAAAGCTCGTCGATCTTGCGAACCATTTTCAGACTGAGCTTCTCCTTGAGCAACGACTGGATTGGCTTCACCAAATCTGTTAAACGACTCAGAGTCGCGGTTTTCGCGACCAACTCCATTGAATCATGACTTTTGCTGCTCTTAACTTCTTTCATTTTGCTCACATATTCCTCGGCGTCTTTTTCTTGGCCTGTGGCGCCAAATATGTCATCCATGATAATAGCAACTATAGAAGGGAGGCAGTAATCCAAATCTCCTGGAGCGTACGCTGGTGTCGTGGCCACGAGTATTGAATGCATTGTATACGACAGAACATGCAATTGATATCCTCTCGCCAAGGCGCCTCGGAGTTCTTTTAGGACAAACCCGAAACATGATGGTCCCAGAAGAACGCAAATCTTGGTCAATGTATCTCTTGTCAAATCCCGTGACTCTTGCGCTTTACTTCTTAGGATGTGACATATATCCGTAAGAACAGCAGGTAGACGCTCATTCAACTGCTCTGAAGGCAGGAGCTTCAAGAGTCGCACTATAATCATGGCAACAGGTACACGAAGACTGACGGTAGACTCGTCTTTGTCGTGCAGGTAAGACGTAAGAGAGGGCAAGATATTTGTGGAGAGGTCGTCGGCGAGCTTGACTTGTTTGGGCATTGTTCTAGAGAGCGTACTTCTATTTCCAGGAATCTGTCCTTCGAGGTCCGATTCTTCTGCTGCAGTCGCCAAGGCGTCGATGACTTTCCCGAGCAATCTGATGACTTGCTTCTCGAGGTCAGGTTTGGCTCGGACATAACCAATGAACCTTCTAAGCATTGCCCTGTATTGAGGCCATTCAAGGGATCTGGAGATGACACCAACCGTCGCGGTAGCTTCTGCGGCAAGATTGTGGGCATCGTTCCCCTCTGCACGGTCAAAGATGAAATGCTCAATTAGAGGGATAAAGAAATGACTCATGTTCTTTCCCCCAATTTCGCCTTTCTCCGCAGCAGTGGATAGCTGACCCAATGCACTCGACTGGCGTCCTTTTCCCGCAGTAAGGATGTTATTGAAGAAGGAAGATTCTAGTTCATCCTCGCCTGCAAGAAGGCCATGCATGTCGTTTACCTCGCTCCACGTAGGAAACGTTCGAACGAGATGTGCCATCACTTTCAGGTATTCTCGTCGAATAACCTCTGATGGTTCACGCGCGCCAAGGTAGATGGCAGGAATTAAGACGGTTGATAATAATCTCTTGAAGGAGCTCACTTCTAATTCTGCAGCCTTGCCAGCTGCGTTAATGAATTGACAAATTCCATCAGAGGAATTTGACGACAGAATCCCAAACTCTTCATCGTGGCGTATATAATACAGCATGTTGTAGAGCAGTGGTATCCACTGGTGCGCAGTAAGAAATGCACCCTTCTCACTGTTGATGACATTGAAGGCCTTTAGTCGTCGGTCGTAGTCGGGCTCATCTAGTCGTCCTACCAGGAAAGAATTGAGATCAATACATATGGTCGCAATCTCGCCCAGAACCGGGTCGTTTTCGGCATAAACCATTAATACTCGAGACAAAACTTCTCTACTAGCCTTGTCCTTGAAGAAACCGAAAAGTGAAGTGACTGTGTTGTAAACTTTGTCCTTTAGCTCATCATCATTTTGCAGGTCGTAGAGAGGAACAAAGTGCTCGAGAACTAGCAAGAGACGACCTTTGGTTGCGGGGCTGACTCGGCGAGAGGGCTGGTCGAGAAGGAAGACTGACACGCCAACCAGGTTATGGGCTTGAGATGAAGTGGCCACAAACGGTGCAAGCTCAGAAACGGTTTCGACACAGCTCTCGAGCAGGTCCTTGCTCAGATCTTGTTGCTCCCGCAAAATTCCTCCGACCTGTGTCAGAATATGATCTATGTTGGGGGCTAGAAGTTCCGATTTAATTCTGCCACCTAGTTCTTCATTTTCGTTCTCCCTAGCCAACCTGACAATATTTCTGAAGATAGCCAAGACGAACAATTTCACTTCGTCCTTAGATTTCTGGGGAGCCAAGCAGTCTGCAATCTTGGGAACTATCGTAGGTTCACGGCCAAGAAACATGATAGTTCTCGCGGAAGAAGACCATGTACCTAGTAACCGCAGAAGCGCTGCAACGCTCTGAGCGGTCTCTATCGGCAGCTTATCGAGTCTGGGAAGGACAATGTCCTCGATAATGCAGTCCAAATAGTGTGTCCAGTCAAATTCAGGAGCGGCCGTAAAAATCTGGAGCAAGCACTTCAAGCCCGTCTGACGCACGACTTTGAGCAATGATGTTTGACTAAGCTGACCGTCATCGTCGACATCATCGTCGGCTCTGTCGAACAGACGGCGGCTCGCATATATTGTGCAATAGAGGGTTGTGTTGACAAGCTTGCTTGCGAACGGTGATATTTTGGTGCCGAGTTCTTTCAATACTCCCTCGAGCATGTTGACAATACCGACCTGTCGTCGGACGTTCAACAGCTCCGTATCAAACACAGACGATTGGACAATGCCATTTTCAAGAATGCTAAGGTCCTTAAGCTGGTCAAGAGCGATGTCAAGGAACAACTCCACATCAGCGACACTCAAGTTTCGCAGCACCGTTAATCTTCTGGCTTCTAACCCTTGCTTCCCACTGCCAGCACCTTTCCGGGAGATAGAACGACCATAGAGAATTCTCAGCAATATTGGCATCAGATCGTCGCGATGCTCGGGCTGAATTAGCGTTTGGCCTTGAAAAAGAATTGCGAGCTCATCCTTGAAGCGTGCTTCATCCAAGAGGTTTAAAAGATTCTCTTCGTAAGGCTTAATGCTTTGATTTTTCCATGTAAAAAGTGCTTTCAGAGCCGACTTCTGAATATCGATATCTCCATTGGCGAGGAGTTGAAGTAGAGATTCTCTGACATCTTCTGACCTGTACAATGACTTTGGATTAACAAACAAGGCAAGCAAATCAAGTTGTGACTTTTGATCTTTTCTGGACCATCCACTGGCAACGGGCTCGGGACTGTCGTTCTCTAAGTCAGACTTCTCAGCTGACACCCCAGACCAAGATAGAAACATAGGTATCAACTCTCTTGATCTTCTTTCCGCCACACTAGGGACAACGGAGAGCACTCTCAGAGCTTGTGACCTGGCTGTCGTAGGCTCTGCTGCTACTAGCTGCTGCGCAGTTTCGAATTGCCGTAACATCGTATCTCGCGCGTGGTCCACGGCAGATAAAGATGCCATGGCTATCTTATCCAAATTAGTCAGGTTCGAACATTCAAAATCTGTCAAACCATTGTTGCGAGGTTGCTCCACATCTCTAGCTGATCCGTCCCAAGTCATTGAAGGTGATTCTAGCCATTTAAAGGCCAGCTTGGCGACCGCAGCTTCACCATCTTTTGATTCCGAGATCTGCTTCAGAGACAGGCAGGCATCCTCCCATATTTGAGCAAATTTCACAGTAAGCATACCAAAGCAGAACGATGGAATGGCATCTTTCATCCAAGATCCCGCCGCCTGTGAGGGATATAGTATTGATAGCTTACGTATGTGCATAGATGCAGAACGTGATGTTTGTAAATCTAATGGCGTTTGTTCTACCATTATCATGACGGAAAGAGCTTCAGAATTCGACTCGTGTTCTAGAGTATAAATATGGTCCAATAGACGGAGAGACAACAGCCTCAGTTGATGTGAATCAGTTGAGAGATTAGCAACAAGAGAGGTGACGAATAAATCTGCATCTGCGTCGGATTGCGGAGAAGTATGCAATGATCCAGAGGTCGATTTTGGCGAGCGCTTGAGGCTAGTTTCGTAGTCGTACATGGCTTCTAAGAAATCGGGCAAACGCGCATATCTAGGAGCCGCTGCTCGAAGTAGTGGTTCCAGTGCTCGATCGACCTCGCCAGCTCCCTTGCTCATTCTAGAGAACGCACTGAAGCCCCTTCCAACTATGAAATTTGCCTCTTCCGGGGCAAGCGAGGAGGATGGTCTTAGAGATAACTTGAGCTTTCGGAGGAGAATTTCAGAGATCCTAGCATTGGTTGACGGGTGTACAACTGTACAGTTTAAAATGTCTAAGAGTGCATTGTACTTCGGCAAGCATCGATCATGCCAGGTCGTGGGGCTTCTGTCTTTTGAAGCTGACGAAGCCTGTTCAGGAAAGGGCGAAACTTCCAATTTTTCAAACTTGCTGACAATTTGATCTTGCCAGGACTGAGGCAATACAAATCCCTCTTTACCATACCGGCTTGGAAGAACTCCTGAAGACACCATTTTGGGCAGCAATACGGAGAGTGTATCCCCGTTCTCGGCGTCTGACCAGTGAGCAATCACAAATCTAAAATAAATTAGCATGAATACAGTACTTTACAGAGCATGTCCATACCTCTGGAAATATGGCAGTACTATTGAACGGAATCGTTCAGAGTCGACTTCCGAAAAATAAGAGGAGAAGGTCAAGAACCATTCAGCCAACGGATCCTTTGTCAACGAGTCGAGAAAGGGCGAAATGAACGGGATGATGGCATCCATTGGCGCGTATTGTAATAAAATCGAAACGCTTAGTACAAGGTATTTCCAGACGATTTCCTTTGACTGGATCGCACCAACAAGCTTGTAGTTTTTAGAGACAGCTCGTAGAATATCCGCCATGGTTTTTAAAATTTTGGGCCAGCCTGCCACTCGGGTCCCTTTTCTAACACCGCAGGCAATACCTAAGCATCTACTAGAGTACAAAACCCGGCACAGATTGCTCTTGTCGGGAGACACTGCGAACTCCTCAAGTGCCGTTGTTGCATACACCACGACTGTGTCCAAGATATCTTTAAAAGTGTTTGAGCTAGTATGATGAACCATACTGATGAGAACTCCAGACACAACATCTAACCATGGCGAGGTAGCATCGGAATTCCAGTCATTTTCGTCTAATGATGAAAACAAGGAGTTTAGTATTGCTGGGCCCGAGGTATGTATAGTAAGTCCATTCCCCTTCATAGCTTCTGCAAAAAGTGTCATAACTCCATGGTAATAAAGACCGAACTCCTTCGTACCAGCCATACTGCGCAAGTCGTCTTTCGCATGCTTGACTATCAAGGGAAGGGCTTTGTCCCTGTGCGCGGGAGCTCCAGCTTTCTTGACGAGGTAGCTCAGCGCTTCTGCGGCAAAACGTGCAATGTGATGCTGTTGGCGCCGTTTTCCAAGCAAAGGTGCCATTAAATCGTAGGTTGGACGTAGGTCTGGAACCAATAGCTTCGAAAGATATTTGAACATAAAGGCAAGGCATGTGAAACTCCACTCAATAACCGCCACATCTTGGGGGGTGCCAGCGATAGATGCAACCAATTCTAATGTCTTCGCATAGTATTTTTCGAACCTAGACCCTAAATCATGCGCAAAGTCGGTAACCAATTCTAACAGTGGCTCCAGAGATTCTCTTTCCCGCTTCTCCATGTATGTTACGATGATGTCCATAATCTGGTCCTCGAAGTGTAGAATTTGTGGTAAAGAATCGCACATTGGTAGCACTTCGTTCGTGAATTCGACAAAAGCCTCGGACATATTGAGTTCCCCCCATTTTTCTAATCCTGATTTGAAGTATGAAGTCGTGGTTTTAAGGTCTTCGCTATCGAGGTCTTGTCGGCGCACTCTGCGTATGGGATCAAGAGAATTAAGTTTAGATATTTTCGTAGTAAATGATTCCCATCGGTGATTCTTCTGGTGAAGCGTTCCCCCTTTCGATTTGCGCACCTTCACGATCCGACCTGAGCTGGTTGCCGGCATAGTGGGCAAGTTGTAGTATCTTGAAGTCGAATAGATTCGAGCAAGCTCTCTCTGCGATCCAAAATCCATCACTCTACCACTTATCGAGGGCGGTGAGGGAACCTAAATTTTTCTGCTCAATATTTTCTGCCGGCTTTAATTAGCGGTCTGATGCTGACAACCCCACCAACAGAAGTGCTGAGGGGCGGCGCGCTTGGGCGGTTGCAATCTTCTAGGACCTGGAATACTCGTACCAAAAAGTGCAACAGTTATTTTGTATACCCTGTCCGATTCGAGTAACAAAAGTAAAAGCGCGACAAAAACATTTTGGATTTTATCATCTTTACTATATACATAACATCATAATCTGTGCATGGTATCGTTTCTGCGCCTTAACCTATACGGATTTTAAATGCTGCCCAAAACCACCCACATACCTACCTAAGTAAACGCCAAGTCCAAATGATGCTTACAATGATTATTTCATCTCCTACCTCTCTTGTTAAAGTGCCCACGGCGATATCGTTCATCATGACCATTATGATGCCGATTATGATGGTGGTCTACCCTCTCCACCTTGATAGTCTCCTCGACTTCCTCTTCATACTCTTCATATTCCACATTATAGTACTCATCAACTGCAGCTTTTTCTCTTTTCGCTTCCTCTCCATCAAGCATGAACCGGACAGTTCCTTCTTGTCCACGAGCTCCGATTCCACGTTTGCCGGAACCCGCTGACCGAGGACTCACTGCCGCTGAGGCAGCAATGTCTTTGCCATTGATTCGTAAATCTGAAGGACTCGCTGGTGTGACGGGAGTCTTAGGGGTAATGATATTTAGCTTTCCGTTAATCTTCGGCGCCTCATATTGCTCGGTGTATCGCGCCAGATCGAACTCATGTTCCAGTTCTTTGTTAATGCGTATCCTGATATTGATAAAGGTATCGATAGGATACGATGACCCTATTGCAGACGATTTTTGAAAATGCGTATAGTGTTCGAGCAAGTCTAAGATTGTTTCCATAACTTCTGCTCTCTTGGTATGCCATTTGCGATATGACGGCTGCCTCTCGCCATGTATTCGATTCTCTTGTTTCTCCAAAAGTAGTGTGGCAAGCTCAATACAGGCAAATGACATCGCGGCACAGCTCTGTTTTAGAGGAGCAAATGTGCGATATAGGTCAAGCATGATGTTGTAAGCAGTTCTCGCAACATCACTATCGACTTTAGAGTCTTTTGCCAGTTTGATGATATGTTTATGCGGAAACCGTACCCGAAAATCAAAACCTGACGCCTCCAGCATCAGCCTTTCCAGTCCAATAACCATCTTAGATTGATTCTCAAATGCCTAGCTTTCATTAGCTGATAATCCATATCCTTCAGAACTCAACACCAACAATATCATCCGGGCTGAGATGCTCGGCAATACTATGTTTAACATTATGTGCGGCACACAGAATCTCCTTCGACTTCTTCAGTGTATCTTCAATCTTACACGCTGTGAGGAGGGCTGCTGCTGCCGCATCTTGAAATTGATATTCAGTGTCTTTGTGAGCGAGTCGAAACTTGTGATAATAGACGCACGCCGTACAAAACGTTCGAACGGGCCTTTAAATCTTAGTCCATCTTCCAATAGTACAATCGAGTTCCGAACTCACAGCTGTAACGCTATCCGTACATCGTTTATCCATTGCACACCTTGCAGCCTAAAATTGTCTTCTCGGGTTGGGTTTGCGCCCAGTGTTATGAGTTGATTCTGTAGTTGCTGCTGGAACAGATACGGCTTCGCGACTTGAATATATGAAGGATGGGGACCGATAAGGGCGGTCGCATTCGAGGCAGGCGTTACATTTGGAGCTGGGGGAGCTGGTGCCATGATGTCGCAAACGCCCGGGCAGTCATGGGGCCGCCTGCTGTGCGACAAGCTGACTGGGAAGATATTCTTCGATTGAAATGTGTCTATTTCGCTGAGAAGCTGTTTGCAAGCTCCGTCGCGTTCGCCCGCTTCAGGTTTGCGTGAATACTGCAGGAAGATATGTTCGAGGGTTTGAGCTCGGGCCAAGCTTTCAGAAAGTTGAAGTCGCGACGCGAACCCTCACCTTTTCCAGCTTGCAGACCCTTCTTCGTTTCCGAATGATCACTACAACCGGCAGACGTTAGATCTCATATCAATTTGTATCTAATCGTCTCGCAGATATGGCTGCTAAAATGTAAGTTCCGATTCTCCAACCTATTCTCTGCAATTTAGGGAAGAGTCCAAGATCTGAGCTGAGCTGATCGCGAATAGCGTAGTGCTGGGGGAAGTCAACGGTCGACTGCAACCCGTCTTTACAAAATTGGCGTCGCTGCATGCCAAAAACAGCTTCTCTTTCGCCATAGCTGTAGGCAACCTATTCGCAGATGATAATGAGGCCGTAACAGAGCTCCTCGAGGGCAAACTAACTATTCCGCTTCCTACATACTTCACTGTTGGTCAAAATGCTCTTCCTCCAAGGATCGTAGAGAAAATCGAAAAAGACGAAGAGGTTACATTCACAATTCCACATCACCTTTGACAATTACTAACCAGGACTCAGATTTGCCACAATCTTCACTACTTGGGGAAACGAAGCACAACCAAAACCTCGGAAGGTATCAGAATCGTAGCCTTGGGCGGCCAGTTGGATGAAACGATTATAGGAGGACTATCAAAAGAACAGCACCTACCGTTCCACACGGTTGGCGATGCTAAGGCTTTGCAGGGCGCACATGAGGCAGATATCTTGCTTACAGCGTTGTGGCCGTCTTTCATTAGAAAGGGCTCCAAGGTCTCACTCCCCGAAGGGCTAATTGATGTCACAGGCCAAGATCATATCAGTGACCTGTGTGCCTCACTCAGACCTCGTTACCACTTTTCGTCCTCCCCAGAATTCTTTTTTGAAAGAGAGCCATTCTTCCATCCCCCAACAACCGAAGCACCGGACAACAGGCCTTTAACCCGCTTCATATCTCTTGCTGCGCATGGAAATCCTTTGAAACAGAAAGCACTTTACGCATTCTCTCTTCAGACTTCTGTCGACCCTACAGCGCCGCTCCCGGCCGGTGCTACTGCTTCTCCATTCCTGTCCCGGCCCAATCCAAAGAAACGGCCAGCTCTCGATCTAGAGCCTTATTCAAGGTACGGCACACATGACAGCAATGGTGGCTACAATAAAAGGGGCAGAGGTCGAAGAGGTGAACGTGCTCCGCCGCCAGGGCCCGATTCCTGTTTCTTCTGTCTATCAAACCCTAATCTCGAGACTCATCTCATTTCCTCTATCGGCGACGACGCGTACCTTACTATTGCTAAGGGTCCGTTGACGACATCTGAGACCAACGCAGTGCATGACATCGATTTTCCCGCACACGCACTCATTATTCCTCTGACGCATGCCCCGACCCTTTCATCTATTACAGAAGAAGACGACTCAAAAATAAAAACATACTCAGAAATGAACAAGTTCAAAGACGCCTTACAGAAAATGATTGCTGAAAAATCCAACAATAGTCTCGGGGCCGTCACGTATGAAATCAGTAAAGGTAACGGGGTTCACGTTCACTGGCAACTCTTACCTATGCCTGTAGATATTATTCGTAAGGGGCTTGTTGAAGCTGGCTTTCGCGTTGAAGCGGAAAATCGCTTGTTTCCTTCATTCGAGGTTCGGGACCCTAGAATTGGTGACAATGAGGGCGATTTCTTCAGAGTCTGGATTTGGACGCCACCTGCGGACGAGGCGTCTGTGGGCAGCACCAATTGTCTGATAATGCCCTTTGACCACTCTATTCGATTCGACTTGCAGTTTGGACGAATTGTGTTAGCAAAGCTGCTAGGTCTTACAGACAGAACTCAGTGGAGAGAATGTTCACAGACAGAGGAAGAGGAGAAGAAAGATATCGAAGCCTTCAAAGCGGCATTTAAAAAGTATGATTTCACGCTTTAGCATTTCCTCGATACCCAAATATTTACAAAGAACTTCGATGTTGCAACGAAGCAGCCCAAAGAGAAATTTATCCATACATTAATACCAACACCCGGCATCAAAAATAGCGGAGGTGTGCGTTCGGGTGTCTTGACTCGGTGGACGACACCACAATCTACGGTTGTGATAAAGACTGGTGTTTCCCGGAGATACAAAAGTTAAGCATCATCTTTTATTTATCAAGCTACTGCAGAATATTTATACCCGCAGCTACGGTAACTATCATCGCCTTCATTTAGAATCTCAACATTATTTGTGCCTTCATTACCATGTAGTGGTTGAAGAGAATCATACTCAACTCTTCTGCGAAGAGCCTCGTTCTATGTACATAATGGTTACTAGACATTTTATTTTGAATGCGATGTCTTAAAGACACAATCACAGTGGTTGCAGCTTTTGGCATGAAGCATGATAAAGAAAGAACAACATCGCTGGCCACATTCTCAAGGTATTTCCTAGTGACATTGAAAAAGAGCTCGATGGCTTTATGAATTATACTAGCTGTGATTTATCCTGTCCACTTCCTTCTTATATTACGTCGGTCTACCTTTGAATTAAGTCCATTGGCGGGCTTTCCTCCCACCAGAGCTGAAGTGATTCATCAATGCATCAGCTCCTCCCGTCAATCCGTATCATTTATGATCCAAGCATTTCTTCCACCCCCTTTATGTTGTTGGCTGTAATAACCCAGACTTCTGCGCTGTACAATTTTGGTCCGTTTTTGTTCTCAAGTTGAAGGCTGGGCCTTCCCTCCTTGAGAGCTAAAACAACCCATCGACGTATCAGATCCTCAGATGTGTCTGTTTCAGCACCTTTGATCCAAGCACCGCCTCCACCTCTAGGTTGTCGCGTGTAGTACTCCGAGATTGGCTTTTGAGTCTCTGTCAGATACTGTTCGGAGTCAGCTATAGTGAACACAGTTTGTGATTACAAAAGCAGACATCACGATGCAACATGACTTGGAACGTATCCGATGCGTAGAAGGCACAGAAGATCTATGCAAGACCTCTGATTATCTTGCAGTTTTGATCATTTAGTCTGTGGCTTTCTCGTCCCTCGCATATCCCTTGCTAATCACCCTTATGCTGTCTAGCTGGCGTTCCGCTCAGTGGCACCACTGAGACTATTGCCAGCGCTTTTTCTCAAATGCCACATTCGTATACAACTTGGGCCCATCGGCTTTTGGCGTAGCCTTTTCGCCTTTTCCCTTACAGTTCGATTTTTGTTTGGCTTCTTAGTAGCCTCTTTCTTAACATACTTTGATGGTGTCCCCCGGGGAATTAATAAATTATGACATTCCCTTTTACGAGTATTAGCAACTTGATCAAACGTCGAACCCCAATTTCGTTGTTGGTTTTACTCCGGAAGTTTTGTTTCCTTTTCTTGACAGCCGTCCTAAGAAGAAGCTAGCAGCTATCTTTGGTTGCTTTTCAAGCATGCATCTCTAATTATTGTTTCCTAATTCAAACCCGCGATATAATCCAATATTGGACGATTGAAACAAGAGAGCGATCGGCCAGAAAACAGCTCTTTTGAGAATTGTCAGCCAGCCACAATCCTAAATGCCTATCCGCTGCCGTCCTCGAATGGCAAATACACCGTCGCGTCTAGCCAATGGTTGGTGGCAACTACGAAGCGAATTTTGTGATAGCAAGTAAGACATGCATCCGTGTTGAGCATTCCATGTGCACCACTTGTACAATCCAGCGTCCTTTCCGATCGGGGTTCTAAATTGGATTTAAAAACTCTTTGATTCGCACGCAATGTGATGGCTAGTCCTAGATTGGTCAATATAACAAGCACTCCTTCTACTGAATTAGCCGAAGGAGCGAAACATTCGTAGCGGAAACTACTAGTGGGGGAATGATACTACTCTATGGCTTAGTCCCTGGACCCGATACAGCTGGAAAACGCAACTTGTCACAAATTTCAGCTCCCCTTTCCTTTTACCTTGCCTTCTCGAAGACTTGATAGGAGTTACAGCGACAAGGTCATGAGATCGCTCAGTAGCTTGAGCACCTAGCGAGTCTGATCATAACGAATTAGTAACATCGACGACTTTGTATAAATAGTTCCGGAATCTCTGGTTTGAAATGTCACTTCATCATTTCCAACCTTCACTATATTTTTGGATGGTAAAGAAAGCCTCGAAGGAATCCTTCCAATTATTTCTCGATACTGTAGTTTTTGCACGAGTGGTTCTGAGTAGACTTTCACCTCACAATCATTTACCGCATGGTCTAACTATCATTTAGGTTTTGAATTATTACAACAAACTTTGAGAGCTTTAATCTACCCTCGAAATGAACGGTACCGCGGATGCTCTAGGCCATTTGGCCACTGTTATGGAGAACAATCGACGAGCATGGCGCATACCTATTCGAAGTGTACACGTAACGGTTGAGAATCATACCCAGCATACTCTCATTCTTGTCAACGAGCATCTCCATAAAGGCGAATGGTCTAAACGAAGTGCCGGCAATGAAAATATGGATCGAACCAACCCGCAAGCGCGTATTGAGCCTGGTCAAACAAACATGTTTCTCAACGGGATTGTGGATCGTGGGAGTGGGGTGGAAGGGGAAGTTACTTACGAGCTTGAAGGTACAGGAAAGGCTGTCACTCTGTATTGGGATAATCCCGTTTGGGGCAGCAATTCATATGAGGAGCGGAAGTCCGGAGATGTGAACGTTCAAAGGCACGGCGCCGGGTCTGGGGATGACTCTGCTATAACATGGGCCTTTAGCGATTGAACGCAAGGACTTATTGCCATCCAATTGCTATGGATGAAGTTTTTCTGAAGCGCATCAGCCTTGGGGATAGCTTATTTCGATTTGACAAGCTTGATTGTATTCTTTCCTTAGCAAGTCAGCTACGCCTTGTCACAATTGCAATTGTTGGTGTGGTTGAAGAGATTTACTTGATGTGAACTTCACTTCTACTATTTTCTATTTAAGAGCCGTCAGGTAGAGATTTGACTAATCAGTTCTCCTGACTTATTTTTCAAGCTTTGTCCAATACGAGCAACGGGTAAGATAATTGACGAATTGTTGCCAACTACCTGTAATTCAAGAAGCTAACCTGAAATACCTCTTGGGAGCTTGCGAGCTGGATACATAGGCCACTTAGGGGTGTTAGAATCGTTCTGAGTCAGGAGAACCAACTCAATCTGCTTGACCCTATTTTCAGACACTGTTGCCATCGTCTTTCGTCGTTTTTGAGGATTATGATTGGGTACATCATCTTGGAGTCTCTTCCTAATGGGAAGACAGAGTTGTTCAGGTGGTGTAAAAGACTTCTCTGTCATCAATTGAGTAGGAAGGATATCCATTTCTTCACTCTCCAAAGCTTCATCAGCCTCCTTCTCAAACTCCTCCAACTCAGCACGAGTAGCGAGTAAAGATTTCAGCTCATGGCCATTCAAAGGGAATTCTCCGCCGTAGACATATCTCTTCTGGATTGTGAAACGACGTTTTGTAGCCGTGTCTCCACTCAGACGTTCTCTGGCAGTTCGTCGCATTCTCTCGGTTCGAGCTTGGCTATTGCAGATTTGTGCTTTGACAGAGTTAGCTGTGTAGCGTCTTGGAGATCGCCATCGCTGTCTGATGGATCTCTTGGTTATGTGTTCAGCTACGTCTTTCAATGTCATAGTTCCCCCATATATTCCCAGTTCGGGGAGGATGTTGTCTAATTCTGCTTCTTCGTAGGCTTTCCATTGTTCGAACGACATCTTGATGTGAGTAAGTATTTCAAACGATTTATGAGCTCCTTATCGTGTTACCATTCCCCGACTGAGAATATGTTACCTTATATGGAGTTTGAATGCCTTGTCATTGTAATGTTTTCAAGTAACCTTTGTATTGGTTGATGTGAATCTTGTGTTGTTCAACTCTGAACCCTTTGTGGCAAGAGATAAACAGCAAATACTTTTGTCCAAATGCTGACACAGTTGTAGCTCTGAAAGAATCATGTAAGATGAAAGGGCCGAACAGACAATTTCCTTTGTTTCTTCCTTCCTTCTCTACACCAGAGCAAACAAATCTCCATGGCACAGTTTGAAATATTTCCTTCAAGGCATATGATACAGTGCATAATCAAATCAACGTACTTCTCTTTGACTAGTCATCTCGATCCTGATCAGCATCACGAGCTTCTCTGAAACTATGAAATTGACTCCGCAAAATCCAACTTCTTTGTATTTCAAGTTCCCAGATTTCACAAACCTACCAGAAAAGAACCAAGAGATTCATCATAGTTTGACATTTGTATATAGGCCATTTAAATAACTCTCACATGGTTCTTTATCATGGTTTTCTACACAGATAGAAGTGATTCCTTCTAAATTGCGGCGCGGTCATAACAGTCCACACTCAAAGGAACCAAACAAACTTTGCATACTCTCACCTACATGATATCTGCTCTTGATAAAGTTCATAAATACAGTTCTTGATACCGTTTGTCCTTTGTCTCTGGTTCGTTTCCGCAGAAATCCGGTTCAAAAAGTGGAGAAAACTAACCGCGAAAAGTTTTGTTGCATGTCGCACCCCCAAATTCGACGATTTCACAGCCTCGTATAGCCTCGCCATTTTCGAGCTTTTCAAAAAACTTAAGTTGCGCCTTGCTAGCGGCCTTGTTGCCTTACTGTCCTTAAAGTTGGCTGTAGTGAATGTGAAGGGTCGTTGTTCTCGCTTAGTGTGAACGCCCCCCCTTAAAGTTTGGCCATGAAGAAAGCATAGTGAGTTGACGTCTTTCAGAGTTTTTGACTGTAGATTGTGATACACATATTTCAGATACTTATGAAAAGATGATGGTGTTCAAAAATTGGGTTTGAGAGATCGTCCGTTATTGACTTACTGAAATGTTAAGAGTCTATTAGTCCTAGGCAATTCCCTTTTTGAAAGGGGCACTAAAAGCCAGTTTTTGAGAGATGCATACATATATCATGTTTGAATATTATGACTATAACAGTGGAGCAACAAAGGTATCTACGCTGAGAGGCTTTGCAAACCCTACTCCAATTATCAACCTTTGGTCTTTAGTCAATTGTGGTCAGCTGATCCAAACGTCCAGAACACTCCTTCTTGCTCATATATTGTTTTTCTTCAGGAAGAAAAAGCTGCTCAGAGGAAAAACTACCCCATCTCCAACTGGATTGTTTCTCGCCAAGAACAATCCTTCCGAATTGTTTGCCCTGCCTGAAGAGACTTCTCCTATTTTAGCAGAACCAAATATGAAATGTGGTTTGTCGTCAGTACCGTACTTCTTTTGACTATCGGCAGCTGTTACTTCTTCATGACACACCGCGACTCCAACAATTCCCAGTGAGATCTGGCGCATGTATTCTATTTGTTTTGTCTTCGTAGTTTTCAGGATTTGAAGTAGGGTCTGTGATGGGACAGCGCGATTTTCAAACAGACGCTCAAATACGAGGCAATCATCTAGCCGAGGCTTTTGGATGCGGATGTGTTCGTACATGAATGCGTATATTTCTGATGTCGATTCGGTCTCTGGGATCTGAGTCGACACAAGCTCGATGAGGGCAGTAACTTCTCTGGTTCCAAACGGGCACAGCCTAAGCTTATCCAGGCAACAGCTACACAAATCATTGATACCATATCGATGTGCTAGACACAGAAGTTGAATAATGCCGGTCACAGTCGACAACGTTTCGTCTGTAGTAAGGTGGGAGCCGCAAGCGATGCTGCTTTCTAAACCCCAGTCGTAACCCTCTGCCAAAGAATTCGGAACATCTTTGACTACCATAATAGGCGCTTCGAGGTACTCTTCCATTTCCTCCTCGTTTATGATCCGCGGGTAACATTTGCCCTCATAAATGAACTCAACCAGCCGATGGAAAACCGCGGGGTCTTCCTCGGGGAAATTCATTTTCTCATCTTTTCCTTCCATGAAGGCCCCTGGGCGTAGTGCACCGTTGAAATAAGGGAACTTGAGTAGTGAGTGCTTATGCACATAGAAGGTTTCTGTTTTCTCTCCAGATCCTACCACAAGTGTGACGAGAGGGGAGGAGTAGTTTCTAAAGGCATTAGTTTTGTTATCCAGTTGGTTCGAAGATTTACCTCACCTTGATGTTGGATCGTTCTTTTCGTCTGGAGATGCCCAAGGCTCATAAACATTCTGATGAGCCGTCTCAAGCTTTACGGATACTGAATATTTCATCCTCAGAGATATCTATGAATTTATTTATGTTGAAGATACAATGACGACGATGTATATCTGTTGGACTCCCTACAATTGGAATGTAGGTGTTAATATTTTCAGAGAAAAGAACCAATATACACGGAGAAGATATAGAGACAATCTAAATTGTCTCGTGTTTCTCTGTTCAACTCTCTATCACTGATTACATGGCGAGCAGTCAGTGAAATAACCTTCTTCTGAAATACCACACCAGATTGAATTCACTTATAATCCCCAGTTCATGTTTGCTCATCACATGATGTTTGGATTTGGTTAGGTAGACGATCTACTTGGGGGCCCTTACACTTAAACTCCTTCGCATAATGATATTTATTCATCTCTTTCCTCGCTGTCTCACAATTCACCTTCCACTCACTGAGCGGCACAAACTCGAATCTTTTAGGAATATGGAGACTAGGAGAGATTTTTTTCCTATCACAATCTTCCGTTACATTAGGTGTGTTCTTGTAAATAAGCCGACTTAACTAAATATCATGTTTGGAAATACTTCTTACATTCTAGCCAAGACGAGCACCCCTCCCAAGTCAGATGAACAACTGTACAGAGAGTGACATTAGCTGAGTAAGAATTAATTGAGACTCAAGGTCAACTCAAGCAAATTCAATTACACACCTTCCATCCCTTATGCTGAATCAAGTCATATAGACAAAAGAGCAACGAGTTTTCAAATCACCTCAACAAGCTACAGAAGAAGATTCCCAGTCAAATGTACTTCATTACTATAAAAATTTCATATCTCATAACAATTACCAAACCATCTCATTCCCAAAACCCGCCAACTCCAAACCCAAATCACAACAAAACCCAATCAACAAAACACATCAAACCACCTACCTCCTCCTGGCCAGCGCCCCCTCCAACTTCCTAATCCCCGCCTGCAACCCCCCACCCTTCTCCGAATTCGCCTCCAAATACTCCTCCATCACCTCCCTAACAGCCCTCATCCCCTTCAGCACCGGCATCTTCGTTCCTTCCTCCCCCTCAAGATGTGCCGCCGGATTCAGCAAGAGCGCGAAAACCTGGCTCCAAATCTCCGTCTGCCAGTACCTCTTGAGTGATTCCCTGATACGCCAGGTCTTCGCGCCTTGCGCACCTAGTCCGGCACCTTTGTCTGCGACTGTGTCGATGTATTTGCCGAACAACATGCTGTGGATGATACCGGCGAGGCCGTGGTAGTCAATTTGCCAGGTCCATGGTCGGAGTTCACGCATTTCGGCACAGTCTTGGGGACCGGTTTTCCAGTCGGCGATGAATTGGACGTCTGGACGGAAGGCTTTCATGTCAATTCCGCGGCCGAAATCGATCAAGGCAATGCCTTTCTTGTTCCAGCCGCCTGTGCCGTCTCGCCTGAACTGGGGTGTCCAGACTTCAGAGTCTGATAGGGCATCGAGCCGGACGAGACAGTTGTCGGCTTTGAGATCGCCGTGGAGAAGAGATTTGGAATGAAGTGACTCCATGGTTCGGAAAAGCTCAACTGTAAAGAACATGACCATAAGTTCATCCATAACGCCTGGACCGGTAGCTGTAGAGTCCGTGCGGGCGAGGTTGATGGCATCGAGAAGAGTTCCTTGCTCGCGGAATTCTTCTATGAGGTAGCACTCATCTTTGTAAAGATGCATTTCATACACATTGATAATACTTTCAGCAGCACGAGAGACGCCAAGTCGTCTTTTGGCTTGACGCATGATATAGAATTCCCAAGCTGATGGCGGATCTTCCATCTTCAGGGCTTCTAGATCCTTCCGTTGCGTGGCGGAGAATGCCCCTTTACCCATGACAGCGACGGAGTTCTCATCCTCATCATTCGCAGCGACATTTTCCAATAGGTAAACTGGTGCAAAAGCTCCAGCTCCTAGTTCACGCTTGACGATATATTCTCGGGAGGTGCCAGGGAAACGGAGAGTTGGTGGCATGGAGAGATTTGTCGTTGTCTTGTCGCTAGCGTTTTTGGTGATTTTTGCCATTGCTTTGGCGAATTTTTTTATTTCCGTGCTGCGGCTTCCGTCCTCATTCTTGTGTTCAAAGAAGCCTTCATATGTTGACAGAGGTGGTTGAAGTTGCTCAAGAATCAACGCACGGGTGTAGTCATCAACCGGATTGCACTGAGCATCCTTGATGATGGGCCCTTTGTTGGCCATCTCTTTTGCAAAGGGCACCTTTGCCACTACCTGCGCGACCTTCTGTGGCTTGGTTTGTTTGACTAGCTGCGGTTGTGCTATTCGTTCCACCGGGCGAGCTTCGTTGATGATTTCCCTAAATGGACTACTACCCAGCTCAATTACCCGTTCACGAGCATTGCCTTTGCTAGGTGTCTTTGAATTGAAATAGTCCTTTTGGCCCCGTGCAGTAGGTAATCCGAGCGATGATTCTGTCTTCTCAGCAATCGGTGTCATGAAAGGCAATCGATTTTGACAAACTTGTGAAGGGTCTCGATAGGGCCGCATAGCTGGCTCATAGTCTTCTGGCGGTATGGGGACAAACATCATTCGGCCATTAGACGGAGCATCTGGAGAAATTGGAGTCACCAATTCTTCCTCATCACGACGCCGTGGTAATTCCACTTCAATAGCATCGAACGTGTCCTCTGCTGCGGTCGATTTCGATGCTCGTGTATCGTCGTGCTCCTCGTCATCTTCATCTATATCTGGTATATGCTTCCTCGCGGTAAATTCTGACCATTCGCTCACACTTTTCACATCTGAGGTCTCATCATCATGCTCATCATCTTCATCGTCGCCGGCCTCGCTAGTAGTTGGTAGTCGCCCTGTCGTTGTACTTTCCCCGCCGCTGGTGTAGTCGCCATCGGTCGTATCACCATCATCATCGCTGCTCTCCTCTTCTTCTTCTTGCTCCTCTTCGGCGGGTAGCGGCTGGCTAAATAAATCATATATCTCATCAGTTGCTGCACGAGTATGCAATGTCATTGTTTGTTCCTTGGATGATTTTCGCTTGGTCATTTTCTTTCCGGAAGGTGATTCGAGTTTCGCTTTTACTAATGATTGTCAGATGCAAACTCCTCCTCAACACGCAGCACTCACTTATTTGGGTCTCGTTGACTTCTTTGATTTTCATCTTGCGACCCCGCCCGTCTCGATTTGTCGATTTAACAATTTCGCCATTCTCATCAAGGGGGATTGTTACTGGGCCTCGTGCAATTACAAGCGTTTCGACTTTTTTAACGATTGGCTCAACAACATCAAATTGTTCATCCAATGGCTCAGCGACATCAAAATCTTGATGAGAAGGTATTTCAGACACCCAAACCTTCATTAGCCACCCTCTGCTCGCGGCTCTCAATTCTTCCAAGCATAATTCAGAGCCCACAATATCAGGACTTGGATACAGTGCTTCTAGGTTAACAGAAATACGTTCGGTTCTTCCTTTCACATTGACTGTCACTTGTTGCTGAGCAGGATTGATAACTTGTTGATATTCGTAACGTGGTAAAGACTGAAATACAAAAGCGCCGAAACGACAAATAATTAGTCCTGTGATGATCAACAAGTGTGTGAGGAGGAATTGAGGAAATGTAGCTTACCTCATCCTTGAATACCGCCATTTTCGTACTGCTTTTCTTCCCACCAGCCTTCAAAGTTTCACCCACCATAGGTTTAGGCGCCATAACATTCTCCTTTTTACGATCTGACAGCGATCCAATACTTTGCCATCCGGTTGTTCCAGCTCCTGAGACCGCTGGAGCAGCCTCATCCGCATCCGAGAAGATCGCAAGTTTTGGTTTACCACTCTTCGTTGTAGCAGACCCGCCCACTCCCGAATTTGGTCTAGGCGCTTGGGGATCTCTAGGTGCAGCAGCAGCGAAAGGGTCAACTTTCACGCCCAATGCCGCACGTACCGTAGGTAGAGCCGGCGAAGAAGGCTGCATAACATCTTCCGGCTGCTGAGCGTAGCGCTGTTGAAACTCGTTGAATTTCCGTAATAATCTCGGAGCAGGTCGAGCTTCCTTATCAATCCCAAGTTTGTAAACCTCTTCAGCCTGCGTCCAGCGCCCTGCGCCCTCTAACCAAGCAGCGAACTCTTCATAAAATAACGCCAATCCATCTCCAATGTTGTGACGCGATAAGAATGCGAACGTCTCGCGTGGGGTATCTGAAAAGAAACGAATATAGGAAAGCCATAACTTGAGGTATCGTGGATCATTTTTGTATTGCGCCGAATTGAGAAATGTTTTTGTTGCGCGTTCAAGCAGCGGAAGGAGTTGTGATGACGGTGTTGCTTGCGCAGATGGGTATGCCTCGAGAGTCCACCGAACATAGCGATCGTAAATATCTAATGGGTCATCGGATTCTGAGATATTCTCTAACTCTATTTCGAACTCTTGTCGCGCTAAGTCGTTCAGGTTTTTGGTGTCTGAAGGTGTCGGTGTCGCTAATTTGTGGAGGGGTAACGGTGAAAACATACTGGCCAGAGCTCGCGCCGAGCGTCCGCCAGGTAAGGCCTGTATGTTCTCTTTTTGGTTCTCGATGATGTCGAAGTCGATCAGATTCTCGGAGGCCGCCATCCTGTCTGCCTCTGTCGGGTTATCGTAGTTGTCGTGTTTTGTCGTGGTTCCGGTCAATGGCATGGCATCTAGAGCCAGTGTAATCAATAAATATCCGGGTAAATGTCAGACCAGACCGGTCGTCACGGCAACAGATTCGTTTGGCCTTGGAGCACCACCACCACCACAAGTCCACGACTGTACGAGTTTATACATCTGTTAGATGTATCAAATGAATTGACGTGATTTGAGTGCAGCAAATCAATTTCTTCTCTCTCTTATATTTACTAGATTATTACTTTAAATTATTGGAAATATCGTTCTTTCCATCCAGCTTTACAACAATTAAATCAATTCCCTGACCATCCTCCAAGTCCCGTCCCATCGTGTTCTGACCACGTGAGTCCGTTACGCCAGAGGAAATCGTTTCTTGTGGAACGAAATATATTGCCGACTGCTCATCATCCGCGATCTGGCTGTGCGTTTTTCTGTTCTTCCAGCTACGAAGCGGCGACGATGAACATGCATCTGGTGTGGCTGGTTTTGCTGAACGTGAAAACACACCAAAAACTTTGGGGGCGAGCAGGCAGAGAAGTGGCCGAAGGGCTGGAAGACAAGCACATACTAGTGCAAGACTGTTTTCGATGACGGACCAGACGAAGGCGTCCACATCGTCCCATGTGGTATCGACATAGGAGCCAAACGTCATGAGGTATCGGAGTCGCACGATGCTTATGATAGTTGCGCTTAGCGGTTAGTCAAGCCATATAAGTGAGGAGAATAGAAGCTTACAGAGAGCCGATGCTGAACATAATTGTTGCTGTGATCTTCTTTCCAGCTCCAATATTCAAGGACTTTATGCATGGAATCGGAAGAGAGAGAATGATCAGATCCTCTAGAATACTAAATCCACCAGCCAGAATAGTTAAGACTTTGACGTTGACGCAATGACTCGGCACTGAGAAGTCCCATGTTGAACGGACTGGGGTACATTGGAATATGACTATCATGAGAAAGATTATCCATTTCGTTCCAAGAAATGTCAAGGTGAGGTAGCACCCTATGCGAGTCCATTTCTGTAGGAAGAAAATCCTCAGGAAAAACAGTAAGAGCGAAACCTTCGAGAGAATCTGAACGAATACGTAATTTATCTGCCCTGCATAGAAAAGCTACAAGTGTCAAAGTTTATCTGATGAATTGTAGGGCAAGCCACGTACCTGTCGGATGTGGATTATGCTAGACGGATCTATTGTCCAAGCATGTTTTCCGAAGCCTAGACTTGCCACTGACAACGAATCAGTTTTAATACATATTCTTGAAGGATAAAGTCAAACGCACATGGAAACATGAGAGCTAAAGTTGCCGTAGAAAACACCTACGCCAAAGCAATCCAATTAGCATTGGTAAGACGGCATTGAAAACCTAGTTCAACCTACGGCTGCAATCATGAAAGTATGATCGTCCCATCCGGTGACAGTTGTAATTCTCATCCTCGAATAACATCTTGCCAAGATGAAAGGGATTGTGACCCCCAACAGAGAAATAGCTACGGCACGAATATTATTGCTCCTGGAAGGTATCGGGTACCCAGTGCAGAGTTTAGTGTACGATGATTGGACGCCTAGTACAGTTAGAGATAGTGCTACAGGCCACAGTGGGTAGCTCACTAAGTTGGTGATCCCAAATGCAATTGTACTCAATGCATTTTGCAATTTGTCGCTGAGCTGAAAAGTCTGGACAGAGATCATTTGCCAATTCAGCGTCGCTTAATGTTCCCACTAAAGAAGTAAAATTGGAGGAAGTGCATGGTTGCTGAAAATTAGTTAGAGATGCGTTGTAACATTCGCAGAGCCATGCTTACCACACAAGTAGGAAGTGTTTGCAAAATTGATAATAATGGTTGACTCTCTTGCCCATAAATTGCGCTCGCTAGAGATATGAAGCAAAACGTCCGAACCATGAGTAATTTCATTTTCCCGGGAGTTATTGATAGTAACCTGGATTTGCTTCTTTGAAACTCGATGAGCAATCACATTAAGTATTCCCTACAGAGCTGAGAACATCTGTGACCATATACTCACGAGTGACGATAACACGCGAGTTGAAACGAAGATTAACTAAATCAGTGCAATTCAATTGAAGGAACTGAAACACTGTTGAGGTATGATGAATGAAAAATATGGAAGCAAAAATGAACAGAAAACAAGGTCTGCAAACATCAAAACCTGAACATAGTGTAAAACATTTACTACCATCACACGGCATCATAGCCAGAAAAGAGTGTATGTGCAACAAAGAAACAAGAGTTATAGAGGGTTTCTCAGCTGCGGGATCAAACTTTAAAGGACGAGCAGTTCCAATGTTTGGCTGCATCTCTTTCCGTTTGGCAAAGCGCTCAGACTCGGCCGGCAACACAGTTTCCCACCTACTTGACTCGAGATTCGAGATAGGATACTGCCCTTGCAGGTTCTCACAATAGACTATTGTCTAAATAAAAAGAATTTAGCAGAATTTTCATTGTTTTCTCGATCTTTTTTCCTAGTGGCATTGTCGTGTGACTTTGGCCTTTCTCTCCGTTCTAGATGGGTTTTCCAGCTTCGTTTGAGCAATGAGCAGCGAGCTGAGTATGGTTACGCAAAAGGGTAAAGTAATTCGAGACCGACGTACAGAATGCCAAAGCAGTAGAGTCTGTAGATGAGAAACTAGAGACGTAAGGCACGGTTGTTAAAAGATGCAACCAAGACTGGTAGAACGACATGTTCGTGATGGACTCGAAGTCGAGCTCGAGCTCGGACGGTTTGACGATGCAGCCGACAGTAGTGTTGATTTACTGACTTGGCAAGCCGTTCGGCCTTGGAAGCACAAAATCCCGCGTGACGACAACAAATGTCCTGAATACCTTTCGTCTCAGTTCGAGTCTTTTGAGGATATACTTCGAGTTGACCCTTTGCAGTCCGCATGGAAGCTTGCCCGTCCACCGTCCCTCTACGCCCGATCCACTTGACGCCCGGTACGGATGGACCCCATTACGCGTTCCAATTTTAGCATCCACGCGTCGCTGCTCTGTTCTACGAAATCTACCGTACAGAGCCAAACAGACGATTAACGTTTGCTATGAAACTCTCATAGGAAGCATTAATCCGTCTGAATCGTTTGGCGTTCGTCCAATTGCCGGCCGGCGGGCTTTCAGCGGCTGAAGCGGTTCGAAGTCGACTTGGAAGTCTCTGGCGGCTAATGAGAATGGAATTGCAAGAAGAAAGCCCTGAGCATTAGTATATCATTACAATGACTGGCAGAAAGAACAATTTGGGAAAGCGCAGACGGAAAGCAGCAGTACTGATATGCTGCCGCGTTTCTGCGAGCCGCGCGGGGTCCCGTCAGGATTAAGGTCATATTTGAGGCTGACGCAGCCAACAGGATGCACCAACGTCTTACCTCCACAACGGAAGTTTTGTGTCCTTTTCTTCAGTCGTCCTTCCGTCCTTTCTTTCCTCAATTGCTTTCTTGAATCAAGTCGATTGATCATCCGCTCCGTCTGTACTGTTTTTCCTACTGTTATATAAGTGGCTTCGTACACGTTTCCATGGGAGTTTGAGCCCTCCATTTCTGATTGCAGATGATCTCGCGATGCTTCAAATCTGGCAATTCAAGAACAGGCGGAACCAGGTGTTCGCCAATGGTGTTATCTTAATCGCTCTGGTTTTCGGTTTCTATTTCATGTAAGTCCTTTTCCACAGATCATGGCAGAGTGTATATACTGAACTCGTAATGCAGAGCCTGGCAGACCCTTCGATTGCCAGATATAGAAGACGCGACACATACAGAAACAGAAAATATAGGCGCCTTCTTTCCAGCGGTGGAATTGCCCTCACCTAAGCCGCCAAAGCCAGACATACCGCGACCCAGTCCACCCAATCCCCAAAGCCCGCCTCAGTTGGCACCGACTCCATTACCACCCACTCCCGAAGCTCCTGCACCGTCTTCGACGGCATCTACGACAGCTTCTTCTACAACCCCATCGTTAGCTTCTTCTTCGACAGCTCCTCCGAACCCGTACGACCGCACAAAGGTTGCCTTTCTTGTTGAAACACGCCCGCTCCCTCACCTCCCAGCCCTCTTCGCACATATGATATCTGTGATCCCAGCGGAATGGACTTTCAGGTTCATGGGCGGACCCTCGGCGCTAGAATTCATGCGGGCGAATCCTATGCTTTCACGATACGAAAAAGCTGGCAAGTTGGAATTTCTTGACGTGCCTGCGAATTATTCTCTCAAGGACCGTGATACCATTTCTCAGATGTTCACAGACCATCATCTGTATTCCAACATCCTAGCCCCCGCCGAACATCTTCTTGTGTTTCAACCTGACAGCATATTCTGTGCAGGTGCTCCTACGACATTAAACGACTATCTAGAATATGATTGGATTGGTGCACCATGGTCGCCAACTGCTCAATTTGGGGGAAATGGCGGATTGTCATTGCGAAAAGTTTCAAAAATAGTTCAGATCTTGGAAAAGAAGAAGCGTGAGAATACGGGTATGCCTTTCGAGGACGAATGGTTGAGCAGAGAATTGAATTCGCTTCCTGGGGCTAAGATGGCAACTGCGGATATTAGTAAGACCTTCAGTGTAGAAAGTGTGTGGGATGAGACACCGCTAGGGTATCATATCGGCTGGATGGGCGTTCATCACCCGCAGGTATGTTTCGCTCCATGAATCTCGAGCAATCTCTGATTTTTGGTAACTACTGACACTCTTTCCATTAGATTTGGGACAATAAAGATCAAGTCGACCATATCCTCAAATACTGTCCCGAAGTCAAGATAATTTTAGGCATGAAACTCGATAACGATAAACCGCAGGCGATACAAGAAATAGCGCAAGCTGAAAAAGAAGAGGAGGAGAAATCAGCTGCATCAAACGCACGGCCGGAGGTACCTAAGGAAAAGAAGTAGATACAGAAAGAGTAAGCGTATGGCGTAAGAGAACAAGACTAGAGTTCTAGAGTTCTAGAGTTTGAAAGATACCCCTTGGTGTGAATATTATTTGGCGTTTGCAACGGGTTGCGGTTGTGTCTAGATGGGAAATGAAAACTTAATAGAAATAGGTACGTCCACGCCTAGTAATTGACAATCGTTTCATTGTCCTCTTCAGAATTTGAAATACTGTACATTTACATTGTAACGAGACTGTTTCTGTTTTTGTATATTGTGGTCAATAGCTTCGCGAATTCATTGCACACAAAGCTGATCCTCACTTAAGTTCTGAAGGTTTCTCATGATGCAGGTAACATGATGAGGTAGCGAAATGTACACAACAAATTATTTAACTGAGGAAGGTATGAAGACATATCCACCAATGACCAATCCCGATCCTAAATGAGCTTACTTCAACCAGGAAGCCCAAGTGAGTAATGTTGAATACTTCACTTTCGACTTTCCACAACTGCCAGCTTTCCTACTATTTCATGATCCCAGGATTCCATGATCCTCATCATTACCAACATTCACCAACACCATTGTTGTCCCGACCGAAAGATTTGGCCCACTAAAACCACGGTTAACATTTGTCTCTTAATCACGACGAATAACAGGATGTCCTTACATCGTCTATAACAACCCATCCAGCAATGCGGTCCCCACAGCCAAGGTCAACCAAATCCCACGTATCACTGAGCTCACCCTCAGAGCATGACTGAGCGTGGCTTGCGTAGTTACAGAAATACCACTGCGCGGTTTGCACCTTTGTGAAAATCACGGTTATTCCTCCTGCCTGATTGCCGGAATTACACCAATCAGCAAGCATGAGGTACGCAGCATACGACTCATCGAGGTTAATCTGTCGGTTTGTTGCGCAGCCAATTTTGGGATTAGGCAGCGAGCGAGTTTTTAGGGCGGTGGTGTCGACGTGACGTTTGTTGGCGATGGTGTCCGCAGTGACGTTGGCAACGAGGACGATGTCTGAGAAGGTGCCGTCGTCGAATTTGGTCACGCTGTAGAGGCCGTCGGAGAGTTCAGCGATTTCTTCGGCTGTTGGGGGACTGGATTGGGCAAAGGCCATGGTCACAATTGAGGCCAGGGCCGCGATGGCGAGGTGAGAGAATTGCATGATTTTAATAAAGTTTGGAGTGTGGTGAGGGCTCGGTGGTGTTGAAGTGACAAGGACGGAGATGATGATGCTGGTGATGGTCTTCACTTTGAGGAAGCGTCGTCCTCTTTATACTCAACCTCTTCGACTTCACCGTCTCATCTCTCTCCACGAGCGGCCGACAGTCCATCTTCTCCCAGCCAACATGTCATTACCCCTCGCCAGTCCAATCCCGCGCTCATGTCATCAACACCGCGGCAAAACCATGTCGTGGCTGGCAAATGAAGCCATTCCAACACTCGTCTGACCTATTCAAGACTCTGTCTCTCAGAAATCACTGCCGTATGTTTCCCCGAACCGTTGCCAACGTTCTTTGTCATTCGCAAGCGAGATTCGTAAGGTGGATACATGCAAATACACATGTTGCGGTGAGAGTGGCAAGGTCACGATACTTTATTGTAAGCAGAGACTTCTAGGGCCGAAGTCTTTGTAAGGAGGTCATGTATCTTGAGGTGGCTCGCCTCCTTCCGAAAATCGGTCTCCACAAGCGTTTGATTTGATCAACGAGAGAGATACCATTTGAATCCTTAGATTCAGGGGAACTTTGTTATATAGATTAGCCCAGTCAGCCCAGTCAGACCTCGACAACTGCCACTACTTGAGGAAGTGTCTCCAAGACTTGTTCGAAGCACCAGACAGGAAACGGTCTTGGTTAGTTGTTGCATAGGAGGTTGACTTGCAACATCCATCCTAGCAAAATTTGGCTCAAGCCTCTCCTGTAGAAACATTCTTACATGGCTATCTTCTCTAAACTGTACGTCAAACATTCGAAAACGAAGGTCTCGTGTCTCTCCCGCTCCGTTGTCTCACTACAGCCCAATCTCTCCACAAATCGTTTTAAGCTTATTCTGAGCCCTATGCCCCACATCCAGGTACCAAACTTCTTGATCCTTGGTCTCGTACGATACTCTCCGCTAAGAAAAGAGTTTGCACTTTTGCATTTGGTCGCCAAGGGAGCTCACGTCAGACGAAACTTCCGTGGCTGGATTTAATTGGTATGTTTACGGTGGTGTGGGAATGGGAGAGTTGAGTAGAAGATGTTTGCGCGGGATATGCTGTGCAGGTTGAAAGAGTTGTGGAATTTTTGGTTTTGCTGAAAAGGTGATTTGTGATTCTTGACTTGAAGGAAGGAGCCAGAATTAGGCTGAAGTAGGGTTAGATGACGGCTTCGATGTTTTAGATTAAGCTCGGTAAGTGCTCACAAAGTCTATTAGTGTTTCATTTACTGACTATCATAAAATGTTTACATAATAACTTTTTATTCCGTTTTCGTTGGCGAGACTTGGTCTATTTATTGTCATGCCACACTATCAGAAATCACTGAGAAGCAAGTATATTGTATTCGATATCCAACTTCGAAGAAGTACTATTTCGAGAGAAAGAAACATTACCAACAATCTCGACCACTAATTTTGATGGAGTCAGAGCTGTCTAACCTCTGCCTACTGCAATTTCTTTACAGCGAATTGATCAATGTTGAATTGTTCAAATGCACCACCATCCAGCCACAAGAAATCACCAGCCGCACTCAGCAATCCCAGAAGTGTCTCTTCCATAAGACTTCTGCCACTATATCCAATCGTCAGTATTGCATCTTTTTCAAACCACCGTAAACTTACATCATTAATGTAAACCCAAGCAGCATTTAAAGAACCACAAGCAGCGTCCATGAGTGCATGCGCATCGTCAGTCTCCCAGGTATGGCAAGGGCCAGTTCCAGTGCCATAGTAGCACATATATGCTTGTGCAGACTTATTTTTGACCCAAACTGAGGTGCGAGGATTCAAGTAATTGCCCCTTTCGCACCAATCATTCAACCCATTGCGTGCTCCTCGGAGATCATTCGCGTTGAGTGAGCGGGATACACAATTTGTCTCGGGATTGGGCAGGGCCTGGGTTTTGGCTGGCGCTACGATGTCCACGGATGAGCCTGCGAGGCTCTCTGTAGTGCCGAGGGAAATGATGTCGGAAAAGGTGCCGTTGTTATACTTGGTGATACTGTAGATTCCATCAGGGAGGTTGTCGATCTCATCTGTAGTTGGAGCTGTCGGACGGGTGAAGGCCAAAGTGATGAAAGAAACCAAGGCGGCTACGCTGAGGTTACGGAAATGCATGATTGGGATAAGATGTTCTTCAGGTTTTATTCAATATATAGAGAATATGATGATGTTAGAGACGATCATTGAACGAAACACGCATGCTTTATACATGAGCTCGTCGACGTTACCACTCCAATTCTGCCAGCAGTTAAACAGACAAACACCCATATTCTAGTATCACCCACGTATCTAATTTGACTCCAGTAGTGGAAGTGATTTATATGAATTGATGCCGTTGCCCATCGCCAATCAATTCGATATTGCCTCCAATCAATACTAATCAAAATTAGGTCTAAGTTCTAACTCAATATTTATTTCCCTCGGGACATGATAATGTTTGAAGAGACAAAACCACCTAATGATTGGTATCAATCCTCTTATCCACAAGCAAGTAGATGTTAAGTGCTATCCCAGTCTCGCGGCTACGCCTCAAGAGGAAGAAATCACCTGATGACTTCTTCGACCCCACCTCAGATACACCGAATGCGAACGCTCCAATTGGCCACAATATCGTATATGCGTTCATCCAAGCAATCAAAGTACTATAATGCTGGCATTGTTCAAAACATCATTGCTGGCTTCAGATATTACAAGGCTGTAAGTAATTTAGGTAATAGCAGAGGGGTTTCGCTACGAGTGTCGGTTTAGTCGTTGATGAGCACATTCCCATGATTGTGGCAGGCATTTTCTTCAGATACGTTATACTCAACTGTCTCTGAGAAAGTAATGTTTCTATGGAAAGACAGAAATGTACCTTCACTGAATGTTTGATTCCAGATAACTCAAGCCAAAGTCTTCAAAGGCAATGCCACAGTTTCATTTCACACCTTCATTAACGATTGCTAAGCGACGTTCAGATCTATCAAGATGGCTTGAAGGAATTCCATCCACTAGTGTCTCCTGATATTCGGGTATCGAAAGCTTGTACGGTCTTGCCCTTCAGAGCTTCATCTGAAAAACTTCTTCGAAGCCTCGCAATCCTAAAGCAACATTCTCCTCGATTCTCGTACGATCTTCGGTATTTAGCCTAAATTAAGAATACTATAACTTGTATCGCCCATGACGAATTTGGTAGAATGCTGTTGTGGACTTGTAATACAAGACGATGTTACGGCCGGGAGCTGAGGGAAAGGGACAGATAAATAAGCGAGAATCGAGGCCACGTGATAAGGGGAGGGAAGGAAAGGCGTTCTACCAAAGAGTATGGGAAGAAAAGATCGATGAGATTCAATAGTGTATATTATAGTCTCAAGATCATATTTTGGAAGAGATACATTAGGCAATGCAACCTTTTCTGTATAATCTTGCCTTTAGTAGCAATTCTGGCTCTGCATATCACCAAATTCTCGCTTAATGGAACGGGTCATGACTTCCAGGTTAACAACTCCAGATGGTTCAATGTAAAGATTTGTGCTAGAACGAGATATAAAGATGTTGAATGAAGGTCAATTTAGCTGAAAGTGTATGATGTTCATGAATTCCTTGCTCATTTAACTTCCTAAAAAACATATAGTTTTGAGAAATTCCAATTATATGTTAAAGTAAGTGATAACCGAATCTTGTTCACACTCCAGATGGTTCAGATCCTTTTCTTGCTTATCGTTCTTTCAGGGGGGTGAGAATTTCCAGATTCTCCAAGACTTTCTGCTAAATAAAGAAATGATCAAGAAAACAAGTCATAAAGCAAGACCAGGAAGGCTGGCATCAGACGTTGTGGTTGGTGAATTTGATTCGCCAAGTTTCTACAACTGCCAGCCTTATCTTATGATGCTTATCTTGTGGTGAGCTCATGTGTTGTTCAAAAATGTGAATGTACAACCAGAATTATAGCTACATCGACCCTTAGTGGGTGTTTGACTGGAGTCCAACACCTCCATATAAAATATGCATAATATTCATTATAGTATCTCCAAATTCTATCAAACTAAGATCTTCGAGGTAATTAGAACCAGAGTTGGATATCCAACGCTCAAACAGTTGAATGTCAGAGGATGGGGTCTTACAATAATCCGAATTATCTACCATGGGTATCCCCATCTCGTCAACCATCACGGCAGGCAACACCCGTTCTTGAGTAAGTTCAACTTCTTTAACCGCTCTTCGTCATAACTTAATATTCCTGAAGGAAAGATGTAAAGCCAATGGTCACACTTCTCGCCGGCCCTGCCAATAATCATCCTATGGTATTTAAAGTGCACAAAGACGTACTGCTTCGATTTCCATTCTTCCAAATCGCGCTACGAAAACACGGATATCTCGAGGCTGGCGAAGAGAAGATACACTTCGTGGAAAAAATCCCAGATTTATTCCATAAAGTTGTACAATTCATGTACGAAGGCGAATTTTATCCACGAATTATGACGAAGAAAGAGATCAAGACGGAATATATAGAAAGCAAAGCTGCTTTCCTTGAGATTCCAATGAAGGTGGTCCGGGACGTGTTTAACCCTGCGCCCGAGATATTCACTGCTGCTCTGGCTAGCAGCGTGACATGCGGAGCTCATCTTACCACTATGGAGACTCTGGTGGTCGTAAGAGAACTTATACAACTCATGTGCCTGGCGCACAAATACGAAATACCCACGCTTTCCGAAAAATGCCTGGAAAAATTAAGGCTTTGCCCCTTTGGTACAAGGGAAGTGGCTGCGCTTCTCGAGTATGTTGTAACACAAGTCCAGGACACGCAAGCATCAGCCAACATCTACAACTTCCTTTATCAGCAAGTTGGTATGCACCGCTTAAGACTCGACACATATCCTAACTTTCAAGAACTTTACCAAAACGCGGCCATTTATAGCTCGATCATTAATCTCATTTTAGCAAAAGGCCAGGAGATGGCAGTAGAGTTCATTCGCACTTGCGTAGCTGCGGGGCTTCCAGTTGCACAGTGTATTAGCGAGGTCCGGGTTATTGATAATCTCAATAAATACGGAGCAGATGATACATTTGTCAGTAAATTCGGATCTGCTAAGAAGGGGGAAATGTTTATTGGAATGGACTCAAAGGTTGTGGTGGATAACAGGGGCTTGATAATAGTTAATAACCAAAGGCAGGCACCCGGTATGGTTTTTCCTTCTGATTCATTCCACGTGTTGCAGAAGGTTAAACCAGCCGCTCCAGGGAAATGATGGGCGATGTGGGTCTAAATTACCTACTGGGTCATGATTAGCAGGCTTTGAATATCATGGGGAGGTTTTAGAATAAGACTTTAGATTTCTAGCTGCGATTGTAAGAATTGATGCATGCACTTCATAAGAATGACCTAGTGCGCTGTGAAAAGGTTGAACGTTCGCTGAGAATTTAAAACCACTTATTCTGAAACAATACATTTCTCATCCAGGAAAAAACGATTCAGCAGCTCGCGAAGTACTTCTCTTGGAGTACTTCGCTATATGACGTAGGTGAAGTGTTTCACTCAACATCTCCTCTATTAAAATGAATTCCAGGTGGAAAATAATTCAGTTGCCTACCTCACACTGAAGCTTTGATCAACAATATTAAGTGAGGTCACTTGGATGTTACCTATGTAACAAAAAGCTGTTGAATCTATCATGAATTGTGGTTTCTTATAAAAAGAACAGTTTTTTGTGTTACCATAATTCAGATGTTTAACAAATTTAACCGTGAACTTTAGTTTACCGGTTCACATAAAGCCTGACTGGTATATCTATGACCAGTAGTGCTGGAATGTAAACAAAAGAAATAATCTTTCCTTGTTCATACTCAATCTGTTACAGACTTACACATTTGGCGCAAATTCTTTTACGAAAATGGATAGTCCTTCTGAAGAAATTGCTGACAGTGCTGACAGTGCTGTCAGTGCTACCAATCCGAGGCAAGTAGTCTTCCCATTGGTACATTTCGTAATCCAGCTGACATCAAGCATAGCCCATACAAGTCCAAGATAATCACGATTTCAGTTGGACCCGAGCCTGCAGAAGTTTTCCATATTCATTATGCAATTTTTGAAGGACAGACTTACTTTGAAGCTGCCTTTCAAGACAACGCTTTCGCCGAAGGCTCTTCTTGCAGTCTTCGACTCGAGAAGGAGGACCCAATTATTTTCGCGGGTTTGTTCAATACCTCTACGAAGGGGATTTCTTCCCTTTCAAGAGTACCGCTTCCGACATCCTCAAAACGCCACTTTGGTTGGAGAAGGTCGAAGATGGAAGTCTCACCCAATATACGGTGCATCACCGGGATGCCATGCGAAGCGGAGTCTTTACCACGACCGAAGAGACTCACAAAATCTTTCAAATGCTGCTGAACTATCTATGCTTTGCAGATAGGTATTGCGCAACCAATTTCTTTGAAGCAGCGTTTGAGATGTTGAGGCTCTTTCCAATTGGACCGAAGGAAGTCGTCCTGATGGTACAAACCCTGCGGACCGAAATCCCAGCTCATTACGAAAAGATCAAGAAGTTCCTGAATAAGCAAGTGATCTGTCATGCTTCTCGCTTGAAGGAAACTCCTGAGTTTACAACGTTGATTGAGGCCGAAGCTTCTGAAGCAGTACAAGAATTTGTTCGCATTCTTGCAGGGGCAGCGAGAAAGCCCGCCGACAATCAGAAGATGGAGTATGATTTCAGATACCCGGTCAAATCGGTGTTTGTAATCTGCATCAAGAACGTCGATCCACAGTCTCCTACTAGTAAAAAGTTCGCTGTGGATTCGCACAAACTTGATCTTGGGGTCGCGAAACACGGAGATCTGTGGTACCCGGTTTGCTACAACCCGAGAAACATCACCAAAGATAGCAAATATTTTATCGCAGCAAAGGTATATGCTCCTGTGGAGGGTTATATGCAGGTTTGCGCGTTCCCCAAGGATAATTTCATGCTGGCTGGCGAAGGACCGTGGTCATACTTCGATCACTTGGGATGAAGACATTAGTGGCATCAAAGAGGATGTGAGTTTTTAAAAGAACCACAATCAGAGAGAAGGATATTTGGCAGGACTGGCATATCGTACAAAAATTCAATCCTGTATTGACCGCGAGAACATATCTTTCTATGAACAGTGTAACTTGAGAGAATCGAAAATCTTGACGAATACCAGCTTATTGTTTTTACACTAACCTGAAGACCAGGGCAGCTAGATAATGCGAATCTGGTTTTGCATAGAACATTGTTTTGGGAGAAGAAGTGTCAATATTTGATGGTTTAGGAAATGATAGCAATAACGTCATGTGACTAGTCACCTGATGTTTTCAGGCGAGTACGCAATACGTCTTGGTTCGGACATTTCGTACGATTACGACCGTACAAAACGACGTCGCTATCATGAACGCCACCGTACAACGAGCAACTTGAAGCAACCCATGACTCGGGCATGGTTGGAACGAGAATAAGGTTTCCATTTCGTTATTATTGAGCATGTCTCGTTGTATTATGGAACGATGCAGCTTAGCATGACCCCTTACTGCAGAGTACATATCCAAATGCTCAAATTGAGGAACTTCATCAGTCGGGGCCGGCATTTTGGAACATCCCGGATCATCTCTAGGGGACGCAGGACCCTGCATAACAAGGATTATGACCACCATTGCGGCACTGTGGCAGGGCCGAGTCCATTCTGGGTCATGGTTCCTTCCTTCCACCGCCTCACCACATCTACCAAACTTGGAAGCATCCATTCCAAGGTTCAGCTCTTCTGTGGCTAGTGAGAATTGCGCGGCATCGATAAGTTCGCGGACGTGCGTGTCAAGTGCTCGCTACGTCCGTGCCTTTGAGGAAATCCCCTAGGCTCCAGATCAGATCCTTGGCCCTATCTATGATCCCCTCCTTTCGTCTTTCATTATTTTGTCACTCTTCTATATACGCTCTAGAACGTTGATAGACTCTTATTCTCAAGGAGCATGTTGTCTTGAGAAATTTGACATACTCAGGGCAAGCTCCAGAGCTGGAAGACTATCGAGAGCGTCAGGTAAGACCAGTCGCTCACTCTTCGGATTTGCACTCTTTCTATAAGGGTAACCCAGGTCAGTGACATTCTTCTTGTTTTGGAATTGCACGAGCAGCACGCGAAGTCTTTTGCTGATTATATGCCTCTAGTTTTGACCTTTATCCAAAAGCCATCATTTGAGCCGCTACAATGCACGATCCCTACTTCCCACCTCTCCCCGCGCTTCAACGGCTCGTTACACCATTGTGCAACGCTCTACACCTCTACACATTACCCCTCCATATCCACGAGATCCTTTCGGTGTTTGTTATCTACCATGTTATATTCGAATATGTGGCTCCTCCCTTATCCGGCTATTTCCTTACGAAACAATATACTGGCTTATCTCGGGAAAGCAAGCTGAGATGGAATATGCACTGCGTGTCAATGGTCCAAAGTGTCACCATTTGCGTACTTGCCCTCTGGGTGACAGCCGTTGATGAGGAGAGGAGAACTATGAACCACGAGGAGCGAATGTGGGGTTATACCGGCGCCGCTGGAATGGTTCAAGCACTCGCGACAGGTTATTTCCTCTTCGACCTCGCGGTTATGGTTCGATATCTGGACGTCTTTGGCGTTGGAATGTTGACACACGCCTCGAGTTGTTTGGTAACATACACGCTTGGATTTGTAAGTTTCAATGCCCTCCAGATTTACCATTTGGAAGACATCTCTACGTGCTAATTTACGATAGCGTCCGGTTTTCAATTATTACGGTTGTGTTTTTATGCTTTATGAGCTTTCTACCCCGTTCTTGAATTTCCATTGGTTCTTTGACAAATTGAATATGACTGGCTCAAAAGCCCAGTTATACAACGGAATTGCTCTTATCACAGTCTTTTTCAGTTGCCGCCTCGTTTGGGGTGCGTATTCCTCCTTCAATATCTATCGAGATACATGGAATGCATTGTACTTCGATCCATATACAACGAAGCTCAGCACCAACACGGATATGATGCGCTTCGGAAGTGATCATGCATTACCTGCGTGGCTCCTGATCATCTACATGGGTGGTCATATTACTTTGCAGTTACTTAACGTATTTTGGCTGGGAAAGATGATCGCTGCAATAAGAAAGCGTTTCACTCCGGAAGCCAAAGCAGCAAAAGCTAACGGAGTTACGTCCAATGGAGCAATCTCCAAAAAGAAGCAACTCAACGGAAGAGCTACCTCGAATGGAGTAGCAAAGAAACTTTCTTGAGAAATCACTTACAAAAAATTATGTCCTTGATATTTACGCAATATCCTATTAGATTTTTAGATCGTTTCCTGAGACCAATAAATATAGAGAAGTCTACTTTTTGCTTCTTAATTTTTCTGTGGAGTATATCATAAACAATCTTTTCGTAATGTTCGTAGTTTTACGAGGCTAGACACTGACAATTGATTTCGGATTCGCACGAGGAATGCGAGATCTCGTAAAGCTCGTACGAAATACCCTGCTCAGCCACAACGACAGTATCTCCACTTTCCCCGTCACGATAGCCCGCAAAGCTTTGATTTGGACAGGGGCTGTTTCTAAAAAGGGGATCTTGACCAGCTTGGCGGTATTCCCTAAGTTAAGACATGATTGATGTTTGGATCAGAACAATAAAAGTTTCAAAAAGAATACGAGTTGTGTATTCCTCGAACAGATAATGGATTTATCAAGAAGGAATTCTAAGAGCTCAAATCTTTGATCTGTATAGATTGACTTTTCTTGAATGGAAGGAACCTTCGTTACAAGTACGATTGAGAACGGCCTATATCCCTTGCAAAACTTATTGTTCATCCACGGTATAATTCCTCTATCATTGAGAAACAATTGTATGATTATTAATATATATAGAATGCATTTTGATACCTCGTTTTCGAATTTTACCATTGCGAAAAAAACCGGGGCATAAAATTGCCAAGCGATATTTGATCTTCTTGGGGTCCCACCTCTGCTATCTCTCAACATCCACGACTTCTGACCCTCCAACGCTTATGGGTCTGGAGCTCGGAGGTCAGGACGTTTCTTGAAGCGTTCCGTTCGAACACAAGCGCGCCATTATCTTCACTCTCTTCCCCTCGTTCTCACATGTCAATCTTTCATCCTTCATCTTTAAATCGCGTCGTGATCCCCCCTTTTCCAGCCAAATTTCGGATGTCACTCCTTTAAGCATACCCGAAATCTCACACAGTTGCCAACATGCAACAATCACCTCTCACATCTGATTTCCATCCATCAGAACGACCACGAGAGCGTAAAAGCTCTCGAAGGCGCAATGGCAAGAAAAAAGCCGAGCCGAAACCTGTACAGCGTCGAGCAAGAAGCAACACGGAGATAGTGAAAGACACCGCAAACCAGATCCGACTCTACGCCTGGCACGAACTCGAATCTTGGCAGCAAGACAATGAATTCCTTCATTCTGGCTATCGTAAGGCCACTTATTCATATCGGCAATCGTTGGCTTCTCTATCTTACATACACAACCAAACTGCCAACATCTACTCCCATATCATTGGAGCAACATTATTTATTTGTTTCGGATTTTTTGTCTACCTGGAATTAGTTCCACGGTACCAAACTGCAGATGTTGCTGACCTTTGTATATTCGCTGCCTTTGGTCTCGGCGCTATGCTATGTTTTGGACTGAGCGCTTTTTTCCATACCGTCGGAAATCACTCTGAGGGTGTTTACCATAGTTGGCTGTTACTCGATCTTTATGGCATCCTGGGGTTGATATGTGGAACTGTTTATTCCGGTGTGTTTTATGGATTTTACTGCGAGGGAAATGTCTGGATTTGGTACTCTATTGAGGTAGGTCACGTTTTTTGCACTACGCATAAGCTGACGAAGTAATTCGGGAATATGATTACTCACACGTTTTCAGATAACGTTAATAACCGTCATCGGCGGTCTCATCTGCACAATTCCTCGTTTTCGCGCACCTAAATACAGAGTCATCCGCGCGGTCGTCTTCGGGATCATCTTTTTCTCAGGAGCGGTACCGATGACCCATGCTGTGCAGACATTCGGTCGTGAGCAGGCGTCAAAACAGATGGGATGGTGGTGGTTGATATTCGAAGCCTGTCTTTACATTACAGGAGCTACGCTTTATGCTGTAAGTCCCGCCGCAATTGACGAGCTGCAATCGTGATGCTGACGAACATGAAGTTTCGTTTTCCAGAGCGTATAAAACCAGGAGGTTTCGATATTTGGGGGAATTCCCACCAATTATTTCATATATTTGCAGTTTTTGGGGCCCTCATACACCTTGTGGGTATGATTCAGGCGTTTGATTATAATCATAATCCGGCAACTAGACGATGTTAATACATAGATTCTTCTATTGTTCACGGCCTTTGTGGAAATTAACTGTACCGCTTGAATAGAATAAGAAATATATAGATAATAGACGTAAATACGAAGCGATCTAGATTTGCGTTTCAAGCGTACTCTTCAGTATGGACTTACGAAAAAGACTCGCCAGAACAGTTTGGAGAAACAAACTGATCCTGCCATGCTTACGGATAGAACCGATGCCGCCGAGAAAAAAAGGTTTAAAAAGCTCAAAGAGCTTGTCACTCAATGTAAGTATTTTCCTTATACATTCTAAAGTTACATACTTGTAATCCTTGTTTCTGCAAAAGAACACATTTGCGAAGCAATTATAATCACCAGGTGACGACGAGTTCTAAAGATTGAGAGGCTTCCACCTTCTGGAATAAATATTGATAGACTCGCTTACCTTCCTCACGAAGTCTTTCTCTCATTGACGCTGCTGGCAGAAAACTCAGGTTAGTGGCAGCGGTTGCGAAGTGGGTATACTGGAATACCTTCGCTCCTTCAACAACGATGAAGCAAGCGAACAACTGACACAAGTATGAAGCCAAGATTTTTCTTTTTAAAGAATAACAGGAAAGAGCATCAAGCATCTGCAATCATTTCCCCTAGCTCTGACGATCCAAATAGAGTTCCTACTGGCGCGCATCTCAGTCCTCGGCTAAATTGAGACGACATGCGTTAATTGAGGGGTACAAAACCCCGAGCGAGGGATATACTAATATTTCTTGCAGAAAACTTTGAGCTAATAAACTCTAGCTTTCTGTACGAAGTTCGGTTATCGTCTAGAAGATCCGATCCGCTATATTATTCTTCCTATTATCCACGCCGCCAACGTGGAAAGACCCATTGCTCTCCGGACAACTGTAGTCTCCGGCAATATTGAGGAGAACAAACTCATAGTCGTTGAAGAGCACTTCGTATGATCTCATTGATCGCCGTGCATGAGATGTATTTATCCTAGGCGAAATAGTCCCCTCATTTCAAGATGTCTTTGAACAGTTTAGTCCTCATTGTGCTCGCTTACCTAGAGAGACCGCCATACATAAAACCAGCCATTTCCATAATCATGAAGTTGACAACTGACTATCCGATCCAAATTCAAACTCAGCAACCATGGTCCGGCTATCAAATTCCATAACTGCAGCTCTGCTTGCGGTCACAACCTTTGCCCAGCGTCTACCGACTCCACCCACTCCACCCAGTCCTCCAAGCCCGCCTAGTCCACCCAGCGCCCTTCCCAGCACTTTCGAATGGGTATCCACAGGCCCTCTAGTCGGTCCAAAGAATGACGGCCGCGGCATCGACGGCATCAAAGATCCCTCCGTCGTCCTCATAGACGGCAAATACCACGTCTTCGCCAGCACAGCAAGTGAGAAAGACGGCTACAACCTTGTCTACTTCAGTTTCACCGATTTCAACAAAGCAAACGCATCCACCTTCTACTATCTAGACCAGAGCCCCATCGGAACGGGCTACCGTGCTGCTCCTGAGGTCTTCTACTTCACTCCTCATAAGCTCTGGTATCTCATCTATCAGAACGGCAATGCCGCGTATTCTACAAATAAGAACATCAGCGATCCTGCTGGCTGGAGCGCTCCAAGCAATTTTTACAACGGAACGCCAGCTATCGTCACGGCGAATATCGGCGATGGATATTGGGTTGACATGTGGGTAATTTGCGACGAGGCCGAATGCCACCTCTTCTCCTCCGACGACAATGGCCACCTCTTCCGCTCATCGACTTCACTTGCGAAATTCCCACAAGGCATGAGTGATCCCGTGATCCACTTGTCTGCGCCTAAATATGATCTGTACGAAGCATCTCTTATGTATAAAGTTGGGCCCAAGAAATACCTCCTGATCGTCGAATGTATTGGTAAAGCCGGGTTTCGATATTTTCGATCTTGGACGTCGGAAAGTATTGCAGGAATGGCGACTCCGCTTGCTGCCACGGAAGAGAACCCGTTCGCTGGGCTGACTGATGTTACCTTCAACGGACCTGTGTGGTCGAAGGATATCAGTCACGGAGAGGTGATCCGGACTCAAGTTGACCAGACTTTGTCGATCGATCCGTCTAATATGCGCTTTTTGTATCAGGGCAAAGAGTGAGTAATCGTGTTGAACCCTCTATCCTATACCCGTTTCTTCTCATGACTTGTTGCATGTTTGTGCTCCTAGAGGGTATATACACTACCAACCTACCTCATCGATTTTTATTTTTCTTGTTTAACAAATTACTGACTCGTGACTGTGTAGTCCATCCGCGAATACCACCTACAACGGACTCCCCTGGAAGTTAGCGTTAATTACACAGTCAAAAGTACCAACTGGCTGTGGTCCAAAGCCGCTGTAATCAGTTCAGCAAAGTTCCTCAACAGTCGACTGGGAAAAGCCGCACCAGACTTGAAGATGACGAGCGACAAACCGCGCAGACATTCTGACTGCGACTATCAATTTTCTACTTTCGCCCCCGAGTAGCGTAGCAAGCAAGAAGATAATTTTGAGGAATAAAATTCTGCCCTCGTTTAAGAAACTTGCCAGATTTGGTCTTACATTCCTAACAAAGATGACTTATTCATAAGGAAATCACACTTTTTGTTGTCTTTCCCTGTAACCCATTAGGATACCTACGACTTTCAACCACGTCGGATTTAGATAAGGTCGATATTATATTCTGTCCAACGACCGACTTTACCAAACTCTGCAGTATATTGATACAGTTCTTCCTTCGCCTCCGCAGATTTGATAAGTTTGTTGAAGTCGTGGCACGCTTGCACGCCCTCGATCCTCATGTGACCGACTCTTTGATAACGGGCACTATGCGAGCGCCTTGCTACGCTTAGACGTTTTGCAGGTATTGTGGATGATAGCTTCGTCTCATCCTGTAATGAGCCTGATAGATCCTCTGTTGAAGAAGCTGCTGTAAACACTGGAGTTGCGTACTGTGGACCTTCTTCTGGTTCATCCGCCGAATCGTCCGCTATATCGGTTGCTTCTATCACTTTTTGTTGTTTGCTTCGGATTTTCCGATTTGTACCTCTCTTAATCCATCTTTCTTCTGCTTCGTCCGTAGGCTTAGCATAAACCCGTTCAGCGTTGGTGTCCGTAGTTGCTCCTCCTTGCTTCATTGAATTTCCAGGATTTCTTTCTTTTTCTTCTGTGTCGCCTACCGGAGCTTTTACCATATCAACTGGTCTTAGTACTAAAGCGTCAATGTAGCACTGTTGTCCATAATACCGGATTACCGGCATTATGCAAAAGCGCTCAAGTATTTCACAGCTGTAATCCATGTTTACCCAGCAATCAACAGACTTGCCTGCTAGAGTGAAGTTCGATTTCTCGTACATTCCTTTGATGTCAATGTTTGTGTAAATGAGGGACGCCGCTCCAAGATTGAGACTCGCAGACAAAGCCCCTCCAAATGGGTCGCGACCGTCAAGTTTGACCTCAACATCGCGCTTTTTCACATATAGGTGCGACATACTCAACCTTGGTCTTGTTGGAAGCATAGCTTCATTGTCTGTCGAGGCCCATGACCAGCTCGGCGCTCTCCACGGATGTGGCCGCTCGTCGCCTTTCAGTGTCCTTTTGTCAGCCATATGCCAGCAAAGTTGACTTTCGAAGTCTTTTTTCCAGATACCGACAATATAGGAGCTGCCGGTTTCCCTTCCAATGCACTGCGCTATACCAGAAATAGCTACAAGTTTATCAGTCTTAAATGTGAGTTGACATCTAGAGTACTCTTCGACTATCCTTTCCCACGATGATCTTTTGATTTGGGGCTTAGCCGATCGAGACTCCTTGCTGATTCTTTCTGGTAGACCAGAGGGAAATGTCTCGCATGCTGTATAGACGCCACACATCCAAAACAGCTCTTTCGTGGTGAAGAAAAGTGTCCTAGGTGCAAGCAGCCATTCCTGTAGAACCCATCCGCGCTTCATGAGAGGCATGTTGGTCAGCCTAATATCGTATATATGCTGCGGTACACATAAGTAGTTAGTGCTAATTCCATTATTATCGCCCACACTGATGCGGCATTCCCACGTCTCGTCGCGCTCAAAGAAACATCCGATGGTACCGTCCACAGCTCCCGACGCCGCAATATTTACGAAGGAGCCCTGGTAGATATTGCACATCTCTGCTGATTCAACCTGCCAATCCCTTGCATCATCTTGCCGTATACAAAGCGAATCGATCCATATATATTGCAAGCCAAAACTTAGTGCGACATTGATAGCATCCTGGAATGTTTTCGAGAGGTGGTCCCATGGTATACCCTCTAGGAAGGTGCCGAAAGTACCAGTAGTTAACTTCAATGTTTTGGCACTACCCCAACAGTGACTGAGTGTCGCGTATTGGTAAGGAACTTCTGAGGTTAGATGTAATTTCACTTTGCCTGGCTGAATGTGGAGGAGGCGATGAGGGGCCATTCTCCTTGGTTTCTGATAACACTTATGGCTTCGAGTACAGTCTTCAAGCCAGTGCTTAGAACATGGTAGGCCATCTTCAGTGCTTATAAATTTAATTCTTTTCTCATTATTTAAATCTGCATATTTGGGTTATTAGCCGTCCATTCATCTTGAGAGAGAGCTTACCCTTTTTTCGAGAAGGAAATAGCAGAACCGAAAATTGGGAGCTTGGAAAAGAAATTTCGTCAGGAACTTTCTCAGCATCTATGTGAAACTCAAGCACCAAGCGCCACGGCTGATCTTTCTCATTCGAGCTATGTTTGACAGTGATATCCGATGTGATCAATGCATCGTCTGCCAGAGCATTGGCCTGAATCGCGCGATGTTCGGAGAGCGCGTCTGAATCTTTATCATCTAGAAACTGCGCACACAGAGAGCAACCCGCTTTTGCTGACCTTTCCAAGGCGAAGATGTTGTTGCAATGAGAAAATTTCGCTTGACGCCCTCGAATTACTTTTGCCCACTTTTTAATCACATTTTTGCAATATGAACAAAGCTCCCCGCCTCTTCTCTCGCTAGGTGTGGTGTCTGTGCTGCGAGGACTTGGCTCACTAACAAATATATTTTCTGTGTCGAGTCCAACATGATACCTTCCACGAGCTCTGGGCTCCGGTGTTGACACTAGGACAAGGACTCCTTTGACCAAGAGCCTCGAGAACTGAACGAGCAAAGTGACGAGCCACTTTGCATATTCCCACATTTCAGAATACTGTCACGCAGGCCCATCGACGGCGCTTGACTGTCGAGGAATGGAGCGAAAACATTAGGCAGCTCATGTTCGTTATACCTCGTAATCAATGTTTGCACAGCTCCAGGGCTGAGTCCTACCTTAATAAGCCATGGAGACCCACCCACTGCCAACCTTATGTTGACCGTAGAAAGGGGTAAAAGTGGAGAGCGACTGAAGCTGAAATGTCACATGAAATGTAACACGTGATCCATTTCTCACTTAATTAGTACCACTCGATCACAACGACCAAAGCACGAATTGAAGCCAACACGCATTCTGGAATTCTTATGCCGCCTCAGAGGCTGATGCGTGTACATATAAAACTGAAGCCTACCTACCTGCCTGTAAACTATCCTAGGAATTGCCAATAAGATTATGCACTTAATTTAGCTTAATTGGTATCAGCTTCTACTATAATAGCTCTCATGAATCCTATCTCCTGCCTCTCAAACCGACTTGTAGTGCCGTTCCTTACGTAAATTATAGTACTTGGCCTCCAAGTAATGACACGTGCGACATATCGACCAAACTACCTGTCCAAAATCACAATTCAACCTTACGCACTCGAGGATCGAGGCATGCTTAACGCAATATGGAGACGGCTAACTTCAAACGGAGGCAACACTAACTTTGTAGGCGACGGATACTCAGTTGATGAAAAGCATTCAACTGCGAACAGGTTGAGGTTTTCAGTAAATGAGTAGCAGTCCTATAAACATCGGCAGGGGGTCATGTTGAAGTGGGCGAGCAATCTATACTTAGATAGGAGATTACTCAACAAAACTGGGGTCAATTTTGTGACAGCCGTTCGCCCTCAGCCACTCTAGTAGAAGCCTTTTCTCTAAAGTCCTTCGCATTAAGCCAGAGTATCAGTCTACGTACGTAGAAACACCAACCTTGCTATAAAATCCACCCCGGAACCAGCTGCTCGTCTGACAAACAGTACATTCATTACCTCGGAATTATTGTTTTCATGAGCTGGTCAGCTGTCGCACCTCGGATAATTTGTTCGTACCTTAACATATAACGTAGTTGACTTTATAGGGACCTCTGTATTTTTATGATAAATTCCATGTACGACCTTGAGGGCAGAAGTATATTTGCAGGGCTTCCAGTGAAATGGGTCAGTCAACTAGTACCACTGCAGGCGGTGACGCAAATAAATTCGCCCTGAATAGTGGCTGAGGAGAATCTAACCTCGCCATTTGATCAGAGCCAGGAATGTCGCTACTAGGAAGTTCTAAGAAGCGGCCGTTACGGATCCAATCGAATATAATGTCGTCGTCTAGTATACTTTTGCACTTCTTATGTTCTTCGGGGCTCATATCCTTGCGCCGAGTAAGGATGAGCTCCTCGATGCTACCTTTGAGTACCAGGGTCTCTACGTAGACAGGCTTGCTTTGGCCAATACGATGTGCTCGCTTGACCGCCTGTGCTTCGATTTGGGGATTCAGGATCGGGTTGATAAAGTATACTCGGGATGCTGAACTCAGATCCAGTCCAAACGCGGCCTGCGAAACATCCATGATCAAGACTTTGCATTCGGGGTCTGCGTTGAATTCGACAATATGGTCGGCTCGCTGTTTGATTTTCAGGGTTTTGGCGAAGAATAAATGTTTGATACCTAGCAGTTCCAAAGCTTCGCCGATATAATAGGCAACGTTGTTGGATTCATAGAAAATCAATACCTTCTCCGTTGTTTGGCTGTGAGCGAGAATTCGATCCATCAGGTAGGATAATTTTGCCGACCCAGTAGAAACCAATTTCGCTGAAGTCTTGAAATCGGAGCACTCAATCGCATTATTTAATATGTTCAACTTCTCCGCGTCAGACAGATGACCCGCACCACTAGGCCCAGGTTTGGAGCTTGAGGACTTCTTTGGTGTTGGGCTATTCGTATGGCTCTCGCGCAACGTAGCAGTTGACGGTGATCTGATGGCCGCCGCGACATTTGGCGTCCTCCGTGATGTTCGAAGTCTTTTGTTTGAGTCGTTTCCAGCAGTCACACTACCTGCCAATGAATGTGTGGCAGAATCTTTGTTTCTGTTTGGCATAGATGGTGTAGCGTCACGGTACATGCGGCGTCTGTTGTTGCGGCCTTCTTCCAAGACTCTCTTGGTGAAGCTCTCTGTAGCCGTTTTGCTGACATAGGTGCTAGCAACCTTTCGGAGTGCTAGTATCGAGGAGGCACCTATTAGCGTAGGAGATGCGTGCCCGTTATCCAGAGCCCAGATTTCTTTGGCTTCCGTTGAGAGATTATTTTCCATATACATTGGCATCTCGTGAAAGACACTTTTGGCCTCAGAAATGCGGTTCCGTAAGATGATTTTCCCGACAGTAATTGAAGTTTCGAGTAACTTTCTATCAGAATCGCTCACAGCGACCTCACCTTTTTCTAAGAATCCTTTAAACGTATTCAAAGAGCTGGTGATATCTGAGTGAGTATACCCTGACCAGAAGAATGAAGCCTGGCGCAGATTGGAGACAAGACTCTGTAGTGCCTTTACTTGACTAGCATGGAACAAATAATCAACGTCCTTCCGCTCCGAGGTCACAGCGTTGCCGACAATCATCATGGCGAATGTATTCAATGACATTATGTCTTGCATAGAACCATCAAGGTAGACAACTTTCTGATATAATGGAGGCAGGGCAACGTCCTTCTGAACATCTTCCGGGCGATGACGGATAATCATGCTTTCCAATGTGGCTCTTAGACAATCCAAATTGCCATGGCTTTTTGAACCATGACGAGGTTGCATAACATGGTATACCCACGACGCTGTATCTTTGTCCTCTGGCCTATTAGCCCAGGGACGTGCCTTCAAATATGATATAGCGATATTCCCCAGCTTCTCGAGATCCTTGCGCTCCTGTCGGTTGAATAAGTCCTCCATCTCTGCAGCGCTCTTTGCGACGTGCTTGTTGCTCATAGTAGTCTTATTTGGACTGGGTGTGCCAGAATGGGACTCAGCAGCTTCCAGGGGCCGAGATGAATCTATTTCTACACCATAAAGCCCTTGAGTAGGAGTACCTGAAACAATCCATCGAGCATCAAGTCGCAAATCATCGACCACTGACAATGTCTCTGTTCGTTTCTTCGTTGAAGCATTTCCGAATGCATGGCCTTCGTCTGTGATGAGCCTTTTAAAGTGGAGGTCTTTTAGAGGGGAGCGATACACATCCTCCTCGTTGAAACAAGTACATGCGCGATCCCGTGTGGCGCCAATGTAAGGGCACCTGCATAGTTTTGTGGTGCTTCCCACATACCGGCCATGTTCATCAAAACCATCTTTGGACTCCTGCTTAAAGCGTTCCTTAGTAAACAAAATAATGTCATAATTGGCAAGAATTTTAGCATCAGGTAGCGTGTCGCTGGAAGATTGCATTACAAGAACATTCAGCTCTCCATCAGAAACATGCTTATTGATCTCCTTCTGCCATTGCTGTATTAAATTCGACGGAACAACCACCAAAGTCGCCGTCGATAGCCAAACCTTTCGTGCAGGGCTTGATATTGCATTGCGATGACTTTTTGACAAACGAGCCGGAGGTAAGGTGTAATAGCCAGCTCCCTCTCTAAGTAGTTCTTTCCACCGAGATGAATCATAACCTTCAGCCTCGTCGGCGGCGAAATAGTTTTTCCAAGGAGTTCCACTTCGCCCAATCGTATGAGCACACATTTCCGTGAGTGAGCCTGTCTTCTTACGAACTGGGATAGTCCCAAGTGAATGCACTGCAGGAATATGAGAGGACAAATCGCGGGTCGCCAGAATCAGTGATAGACAAATCAAGGTTTTCCCCAAACCCATAGTCTCCGCACATATTCCTCCTTGCGCAGTCTCGTAGGTTCTGGGTTCTACAAGGCAGGAGCTAGCACTAACATCACAATACCAGGTGGCACCCGCCTGGTCTTTGAGGTGCTTCAGCCTTGGATCGATCATTCTTGTAGGCTGTGCCTCGCGTTGAAGCATCAAAGCGGCAGAACGACACTGGTACTTGTACATCACGGTGTTCAAACCGCGAACATCATTATTCAGAAGGTCTTGCATGGCACTTCTGGCGTATGGATCTGATACTGCTTCGGGGTCGGGATTCGGTGACGGTAAGGTGTTAAAAAGCTGGAATAAAGACGGATCCTCGTGGGTCTTGCCATCGTCGAGCTCTGAGTTAATGTGGGCCACTGGTATCCTCTCATCCCATGAACCATTCCAAGTATGTGGCGAAAGATCTAGTTGGGAAAGCAAAAGTTTCATACACTTTCGTAGTGTCGCACTTTGCCTTGAGATGATAGCTCTTCCAACATCATCAGGTAAGATATAAACACGCACTTGGCCATGACTTGGGCCTTGCGTCTTAAACTCCATTCGAATCCATCCTTCAATATGCAAATTATAGTACGGCTGCAGGGATGGTGAACTGAAAAGCTGCTCTTGAAAATCTTCCTGTAAGAAGTGCTGAGCTTGACTGTACCCTCCTCTATGTGGAGAGAGAGCCGCCCAAGACACACAGGACTCCCAAGCCTGAACCTCAATTGGGGTAACACTTCTCAAGAGACGCAGACTACCAGCGGGTATGTAAATTTTTATGTCAGGCGCAACGCCCTTGAGCGACGGTTTAGTTTTGGAATCTGGAGATGAGGTAAAGCTGGACCTAAAAGGCAGCAGCGAACTGGGTGGGTGGTGTTGCTCATTTGCCTGAGGAGGGGCAGGTGTCTAATTTGCAGCCAACATGTTAGCACACGAACCTCTAAAAATGAATTTGCAACATGAGCATGCCGGTTACAAGAGCTATGCAACTGTGGTCCGTTGTTCAACAGCCATGCAGTTAGTGTCTCGGGCGCTCGAGGAGGAAGCTAACCTCGAATCCAGTCTCTTTATGCTGCGTGGCACTCAGTTTTTGCTTTTTCGACGCAGGCCCCCGTATAAGATCCATCATGTAATCCATCTTCAATGACGACGTAGGTATGAAAGGTGAAGTGTGTATTGCTGTTGTAGAATAGCTTGCCGGCCTATTAGGCAGTCGCAAGAGGTAGAAGCGTCAGCATCAACGGCAAGGAAGAAGCGCCCGATTTCTGTTCTTGGCCCATGAAGGTGTCGCAGCTTAGGGGAACAATCGAAAGGGTCTCAAACGATGTGAGAATTCCTCCGATGACACGAGTTTCAATGTGAGATACATCGTCTAAAAAGTATGGATGGAAGTCAGTGTTCCTGAAGGGACGGAATTACGCCGCACACTTTCGGCGCGTCATGACGGGCCCGACAGGGGCACGTTTAAAATGCAATTGTGCAGAAAAAGCCACTCTCTAATTCGACAACTTCATTTGATGCCAATATAATGATCTGGCAGTACTTGAAACCTGCCGAGGCATTTGCTTGAACGCTTCGGATTCCAAGTTGCCAACATAATGCTCAGGCACTTTCATAACCAGGCTCGAGGCAAGTGGTGCTACAATGTAACTCGGGCCATATTATGTTCATATATCGTGCCTATCACTATCATTACAATACATAAACTTCGTCAACGAGTCCAGAACAGTCCCACTCCATATTACTAATTTACCAATCCTTAATACCTTCTTCAGCGAACTCGTGGGGATCCCCACTAGCAGCAGCTCTCGCATTGCTGATTTCCCATTCGAACTCCTTCAATGCTCTGATTTCACTGCCAACAAATAGGCCACCGATGAGGCCATCAATCACTCCCGCGCTCAGCCCAAGAGTACTAAGCAACATTAAAATGAACGAAACGTAGTTCCTAGGGCTCCACCAGACCGCAACCAAACATCCAATGCTCACTACCAGCCACCCTCCGAAGTGATACAAACGATATCGACGTTGTTTAGCTTCCCGAGCACGGTATTTGCTGATCATTGCCAAAATTTCGTCATATGTCTGTAAGGGTAGGAATTGCGGCGCGCTGAACTTGAATTGGTCATAGACAGACTTGAACTCGCTTGAAGTTGGCGACGACAAATACACTCCATTCTGCATAGCGGATTCTTCGTCCTCCTTCATCTCAGTTTCCAATGATCTCGAATGTAGCAACGTAGTCTCAACAGAGAAGTGATCACTCAGAGAACACTGCAACTCGGGATGTCGAGATAGCATTCCAACCTTCGTCGATTTGACCACCCATCCTCCATCCGCCGGGTTTGCAGGGTTAAACGTGGTGTTCACAAAAATGTAATCCAGTCTCTTAGCTTTTGGATCTATTCTGTCTCCTGGGACCTCGATGGGTGGTCGGTTTGGCCCCAATAGCTTCTGCTGATCTTTGCTCCAACGCCACGTATTGTATACACTGTCGCATGTTGCGCCGTTCTCGGTGACATTAAAGTTAGCCGTAGGTATTGGTCGTCGTCTAGCTTTTTCGACCGGATCCTGCGCTGCTCCAAGTGAAGAGTCGGGGTGTAACAATAGCCAAACATCCCGAACCGGAGAGTGGGTACTGATGAGTCGATGGGCTAGGGATAGTGGTATCATATTAAAGTCTCCGAGCGCAAGAACAAGATGCCCGCGTTCCGAAGCCCCACGTATGAGCTTTGCTATTTCCCAAGCTTGCGCTGTCCGGTGGCATATATATGAATCGTTTGGTTCGGCTTCGTAGGGAGCATGAAGCTAGAGCTGTTAGTATACTGAAAAGTCCTGGAGATAATCGTACTCACATGTGTAGTAAACACTTCCACAATATCTTTCAAGCCTGGTCCATATCGGATCCTCGCACATGCGACGCCCTTTCCGACAAACCAGTCGCCTCTGAAAAAAGCTGTTGGTCTACCATTGAGAGGGTAGCGAAACATTGAACTCTCCTCTATCGGCCATTTTGACAAGATTGCGAGACCTCCGCCAAATATTCCACTATGATAGAATTTTCCATGAGGTAAAATGTGCTTGGTCTGTTTCCGAATGCTTTGGTAGTCTTCTTGTGTCCAACACTCTTGTAAACCGACGATTTGTGGCACTGGATCTGCAGCACCGATGCGCTTCCCTATTTCTGCCAGACGTTCATTTCTAAACTTGGCCAAATACTTAAGACCCCAGCAATTCAAAGTTATAACATTGATTTCCGAGACAATTGGGGTGTCGAAAGAATCCATGGTCGCTCGTTTGCTCACGTTCAGCTCGTGTGTTGGAAAGCTTGACAGAGAAAGGAGCAATGAAAATTAGGGGAAAATGGCACAAAGGAAAGAAACGGCCGTGCCTATGACTGCAAATCGAAATGGAATCTATGCGTAAACATTATTGCAATGAGCCTCGGCTTCGTTTTGCAACAGTGAAATGCAAACTCTCAAGCTGCTGACATCTATTCGTTCCAAGGCCACTCCTCAAACGCAATTTCAAGTGTTGCGAACGCATGACGTTCCTTTGTCGCGTCTGGCAAGGGTCCCCACATCACGTGATCAGGCGCGTCTCTCAGGAAACATTTACATCTCTAGATGAAAGCCTGCATGTTCTCAGCCAGTCCAATACCCACCAATCCGTGATGTCGGATTATGGCGATTCCGCCGACGGTACACCCGCGCCTCCACATCAAAGATCACCGAAACGGAGGAGAGTTTATAAAGACAGTGAAAATTCAACACCTCGATACAGCTCTCCTGACGGGATTGATGAGCACCGACCCTATCACTCTTCGAACCTAGACGACCGCCGAGCTTCAAATGATCGACGAAGGTCGCGGGATTCAGACGAAAGCGACGACAGACATGATAGGAAGTATCGAGGTCATACTACAAGCCGCTCCTCTAGCAGAGCAGATACCCCTCGATCGTCGCAATCACACAGCCCTTTGGATCCTCCTTCGCCGCCTCAATATAAACCGCTAAGGGTCAACTACAAACAGAAGTTCATTCTTAGGGGACACCGAAAGGGTGTGGCTCAGGTACGCTTCTCGCCAGATGGGAGATGGATTGCAAGCTGTTCTGCAGATGGCACAATTAAGATCTGGGATTCTGCAACGGGGAAACATGTGAGGACTTTGGAAGGCCATCTAGCAGGTGTCTCGACGATAGCGTGGAGTCCTGACTCGAATACCATCGCTTCTGGGTCCGACGATAAAACGATCAGGCTCTGGCGACGAGCAACAGGAAAACCCTATCCCGCACCGTTACTTGGACATCATAATTATGTTTACTCGGTTGCATTTTCGCCGAAAGGCAACATGTTGGCAAGTGGAAGCTACGATGAAGCTGTGTTTCTCTGGGATCTTCGCTCTAGACATCAAATGAGGAGTCTACCAGCTCACTCGGATCCCGTTGGGGGTGTTGATTTCATTAAAGATGGTACTCTGGTTTGCAGTTGTTCAACTGATGGGCTTGTGTACGCTGTTCCGATCCATCAATATCCCAACGGAGTTCGCTAACATTAATTACAGGAGAGTCTGGGATACTGCAACAGGTCAATGTCTCCGAACCTTGGTCCACGAGGATAACGCGCCTGTCACTCAAGTACGATTTTCTCCGAACGGACGTTACATCCTTGCTTTTACACTTGATTCCTGCATACGTCTTTGGGATTATGATCTGGGGCATTGCAAGAAAACTTACCAAGGTCACGTTAATAAGAAGTATTCCCTGGGAGGCGCGTTTGGGGTTAGCGGTACGGATGGTTTTATAGTTTCGGGAAGCGAAGATGGTGACATTGTGTTTTGGGATGCACAAAACAAGAACGTGGTACAACGGGTCAGCGGGCACGAAGGCGTGGTTCTCTGGGTTGATACGTGTCCGGGCGCAACTGGAATGATCGCAAGTGGTGGACTTGACGGGACTGTGCGAATCTGGGTTGACACCGATGAGGAAGAGACCATCGGCGCCTTGAAACTGGAAGATGAGGCTGCGGTCAATGGTTACGCCTTGGATATCAACGAGGCTGGTGTAAACGGCGACGGCATGGGTGGTGTGACTTATGAGAACGGCGCATTTGGATTTGAGCATGATACCCCAAGGGACGATATGAGTGTAGATGGCGGTGGAAGTTCCGACAAAGAACAGCCAGGTTCGGATACTGTTATGCGGGACTGAATGGGCTAAGAAATACCACGACCGTGGCAGCTCAAAGTTTTGAAGACCAAATGTGTTATATGTTAGCTGCTATCGACATGGCGCGTTTGTTCTCAGGTCGGTTTCACCTCTTTTTTTCACTGATGCCCTGTTCGGAAGCCTAGACCCGAACGCTCGTCTGCTTTGAATCAAGAGGCTCACTTCTAAACATTGGAGGCACGCTGGCGAACCACCATTGTCCGTGCACACAACAGTGCTTTTGGCAGCTTGGCGGAACCTAGGATACGAAGTGAGCAAGCGCCCTTTACGTACGACTCTACCAACAGATCAACACGGTGGTCAACCCTTAGCCCTTAGCACAAGCAACATGATGTGTGCATTGCTGTCAGACGATCATCAAACTGATCCACCACAGCCTACTACCCACAGTATCTTTACATATAAAGATAGTCCAACATGTTTAACACTCTCTCTGAGTTATTTCTCCCGTGCCTAGGCAATTCGACAGATATTTCTGCTTTATATCAATTTCTATTGTTAAGTGTTTTCAATTACGCTATAATGTCTTATACTCATCTATTGTCTTATGCTACGTGTTTCCTCACTCTGGGAGCACAATCACTTGCAGCTCCTGCTTCTAGGTCTACTGAGGCTGAGCTAGCCTTCGATGCTCTTCAAACCTATTACAATACTTCCAGTGGACTCTGGTCGACGACAGGATGGTGGAATAGCGCGAATTGCTTAACTACGGCTGGACAGCTCGCTGCCATTGATCGGAATATACTGCCCACAGCTGAAGCTGTTTTCTCAAATACTTTTGCAGAGGCTCAGAAGTTCAACCTCGGCACATTGAAAGTCGTGAAAGCCGACTTCAACATAGAGACAATGTCAGGACCCCCGGCACTGGCTGATATAAATACTCTGGCCCAGACTAATCCAAAAGGGTTTCTTAACGACTATTACGATGATGAGGGTTGGTGGGCTCTGGGCTGGATTCAAGCATTTGATGTCACTCAAAACGAGGAATATCTTGATACAGCTGTCGACATATTTAACGATATGGCGAAGGGAGCCACTACGCCGTGTGGAAATCAAAACCAGCCTATATGGTGGGACAAAAAGAAGACATACGTAAACGCAATAGCAAACGAACTCTATCTCTCAGTGGCATCACATCTCGCCAACAGGATCCCATCCAACGGAACATATCTCACCTCTGCTCAGAACCAGTGGAAATGGTTCCAAGAAAGCGGCTTGATCAATGCCCAAAACACAATCAACGATGGTCTCACAACTGCCTGTAAGAACAACAACGGAACGGTATGGTCTTACAATCAGGGCGTCATTCTCGGCGCACTCGTTGAACTCTCCAAAGCAACAGGCAATCCCTCACTTCTCGACACCGCCGCCACAATAGCCACCGCAGCTATCAAAGCACTCTCTGATGAAGACGGCATCCTACACGATGTTTGCGAGCCAAATTGCGGAGCAGATGGCGCTCAATTCAAAGGCGTATTCATGAGGAATCTTCGTCTGCTACAAAATGAGGCGCCAGATGATGAAATCGAGAAATTCATAGGTGCAAACGCTGCCAGTATTTGGAAGTATAATAGGGCAAGTGAGGCTGCTCGTTCGAATCTGCTTAGTGTGGTATGGAGCGGTCCGTTCATTGCACCTGCAAATGCAAGTACGCAGAGCTCAGCATTAGATGCATTAGTTGCGGCGCAGGCTTTGGGTGTGTTGCCCAGTAACGGGTTCTCAATCGCTAGTCGTCGTAGAAAATGAGGTGGGTTTACGTTAGGATCTGCGTTTCCAAGGTTGTTTTTACAGGCGTTCGGGGGATAATTGGTTTGCATTGGGGCTCAGAACTGGGTATGACATTCAGACGCATAGAGTTTGCAGATCATTCTACGGTACAGTAGCTTGGCTTGCCACGTGGTTGATTATTGTGGTAGCGTCGGTAATGTTTAACATTTGGGCTAGGTTGTGGCCGGCGGGTCTACATGAGCTGAACTATAGTTATGTCAAAGTCTAGAACTGACTTAGTACTAATGATCTATTTTCAAGTCTTAAATCTGCACTATAGAAAACCACAATTTGCAATTAAAGTTTGAATCAATTTTCGGTTTGTGTAATAGGGTGAGTCTCAACTCAATCTAATTAGCTTTGGTACGTGTACGCCTACTCGCTTGCAGCGCATTTTGCAACACAAACTGCTAAGAAGTGATCTTACAAGTGCGACACCCAACAGCTACACATTCTTGAAAGCTCACAATCTCCATCCTTCAAGCTCACCGTCTGGCAATCTCTCTCCCATCCAAATAATTCAATGCCCAAGAAACCCAAATCATAGTCCGTCTCCTCCAACTCCTCGTCCACTCGAGATTCCCACTCCGCCAGGCGAGCCAAGCCCCTGCTCCTGTCCAGTCACCTTTACCCTCCACAACACCATCATGTCTTCCAATATAAGCTACTAAAGGCTTCTGTTCGTAGTGGAACGCATTCGAGCGCTCACTGACATCCTCTGTTGAAATTGACATCTCGGACGTTTCTTGAAGATGTTTAGCAAGCCATTTAGCTTTTTGAACTGCGACTTCTGCCGTGGTAGGTAGTTCGGAGCCCATGATATCTGCTGCATCGCCTAAAGCGTAGACACCTGGGATAGGATCACTTTTCTCGTCGTTCTCTTTCTGCTGCTTATTTGGGGTTTGGAGCACACGAAGGTGTTTGTCTGTTAGAATCCTCTTCATTCCACCCTCACTTTTTCGGACATCAAGATCTTCGACCAGTTGAGAGGCTTTGTTTCCTGTGGCCCAGATACAAATTCCAAACCCTACTTCACCGTCTTCCTTGATCTTCATTGATCCTTGCTGGAAGCTCTCGATGTGGCGTCCCATTCGAGTGTTGACGTTCCTTCTATTGAATTTCTCCATGGCGTAAGCACTTAGCTCCTCGTCGAAAGGTCCCAGCAACTTTGGAGCAATATCGTAGACGCTTATTGAGACGTAATCTTTGAGGCTATGATAAAGGTGACTTAAGTGGCCATGTATCAGTTCATCGATTTCAGCCGCCAGCTCGACACCCGTTGGTCCGCCGCCCACAATTGCAAAGTGAAGTAGATCTCTCTTCTGCTTCTCGGAACAAATAGGTAAAGAAGCTAGCTCAAAGCAGTCCAGCATCCTCTCTCTGAGTTTCCGAGCATCTTTCACAGATTTCATGGTGTAGCAGTGTTCTAGCACACCAGGAGTTCCAAAAGTGTTTGTTTCGCTACCGGGGGCCAGGACAAGAATATCGTAGGACACCTCAAAATCATGAGCATCTACACCGCGGAAGGTAGGCCGTCTAGCGTCTCCATTTGAACCAATAGCCGGCGTGCACTTGATGGTTTTGGCTTTAGTATCTATCGATTTGACTTCAACTTGATACTTTTGTACACTTGGAGAGAGACTTAAACGTCGTACAGGTTCCTCTGCGAGGCGTAAATCAAATATAGAACATGCAGCTGAGGCCAGTAAAGGCGTCAGGGCCATGGTACGGTGAGGCGAAAGGATTATGAGGTTATGTGTTTTGTTGTAGGGAGCAGAAATTTTACCCAACTCTTGTGATAGTGTCCAGCCTGCCCATCCTGTACCAACAATCACTAGAGTCGGTTTTGAAGGATCCATGTTTGGCCAAGGTGTTGCAGGTGAGATAATTTTCCTGGTGCTAAAGCTTGTTTTTAAGTCTGATAGAGGTGTTTGCGTCTTCGTTACGAATCTAAGTTGATTGCGAGATAACAGAGTCAAGTTCGCCGTGGAGAACTTCTTTGGTATCTGGTCATTGACTTTTCGATTCGGCCAGATAGTTAATTTGTGGAAAGCGGAATGAGAATTTACTCGAAGAATCTGTATTCCTGAAGGCGAGAGTGAAGATGTCCGAAAACGGGTCCCTAGAGAGTGAGTATTAATAGTTCGTCGCATCACAGTTAAATTCAAAGGCTAGGTAGTAGTGAGAAACTGGCGGTTTCGTCACACTTATACATGATTTAGTGGCATCCAAAATACTGACGGCATTGACACTTATCGGCCCATCCGGACCCTTAGGACTAACAGTAGCTCGAACATGTACAAGGTTCGATCCAGGAACAGCGTAAGCGATACGGTAAAACCCCATTATGACACTGAACAATGCCGAAAACCCTTGTCGGTGTTAGCAAAATATTATTTTGCTGGAAGATTGTTCTGTTAGGTTGATTTCATTTCTCCCAGCCAAGAAATATCGGGTTGTACTCGGCGTTCGGAAAGAGTGACATGATTTGGCCGAGATACTTACAACGATACTTGTTAGGTATTTACAGCTGAGGACGACCGGGAATATTGCAAGCCCCCGCCATGCTATGCTCGTTTGCCCTTCGCTGTTTGTAGCGCATTCGTTCTTCGTACGAGTAAGTCGGAACGAGGATCAGACGGGAAATCGACGACAAGCATCGATAATAAATTGACAAGCAAGAAGCAATAATATTCTATTATTTTGTACAATGAACATACCTGATATGTCCTGTCTTTTTCTCTATTTCCCCTTCTTCACCCAATCCTCAGCAGCCTCACGCCCAGCGCTGACCTTATCATCCACAATACTGACAGCCTGTTTGGTATGAACTCTTGCCATCCTCCATGTCTTCTGAATTGCCTCTCTTGTCCGAAGGTGTGCATCCGCAATGACTGGAGACTTCTGCTCGTATTTCCACATCAGGTCCGAGACATTTCGCATAGTGACAGGGAGAACGACCCATCCAGCTCCAATACCAACGGCCAATGGAACTGCAGCTCTCAGTACAATGTTGCGATTCCGCGATATGATGCTTCCTGTCATCGCTGCGACCAGTACGTATATCGATCCTGGCATAAGCTTTTCGCCTGATTGCCGTGAGGGGGCTAAAGAAGCAATTGTGCTTGTAAAACTCTGCTCGAGATCCAGTGCCGAGTCCATCACGTCGTTTACTTTGTTTTCGGCGGCTACGACATGAGCATATATGAACATACGAGTCTTCCCTATTTGTACAGCAAGTCTATCGGTCGGAGTTGGAGTTGAAGACTTGGTCGGGGTTGCGGGTGAGTTGGATCTAGGGCTCGTTCTTGCGGGAGGGGTCGGTTCGGATTCGAAGTCATCGTAGATTGGTTTGCGCGCCTTTCCAGGTTGTTAGCATCTATTAGCCCAATCTAACAGGTTTCATCACCTGTGGGACATTGGGAGACTCTGCGTGCAATGTCGTTCGTGGGAAAAGCGCTATGCCAGCGGCCATAGCAGCACCAGTCGCTACAGGCGCAAAACGCTAAAGCGGTCAGTAAAATAGAATCAATTGGAATACCGAATGTACATACCTGCGGCGTGAACAATCGCGAAGCCATGTCCTAGCTGGCTTCGATGTTATGGCTCAAAGGAATAGGTGGGCTGGAGTTGAAAATAGGTCGCTTTGGCTTCCGATTGACGTCGCGTGAAATTATGCAAGGGTGCATAAACTAGCTTTTGCATGCACAATTGATGCTTGATGTTTCCGAGGTCTTCAACCGCCTTCTCGACATGCGCCCAGCAGTACTTTATTCCGGTTGTCAAGATTGGGCACGCTGGGTTACAACAAATCCACCGCAGATGTTGAAGCAAACCTCTTCGGTCCCATGGATATGCGCAAGATGTACTCGTCAACAGCAACCTCTGCGACGCCTTCTTCATACGTCCAGCTCCCGCCATGACAACAGCCACCCAGCAGCTGTACGCTCCAAGCAACCGAACACATTTTCTAGCATACAATCGAGCTCATCAAAACACAATGACCACGCCCTGCGTCAAATCTTCGACTCGCCAGCCTTCTGGAGCGAATTCTCCCAGCATTCGAGGGCTTCGTACATGAGACGAAGCCATGGGCTATTTCAGAATAAATACTTGACTAGTCCTGAAGGATTCGAGCGATTTGCACAGTCGAATCTCCGAAAAGCTAAGAAGATTGTGGATCAGGTGCTTCAGGCAAAGAGTAAAGAGGAATACGGCAAAGTGGTTAAGCAACTCGACAGACTTAGCGACTTGCTATGTAGAGTCATTGACCTTTCGGACTTTGTCCGAGCTACCCACCCAGATCGCCTAATAGAGGCTGCAGCTGTGAGGGCGCATTCCATAATGTATGAGTACATGAATGTTTTGAATGCCACAACTGGTCTGGCGGAACAATTGGAGGTTGCTTTGAGTGATGATACTAAGCTGTGGGACGAAGAAGAGAAGATGGTTGCCGATATTCTCCGCCGAGATTTTGCAAAGTCGGCTATTGATCTTCCTCAGAGTAAGAAAGATCGTTTCGTGGCTTTATCGCAAGAGATCAATCTTGTTGGTTCGCACTTCTCGGAGTCTATGTCTCCTGCCAAGCAGTATCTGACTTTCAACAAAAGTCAACTGCAGGGCGCAGATCCCATGCTCATTCAGCAATATAGTAATTGGGGACAGGTTGATCTACCGACTGTTGGGATGCCTTCACTCATGGCTTTACGGACGGTCAAAGACCCCGAAATCAGAAAGGAGATATTCATGGGAAGTCGTACAGCTTCTCGATCGACTGTTCGGATGCTGGAACTATTACTGAAGAAGCGATCTGAGCTGGCAAATTTGGTGGGTTTTGAAAGTTATCTCCATATGGCTCTCGAGGACAAGATGCTCAATCACCCCTCTTCGGTGCACAATTTTCTGTATCAAGTCTCACAGGAGAACAGAAGCCCAATGGCCGCTCAGCTCGACCAGCTCAGAGCAGCTAAAGCTCATGCAGCCGGTACCGCTAACAGCACTGGTTCTCATATTGATCCATGGGACAAGGAATATTATATGACTCAGGTACTTCAGTCAACTCGTTCAAAGCAGCGGAGACCGGATTTCTTATCCTCCTACCTCTCTCTTGGCACAGTAATGCAAGGACTCTCAAGATTGTTCTCAAGGTTATACGGAGTTCAATTTGTACCCCATAATACAATGCCAGGAGAGACGTGGAACTCAGATGTCCGTCGCCTCGACGTGATCTCGGAGACTGAAGGACTTGTGGCAGTCCTCTACTGTGACTTGTTCGCTCGCGAAGGCAAATCACCAAACCCCGCCCATTTCACTCTCCGTTGTTCGCGCTTTATCAGTGACGAAGAAATAAATGAGTCTCGCGAAAGAATGGAACCGATCTTCGAATCCCCAGAAGAGGCATCTAACGACGGAATGGCATACTCTAGCTATGGTCAAAAAGGAGGTATCATGCAACTCCCGACCATCGCTTTGATATGCGACTTTTCCCTTTCCTCAAACCCACGGAAACCAGCACTTCTCAGCTTCGGTGAGGTCACAACTCTATTCCATGAGATGGGCCACGCAATTCATTCCATTCTTGGTCGAACCCGATTTCAAAATGTTTCCGGAACAAGGGTTGCCACAGATTTTGCGGAATTACCTTCCATATTAATGGAACATTTTGCTGCTGACAAAGACGTCCTATCGCTATTCGCGCGCCATTACGAAACTGACGAGCCATTACCCTATGAGATGATCACCGACCAACTATCTTTTGAAAAGAAGTTCGAGGCTTTTGACGTGGAAAATCAACTTACTCTCTCTTTTCTCGACCAAGCTGTCCACTCACCCGCTGCAGCGCAGGCTGGTTTTGACAGCACGGCTATATATCACGCTATGCAAAGCAAATACTCGCAGTTCGGACCTGATCCCAGAGGGACTTGCTGGCAGGGATTCTTCGGCCATCTATTCGGATATGGAGGAACATATTACAGTTACCTCTTTGATCGTGTGCTTGCCAAGCGAATTTGGCGCGATGTCTTCAAATCGGGAAAAGAACGTGGCGCTGTTACCAGAGAGCATGGTGAGAGATTCAAGTCCGAGCTGCTGCAGCATGGGGGTGGGAAAGATGCCTGGGAGTGCTTGAAGGGTGCTACAGGCGATTCAAGGCTATCTAAAGATGCTGATCCGAAAGAAAAGGCGAGTGTTATTGGGGGAGGTGGCTTAAAATGATTAAGGTATGGTCAGGTGAAAGCACGCAAAGGAAGCGATAGCATTGTATGAATACTCCATTTTACGAAGAAAGAGAAATGATACAGGTGAATAGGATATATGATGTACTTGACAAATGTATAATACAAATGTTCAAATTAGCTCTGTCCTTCACAGAGGATAACAAAGCACACGATACTGGGTCAAGAAGCTTCGGTCTGGCTCAAGTGTATCATTCGAATCAGTACAGCTTAACTGTCTTTTGTAACTTGTTTGCATAGGATCTCAAGATTGAATGAGTGGTATGTACTATTATATACCATACCATTAGCACTACTTTAGCCTTTCAATTACGGCGGCAGGCCTTTGGATAAAATTCCACTACCGTTGTGATAATAGGCTTACAGGCAAAATCAGGTCTGAAAGGCAATTTACTCTAAATCTCAAACACTATGTTGGTCTTGACAAGTTCGATTCTGGAGTTACTCAAGGATTTGAATTAATCTTTCGGATAGTAAACTTGTTTCGAACAATCAGTCAGTCCCAAACTCTGGTATACTGGCGAGACTGGGGAGGTTTTGCCCAGGGCGGTCAAGCTTCTTGCTCTAAACCCGCCTAGCGTTGACCCGCACTCGATCTGTCGTCCAATCCCGACTCTGACTCATGGCATAACCCCACAATACTTCCACTGCAAACGACCCCTCCATTTTCTACAGCCAACACTGAGAAACCATTTTGACTCATTGAGGTGTCTGCGAGGGTAAGAGTCAATTCCAATCTGCTTCCGTGGATTTGCTGATTTATAAATGCTAACCTTTTCTCAGTTTCATTCTGGATTTGAATCCTCACTACCAGATTCCCCATTGAGAAAGAAAACACCCCTCCCTCAACCATGGCCCCCCAAATGAGCCCAGAAGACTCAATCGCCTTGATTAAAGCCAACTTGCAAGAGGTCCTCAACCCAGAAATCATCGACAATGTAATCCTCAAGGAGAAACGTCCGCTGAAAGTCTACTGGGGAACCGCGCCCACTGGAAAACCACATTGCGGTTACTTCGTGCCCATGATGAAAATCGCCGAACTCCTGGCTGCTGGCTGTGAAGTCAAGGTCCTTCTCGCGGATATCCATGCTTTCCTAGATACGTCGATCATCCCATTGGAGCAGGTCGCCGCGCGTGCAAAATACTACGAATTTGTGATCAAAGCACTGCTTACAGCTGTGGGCGTGGACATCTCGCGTTTGATCTTCGTGTTGGGGAGCAGTTACCAATACTCGATGGAATATACACGGGATCGTTTCAAGCTAGATGCCGTAACGCGCTACCACACAGCGCTGAAAGCCGGGTCAGAAGTCGTGAAGACGAGCGCAGAAGGTGCAACGATAGGAGGCCTCCAATACCCGGGCATGCAATCTCTAGACGAAGAATACCTTGGTGTAGACGCTCAATTTGGAGGTGTAGATCAGCGTAAAATCTTTGTCTTCGCCATCGAAAACCTACATATCGTGGGTTACAAGTTACGAGCACATTTGATGAACGCGATGGTGCCAGGTTTGGGCGATGCCGTTAAAATGAGTGCTAGCGATGCGGATTCAAAAATTGATCTTCTGGACAACTCAGCAGATGTCGCGAAGAAACTTAAGAAAGCGAAGTGTGAACCTAAAACTGTCGAGGGAAACGGCGTGGTAGCATTCGTCGAGCACGTCATTCTTCGTGCCCTGAAGCTCAAAAATGCGGGACCATTCATCGTCGAGAGAAGAGATCAAGAACCATTATCCTATGAGTCAGCAGATAAATTGAAAGAAGATTATACTGCAGATGTTCTGACCCCACAACTACTAAAAGCGGCTGTCACAGTCCAACTCAACAACCTTCTCGCGCCAATCATACAGGCCTTTCAAGAATCGAAGGAGTGGCAGGATGTAGAAAAAGTCGCTTATCCACCTCCAGCCGCGAAAGTAAAGAAGGAGAAGAAGGATAAGGGCGATCCCGCGAAGAGAGCTGCGGCGGCGGAGGCTAGGAAACTAGCATTGGGAGAGGGTGGTGTGGAGAAGGTTGTTGAGGATGTGAAGAAGTTGGATGTTTGATAAATGGATGCGGATGTGTTAGTGACGAAATGTAGTGTAGACAAAAGCGAATACCCGGAATGTAAGAATGACATTTCTACCTTAGTCATGTTGTGAATATGAATGGCTAGACCTTTGAGTGGGTTCGGAGGTGGATATCATCGTTGTATTGGAAGGGAGTTTTGAAAGGGATCTATTGATGGAGTGCTATAACCCCACGCACACATTCACATTCAGAATTTAAGTATAGTTGTGTCTCTGCAAAGCAGTGCTAATTATATGTGTAGTAGATAGTCAAGTCCAAGATTATTACCAAATACATCTTATTGTTGAGATAGCAACTCAACTCGCTTGATCGAGCTTCATGTAATAGCTATCCGTCTGCCAATTTGCCCAGCTCCTTTGCAAAATAACTACAATTTATCCTCATACTTCCTAACCCACCTCGTGGGCCCCACAACAGAGAAAACTCCCAGATTCGCAGAGCGAGACACCCGCCGTCTTCTCGCACAGAATATCCTTTTCTCTTCTTCTTTCTCTGTCCACGTTGCTTAATATGTTACCCACACTATATCATGTAATCCCAATCGGCTCATTCTTCAACTCCTTTTTCTAAAGTGGTGTTCTCCATCGCTTCTCGCGCTGCCAAGTATACTTTTTCTTCGTCATCCGGCTTAGGTCTTAGAGAATGTGGTAGGAGAAGCTCCTCCAATATCTTTTTATTCCTTTTCTCCAGCGTCATCGATTCACGCTGCGGCTTCATGTAATAAACAGACTTTTGAGTACACTGCATTGTTCGCTGACCCCTTCTTCTGTTGTTGCCTTCATCTTCCTCTTCTTCGTCGTCGTCGTCATCTTCGATGTCTGAATGGATGCGCACTGTGAATCTCTTGCTGACGTTGAATTCTCGGAGCCCCTTCAGCACTTCCAGTTTACCCCGTCCCAATGCAAGATCATCCACATAGGGTTCATACACTCACAAGTAAAGACTGAGGCATTCCAAGGACAGCAACTTTGATATGTCCTGGCATGTTGACCTGAACTCCTCAATACTGACTGGCCGTTTTGTTACCCAATCGTCGGACACTTCGATGACCAGATGTTTGATACCCCTAACTATAGCTGGTCGGTCTTGGATGAGCGCTTTGAACTCCTGCAGGTGGCCGTCCATTGCAGAAAGTACTAGTTTTGTCCTTCCCCAATATACTTCTGCTATTTCCTTTCTGAATAAAGAGCTCGCATGTTGAGCCTTTCGAAGCCACTTTAGTAATTCATGACAGCAAGAATCGGGGTCAAGGAATTGTGCTACCGAGTCATACTGTGGGTGGCAACTCAATTCGTACGGGAGATTATGCCCCGGGCGAGGCGAAACAAGAGGGATAGTTTGGAGTTGCCCATTTACTTCACACTTGCTGACGTGAACTACCATGTACTGTTCTCCAGTATCCTCATCATTTAACCAAAGGGGACTAAGCAAAAGCACATATATCCGTCGTCGGATTTCAAGTGGCAGTTTAAAGAACGCAAATGGCGTAGATCTGTCATGAATTAGCTTCGGAGTGACCCACGCTACCAGCTACGAGGGATACCTATTTACTCTTCAAGATCAAGCGACTCATCATTCTTTAGCTTACTGCTATTTTTGACAACCGCTCTGCTTTCACTCAACTTCTCCCAGTCTGCTAAGTCGTGTGGATGCATGCCTAGAGCAAGGTCTCCGTAACCGTTGTAGTAAGCTGCGAGTCTTTGCTGTAGAGCCATGGCTGAGGACGCATCGACCTTTTGAGTGGAGGTGATATCCTCAATGACTACTAATCAATCAGCTTCTAAATCGGAAAAAAAAGTTTATCTGAATAGAAATAAGTATAGCTATGTTTCCTCCATCCAAAGTAACATAGAGAACATATAAAATAAAAATAAAAAGGTGGCTCACTGCCTCCATCGTTAGACTGACAGCGTTGTTTTGGCGACAAATTAGGCGTCTTGGATGTGCTCGAATGAGGATTTGGCGGATTCGAAAGTCCTGTTTCTCAATCAGCTTCAGTCCTAAATTAAGTCTGGTTGAGCGAAATTTTGACATCATCCGAAAAACAACAATGTAGAAAAGATCAAACCATACCATAACTTTTTTCTTTACTGGCCATTTTGATGTTCCGCAGTAATTAGAAAGGAAAGGTTTTATTGCACAGAGTTTGTATTGGTGGATGTTTGTTTATTGGAGAACAATTAACTTCATCAAAGCACGGAATGGCTTAAATAAGAATGTTTATTGCTCTTAGACCTGAACTACACTAACCATCGATTGAGACTTTCGAATTCAGTTTGGTATAACTTAGAACTTGAGAAGCAGCTGAACATCAGGTGAATATCAAGGCGATCACTATAGATCTAATGTCGAAAACATGAAAATTCGGTTTCCTCAGCGAATAATTATGGCTCATGTGTTCACGAAAGTCTAGTGATGGTATACACAGCCACACCTTTACTTGATGATATCAACAATGAATCAGATCTGTTCTTAAGTTTGATCATGAGTTCTGAATAGAAAGCTTCACACTTCAAGTGTGTTATTTTGAGCGAAGTCCAATAAATCATACTTAACCATGCCTAATTCGCTCTGATTATATGTCTCTATAGGTTAATATTTCTGGAAGAGCAATTAACCTAATTAAAATCTGGGTAATGTAAAGAATAGTGCTCGCAGATAGAACTCCTCTTTTTTCATCTTTAGTATTACCAATTCTACTAGAAGCATCATTAGTATCATCAATTATTAGTTTGTCATTGCATGGTGTTACAATTGAAATTCTAAAAGTGATATGCAGATGCATATTTACTTAGCGAATCCAGTTGTTCCTTTTCATCTAAATAATTGGTCTCACTCGTGAACATGTCAGACAAATGAGGTGGATTTTTGTAAACAGTGGTGGCAGTTGTTCATGTCTTCTGGAAAAGGGACATTCTGGGTGGGGAACTATTTATTTGTTATCCTTTTCGAAGTGTGAAGTTTCTCAAGCAAATTATACCTCAAAGGCAGAGCATTGACTTAAATACTCAAAAAACATCTACATCTTGTCAATCTTAATATAAATCAACTTGCACTCATGACTTCAGGTGTGATAAAGGTATATTGGTGTTCTTTATGCAAATAAAAATGAGAAAACCACTCCGTATACCCTGCTGTGCGTCCTATTATCAAATCCTCTGTCTCGAGTTTGACGTGGAACATGTCTAAGTTTATCTCCAAAACTTCCGAGCTTGTTCCAAGTCGATTTTATTGACACCTTTGTTTCTCCGGGCCTGTGTTCCTGCGTCCAGCGCTCTCGCGTTCAAGTAAATATCTTTATCACAAAGTCTCTTGTTTCGAAGACTATGAGGTAAGAGGAGCTCCCTTAATTTTGGCTCATATATCTTTGCAAGACTTGCATGATATATTTCAACATCTAAGAAGGTGCCTTGTAATTTAGGGTCTCTCCATTTCCGTCTCTTTAGATGAATCCAAAGCGTAACAATAAATGTTTGGTTGGTGTGGAACTCTTGGAAGCCTTTCAGAGCTTCAAATCTTCCGGCAGCCTGCGAAAGACTCCCTAGGTCTTCTTCGTCAACATGAATGTGAATATGAAGTGTCTCTAAAGACAACAGTGACGAGATAGCTTTACACTCAGACCCCAATGTTCTTCTGTCCAACCGAACACCTTCGGGGATCCCAAGCCCAAACGATGCCCCTATGGTTAGGCGCAGGTATTTGATACCGGCAGAAATGGCTGGCCTATCCTGAATGAATCCCCGTAGAATACTCAGATCGTTGACGGTCCTATAGAATGCCAACCGGGTTCTACACCAGAACACTTCCGCAAACTCTTGCCTGAAAACACAACTCAGGTTCGAGACCTGACGAAGCCATTCTAGATAACCACGATCCCGTGCTTCAGCCTCGGAAGGATAATCATTATCATCACCAGTCTGCGGATAGCATCTCATATCGTAGAGAGAGCTCCGAGCTGGGGGTGCAAGCAGGTGAGTTGCTGAGTCTGCTAAGATAGGTTCTTCTTGCTCGTAAAGCAATATCGGAATGTACGGTTTGCCTTTCTCTCTATAATCTTCATGCCAAAGAGGGCCAAGCAACAACCGATAAATGCGGTGACGAATCTCGAGTGGTAGTTTGGAAAAATTTAAAGTGGCCGGATCTAAACAAGGTTAGCAGCGAAAGAACGATTTGCGGTTGACAGGCAGGGTCCTTAACATTTCCTTATTGCAGCCCCGAAAGGGTTCGACGACAGGAAGTCCACTTGGGAATTCCATAGTCACACGCCCCCACATCATTGTCCATTCTGACATCGCCTCCTCCGGGACTCTATTTATAGCAAAATCGCCATAATCATTTCTGTAGACTGCAGGTCTGTCGTAAGGGGCCAGTGGCAGAGGAGTCGCTTGGCTACCCCCCAAATCCTGGTGCTCAGAAACTACTTATCATCAGTATGATTATCCAAACTGGAACAGAGTTGAGTATTGCCATAACACTCATACATAATACGTTGACACAAGAGGATCTCTGCTGAGAAAATAATTCCCCAAGAGAAGTGGAGAACTTACCGACTTCGTTAACACATATGACTTTATTCCCTTGAGTTTCGGCCATTCTCGGTGGTTCTGCGTCGAAAACGACAAGAATCTACTTGATAATTTAGCTTTGTCTCTTTGCACGCTCCCAATCTAAACAGATTCAAGAATCGACGAGATTCATTTCCTGGCAGTCCGACTCGAGTAGGGCAGTTTGGGGAATGGGGAATGTTGAAAAAGGTTACACCAATGGAACCCCAAAAACTCTTAAATAGATGTTCAGGACGGTAAAGGATGAGTTTACTACTCGCGTGCTGAAATTCCCATTCCAATGAGTGAAATCATAAACGTCATCTTGTCTTTTAACAATGAACTTCGCTAGTAAAATATAGACCATTCGAAACCTCATAGTGAATGAATGTGTATTCCAGATTGCCCGTGAACTTACTTGAGTAGGGTCTTTATTCGAAATAAAATATCACCCCTTATTTACAGTAATACGTGAAGTTATATACTATGTGATTACAATTTTGAATCATGTAACTTCACCCATTGTCCCACGAGCTACGTATTTTTAATTTGTGGAGACAGATTTCTCCTCCAACAAACACTATTTCTGACCTCCCACACAAATGTACACACTAAAGACCGAGTTTACACAAGCTTCAGATGAGCGGGATGAATTAGGATATGCTATTTCAAATCTTTCTGAGCCTGTTCAACCTTCAGAGTGGACCTGGCGCACTTAGCTATGGGAGGGCACAGAACCGAGAATGTTGGTATAATATCCCTTCTGATGAGTTTTAGAAATCACTAATCAAGGCCGTTGGGGTATAATATTCCAAATATTTGATCTAGTGTACATAAACTTACAATTCCTTAGGTTCTGGAATTTGAGTAGCAAGCCATCTATACACGTCGGTTCAGCTGACAGGTAAGCAGCCAAAGAAACTATAGTATCGTATTTGTCCATCGTATGGGTTTCCAAACAAGCAGCTCTCAGTATAATACGCTGTCTACCATTGCTACCATGTTACTCCATATTTCTCGCTCAATCATGGAAATTTAAGCCTTTTGGTTATGGATGATTGTGAGCTTTCCAAATTCTCGATTTGCCAAATGACAGTAGAAATATCAAATTTTGGATAAGACATAGCATCAGGTGACGGAGAAGTTGTTTCGAGCGCCGATTGGAAATTAAAATACATTTGGCCGAGAGCTTGGTCCGACTCGCAGTGGACATAATAAGGATAATAATTCGCAGTGGCCGCACCTTGTTTTCTAAATATAATCTTTTTAACGCTATTTGAGATAAATTTCAATTTATAGTACGAATCTATCGAGGGTTAGGGCACTCCAATGAAAAAGCTATTCGTGCGAGCATTCTTTATTGTCTGAGCGATTTCTATGTACATTGGGCAACTCCCGTACACGGACTGTGTTATAACGATTCCATTTCCCAAACTCCAGATTTAGATTCCTGTTTTCACCGCTCTCCATGAAGGCGTAACTTTGCTTGGTAAAACTAAGGTTACAGACATCTTTGATATACCTTGACTCTCCTTGCCAATTTCAGTTTGAGCTTGAATTATCATTGTCCTGTCGTCAAGAGTTTTGCACCAAGCAACATCTTGGACACATTCCATTCCGACAAGATGTCGTTTAGAACCCTTTTGCTCGTTCTTTCAAGTACTTTTCTTCTTCAGAGAGTTCAGCAGGGTGAAGGCTGACAGGCGAGAATCTGTTCTCCAAAATCCGTTCATACTTAATGGTAAGGGGACTGAGATAATTATCCGAGTCCCTAAATTCTTTTTCAGATTTAGTCATGCTGTCGCTTATGGTTGGGTCAATGTAAAGCCAGATGGTGAACTCCTTGCTGACGTTAAACTCTCGGATCCCGTTCAAAACTTTGTATTTACCCTCTCCTAAGGCAAGCTCGTCGAGGGCGGATTCAGGTGCTCCAAGTACGATCATCAGTTTCTCCAAAGATAGAAACAAAGATAACCTCCTCAACTGTTGTATGAACCCATCTGTGTCCACTTTTCCTTCGATATCTTCAAGCATGTATTCCATCGCAATATATAAATACTTGATACCCCTTGATATTGATGGCCTATCTCTGAGAACGTTCTCTAGATGCAAAAAGTTGTGTCCATAAGATTCTAGCGTCAACGAGGTTCTACACCAGAAAACCTCCGCAAATTCTTGACGAAACGAACAACTCGTATGCGAAATGCGTCGGAGCCAGTTGAAGTAGGCTTCACCAGGGGGTGTGTCGCTAGTTTTGAATGGGTCAATCCATGTATCCGAGGTGATGCAGTCCCAACAGTAAGAAGTATTAAATTCTGGATGAGGAGAAAATGGGAATCGGTTTTCAGCAGATCCTTGCTTGCGAATAACATTCAGGGGAATTCGCCATTTATCTTGGCTGTCGTTCCGCACCCACAGTGGACCAAGAAGCATTTCATAGATCCGTTTGCGAATTTCGAGTGGCAATTTGAAGAACTCGAATGCATCTGTCCTGTAACAAAATTATTAGCTTTCATAGCATAGCATCAGTGTCTTATGAAACCGTTCCCTTACCTTTTAGTATTGAGGCTTTTAACATTGTCCAGAGATGGGACTACTTTATTCCCTAGTTCTTTTGAATGCCTTATGGGTAAGACTTGCGCTTGTGTTTGGCTTCTTCTCATTCTCGTGTTAAAAATGAAGTCGCCGTAACCATTGTTGTAAACTGCAGGTCTCTGCACCACGGCTGGCAAACTACCCATGTTCTGAGGTGGGTTTAAAAATTTCGTAACTATTAGTAAGTCAGCTTTGTGATGCAAACGGGAGCTTGGGACAACTCGCCTTCTGTGATCGAAGATCGATCCTCAAGTGAAGTTGTATCTCCCATCGTTGATCTCTTGGATTCGATGTTGAGAAAAGACTGTCGAGGAAGTCTTTTGGTTGTTTCAGAAGGGGGTGAAGAAGCTGTTCTAAACCTGGTCTCCGCAGAAACTCAGATCTAGAAAGAATAATTACGTAACGTAGCACCTAAGATCCCCAGACTACTTGTGCTGAACAAAATGGGATGATTTGATACGTTGAATCAATTGAGATGCTGAAGGTTGATTATTGAATGATGTTGTTGAGAAATAAGAGGAAATCAAAGATGATCGTGTGGGTCTTTTAGCAAAGAGCTTCTCTACTGGCTCCGTGTGCTTTGCTTGAGTTCACCTTCACTTTAGCAGTGTTGCAAGTCTAACTGGAAGCCTCCTTACGGTAGGCGAACGTTGTTCTACCCAAAAAACTATATCTGCTAAAACCATATGAGTAAATGTACAAGAATGCCTCTATTGTGAAGGGTAAATATACCTCAATAAATAAAGCATGCTAGAAAGTCGTTTCCTGGCATTAATGTACTGGTACTTAACATAGTGAATAAAGAGATCGAACGATTTTCAGTAAACGCCCCCAAAAGTTTTATTGGGACTTTGCATTCAACTGGCAAGACGTACTTCATTTCGTGCTATCTCTTTTTTTCTTTAATGCCCCTCTGTAAAAGTCTAGTTACAATAATTCCCCTCCTTGAGGCCCACATTTAATTGCTGGTTTCGTATTTTTGCCTTTAATCTTCATCAACTATAAATATGCTCGAAAAATATTAGAAGTGTTCCCAGTCAGAACCTGACTTCTTTTCATATCCATTTTGGAGCTGCATATTATTCGTCTTGCCATCGAGAATGCTCTATAGCGTCGACATCTTCCATTTCCATAACACCTTGGCTATTGCTCTTTCGCTCGTGCCTTCAAATACTTTTGTTCTTCGGTGAGTGGGGTAACCCGCAGAGAATTAGGCAAGATCCTCTTTCGCAATATTGGCTGGTATGCATTTTCAAGCTCTCGGCGGCGTGATTCTCGGTTATTGTATCCCCAATAACCATCAGGACGGACTGCGTCGAATATTGCTTGGATGCGCATTGTTAAACGAAAGTGATTGCTGACTTTCAGGTCTCGGATCACTCGCAGATTTTTGTACTTCCCTTCTACTGTGCAAAGCGCTTTTACCCTAATCTCGTGTATACTTATGGAAAGATCCAAATCTTCCAAATGCACAAGCGAGCTTAAACTCCCAAACTGATGGGAAAATTTATCTAAATCTATTGCTTTGCCCGGCATTTCACTCTCCTCGTTGTCGGACAAGTGCAATATCAGCTTCTTGATACCTGAGCATATAGCAGGCCTCTCAAGAAGGAGCTTCTCCATATAAAAGAAGATGCGACGCGTACTTCGAAAATCCAACAAACGAATTGACGTCCTACCCCAGAAAACTTGTGCTAGTTCTTTTCTGAATAAGCAGTTTACGTTGGACATTTGTCGAAGCCAGTATAAGTAAACCTCATGGCAGGAAGAAGTATTTGATTCGTCAGAAGGCTTTCTGCTAGCAGTAAACATATTCTCATCTCCACCAGCGTAGCACGCACCGGTGTCGCACTTCAAATTGTATGGGAAGCTACGATTTGGGGGAGGAGGACAAAGTGGTGGATGGTTGCCGTTTTCCCAATCTTGTTTATAGTTTCCCGGGCGTCCTGGACAATATTCGATTCTGATATTCCATTTGTCATTGTCGACATTGTATGACCAAAGAGGGCCGAGAAGGAGGGTATAAATTCGTCTACGAATCTCTAGCGGGAGTTTGAAGAATCCAAATGCGCCAGTCCTAAAGCAAACTACTATTAGCTTTCCAAGTATAACACTGGCTTCAACAGCAAAATCATCCTACCTTTCCAAAACAGAAGTCTGGAAGACTGGGATCACCATGTGATTGTTTACGCTTAATTTCTTCGTCTGGAAATGAAACATTCTCAATAATTGTTTTTCTTCTCTGCCGAATATAAAATCGCCGAAACCATTGGTGTATGTCGCTGGCCTCAGGGGAGATACTGCGACGAGAGAGCCGTCCATGTTCAGTGCTAGGCTTGCAAGTTTTGTAACTATCAAACAGTTAATTCCTGTGTGAACGAGGGCTGAGGTGACTCACTATCTGATACAACAGAATGTTCTTTATGGGGGTTCGAACCGTCCATCTCCGCTATCTTAAACTATAACGTGTCGAAAGAGAATCGACAAAATTTGTGAGCTCTGGTACAGAACCCGAATGGAGCACCACTTCTGTTGTGCCAATACTAAGACGGTCGAACGGACGCGTTCCGATCAGTTTAAATGTTGGACGTAAAAACTTTCAACGGTGAATATAATAGTGCTTGAGAAATAATAAAATTGGGTTCTACATGATCACAGGACGTATTCTTAGGGGCTATGTATTCACTTGCGAAACAACTTCATGGAGAGGTACCCTCGGTCAGAAGACCTAACTTCTGAGACTATGGTTGACCTATGAACAGCTTCTTTAACATGAATCAATAACATGGATCAATATTTCACTAGCTATAATAAATTCAAGGAGATTACCACGACTCCCGAGGAATCGTTTTCTCTTTTCTTCACACACAACATCATCTTACCAAAACTTCCCTTTTCGCTCTTAGTAAACGAACCATAGCATTTTTCTACTGCACTGAGGAAACTTTGTACCATGTCATCATACAAACAAATACGAAAATGCAACTCGCTGTTTTTCGGTTGTTGGCTCTGCTCTAGGTGTTTTCGCAAGCGATACCATTCCCAACAAGGCTATTGCCGCTGGATGCGTAAATAAAGTTCCATCTAACGGAGACCCTGCTAAGGTATGTCTGTCACTATTTTCGGGTTAACTTTCGTCTAAATATACGAAAGAAAGCGTTGACTATTCTCCACTACTATTTCTAACATTGCCTCACATATTACAAATTTTACCGTAAGGATCCGCTTGGCCACGATCTTCACACTTACCAGACCGCTGAAGCTACACTAATCGTTCAAGACCGCGGCCAGTCACAAACTATTGAAGAGATTGCTGCTTAATGGGGGAATTTTGGTCTCCTTGAAGTTCCTGCTGGAGGGAATCCAAAGAATGTAAGTATCTTCTAAACCTCCGTAACACATCTAGCATGTGCAACTGCTTCGATATATATTACCGTAAATGTCGTGATCACCCACTCGGTCATGGCCCTGAAGTTTTGACTGATTCGGCATCCACAGTCGCTGTCTCCAAGTGTATTTGGTTGGTTCGCCTTCACTTACCAGGCATGAATCTATCATTCAGAGAAATTCACTGGAAACTGTACTAGAGGGTCCGAGAAATTAATAGACATATGCTACTACAAATGAACCATATTTTGTATGTTGCTGACGATTGCTTCTGAGTGATGTAATGCGGGCAGCGACCAGACACATTAGGTAGTACACGTGCCATACTTTCTCTTGACACAGTTCACTCCTCGTCAAACAAAACAAATTCCTGGATGCAACGGGTCACAGTAATGAGTCACCGAAGACTCTCTAAGAATAGTCTAGCGTTGTTTTGAAAGACGTAATTTCTAACGAAGTCAATTATCAGTGAGCACCCGACCCCTGCCATCTTCAATTTTCCAAATCATGTCCAATCAACATTTGCATCAACCTCTAACAAGCTCGACAATTTGTCCAAACAAACAGCAGACATTTTTCACGTCAACTCACACATTTTCGGCGGATTATTTCAGCTCTGGGAAATTTGACACTTTTTTGCACTCCGACCTTTGCAACTGTGATTCACAGTCACGACATTTGCAAGTGCCGTAGTCAAGAAAATTGGGTGACATTTTGTGCACAAGGTTGCTATCTGCAATTAATGTGAGTCAGTTGGCATGGTTGCAAACGTAATCCTCATTCCACCTACGTGCATAACTAATACAATCTGTTGAATCAAGTCTAATCACTTCTTCATAGTTTTCGAAACGTCGAAACCACCATCACGCACCTCCAAGCGGAAAGACATGAATTCGTCATCACAAGAAGATCTCGTCTCGACCCAAACCTCATTTTCTCCATCCGCGAACCTTACTACCATCGACGGCAGTCCAGGCCAGAACCACGAATTATCCACGAGCCCTCGTCTCGAAGATGGTATGCTTCCAGAATTAAATGTAAACGAAGACAATGGATTTGGAGACTTTGGATTCAATCGTCAAGTTGAACTAGATTATGGACGAAAGCTTGCAAACTTTTCTGTTAGTCCAAAACTACCTGATGTTGAAGGCACAGAAGATCATCCAAGGTGAGTAAACAGGCCCCAAAAAGACGATAATTGGATTAACCAAAGTCAAAGATCAGGCGTGTTTTGTTTCTTCAATTTGCCCATCGAAGTTCGCAAGATAATCTATTTTTATCTCATTATACACATTTTAGCATACGACAAGTCACAAAAAGCTTGGGAATTCAATATGGTGCTCGACCGACCGCGAAAGAAAATGCATCCAGTGTTACCTTTACCGAAAATTTCATGACAGATGAAGTTGTTCTATGGGAATACCGTGAAAGGTTTTATAATGGTTCCAGTTCAAATGTTTTTTCGAAAGAGGATTTCAAAAACATCGAGAAAAGGCTTGAGCCGGAAGCATACAACAGGATGAAGCTGAACTATGAAACTAGGGCCAAGCGCGAAATGCATGCCTTTATGAAACACCCAAGACGTAGCTCTCTGTACTACAAGGGAATTCCTAAGACTGAGGAGAGTTCCTGCGCGGGGCAGTCTTCTGCTTGTGGTTTTGTATCTACATTCCCACCTATGGACTGGCTTAGACTTCTATCGCACGTCAATAGAGTGTTCAGAGACGAGTTAGCCAAAGTTATGTGGTCTCAAAGCACGATTGAGGCTAATTGGGACATCGGTGGCTTTCCAAAAGCACTTGTAGAGTTCATTCAAGATGCACCTGCAGCTGTCGCTCATGTCCGGAAGATATCTTTCGGATCCATCATACAGTGTGTGCAAGATCCATCAAGCCCTGATAGTCTGGATGATATAGATCGAGGATTCAAATTGATGGCCTCCCGGCTAAATCTGAAGGTATTGGAAATACGTCTATATGCTCATGCGGCAGATATTGAAGATGTTATAACAACAGAAGGCCGACATTCAACCATTATGGCTATCCGAAATCTTGTCGTTACTGAACGAATCAATCTCCACCTTTCCATATTCGCGTCTTGCCGTGCACAGGCTGAAGATATAGAATATCAAAAACTTGAATCAAAGTACCAGCCCATTTTGAGAGATCTCATGATGCCAGATACTTTAAGAAACGCCGAAACGAGAGCGCGGTCTGAACAGCAGAAATACTTGGAGGATCGACTTAAAGCATGAAAGCTTGTTGAGGAGGCATATTATGTGTCGACTGGGACTACCAATGTTATCAAGTTCTTCATACAAAGTTTGGCCTGCACACGACATGGATTCCGACACAACAAGTTGTTGCAGTTGTCAACTAGAGAGTAATGGAGGAATCTACATTTGTTGAAGCAAGCTTCTGTCTTCAGAACCAAATACAGGAAAGAGATAATCGAGAAAGTTATCAAAAAGCAAGTTCATCAGATAAGCCTTAACCTGGAACTCATGATCCAAACTCACGAGTGTCAATACACGAAACAATTCGGTCCCCCTCCCTCATATTCCAGATCTCACTCACCAGCATCCAAAAAAGAAGACAGAAGAAAGGAAAGGAGAGATAACATTCATGGCAAGGACAGCAACCTCCGTCTCACAACACTACTTCCAGATATTTCCAGACAAAAAAATAAAACAGCAAGAATCACACTCACAAGGTGGCGAACCTTTTTTTCATTTGAATCAGCACAAGTTTGTCGATCCACACCAATATCAAAAAGGAGACTTCATTCATCAACTATCAACTGTTTCAAACATGGAAGGACCAATGTATTGGTTGACCATAATAGTAGAATTGAAAACTCACGCACTTGGTAGTAAGACTGCTTTAATTCCACATGTCAACACTTTTGAAAAGGAGCAGCGTTAAATCTTGATTTCAATACAATTTCTCTCAAGAAAAATCAGGGGTGGCCATAAAGATTCAAACAATAAATCACATGATAAATTCACTAAATCTAAACAATCTTGTACAAAGTTAAATAAATGCGAAAGTATAAATCCGCCAGAAAATAATTTAAGAATATCGCATTACAAAACTTCGTTAAACTTTAAAATAAACGCGAAAAACTGTAGAACCCCTATAAAAAAATAGAGTTGGGTTAATCTCCACATGCTTTTTAAGCTTCTGGGCTATTTTAGTGGGATTGAACCCTTCAAGTGACTAGTTGAGCCCCAGAAGTAACTAGGATAGTTTAAGGATTAGCGAAACGGATAGATCCCGTAAGATCCACTTTGATATTCTCCTTCTGATTTTGGTGTTAGTCGGGTTTGGAGAGTTTTCCGGGCTGAGCTGAGAGAGGTGAGGGGTTGGACGTGTAGATATTTGAAGGGCTTTGTATATGTGGTAGAAAAATGATGGTATAACACCAAAGACGTAAAGACTTTTGCATCAGTTGACCCAAGGTGGAGTGTACTTGGTCTATCTACACTTAGAAGGCTCTATACTGCCTTGAGTGCCACAGCACTCCACTACTGTGTTATTTCATGGAATTCCCTTGTAACAGTCAACTTGTATTCTACAAATCGCACCTGCGACCCGAGCACAAGGCACGACTTGCATATTCATTCCACCACGGATTCCCCAAGAGTCTGGACTGCAGTATAGGAGGAGGGGTAAGGTCCCGAGGAACTAAACTACGCTGTTTTACGATATGCGAGAGTGGAGAAAGAAAGGGTTGTGTATGTGTACTTCAGGGGTACGAATGAGCTAAGGATGACAGCAACAACTTTGACAAGTGAGTTAAATTGTGATAGCCACGGAGAGTTTATTAAGGTGAAAGTCAGCTTTAGACTAGGGTAGAGAATGAGCTAGAAGAGATGACAGGCGGGTATGGAGACTGGTTTGGGTAGCGTGATTTGAGCGGTTGTCGGTTGAGGTACCGAGGTGAATGGAGTATTGATTTTGGTGGGGTTGTAGTATTGTTAAAGGGATATCTCATATATCTCTTTGTAGAGGAAGTAGATATACGTTTCAGAATTTCATGAATTCCATACTTGGTAAGAAAGTCGCGAGTCACTGTTCAACTAAAAATTTCAATTTTCAATTCTAAGAAATTGAGCAACCGACTTTACAAACTCAAAGTGCAAACGGCTTCCGCTTCAGACCGTCTCTCGGCCAATTACCCCGCATCACGTTAAGAGCGGGTCATGATGATTCTGGGCAGATGCGGAGCGGCACATTCTCGGTCCTTTCCCCCAGATATCAAGCTTAAAAGCGCCCGCAACGGCAGGACAAGCCTTTCAAGCCACCAGAAGAGCACTCGGCGTTTCTCATGACAGTTTTGTAATATCTGATAGAGGGATTTCTGGGGCAGATGTGAAAGCCACAGAGGTTGTGGATACCACGTTACTAATGAAAAAAGCCATTCTTTCGAGGTTGTTTGTACGAGAAATGATGGAGAGAAATAATAGGGTTTCGGGGTTAAAAAAGACGCTATGGTAGGGATATTCAGGTACACGACATGGGACATGGCTGGCAGTCTGGCCGATCACTCATTTCTCATCTCCCCGACCCAGACGCTCATCCCGATTCCCAAGTGTCGCGCATCTTGCCTCGCGCCTCAAGGAAAGACGCAGCAGAGAGAAGTCACGGCCCATGGTGCAACGCTCGACTACAAACAACTCTTCCTTCTTGGCCATGGAAATCTGCGTCACCTACGTGTTTGTGCAGAAATCGCATCGTCTGCACACCAGAAGGAGGGGAGAAAAACCTCGGTCGTGGAGCCGAGCAAATGATATCCCTCTGTTCATCCCATGTCCTGCATCTAAACCAGACCTGGGCATGGAAAATGTAGGCATCAACTGACTCCCCTCGATCTTCTCCCCCTTCTCTTCCAGACCTCTTGACCCAAAATCGAATCGCATCTCCTGCTGTGCAATGGGATGGAGTCGTGAGCCTCTCGGTCCGAATGCATCGCAGCTGGTTGGTGAAGAAGGTGCATCTTCTCCCCTGTCTCCCCCTCGCCCTGCGTCCCTTCTCCATCTTCACTTTTACCCCGGACCCTCTCTCCCCCTTCCGCCATTCACGCCCCCCTGACCCCAGACTCAGCCGACTAATCGCCCAATTCACTCCCATCCGACTTAGTCTGGTCTCCTAGTGACATCAGAAGCGCGACGCGACGGGGAAATTGGGGTTGATCTCCCCTGCTTCGCGCTGCTGCATCTGCTCGAGCTTGTCCCGTCCTGGTGCTTCCGAGAGCTTCACCATGCACGTAGCAGGGCGAGCAGAGCTCAGGGTCGCCATTTCCTCGAAATTCGCCATGTTGTGCGAGTCTGCGAAGCTACAGACCGCGGTCGAGCTTCTCCTTCTCCCTACCGTTTGCCTACGGGACGAGGAATCGGACGGTGAATCGGTCCAGCCTCTCTGCCTGGTCCCTCCCCGCGGTCATGCGTACAACTCGACATGTGGTAGCTCGACCCTCATCCCAGCAACCACCTGGGCAGTTCACCAGAAATTGGATCCTGTCTAAAAGGCGGACTATATAGTCCCGGGCCCTGGACGTTTCCTGGCATTCTCTTCCTTTTTTCTTCCCAGTTTCAGTACTCATTCCTTCTTTGTATTCTACTCCCAGGCACTCAATTGAGAGTGCTGTTGTACATTCACAATGTTGTGGTCCTCGTCTCTTGCTTCCATTGTGGTGCTGGCAGCTTCTGCCAGTGCTCAATTGGATGGTGCGCAGTCGCCTCCCAGTTATCCTTCTCCGTGGATGAGAGGGGGGAATGGCTGGCAGGATGCTTATGCAAAGGCTCAGGCGTTTGTGAGCCAGCTGACTTTGCTTGAAAAGGTCAACTTGACTACTGGTGTTGGGTGAGCGATCTCCTCTTTCTAAAACCATTTGTTTGCAGCACAGCAGATGATGTCTTCGGACAACTTCAATTGGACATCCTCGTCCTACAACGTTCTGGGGAAATCAACCACTGATTGCTGACAACTTATTAGATGGGAAGGTGAAGCTTGCGTAGGCAACACTGGATCTATCCCTCGCCTGGGCTTCCGAGGTTTCTGTTTACAAGATAGTCCTCTTGGTATCAGATTCGGTAAGTCTCCTAAATCACAACCAGAAGCCTTCACTAACAGACCGCAGCTGATCAAGCATCCGCATTCCCATCCGGAATGAATGTCGCCGCAACATGGACTACCAGACTGTTCAAGAGCCGTGGAAGAGCAATGGGTGATGAACATCGAGGAAAGGGTATTGATGTACAACTTGGTCCTGTTGCTGGCCCTCTTGGTCGTGTCCCTGCCGGTGGACGAAACTGGGAAGGTGAGAAATTATCCCACTGGTATCGAAACAATGCTCACAATTCATTTAGGCTTCAGTCCTGACCCAGTCTTGACTGGAGTAGCAATTGGAGAGACTATTAAGGGTATCCAAGACGGTGGTGTCATTGCCAATGCAAAGCACTACATTATGAACGAGCAAGAACATAATCGAGAGCCAAGTGGATCATTCGCCGCTTACTCTGCGAATGTGGATGACAAGACAATGCACGAGACTTATTTATGGTACATACTAACCGGTCTTCAACTGAAATATATGCTGATATACGACTAGGCCCTTCGCAGATGCAGTTCACGCCGGTGTTGCGTCTATCATGTGCTCTTACAACCAAATCAACAACTCCTATGGTTCCCAGAACAGTTACACGCTCAACTACTTGTTGAAGAATGAGTTGGACTTCCAAGGATTTGGTAAGACAAGCCTCACGATTTAAACGAACCCAGCTAATGTTGCATAGTTGTCAGCGATTGGTGGGCTCAACATACCGGAGTCGCATCTGCATTGGCAGGTCTTGACATGACAATGGCTGGAGATCAGGGCCTCGCATCCGGAAACACATACTGGGGTGGAAACTTGACAGCTGCTGCTATCAATGGCACACTTCCACAATGGAGACTTGACGATATGGTTACTCGTATTATGGCTGTAAGTGCGCTCAAGCGAGCCCCTGGCTTGGCAATGCCATTTTATAGGCAGCTATTTGAATCTGACTGACACAAACCACAGGCATACTACAAAGTCGGCCGAGACACCGCACGAGTAGATGTCAACTTCAATTCCTGGAGTTCCGAGACATACGGATACATTCATCCACAAGCAAACGAAGGTTACCAACAAATCAACTACCACGTCAATGTTCAAAGCGACCATGCTAAGCTCATTCGCGAGATCGGTGGCGCGTCAACTGTCATGCTCAAGAACGTTAACAATGCTCTTCCTCTCAAGAAGCCAAAGAGTGTGGCTGTCATTGGTGAGGACGCCCATGACAACCCAGGAGGACCAAACGCATGCGGAGATAGAGGTTGTAACACTGGTACCCTCGCAATGGGTTGGGGTTCCGGAACTGCAAACTTCCCATACCTCATTGCACCTGTAACCGCTCTTCGCGCTCAAGCTGCAAAGGACCGAACCTTGTTCGCCAACGTCAGCAACAACTATGATTTGGATGCCGCTGCTAAGGCTGCCTCCAACGCCTCTGTCGCTATTGTATTTGCCAATGCCGATTCAGGAGAAGCATACATCACCGTCGACGGAAACTCAGGAGACCGGAACAACCTTACTCTGTGGGGTAACGGAGATGCTCTCATCAAGAAGGTCGCATCTGTCAACCCAAACACAATCGTCGTTCTGCACACAGTTGGTGCTGTCATCGTTGAAGATCTCAAGAACAACCCAAATGTTACAGCAATTCTTTGGGCCGGTCTGCCAGGTCAAGAGTCTGGAAATGCCATCACCGATATCATCTACGGTTACCGCAACCCATCTGCTAAATCCGTCTTCACATGGGGCAAGAAGCGTGAAGACTGGGGAGTGGATGTCATCTATACGCCAACCTCCAACCCACCTCAACTCAACTTCAACGAGGGTAACTTTATCGATTACCGCTACTTTGATGCCAACAACATTGAGCCATCTTACGAGTTTGGTTTCGGACTCTCCTACACCAACTACTCATACTCCAACCTCCAGATCTCCAAGAATGACCCAGGACCATACCAACCAACTGTTGGCATGACCAAGGCTGCTCCAACTCTCGGTACGATCGATAAAGACCCTGCCCATGCTGAGTTCCCAACTGGATTCCGTGCTGTCTTTAAATACATCTACCCATATCTTACCGGCCCAGTGTTGACAAATCAACCAGAGAGCTGGCCTGCTAAGTCTCAGGATGGAAGTCCGCAACCACGAGTCGGTGCTGGAGGAAGTGCTGGTGGAAACAGACAACTCTGGGATGTTATGTACACAGTCTCATGCACTGTCACCAACACCGGCGGTGTCAAGGGTACCGAGATCCCACAATTGGTATGTTCTAATCCCATTTTAAAGAATTCCCAAACTAACTTCATACAGTACCTCTCTCTCGGTGCTCCAACCGACCCTAAGATCGTCCTCCGTGGTTTCGACGATTTGATCCTCGATCCAGGAGAGAGCAACACCTTCACCTACAAGTTGACGAGAAGAGATATCTCCAATTGGGATCCTGTTACCCAGAACTGGGTCATCAGTCCTTATCCTAAGACGGTGTATGTTGGCGCTAGTTCGAGGGATTTGAAGCTGAAGGGTGTTTTGCCTTGATTTTTGGGCGGGAGATAGAAACGCGAAAGCGAAATAAAGGATTATTTGCAAGGTGTAAAAATATGAAATTAACATGGTCAATGTGACATGAATTATGAGATTTTTTGAACAATGATTGGGTGAGAAGGTTTGTGGTGGTCTTCGTATTGGAGGGGGTCTGTCGTAACGGGATGATGTTCGAGACCAAAATTTGCCACAAGAGGTTGGATTAGACCGTAAATCTAGAAGTAAACACTCACATTTACCCGACTTACCCACTCCGAATTCCTAGTACCGTTTAGTAACCAGATGGTAACAGATGAAATTCAATGTAACCGATACAAGCATTCAGTGCAAATTATAGATCTATAGAGCAACTTCACTGATCATCCCCTACTGACCCTTCATCTAATCAACCAGGTATCTCGCGGAGGACAAAAATAAGTAGCAGTCGAACCAGAACAGTTTTCTCGGCCAAGATAACGAAATATCGTAATTTAGCGGATTAAATTAGGATATTATGACCCTTTCGTCCACTGTTTTAAGTGAATTGAGACTTTGTAGGCTCTTTTCGAAGTAGACTTTTTAGGCTCTATTGGAAGGAGACGTGTTATTTAGTTTGAGATTTACGGACTTATTTTGTCCGCCGCGAGGTATGGATATTTTTTTTTGCTTTAATGTTTTGCGGGAAATGTAAAGGACGCGTCTATCTGATCGTGATGGGGCATCTGGGTAGGGATAAGTAGGGGTGGAGAGGAGGGATGAGTGGGATCCTAGAACCGTGGAATTTACCTTGTGGTCTTAATGGCGGTAGATAAGTGGTGGATTGTGTTTTGTGTGTTGAAGGGGGGTGTTGAGGGTGTAGTTGTATCTCTTGAATGGTGTCTTTACTGGGATGACCGGCTGAAGTGGGGAGATGAAGGAGGTTCATGTATCTTCCATCCTCGGTCTTTCGACAGATCCATCTACCGTTATATTGTAATTACACGCACTTCCTCGCCAACTCCATCACTTCAGTATTAAAGGGTTGTCGAGCTTTGGAGGTGTTGAACAGTTTGGGGTGGTTATAATGGTAGGTAGCTTATGATTCCGTTTCCTGGGATTTTGATTTTCTTTGACACAGAGCTGGAAATTCTCTATTTCTGTGAAAAATATAAGGTCATAAGGTCAGGAGATGCTGAAAGGTATGCAGGAGAGAGCGGAGAAGAAGTTGGCAGGAAGAGAGATGGTCAGTGGTCAAAGGGACGACAGGCCTTCTATGAGGAAGTGGTGTTTGAGTACTCTTTTGTTTTTCCTGAATTCTAGAGAAACAGATTGAAAAGGCGGAGGAAAACTCAAAGAATTCCAGAATGGCCAAAAAATCAATGCAGTTTGGAAATCCCCTTTTTCAAAAAGGGGGCAATCTCGAAATTGATTGGTGTTTAGTGACGTGTAGTTTGTAGGTTGGGAATAGGTAGGACTAGTGTTTTGAAGGTTCAGTGGCGAGCTAGAGGTTTTGTGATAGTTTGAATTCTGGAAGGTAAAACGAATATTGAGAATCTGAGAGGTGTTCAATGGTCATGGAGGTGAGAAACGATTTGCTGTGTGAATACTAAGCTCGAGTCTAGCAATCTTCTGTCGATATGAAAGTCGAGGGGACGAAAGATTTCGGAAGCCGCAGGAAAATTATCATCTTACAATTAACGAAACACGAGATTCAAGACGCATTAATACAAGCACATCCGAACAACGGAGACGGATTAGAAGCGGATGGTCACTTGGATTCTTTCGCTAATTGAAAATCCCCACTTTTAATATAAGAGTCGAAAGGAGAAGGACAACTTAGCCTAAGGATCAGGGTTAGGACAATCGTGATAATAACATGGTGTTTAACTCCTCGAAAGATGGAGAAGAGTCGAAATGATAAAGTACGAATACATGATTGAATGCTTAAAGAGAGATAGAGAGAGGTTTACAAACAAGTGATACAAAGATGGTTATATCAAGGAAACAATCTGGCAGAGCAAATACACAAGAAAACGATTAGAGTTCACGGGTGGCTGTAGAACGGCTACTATACCGTCAGTCAACAGCTAATGCGCTAGGATATAACCTACTACATGCTCAACGTATGTCTTCGGCTTTATCACGAGTGGAATCTGGTCTCGTACCTATATTGTACTAAAGTACGCAAAAAAGGACAATGAGATAGCTTTTTCGCGTCTCAATCTCAATGCTCAAGAGTTACTCGAACGGCAGCGTAGGGTAAAGCCAACCTAGGGATCGATCTCCAGACGACGAAGATACTATCTTCGAAAGTATACCCTGGAAGCTCCAGAAACGAAGAACGAATTAAGGTACCTACTTACTGCGAGAATACATTAAATCACCTTCCCCGGCGCCTAAAGCTAAACAACGTTAAACTTAACAATAATTATCAATCCCGAGGTCTACAAGACAATTGAAGGTTTATTCCTTCTTTGTAGGAGGATAGATGAGATCGTTACTGTTATGTAAATTAATATAGTATAGATAAGTATGAAGTCGAGTTTTTTAAGTAGAGAGTGTACTAAGGCGAAGTAAAACGAAGGTTAATACGTCCGCGTACAGCTGCTGTATCTGATTTTGTTAGCCTATCGACAACAACATCTTGACAGACGACGACATACCAAATTGGCGAAAGGTGTCCTGCAAGACGGGCGAAGTCAGAATCACCCTCGCGTCCATTCCTTATAGTTCGACGGATCTAGCTAACCTTACTCAAACTAGGCGAACGATGCTGCTGTGGTTTGTCGCTCTCCATGGAGATGACTTGGAGCTGGCGGACAGTGGGACTTGTGTTAAACTATGCAAAGCTCATCGAGATCAGCTGCCTGGAAAAGCAATCGCATGTGAGGTGGTTTGGGAGGAATCACCCTTACAAATTTCCAGCCTTGGGGCGCTCTCAGATGCCGCATCGGAGATGCGCTGATCGCTCAGCGACGATTCGACTCCGCTGCAGTCATTACGGAAAGAGACATTTTGCTGGGAGCAGATGGAAAAGCCGTCGATGGATTCATTGAAGAGTGGCGCTTGCGGCGCGACAAAGAGTGTTTTGCTGCCCTCGAAAGGCAGGAGAAGGCTGTAAGTGGAAAGCGTTCTTACTATTATACTCACGAATGATGCCTTCGGCATAGAACTCCTGTGTCTATCCTGAACGACGACCGTAGAAATGGACAGACCGATTTGAGGGAGGGCTTATTACCGGGGGATGTGTTGTTTGGGGAGGAGCCACTTGGGAGTAATAGATAATTTCTTCTAGTTAGTAAATGATGTTTGGGCTGGATGATATCTTAGGACTTGGTATAATATTTAAGATATTTTCCCTCTTATCAGCGACGACAAGTCAAACAGTAAAGTATTAAAAAACTCAAGAATATAAGACAAAGCAAGATTCAAGAACTGAAAACACAGGTTGACGTAGAAATCAGGTCAGACACGACCACGGGAGGCTGGAGAGGTGGCTGTTTATATGAGATTTAGAGGAATGAATCTTTAACATAATATATCAAGAAGAAGAAAACCAAGTGAGAGAGAGTATATATGTGATAACTTCAAGTATATTTCATCTCCTGACAGCCGTTCAAAAACGTGAAGGGTTAATGATACCTCATCATTATTCTAAGAATAGTGCAGGTATCTTCGGTTTCATTGACCACAGAAGATGACGAGGGTGTAATATACTCGGACGAATATCAGAGTAAACATCTAATATAAGTACCGCATATGAAGCCAATCTTCCAACAGTCAATCCTTTGGAAAAAGTAGATCGAAGACCACCAAATCAATAAACCGTAATGACAATAAGCAACATAAGTTTCATCCATGCAATGTCATTATAACTAAGCACTATATTATCTGACCTCCACATTCCGTCGTACCTAATTCTGCCTCGTGGCTTCAAAGTCTTCAGTCTCCCCAAATCAATGCATAAAGCAAAACTATGCTGAGTAAAAGACGGCGCACGCGGTCTAAAGCAATGATGGATGCTTCTAGTACAAAAAGAAATGGCCCCCACAATCATGCTCTCCTGATTTCTCTGCTCTGTGGTTTCCACCCCACCAGTTGTCGAGTCTCCAGGCAGGGACGAACGGTTGTCTGAGTCCCAAATGGGAATCTGCCCAGATTGTATCGGCATCACCAAGAACCCATCGTCGGACTGTGCTGTAAGTCGTCTACGAGGACTATGGGTGCTTGGAGTTTGGTAGAGTGGCGGTGGTTCCGCAGTAGAAGCAGGAGCGTGATACTGTCTGTCGTGGAACTGCTTCACATAAAATCATCACTGGATATTTGTTAGCTCTGGTATCAACAATGAAGTGTTTGACAACTTACTCTCCGAAATCATCGTCATAAGCATTCACATCAGCAGAAGTTGCCACGTTACGACTAGCAACCAATGTAGTCTTTGACTTTGCAGCCTTGCTCTTCTTGCCCCCCTTTTCAGCCAACTTCTCCTCCTTCATTTTCTCGTTGCTCAAAGCAGTCAAACTGCTTGCAATCTTCTTGATCTGATCGCTGGGTAGATCTTTGGCAAGTTGTTTCGCGAACTCTTGTAGGAAGATGGTGTAGTGAGCCTTCTTGGTGTTGCTGGCAATAACTGGAACCAAGGTATCTCGCATCTTTTCAAACTGAATCTTGGTCTTTGGGTCGAAAAGTGGCAGCGTAGTGAGATCAACAGTAGCATTCGGATCAGCCGAGTTAACAACTACAGCGTTAGCCGCAGTGGTTGCTTTGCGGCTGTTGCTGATACCAATATTGCCGAACAGATCTTCGGCGTGCTTCAAGTCGGATTCTTGCTCGGTACGACGAAGGCGTTCACGTCTCGTGGCTGCATCTTCTTCACTGCTATCATCACTGCTTTCCTCGGCGAGTCTGCGAGCATTTTCGGCTTGTCGTTCGGCAATACGTTGGGCCTTTGTCTTCTTGTTTGCTTTCTCCTCTGCCTCTAGTTTGGCCTTCTTTTCGGCGGCTACCTTAGCCTTCTCGCGCTCGACCTCGGAATCTTCTGCTGCATCCCAACTGTCCAGAACCTATTCTCCCGTCAGTATCTGCATGCGAATTGAATGTGATTATCATGAGCATACATCGCTGTCATTCTCTTCCTCGTCGTCGAACTTGCCACGTCTAGGGATTGTGGCAGCGGCCGGGGGTGATGACGGAGCAGTGCTACTGCTGTCCTCTTCTTCATCTGCTCGGTTGAGTAGCGGTCAGCCAAATGTATCCTAGAAAAGTTCATCACTGTGCATAGTGGCCTGCAGCGTCGATCTTGACCGAGCCGCTTAAGAATGTTGCGAAAGTCGAAACCGTAAAGACGAAGAACGGGACTCTGGCACACTCTGGCACAACGTCGCCACAAGTTGGTGACGCGCAAAAGGAGAGGTAATTACTCACCCCATTTTTCAGGCATATTTGCGGTGATAGATTCAAGAACAGTTGTACTGGCGGTATTTGCGCGTTATATCTTTATAGTCTAGAAGGCAGACCGGTTTGTTATTTGTGGGAAGGTTGATGATGAAGGGAAAGTTGGTGGTCGAAGATTGTGCGAAGGAGGGTTGGGTCGCGAACTTTAGGCTTGGTGGGGTGTGCCTTGATGCCTGACCTCATTGGCTCTTCATCCCTCCGTTTCCTCCCCCTTAAATTGATCTCACCACACGTCATAAATGATTTTTGATGCAGAACTCATGCACTCTCACTATACAATTGACCTATGGGAAGTCGATATACTCAACGTTCCAAAGTGTATCTAGAACAACGTTCAAAAAAGCGCTGAAGTCACGCATGAGGAGGTTGAGATATAGTGCCGATTATTCGCACCCAGTCATATGTCTAGGCTCGCAGTGGACAATAGAAGTGGCAGTCGCAGCACATAATTCCTCAGGACAGTTGACGAAATAGCCTATTTCGTCAATTGTTTTCAAGAAATATGATTATCTCAACTCGTAATTTAAGTTGCTTGCCCAAATTAAGACGTACTGCCATGGATTTTGTCTATGCGGGACAGCAGCCGTAGCACTTAATTTCTTAGAACAGTTGACGAAATAACGCTATTTCGTCAATTGTTTTCAGGAAATACAATCTTCTTGACTCGTAATTAACCTGCTTGCCTAAAGTATACGATAATTACTTATAAGATTAAGGAGGTTCTGCCATGGATTTTGTCTATACGAGACAAGATAGTCAGCAACGATGTTTCCTCAGCATAGTTGATGAAATAACGATAATTCGTCAATTCTTTACAGGAAACATAGTCCTCTAGACTTTTAATTTAAGATACTTTCCTAAATTAAGGAGGTTTTGCTATATATTTTGTCCTATACAACTCTACGAGCCAAGATAGCCGGCAACAGAGCAACGATGTTTGCTCAGACCAGTTGATGAAATAACGGTATTTCGTCAATTGTTTTCAGGAAACATGATCTTCTCAACTTGTAATTTAAACTAATTTGAGCATGTATTTTGTCCTCTAGCAATGCAAGACAGTCAGCAATTAAAGTACGATATTTGCTTAGAACAAGTGACTGAATAACGATATTTCGTCAATAAGTATTAGTAAATGGAATCTTCTTAAGTCTATTTAAAATACAATTACAAAATTATATTTACTCGCTCTAAAGTATTCTACAAGTTTACAGATAGTGAGGGGGTTCAGTCATTTTTTTGGTTTGAACTCTTCATGGCAAAAATCTCCGGGACTTCAGAGACTTTTTGAAACAGACATATGTTTCATGAATCGAAAGAGCACTTTTAGTTGGAGGATTTACGAAACTTGGTGCAAGTGGTCAGGTTTCACAGAGGAGGATCGGGTGTGAGTGAGATGGTATAACTTTTCATTCCTTCTTCGTTTAACATAAGCATACTGCCGTAAGATCGTTAACTCCGCAATTCATCAGGGACCTTCGTGGCTCGGCTCATAAACATTCCAAGCCATTGGTTTCAACACAATTTTCAACGATTTACAAGTTGATAGCAGTTCTGAAGTTCTCCCCGGCGTAGATAGCTTTGTCACCAAGTTCCTCCTCAATTCGAAGAATCTGTACGGTTAAGATTAGCAGACGGCACGTGACTTTCAAAATGAACTCACCTGGTTCAACTTAGCAGTTCTCTCAGATCGGGCTGGAGCTCCTGTCTTGATCTCTCCACACCGCAAGCCTACGACTAGATCTGAGATCGAAACGCTGCGATGATTCAATTAATTAGTTACTAGAAGAATTGGGGTTAGGGAGACTTACTCCTCGGTCTCACCAGATCTGTGGGAGACCATGACACCCCATCCAGCAGCGTAAGAGTCCTTGGCAGCCTGGATAGACTCGGAAAGAGTACCGATTTGGTTGACCTTGAGGAGAAGAGCGTTGCAAGACTTAAGCTCGATAGCCTTCTTGATGCGGATTGGGTTGGTAACAGTCAAGTCATCACCGACAATTTGGAAGTCGGAAGTCTTGTAGAAGTAGCTCCATGCCTCCCAGTCGTCCTCAGCGAAAGGATCCTCGATGGAAACGATTGGGTATTTCTTGGCGAGAGTTTGGTATTGCTCAGCAAGTTGCTCGTAAGTGATCCACTTCTCTGGGTCGCTATCGGGGTTCTTGAAGTCCAAGTCGTATTTCTTGACGTCCTCCTTGTAGAATTCACTGGAAGCGACATCCATAGCAATGTTCATCTTTCCAGTGTAACCAGCTTTCTCAATGGCCTCGGTAATGAGCTCAAGAGCCTCCTCAGCGGTTGCAATATCTGGTGCAACACCACCCTCGTCACCGACGTTTCCTGCGGATTGGCCGTACTTCTTCTTTGCGAGGCTCTTCAAGACCTGGTAGACCTCAGATCCATGGCGGAGTGCCTCAGAGAAGGACGGAGCGGCGCTGGAGACTAAATTAGTGTCGACCAAACAGATTAAATGTAGAAGAGCTTACGATGGGACAATCATGAACTCCTGGAAAGCCAATCGTCCACCGGCGTGGGATCTTTACACTGTCAGTAATGCTTCAAAGTATTGACCAGTTCACTGACCCTCCGTTGAGAACGTTCATGAAAGGAACTGGAAGGACGTATGGCTTGGAGGTACCAGCGAGGTCGGAGACGTGTGCATAGAGAGGAATTTGCTATAAACATCAGCATCATATCTCTTGCACAGAGGTATTTTACACACCTTCTCAGCAGCGGCGGCTTTAGCAACAGCCAAAGAAACACCAAGAATGGCGTTAGCGCCAAGCTTTCCCTTGTTTGGAGTTCCGTCAAGCTTGATCAAGAACTCATCAACTTTGGATTGATCTTTAACATCGATGTTCTCCTTGATGAGGGCTGGGCCAATTGTCTCGTTGACGTTGGCAACAGCCTTGGTAACACCCTTGCCAGCCCACTTGCTCTTGTCTCCATCACGAAGCTCAACAGCCTCGTGTTGTCCTATATTGCAGCTCAAATCAGCTGTGTTTCGAAGGATCTATACGGAATTTACGAACCGGTGGAAGCTCCGGATGGGACGATGGCACGGTGAAGGCCAGTCTCGGTGACAACGTCGACCTCGACGGTTGGGTTACCGCGGGAATCGTAGACAGAACGCGCGTGGATCTTGGTGATCGCCATGTTGTTCTAATTTCTTGAGAATGTCGATTGTCAGTGAATGTCCAAGTGAATGAAGATATGCTGGATGTAAAGGTACTCAGTAGCAAATGGATGCTCACCTTTGGTATATGAAGTAAATTTTTCTGCGGAATATTGGGTCAGTGTTTGTTTTTCGTAAGATTTCACAAGTCACAGGCGTGAATGAGGGATTATGAAAAGAGCGACGAGATGAGAAGCCTTATCAAGTCTTCTGCAGTCTGTAGTTTTGGATAATGGGGCTCTAATTGGCTGCGAGAAGAAAAACCATTACTTACATGGATTCGTGGCGTGGTGGTTGTGATGTGGAAAGCTGCGATGACAAGACGAGAGATAGAGGGGTATTTTTGCTGAGATTGCTGGTGGGGTGACCCTGGTCGTTTTGTTGACTCGGAGGTGGGCGTGGGTGGGCGACAGCAACGAGGCTTTTCAGTGCAGTCCACAGTCGTTTGTTTGGCCGAACTTATCAGGAGCTAGAGTGCGAATCTCGTCTTCTCCGGCCACACAGATGTTTGCTGTTATTAGCCAAGTTTGTAATCGAAAATGCCTTACCTAAATAGCTATTCTCTAAACTGTTCTACGAAATATGCATCACTTTGCTCTTCCTACAAACATGCGGGCTATGAGGCTTAATAAGGTTACTTACTACCTGGTTAGAAACCCCTGCTGTCTATCAATCAGTTGAGAAAGCTCCGAACTAGTACGCCGGCTTTTATCCTGTCATCTGTGGACGAACTCACTTTGTGTAATTTTTGATGTATTCTACGCTACTCTCACCTTTGAAAGTGACAGATGGATTAGTTTCACTAATTCTTTCATTAATCAAGGTACTATCTACATTACGGTACACACAATTTGCTCGACAGTTCGAAGGTTCTTCCTGCCCCAAAAACCGCTTCACAAGCCCTGTAAAAATTTGCTACCTACGAACTACAGCCCATGGAGTCGGTCACCGAAGTTATATATAAACTGGATTGACCAAATGATGATAATTCTCGGGAACGTTATTTGGAGAACTCTTATTGGAGAGTGGACAATGACACAGAGTTCCCAATCACGGTTCGGAGCATATGGGTTGCACGTGACGACGTACCTCATCAACAAAACTTATGCCTGAGATATAAGGGGTCAAAGCCCAAGTAATGCATCGACGCGAAGCTCTCGGCTGCCTCTCTCGAGCCTCTGTAGCTACAGTATCGACACTGACAATCTACAACTTCAAACCACAACACTAATCATCGAAACCGAATCCCAACCTCGTTTCACCCCTTCCATCACATCCGAAAGCCTCGACCATAGTAATTTCATAATACAATATGTCGGACGATGAGAGAGCACATGCGCTGCAATCTTTCAAGACGAAGCTTCTCGAATCAAGGGAATGGGAGGCAAAGTTGAAGGCACTGCGGCAGGACATCAAGGGATTGCAAAAGGACTTTGATCAGACGGAAGAGAACATCAAAGCTCTACAGAGTGTCGGTCAGATCATTGGAGAGGTGTTAAAACAGCTGGACGACGAGAGATGTAAGCTGCAACTGCCCCCAGGAATATTGCATTCATACTAATACCACATCTCAAAGTCATCGTCAAAGCCTCATCGGGACCTCGATATGTCGTCGGCTGTAGATCAAAGGTGGATAAGGTTGCGCTCAAGCAAGGAACTCGAGTCGCTCTGGATATGACAACACTCACAATCATGCGAATGCTACCGCGAGAAGTCGATCCTCTTGTTTATAATATGTCGCTGGAAGACCCGGGGCAAGTCAGCTTTGGTGGAATTGGTGGGTTAAACGAGCAGATCAGAGAACTGAGAGAGGTCATTGAGTTGCCATTAAAGAATCCCGAATTGTTTCTGAGAGTCGGAATTAAACCTCCAAAAGGAGTTCTGTTATATGGACCTCCAGGAACAGGGAAGACGTTACTGGCAAGAGCTGTTGCTAGCAGTCTGGAGACCAACTTCCTCAAAGGTACTATAATCTACACCTTCAGCATTGCTTTGCTAATCAAATAGTCGTGTCGTCTGCCATCGTCGACAAGTATATCGGAGAATCAGCTCGACTTATCAGAGAAATGTTTGGCTATGCCAAAGAACACGAGCCTTGTATCATCTTTATGGACGAAATCGATGCCATTGGAGGACGAAGATTTTCTGAGGGTACATCGGCAGATCGTGAAATTCAGAGGACATTGATGGAGCTTCTCAACCAGCTGGATGGATTCGATTATTTGGGTAAGACAAAGATTATTATGGCAACAAATCGACCGGATACTCTTGATCCAGCGCTCCTACGTGCGGGACGTTTGGACAGGAAGATCGAGATTCCTCTTCCTAATGAGGTTGGCCGCTTGGAGATTATGAAGATTCATGCTGCTGGTGTGGTCACCGAAGGAGATGTTGACTTTGAGAGTGTGGTTAAGATGAGTGATGGCTTGAACGGAGCTGATCTTCGAAATGTGGTTACCGAGGCGTATGTTGCTCCCTGATATGTTGCATCGACTTCCTACTAACATGATTTTTGTCACAGGGGCCTGTTTGCGATCAAAGACTACCGGGACGCTGTGAACCAAGACGATTACAACAAAGCGGTTCGGAAAGTGACGGAGTCGAAGAAGCTGGAGGGCAAGCTGGAATACCAAAAACTTTAGAATTAGTAGAGACCGCTGTATTCTGTTTCTTACCTTGGCGCCATAGCATGCAGTTGAGCGAAATGCTCGGCTTGTACAATATAATCATGAGAGCATGTCGCAAAGCTGCCGTTCGAGTGTAATTCGCCAGGCCGCTCTTTTCTGCTTCATGATTTAAGACCTATGTATGACATCCCTTCCACATCACCATCACATATCCCATGTGTTTGTTGTCCAAATCCCCCACACGGTGAGAAAGTGCGGTGTACGCCGTTTGCGGGTGTCGATGACAACTGGCTCAAGTCAATCTGCATCTGGTTGGTCTGATTCGTAGTGCCGTAGCTTTGCACGCTGACAGCAGCGGCGGCCGAAGAAACGTGCGAGTCCCTCAAAGACATAGCCGCTTGGAAAAATATCAAATATTGATAACTCTGATTCTCGCCATATCGTATTCGTGCCACCCGTGAACTCTTCTCGTATAGATGGCGCCCTTTGCAATGCAGGAACCACGAGAAGATGCTTGCTTCCTGTACGTCATTGCAGGTGTCCCTTTTGACTCTGTTCGGACTGTCAAGACTTTTTCAGGGTTAGACTCCGTGCCTGGCGATCATCAATCGTTACCATAATTAGACCACTAGCGACCGGAGTGTGGCTTTGCATTTTGATAGCACTGGTCCCGGGCAAAGGCAGCGTCCAAGTGCCGTTGGCATCTCTATGGAAACCGTGGGCGCATCGTAACACAGAAAAGTCTAACTCAGAGGAGGAAATCCTGGAGAGCTGACCCCTTTTTCTGCTGTCGATATCCCAGATTCCAGTGAGAAGCGCTCGTATAAGACTGTATGACCAGGGTTTGGGGCAGACTTGGCAGCCCTGTGAACTCTCTCAACAGCATGAATATTGCCAAATTGCCCAATGCGGAACCAGCTGGTATGCGCTGACATGGAGCAGCAGAGCAAATGTACGAAAGATACAAAATTGAGGCTTTGCAGGGGTCTTTTAACGGCTGCTTTCAGATGGTTCGGTCAGACTGCAGAAAGCAAAGGTACGGCCTGAGGGTTGGTGGCGTTCCCCGCCACGGTACGGTCTGAAACAAAACACAACCCAACCCGACAGCTTTGCTTTATTCCCATATATTCACCCACGACCCCCTCCCAGTCTTTCCATTCGCATCCTACCTTTTTGCCATTTACCACCTTCTCGTTATTACAACTGCACGCCAGTCCTTGCATTCGTTTCGAACCCAACCACAGCAATTGTATACCCCATAATCTCTCGTTTCTCACCCTTGGGAAGCCGTCAACATGTGGTACGTAAACAAGAGACCCCTCCGTCAGCTACACCAACAGGACCCAGAACACAGCTAACTTTCTGCAACAGTGGCATCTTCGGATAGTACGTCAATCTGATTTCTGCGAACCATCTTACCAGATTACTAATCCTGTGCAGCATCAATTACCTGGTGGAGAAGGATAGAAAATACATTCTCGACACTTTAGTCAACGGCCTGTCCCGTCTCGAATATCGTGGTTATGACTCTGCTGGTCTTGCAGTCGATGGTGACAAGAAGAACGAGGTCTTCGCTTTCAAGGAAGTTGGAAAGGTCGCAAAATTGAAGGCTCTAATTGAGCAGGAAAAGCCAGATTTGACCAAGATTTTCGATTCCCACGCGGGTATTGCACACACCAGATGGGCGACTCACGGCCCCCCATCCCGCCTCAACTGCCATCCACACAGGTAAAATGCACTGCAATTGGCAAAATGTTCTGTGCTAATAAAGACTCGCAGATCCGACCCAACCTGGGAATTCTCGGTCGTCCACAATGGTATCATCACCAACTACAAGGAGCTCAAGACCCTGTTGACGGCCAAGGGATTCAAGTTCGAGACTGAAACCGATACTGAGTGCATTGCCAAGTTGGCCAAATACCTCTACGACCAACACCCAGAAATCGGATTCACTGATTTGGCCAAGGCTGTCATTAAGGAGTTGCAAGGTGCATTCGGTCTTTTGATGAAATCCGTCCACTATCCACATGAAGTTATTGCTGCCAGAAAGGGTTCCCCACTCGTTATTGGTGTCCGAACAGAGAAGCGCATGAAGGTTGACTTTGTCGATGTTGAATACGCTGAGGATGGACCACTACCTGCCGAGAAGGCTTCCCAGAATGTCGCCATCAAGAAGTCGAGCGTTGGAAACTTCCTCACAGCTGGCAACCTCCTTGCCCCAGCCGACAAATCGCTCTTGCACCGCTCGCAATCCAGAGCTTTCATGACCGATGATGGAGCACCAATGCCAACTGAGTTCTTCTTGTCTTCGGATCCATCAGCTATTGTTGAGCACACCAAGAAGGTCATGTACCTGGAGGATGACGATATTGCACACATCCATGAGGGTTCTCTCAACATCCACAGACTCACAAAGGCCGACGGTTCCTCAAATGTCCGAACAATTCAGACCCTTGAGCTTGAGCTCCAAGAAATCATGAAGGGCAAATTCGATCACTTCATGCAAAAGGAGATTTTCGAGCAACCTGAGTCAGTTGTCAACACTATGAGAGGTCGTCTCGATATCGAGAACAAGCAGGTTACTCTTGGTGGATTAAGATCATATATTTCTACCATCCGCCGTTGCAGAAGAATTATCTTCATTGCTTGCGGAACCAGTTATCACTCTTGCATGGCAGTTCGTGGTGCGTTTGAGGAACTGACTGAGATTCCTATCTCTGTTGAGTTGGCTTCCGATTTCCTTGACAGACAGGCCCCTGTATTCCGTGATGATACTTGCGTCTTTGTCTCGCAGTCCGGTGAGACTGCCGATTCGCTTATGGCCTTGAGATACTGCTTGGAGCGCGGTGCTTTGACTGTCGGTATCGTCAATGTTGTCGGTTCTTCAATCTCACTCCTCACCCACTGTGGTGTACACGTTAACGCCGGTCCCGAAATCGGTGTTGCATCTACAAAGGCATACACATCCCAATTTATTGCCATGATCATGTTTGCTTTGTCTTTGAGCGAGGATAGAGCATCCAAGCAGAAGAGACGAGAGGACATTATGGAGGGTCTTGGTAAGATTTCCGATCAGATCAAGGAGATCTTGAAGCTTGATCAACCTATCAAGGAGCTCTGTGCGAGAACATTCAAGCACCAAAAGAGTTTGTTACTCCTAGGTAGAGGAAGCCAATTTTCCACTGCCTTGGAGGGTGCTTTGAAGATCAAGGAAATCTCCTATCTTCACTGCGAAGCTGTCATGTCTGGTGAGCTCAAGCATGGTGTTCTGGCTTTGGTGGACGAGGATCTTCCTATCATCATGATTCTCACTCGTGATGAGATCTTTGCCAAGTCTTTGAACGCTTATCAGCAAGGTATGTATTTCCGCACCCATTCTACAGTCAGCCACTAACAAATAATTAGTCATTGCGCGTAGCGGAAAGCCAATTGTCATCTGCAATCCTAATGATGAGGAGTTTGCTGGTGGAAAGGCCGAGAAGATCGAGATCCCAAAGACCGTCGATTGCTTACAAGGTCTCCTCAACGTCATCCCTCTCCAGCTTATGGCATACTGGCTTGCCGTTGCTGAAGGTTTGAACGTTGACTTCCCACGTAACTTGGCCAAGTCTGTCACCGTCGAATAGATTGACGGTGTTGTCTGCAAATCGTTTGGGTTATTAGCGGTGCTTTGGGTTTACGATTTTGGGATTGGCGCTCTTTTCATTGGAATCAATACCGCGGGATAAAAGAATTCTCGTTTTTTGACATGGATGAGCAATGACTGGAACATGAAATTATGGACAAATGCTCTATTTAGTTTCATGTACTAAATTCCCCCTCTTAGATAGTCTTGCTTTACCCATTGTGGAATGTATGCTAGTTATCGAAAGATATTTAACTTGATTGGCCTGACTTTATCCTTGAAATTTGTACGGTATCTGCTCTTCGTTCTTACAGACATTGACATCAAACTCAAGAGTTCTAACTTAGACAGAGGGGAGCGGACAACGAACTCGCCTAAACTAATTGTATGTTCAATCCACCTCTGCCATTCTATGACAGGGCATACTCGTCAGGCTCGGATTCGTCCTTGACCAGCGAAGGTACAATAATTATAGACCAAGCTAAAAGTCAAGAAGGTCTTCTTCAATACTTTCCTTCAAATGTGAATTCGTTTAACCTGTCAGTGCCTTGATCTATATCATACTATTGTCTTTGAAGGATACACCTGGGCGGAGCGAACACACTGTTGTTTAAGCTAGTTCTCATAGGAGAGAACCTACAGCCAGCAGACTCCATGAACTAGTCCCAATGGCCTTCGAGACTATCCGCCCATTAATGAATCACGCAAGCAACATAACTTATCACCAATCCCTCCAACTCCATCAAACATCCTAAGCACATATAAAACACAACTTTCACATCTTCCCTCCCACCACACCTACCCCCCACCCCCACCCCTAACCCCCTCAATCCTCGCCCTCTGCTCCCGACTAACACAAAGCGCCGCATCCAGCTCCTTCAACCCGGGTTCCTTCATCACAGCCAACGCCGCCAGTCCCAGATACGAATGATAGATATCCGGTGGACCGCCGGGGTGTTTGCTAAATCCTCCGATCCGGTGTTGGGTCTGCGTGAAGAGGAAGCGCCGCATGGAAGGCGTGTTGACTAGGGGGGTGTAGGTGGGGTTGAGCATCTGAGGGGTGTTAGTAGGGGATGAGGGTGAGAAAGAGGGAGGGGAGGAGGGGGAGGGAGGAGGTACGTTGAGGGATGCTGTTACCCAGAAGGCGTAGCATGTGTCGACGGATTTGTTGCAGCGGCCGTTGAAGCCTACGAATTCTGGTGAGGTAGTTGAGAGAGCGGGGATGGCATGTGCTGAGTGGATTCCTGCGAGAGTGTTGCGGTTGTCTTGGTCTGGGAGGCTGTCATTGTCGTCGTCGGAGTCTTCGTCTGGAATATATCCTATTTGTCTTGACATGAGCCATCTGATAGTTGCTGATATATCTGTGAGCCCAGAGGAAGTAGCATTGTCTTTTGCGGTATCTGGATTATTAAGACGATTTAGAATCTTGAGAGAGGCAATGGCACAGTATGTATATCCAGCTTCACATGGTCAGACGGCACCTCAATCACAAAAGTCACAATACTTACCATGTGCTTCATGCGAGGAGCTCTCGGAGATACCTCCATCATAAGTCTACAGAAATCAATGTATATTCATATAATCCGCAGAACTCTCGACCTACCTGACCAGCCTTCAAATGTCTCACCAGCGATTCCACATTTATATCCTCAATCCCTCCAACAGGACCCTCCATATCCCCTCTCAACATCCACCGCACATTGGCAAGCACATAACAATACCGCATATCATACCCCCCCTCCACCTTCCCCTCCCCCGTAACCAGTTCCCCAAAACTCCCATCCCTCCTCTGCAACCTCCTCAACCACGCCAAACACGCCCCTCTATTCACACTCTCCAGCCCCCCCACAAAACTCAACGCCAGAAGCGCAAAATACGTAGCCGGCAAGTTCGCTGGATCCATACTCTCCCCACCTTCATAATACGCGTCTGGATACCGATGGTTCGGACTCCCGCAGAAGCCGCCGTGCGGGTGCTGGCATTTGAGTATCCAGTCACGGATGGATGTGCGTTGGGCGGGGGGGAAGGTGTCGGCGCCTGCGTTGAGGAGGTCGAGGGCGGAGAGGATGAAGAAGGCGAGCGTCATGCGTGAGGAATCAGTCGTGGTGTATTGGGTCGGGAGGAGGGTGAGGAGACAGCGTTTCCAGTATTTGATGTGTTGGGGGATGTCGAGGTGGGTATCTTCTGGAGGGTCTGCCATGGTTAGTATACGATTATCGTTGTTGAAGGATATCGTTTGTTTTGTGTGAAGTTGATGGACTTGGATTTCTCAAACCAATTGCAGATCTTCTGAATGCCGACTCAGATCCTTGCTCGGAACCGGATTATACTTACGCCTATATGAATTAAGCTTTTACCCCTGGCGCTTCTCGTGCCAAAGCTTCCATAGATTTATCGTCGCTCTCGTGACGACTGGCGTGGCATACAACATCCCAAACACCTGTACAATACGCTCTCCAGCGCCTTTCCGTCTTTCTCTCTATTTCCCAACATCATATAAAATATATACACACTCCGCGACCACAGCCCACCGCCATCATGGCGTTAATATCCGCCATGACGATCATCACCTCCCTCTCCCTCTTCCACCTAACCCTCGCCTATTTCTTCCTCACAAACCCAGATGCGATTGCAGATCAAGCCATGGTTTTCATCATAGGAGAGGCTATGAACATGGTACGGAACTCTCTTTCCCGTTTTATATACCAGACTAACAAAGTAAACAGCCACATGCGCGCTCCTTCGAAGTCCCATCCCCAACGCTAGCCTTCCTCGCAGCCCTCTTCCTCTTCCTCGGCATAAGCGACCTAACAGCCTGTTCCTCGCGCGAAGAAGTATTCGTATTCTACTGGGGTGCTCAAGGTACATCCTATCCCCTCCCCTCCCCTTCCCTTCATCCCCCTTTCCACTAACACCCCTCCCAGCGCCCGCCCGCCTCGGCGTCCTCCTCCTCCTAACGCTCTACTCCTATTTCTTCTCCGCCAAATCACCCATCTACGGTACATCCTCGTACATCCCCAGCGTATGGGGCGAAGGGCTCAAGAACCGGATCTTCTTCACCTGGGCGTTTGTGGAGACGGCGGCGTGGTTCTGGATCTGGGTTACGTTGCGGGAGGAGAGGAGGGAGTGGGCGATGAAGATCCAGATGCAGAGGGCGGAGGAGGAGGAGAAGTTAGGACATTGATGGGATTTATGATTAAGAGATGGGGGAATTTAATAAGGATTTGCGATGGTTACTGCAGGAGTTTATTCTTAATGTATATGGATCTTGCGGAAGACAGATCTAACTTCAGAATTGAAGGGGACAAGTTGGCCGCGAGGGTAATGACCTGATGCTTAGAGCAAAGTTCTACTATCTATCCTTAAGGAGTTAAGGGCATATCTCAGTCCTTCCACTTTTACCTTCGCGGGGCCATCTGTACAGCCTGAACACGAACCAGCGTGGCGGAATTCGTTGCGACAAAGCTACTATGTCATGGGCATGGTACCCAGCAGTGTTTATACAGAAAGAGAAGAGGCGAAGAAGGGGCATAGAGAGACTTGACAATCATTACCGACATCATACTACAATACTCTTTAAGATAAAGACTCAAGATATAAGCATGCTTTCAGGAGACGCAGAGTATTGTGAAATACTGTTTAAATTTCGAATTGAGTACATGCCTAGCTGATATCCCGTTTCCGACCTCGAAGAAGCCGAAGATATTCGGATCCTACGTACATTTATACTGAGGCTCTCAAGCTAAAAATTTATCCTCAATCTTTTAAACTCAGACCACTGTTTTGTATCAAGTCAATCAACTAAACGTCAAGTCTCCAAAGACTTTTTATCCTCCGTGAACTACGCCAAAGTAAAACGCCAACATGGCAATTTAAGCCTTGGTATTGCCCTATTTGAACGCCGTCGATATATAGAGAATCCATGCAAAAAAGAAACCCCCCTAGAGACCACCAATTTTCAACTCTACTTCGTACACAAAAATGAAAAGTTTTATGCCGCCTGGCCTCGATTAAATGAATAGTTTCGAGGAGGCCTAGAAACTCTGCTAGATGAGGCAATAACCCTGGTAGCAGAAGGAGAGCGTGTTATTCTTAGAGGATCATTTCGACGTGGTGGCATATGTCGGTACGCTGTCATTCTTCTATTTCTTGGGCCAGGTTCGAATCTTCGAATCTCGTTATCGAGCTCATCCAGATCTGTTTGTTCTGAGTCCGATCGTAAGCTTTGCTGATGCTCTGCAAATATCATACTGATCCTAGGATCATACTGCCGAGCTCTTTCATTTGGTGATTGTTGACGGTTCATTGCTCGACGCCGCCGAACAGGACGTATTGGTGTGTCAGAATCATCGTTCAAATCCAGGACCTCGTTCGCGACGCCCAGATCTTCTGTGGTGCGGTCGTTAGTTTCTAGTGAGTTTTCGTAAGCATTTCGGCTCATGCTGCGAGTCGATCGTGATGACGGATATTCGTTTGCTGAATGCGGCTCATCGTCTCCAGGCGTTTCACTGCGGTTACGGTTTAGTCTAGGCGAAAGTGACATTTCTGTATCACCGTCTCGATCATACATGTATCCTGACTCGGACTCATCATCAGCTTCACTGGGTTCGCTCGCACTCGAGTAGCCATTTGCTGTTGGTATATTTTCATGCGGAATATAAGGCGGATAACCGTCCCGGCCACCATAGGTCGGTGTTGGTGACAGGCTGTCACGGGACGCATCGGTCTCCTCATCAGAAGGGCCATTTCCTCCAATGGTTTCTGTATCGCTATTGTCTTCCGAGTTCTGATCATCCTCAGTATATTCGTAGCCGCTCCGGAATTGAAACTGCTCCTCCACATCACTATCAGGTCCCTGGTCCAATGGGCTCCAGCCAGAGCGTCGTAACCGATCTGCCTCACTGTTTGTATCACTAACATCCGCCGCACCGTCAGTGTTGGAGGCCACCGACGGCGAAGACGAAATTGAGGGTCTGAAGGCTCGACCTCTGTTTCTAGGAATACGACTCGAAACTTCACCACCCTCATCTGACTCGTCATCCGATATTTGGATCGGGGCGGACTGGTTAGAACGTGCGGTAGATCTCCCAGGTCTTCTTATGGGCTCGTCATCCTCATCGTCTTCGACGAAATCTTCCAATGACCCAGCGTCCTCGCTATTCTCCGAATCGGAATCGTCATCCAGGTCGTGGCTTAAGTCGATATGGCGTAGGGGATCAGGGTGCCGCCAGCCAGCGTATGGATGATTAACGCCGTAGAGGCTATGCTCCACTAAGTCCATATCGATTTCATCGTCCATGTCGAGGGACAGAGCATCCAGACCATCAAACTCAGCGTCCTCGTCAAGATCGCTAAAAGCATAACCATCGTCGTCTATGTCTGCACCACAGTTTATGCATTCAGGGCCCCCTTCATGTTCGAACCCACATTCCCGGCAGCGCATGACCCCACCATCCACCTCGTCACGATACAATTCTGCACTACGGCTCGGAAATGTTCCTTTGAAAAGTCCATCTGGACCATTCTTGTCCTTTTCTACCTCTGCAATTTCTTCCGCGCGACGTTTTGTGTGTTGATCGACACTTTCATCCGACGGTAAGAGCTCTGTCCGTTTCGTAAAGACCTCGACCAGCTGCTTCACCTGTGCATATGTCAGGACGCATTCCATGTTACCAGAAATATAAGCTTACAAGAAATGAAGGAGCTGGTATATTTTTGACCTTTGTCCGACACTCGGGGCATGTCTTCTTCCTCCTGTTGGGTATGAACCAGCTACATAAACACTGTCTCATCAGCACGGTAAGCCACAGCGAGCGCTGCGGTGTCTTACAGAATAGCAGTATGTGTGGCCGCATCCCAATGTCCAGGGCTCGTAAAGTAGTTGATCGCAGATTGAACAGGTACATAAGGATTTTATACTTGTGAGGTCTGCTTCAAAGAGAGAATTAAGCTGGCACACCATGTCAGTGTATGCTCCGCATTTCCAAGATTGAGCACTCACCTCTGCCGTGTCCCTTGTTCCCTTAGGTCTTGCCGAAAGTGACGACACTGGTGTAGCTTCTCGACTGCTGAAAGTCGCGGACTGCTCGGAGGGAGCCCTTCTTCCTGGTCTGTCTGACAGATCTGCTTTGACAGCGGGAGGATTCATGTTGTGAGAAGGTGGATGTTGCGTGCGTGCGTGGTCGCGAGGAGGGAAACTCTGTAAAACGTGGGGCGACAACAGCGCCCTCGAACGGACTGGCCGTATGACGACACCCGCCTGATGGGCTCGATTTCTCGCAAGCCTTCTGCTTTCCAAGATTGGTTGCGCGGGGGATGCACAATGTCGTGTCGGGGGTGGAGGAAGAGGAAGTAGAAGCAGAAGCAGAAGCAGTTGAAGTGAAGGAGAATAACGGTTGCTAGCCGGACCGACGAGTAGCTATGATGAAGAGAGTCGCGCCTAACTCGTCCCCCTCTCACTTGTACTGTAAGGCTTTCGCGCCTCGGAGAACAAAGGCCAGTCAAACGGCGGCGCTACGGTGGTCCAGACTCTCTTAACGAATCCGCTACATCTTATTTTCCAGCAGTTCACGCATTCTATTTTTCATTGCTATTGGAGTGCATGGTTTGGTAGATCTCAGACTTTCTCCCATGAAACCAAGGAATGATGAAGACTCGTTCAACGTAATGAGCCAGCCCAAGGTACTCGAGTAGATGCTTTCTAGTCCTAGGGCTTGGGCTTGGGACGCTGCTTCTACTGCATGACCGCACACGTGATCATATTGGGCAGTCATGCTAGTGCCGGCTGCAAAGAACCGTCGAACCACCACGACCTTCAACCACCTGGGCAATTCCTCCTGCTGGGTCGACTCTTGCCAAGCTCCCACAACCTTCAATTGAACTTGGAGACATGTGCTTTGAGCTCCGCCGTCCCTGGATTGGACTCTGAGGGCATGGTATGTCGAATATGCCAGCCCGCGTTATGTGGTGGGAGTACGAGTACCGAAACACCTCAACTGGAGAAAGCTCAACTTGAGCTCGACATGGCCGGCCAATGACTAGAATCGCTTCAATTGCGCAATCTGCACCTACGGATGACACCACCCCCATCTCAAGGGTCGATATATTTCCGATGTAAATATCAGATGCCGCCTTTCTCCTCACACTGTGTGCGGTCAACCGCCAAATACATCATCTTTCGCAGTGTAGATGGGCCACGCTTACAAGGCCATTGATGAGTCTGCGGTGCAGAAGAATCAAATTCATTATTGGTTGCTATGACTATCTCACCATCACAAAGTGCTCCGATGTGAAACCGCCCTTGCTAGCGACCAACAATCTAATATCAAGGCGTTCGCCAAAAGCAACTTCAACAGTCTAAAGCATCTCCCCCACGCATCAATTCAGTCTTTCAAAGCGACCATGGAACCCACTGCGACATGCTCAAACGCGTCAAATTCAATGAGTACAAACGACAAAGCACAACTTCAAACCCCCCCCCCCCCCGGCATTTCACAAAAGCCCTTGCAACTCCCGGCTCTGTGTCGTTGGTGCTGAGAAAGTCTTGTTCGCACAAGCCATTTATTGAAGCCTCTTGCGTTTGGCGGCATCGGCACACACTTCTGCTAAATGTCCCTTCTGAACTGCGGATTCTTCAACAATTTCGTTGTTAAGATGACTCAATGTCTTGACCTCAAAGTCAAGAAATTCTTTGATGGCGCCGACATCCGTAGCACCAGCTTTCATGGAGTCTCGGATGTCCCTCAACATTTGACGAATGCGAGCCTCAGCGTTCTCGAGCTGGTATTCAACAGTCTGCCCGTAGAGGTCGGAGAGATTCGAGATGGGTCGAACTGTTGTCAGAACGGTGTCATCGCGAACTCTGGGGGAACGAGGACGGAACGAGGTGACCATAGTGATTCGTTCCTGGCCACCATATGCACGAAGTGCTTGGTGATCGATATATCTTCCTTGGAGAACGACAGCACAGCCCTAACATTATCAGTTCTCGGTCAAGAAGCTTGAGGGTGATCAGCGTACCTTTTGAGGGCCCCGGACTTTCTTGATCTCACCAGTGCCAGTTCGCAGGGCAGTCTCTCCTCCAACCATTCCTGTAGTGTCGCTCATCATCAAGACACAGACGAAAGGATAGCTGTCTCTGTGCCAGCCAACAATTGGTTCGTCATCCTCTTCAGAGATCATCGTTTTGCTGTCATACTTTTTCTTCTCCCCAGGGATCGACAGATTAATGTGACCAATCTCGTAATCCATGACCGGAACGAGATCGACTCCAGCAATCTTGGATATGATTGAGAGTGTCTCGGGGTGCTTCCAAGCCTCAAATATGAACTTTCCATGCCTTCTGCTTGTTAGCTTCTCATTCGCTCGTGTATTATGGTGCGCGAGAAAGGTGTCAGTCTGGTGTAGGCTTCTTCCTAGACACAAGATAGTCTATTGTGACTAGGTAGTGGACTATGTCCCGACCAACACCCTTCTCTTCCACAGTGAGCGTGTGACAGAAAAAGCGACCTACTTTGGAGCATATCCCCGCAATTGTTTTGGAGCAATGTCTGATGTATAACTGTAATTTTCTTGGACTTCTTTGTTAAGAACTTCGCTTCTCATAATGTCTACAGCCTCCTCGCTGAAAAGACGGAATGGTTCGGAGACTGCGTTCGGCGAGACACCATTGTTCGAAGGATACCCAATGTCTTCCATGGTGTGGACGAACTTTGGTGGCTCGAAGTCGAGATGTTTGTGTGGGTTGAAAAGCTTGCCAACAGCTGAGGAGCCATGATCAGAAGCCAGGTATCTTGCGAAGGAGCGCTTGAGACTTTCTTGCGTCTGTTTTGAGGAGGGATTGAGCCTAGGAGAGTTGATGGTTTTGGAGTAAAATCTCTCTGGTGTCGCAGGGCCGAAAACGTCTGGTGTAGCCATCATGCACTCAGTTGATGATACTGGATTTTCCCGATGCCTATTATCAGTCAGAGAATGTTCCTTCAAAGTTTGGAAGGAGCAGGTAATCTCCACTATCACATTTTGTTCGCAGCAATCTCAAAGATCTCCTTTGCTGATGTATAATAGAATGAAACAACGAGAGGAAAAGGAATTCTAATGCCAATGGCAGGTCTTTCTGGCCTACTTCTATTTCTAAATCTTGTTGAACGTCTGGAATGTTGTATATAGAACGAAATGTTGTTGCAAAAAATTGTACGACCGCGAGGCAGACAGAAAAATTCTGAACATGGCTTCTGTGTTGGATTCAGATTTTTCTATCGGCCTCGCTTAGACAGGAAAGTGAGGTGAAGGTCATCTTTGAGTAAGGTGACTATTCACTACATGACGTTCGCATCAATTTCATGACGTTCGCAACAATCTCACAATGTTCGCATCGCTCGTCTGCATCATTGGATAAAGTTGATATCAGACCATTGAATAACTTACGATTGTTTCACTCTTCTTCTTCTTCTTATTTCGGAGTACTGGAGTTTAAATGTATGTATGATGGGGGAATGTTGAAGAATCGTTGACGATGTTGTTCCTTATGACGTTTGGGGAGTATGGGATACTGTTGCGGTTCTACTCGGTCGCTGTTAGTACAGTAATACACGTCGGTTGTGTTGGTTGCTATTTCCTCTATTTTTATATCTGATGCGGCGTCAACGGCTCCCTCCACACTATTTCCTACTGCTCACTTAAGTTCCGGTGCCTCACGTCGACAGACCAATCTAACTAGGTAATGCGCTACCGGTTGATCAACCGTGATTGTTGCACGTCCTTGAAGCTTCCATCCAGTGTCCCTGGTTCACTCCTCCACACTTTTCTCCGTCCCTCTTTTTGCCGTTCTCATACTCTGCAAGAGCTAGAAGAATTATCGACCGGGAGTCTCACGATAGTTGCCGCACATCTGCTCCTCTCCAAGCAACCTTATCGTAGGAAACTGCGATTCCTTGAACTGTCTTTGTGGCTGGAGCGTAAAGGAACACTCGCGGTGTGGATGTTGGGTAAGCTGAGTGAGGGTAAGCCGGAAAGTGGATTGCTGCAGCAGATTTCCTACTCGGATCGTTGAATGGAAGTTGTTTCTCGAAACGGATGGTGCCAGAACATGAGCAACATGTGGAATCAAGTGATATAATGAGTAGCTATACGCTTGTTTATATGTCCATCCAATCAGGACGCTGGTTCCGGAGCATATTTAGCCACAGCTCCTCCCATCTCTATCTTTTCCCATCCCTGACAGCGTCATCACATTGGCATATTGGAGTTCACCACGAGGAGCTGGAGTACACATTACCAAACACACACATATCAGGCGCCGATTGTGGAGACACGCAACAGCAAGAGTGGAGGAAGCAGTTTAGGTGTGGAGCGCTAATGTTCTGTTGCGTTCAGGAGCGCTAGGAATGACTGAGTTGCTGAGCTGCTCTGGCGCTCTGGATCTGATGACCCGATTTGGAACAGTAAAACGATCAACCAATCCAGCCTCCACTTCATCGATGGATACGTTGATTGATACTGCGACAAGCTTGTGATTCTCTCCATCTGAGAGTGGTCGTTCACTAACACACTTCGCCGCAACCGGACGTAGCATTTGCTCAATCGTAGCCAGCTTGTAACGTCCGATGATGGACGAGGCCAGCTCATGTGCTGTGGCTCTTACATGACTGTCAGACCATTACGATCTATTGGCGTTGGGCTGCTCCTATATTGGGCGTTGGGTCGCTCACATGTCATGTGCATACCTGCATCAACGTCGTAGTCCGAGCGGAAGGCTTGGGACCAAAGTCCCCGATTTCCATCTATTTTCGCGCAGTCCCTGATAGATATCTAGGTACTGGATAGACGTTGAGGAAGCTAGCAAACACTACATAGATGCGAGGAAGCAAACTTGGCAGTTACAGATTGGGGTTGTGACCAGTCGTAGACCCTCCCTTCAAACCATCAGTGGAAGGATTCACTTTTGTGAACTGTAATCCAATAGAACCCAAACCAATCATTAAGTAAGGTCTCTCGACCTCATCGTTTCAAAACAACTTGAATTTTATTCCCATAGATCTCATGGCATGTAGTTGTTGCTTTATCGATAAGGGAGCTCGTGCCCCTGTCGGCATCTCGTTTGATAAGCCGACCCTGCTCGACCAGACACCTGCATCCATCATCCATGAATTGAGTGAACCTGTCTTCCCCGTACCGAATTTGGCACAAATAACAACCACTAGCGTGATTCTTTGTGATACGCAAACCAAGCACATCCAACACTCGAGGCTGAACTCTATCCACTGCCTTCTACTTCTCGGCCAGCGGAATGGCGTCAAAACCCGAGGGTTCAAAAGACCAGGAGATCTGGGATGAGAAGACCAGTGAGAAGTTTGAGGGGTGAGCAGGCATTGACATATATTCTTTGTAAAGAGGACTTTCGTTGACGTGCTATTTACAGCAAATCATTCTCCAAGTTTTTCGATCCGTGTCAGGAGGCTGCGGACAGGAGCTTGAAATGTCTACATCGGAATGGTGGCGATCGGGATATGTGCACCGATTACTTTCAGTATGTTTATGTCCCATCTCGTTTCCTGTTTATCATAAATCTCCCGGATTGTCCTTATCTCGAATCGTCTTTCTCTGGAACCTAGACTCTGGCAAGGTGGTCTGTCACCTGGCGGCCGTTGACGTGGAATGAGTACCTCCGTACCTCTTATCCCTCGATTCGGAGCTATCTAGAGGAGTAAGCGGCGTGGCAGATTCAAGATTAGAGTAACTGCGGAAAGCGGATGTGACGTCGAAAGTCTATTTCTTATCTTTGTGTAAAGTGCCGATTACTCGGTCGTGAGCTGGATAGTGACTCGTGGTCGGATCTGCGGCTAATTGTTAAACAGGGCGTATCGAGATTGTAAGAAACAATGGGTGCGTGTTTCGATTTCTATTTTGTTCTTGCATGACTGGGCAAGTATAGTCAAGGTTCTACAAGCCAATGGTCAGGTGGTAAAGCTGTTGTCCATTGGCTGGAGTGTTTCTTAGCCGTCCCTACCAGAGACTGCAAACTGGGAATCTAGTCAAAAACCTCAATTATTTTACCCGAGTATTGGCCTAGTTGCGACGACCACACAGAATGTACTTCTCAATGTCTTGTTAGCAGACTCGGAGTGCTCGGAGCGGTCAGGTGAGATGTCGGACGTTGTTTCATACGTTTTCGCTATCACGACTCCCGCCAGTTTAACTTGAAATTATCAAGAGTATTACTGACATAGACACAGACCGCTGAAAGAAACGCTGCAAAGAAAGGCAAGGGATGGTTCTCGTGAAAAATGAATGAGCCAAAGGAGAAAAGGGTGTTACGCTGCAGTAGCGATATTGCGTTAGAAGACTCTTTTGTTAATGATGTGTAATTATGTATATTATGGAAAGAGCATAGTGATCAATGGGCGGAGGGAATATGGTTCGGTAGCAACATTGATTTCTGTTTTCCAGGGTGTTTCGACTTGAAGATTTAGCTAAACCGGGCTTGTTTGAGGTGTTGCTTGCAAACGTTAGTACTTTGTTTAAAGCATAACTCACCGAAGGACGAGATATTTTGATCATTCAGAGTTCTATCAGTTGGCATTAACTAACTGGTTCTCTTCGGTACGAAGCGCATAGAGCCTTGCTTGAAACATTTGCTAGTCATTTTCCAAAATAGGTTACAATTACAAGATACGTATTCAAGCTGTATAAGACCCAAAAAATTATATGGTGTTAAAGTGAACATTCTCCTCGACTCAAATTGAAATCACGAAGCCCAATCATGACGCTATAAATCTTCGCTTCGGCTGCTGGACTGCTTTTGAAACCACAACAAAATTTTGTCAAGTCATCATCTTTCATCCGCCACAACTGGCCGCATCGACCCCGAATAGTTTGATCGCTCTTTCTAGACCCTCTAACAGACCTAGTAGACAGCTGCATGATCGTCTAACCGGGTTGGAGGTCGGCATATAATGGCTGATCAGCTGATGAGGGAGCGGCAGGATGCCCCAATTTGGAACGCTATCGAGGTAGGAGCTTACAAGCAAGCTCTAAAGCTCGTCGATAAGAGATTATTAAAGAAACCAAATGATTACCTGGAGGTATGTAATGAATTACTTACTAAACTTCATCGCATGTATATCCTTCAACCTTCAGTTCAATATCACGTGAAAAACTTCAACATTTCATCCAGGTCTCACATGCTCAAATAGGCTCTCAAAATCTTCATCAGATCGAAATCGCCTCTTTTATCCGAGAAAGCGGCTGTTCTGGTTCACTTGGAAGAGCTGCCGCTGAGAAAGTCGACGATCAAGGAGTTGGAGACCATTCAACTCTACGAGGAAGCATATGGCGAGATTTTTCCTCTACCAGAGGAGAGCTGGGCAAGAATAATTGGAGAAACACGATGGCAGTGTGTTAAATCTTGTCCTAAAGAAGAGGAATTAGGGGAAGACTCCTTCAAGGAATGCCTTGCGCACAACGACATTGATCATGCTCGGCAGGTATGATTGAAATCTTGCTCACATCGAGCGATGATCCAGCAACGACAAAGTGCACTTTGGAATCTGTGTCTGATTTTATCTAGATTGCGAACAGTCTGGAGAAAAACTTCCCTGGCAATCATGGATACCTCTTCTGGAATATTACTACCATGTTCCTCTTCTCGGTAGGTATGCCATGCACTGTCACACGACCCAGCACTGAACATCATTAGATAACAACCAAATATCCGGAAAATCAACGTAAACTTTGGGGCACCTTGGCTTTTGCCACGATTCAAAAGCTGGCTAATGCAACCAAGGACGCTGCAGTATGTTGTGCACTGGTATCTATGTTCGTCGGGTAATATTGACCGCTTTTGGCAGGACCCAACGAAACTACCACTACGCTCAATACACACCCCTCAAGAATTGCTTCTCTGGCATAGAATTGCAGAGGTTCTCGGCAAGCCCGAACAGAGACTGGAATATCTGCGACATCCTAATTTGGGGCCTGAATCTGTTGTTGCCAAGGGAGAATGGCAGCTGTGGAGGATAAGGTTAAATCTCTTGAAGACTACTCACCAATGGAAAGAGCTCTCCGAAATTACAGGAGCCCTGCTTAAGCGGGCACGTACGAAAGATGAAGCAGGCCAGCTCTCTGAAGCAAATTTCTGTGACTGGATAGTATGGGACGGTTTCGTATGTTCGGCCAACGAATTGGGTGGTAATGAGTAAGTCAAACTTCTCCGCCTTTATCGACGAATTGGCTTTATTGGGCTTCCCACTTACGAATTTCTCCAAATTACCCTATCTCATTTACGATTGCATAGACGAGGCCTGGGTTGACTGATACCGTTTAGGTTGAGAGAAACAGTGTTGTCTGAGGTGGAGGCACACTTGAAGCCAGATTCTGGGGTCGATAAAAGCTGGCGACGAAATGCCTCCCTTGCAAAAGTGACTATTTTGTTTAAGGAGCGTAGTCCATTCTCTCTTGAAACTGAATCCGCGTCAGATCGAGTTGACATACTTGAAGAATATCTGACCACGTACGGATCCGCTACCACGACATACGGTGATTTGAGGCCTTTTGTTGAAAAACTTAAAGAAAGTGAGAAGCAATACCTCTTGAGTAATTTGGTCGAGAATAAACTCTTTGGAACTGCTTTGGCGGAAAAAGACAATGTAAGCAAGGCCTTCCCTTTTTGGACAAACCCGATTTTGATCAATACACCCATGATCATACTTCGCCCTTTTTGAGCATGTCCATGTCTCTCTCGTTCTTCCGTGGGCCTTCGGTTTTAGTACAATAGAAATTGTTCTTTGCTCTTATTTAATCTGTATCATTCTATTAACCATCAGATAGTACAAGACTTCCAAAAAGCTGACCCAGCACATCAACGCCTACAAGCTGCGTTACTTGCTTTCGTTCAGCATTCCAGCCAACAGTCATCGGCAGCGACCTACTCAGTTCTCTGGAGACACAGAATTTGCTTGTCCCGCTTGCGGTCGTAAAAATGTTCACGCTTGTACATCATGTTTAAAGTTGTTCGCGTTGGACGCTATCCGACTTTATTTGATGGCAGTTGAGGGTGGTCGGGCCTCGTGGAATTTGCTGCCAACCGACCAACATCCAGCAGATGATTTATTGGTGCTAGCTACTATGTGTCTAATCACCATCGCACAATCAGTTACTAAACATCAAGATGGAACATTGATGGACGGAAAAACGTCTTACATTTTGCAAACGGTCGCGCTACTTGAGTATGCTGCTTCCTTCTCGGAATCAAACTTCCAAATTCGCTTGTTGCTCATTCGACTGTATCAATATCTTGGTAACGGCCTTCTGGCGATGCGTGCTTTCGACAAACTCGGACTTAAGCAGATACAATTAGATACTCTATCTTACGTTCTGTTTGACCGCATATCATCATTCCACCCGCATGAATTCAGTGAGCTAGGAGAGACTCAATTGAAACCTCCGCTCGATATCTTGAAAAAGCAGCAGAAAATGATACGAGGAACTCCTAGCCAGATTAGTCGAAACACACGGCTTTCATACAAGCATGGAAGCTATAACTCGGTCTTTGAACTCAAAGAAGTATCAGACAAGCTTGAATGTACCCTTGCTTCCGTCATGTCAGTCGTTGAGACGATGAAAATTAACCGCTTGATACCACCAAAAGAATCTACGAATAGCGGTTTGGATATCTTACGTAAGTCTAACATGTGCGTGATTCGACTGTTGAACTGACATCTCGCAAGCGCCCAACTTTGATAGTGCAGATTCAAAGATCTCGGATACCTGCGACTATGCCACCTTTCCAAATTTCGAGACTACTCTCGGCGCCAGCTTTGAAGAGTTGTCACGTTATCGGCCGGGTCTAAGTGTAAGTACGAATCTGGTATTCAGATACAAATATCTGACAAATTCAGGACACACGAGCACGTGTAAATGTCAATAATCAGCACCTCGCAAAACTTCTGTTTCAAAGCTCTTCTGCTGGTAAAGCAGAAGCTGATGCTTACATACAAGAATTCCTCACATCACCGCCTAGTCGGATGAAACTGGATGATACACAAAACTATCTTACAGACATAGAAGATCTCGCTCGTATTTGCCATGAAGAGATGACACTCATTGTCACATCGAATCTCGACTCCACCCGTTGGAACGACGCTAACTTCTCTTCCATTTTGAAGGCATCCAACCTCAATCTAACAGCTCGCTTGGAAGAGGCAGTTGAACAAGTCAAAAACCTCAATGCCATCGTCCCAGCTTTCGGAAGCGTCTTACACATCTTCTACACCACCTACGACCTCTCCCTCATCACCCACGCCTTCTGCAACTTCCTCAACTCTAAAGAAAAAACCCTACACACCTCTCAAAGTCCCCACACTCCTCAAATCCTCGCACAAACAAAGGAACTTAAACAAGCCATCTCTGAGCAAGCTGCAGCTGTGAAAAAGGGACTCGACGAAGGCGGTTGGATTGATAAAGTCCTTGATAGCGTGAATGGCACGCAAGGGAACGAAACTTTGTTCAGTGAGTTGGGGGATCTGGTGGATGCGGGACAATTAGAGGTTTGGGCTGGGGATTTGGTAGAGGGCTGGAAGGATAGTTGTGAGGGGTTGATGTTGAAGAAGGTTGTTGTTTAGACGAAATAATTATATGTGGATATGACTGCTGAGCTAGGGTGGTGGTAGATGCGGTTATGTATGCGGATGAGAAAAGTACTGGTTCATTCAACACTAGAATTGTGAATTAAATTTCTCAAGAGACGAATGCTCAAGACTTGCTTTTTGACTTCACGGTTGTTGGTAACTACGATTCTGGAGTTGTGTGAAAAGGACGCATATAACTTGGCGACATCCAAGTGACAACAATGAGTTGACTCCACTAGTAACTTATCGCACTTGCCACTTGGAGATCTGATGACATGTTTTTGACAACACAATTTGAGGTCATATAATAACATAGACCACATCTCTTTCAATTGAGAAAAAACGTGCTCCCTCGCTTCTTCCATTCTAAATAAGCAAAAATAGTCGGCATTACACTCGGTTTAAAAGGCCCATGGTGTGCCATGAACCAGCTCTTGCTGTTGCTTGTTTCTGTCAGCCGCCGCAGAAGAGACAACGACGAAGCGAAGCCTCGATCACCTTTAGATAATGGGAGTTGGAGTATATTTACGCGCATTAAGCATTTCATTGGACCTTGTCTGCTATAGTTCTCAAGCCCTTTATTCGGGGTTTACATTGTTGATACCTAGTATTACACTAATATTTTCTTTTCAATCCGGCATAATTTCATATTAGGATAGGCCAGTCCATTACGCCATACCGTTCGTTGGTCATGTAGACTTTTCTACTCCATTTTTTCTTCACTCATCCATCAACCGTACATTCGTCCCAGAGTTCTCCAGAGCTCCTTTTAAGCCCGCCAAAACCTCTTTTCTTCTCGCCAGCTTTGCCTTCAATAACAACTTCTCATTGGTGGTGTAACCACTCAATTTCTTTCTGGGCCCTGGACTGGAGAAAGAGCCAGTAGAGGATCGGAAAGAGGCGTTCAGATTTCGTGAAGCGTTTTCTGGCGTATAGGAGAACCCATACGGGCCGGGTGCGCGTACTGATTGTTTTGCATTGGGTGTCGTGAAGGGAGATCCTTCCCGACTGCGCGGTGGGTCTAGAGAACTGAACCGTAACTTCCTCATCTGACTTTCCAGCAAATCAATATCACCACTCTTCTTTTCCGCCATGCTAGTGATTTTGCCAATTGTGCGCATAACCGCTTCCACAGTCGGGGCCGCCTGGCCACTCGGACGCCCGTTGGATGTTGCCTGCGTCACAGTTTTGACCTTGAGAATGGTAAGGCTTTCCTCGGCTTCAGGAAGGAGTTTCTGGAACTTGGTAAAGTTCTTTCTCAACGCGTGCTGTTGCGATGCTTGGTCTGCACTTAAAGGTTGTGACTTGGCTGCCTCTATCTCAGCAGAATCTCGATGGGCCTGAACAAACTTTCGGAGCTCGTCATGCTTAACTCGAAGTTTGGCTAGTTCTCTCTGCAAATCGCTGCAAATTTCCATCTTGCGAGTGACATCCGTGACGCGGCCCTCCTCCAAATCTTTCGTTATATCGTTGCCGACAAGCCAAGAGAGAGTGTCAATCTCTCCGAGGACCCAGTCTTCTTCATTTTCAAGGTCTTCCTTGCCACGTCCAGTTTCTTTGTACTGATCGGTGTGGCCCATAATAAAGGCCTTCAGCGCCTTCGCGTTGACGCCAAGAGTGTCAACCATAGAGTTTACGTCTCGATAGAGGGCCTCAACTTGCGCTGGGATACTCGTTCCCTCATCCGCGGCTTCCGTGTTTGTATGCGCTACAAACTCATCAAGTGTCCTTGTTGGCTCAATGTCCTCGGCGAGATATTTTTGCATTGAATCATCTTCTTCATCAACAAGAGCTTGCGTCTCTGCTGCTTCCTGACGAGCTTTCGCCTCGATTCGACGCCTTTCGTCGGCCTGCTGCTGTTCCCGCGTAAGGGAGAAGGTGCTGGTTACTGACCCTGGTGGCTTTTGACCCAACCTCTGAGAAGAACCTAGCAGCTGAGAGGCGACCCCAGGCGCGCTCACAGACCGAGATGCATCAGGCCTTAACATCCTACCAGGCAGAGCACCACGTACTGGGCTTGGAGACCGTGGACTTTGTGGATCTCTGGGCTTCGAGGGAGGAGGCAGGGAAGGAGCGGCCGCAGCGACCTCCCCAAAGAGAGGGCGTGATGGGGCATGTTGATGACTAGGCATTGATACTTTTGTAAACATACTGCTCTCAGATAACTTACTATTAGGGCCATCAGCGGAAGAGGTTTGGGGTGTGAAACCCGGAGTTTGTTGTGTATCCGAAGAGGGACTTGGACTTCGCTCGACCTCTTCTCCACTCCCTTCCTCACTACCTTCCTCGCTGCCTTCTTCACTGAGCTCTCCTTGTTCGCTGCGAGTATGGCCAGACCCTTCTCCTTCTGAAGAGAAGCCAGATTCATTGTCGTCATCTGCAGGGCCTTCTGGAATGTCAGCGGACGGGGTCGGACGAGGAGAAGCTTTGTCATGGCTCTCAGCTTGGGGTGGAGATTCTTTTCTTGGAGCGGGTTCCGGTTTGGAGGCAGTATCTGGAGGTAATAATTCGTCAGCTTCTGAAGATGATGACGAGTCTCCGAATGGGAAACATGTCTTACTTGTTGGATCAGGTGGCAGCGGAGGGTCGGAGACATGATCACTGATACCTGAATTCTCCTCCTTTGGTTCCTCCTTGATTTTCGGAGTGGCAGGAGTTTGGATAATTGAAGGAGGCTCCGTAGTGAAAGGAGTCTTTGGACCAGGAGTTGCTGAGGAATTGCCCAACTTGGCGAAACTAAAGGACGGCGGGTTTTCTTCCCCAAAGCTGAAGCCAGCTGGTTTGGATGTTGTGGTTGGCGTTGTTGATGGCGAGCTGTCTTTTCCAAAGCCAAAACCAGCAGCAGCAGGTTTGGATGATGTACTTGGCGTTGTTGAGGGCGGCACCCCAAAGAGGCTACTACCATTTGCCGCCTTTGTCGGAGAAAATGCGAATCTCGCAGGAGCCGGAGTAGATGCAGGTGTAGTGGACTCCTTGAGAGGCGAGGAAGGCCTGACAGCAGTCTTCGCTGGTTCGAATGAGAACTTAGGCGGCTGCTCTGTAGACTGAGGTTTCGATGTCGGTAAGGCAGACTCTTCTACTGGAGTCTCCACGGCATCCATTTCTGCGTCTTTCGAAACCGATGGCTGAGCTGGTGAGATGGTCGAAGTCTCGCCCAGCGCGCCGCCAAATGCTGATCCAAACATCGAGGAGCCCTTACTTCCAGCATTATCTACTTCGCCATCTTTCACCGACACGTCCTTCTTGAAGGTAGTGCCAAGACTGAAGCCAGCACTACCAAATGGACTCGCAGACGCTGGAGCACCACTTGGAATGCTACTTCCGAATGACGTTGGTGCTGGGTTGCCAAAGGTTGCAGGACTAGGCCCACCGAACAAACCGCTATTAGGTTTCTGTTCGGATGGAGCACCAAATAGACCAGTAGCTGGTTTGTTGTCGGACGGGGCGCCAAAAATCCCAGCAGCAGGTTTGTTATCGTTTTGAGGTACAGAGCCGAATGATGTAGAGCTACCAGCAGCCCCAAATGGGCTGGGCGCCGCTGACTTCCCAAACACACTCCCAGTCGCATTTTGAAGATTGTTCGCGGCAGTGAATCCACCTTTGCTTGCAAAATTTGCGAACCCTCCAGAGGTAGGAGGCGCGTTCACTGTCGGGGAAGCAGTCCCGAAAGGGGAAGCTGGTTTTGCTCCCCCAGCTTGACCAAACGTTGTACTTGGAGCAGCCGCACCCCAAGGCGAAGCTTTCTGCCCGGGCATATTGGCAGAACCGAAAGCTGCTGGAGTACTGGGTGAACCAAACGATGGCTTGCCGAATGAGCTACCTCCACCAAGTGCCGAAGAGCTTCCAAATGCTGGTGCTCCAAAGGCTGGCGCGTTTGTAGATGAGGTAGCCGGGGTGCTCGGCGTGCCCCAAACTGATGCTTTTTGTCCTATCCCGGATGCATTTCCAAAAGCACTACCTGTGGCCCCAAAAGATGGTTTAACTGCCCCACCACCTGTTGCCTGTCCAAACGTCGACTTCCCACCAAACGCTGACGGAGAAGCGCTTTGTACGGGGGCGGGTGACGCCTGGACAGCTACGGCAGGAGTGTCACCAAGTCCTGGGTAGGTTGTACGTTGCTGTATTGACTCCGAATAGATAATTGACCAATATTTAAGAACACCTTCATGGTTCAAGCACATTAGTCCAGGAACGGGCCCTGCTGATTCGTCGTTCTCATCGTCGGTTGGAATTGGCTTCCAGACAGTCTGGGTGCTGGACAAGTCTACAGCCATTCCAATGGGGGAAGTATCATTGTTGTCTGAGCTTATAGGGAGAGTAGCTCGTCGGGAGTCATCGTTCATCTCGGTCATCGTGAAGACCCCGGTGATTTTTTCCGCTGGTTTGTCGCTAGACAAGGGAGTTTTGCATTTGCTGAACAAACCAATATCTGTGGATGCGGTCGAAGCGATAATGAGTAGATCTTCTAAGTTCGGTGGGAAATTGCGTAGTCTCAAGATGAATTGGTGTGGGGATCCGCGCTCGACACTGGAAAAGGGGCCAGCTGGGTCAGATAATTTTTGGAACATGTAGCTCGGGGGTGGCCCTGGAGCTCTTGTAACCAGATGGTAGGAGGATTCGGGGGCCATTCCATTTTGCCCGGTTTGTGGAGTATGGATCATCATGAAAACATTATTCTCCAGCCACGTTATTGAAGAAACTAGAACTGTTAACCTCACATCACATATAGATGCGTTTCTGATCACCGCTTACCATAATTGCTTTCGTCCACAGCAGGTGGCCTTGGAATGTCTCCAACTCCCGTTCCGTCTGGCTTCATTTGATAAGCAGTACCATTTGCTAGTCCAGCTACTAACTGTTTTCCCTTGGAGCTCCATGAGACACAACTAACTGTATCCTTCAATACCTGGCCGTTTCCGCCTTGGACAAAGCTTCTTTCGTTTAAGTTTGCCATTAACAGACTGCCATTTGCAAGAACCACAGCAAATAGCTCCCCTTGTGTTGGATTTGGTATAAGCGCTCGTATTGGTTGTCCGTTCGTGGAGATCTCAAAGGCGGGTTGTGTAGCACCACCCAATACAGCTTGAACTTCGTAAACCGCCATGCCTCCTCCATTCTCCGCCGAAAGTACCAGGTAGGATTCATCTGCAGAAAAAGCTACCTGCGAAATCCTCATCGACATAGGTAGGCGCAGCTCTGGTTGGAAAGGGCGAATATTGTTCGCGTTAGATCGTATTTCCTCCTCAGTCGCATTGAAGGTCTGTCGAAGTGTCTTCGTATATGCAACTATGAGGGAATCGGGTCCAGCAGCAGCAACGAGGCCTTTTTTCGAAGCCACGCTTAGCAGCGAAGAGGTCGCAGGTGGTAACTGGTCGGCAGGCCATGGTGTCGGAAGCAATTGTACTTTCACATCGGTCTTGAGTAGTTCGTTCTTGAGTGCCTTGAAGCCTAAGCCCTGATAAACAGGTTAGCTTGGGTTTGTCATACTGGAAACAGAAGGGTAGTTACGCACCGATGTCAATATATCCTCTAAATCAGGTCCATTCTGAACATTTCCCGCCGAGGTCGAGGAACCTGCCATGCCGCCGGCAGCATTCTGAAATGGAGAGAAAGACATGACGGTCGCGAAGTATCCACCAGCTGGGGGTGTAGTTGGGGTGGCCGCAGGGCTCGAAGGTCATAAAATGCTTCTGCGCATCGAATGTCCTTTTGTTTGTCGAGGTTCTACCAGATCCAGGTTCGAGCTTTGGCTAGCTGGTCGGAGCTCGAATAAAGTGAATTTACACGATATAAGGCAATTATGAGTGAATTCTTAGCTGAATCAAACTCATATCCGAGATTCTTGGGTAATCAGGCGCACTTCGGCGGCTACGTAAGGTTTCGCAATTGAAGAGCTCTCCAAGCTAGGGTGCTGTCAGAACATTTAGATGTCACGTGACGCTGTCGCGTGGAGTTGTTGCAGCTGCGCGCAGGCAGGCAGGGCGACGTAGGAGCTCCTGGACGGCCGAGCTCATCGACAATCTCACAACCTCATCAAGAGCTTCAGAACATTGCGGCCGCCTTTGAAACACCTCTACAATATCTCACTATACAACCAACGAATTCTTAAGCTTCGCCTCCCAAGATGCCGGGCTTCGACTTTTCAAACCATACCCGAAATGCTGCGTTACATGCAAGAGGTGTTCCATTGCCAAAGGCGACAAGCACAGGAACGACTATCGTAGGATGCATATTTGATGGAGGTGTAGTTGTAAGTTATTCTCTCACAACTTTTAGTATCGGGGCAGCAACAAAACCATGTGAAGCTTTTTTAGCTGTCGCCAGCCTCAGTTCCATATAATACTTTAGAAAACTGGCAGACGCTGACCTCTGGCTCATATAGATTGCCGCAGATACAAGAGCAACCAGTGGTCCCATAGTAGCAGATAAGAACTGCGAAAAATTACATTACATCGCGCCTCAGATCTGGTGTGCAGGAGCTGGAACCGCAGCGGATACAGAATTCACAACGGCCCTCATCTCTTCGCAACTCGAGCTTCATTCCCTCTCCACCGGCCGCAAACCCCGAGTCGTAACATGCATGACGATGCTCAAGCAGCACTTATTCCGCTATCAAGGACATATCGGCGCCTACCTAGTTGTAGCAGGTGTCGATCCTACTGGTGTCGGATTGTTTACGGTTCACGCTCATGGTAGCACAGACAAACTCCCCTATGTTACAATGGGCTCGGGATCTTTGGCTGCGATGTCTGTGTTCGAGACACAATGGAAGAGTAAAATGACGGAGCAGGAGGCTGTCACTTTGGCTTCGAACGCCATTCAGGCTGGTATCTTCAATGACTTGGGATCTGGATCGAACGTCGATGTCGCAATTATCACAAAGGAGAAGACCACATTGAAGAGGGGATACGTCAAGCCAAATGAAAGAAGCAAGAAGCAGAAGAGTTACGTTTTCAAGAGAGGTACAACTGCAGTGTTGAACGAGAAGATCATTACGAGAGAGGAGATCAGCAAGTATGTTACGGTCACCGAGCTGGGCACAGAGACTACTTTGGGGGAGAAAATGGATTTGGATGTCTGAGGGTCAGATGTTGGGATGCGGAGAAGGAGCGAAAATGTACTACCATTATGGTTCGGTTTGGTGGGATGGCGCATTAAGTCAGGATGTACACCAAGCAAGTTGTCTCGACAGTTGAGTTCAATAGACACGATTCCATTTCCAATCAATCTACAATCAGAGCTCTCAATCTCCCAACAGGTAGGCTTTGGTCATTCTAGGTGGGAGCATCCTACGTTATCCTTTGATCTTACCTTCCTCTTGGCTCTGCATTTTTGTGCCCACTGAGGCTCAGGTTTTCTAACCGAATGATGAGACACTTCAGAAAAATACACGAGACCGTCAAGGACGTAGCCTTGGGGCACTTCTACCAATCCATGCAGGTCAATCGTATGCACCTAGTAAGTTGTTTTGCATGCAGACTCCTGCTCCCTACCAGCAGACGAAACGCCAGCGCGTAATAAACCATTATGTATCGGTGCTGGTACTCTTAGCTACCATACCCTGCGCTCCCCATAAATGAAGGCATACCAGAAGCCGTAGGTGGAGGTGGAGGAAACTGGTATGAGTACAGCGGCATATCCCAATCTTGCTGTTGATCTTGTGGAAATAGAGCATCAAATGCATCCTAGACGCTAGGTTAGCAATTGAATATAACAACACAGTGGAACCCACCCAGTCGATATCAGCCATCAGATCATCTCCACTGTTAGCTGCACCTAAGCCTCCTGCGACGCTATTTCCATCACTACTTGCTTCCGGGCTCGGCTGATTTGGTAGTGCCCAGAGTGCCTCGCCATTGCTCACGCCAGCGTACACAACATCAGGCACTATTACTTTTCCAATGCTTCCGCCTCCTGCTATAGGGCTGGACTGCTCATATTGGGAATCATACTGAGGAGGAGGTATGGTCTGTAATGGAGGTGTTGGAAGTGGTTCTGGAGGCGGTGATTTCATATAGATAAGTTGTTTATTTTCGGTCGTTGTCGGTCCAGTTGCCACACGAGGTGCCCGCTGACCAATATGGCGTTCCATGTTTGTGGGCGCCCTCATACCACGCATGCTCTGATACACAGCTGTCTTCTGTTGTAGCTCAGAAAGCACGCGAAGAGCTTTGGTGCGGCGATTCTCAGTAGGTTCGCATTCGAATATGTAGTCCAAACAAGGCCAAATACGGTCTGCTTCTTTGCAATTTGGATAAACGTAGACTTCAAGCAGTAGAAGAAACGCAGTGTGATGTTGAGATAATGCTCCCACGTACCAAGCCCACTTCTTAAGTTCTGGCAGGGTCTCAAGCGCAACTGATGTCTCAAGGATGGCAGTGCCATTTGAAAGCATTATAGTCCGCAGACGGTCAGGCATAGGAGTGACAACAGAGTTGTGATATCGGTGAAGAACCATCACGTGGAGACGAGACAGAAGGAGTGCTTTAATTATCTTAGCTGCCTTCTGAACAGCGATTCGATCGTCCATCAAGTGATCGTATTTCGCATTCATGTTGGATTTGAAGGTTTCAATCTTCGTGAGAACGGCGGTAAGACTTATCTTGCGGCTTTCTATCCGAGGACGGTCGATCCAGAGTGTTCTCATCATCTCGATCACTTCAAAACGTATTAGTGATAACGTGGAGTCCGTAAATTTATCCGATGGTGTGGGCGGCCTTCCAGCAGCATGTAAGTCCACATCGTTAATGTTAAGGGGTAGTTTGGTATCAAACTCTCCTTTGCGAATAGACGGCCGCGGTCCTTGTGCCTCACAAGTCCTAATATCTAAAAAGCATAACTGGTGCCACCCTAAGCGGCGTATGTGAGTTTCAATGGGGTTCATGCCGTAGGTTTCGCCATCTCGATGCAATCCCATGCATTCTGCCATTCGTAAGGCAGCGCCCAGTAGAACAGAGTGAGCTCTTGAGACCTCTGATCGACAGAGTGGTATCTAAAAGCAAGGTTAGTTACAGTGTTCTGCCAGCTTGGTTGTGAAGATATACCAGATACATGATAAACCCTTGGAGGGTCTCCATCTTGGTGGTTCTAAGAAAGTTTGCTCTTCCTAAAGCCGTCTCGGTACCGAGTTTGAAATTCGATATCAAGCTTTCCTTTGATACTCCAAAATCTCTTACGATCTCGGCTTCTTCCATACTGACGGCCCCAGAAAACATAGCGGCAAAAACGACGGCCTGTACAGAATTCGGTGGCTCAATACCTAGAGAAACTTCATCCCAGAACGTCTCATACTCCTTCTCAAAACTTGGTCGATGGAGACATTGTGCGATCGGGTGAACACAAGCAAAGTATTGTTTAATAAGTCTGTCTGCGGCAAGTCGAGAAGGTAAAAAGTCAACCAGTGATGCTTGCTGACCTTGCGATCCAAAGAAGAACCCTGAGGATGGCATGATGTATGTTGGGCCAGGCTTAAGCCATTCTTCCGCCGGTGGAATTGGGTTAGCGAATGAAGATGGCGAGGGGGTATTAGGAGTGGTTGCAGTCTTGGGTCCAGTCGGGAAGGCGTTATCGGTCATGGTGTATTGCAGCTTAGGTAAAGAGTCAGTTTTTAACGTCAACACCTAGCATCCCTATTATCCTTCTTGAGGTAAGAGGTGTCTCGGTGAGCTTTGTATGGAAATACAAGAGACAAGCATGAAATCAGAATGTACTAAAACAAGAATGTACGTTATGGTAATTTCCAAATGTTAAGGACAGATGCGCAATATAGAGAAATATGTTCTAGAAAGAGGAACATCCAGGTACAAGGGAGATGGACCGACCTCTTGACTAATTTTGGGCCTAAAGAATCCTCCTATCCGTTCTGTAATCCTCATTTTCCCCATTTGGATCCCCAGGTCTAAGAGATCATCGTCTTCTCCTTCGTCTCCATAAGCTGCATCCACCACAGCCAGAGGAGTTGGCTCTAGGTCTCTCTCATCTTCATTTCCTGGTAGATTGTCGTCTTCCTCTCCGGGTAGGGCTCTCTCCTGGCCTGGGCTACTAACATTGGAATCCTTGGTTGGATTGGCCACATCTCGTTCGAGAAGCCTCTCGAGTGACCCAACTTTCTCTTTGATTTCGGTGAGTTTGAGTTGAGACGCCTGATCCAAGGCTGGAGCGAGAAATACACAGTCGCGTGCGAATTTTACACAATTGGTACAAGGGTGCGACTTGTTGCATTTCAATTTGCGACGACGACACTCTAGACAAGATGTGATCATACGATTGCGTCTCCGGATTCGAGGCTGCGATGTTGGTGTTGTATTCCCCGAAGACAACGGGATAGTGGACATCGGTGGTGAAGGTGAGGCATGGTTTGAGAGTGTTGGAGAGGCTAATGAAGGCGCCCTTTTGGGATCGTGACTTTGATTATAGAGATTTGGCGAGTTGAAGTAATCCATATCGATTAGGAGTTGTAGACTGGAGACCTGGTAGGTGAAGTCCCCACTGGCAAAACGTGACTGGAGAATAATACTCCTCGAGCTTCAGGCTGCCGCCACACGGTGGATATGGGATTTATTGTGCGCTCAAATGTCTGAAAACTGCATATCTGAAAGCGACTTTGGGAAAATCGCGGCAAGGCAATGTCGAGTACGTCGACCCTGTGTGCACCCCAACAATCGAAGCCTTCGGGAACCCAAATTCGGGAAGTTAGATAAACATTAGTCAGCATACATACGTCCAGCCTACATCAGCCTCACAATGTTTCGAAGTGGTCCTCTTTCCCGAGAAGAGTTCCGCGACTTGACGGAACTGCTATAGTACATTCGCCAGGCAGTATCTGTTGTATTGTGTATTTTTATTGACTCTATTAGCGCATCAGAAGCTTTGCGACCAGCTGCTAGATACCCACCACAGAGAGTGAATGAGTTGCCAGTAGTTTGAGATGCGAAAGATATACACTGATACACTTGAAATATATGTAATGCCATCTATCCGTCTTTACGCCGAAACAAAGAAATCCGAACGAAACTACGGCATAAACCGTCAATTCTACCAATCAGCAATGCGGGCGTAGTCAAAATGTCCCAAAGAAACCGTTCAGACATAAGTCATCTTCCGTCGAGTCCACACCTCCATACGCCAATATGCCTCCAGATGCAATATATGAGGTGATGAAGAAATGTAAATTGTCTTTCAACACTGAACTGTCTCCTAGTAATTTACTGCGGAGCACATCGAACTCCCTCCTGACCTTGTTCCCCGCCCTCGTCATCGTCTAGCTCCATTGCGCTGGCATTCCGGGCACTTGATCGGTGTAGGGGATCAACGTCCTCGGTGTCAACGGCTTTGACAGTCTTGTTCTTAGGCGGATGGAAAGGCTCGGCCGGTGGAAGAATGGTCCTGAGCATCTCAAAGGCTGCCGGGTCAGTAGCGAAGCCGCTGGCCGGAAATTTGATGTCAAATTCAATGTACAGGTTTCCATGGCCATTGGGCATAGCCGCGCCTTGATACATCTCTGGTTGACCCCCAACACGCTTGACTGCCGGCATACCTTCTCCTCGAACGAATTTCAAGGCACCTAATTGAGGTTAGAGATAGCAAATACACCTCATAAGATTATCACATACCTGGACTGACGACTTCTCCCGGCATAATGTCGATCTCCAACCATCGCTCGTCTAAATGCTCAATGAATACTTGTCCTCCAGCAAGAGCAGTGACAAGCTCAATTTCAGCCTTGTAGTACAAATCATCGTCCTTTCGGGCAAACCGTGGGTGAGGATAAGGTTCTTGTTGGAGTTGAAAGATCACATCTCCAGCAATCGGTCCGTTTTCTCCAGGAATTTGGTCACCCTCGCCAGCTTGCAATAGCTGCTCTCCATGGCGGAACCCCGGCTCGATTTTTAAGTGTAGGTCTTTGATCTCCATGACAGACTTCTCTCCTCTGCAGGCCTTGCACCGATCCTTGTCTCGAATAGTCTCTCGCGCTCCGTTACAATCTGGGCAGATGGTTTGGAATCGCTGGTGCATAGGGCCTATTGACCGTGTCATGGTTTTTACACCCATACCACCACAACCGGAGCATGTCTTGAAAGCGCCTTCTTTCCCACCTCGTCCGTCGCATGTCTTACAGACTATTTGTCGGTTCAACCTAAGCCTAGACGTCTTTCCGCGATAGAGTTGTTCCAAAGTTACTTTATGGACATGACTGATTGGGCGAGGACGTCTAGGTCCTTGCTGTTGCATCCCACCGCCACCAAACATGCTACCGAAGCCACCACCACCGCCACCGAAAAATTGAGAGAACAAATCCTCTGGATTCATGCCGCCGGCACCACCGCGGCCCTCCAGGCCTTCCTCTCCATATTGATCGTAAACTTCGCGCTTCTGTGGATCAATGAGAACTTCGTAGGCTTGCGACAGATCCTTGAACTTGTCTGCAGCATCTGGATTGTGGGCGTTCTTATCTGGTAATTGCTTAGAGGTCTTACTCCACCATGGGAATAGCAGTATAACGCTTACCTGGATGATGCTTCAAAGCTCCCTTCCTATATGCCTTTTTGATATCACCTTCAGAGGCATTGGGCGGAACCTACTGTATGTTAGACAAGTTCCGCGCAGCCAAAAAGCAGTACTTGCCCCTAAGATATCGTAGAATTTCGTTTCCTTTACCATGATTTCGACTTCGTGCACAAGGGCTTATAGATTCGCTTGTGACTACTGTCCCCGAAATGGTGCTTGGGCCTGCGACAATTAAGCCTCCCTCTCTTCCTTTAAGTACCAGGCACGTCAGTGGTTGTGGTTCAAACAGGGCACAGGCTCGGCCATAGAGCTAGGAGAAACACATACTCTAAGAGTTCAAAAAATGGCGCTTCGTTTTGATTAACAAATGGTGAGGCTGCCGCCTTGTACGGTTCAATTCGGATCGAAGTAAACGAGAACGAGAATGGAGATAGTGACCGAGAAATTGTTCTTGGCTTCTAGATTCCTCTGGTTGGGTTGTGTAATTGTTTGAAAAGGCAAAAGACTGCGACACAGCAAAAAGAGTACGATGGTTCTTGAGATGTCGGTTGGTGTTGTATTGTGATGTCAATCGCTGATAAAAGTTTCGGTCAGGCTAGGAGGCGTCCAGCTCCTTCCATCATATTCCATCGACAACCATCAGCCTTGCCGACCGGCAACGCTCTACTTCGAAGTAAATGCGGGTAAAATGGCGGTCACATCAAAAGCATTCACCTTCAGAAGTTATCTAATCTATTTTTTCTTGAAACAAAAAGCCGAAGACCCCATTTCTTCACGACGATAATCTATTTTCAATCCTTTAATACTGATATTCTAGCCAATCTTTGCTCCTAGCATGCATGAAGGGTACTTTGGTGCGATCTGCTATCCGACCTCGATCGTCCAATGAGGGCCCGCCACTTCAACTAAGCGGCAGCTTATCGATAAGACTTGCTATCAGTTGCGCACAGCTAGTGGATAGGCAAAGAACAGACCCTCACCAGTGCCCTTTGACGTTTCCCACAGGCATTCCTAGCTCAGCACACCTTCCAGATGTAAATATTCTTAATTCGGCTTTTCTTCCTACCAACCAACATGCTACTCAGGTGATCTAATCAACATGCGCGATGGTCTTGCAAGATTCAGCCTCGAAAAGGGGCCGAAACGTGGCTAGAAGATGTGTAATTTTGGCTTGTCCTAATAGTCATGAGCAGCAAGACTGACTCCATGTTTTAGATCAGAGTCTGGACGATGCGGAAGTGCTACAAGCCGTGGTCTCATGAGAGAAACATACGCCAATATGCTACGAAACCCGATTCCAAGACTCAATTGAGGGACTCCATGGTAAAAGAGCACGTGAAGGAGCTTTCAGAAAAGCAGAGAGTCAAGAAGGAAGCCAGGGCCATTGACAAGGCAAGCGAATATTAACATCGTAAGGTATAGTCGTTGACTTGATGAAGGACTTTTTTGTGTCAGTCCTAGGCTCGTCAGCAACGAAGAGAGAAGCCAAATCCTATATACAGCAATTCACACCGTCCAAGATCTCAACCGCAGGCCCGAGCTCGGCAACACAGAGACGACCCCTCATCAAACCCGGTGTCAATCTTGGGGCTTTTTATGTTCCAACCGCAGTAGAAGAAAGTCCTAAGTTTGTTCGTGATCCAGCAACATCTAGTAAGACAGCGATAGAGTCGCAAGTTCACGTTGCATTGGTAAAGATCAGGGCGCCACAAACTCTTGAGGACGAAACTCTGAACGGAATCGGCAGGACTCTGTCGCAGCTAGGTCGACTAGGGCTCACGAGCATTGTTGTTGTTGACTGTCAGGACACGACGAGCTCCAATGATGAAAATATAGGTGCTTCGCCTTGGACGTGGAGAAATTTAGCGAAGAAAGAAGCAAATCGGGTTGTCACAGCCATTGATTCCAATTGCGACATCAGTGCTCGACTTCTAGAGGATGTTCTCGGTGTTCCTGACAAAATCGAGAACTCTCAGGCTGGGTTGTTCAGTCAAGAAAACGCCCACCTCACACTAAGGAAACTGTTGTTGACACCGTTGAAACGTGGAGTAATCCCTGTGATACCATGTGTGGCACACACGCAAACGTCCCAAGTCTCTGTTCCAATCACTGGATCGGCTGCTGTTCTTGCGCTATCCAGAGAACTGGCGGGAACTAGTACCAAAATTAGCAACGAAGCAGGGCTCGTCGAAGGCAAGGAAGAACGTGACACTCTATTTGAAGAAGTCTCACTTGATCGACTCATTATTCTGGATCCTTTGGGCGGCATCCCTTCTTCAAATCGCCCTAGCGGATATCATGTTTTCTTAAATATGGAACAAGAATTCGAGCCAGCAAAACAGGATCTGTTGCGAGCTTCGGGGGAGATCGGCAATTCGAGGTCAATTCAAAGCCCGAATGTTGAGAGGTTCGTTTCCGATATTGGCGGCAGTAACCCACTCTCAAAGTTCGTAGAAAGTGAGTTACGGGACTGGAAATCAGAACCGTCTATGGCACCACCAACTGAAGAACCACCCGCACCACCGTCTGTTTCCGCAAGCAGAATTCATCTTGACAACCTGGAGCTGGTTCGCTCTGTCCTTTCTATCTTACCGCCGAGCTCATCCGCAATACTAACCACTCCAGAGGAAGCTGCGAACTCTGGGAAGATGTCGACCCTCCAACCTGGAGGGGTAGGTACTCGACGACACCGGAATCCGTTGATTCATAACCTCCTGACAAACAAGCCGGTATATTCTTCATCCTTACCGTCTGGAAGACTAGGTCCGGTCAAGTCTGCGACTGTGGACAGCTCGAAATTTTCAGCCACAGAGGTCATTCCAACCACATTTGCAAAACTGGGAATGCCTGTAGTCATTCATCCAAACCCGGTGGATGAGCCATGGAGAGCGCCGTTGCCAGGAAGACCGAATCTCAAGCTGACTGACTCTCACATTGATCTTTCTCGATTGGTCCATTTGATTGACGATTCTTTTGACCGAAAGCTTGACGTACGTGATTACCTCAAACGGGTCAACGATCGAATCGCCGGTGTTATAATTGCTGGGGAGTATGAAGGCGCTGCCATATTGACATGGGAAACACCACCTGGTGTAGTGGAGGACGGGAGTATGGAAAGTCGATCTAGGATGGTACCTTACCTCGACAAATTTGCCGTTTTGAAAAAGGCCCAGGGGTCCGGAGGAGTGGCCGATATCGTTTTCACCGCGATGGTAAGGGATTGCTTTCCAAATGGAGTCGTGTGGAGGTCGAGGACGACGAATGTGGTAAATAAATGGTACTTTGAAAGATCTAGAGGGACTTGGAAATTACCCAAGACAGGGTGGACAATGTTCTGGACGACGGCTGATATGAACCGCCAAACGTTTTTGGATTATGAAGGAGTATGTCGAGGAATCGTCCCTTCTTGGGCGGACAAAAAGGTCGTATTGGACTAGTGTAAGTGCTGCAATATAAAAAGACAATAATGTAGTACTTTCAACTAGCACTATTATTTGGTTAGTTACTGTATTAATTCTAAGTCTGTTGCTAGGCTAGGGTCGTACTCTACAGGATTCTAAATATGCACAGCTTGTGTATTCCTCTGGTTCTTAGTGTTTTCGAATATTAAATCTGCTCTGATGTATGCCATCAACTAAGCTCCCTTCATCTTCATCTCCAGCCCAGGTGAAGCAAGTCGGCTGATAAAACGTCGAAATTTCCAGGGTTCTGGTAGTGAGTAGGTAACAGTGGGGCTATCACGTGGGAAATGCTTTTGATGGGCCGTCGTTCCTTGAGGTGCGCCGACCACCAACAACATTGCTTCACATAAACATTTACGAGTACTCCGTACAGAAAAGCCAGCCTTTTACGATCAACAAGTTAGAACTTTTCGCCATGGATAAGGTATCTGCGTTTGGAAAGAATTTCTCGTACGTTTACCTCATAGGGAATGCAAACGGTCAACTTCTTGGCCATCTAGCTGGTTGAAGCTGTCCCAGGAGATGCTGACTGGCAACCTCTAGGGCAACCTTCACGCCGTTCGCCGCCCGCACGCAGCAGTATGTTAAGGAGCAACTTGGACAGGCTGAGGATAAGGTGAACAAATATGAAATGGGAAATACTACGCCAGTACTAACCGGACTCCTCGTTTATAGACTCAGCTCCCCCCGGATTACATTGAGCTCGAGAAAAGAGTAGATGCTCTTAAACAAGTTCATCAGAAAATGCTACAGGTTACGTAGGTTTTACTCTTGATCTAGTCCTGGCATGCGACTAACGGTTCCTCCTCGCAGATCGCAATACAACTCGGAAGCCTACGATTATCCTGCCAATCTCAAAGAAAGTTTTGGAGACCTCAGTCGAACTGTCAGTGAGAAGGTCTCACTCCTCTCTTCCGTAACCTCTGCTGCCGACGCCCAAGCAGCTCTCACAGCTCCTCCATCCACAAAGCCTCAACCAAAGACCTTCAACCATGCACTTGCTCGTGCGAGTTTGGCTAGCAGCCAGCTGCTTCAACAGCAACACGCGGGAACTGGAGAAGATCCGCTTGCTACTGCGTTAGAAAAATATGCGCTTGCTAGTGAGCGAGTTGGTGAAGCGAGACTTACCCAGGATTCCCAGATCCAAAGCCGCTTCCTTGCTGGGTGGAGCACAACCTTGAACACAAACTTGATGTTTGCGACTCGAGCCAGAAAGAGCGTCGAGAACTCGCGATTGATGCTCGACGCGGCCAAAGCGAAAGCTAAGAGCCCTGGATGGACGTTACCCGGTCAAAACAAACCACACGGGGAGATGCACGAAGACGAAACCACGGAAGAAGCACGTGCAGAAATTGAGCAAGCTGAGGACGAATTTGTCGGTCAAACTGAGGAGGCTGTTGGCGTCATGAAGAATGTATGTGCTAAGATGTTGCGAGAACTTTCAAGTACTAATTTCGATAGGTGCTTGATACACCAGAGCCGCTCCGAAACCTGGCCGATTTGATTGCTGCACAGCTCGAATTCCACAAGAAGGCATATGAGATTCTCAGCGAGCTTGCACCGGTGGTCGATGGTCTTCAAGTTGAGCAGGAAGTGAGTCGGTCCAAGGACTTTTCCGCATAAATCCGACGCTGATGACCCATGCGCAGGCCAGCTATAGAAAGTCTCGCGATGGACCAGCTTAGGGGTTTTATTCTGACTTGAATAGGAGACAAAGGATTCTTTTTCATCAACGAGGGGTGGCGCGAATTTATTTTGATTTTTAGAGTCGCAGTCGACTTGAAGCGGCCGTCTTCTGATGCACTTATTTCTCTGGTGGAGGCGTTTTACTTATTCCCTGGTTTCGGAGCCAATCGAGAGATTTCCCACACGGTGTTCCACATTTTACGAGTTATGCAGAGCCGATTGTTGAGCCAAATACATTTGCAAGAGCGTCCTGGTGCTGGTGGGTTGGTTTGGTCTCGTTTGTAGGGCAAGTCGTCGAAAGCGCACACACGTGACCATCCTCGATCACGCCGAGCTGCCCACTCTTGAGAGCCCACTCCCCGCTTTTCCGGCAGTGACTGGAGCAAAAGCTTGAGATTGCTTGGTTGCCACTCCAAGCGATACTTGGGCTCCACAAAACCATGCCTTTTTGGAATGGTTGTCCAGAATTTCGAATTGCCCCTGCGCTATGCCTGAAGATGTCTAGCGGATATCTTGAAAAGTCCTGGTCGGTATCTATGTGAAAAAGGCCGTCCCTCGAATCCTTCGGATCCTTCAATTCTGTTCATTTTATCTATTGTTGTTTCTCGTAGCCCATCACTTGCTTCCTCGACGAAAATGGCTTCTGCAGCACCAGGACTGGATCTCGCAGCGGCAGCCGCCGAAGATCCCCCAAGACAAGCACCTCGACCTGTGACTACTGACGAGTCCTTATCGGACCATCCCATTGCTCCTGATCAATTCGACCCTCGATTGGAAACTGATAAATTCGAAATCTGGAGTTACTACCTGTATTATGTCGGAAACAACGGGTTGACACTGTTTAACTTTGCACCGACTGCATTTCAAAATCTGTTGTACCAAGCTGCTGGGGATGGAACGAGTCTAAGATTTGCGGGCCGGTAGGTCGTGATTTGGCCGATAAGCCCTTTGAACAGGCTTCTAACTCGTTTTCTATAGTGAGAGGACCATTAACTCTATCGTGCTGTTAAGCAATGGTATTAGTTTTGCCATTCAGATTGTGATATTCCTGATCTTGGGAAGCTTCGCAGGTGAGACTTGAAGTGATCGTTACGCAGCACGACTCGTCTGACATGACCAGATTTTGGGACATGGAGACCCAATATTCTGATTGCCCTGTCAATTCTGGCGTGGGGCATAGGCTTCGGCTGGCTGGGTATACATGAACCTTCCAAATGGCAAATCGCTACGGGAATGTACATAGTAGGATGTAAGAAACACCTGTGCATTTTGAGAAAGGCAGCTAATCTTTTGTAGTGATTGCGTATCAAACGTGTCTTACTTTCTGGACTGCAGCGTAAGCAATCTGCTTTTTTTAATTAGCCAATATACTAACACTTCGCAGGTTTCCCGGGCTTGCACGAAATACAGCCTACATGCGAGAGAAAGCTCAGGCATACGAAGCGGGAGAAATTCCCAGATCTGAGTATGACAAGGCGGATATGTTCAAGCGTGCTGAACTCTCCAACATCGCTTTCTACGTTCAATCCGTCGGCGAAATTGGTATTCTTGCTATCATCGTCGGCATCATGTTTGGTGTAAAGGTCAATGATTCGGTTGAGAACAACAATTGGGGTCTCTCGGTACTGATCGCATTTGCAACTGGGTGTTGGATGCTTCTCGCCATCCCCTGGTTCTTGAAAGAGAAGAGAAGACCGGGTGAAGCTGTAAGGTTACAGGTACAAGTTGCCTCGTTTTTGGCTAATGTTGCTTCAGGTTCCTGCTGGAATGAACATTGTCTCTGCAGGTATTTGGCAACTATACCGAGCTCTCCGCCAGATTTGGAAACTCAAGCAATCCTTGATCTACCTCATTGGGTACTTCCTTCTGGGTGATGTATGTGCCCCGTGTCATTACACCATCTCTCTATCATAATACTGCTTTGACGCACACTATACTGATAACCTGAATAGTCGCTTAACACAACCGTCACTGTCATAGCGACTCTGCAAAACTCAATCATCGCGTACAACACGCTAGAGCTTACCTATCTTTTAATCGTTGGTATCGCAGCCCAAGCCGTTGGAATCTACGTAAGTACTCCCCTCACAAGTCCATTTCTCCACAATACCCCCCCTAACACAAACACCCCAGGGTTTCTGGTGGGTACAACAACGCTACTCCCTCTCCTCAAAAACCATGTTCAACATCGTCGCCATCAACATCGTAATCCTCGATCTCTGGGGCATGGTCGGGATTTGGACGCAGAAATTCGGCTTCCACAACGTCTGGGAAGTCTGGGTGTACCAAGCTTTCTACGGTCTTCTAGTCTGTCCCTGGTACTCCTACTCGCAGATCATGATCTCCGAAGTCACGCCTCGCGGTCGCGAGTTCCTGTTCTTCAGTCTCTTCAGCATCATTGGGAAGACGTCTAGTTTTATCGGGCCGTTGGTTAGTTCGGCAATCATTGATGCTACGCCAAGTGGGAATACCAGTACGCCGTTCTATTTTCTTGCGGCATTGAGTGCTGTGAGTTGTGTCGTGTGTATTTTTGGCGTTGATTTGGAGAAGAGTAGGAAGGAACAGGAGGATTTCTTGCTGAAAGAACAGGCGATTAAGGATGATCTGGCGGGAGTCGGGTTCAGTAGTCGGGAGGACGTTGTTGCAACTAGTGGGAAGGATACCATCGACACTAAGCTGTAGGTTTAATTGTCATTATGTATTCGGATTAAAGAAATTTATTCTTGTGTTACATCACTGGCATGCAGCCCTACCTACAAGATCATGAAGCGCATTTTACAATCATGGCGTGACATCAAGGAATCAGATTAAGTGGAATTGCACAAGGATCGTCTCTAAGTATCTTAACTGTTCAACTATGCAATACCGCTCTATCAGAACGACTTTTAGTGCCAAATCCCCGCAATGCCAAATGCAAATTAGAAAAAGAAGAGAAAGTTGCTCGTGAAATCATCCTCCCTATCCGTACATAACCCCCACCCCAAGTAATCCCACCTCACCAAAAGAAAAAAGTGGAAACCAGAATCTAAGGAATATCAAACAACGGCTTGAGCTTCTTGATAAGATTCCACTCATCGTTAGAGACGTCCGATCGGTAAAATTCTTTCAGAGTATCGATACTTGGTCTGCTGATTAGTGAGTAGAGAGTGTCTTTCTCATCGAGGTGACGTCCGTAACTGGGCTGATGGGCACCCATTTCGATTTTGACGGCAACGGAAGGTTGACCCTTTTTGCAAATTTGAAGCTGTTTGTGGTCACGCTCGATTGAGGTACTATAAGAGGTCAGGTTAGATGAGAAATCTGAAAATCAAGGGAAAGAGACTTACACTCTGCCAAGCTTGACGATCTCCTTTAGTCCTGTTACTGGATTTGACCGAACAGCCGCGATTGGTGTGTGCATTCGCAGATTTCCTTCGACAACATCAACTCCAACCAAAATAGGGCCGACCTTGTTGAAAACCGCAACAGGTGCTAGAACACAAGGGAAGACGGCTAATAGCTTTGAGTCCTCCTTCTTTTTCTCTGCGATGACTGCCATGTGTTGAGTAAATGCATCAAAGAGATGGTAAATGATGTCGGCAGTGAAAATTTTAATCCCTTGTTCATCAGCGTACTGTTGGGCTTCCTTGTCAATCTTAACATCAAAGCAGAGCATGACGGCATACTCCTTGTTCTTCTCAAGCATGGTTCCGCAGTTCATAACATCTCGCTTGAAGACAGGACCAATACCAACGTTAGCAACAGGAATCTTGGAGACCTTCAAGAAATCCAACAAAGCTTCCAAAGAACCCAAAGTTGAAGCCTGAACTGTGACACCACGTCCGGATTTTTCTACACGACTGAAGAGAGCGCCGAGATCAGACTCAACTTCTGCTTCAATATCTGACTCGTCGTCATCCGGCCCAATCACCATTAACCTCGAGCCAGCAATGGCACCTTCAAGATTTGGTGCACTGATTTTAACACCCAAAGCAGCTTTGACTTCCTTGTTGTGTACATATTGAGACTTGAGACGAAGCTCCTTTAGCGGCGCTGGCGTTAGAAGTGCTCTTACGTTGGTTGTGATAGCGCCATCAACACCACACAAGCAAATCTTATCACCCTCTCGAAGAATACCGTTAGACAAAATGACGTCGATAGTCATTCCGAATCCTTCGATGGCTTTAACTTCCAAAACAGTACACTGGACCTCTGAGAGATACATGAGAGACCCAACCATTTTTTCTTGGGTAAGTTGGAGGATAAGCTTCAACATGTCCGGAATACCCTCTCCAGTATGTGCTGAGGTTGGCACCAAGGAGACGACTTTGGCCATTGACTTGTTCTCATAATAAAGCTCCGAATTGAAACCTTGTTCGGCGAAAGCGACCTTTGTATCAGCGAGACGTTTCGCGAATTCATTCTGTACGCCCTTATTCTGTAAGGCTAAACTTTCTTGGAACCCATTATTGTCAACCTTCTTCCATCCGTAAAGACGATCGATCTTGTTGAGAGCGACAATGAATGGTGTTTTTCGGTCTCGGAGGAGTTTCATCGACTCGAGAGTTTGAGGCTCCAATCCGTGCATAATATCGACAACAAGGATAGCAATATTACATAGAGACGATCCACGAGAACGCAAATTTGAGAAAGATTCGTGACCGGGCGTATCGATAACCAGCAGACCAGGGACTTTGAAATCAAAGCTATTGTCACGATTGACTACAGCAGTTTTGGTTCTGATCGCTTCTACAGGAAAGTAAGTTGCACCAATTTGTTGCGTAATTCCACCTGCTTCACCCTCTTGGACATTGGTTTGCCGGATCTTGTCGAGCAGCTTTGTCTTTCCGGTATCGACGTGGCCAAGAATACAGCAAATAGGTGAACGAAGGTTGTCTTTGGATCTCGCAGCCATTGCAGCTTCGTGGGCTTTCTCTCTTCGATCAGCAGCCTCTTTCTTCCGCGCGAGAGCAGCCGCCTGCGCGGCAGTAGCTTCCTCGTCTTCAGATGATTCGTCATCTTCTGAATCTTCATCTGACTCGGACTCTGACTCATCTTTCTTCCCGCTGACTGGTATCCCTTTCTGTTGTGCTGCAGCTTTTTTCGCCGCCGCCTTCTCTCTTTCTTCATCAGAGTCGGCATCCCAACTTTCCTTTAGGTCGTCGTCCGATTCTGCAGCCGCGACTTCCCAATCTTCCAAGTCACTATCCGGTTGAGCTGCCTTCCTTGCCGCTGCTTCGGCTGCTTCCTTTTCTGCTTTTGCTTTGGCCTCAGCAATTACTCGTTCTGCCTCGATCCTCGCTCGCTCGGCAGCTTCCGCCAGCGCCTTCTCTTCATCCGCCTGTATTTTGTTAGAAGCAATATGATTTGAACACTGAATAACATACCTTGATCTCCTCTGGGTTCTTTTTGCCGCCTTTCTTCTTCTTATTGTCATATACAGGTTTCTTCTTCTCTGCACTGCCTTCACTACCGACTTTGAGCCCAGCAGCCACCATCTGTTTCAATTTCATTTCATTCTTGAGCTTCTCCTCCCTCTGAGCTTTGGTGAGGTATGTACCATCTTTCTTCTGCTGTTCAATTTTCTCTTTCTCCTTTTGTTTCTTCAGGGCCTTAGCCTCTTCTCTTCGCTTCTCTTCCTCTGCCTCCCTTCGTTCCTCTTCCTCGATTCGGGCCTTCTCTTCGGCTTCCCGCCTTGCTTGTTCTTCTTGTCGTTTTCGTATCTCTTCCTGTTGTTTTTGGAGTTTCGCCAGCGCAGGTGAGAGTTTCTTCCCCTTTGCACCAGCAGCTGGAGGAGCAAGATCGGCTTTCGTTTCCACTACTTCCTTGACTGGTTCTGCCACTTTCGCTGCTGGGCCAGCAGTCTTCTTCTTCGCAGCCTAAAAATTTACGTAGTCAGCTACTGAGCAAAGTAAGTCCTCCGCCAGTACTTACATTCTCCTTCTTCCGCTGCTTCTCACGCTCTTTCTTCAATTTTTCTTTCTGGGCCTTGGTAAGAACTTTGCCATCCGCGCCTCTTTCATCGTCCTCCTCGTCCGCCGCTGCTTTTGCCGGCGCAGCTTTTCCCTTCCCCTTCTTATCAGGCAGGGCAAACTCATCATCGAGATCAGCCTCGACAGGCGCCTTCTCAGCAAGGTCTGGTGGTGCTTCTTCGGTAGGGTCCTCGCCTCCCACAAAATCCTCGGTCTGCTTTCCCTTCTTCTTCTTCTGTTTTTTTCGCATCATCGCCATCAGACCGCCCGCGGGAAACTCATCCTCAGCATCTGCCTCAGCGGGCTCGTCTGTTGGCTCTGGCGCAGTCGCAGCCGCTGGAGTTTCTCCGAGCTCTTCCTCCCAGTCATCTGCGGCTTTCTTGGTGTTCTTCTTCTTTGGCGGCATTTTGATATGTGTGGCGAAGCGATTGCTTCCAGGGGAGTCTTGTTGGGGAAATTTGTAGTGTTCGGCGGTGGGTAAAGGTGGCGGTTGGTAGTGGGGAACTTGGAGTGCCTGCTCGGGTTTAAGATCGGAGTATCGGATACCAAAAGAAGATTGACGAAAATACGGAGCACCCAGCAGTCACACAGTGACAGCTTACTCAAAGCTCTTTCAAAACAATTGTTGGCCGAGTTTAGGAAAGAATCGCGGGGCAGACATCGGTAGTGGGTGCAAACTCCTGATTGCAGGGAAGGGGTCTGTGCCCTGCCTATGTCTTACAAGCCGCTGCAATCATAAGCGAGCGTGCCCCTCTATTAGAACTCATAGAGTATCATCTCATAAGTAGCTGTAGGTAACTGACTACTAGTTTGGGTAGAGACACATTTCTAGTGCATTAATGTCGCTCCCGTGCCTCAATATTGTTGCAAGATATTCGTTGCTAACCTCTGTATGGAATCAATTTCACAGGCTTATATTTATTGTTTGTGTTCATAAACTCCTATGTTTTTAGTGGTTTATTTGGGTAACTAAATCTTACAATTTAATACTGATTCAAATCCAAAATTCTTTCGTGTTCAGCTACAGAACCGGTCTTAGAAAAAAAGCTAGATCCTCGTATGCTTGACAAACGTACTCGTCTGGATCTTTACCCGCCTCTAAGGAGCCTCCATGGAGCTCTTGTAATAGTTCGTAGAACTTTGAGAATATTTTGGAAGCATCTTCGGTCTCGTGGCCGATACGGAGCAGGTGTTCAAGATGCTGCTCGTCAAGACATCGCTTTAGAACATCACCGTCGACATGCATCATTATTTTCGGGGCCATGGCAGGCTCTAATGATTTGATCTCATCCTTATAATTGAACTCACAAACACGCGAAGAGCGCAGAGCCAAGTTAAGGAGGAAGCGTAGGAACCGCCACGAGACAACATCTAGCATGGAAAAGTGGCTGACAGATCCGTCGAGTGATAATCCGAGCATTTCTGGCGAATTTGTGGATTTCAAAACCCTCTCTTTCACACCACCGACTGATTGTCTGAGCAGCTTAGAGTGATATGAGTTGTTACTTGACAGAGGGTCCCATGCTGGGCGTGTTTTGCCATATCGAAAGCGTAGAATGGAATGTGGCATTTGTGCTTCAAATATAGTTTCTAATGAGTCAGCTTTGGTGTCTTGAGTTTCCCAAAGCCCTACCATGGAGCACTCCTTGTCGGATACGAAATGTATGGGTCGTTCGGTACATCCATTTGCAAAGGCATGGTGTAGTGTGTTTCGTGCAACATGATCGACATGCGTGTGTATTATACCTGATTCGCCGTCATCGTCTGTCACTATTTTTAGAATCTCAAGCGAATGGGAATTAGTAAGGGCATATATCGTTCCGTCGTCGTACGAAAGCGAGGTCGCGGGCGATTGTAGCTCATATTGGGCAAGCCTCTTGAACTTTTTCTCGGTTGTATCGAGAACATCGTAAAATATCTTATGCCCCGCGCACCATACAAGGCCCCCCGGGAAGCCTGCCACAGAAAATACCGCATCGGGAACTTTAAATTTGTATCTCATGTGGCACCGGATCTTCCTCCGCCCACTGATCTTGCCAATTTCACCTTCTGGTGGACCTGGCACAGCAGAAATAATCAAAAGTCTTCCAGTGCTAGTTGTAATGATGATGAAGTACCAAGCTTTGTTGTTCTTCACGAAAGGCCATTCCATCAAGTGATAGATCTTCTCGTCCATGTTACCAAGACCCCTAATGGAAGCAGTGGGCTTCTTGGTGGCGTGATCAATTGGTAAACAAAGATCCTCCCCAGTATCTGCGTCGATCATGAGAATCGTGGACCTGGAGTCAATGATGGCCGCCACGACAAGAACGCCTAGAGAACGCGAGTATAGGAGCCGCGTTGGAGTTCCCTTTATTGGAAGCCGACGGGGTACAGTTTTGCCTTGAGTGCTGAAAGCAGCTAGCAGTATATGGTCGCCTGCGACGAGAAGAACTCCACCGTCGGAGCCTCCATAAGAGCTGGGTTTTAACCTGGCTATAGAATTTATTTCGGGCTGTTTTAGTTCTGGCACGGAGGCATCTGTTAGCCAAATTTCTCGTATGTCCCATTTTGGACAACATGATAGCCGGGCGGATCGCGACTGGTACCAGTGCGCTAAACTCATGCCGTATATTCTAGAGTCGCAGCTCACAAAGAACAGATCGGCTGGGTGAGGGTTCTCGTCGCGTTTAATGATCGCCTGAGTCGAACCAAGTTTGTCGAACCCAATGCCAGTGAGTTCAAATACTTCGTTCACCAAGAGCGTAATCACTAAACCGTTGCGTGACCCACATAGTAGGGTGAGGATACCATCTCTGTAAGGACCAGCAACGATACTGACAATAGCTTCCAGATCACCACTCAGATCCTCGTTGTCCAAAGGTATCCATAACTGTCGCTTCATGCCATCAGCAATCCTTACAAACGTTAAACAAGGTACATTTTCCAGTATCTCTGCAGTAATGGCATGAAGTTTGTGGCCCAGCAAACATATTCCAATCCCAGATATCCCTACCGGATGCTTACTGATTGTTTGAACGTTTGTCGTTGACCACTCACCAGAGTGGTCACTAGTATCCATAGCGTCGGGATGTGTAGGCTCTAAGACCTGAAGATAAGTCGCGTCCTCTAGAGTTGCCGCAAACAGCACTAAGTCATCGTAAACAATAGCTTTATCGATGATACGACTATAACCTAGATGTTCACCATCCCACATGATTCGAAGAACTTCATCCTTGGTGTATATTCGTTGACTAGTACAGTTAGTACCGACAGTAAAAGAAAAGAGGGTTGAGCTACGCTTTCTTCTTACCTTTTGGCATCGATGGTCACTATAGACTGTTCAGTTACTTGTGTCATATAACCTTGGCATATACCAGCTGCAACGGTGCGGTATCCCAGTTCAAACTTAGTATTATTTTCATCATCACTGATGTCTTTGGCATCAGCCGAGAGTCGTAGCACCGCGGAATGATCTCCTAAGGAGAGAAGAAAAAGTGATTCATCAGCGGACTCGGGAGATTCGTAAGTTGGAGAAAATGCCCATGCTTCTAATATATGAGTAGGATATTCCACTGACAGTGCAAGCTTGGCCTCAAGACCGTATCGCAATTCAACGATCGCTCCGTTGACACCTTTACCGGCGCATGCAAAAACCCTATCTGGCTGTTGTGAAAAGCCATTTCCTGGTTGCCGTGGAAATATCGTCTCATCTCTGATTTCTGGGCTGACTTCTTTGTATGTTGTTGCCAAATCACCAGCTGGCGACCAGTTTCGGATGGGCTCTATCGGGTCCGGATCTTTTCTAGCTTGAATCTAAATTTTGGAGCAATCAGTATACAAAACCATACCACACTAATTGTGCTGAAAATTCGCGAGCGATACCCAGAGAATTCATATCGCATAGCGAAACCATAAAGAAACATAGCCTTACCAAATAGGTCCCACCAGCACCAGAATCCCCTCCCGTGATCAAAAAGTCCCCGCCGGAACTTGTTTCACGAAAATTGGATTTGTGTAGACTGTAGTCGAGGCATGCTAAGGCAGTACCACAGTTGGACTTCAAATAACCTACCGAGACTCTCTTACTAGTGGCGTCGTCCATGGAGAAGTCCAGAAACTTGAGTACACCATCTTCCCTGACAACATAGATGTCATCTTGCAATGCTTCGTGTTTTTCCGAGTTCCGTGGCGCCCTAGCCCAAGCCGTCCATAATGGAGCGCATTTTCCATGATGATATTCAGTTGGGGGGTCAATTCTATGAGGGAGATCCATAAACGTCGGCGAACCTTCAAGGAGGCTGTGGCAAACTGTGACGGAGTCCTGGTATATTAGAGCGAATGACGACTTAGCCCTCAAAGGTATTAGCAGTAGAGGCATCCTCAGATTTTCGTTGAGTAAATGGCCTCTGCTGTGTAGGGCACGAATGTTTTTGAGATCGCTCCCCGTTTCCCAATCATAGATCAGCATACGTGTCCTGCCTTTAACAACCACTAAGAGGAGCAAAATAACGTGCCGTTCATCCGCTGGAGACGGATGCAAAAAGTACATTTTGAGAATTACACCCCTAACCGTTACAAATGCCTCGCGCTCGACTGGACGAAGTGGCAATCCTTGATTATACTGTTTGGATAAATCTTCCCGTGAATGTATGGCATAAATAGCAAACAGAGCTTCAGAGCAGCCAACTGCCACGTAACGAGAACTTGGGTCAACGGTCAAATGGATACCTGGCTGTAGTCTCAACATGGACTTCGGAGCACGATGGCGACTGGACACAAGCTTCAGCCCACCAGTCTCGGACCGTTCCAGCATAAGGAAGACCGAGTCGCCAGTATCCAGCTGGAGTAGTATCAATTGTGGTGGGAACGAAGAATCTCTGGAATGATGTGCATCGCGCAATTGGTGGTTGAAGGCTGTGCTGGTATCGAAGTCCTCGTCATTTTCCGCATCTTCAAAGGACTTAGTCTTCTCGCGAACATAAGCCTTCATAGAACCGACAACATGAGCATTTCGGATACGGGCACCGAAGTTCTCCTTACGTGTGACATCCCATAACAGTCTATCTGGTCGTAATTCTTTGATTTGAACAAAGTCATCCTAAACAGATCAGCTTAAGCACATAGCGTTTTGATTAATGTACGCCCAGGCATATTGAGAAGCACCGATCAGGCGTTGCAACATAACCAAAAGCCAGCCTGCCAGCAACATGCGCTGGACCATGATAGATCATTCTGACGTCCAGGTCTGCGTGATGCGTAGAGAGAAAGCGAGCAAAATCAAGAAATAAAAGGAAAAAGGTACTTTACCCCAATGAAAGCAACATCGTTGTTATCCTGATTCCGGAGTCGCACTGGCAGAATCCAGTGCACAAGAGGGCTCCGTATGACCGTCTGGGTTAACAAGCCCAGGACGGGGACTTCCTCGACATCCATATGGGGCATTCTTGCCTCCCGTTCCTCATTGTCGTACTTTTGTAGCACGGCATTAATATCCAAGGTTCGTGTGGTCCAACCATGGCCATTCTCATATGTGCTTGTGTCGAGTGCCATTTGAGAAGTTGGACTTTGGAAGGGCCATGGGTAAAATTTGTCCAGCCAGGCCGAGTAGGCGAAGTTGGAGCATGGGCTCAAGATCTGTGAACCTGTTCGAAGATGCACTGCTCGATTAGCTGGGGTAGTTCTACCTGGAAGAGAAGGTCCCCAACATGAGATCGGAACGCTCCGATGCGAGGCAAACTTCTAATATCACTCAAGAAGATTCAGCTATGTCCGCGCGACGAATTCCGATAGCTTCAGTTTGCGAATACTGGAGTTGGTGAACTGGCTTGGGAGTGATGAAGGCTTTCTGTAGCACTCCGGCTAGCCTTGTAGAAGGGCTGTTGTCTAGCTTCGCAGCAACACGACGACGACGTTGCCTCTCGTTTCCTCACCCAGTCTCGCGGCCTCCGTCAACACATCGCGCCTAAAGCACACCTTTCTGCTAGAATCCCGGGAGGATGGATCGTGAACAGCTGTCAGCATCGATGCCATTATCATATGCAGCCTCGACTCGGACCTGACAGATCATTTTGTCTTTCGCGCATGCTGCATGTCGGTTGCGCTAAGTACCCGTCGCGTCGCCCTCGCTGAACCCCTACAAAGCCAACGACACTTCGACGGTTTTCTTCGTCGCAGCGTCATTTACAAATTTGCCATGAACAGCGCATTTATGGATCTTTGTCCGCGACATGGAACCGCATGGATCACCGCTTGAGGAAAGCGAAACGGGCGTGAGCCGTCAGGACAGCTCATCGCCTTCGCGACTCGCCGAGAAACACGATACAAAGACTGCGGCAATCATTCGCGCATGTAATCGTCAAGATTTGGAGAGCCTGAGGAGTCTGGCAACGTCAGAGGGTGGATTGGTGTCGGATGATCTTCGAAGACGCGCATGTTCGTATATAATGGGCCTTTGTGGGAGCAATGCTGATGTCTAGCTCCAAGGGCCGTTACTTTTGGGGCCGACAGAAGATCCCAGAGACGACTGGCGAGAACTGCCCAAACATCGCGATGAAGACCAGGTAGAGCTGGACGTCAACAGGTCTTTTATATTTTACCCAAATGGTACGGCATTGTTGTAGCTCTATCACATCTCACATATGCTGATATATTGCACAGACCAGTCTGCCAAAGATCTAGCCAAGCGGAAGAAGGAACTCTCGGAATTGATAACAGAAGTCTTGAGGCGTCAACCATTTCTATGCTATTTTCAAGGTTATCATGACATTTGTCAGGTCTTTCTGCTTGTCCTGGAGCCGTTGCGCCGTGCACCTGTTGTTGCTCGACTCTCGACTCTTCGAATTCGGGACTTCATGCTTCCTACGCTCACACCCGCGCTAGCCCAATTACGACTTATACCATCGATCTTATATGCCGTCAGCCCCAAACTATACCACCATCTCTCTCAGACTCAGCCATTTTTCGCCCTCTCAGGAACCTTAACTATGTACGCACACGACATCCAGGAATATGGCGATATTGCTCGACTCTTTGACGTTTTTCTGGCTCGGGAAGCTGCCTTTTCTGTATACATGTTTGCTCAGATCGTGCTACAGCGCTCAGATGAGCTGTTTGAAACCCCCGCAGATGAACCTGAAATGCTCCACTCCATTCTCTCGAAGCTTCCGCAGCCTCTAGACCTCGAAGCTCTCATCAAGAATACCGTAGGCTTAATCGAAAATCACCCGCCGGAATCACTAAAACCATGGTCCTTAATATCCAAATATAGCGTGTTAAAGACTACTCGTAGACCCGGCCTAATAGTGGAACAGACCTTAGAATTTGGAGAACAGGATTTTAGACAGCAGGTAAAGGAATTGGAAAGAGCGGAGCGGCAAGAAAAACTCCTTCAACAACTTTGGAAATACCGGAGGCCGGCAAGGACAATTGGTTTCGCCGTTGCTGTTGCGGTATTGTCGTTTTGGATTAGAAGGTCCCAGGTCACTACGGGAATTTTCGAAGCCTTATGGCACCAACTGTCACAGTATAAAAAGGCTTAGAGAAGTTACGGCCAATACAATGAGACAGGAAACTAAATTTGTCCATATCAATAACATTTGTCTACCTACCCGCAAATGCAGTCTTTAGACTTTCGAAGTGTTCCTGTTGTTCGATTGCCAATTTCCCATCGAGGTCTCCAATTATTGTGGCAATCAAGGAGTAGTTATTATAGAGGAATCTCTCTCTTTTTCGGGCATCTCCAAACACTTTGCTTGTTTTGGTGAGGAAAGCCTCAATTTCGCTACGAAGCCTAATTAGACTTGTCGAAACGGGCTCGTCGTCTCCCGCCTCGGTACTCAGAGCTAAGATGCTCTGCATGAATTGTCCGAATCTTTGTGTCATGAAATGGGGAGCAGCTGATTGTTTCGCTTGTTCTGATGCGGACGGCTTGCGTGTGGAAATGCTGTTGGTGACCGTCCTCACCGACTCACAATGTTGATCCATCACCATCTGGAACCGAGGCCACATGACCATCCTAGTTGCGTTGATATAGTTGTCAACAGCTGGAATCTTGCGGCGCTGCAGTTCAAAAGCGAGATGTTGATTAATCCTTACGCACAACAACAACCCTAGGCAATCATAGGTTTCATGAACAAGAGACTTCGTCATGGCTTGACCAAGAGCAAATGTTGGTTCGAATATGTAGTTAAAATGCCGCGAAATAGTTGCGAATGTTAATGCTGGCGTGAAGAATGTGGTGAGGAAGGAATATTCTGCTGATGCATTATCAACTAGAGCTAGACTGAAATTGCGAAATGGAAACTCTAGATAATGCGTAGACTTGTCCTCCTCTGCTAAAAACGAAGAAATCGCAGTTTGATTTGATGACTTGAGCAAGTCAATCCTGCGACCAAGGTTGAATGCATCATGAGGAGGCCCGGTAGCTTTCGAGCTAGACAAAAGGGTTGTTTTGCGTGTGCCATCATCTTGGCCAAGAACATCATTTTTATCCAGTACATGGAGCTTGACCTTGTCCAGAGCTTTCTGATATCGTGTGAATTGATTCAGAAAGTACCACCGCATCGTATTCATGTACGCCCGACTAATCTCTTCTGCGAGCTTGGGATGGTGTCTGTGAAGAAAGCCATATAGATCTTTGTACCTAATGAAGTGCTGCTGTTGAATTATCTGAGCATTGATATTAGGAGACCGAAGTGCTTTGATTTGTGTTACCAGAAAGTCTCTGATGCGTTCAAGTGCCTTCACGGATATCAGTCAAGTTGCGGAGATGTAGTGAAAACAGACTGACCTTCTTTACGAGATTGTCCAATAGAGGCCGCAAATCGGCGATTCCCTTAATGTTTCTATGCTCGTTTGATTTTGTATCTAAAGCTTTAGATCGTTTCTCAACTTCAGCCAAAGCTCTCACCCACGCTTCGTCAATCGCTCCATCTACAATCTTTCGGACTACGGCGGGAGATACGCTGATCTCCTCCACAATGGGACCCAGCCCATTTTCTACCACCTTCCTATTCTCCAGTCGAAAACTCAGGGCAGTCGACCGCGCCTGAAGAGTCTCGATTTCCATAGAAACAGCAGCCAGATCATTTTGAAAGCTGGTCAGGTTCAGTTCGACTGTATTTAACACATCATCACAAGCTTGTATTGATTTGTGGAGTTCTTCGAATTTGCTTTTCTCTCTCTCAACTGCAGCAACATTTAGTCTAAATCCAGTTCCAGAGGGGGACAACGCATACATTCTTCTACCGATTGCGTAGCGAATTCCCGTCCATGATCACCCGGACTCGATCTCCCACTTGCGATTTCGTGCAAAGTCAAGCCTTCAAAGTCCAGGTCCAACTCAAAATCGCCATATTCTTCATCATCCCCTTCAAACTCGACAGGCTCGGATTGAATCCCAGACCCAACAAGCTTCTCCAAGACCTCGAGCGGATTGGGTATATCTACGGTAGCAGCTGAATGTTTTAGACCAGACCCATTGGGTCTCCGGGAAGACGAGAGCAGCGAGGTGGTGGAATCATTGGAAGGCAAGGAGAGCGACGAGGAACGGGGAGAAAACCCAGGCCGCGGCCCCGAGGTGGGAGGGGCGAGATTGCTCGATCGGCGGGCGCCTGGGGAGTATGATCTCTTCGTCGACGAGGACGAAGATGCTAGAGGTGTTGCTGCAGGCGTTGAGTGCCCTGATAATCGGTCGAGCCACATATCCCCCTCCTCCTCAGAGCATCAGGGCCGATTGCTGCCAGACTGTCGCTTCGCATTCGATAGTTCAATTCATGTTCGAGGAGCGAGATCAATTCGACGTTGGCAGTGAAGTGCACGCGACAAAGCTGTCTTTCTGGAGTATACCTATTGCAGACACGCATGCCTTTCGTACAGCCTTGGACAAATACTGGAGGTCTGGAGCTGGGTTACAGCCGCCTGATTGGTCGGCATTGCAGACCCCGGCTAATCCGCTATTTATTACCCACCCTAGCCTGCCACAAATCCTCTTTTCTGAACTTGATGAAATACTCTCTGCTCTGCTACCCTAGTTGCCATCCAACCCATCCACTTCTACTTAATTCCCACCCTCGTCGTCCTCGACTTCGCACCGCGTATTTCTCTTCTCAACACCATCCTTACTAAACCTCTTCATCAAAATGGCGGACGACGCGCAAGTAAGAAACACTTCCACCCACCCCGCACACGCCCCACCACCGGTTGGGCGCATTGTCAAGAACTTCAAGAATCATCAACTTTTGGCCACTTTTGTCAAATCGTAGCTAACTGTCTGTCTTTCCAGCATGAGCATACCTTCGATGCCGCCGCAGACGCTGGCGCATCTGCCACTTTCCCTATGCAATGTTCTGCCTTGAGAAAGAACGGTTTCGTTGTGATCAAGAACCGCCCTTGCAAGATCGTCGACATGTCCACCTCCAAGACTGGCAAGCACGGTCACGCAAAGGTTCATTTGGTCGCCATCGATATCTTCACCGGCAAGAAGCTCGAAGAACTGTGCCCATCCACCCACAACATGGACGTCCCAAATGTCATTCGCAAGGAATACCAACTGGTGAGCTGCCTAGAACATGATTGTAGGCAGAAGGGTTACTGATGGATTGACGTGTAGCTTGATGTTTCTGACGACGGGTTCCTTTCTTTGATGGCTGATGATGGTGAGACCAAGGACGACGTCAAGGTCCCTGATGGAGAAATCGGAGAGAAGATTGACAAGCTTTTCACCACTGAAGAGAAGGACACCAGTAAGTTTGACTGAGTTTCTGTATCAATCAATTGCTGCTAACACACTAAACCCTAGACGTTATTGTTCTCACCGCTATGGGTGAGCAAGCTGCTATCGAAGCTAAGGAGGCTCCTCGTTCCTAGATAATCAACCGCTTAACATTTCGACTTCGGCCTTGCTGTTAGCGATAGCATATCATCTTCGTCTGTGGGCCGGTCAGCGAAGAGAATACTCTTTTTATGGGATTCTTGGAACTGTCGGGGCCTGCTTTCATATTGGTCGTGCGTAGGGACAATTCACTCTGGAACATCTGATCACTGGTTACGTCTTCTCGGCTTGGCGAATAACATATTCCTCTTGTTATACTCGATACTACTTGATGACATTTGGCCGGCGTAGTCAAAAAAGTGCACACTCTTGGGATGTGGCAATAACATCTCCTGTAGAAATCAATGATTTGACTTAAAAGATTGTCCTTGAAAAGTGTTACATATTTACAAGATTGTTTTTGATCATTTATCTTGGTATTGAAAGAAAATGTGAATTGGAACGTGCTCCCGTTGTAGAATCCTTTACCTGTGTTTTGGCAACCAATGAAAAGTGGTGAATTAGTTTTAGAAAAACTCGTAATCGCGAACGTGAACTACTTGTCGAAGTCAGAGCATAACTACACCCCTATTCATGATGGAATTTTTAGAATGCGCCGTTACTTAGTGTACCATGTCATCTCGCGTCGAATATCACCGATTCAGTCGTGGCGAATCTTGTACTGAGGAGGGGTGTCGTTCTCGGAAATACTATATTGAAGATGGGAAAAAATTCTGTCAAAAGGGACACGAACAAGCAGTTTGTAGTAGGATCAATTTTGCGAGACGCGGGCTAACCCATTAGGGATTTACGCAAACGCAACAAGATGAAGACGACTGGAAATTCAGCGGAAAGAAATCCCGCAAACAAAAAGAAGGCACAGAACGCGTTCATCGGCTTCTGAGTGGTCGAGATGCCACTGAATTGTACCTGCAATGTTATCAATTGATCCTATGGAAACAGCTCCACTGGTTAATAAATGCCAAGGGCTTTCCAGCGGATTTGGAGACAGTAGTAAGAGATCTTTGGAGTCTTCGTGCTCGTGATCTCCTTAAATCAGGAAATGAGAAGGATTATGGTTCTGCTTCCGGGACGATGTTTAGTTCTCAGAGTGAGGGCGAGCATACCGATACTGACGCCAAAAGTGTCTCCAGTCGCAGAAGTAGAAGGAGCATTGCGGGCGAAGAAAGGTTGCCAAAGCTGATCGAGACGTTGGGATTATGTTATTTAGGCGCCGTTTTGTTGAGATTACCTGTCAGTTTGGGTGATCTCTTCAGATGGGCGACGGAAGAGGATATTATATACACACGAGCGGTAAGTTCTTTTCTGTTTTTCTTTCTTTTCTTTGACGATCATTTTTTTCCCTTATCCTGCAAGGCAAGAAACTTGGTTGATGAATTTTCTGAAGATCAAGGAAATACCAAAAGAAATGCGAAGTAAGCTTCCGCCGACCCTCGCTGCCGCTCTCGAAATTCATGCAGAACTCAGCGGTCCGATGCTGCACCGCAAAGTTTCGGAATTGGTCGAATATTTCAATACCGAATTTGAGATGACATTCCCACCACTGAATTTTCCTTTCCTGATTTACAAACATATGAAGGAACTTTTCCTTCCTGGTAAGTGCAATCCTGCGATAGCTTTACGAACAGCCTCATAACACTAAGCAGTCGAGGTCTACCCAGGTGTTCGCCGATTGGCCTCATTACTAGAGTTTGATTTCACTTATCCACATGTATACAGAAGGTCTAATGGCGCTTTGGCATACCCCGAGTGTCAAATCATAGGTTTAATCGTTCTCGTCACAAAATTATGTCATCCTTTCGATGCCGTGGAGCGAACTCCCTACAGCAAAACAGATCCTACTATAATTAAAATAGACTGGCTAAGATGGCGAGAAGTCAGAGACCTCGATAGAACCAAAGGCATGGAAAAGGGCAAAGAAATCAGAACTATAGATTCTGATGTCCTGGCAATGAGCGACAATAATATTGATGACTATTTGGATTGGTATCAACGGACTTGGATGGATGATCGAGATCCCAAAAGTATTCTTCACCTTGATATGACAATAGTACATGAGCTGACAGCCTACAGTGCCCAAGCAGATTCTTGACTTCTTTCCTCTCCAAGAAATTTCAGCCAAGGCCATAGGTCTACCTCAGCTTGAAACCCAGGCAGAGTCTACGGAAACATGTCAAAATATAATGGTTCCGCAAAATGCGATTTCGGAAAAGGACGAGAAGAGAGGCATTAGACGTCCCGGAGAGCTGTACAAAAGGGACAGGAGTTCAGAAGAGCTCACAGAAAATGCAAGAGCTTTTTTTGAAACAGCTGGTAATTATGACAATATGATTAGTGTGTATCTTGAGTGCTAACCGGACTTCACAGCTCGTAATACCGGTATGAGCTTAAAAATGCTAGTGAGAAGCGTGTTCCAGTTGGAAACGCTCTTGGAGAAATGGAGAGTAGCAGAGATAAAGAGAGCGATATCGACTCCAGTAGATGGAGAAGAGTCATCTGATGAAGAGGGGCAATACAAGTAAATTGTAAACAACATGCGAACAACATGTAATTTCCATTATCTGCCATCGGATTATCAGTCTATAATATTGATGTATGATATAATACCCTCTATAATATTGACGTATGATGTAATACCCGTCAATATTATTAGTCTTGGGGTTCAAGTGTAATGTTTCCAGCACAAGTTGATTATTTGTCGAATTAATGTTAAATCTGCTCAGTCTTTGATCGCACTTGAGTTGATGACATGAGATGACAAGATGATCAATTCTCACGGGCGACTTGAATTTTGATCGTTATGCAGAACTTAAGAATCCTCTGCGACTTTTCCCTCCGGCCGAGCTAGTCTGTCCGTGGCAGCCGATATGTGTTACGCAAATTTCGACGTCTCAATCATTAAGACCTTGCGATTTGAAGTGTACCATAAAATGTGTTTTATCCACACTCCTTCTGGTGGTGTGGGTAGACCAACATAAATGTTCACGGCGAATATGGTCGGTAGAGCTTGGATCAGGAAATAGTGGGGACTCTGCACGTGATGCCTGTCACTTCTCGCTAACAAAGTCCACACTCATCAATTGCCAGGTTGGATCTCAAAATTGTACCGAAATTCCACGACGACAACGACGAAGTTCATACCGCAAACAGTAAGCTCCCAACATCTCCAATTCTGTGTCGCGAAACCCGGAATGTACTGCTAACACTGTTTGTCTTCTTTAGTGCAGATGTAGGTCAAATTCCTAACCGCAAACGATTGCGACCGCGTGGCGACAGCGATACTAACATTTTTCGAAAAGCTTCGTCAAGACCCTTACGGGCAAGACTATCACACTCGAGTGTGAGAGTGCCGATACCATCGATAATGTCAAGTCCAAGATCCAGGACAAGGAGGGAATTCCCCCAGACCAGCAACGCCTGATCTTCGCTGGAAAACAGCTTGAGGATGGAAGAACTTTGAGTGACTACAATATTCAAAAAGTGAGAAAATCCGAATGCAGATGGACTGCCGTAAACCAAATATTGCGAAAAACGAACGTTCTTTGAAATGTTGGGCATAGGCTTGGTCATGGGTATAGCATTGCTGACAGGATGCCATTAGGAATCTACTCTCCACCTTGTCCTCCGTCTCCGTGGTGGTATCATTGAGCCATCTCTCAAGGCCCTTGCCTCCAAGTTCAACTGCGATAAGATGATCTGCCGAAAGTGCTACGTATGTGGATGCCGATTACTCTATGTAATCAAGTATACTAATATGTTGTAGGCTCGTCTACCTCCTCGTGCCACGAACTGCAGAAAGAAGAAATGCGGACACACTAACCAACTTCGACCAAAGAAGAAGCTAAAGTGATCTATTCGCTCGGTTGGCGTTTGGCTGGTCTGGAGATACTGGATGGGGATGAATTTGGCCCGGTTGCATGGCTGCCTGTACTTTTCTCAATAGCATGATGCAGGAAATACACACAAATTACCTTGATCAGGATGAAGACTTAACACTTCTGGCTCACTATGGACAGTGATGATTAGCGTCGAAGATGATGAATATCAGGTTGGTGGAGATTTCTGGCAATGGGCAGGCGACAGGCACTCCTGATTTTCAGCTGGTACTTCCGTACAAACCGATCTTGCTGGGTATTCTTATATCTTATGATCATTGTGTTTGTGAAAAGAACTTATTTGCCCTTCATGGCCGTCCAGACCAAATAAGTCCCTGAGTACCTGTGGCTTGTCAAGGATCCTGTCCTGTGATCTAGCATGATCCATTCGCAAATTCCAATTCACGCTCTTGCCGATAATTTGATGTATAAAACGTGTTCTTCTAATCCGAGGAATGACAAAATGAAGTAATGCTTGTACAAAGTAGCTGACTAGCTTTCTGAATGCGTTACCTTTCAACTGGATAATTTATGTAGTTGGACCTGCAGGTGGGCAAGGCTGAGGATGTTTACCAGGGTGCTCATGCCAAGACATTCGTCGCAAGCTGGCCTGGCTCATGCTTCTAATCCAACACGTTCGTCCTAAGAATAGCCAACAACAGCACACGATAGAACGATCATTTGAAAATGTCAGGAGCGGGATATGATGTAGTAGTTGACGTTGATGAGGAGGTAGGTTCTCATACGCATTGTTAGCCTTCCATTGCCCAACTGACAATGCGATTGACAGGGCGACTTAGGCCATACGGACCTTCAAGAAGACCTCGAATTTCACTCATCGAACTTCAACACTGATCAGGCCAACTCGCGCAAGATTCCCGGGGGCTCATCTGGGCTTCCCCCTCCAGTGACTGCCGGGGGAGGTTCTTCGAAACGATTTCTCTGGACTATATCTTTCTACGCGCAGTTCTTCGACGTGGACACGAGCTCTGTGCTGTCTAGATGCTGGGCAGCTCTGTATCCTCGAGCGAATTTTCTCGATGTGTTGGAAGGAAATCCAGATTTATACGGCCCGGTATGGATCGCGACTACCGTAGTCTTCATACTGTTTCTTGGTGGAACAATTAGTCATTATCTGGCAACTACGGGAAAGGAGCACTTTGTCTATGACTTTGAATTGTTAAGTGGTATGTCTGCCTTCGGGTCATTTATTCTAAACAAACTCTAATTGATCAATAGGCGCTGCTGGTCTAATTTACGGTTATACACTGGTCATCCCAGTCGCGCTCTTCCTGGCTCTTAAATACTTTGGCAGCGAATCTGCGAACCTTCTCGAGTGCTGGGCTTTGTACGGATATGGCAACCTTATTTGGATTCCTGTGGCGCTCATATCATGGTCTCCTCTCACCCTTTTGAACTGGATATTTGTTGGAATTGGATTTGGGCTCAGCGTAGCCTTCCTCTTGAGGAATTTATACCCAGTTTTGAGCGCAACGGACAAGCAAGCTAGTAAGGCGCTATTGATATTGGTGGTGGTTCTTCATGCCGCACTGTCAATTGCGATTAAGTGGCTGTTCTTTGCAAGCGGAAGTGCCATTAAGCCACCTGCAGATGATAAGACCCCTCCATCGCCAGAGCCAACCGCTCCAGCAGATTCTACGAAATTCTTAAGGTTCTGATAGATCCGAGTCGAGCAGTAACTTCGGCGCTGATTGAATTTGGGGTTCTTATTAGCATTGGGAAGGAGTTAATTTTGTGCCTCGCGCGTGTAGTATACAGTATTTATAACCTATCGAAATTTATTGAACGTGCAATTTAATCTGTGAGATGCTTATTTGAAGGGTTCTTCATTGCGACTTTCCTCCTTCTCTGGCACCACTATTCTTTTCCCAATCCATCCAAGATCCAGGATATTCGCTGACAGTTCTCCATCCTGCCTGTCTTGCCAACTCTGCGGCAGCACGACTCCTAACTCCAGCTTTACAATAAAACACTACCTCGTCTTCCTTCTCAGGTCGTTCAAAGCCAAATCTTTCTTCGAATTCTTCGGGTGTGATGAAGAACGCATCCGGTGATGATGTCACTGGGATGTTGACGGACGTAGGTATCGTGCCCGTAGATTGGACTTCAGACGGCTCGCGCGTATCGATCAGTGTCACTGATGATCTGGGGTTTTTGGAAAGGTTCTGGACCTAAAAGTAGTTAGAAAGGACTACAAAGCTTTGGCGAGGGCCAATACTTCAGCAAAGGAGTAGAATTTAGACCTTGGGGTGTCAGTAGAATAGAACCGTGTGGATGAAGGCTTGATTCTCGAATGCCCACTGCGTGCTGTAACTTGTGGGATGCTTGAGAATGTCCTCAACTGTCTTGAGAATATGGACCGCGAGCTGCGGAGCAGTACTGAAGATGCAGGTCGGAGAACAGACATGTTTGTGGCAAAGCTTGTTGCGTTCGAAGTTCAGATGGTACTGGCGATATGCAGCCACTTTATTAGAGCTTCATGTCCGACCTACCCCGGATTTCGAGCTTCCAGCCGGGATGGCACCACTCCGGTTCTGGCAAGAAACGTCGAAATTCTTTATTCTCTTAAGTAATTAGAAACTTGTTATGCGATGTTGAATTTAAACTTTTACCAAAATCGAAAACGGTGGAAAAGCAACATTTTGGTGGCATCAGTGCTTCACGATAAGGATTCATCACCATCAACAAAAGCCTCCCAAGAATTTGTAGCGAAGACCAAATTTATGAGGACATCAACAAAAAAATGTACGCATATTGAAATGAACTTCAACGATGGTCTAACCATTCAATCGCCTTTCGTGAAATACACATAGATCCTAAGTTGTCCTTGGGTGACAATCAGGCGACACAAACAATTCGCGATCGCGTCTCCTCAGTCGCGTCGTCCGAATATTTGTTGCGCCCACCGTCACAAGTGCACTACACATTCTCCAGCCGATAGACATGTCTCGTGCAAGTACTTCCGCTGCGCGCCAGCTCACTCCCACGGAAGAGCTAGAAAAACTTGAGCAACAAATTACATTGACCCTCCAAGGCTTGTTATGCTGTTTCCAGTTGCCAGTTTGATTCTAACCGCGTGGTAGAAATCGACCACAATTTCAGCCGCGCGCATCGAATTGTAACTTCAAGCATACTCCCTATTATAGAGCAATACGCAGAACATTCTAAATCAGTCTGGGAAGGTTCAAAAGTATATTTGACCCATCCTGCAATAATTAGAATTCCGCGGCTGACAACGCGGGGTAGTTTTGGAAACAATTCTTTGAAGCCAGTGCAAATGTGTCCTTATCCGGCGTAGAAGAGCGACAGGATGATGAAGATCTTTCATACGGCCAGTCCAATCTGGAAGCAAGCACATATGCGGAATCATCGCGACCCGCTGACGAGACTCTCCATGAGAGTCGGTCCTATGATCAGACACACGATTCTTTACTCGACGATGGGGACATAAGTGGAAGTACACCTAGGGCTCCTCGTCCCAAGAGCGCACTCGGAGACTCTCCAAGATATACAGGCTTCTCATCGCCATATGAAAAATCAAAGCAGGAGTTAGATGGACCGCAAGAGCCAGACGATGATACTCGACTACAGCCAACTACTCCGGGTATTCAGTCACGAACCGCGAATATTTCCGTGACGCCCATGTCGTCCCCATTCAACCCTACCACATACCTCCAATCACAGTCAAAAAGTCGCATGAATCAAGATCCGCTCTTACACCGTGTGCTGGACAAGAATTATCGAATACAGGCAACTCCTCATAAGACTGCCCGTAAGCAGGAGAAAACTCCAATCAACAAACCTTCATGGAGAGATGATAATTCTCCAATGTCATCACCGCCGGAAGCAGCGCCTCAACTCCACGCCGAAATTTTCAGTTCGCCTATTAGGAAGCAATACAATGCCCCCCGAACGCCTGGAGTAAGCGTGCAAACTCCCGCGAAATCAAAAGCAAAGGAGGCGGCTCTGAAGCCACCTAAAAAGGATGAGATAAGCTGGGAGAGTGATAGTGATGAAGATGCCGAAGGCGTTTATCGAGAGCTCGGCATGAGTCCCCCCAAAACCATTCAATTTAACTTACCACAGTCAAGATTGCTACAAACACCAGGTAGGCTAATTTGCTATGAAATGAGTATTACAAAAGCTAACACATTGCAGCAAGAGAAGCAAGTAAGATGATTGTTCAAGACCTGCTACAAACAGCTGGAGCAGGTTTTGATGATTCAGATGAACTCGACAGTCCAAGTATGGTTCATATGAGAGATAATTTAGATGATAGCTTTTGATTGATACCAATATTATATTATACTATTAAGATAAGAATAATTCAGATCAACACTCCCTCGCCCCCCCCGCCTTGTAGGACGTCTTAGAAGTCCGTACAGTACTATCACCCCTCCATTCTTATATCCAATCTGCAGTCGATCAATTTGTACACCAGAACTCCATGACTATCTAACCAGATCCCATCCCATTTCCAGACTCGCTTTAATTGCGCCACAAGATGAAATTCGAAGAAGTCGCGTTGATTAACGCAGCATCGCTTGAACCATGTAGGCCTCTGCCGTTCGTGCCCTTGCTACTCATCATATCAGCTTCATTTCGATCAATGTACGGGATGTGTAACGTGTTGCTCACCATCCCAATCCTTAGAAGACTTACGTGACTTAGGATCCTTCGGCAAGCTCTTCCTCTTTTCTTTGGTAGATTTAGGCTTTTCCTCCTTCTTGTCCTTGTGGCTGTGAAGCTTGCTTTTCAGCAAGCTCACAGTGGAGGTATATGTTGATGTGCTCATCATTGACGCAGAATCGTTCTCCATTTCGGACTTGCTTGTTTTCGCTTTTGCCGATGCTGGCGAGAGTAAAGTAGGTGACTTTTCGTTTGGATACACTGTGAGTTGGTCAGCAAGGCTCGATCAGTTCAAAGGAGTGAAGTCCTCACTTGATTGACGATACGATGGTAAACCTCCAACCATTTTGTTTATTGTTCTAGATATTGACGAAGGAAGTTTGATGTATGATATTTTTGATTTCAAGACGATGTCAATGTACTGAAGGCTGTTGTTTTTATGTCTCTTGTTCTGTTATTGAGTATTGTTGTAAGTAAGAAGTTCACATTGAGGTGATATATCCAGTTCCTATATACTTGCTCGAAATCCGATCCAAGCAGTAAGCCTTCCATAATTGAGTCATCTCTCAACACGGCCACGCTGTTGCTCCGATCTCATTTCCTACTGGACATGGAATACCACCCACCAGTATTGTATCGAATCCCAGAAATCGCAGCACATACGGCTCGAACAGCCTCCCCAGTTCCTAATACGGATACCTAAGCGAACTCCGCTCACAACCATCGCGCAGTTATCAACGTAAGCCCCAACCATGATCCATCCGAATTGTGACTCAGGCTGCCATGAACCTAGTGATTTTTGGGGCACATGGAAAAGCTTACTCGACTCAAAATTCGACCAATGCATTGCTGTTTCACACGTGGCTTGCATGTTTGCTGATTTAGAAATTTGTTAATCGATGACTCTTCCCGGGGAGTTGAAAACGAAAGAGGCTGAGCAACAACTGCATCAACAGCTACAATTACTGAAAGCTATCTGATAATTTCATTGTATAGACACTGCATCGAGCAAAACAACCAGTGTACGAGTAAAGGAATTTGGGCCGTTTTAATTGGCTTGGAGATATCCAACATTGAGAAGCTTTCTAATAAACCCCACTAGTATCCATCCATCAAGGTCCTTTCCTCCCTTCCCCGCTGTTGGACTAACGTCAAACAAACATGTCATTGACCAATAAATCATCATGACGTCTGATTCTAACGTCAAAGTACGTGGTCTAAATGTACCTCATTTTCAGGCATTCATCAGTCGTCAAGTGTCCGCTTAAATTGTTAGTTGTTGTAAAGGCAAGCCAATTGTTCGATATCCGTCGAGGTTTACGCGCGGTCTCTTGCTACTCCTTCCTTTATACGTAGTGCAACGATTTCATTCAATACCTTGAAATGTTCTCTAGTTAGAATTGCGTGTCATAAAATGTTTCCAATTCCGTACTGTCAAAATTACTCACTTTCCATTTGATAAGCTGAATTGAATACTATCAGCGCGCAATTGACTTCAACCCTTTGCATGAAAATATGGTTCCACAAGACGTCGAAAATAAGGAGACTTGAAATATGAAGTGATCCGCAATATCTGACACGGCGGAGTAGACTAGAAATCTTCAATGGCACGGCAAGGGTACGGGGTAGCATCACCATGGCTCATACCAGAGAAGACCAAGAACCAGCAAACGTTTGCTATCCTGAATTCCGATTTGCTCACTGCGCCTCGTCAATTGACTCAGTTTTCAACATTGTGTATAGCCTCCACCAAATATTTAGTATTTTACATGCGCCAGGCTCATGCAATTGAGCTTCCTTGCCTCGGTTTCAGTCGGGCGAAGCTTTTGCTGAAATCAAAAGGATATCTTGCACGTATTAATTTTGCAGTATTGGCAACTAAAACTTGAAATTGGAAGACTGTGTATAAAGTCTTGTGTGACATTGATACGTAAAATGATAAAATTCAAGACATTGGTGGACTGTACGAGGGGGTCGCCAACACTGCAACCCCACTATCCCAAAGCTTCTCTCAACGCCGAGTACCAGTCTATTCTGACGGCATGGTCAAAATGCTTGTTCCAAAGTTAAACCCAATCATGAAAAGCAATGGGAAAAAGTAAAGCTCGTACCAAAAGTCTCTTATGAAGATCCATTAATAAGCCTCTGAACTTTTTTGAAAGGAAAAGGTCGGCTACGGAGTTGAAAAGAATCTCCACCCAAACCCGTCTCCATTTTCCTTACAAACCCATTCCGGCGAGCTCAAAACTGCACGCCTTGTCGGCGACTTTTGAATACGGAGTTGGTCATTCGCTCGCGCTGGAATACCAACTCTAGACGATTTACCGCAACCGTCCGGAATAAATCCTATTCGATGCGAATGATAAGCGCTTTGGAGATGACAAAGCCTGTACACCGTAGGTTAAAGGTGGTACGACTCTTGGTGATATGCCTTGGAATAGGATAGGCAGAAACACCATACACCAACATTCTACCCCGCACAGAGAGAGTGATTGCGTGTCTTGTCAGCACTTGTGAACGGATACCTAAAGAGGGACAGCGATTGCGGAGATGAGAATTCCATTACTTGCGACCCCGTGAAGAAGTCAAGTGCGTTGAAGAGTTTGGAGCAATTATTGGGGTTTGTAATATTATTATTAATGTCAAGAATTCTGATTCTTTTATTGTAACTCCAGAGACCGCCTATCGAAAAGTTGGTCGAAATGCGAAGATGGCCAACTAATCTATAATAATTTTTGCAGCACTTAAACACTTCGCACGCTCGCTCTATTGCATATCATGAATACAGCATTATGCTGGGCGTTTAGTAAAGGTCAATGGGCAATCGTCCTAGGAAATTGTTAGCATATGAGTACTTATCAGAGGAGGTTATATGACTGACCATTGGGAAAATAGTAGCGAACACCTTGATCTCCTCGGAAAGAGGTGTTGCGTGATGTACCCAATCTAAATGCATCGAGGCCTTTCCAATCATGAGAGCTAGATTGTTTTGAGCATAGACTTGTCCAAGGCAGTAGTGAGGTCCAGTGCCGAATACCAAATAGTTCTTTGCTCCTTTGGTCTCGGCGTCTCCAGTTACATATCGGTCAGGATCGAAGTAATCAGGGTTCTCGTAAATTTCAGGGTCGCGGAGAGCTGGATAAACAGCGGGAATAATCATAGCACCTGGGGACAACGTAAGCTACACTCCTAAGTCCAAAAACTGGAAGGGGGAAATACCTTTAGGAACGGTGTAGGTATCTGAGATAGGGAATGGCTTCTTAGCAAGGTATGGAACCATAATGACTGGTGGACGATATCTCAATAATTCCCGAACGGCAGCACGGGTGTAAACCATATCATCCATCATTTCCATCGTACATGGCGCATCTCTGTTGCCATTTCTGACACGGAGATTCTCTTCGCGAATTTTGTCAAGGCAATCAGGTCGCTGTGCCATAGTTTGAAAGAGCCAAGTGCAAGCGCTGCTCGTGGCATCCTGCGAAGCGAACAGGAAGGTGAAGACTGTTTGAGCAATTTCGTAGTCGGTAAATTCACGAAGTAATGGTGTAGGTTTCTCGATGCCTTCCATTGAAAGGCCCTTCTCTTCGCGTTCGCGGTAAGTCTTCGAATCGAGAATCGACTTGATCCAGGCGTCCATGATACAAGTGACGTCCCCTCCGGCAGCCATGCGAACCTTACTCTTTGCTGCACATTTGGAGAACTCCTCCATAACCATATCAGAGGCAATCTTTCCATACCAGGATTTGGTGAAAGGAAGGATGATAGGAAAGTTAACCAACTCCATCGCAGCAGTAATATTATAGTAATCGTCCGCGATCTTCTTGACAGCCTCATCTGATATATAGTGACCAACGAAGGTGCGGCATGAGACTGCGCACATCAATTCTCTGAACTCCCCCATGAATGGGAAGGGACCGTCGGCATCTTTGGAGACTTTCAAGAACCTAGCGAAGTAATCGTTGTAGACATCTTCCTGCCCTGGTAGATATGTTTCGAGAGCTTGTCGTGTGAAAAGACCGTTGAGACCCTTGCGGAAGTCAACGTGGGCTTTGCCATCCAGGAACACCCAATTGGTTTTGCCCAACAGTTTATGCGCTGCATCCACTACACATGGCTTGACAAAGCTGGGCGAGTTGAAGATTTTACGGGCCAGATCACGGTCGGATGCGATGACAACGAATCTAAAGAGGAGAAAGGTCAGTTGTCTGGTATTTGTTATGCTCAACTTTGGATCTTACTTGTGGAAGACAGAAACACAACTCAGAGGGCCACTGGCCCATTTCCCCTTGTATTCCTCGAAATTCGGCCTCACTGACTGGAGGAAAGGGCCTGTGAAAGGAGCCTTCCATGATGGACCTTCGATGGAACCTTTCTGCCACAGATAGCTACCTATGAGGCACGTTAGAGGCGGACTAAGAGATTGGTAGCGGTTTCTTACATTGGTCGTACGCCACCATGCACAGAAAAATGGTGAGTAGCACAGTCCATGGACTCAGCTCAGATATCTGTGTGATCAATCCGTTGATGTGAGATTGTCCAACAAACTGCGCAAACTTCGCATCTGCCAGAGGCGATGTGAAGCTGCTATTGTTTGCTACCACTGCACTGGCCATCGTCGCGGGATATTGAATGCGCCGCTCGCGTCAAGATGCCTTATCTTGTCTCCAAGGTTATGCGACAACAGAGAGGTTTGCGTCGCAAATGCCGTTGAATATCGTGTTTGGCAGAGACCCAGCGAAGGACACCGATGTGATGAGGAATGGGCAACGGGCGGGAGACCGAAGATAAAGACAGAAAAGGAGGTCTGGAGATATGGCGTTTGGTTGACCAATAACCGGGGAAGAAAATAATAGGAAATTGAATCTTCTGAGGTTGCAGGGGTAAACAGGGATACGATGATTGTTGGCCAATCGCTGTGCTAAAATGCGACCGGGAGCCCCACTACCAACAGCCAATATCACTTTGCGGCTAGTGCCATTCACACCTACATGCATCTGTTGAGCGGTCTTGGGATTTGAAGTATTTCAACAATAACATTTAGAAATCAAGGTGTTGTCTGTATTGTTGAATGTCGATATTCCTATTATATTGTACTATCAGTCATGAGAATGTTCCTACTTAAAATGTTAGAAAACCCATGTGTTACCTATGTATCCTAATATTGAGGCTCAAGCCAAGCCTCAACCTTATTTCTCGCATGCGCTTTGCCACGACCCCACTTGATTTCCCAAGTCAATGGTGATTCCTTTTTCAACCACGTACTTTACCTTTTTAAACAGCCTTACGACCGCCAGTCATTTACACAGTTAACATTCTGGGATCTTTCCTTCCGCTATTATCCACACTTACTATGCGAACTTGTGGTGTGTGGTCAAATTACCTCGGAGTTTCCCCGTCGAGCCCGTCTAAACTCTTACCTCGCAACTTACAACCATTGTCAGATATTAAGCAACGTGTAGAGTGTATATAATGTAGCTAGAAGATTGTATTTCAAGCCTTAGTCTAGATGTTCATTGGCTTCTCCCCCTTCTCGTATATTGAGGAAAGTGCTTAGGTACTTGTACTACAACATCCTGTTCCCAGTCCGTAAATAGCTTTTGAAATGGACTCCACCTAGGTGACGGCAAAAAGACCAGGAACCTATTTGATTTGAAGCTCAATATCAAAGCTTTGACTTAGATAGTGTGTTTAATAAAACTGTGTTATAATTTGATCCTGTCAATATCCTATGATGAAGTCCGTCTCCATCTTAGTACATAGAATTCACATTGTTTCACCTTCCTAAAAGGTACAACAGCTACCGGTAGACAAAATAAGTGACCGCAAACAATGATCTCAATCTAATTCCATGATAAGGCTTCATTGTCGCAGCATATTTGCAAAGTGTCAATACACAGCATCTACATAGTATATACTTAGTCATAAAACTGTATAGAACATTCAGACTCTTAATGAGTTAAACTAAATCAAGTGTTCTGCATCTGGTATCCCAGATCCCCACTTGTTACTGTCTCACGAAGGGGGAGCCGCATTCTGACCTCGCTTAATGTAGGAAGACCCACAAGTCAAATTGCCAAAAAAAGACATTACTTGAGCAAATCTCGACAACCACAAAAGATATACACACCAAATGACGCAAGTGACACTAGATGAACCGGTCAACTTCAGCAAAAACAAAAAAAATCAGTCAGCACGGCTTGAACGTGCTTTTTTCCCAATAGCGGGGTCGAACCGCTGACCTTGGCGTATATAAAGCATCAATGAAGATGTTTATTAGCACCACGCTCTAACCAACTGAGCTAATCGGGATGCTCCTTTGGTTGCGTGTATTGGACTTTCATTGGCTGATTGTTGAGGCAAAAAGTGCCTACTTTAATCTATAAATGTGTTTCCTTTCGGACCCACTTGTAGCCGACGTCCACCCACCCGAAGGAAAGTGGATCACCAGCAAGGGAATCTATACCGATCTTACAAGTACTTACAGTATAATTCTTGCCTTAAGTAAAAGTAGCACGTAACGTTGTAACCTCACTAAACACTACCTCTTTGCATAGGGTCTATTGCCGAGGTTGCGAGAATTTCAGCTTGCAATGCAAGTCTAGCTCTACGGAGCCGTGTTAAAATTCCTTCAACGGCCACCCTGTCTTGAATAACTATATGACGATGAATATTCGGAAAGTATGTTTATTCTTTCTGGAAGACTGAGATTAGATACCTCACGTACTACACGTGGCAATCGCATAGCTGGTCATTAAACATGCATAATATTTAAGCAGTAGATGTTTAAGTCTAGAGTATACGTGCCTTGGCGACCCAAAAGAAATTTCTAAGTCAATTCTTCCCCAGAGCGTCCGGTACAGTAAGCTGAGCGTGTCTTCCCATGGACCACACACGACGACCTAGCGAATACTGAAAAACTCTTTAAACGAGCCCAAGAATTCTTGATTAAAGATATCACATAGTATGACTTGTGGTGAATACGAAGTGTGACCCCAAGAAGCTGTAGCTTTCAAGAACGAGCTTCAGAAATTTGACGGTGCACCGTCTAGGCATAACGAACTTATAAAGTGGTGTAAACACTACCGATATGACTTTATATAGCTAAACAGATGTTCACCTTCAAGTTAATACTAGTATCCAAGTGGCAGCTCGGACGTTTGGGGCCCACGACTTCATCGAAACACAGGACAACCAAACTCCTGAATCCTCGTCCTATCTGAAAACGATTTGGGGAAACGCTTCTGACACTCTCGCGGAGAATTGGATGCTTTCGTTTCATGCAAGCAACTTTCGGGAACACCAGAACCGCAAGGGCTGTTGATCGTTCATTACACTCGTCACGATTGAGCACAGCCCTAAGTCAGTCTCTTAGTCAAGGAGCTCCGCAGAAACCTCCTCGTCTACTCGTTCACCCATGAAAAATTCATCATCCAGGTGATGAAAGAGTAGCAGATGGATGTGGGGTAATCTACGTTTCTGGCACTCGACGGTGTAAACATGACTCAGATATCGGCTGAAGCAATTACCTTCCTTTTAGATCGGCCAGGAATATGGTTCGGTCGTTATAAAGTACTGGACGTCTGGGACTTCGAACGGATCCATACTATATCGGTTGAACATTCAGAGCAGCATGAGCTTGCCTGTCTTCTTGGGTTGCCTCGCAAAGGACAAACAAGTGGCAGTTGAAACACGATATTTACTCAAAACAATTGACGAAATATCGCATAGTTAGTCGATCAACTTGGCACACTATCACATTTCGTCAATCATTTCAAGTGAATAACATATTCTTGAGCTCTATTCGAAGTCGACATATTCGGTTAAAGATCAGCGGCCGTGTGACTGACACTTATCTTATCCTCCGCGAGCTTACGTCTGTGGTGTTGGCCACACTCGCTCGCCGGACCGCCCTTCAGAGAGGGAGATTTCCTTAGATGGAGGTATATTCAGCTATCTCGGGAGATACCAGGCGACGGTATGTACCCTCCCATCCCTACCTTGAATCTACCGTTATGTTGCATGCCGCTACTCGGAATTTACAGTTTTACAGCATGGAGGCAAGTTTAAGTACACTCCAAATGCAGTAGAAATATAGAAACTTCTCAGTCAAGCTGTACAGGAGGAATCTAATTACCAAAACGCTACAACCGCCGCCGAGAAGAAGAAATGTACCAAAAATGTACCATACCGAGCTCGGGGTGCGTTAAGAGACCACTGTCGGGAAGAGTATGAGAAAAATGTAACGCTCAAGGAATTCCAAGACCGCATGGTGCAGCTTAAGGCTCCTGGCAAGACTTTTCAAGAATTACAAGAAAAGATGCGTCAAAGTACGGCGACTGCGACTGATGATATTGTCGACGCCGAGTAGCCTGATCTCGACATTGGTGAACTGCTAGGGGTTCGATTTTCGGACAATATAGGCCAGGAGGAAACAACGGATGGCTCCGCCAACAACCCAGGTAACGCTGCGATTGTCACTAACCTTGCTCGCGACATCGACATTCCAACAATTGATCTACTCGCAGATGTGGCGGAAGAGAGTTTTGAGTCTGCATCAGATAAAGCATGCGCCGATACTGCCAGACTCCTCTTTCTCGAAGAACAGCTATCTCGTACCTCAAAAACGATAGAGCCCCTGGTTGCCACGCAAGCAGGTCCGATACTGCTATGCGGACTTTGCGCAGAAGTCGAAACTGTTGGCGACGCTGAAAAGGAAAAGGAATGGAGATCCAAATCGTCCCTCCAACGCCACCAGGATGGCCAATTCCACGTACCACAAACTCGTTGGTACAGACAAATGAGATTTGACCACCCTGATGGCGAATTTCGTTGCCATTATCGTTGCTGTCCGAAGAAATTCAGTCTCTCAAGGAGCACGTACTCCGAGCGGCAAGAAGCATCTACAACGATGAGCATGCGAGAGACAACCGGGAAGCAGGCTAGCCAGAAGCAGAATTTTTCGAGTCCAAGATGCCGGTCGAGATATTGCAAGAGAGGAGAGAGTACAAGAAAGAGAGAAGGGCCAGCAAAGGCCAGGTGGTCGTAGCCACGACTCACGAGCTCCCTCTAGTGTTTGTTGGACCTCACCTACCACCAAAAGATCTCGGACTCAATGGCGACGTAGTAAAAGATGTTGTAAGGATAGCGTTAATGCAGACGAACAGGCACCGAATAATTGACCTTGGCGACGTAGCACAAGTGTATGGCAAAACTGACCGGACGCCATCTAATAAGTGTAACGATTACAGACCAACATTCTCCACCTCCCCTTCCCGTAATATGCATATTCAGCCTTTACAATAGAGACAATATCATGTAAATATTTATTCAAAATGAATGAGTAAACATAACTTCTCCGGGATGATATTGCTATTCTACAGCACCTCTAGACGACAAAATAACGCATCTCATCTCATTCCACGACCATTTACATAACGACTTCAATTCCTCTCGGGTTTAGAGACATTGTCCTTCCAAAATTGATTTAGTCAACTACTCATATTCGAGAAGACATTAAAGTAGTGTCAGATGTTTTGTATTGTAATAGCGAGTGTGTTGAAACTTGGTGTCAAAGGAGAGCATTTTGCCCAAGCCTCTTACAGGGCAGGAGTAATGTTAGTAAGTTCACGGTTCTCATTGGACAATATACGTTGTCAAGTACTAATAACACTCTTTAACCTTCCGTTATAGGTTCTTTCATTCTTAAGTGCCAGGTATTTCAAGCTCCTCCACTTGAATAGAGGTCATGGACTCATGTAGAAGGATGTCAATCATTCCTTTCTAACATCAGCAGCAATAAGGTTCTAGCCTCATTGAGGGCCACCTCCTTTCACGGGTTCTGTTTTGTTGGTGGTGGATCTTCTATCTTGTGAATGGCTGAGGTTGGAACTAATAACACCCTTTGTATTTTATGATTTGATCATTCCTTGCAATAACATTAATAACCCATAGGCACCCGGATCTGGAACTCCCCTCGTTGTCGTCTCATTGAGATAGCTGGAACGACCTAGTTTAGCTTCCAACTTTTTTGTTGATTCAACGCCCTTCTTAGCTTCCTCCAATGCTTGCCTAGCATCTCCTGTACTATTCAGGGTCTCAACGAAGGGTATCAAGCAGTCTAAACAGGTCCGATCTCCTAGCCTTGCTCTGGTATACTTTAACAAATGCTCCAAGGCACCGTTCAATGCATCAGCAAAAGTTGCTGCGGTCCACAGTTCCTGTGACAACGAACTTAGAAAAATGCAGTACAAAGCACCACTTGTACCTCCCATGTTGACTTCTAGATTATCAACAAGATCTCCAAGAGTCGAAGGGAGCTGTGTCAGGTCTTGCTCTTTTATGAAACTCAATACCTGTTTCGCACCATCTCGAAGAGTGTAACCACAATCACCATCTCCCACAATTGTATCATATTCAGTAATCGTTGGCTCAGCTTGGATTACACTTTCGCATCCCTGTGTGATAATGTCACGAACTGTATTATCGGTGAATTGGATCTTAGAACTTTTCTGCCGAGAAGTTGGCGCAGCCACAGCACCAATGGTCTTGGAGGGTGTGTTAGAGGCTTTCTCGTGTGCTGTCAAAAACATGGTCGGTATGAGACAGAGAGATATTGCCCAGCCGCGGGTTTGTGAATGATTATCAAGAATGGTCGAATGCGATATTCGAGTGTCCAGCCGTTTCTTAGCTAAAGGAATTAGCATCATTGAACGACATCGCAATTAAACTTACCACAAAATTCGGATATCTCATGAACAAGAATATTGTTCTCTAGCCGTGAAAGGCCATTAATGTCGGCACAGTGGATTGAGTAAATGTCCTGTCCTGAGGATGGCCTTGAACCCAACAAGTGTTTCATATCCTTCTCCACGGCAAGCTGTGCCGATTTGAATTCAGCAAAGTCAATAGCGTGTACGACTGATGGTCCTCCTCCAGTCTTTTTTTCATGAAACTTCGAGGTTGTCCTTGCGGAATATTTTACTAAGTGCTCAACAAGAGCTTGAGTTTTCACTAGAGACTCTCTAGATAATGTCAGAACATAAATCATATGGAATATAATTTTACTCACTTGATTTCGATCTCTACAACCCATAGCAAAGATAAAATGTGATCTAGTTTCAACTCTCCTATAACTGACACTTCCACCAAACCAGAGCTCACAGCTAGATCTTTCTTAGTTGAGGCCCTCAGGACGACGGCTCCGTTGTCTGTGGGAAATCCTTGCTCTTTCAAAGCTGCAACTACATGTTTTGCTGACACTGATTTTGACCCAAATGGCTCGGTTGCAAAAGCCGCAATGTGGGATGCACCCAAGATTTTACTCGAAAAGTTCCCAGCGGTTCCAATGACGGCTACAAGCACGTTCTTAGTATCAATTAATTTGGTATCGATTACAATAGTTCCGCCATGTTCAAGCTCTATAACTTTCACTGAAGGCCGCATTAGAGGAAATAGACGACTCCATCGTTTTGGGTCTTCAAGCTTGAGTTGCGAAGAGCTATAAGCGTGAGTTGGTTCGACAACAAGTGACATTGTGAAAATACAAATTTCAGTATGAATGAATGAAATCATATGAAGAACTATTTTATTCTATTCGAGCGGTCTTAGGCACTAGGGTCATCACACAAGTCTTCCCCGCCTCGATTAGTTGCACGGAAAGCCGAAAGTGGAAATCCGCCGGTTATGTGGGGAACTGAACGGACGACACAACGAAATGAGCTTGTATCAAAGACATTTCATAACTAACAAGTGTCTCATGTGCTTTAATTATTCGTTTTCACAATATTATTGTATCCAAAAAATACCTTTTCTTTCATTTACAAGTCAACTCAGATATCCTCAAATCTACTCTTTTGGAATGATATAATACCCCGCAACCCCACATTCCAGCTAAAATCAGGGGAAATGGCTACAGAAACGCAAACAAAACGAGAGACTTTCCATTTTATTAATGATCCCTCGGAGGTAATTAATGAAGCAGCCATTGGGCTTACTGAATATCACCCCAATCTTTCATATTCCTCATCTCACAAAATCATATCACGAAATGACCTTGAAACTTTCCGGGAAAGTCATGTTACAACTATCGGGTTTGCAGGAGGTGGACAGTATGTATTTATCTTCCCCAAAGTCTGACGAAAGTCGGGCAATGCTGATATCCGCAGTGAACCGATGTTCTCAGGTTTTGTAGGCCCATCCTTTCTATCGTGTTCGGTTTCCGGGAACATATTCGCATCACCAACAGCTAGCCAGATTTTCGAGGCCATAAAGCTATGCCAGCCTCTACACTCCCCCTCAAAGGGGACTCTAATTGTATGTGGTAATTATACAGGCGATATTTTGAACGCAGGTCTGGCAATTACACGGGCTACCGCTGCAGGGTACAAAGTGAGATTCACACCAATTGGAGATGACGTTGCGGTTGGAAAAAAGAAAGGAGGGAAAGTTGGGAGACGAGGGCTAAGTGGGCATATTGTAGGACTGAAAATAGTTTGCGCGTTGGCGGATAAAGGGGAAGGTCTTGACAGAGTAGGCGATGTTATGGATTACATTGCTGGAAATTCGGGGACAATCGCTGTAGCATTTGACCGGTAAAAGTCTTTCAATTAAACATAGCTTCTATCGGTTACTAACGACTTTGTAGTGTTGCGCTACCAAACTCTATAGTGACAGATATCTCGACACTCCCAGCTGCAACAATTGAGCTCGGTTTGGGTTGTCATGGTGAACCTGGACTACGATCAATATCACCAATCCCTAGTCCCGAGGATTTGACTAAAGAGATGATTTCGCTACTGACAAACACTTCTGATGAAGATCGAGCGTTCATTCCGTTCACGAACTCTGGAAACGACCAAGCCATTCTTCTCGTCAACAGTTCTGGCAGTACCTCAGATGAGGTGCTCGCTGCCTTTGCCGAACTAGCGATCAAATATCTGAAGCAGCAAGATATCACTGTCGTGAGAATGACGCTGGGTCCAATGGTAACAAGTTTGAAGCAAAGCGGGTTTGGTTTTACTTTATGGAAGTTACCAGGGAAGGACGAGAAGGGCCCGCTGAGTCTCAGAGAAGCGCTGGAGTATTGGGATCGTAGAGTAGAAACTGCTGCCTGGAGGCAGTAAACTCGTTTTCTGTTTTGGAACGTAGGGCAAAAATCAACTGCCAACCATACCATTGTCCACCCATAGTGGTTGACAGTGCACATTGAGAACTGGAAAATGTACCATATTGATGAGGAATAGTACGATTACAAGATCAAATATTTCCCCCAGATGAACTTCAACTTTTCACAAATGAAAATGACTTAACAGCTTTCGAAGCCTCAGGCCAGGTCTGTCAACCGTATGGCCGTACATAGAATTTCAGTCCCACATTTGAAGACGTATTCTGGCCTTGCACTAATCTGACCTCCGTCACAGACAGAGGTTATTACCAACGCTCTATCGAAGGTGCTTGGCAGTTCGCGCATTTCATGTGCTCGCATCCGAGGAATCCGCAAGTTCTGATATAATGCGGCATGTGTTGTTCCTGACCAAGTTTAGCCTCTCGCGCTAAGGGCGTAATAAAAGATCAAGGTAAGTTTTATTTTAAGCTCTTGATCAAGGAAATGAGAAAATATTGACATACTTGAGTGGCTCGTGTTCCATTCGCATGAAAGTGGCTTTGACAACATTGCCATGCCAAACGTGGAATTAAAGCCGGTAGTGGTGAGATACGGACTTCAAGCTCCTGTTGGTAGGCAGAGGTATTCTTATTTGATTCCGACATAGTTTTGTAAAAATGCTCGAAGCTTAGACAATAAAGTCTCTGAGAAAGATTATTGTAAATTGGTAGAACATATGGCAGAGGGGTATAGTAAGTCTATTTATATGTCGCAAGAACCAATATCGCGATTTAGTGAATTAGACCATATGTCCCACACTAACAACTTAACGATGACAGCAGGGTATAATGATTTGTTGATTCACTCTTCATTATAGTAATTCTCTTTTTGCGCCGAGGTTGTTATTATCATGGAATGAAAAGCCGACCATCGCTCCTTCTTCACCATATACAAGACATCGGTTTCTCTACCTACCTAGGTAGGTAGAGTTTGGACACATGTAGCACTTGTGATGTTCCATTTTTGAGCATCCCAAACATCTATCCCTATTCCCTATGCCTTTACAATTATTTCCTCCGCATGACGACAGGCGCTCGGGTCTCATTTTGGGGATCTAGACGCCAAAATATCATTTAGCATCAACGATGAAGATCAATAACCGAATGTCCTATCAGAAGACTGAAGGGTTTACACCAATCCGACCATCCACTAGAGCTGAAGCGGAGGATCATGGCTATTTCCACTCTCGTAAGCCCAGCAGTGCAGGAAATGGCAGTGCCACGAGCGAGTCAGAAGTGTCGCCTTTTGGCATGTCGAAACCTCCGACGTTAATGAGGAGACCACAGTACACAAAAGAACAACCCAAATCCGAAGTTCCAGAGACAGATACAGCAATTGAGGCAGTATCGCTTTCAAGTCGTCGAAATTTGCAGCGCGATCCATCGTGGGCACCAACACCTTCCAAATATATAGGCCGCGACCGCGACACCTCCGAATCCAATGGATATAGGGACAGCTTCGCAACACATTCGCAATCTGGTCTGGCTTCTGGTCATCCTGCAGACCCGCCACGACCTGCAAAGGAGGGGATGGAGTGGGTGTGGTTTCCGGAAGGATACTGGGCAGAGCGCGAAAGAAAGGAATTGTTCATGATGGAAGGCAAGCAGAAGACAATCCAAAAGTGGTTCAACCGTATCCCGGAAACAAGGTTCATAAGCCCTTTCCAAGACCAGTCGCCGAATGATAGTCCAACGAAAACACTTATACCTAGAATCAAGATTGGAAGCATCAATACCAGAAAGAGTTCGTCGAAGGCAAGCTCTCGAAGATTGAGTGAGAGACAGAGTGAACCGGGTTTCAGCAGCTCTTTCGGCAGCAGAATTAAGAAAATAAGTACAAATAGGCTCTCGACTTCAAGTCGTGGAGAGCAAGAGAAGTCGGGCTTGTACAGCAGGACCAAAAAGACTATTGAAACGCGTTTGCTTGGAAAGCACCAAGAAGTAAGAAACAACACCAACTGATACATTTTTGAAACACTAATGACCTATTTTGAAGCGATCTCAAGAATCTAGCGAAGAGGAAAAGGGACCCGCGTCTCGTACGACAATTCTCTTGCAGGGCACCACCCACCCACTCGAGGTCTTTGAACAGCAACAGAAAGACCGACAGAGGGTGGAAACCCGACTGTTGTCAATTTATCCACCTGCTTCTCCGGATGGTCGCCGCCGTGGACTTGCTCCGTGGCATCGTCGACAATCACACGAGTCAATGCTCTCGGTTTCAAGTTCGATTTACAAGATCCTCATGGGGAAGTCACCTGCTGCTACCCCGGCATCTCATCAGTCGAGCGGAGGGAGTGGAGGGAGTGGAGGAAGCTCGAGAAAACCGGGCAAGGGCGCGGCAAAATGTAGGATGGTTCCTTTCAAAAAGCACCTTTACATGACACACCTCGCCCAAATTACTGACGTGTAATTAGTCGATCCTTCGGCACCAAACGCAAACACGTTTCTGCCAACGGTAAGAGCCACTGTAGCCATCAAATCTATGTTTCTACATCTCCCGTGCTAATAGAGCATTCTGGACAGGAAGCGAGACGCATCACCACTCCACCGATGTCCGAAAGTGTACCAGCGAAAAGCCCTGCAGGGTTCTTTTTCGATGCTACACCTATGCTTAGTCCAGCTGTCGATAGTTGTAACGGAGATCATAATCCAATGGATGTCTCTTCTGGTACCTCAGTACGATCTCGGACAGCGACGAGAAGGAGCCGCTTCATGGGGCGCTGGTCTCGGTCGGCATCAGGACAGAAGTCTACCGATAGATCCACGCTGGCAGCTAATAAGTCGGAATTCGAGCTCAACATACCAGAGCATCTTCCAAGCAGCCCTCTGTGCCCTCGAAATCCTAAGCACAAGAGTGGTGGCAAGGGCGTTTGTGTATATCACGGTCGCGGAGCGGAGAATACTGGGAGCCAGAAGTAGTGATATTTTAGTCTTTTGAGACGTAGTATTCGGTACTTAGACTGGTAGACCGGTTTGCCAAAATACAATGAAGATCAATCAAAGGTCCATTCTTGTTGTGGATGAAATAGATGTGATCTTTTTAAGGGTGTTGCTTGTCGTTGAGAATGGAGCATCAATACGACACGTGATTTGGTGATTGCGTTGATGGTAGCTCCCGTCGGTCGTACATAACACCTTTCCGCTTCACTTCACGGCTTTATCCTACAACTAAGCTGTCGCAACTCCAAGAAGCCACAATGAATTCTTCGCAAGATCCGTTAGTCCTACTCAGGCAAGCAATCTCTTCAGATAGCCCCTGTATACCCACAGCTAGCGCCGACGCGATAACCAATTCGAGCCTCGCAACAGCCGCATTCCTTCACTTTACGTCGCCAGTCCAGCTGTCACTTCCACTTTCTACACCGACGCGTTTTATATCGAAAGGCAAACCTGTGAATCTTCGGAGTATATACTTTGCTTGGTTAAAGAAGGATACCACTCCTTCGGAATACAATGCTGGGGTACAAGCCTTGAATGCGGAGTTGACTGAGGCTGGGAGTACGAGCGAACTGGTGGAGGGGCTGTCATATGTTGAACGTATCGATTTGACGACCTATCTGGAAGGTGGAACAGAAGAGAGCGAGTATATCAAGGCCTTGCCGGCCGATACTTCAGCTGCTCTAGCTTCGGCGCAAGTCGCGTCTGGCGCAGCAGGCGGAATTGCGCCTGTTACAAGTGGTCTCGCAGGACGACAGGGAAAAGACATTGACCCGAGACTCCAAGAGATATACAATGGAGAGAGGCGGATGGGTGACCGCAATAGTGTTCTGCGTGGGATCAAGCCAACCGTAAGATGCCACGGTTATGGCTGTCCATTCTACTGAGCTGAGGGATGTGGCTAACACTGTTGTTGTTGTAGGATTTCTCTCATGTCCGAAAGATGGCGGCACCTTTCACTGCCCGAAAAGCCGCACAAGCTGCTCAAGCTGCGAAAAATACAACGCTAGCTCAGCATCCAAAAGCGCCAGTTAGACGACCCGACCCTATTATCCTTCTTTCGCCGTCAGCCTCGTCCCTTCTCCGTATGTCGAATATCAAGTCGTTTATGGAAAATGGGGTCTATATTCCACCTGAATCGTCTAGCGCCACGTCAAGTTCTTCCGCCTCTATTCTGCACATCACTCGCCTCCTCCCTGGCATTGATCCTGCTCGTCCCATGCGCTTCATTATTGTAGATACCCCTGAGCAATTCAAGCCTGAATACTGGTCTAGGGTGGTTGCCGTTTTCACGACTGGTCAGGTTTGGCAATTCAAGAGCTACAAGTGGCAGGAGCCCACCGAGTTATTCAGACATACATTGGGCGTCTACCTAGGATGGAGAGGCGACCAGCTGCCGCCTACGGTCAAAGGATGGGGTCGTGGTGTTTTAGCAGCGCAGGTTGAAAAATGGAGTCAAGGAGCCAGTCATGCGAGCCGATGGCGAGATCGCGAAATTGTGGAAGGCATTTGGAAATCTATTGAAGAAAATATGAGGAGCAAGGGGTGGCGGAGAGATTCTGGTCCTATGGTTGTCTAACAACATAAATTTATACTGGCAAGGCGTCAGGCGTTTCGGACAAAAAATGTCCGGGCTATGATATCCAATTCAAAATGATTGTGGTAGGCAGCTCACTTTAAGCTTGGAAATACACACTAGTAGGTGGAGAATGAAAGTGGCGTTCTCCATTGCGGTGAGACTCCGTCGTTGACGGAAAATATGGGAAGTCGTGTTGAAGGCTTTCAATGTCCAAACGGCTCGCATGCCCGAGACGAACTTGAGCCACCAAATTCTACTTCACAAGGAGAAATTCAAACTTTATGTGTGGAATGCGTTAGTAGGCTGGTAGTTTCTCGTACTTTGACAAGCGCCATCCAGCGAATGTTTCCATAGGCCGTGGCGAACGAACTGTCAAGCCAATTGAAAGCTATGGATTTACAGCATATCTGTAGTCTGACGTGTTATGAGGTAGCCAAATCGCCAAGCGGCCTTAAATGCAATCGAAAGTCGAACCAACTTAAAGTCGCATTGTCTACAGAGTGCTTGTTGGGATGTAGCAAGGGTGAACTGAAATTGTTGATACGTGAATGTGAAGCACAGTAAGATTTGGTGACAGGTTAGTAAAGTGAGCTACGGACAGGCAGTCCTAGTTGAATGCGATACTTCCTAGCAGCTAATAGTCGAAGGCTCGCTTGATCGAAAACTGATTGTGCTCAGCAGATCTACAACAAACTACCTTCCAAAATGTAGGTCTTATCCATTTCTTCACGTCTTCAACCTTCTTGGATTATGTTTAATTATTGCTGTCACCATATGTGGTAATTTGTAATTTTACAGGCACTTACTTGACTTACCGATATCCACGCCAAATATTTAGAGAGCCAAACAGGCTTCTACTCTCTTGTTCGCTTGCTCGGGAGTGATTTTGAATTGTAACGCCTGTCTTTCAGCTCCAAAACTACCCTCCACACGGATGGGACAAAGTGCTTCTCGACTTTGACCTGTTCTATTAAGTTTCATGCCATATAGAGGGTCTTTAACATTCAAGGGCTACAACAGAAGACACGTTTGCTTATACCCTTATTCATTTCACTTCTCTGTCATATCTGGTAAAGTCATGTTACCTGACAACATTTCTACTCACTTCTACTCATTTGCAATGTCTACAACTTCTAAATTGCCGAAATCTTCCGGGGAAACAATGTTGAAGGGTGACGAATAACTCGACTACAGTCTACGCCTTAGACGAGAGGTAACCATAGCGCTTATTCGCCAGAACAGCATGAAATTGCAGTTACTGAATGTTTCGGTTTCATTGAACTCATTTACCTATACCTCAAGCTACTGAATGGTGCTGATTATCATTGCGGTTTTCAACAAATGAATTATAAAACATCGGGCTCTCACGTTGTTACTACTCTAAATGAGATAGCCTTGAGTCATAACCAGGGAGTTTACGGTCATTTCGGTCTAAAACTTAGGTAAGTGTCATGCTTACCGGAGTCGAGTTTAGGTTTCTCGAACCCTCAGAATGTGTTCTTGTGACAGTCAAAGATGGATAGTTCCGTAAATTTGGGCTCGATGACGAGGAAAATCGGAGTAATATCCTTTTAGGACCGATGATTGTTAACGCCTTAGATATTTTCAAACTCTACTTGGTTACTGTAATTCTCGATACTTGTTTTATCTACTCTAGTGATCTTGATCTCCACCTCCAGGAGCTTATGGCGAGTTTGTGTTAAAAATTCTTACTTTGAATTGCCATGATAATTAAACCCCTACCCAGTCACTCTCTATCTTGATGCAGCTCATGTCCCGAAGGGTTTAGCCAGACTTGAAATATTTGAGATTGATTTATTAGGCTAAAAATATCCCTTTTCAAAAGTTTGCAGATTCTTGTTTCCGAATAACTTCAACCGACCAGCCAAATCGTGACTTGGAAATTATCATCCCATCATCTTTGGTATCATTGAACTACCCAATGACTCCGTCTCACATGCTCACTCTCAATTTTCCTAACTCGGAAAAGGCTAATAAGTCTTAGAAGTTGGGTCATCTTTAACAATTTTAACATGTCTCATCAGAAACTCTTTCAACCTGGATATGAGAAAGCTCTTCCGAAGAACCAGTCAAATAAGTATCTTGGACTATATTCACTTTGGATTAATCATTGAAACTCATTATTTCTCCATGGTAAATAGGAACTTTTGTTGCATATCGCACACATTCACTTCCCTAAAACTCTTGACAAAATCAATTCTCTACACAACTTTATGAAATGGCATTTGGTATTTTTCCGATTCCATTGGCATTCATGGATTCCAATCAATACCGCAAGACGTGTTGTTATACAGCATTATAATTAATTGTGATTAGAAAGTACGGGATGTGATGGCAGCATGTGTTCTGTAGAAAAGCATGCAAAAAGGTCGGCGCTGCCTGTACCCCGATTCCAGAAAATAGAGTATTTTTAGAGATTTAGTCATTCAAGAACACGAAGCTGTAGGTTAGCGATGTAACGCTCCTTATTAACATCTTGATGTCCGACATGTAGCTGAATCTGGATCAGCGAATAGAGTTGCAGAGACATCATCCACCACAAGTCCACCAACGCAACTTCACCAAGCTTCTTCTCACAGCAAATCTACCATTCGACTAATCCAGCAATCACTTGGCTGAAAATGTGACCTTCTCAAAGCCGAAATATCCCATCAGTTGAAGTATATCAGTCAAGATACGAAATGAAGTAAGCATAGTCGAAAATCGCCGTAAAGCTTACGTGAAAAAGGGGGGAGGCTCGCTTACACGCAACCGAACGAAACGCATGAGTAATCCCAGCAGAACGTGGCAGAGAAGAGGCGCAAAATCTCAGACGAAGGCCCGATACAGATGTTTCGTCTGACTGTAACTAGAGTATTGGTGATGCTAATTGTCGCGGGTTGAGCTGATATAGTTGTAAGATATATTGGTTTGTGATTACGAGCAAATCAGAGCTTGAAAATCTTCTCGAGGTGATCTTGCGATGAAAATTGTAGAATTTCATGTAAGAAGTGAACACTGCCGTTTGACAATTGATCTGGCTATTTGAAAATAGTATATTATCCTTGTCAACGTCGAAAACATGCAGGCATGCTCTGATGCTTAGCGTTCGTGCTCTCTTGTGTTCTGAAAGTAGTAAATATCACTGCTGGTGTTAGGGTTATTGCGTTAATTGACATGAAAGGCCCTCATCCATTTGGATCTCACAAAGAAAAGAAACCTAGATCTGTTTCGAATTTTGTGGAAAGACACACCCAAATGAAGGGTCTCCAACTACTGATGAGCTGACTACTTGCGAGATCTCGGAACCTTTAGATATACTTCTCACCGAAATGAGGCACTTGTCTCAGAATATCAGAATTTACGGAGGGTCGGAAAAAGATACTTCATTAAGGTTCCAAAAAGGCACGTAATAAAGTTTATGCTTCGCCGCAAATTCCACACGACCATAACCTCTTTGGCCAATAACATCTCCAACACCGCCATTTGAACCTCCAATGTGCCACTGAGCAGGCAGTCCCAATCAGAGACGTTCCCACCCTCGTACAGCAAGCCGTCTGTATAACTCGCTGTCTCTGAACACAGGTTCGTGGATAGATGTGCAAAGCACAACCTGGCGCGACACCAACGCGAGAAGGGATATTATTGCATGCGGCAAGACACGCTGCCTCGTGGAACTTTCCAATTATCATCACGGCCTGCGGCATCTCCGGTTACGGTGGCAGCACGAGGGCACATGTGGTGGTTGGCCGTTTGCCTCGTGGCTATTTCTCTTGCTATCCGCGTCGACCACCCCCATTGGAAAGGCTTCTGCAGGATACCGTCAAGGAACCAACGAGCTGGGAAGGGCCACGCTGTTTTTAGAAATAGCTGCACAACACTGACGTCGTGTGAGACACTTGGGCGGTTGGGGTGCAGCAAAAAAAATGCATTCTGGGAGGACCTAGAACTAGAATCGGTCCACCTAACATCAGGAGATTCAAAGAACATACACTGAAGCGCGAATCAAAATGATAAAAGGAGGACATAAGAAGGAAAATTAGTCAACGATAGTAAAGCCCGAAGCTGAAAAGGCGTTCTGTTTGTCCTGTGAATTCGCGGATTGAAATCACGCCGTGTCTTTTTTTAACTCTCATGCTACTTTGTGGCACGAGAAGGCGGGACGTCCCAAGCGGAATAAACATGTGCACAAAAATACAGCATGTCGTCCAGGGTCTCCGAAAGTTGGGAAGCCGGGCTGGGAGCTGGGACAAGTTGATCCAAGGGATCAGCAGAAAGTGGCTTGATGTCCCTGCTGTAAATGTTATTAACAACATGAAGCTCAAGGGGGAAATATTTTTAAAGGGGTTTGAATGCCAACCGAAGCGAGAGCTGAAACGTTCTAGAAATTTTCCACAAAGGGGAGTGTTGAATCCCGATATATTAGTAAATTCATTATTCCTTCCCCTTTCCTTGCTGCCAGACGATAGGTTCCTATTGACTGGACGATGCGGGCTTTCGAGTTCGCGTAGTCAAGAAGTCAACTTGTGGTATAGGGGCTACCAACGACGGGTTCCTGTTGAACCACCGTTGTCTTGGAAGAGGCGCCTTTCACACGTGGCCATCTTCCAGTAACTTTCGGAGATTGTACCCAAGATCCATGTGAGACGTTGAGATGAGGCGAGTTGAGGTCAAGATGTGACGAGTGGAGCGAAGATCACGTCTCATCGACGCCGGGAAGGAGCAAACGGGAAGGAGCAAACCACTTTCGCTTATGCCAAACCCGGTCTCGGAGCATTTGACAAAATCGTTCGAGAAGGTCCATGGAACATTCTTATTTCTCGTCTTGCAATGTTGCATACATGTCAGCCGACAAATTTTTAAATCATCAGTCTTTTGAGATATGTCACCTCCTGCGTTGAGTGCGATTGATTACCCGAAATGACAATGCTGTCCTCTGTTAGCACCTGTTTCAGTTCAATTAGCATGATTAGATTCATTCCCAACCATTTATCACTTTCCGTAGCTGGTGGCCGACTAGCAGTAGCTCGACAACAAATTTGAATTAATTAAGTGGTCACTCATCTCAGACATACGCAATCACTCTTTGAAAGTACGGGTTTGGTTCGCCATTGGACACTTTAAAGATTGAGAATGCAACCTGGCTGATCTACGGCATCAACCAACCTTTTCTTTTTCCTCTTACACTCTGACAGTATTCTGATTGATTCGCCACGCTTCACCGTCTTTCGAATGTGGTGATTGTCATGTCCACTTTCCCTTTGCACTCAATTATTGATTGTTGTGGTAACATTGGCCAACTGATCATCTCGCCCTATCCTCATTCCATCCAGTCCGCCGCGAGCGCCATGTGGCATTTACGAACTCACGGAGATCTTCGCCCGCTCTACGGAGGTACCCTTGTGAGTCTTCATATCCGGCGGCTTTGCTGTGAGATCATGCTTATCGACATTATTCTAAGGCTATCAAAACTACCTTACGAACGGGATGAAGATAACGAGGCTTGTCTGTCTCAGTAGATTTGTCGACTGTACTGGTGGAAAATAATTTAGCGCCTAAAATGGGATGTCTTTCCATACACAGGGCTGAGACCAAAAACGCGACGGACCAGCTGCCACGTGGAAATGATGAATCTACCGATTTCTAGAATTGGCTGTCAGCCCCAATATTTTGGGAGCTACCTGAAAATCATTCTCTTCCCCTCAAAACAACATCGGCAAGCCATTAATAATACTCTGGCTCTGTCTGGAAGGTCTTACCTGAAGACGGGTATGTCTATTTTACGTATGTTTTCCCGAATTATGGTGCGGGAAAGTGTAGGTAAAACGAGCGCTAGTCACTGTTAGTGCTACTCAGACGCATTTCCGTTTGCCATGTGGCCTGACTTATTATTACTGCGTACATGGCATGGCCTGACCAACCTCGAACGGGATATGTAGCAAGGCTTGGGACAACGCCAGGCTAGCGATGTAGGCAGAAAAGAGAAAAACGTGGGAGAAAAGATGCGACGCTGCTTTTGCTTGTTGGTGGGAGTGAGGGGTTGGTGTCATTCACACCACAACTGAAGCCTCGCAGTCCCGTCTTTCGGAATTAAATTGTTTGCTTCCATTTATTTGACTATAAGTATTAGGTCATCTTCTTATTATTGCCGCTTACTGTTTCTAGAGTATTGAGGCTCTTTCGGATTCAAGACCGCCATCATCTTTCGCTCCCTGTCGAACCCCGCGGCGCTCGCGGAGGCTTTCTTTATCGGCTGAAACCACCAATGATCATTTTCCGATGGCGTGGACACGTACGAGTACATCATCACTAGCAAGTTATCAAACATCAACCACAATTGCTGACGGATCGACACGGCAGTGATGATATGTGTGTCTCTTCCGCATATCTCCCTTGAACGAGCGCCTATGAAAAATTAGGCCACTTCAATGCCTCATGCGTGGAGCATTTCACCACGCTCACCACTACCTGTACGGGCATGAATGCATGCCGGAAATGTACAGCCATCGCTCACCAAAATTTCATAAATGACAAACTGACAATTCTCACAGCGTGTTTGGTTGCTCAAACAACATGACTGTGAATTACACCCGCATTCAATCAATCCACCTCGCGTTTAGTAACTGTGGTTAGATGTAAGACTTACGGTGTGAGCTTACCGGCGATGTGATGTCGATGCAAAACTTCATACTAGTTTATGACTGATATGGACCCCGGATCGACCTTTATATTCCCATCGGTCTTAGGACGCGCCCGGCAGATGCGATCGCTTTTTGCGTACTTTCGAAACGTGGATCGTTCGAAGGACAAGGTTTGTAAGACCATACTCCGCCAATCCAACAACTAAAACATGAACCCTCGTGGCAGGAGTAACTCGATCTGTGCTACCGGATGGAACACTAAAAGAACATTCATGCGGTTGTCCATCCTATCATCGTAGACCTTCTCGAATATTGAGCGCCATTTGGAAAACCCGAGATCTCTTCCCGTTTGACGGCGTACCGACTATTATTCGACCATAAATCATCAACACAGGTAGTTCCAAGGTAAGATATATTTTCTGCATGAGTTCGTCGCTGTCTTATGTTGGGGCTTTTTGTGGCGAGCTGAAAGGAAGAAGCTGCCGAATGCAAATAAGATGACCGGCATCAATCTTTACGCTTTCGGAAATATTTTCTCTCAAGGTGCCCGGGGAAGCAAGCCCGCAGATCTTCTCTTCTATCCTTTATGACTATCTCTCGTTCACACGTGTGGGATAGAGTGATCTCAGATCTGATCGACATGTTGTCTTGCATTGCGCTCTTCATGGATCTGTCTTTATAAGTTTATAAGTGATGATACAAGACCTGCATATAGTGACTTCTTGCCATATCAATTACTCTTTTCAATCAACTGAAGTCAATTTGAAGATTTGGTAGTGAAGTTCCGAGATTTGCCGCCCATCGAGCAAAAAGTACGAGTCTGGTTATTTACAAGCTCGAAATAGAATGTCTCGCTTCTGGTTGCTTCACTGAGAAGAGGAAAGTCGACACTGATCTAAATACACCAAGATACAGTATCCGAAAATACACGAAACAGACGCGCAGACGCCGCACCGCATCCCTTTCCTTTGCGAACAATCGTAATGAGAAGCATTTGACCGACCTCCTCATATGGACTATATGGCATATGTACAATGGTGTACTGCTACCCACCCTCATGTGGAGCTCGGTCGTGTAACAAGGTAAAAGACGACTGACCGTTTCACAGCAGCAGTAATTTCATGCGTGGCTTGCTTGGAAGTATGGCGTTGATCAATTATTACAGAAAATGGGTAACATCTGATACTGTACGAGTACGATCTTTATCATTTACGTGCTATCAGATATCAACACATCGTGAGTCGTCCCACCGAAGCATTGAAACATTGATCACTCGTATGAGATCCACAGTTAAGCCGTGATCCCTACTGGCTAGGCTACCATGTTATAAGCGGTATCACGACCGAAGCCTTATGGGTTCTAGGATGATCCTGACTAAGACAGCTCACCGCAGTTCGTCCTGGACCAAGAAAAGTTTCTGCCATGGGTGATTTTCCCACGATCTCCGGTGACTTTGTTTCAATTCAAGCCGCCGCTACCGAGATTAACATCCACGGCCGATGGCTCTACCAGGTATCCAAGTACTTCGGTTCATATTACTTCGGCCGACATGGCAGGGGCAGAGGCCGCAAGACAGGACTGCTCGACTGTATAGGACCGTGTTGGCATTGGGAAGTTGACCTCAGTGGTAATGGTTGGTGAGAATAATGCAGGCAGAGTGTGCGGTGGCCGTAGCCGTGGCCGCTCGACATGAAACGGGACAGATTCGTTGATATGGCTGGGATGTTCTGGCGCCAGGCTGGGGACGCACATGGTCCACTGCTGTGATGATTGGCCGAGATTCAGTCACTACAAGCATTTTGCATTATTCCGCAACGCGCTGGCTCACGTGCTCACATCCTTGTTGCCACGAGCGAACAGAGATCGGTCAGGGGTATTGCCCACGCTTTGCTCCCACGAGGTGCGCAGGTTGGACGGCGGAGTGAAAAAGCCACAGATGCTCTGCAGCAGTGCCGCTTCTATGGGCAGCGACCTAGAGAGGTGGGTGCAGGTTCGACTAGAACGAGACGAGACTAGACTCCGGAAGTCCACCCACACGACACGGCAACCAAGCGTGTTCACTGTGCAGCGAGCGCACTGCCAATCCTTTCCGCTTTGTTCTTTGCCTGCACTTTTTCACTCTTTCACACGTCGCTGCCATGCTTTGTCACCCTGGAGCCACGCGGGTGAAAGAGATCAGCACGGTGGTGGCCGCTTGTCCCAAAGCGGCTGTACGTGGTATGGTTGGTATTCTTCTTTGGGCAGAATTGCCGCTGGCTACGCGGGACGGAGGGCTTTCTTTGTTCCTTGGCACGTGCTTCTCCTTTAGCTCTTTGAAGCAGTGCAGTGCAGTTTCTGCTTGCAGCGTGGCCGTGGCCGTGGCCCATCGTAAAGCAGCAGGAAGTGGAGAGCGGTGCCTGTTGGTGCCCGTGCAAGACCACGCACACAGCACGTTGAGGCGGCCCCCCTGCCTCGAGCCTATGAGGTACGGGTACTGTACTTGCTTGGTACTGTGTTATTATTACTTGGTATTAATTGTCTTTGTAATAAAGCTACTTCGTAATTATGTGTGCCAGAAGCTGTAGGTTGTCAGTCCTGTAACCTGCCCAGCTCCTCCGTAATTGCACCTCAATATTACATGATTACAGTAACTCGCGCTGGCGACCTGTACCTCGCCTCTTCGCCTAGGACCCTACCAGCCCAGCCCATCCTCCCACCTGCTCCCATCTGCACTCCCAGAAATCCCCCAAACCATAACCTAACCACCTTACGCCTTGTCTCTCCTCCAACGTTCTTCTTAATCTCCCCCATACTCGCAGTCTCGCAGACCGTCGACACGACGTGCGATCCAGAAACGAAGTAATCGACGTCCCTTTCACGCTACCGATCTGACACACACGTCGAAAACACTCGCTCTCCACCGATCCACTCCGCGCCGGACTAGCCTTCGAGTCCCCTGCTCCGCTCTCTCCCAAGTCCCTCTCTAAGTCCCCTCCTCGCAGTTGCCAGTCGGCCATCTCGAGCGGCATTCGCACCCCAGGCCACCGACGACTGATTCACTGGAAACACGCTCCTAGCCTCCTTGCTCCTAACTCCTTGCTCCTTGCCCATATCAGACATACTTGTAGTCTTTAGCCTGTTAGCCCGTCTACTCTCCTGTCCCAATCTCTAGTCTCTAGTCTCTAGTCTCCTAGACCTGTGCACTTCCGCCCGCTACTGGATTGGGAGCGACTAGCTTCGCTATTGGATTGTTTGCAAGGGAAAAGGGTGGAAAGCACGACGGAATTCGGATCGGCCAGAACAGTCAAAGCATATGGCGACTGCCGCAACTAGTCCACCTTCACTCTCGCAACTTCCCGCACCTCACTCCCATCTTCAACCTCATCTTCAACCTCACCTTCACTCGCAGACTCTCCCTCTCTCCGCACCGACGCCCGTGGATGCTCTGGTCGCTCAACTGTCGACCCCTCCTCCAGAACCACAACCGCAAACACAATCCCAGATCTCAATTACAAAACCACCCGCGAGCAAACCGCCATTGCATTCCGAGTCCATCACCTCGTTCATCCCGTCGCCGAATACCGTAAAGTCGATACGAACGAACTACAAACATCGGCAGTCATCTCTCTCCACCAGCTCGACCAAAGGCAATCGGCCCTCGATCTTCAACTTTGCTACACTGGCTCGCGAGAAGACCTCGAGTGCACTCGCAAGTCTATCAGAGCCGACCCTGCGGACACAACCCTCGTCTGGCAGTCTATATCTCTCGGCGCAGAGTTCACCCAGCTCGACCTCGCCTAGTCGTACCAGCCCTCGATCCCCAAGTTCACGGGAAACATTGAGATCAGTCTCGCCCAATTCTCGGACACCCACCACCTCGGGCTCTTTGGCTAGCACGCAAACCGTCAACTCTACCAATCCAAGTCTGTCTCTATCCGAAACGAACCCGCCCTCACAGGCGTACACCAATACCAGCAGCGAGACAGCCCAACCCAGATCAACGGTACCCAAACCAAGTCACAACAAGATGCATCAAACATCCTCGCGCTTGTTGCGCATGACCTCGGATGACAGGCCATTCACCAGGGTAGGACATGGCGGACAACTTACTTTTCATGTACCAATTGATGGCTAACCTCTTTTAGGATTTCAAAGATCTGTTTTCCACTCTGGTTGTTAGTCTGCCATTAGCACCACACCGTGTTCGATTAACGAGAGTCGATCATTCGTTCATATCAGAAGAGGCGATTAACAATCTTGGCTCCCTCAAATTCTCCCAATCGAACCGTATGCCGGATCCTAAAGACCCGTCACGCATCGTGACCACGACGACCACTACAACATTTTCAATGGCTCGTGAGATGGCAAGGTCGGTATGTCAGCGATTTCTGGATGCTAGGTTCGTAGAGTCGGCCGATGGCAAGCAGGCCAAAGAGTTCACCATGAAGAGTTCTGTCTGGCAATTGACCCCCAAAGGCATACATGTGCTGGAACGGTTCTGTGCAAGAAATGGAATTCAGCAGAAGCACGTCATGGAACTTATCAGCTCTCCCCGCAATACCATGCGGCTGGTGATTCTTGAGAGAGATTTAGCAACGGACAAGCTTTCTTCAGATCGCAGTACTATCGAAGTAATTTTCCGCCGGTTTGTCGGTACTAATGGTCCCAATGTAAAGAGCAGCACTAGTTCTGCAGATTCTGACTCTTTGAGCGAATACAAGGACGGAATCGCGGGTGTTCGTATGGCTAGCGAACGCAAAGTTGGATCGCCACCAAGAGTAGTTTACCAAACCTTCACCGGTAAGGCCGCTACAGACTGGTTGATGGACTGCTGCACCACGGTTGACCGACGAGAAACTACGGAAATGGCAACTCTATTTTTGGAGCAGGACTTGATATGGTGTGTGCAGGCAGATAGAGTCTATCTAGCACAAACAGGACAGGAAAAGGAAGAGAAAGTGAGATTTCAACCAACGAAGCACGCGATTTACCAGCTCTCGCAGAAGGGTAAGGACGTTCTTAGCATGAATAATAGAGAGCGAACATCCGAAAGCGAGGGTACCACTCAAATTACACGACCTGGTGGTGTGAATCGCGATTCCAACACACAGAAATTAGAAAAAATCTTGAACGACGCTGCATTGAGACTTCTCTTCAGAGAAAACCTCCGGGACACGCATTGCGAGGAGAATCTGTCATTCTACTTGGATGTGGATGAGTTCCTAGCTTCTTGCCGGTTAGCCATCAAGGCCAACTCTCCTAGCAGGGCAAGTAGCAGCAGAGGTACATCCGGACAGAGCCTAGATTCAGTCAAGGAGACGATGGCTTCAGCGTATGGTATTTACAATGCTTTTCTGGCTCCAGGATCTCCTTGCGAATTGAACATCGACCATCTTCTACGCAACCAGCTAGCTACAAGGATGACCAAGGCTGTAGGTCAAGATGCTGCGATGATCGACAGTTTGATTGAAGTCACCGATCTTTTCCAGGAAGCTCAAGCGTCGGTCTTCAAGCTCATGGCTAGCGTACGTATCCCTTCATGTCGTTGGAAGCTGCAACTAATATTCAAGCAGGACTCTGTACCTAAATTCATGAAAAGCTCCAAGTACGAACAAACGCTCAAGAACTATGACTTCGACTCCCTCGCTGGAAGATTCAAAGAAGGCATGCACCTTCCCGAACGGAGCATGAGCAGGTCGAACCGATGAGCCTTCTCAAATGATGAGGAATAGCACAACACAAAAGTTTTTTTCTTCCACCTCGGTCGATCTCTGGACGACCAATCAGTCATTCTTCGACATCAGTTATTTCGAATCCGACATTTTACGATTCTTCGATAAATGGAGATAATGTGTTTTAGCGCCTGCATAGATTCCCCACGTTGTTTCGACGTTCCGACATCGAGCCACTTAATGATATAATGTCCTGGCTGTGGCTTGATACGTTGCATATGGCGGTTCTCATACCGGATACTCTCTCCTGCTTGTGTATATTGCATTTCTGGCGTTCGGTTCGGTCATAAGATGATCAATAGAAAGGATACTCCGCTTCATTTGCGTACATTTTAGCTTCCTACTGAAGGTGGCGGTTTTCGAAAGAGGGGCATTGGGTGGGCAGGATGTTCAAAAAAGAGGATTCTCGATTGAGCATGCGTGGAAGTTTGGGTTGGCTCTGTATTGGTGCTGACTCGGTGAGTTTGAAGTTCACTCGAGGTTGATGTTTACGGAGCTGTAGCTAAAGACCACTACCACATTAAAAGAAAGGCATCAAAATTCTAGCAATCTGCCATAAACCGGCGCGAATGTGACTTTTGTTTTGATTCATATACCACAAGAATGTCCTATTCTGCTTGGCGTTTCGAACGAAAGAATGCGGGGCTGACCACCATTTCCCCAAACTTGCGCTTGCTGCGACATGTGGCCGCATTCCTCGAGCAGCCGCAACCATTCCCAGAATACTTTTTGAGAGTAGTGTACGGCTGGAGAAATGAGATCGCAGATCTAGGAAGCTTTTCCTTGCTGGGAGCTGTTTTCATTTGGTGAGCATTGGCATGTACTCTTTGTCCCGGCATGTAAACTGCGGCGTTTTCAGCATCTCATTTGTTCAACATGCGATGGATGGAGAATGGGGCTTCAAAGACGCGAAATTGGTATATCTACGGGGCCGGGGCGAAGGGATGGAAGTTCTTCTCTTCTTTATATCAGATACTTCTTCCTGCTCAAGTTCATAATCCGCTCCTCCATCAACGAGAAATCTTCAGTGTTGCACTCCAAATTTTCTTGTTGCCCAGTCCATTCGTTTGATCCCTTGGTCTTTGACTATCACACATTCGTTTAACTCTACGCTACTTGCATCTTCTCTCAAGATGAGATTCTCCAGCACCATTGCCGTCTTGGCTTTGGGCGCCAGTTTGGTTTCGGCCATTCCAAGAGCTCAAGTTCTACCCGAGGAGGGAGCCGATCCAATTCTGCCGGAAGATGGTGGTGTTGAAGAAGGTGTCGAGGACCCTCCTATTGGTGATGGACTCCTGGACGTTGACGTTGGGGACATTCTTCCAATCGATGATGGGATCTTGAATGGCGGAGATGAGAACAACGGAGGCACAACTGGTATTCCGGGGGATGGCGAGGAGTTTGGCAACAACGCTGGTAATGAGGACATTATCGAAGACCCCATTCCCGCTGAATGTGAAGGCGGATGCCCTCAAGGCTGGGTTCTTGGGAACTACTGGCATCACGGGTGTAGCTGCTGGCACCATGGCTGGCACCCAACGATTCAAATCAACAGCCAAAACGACAACTCACAAAACCAAGATTACTCTCAAAACGACCTGAAATGGAACTCTCCAGATGTCAACCTCACCGAAACCGACAATTCCCGCAAGCACTCCCCAGATGTCGCAAACGGCGTTGGTAACGACAACGGAAAAGATAACGGAAATGGTAACGGAGCCAACGTCACTCAAACCAACGACCAGAACGTCGCTGTCGCTGTCGATGCTTCTCCATCTATCAACATCTACAATGCCGATGGATCCATCAACGAGGCCGCGGTCGAAGAAGCGGGCCACGAACACCATGGCGGCGACAAAGAGCACCACGGCGATTGGTGGCCCAAGAATGGTACTTACACTGAGATCGTGACTGTCTTGACCACCTACTGCCCGGAGCCAACCACCATCCACCAGAACGGAAAGGACTATCCAGTCAAGACTGCCGGATACGTTACCATCACCGACTGCCCATGCACTGTCGTCCACGTAAGCTCCATTCCATCTCTCATTCATGAAAACATACTAATGACCTCAACAGGACAACTCCAAGCCAACCAGCCCACCATCTCCACCAGCTCCACCAGCACCACCAGCTCCTCCAGCCGTCGTCGCCGTCGCAGGTAACAACGGTGCCTCCGCCAACGCTGGAAGCGCTGCCGCCGACGCACCACCAGCCGTCGCCAACGTCGGCAACAACGCCGGCACCGCCGTCAAGACGTCTGCTCCAGCACAGTTCACTGGTGCCGCGAGCGTGGGGATGGCTGTCAACTGGGTCCTGGGTGCCGCCATGGGTGCTCTTTACTTATTGTAATCGGATGTGTTGACTTGCATTTCCTTGTGTCATGGTCTCTTAGTCTTTAATTTTCTCTGATGGGTGAACGTTGTTGTAGATTTCTTAGGGATGGGAATTAGGGATTTTTTTTTGGGACTTTTTTCTTTGTTTCCTTTTGGGTTTCCGTTCATTGCATTAGAGATGCGTGATCATGGTGAGGGGTGAGGATCAAAAGGGGGAAAGGTCTTTGGAAAGTGTACTTGGAAGTAGGGTTATTTAATTTTATTTATTTTGAAAATTATCTAAGGGGTTTTGGATGGTATGTGAAGTGATGCCATGAACTCTAACATCGGAACAGCAAGTCCGACATGCTTAATAGTGCCTCGTCAGCATCTTCATTCTCCTTCAACACTATACTCATACCGAGTTTACCTTCTTCTTGAAATTCAGGGATTGGAGCTGGACTTACAAGATTGGTCAGGTGCCATGTATGATTTCAATAATGTGGAACACACTTCTTCAATCTTTTTCGTCCAGCAGAAAATACAAAAGAATTGTGAGTCTTGTGGTTGTCGTTATACTAAGGATCTGAATGTCTCAAAGTCCTCGCTCGAGCTTGGAGGTTTGAGATGCTCTCGGAACCAAATACTAGAAAATCTAGAATCTTAATCAAGGGACTAAAGTAGATGCTGTATCCTGCGTCTTTTCTACTCCCCTACAGAAGTGATTTCTAGCTTCCAGAACGTGGAAATACATCATGGTACCACTAAGCCACAAGCTAAAATAAGAATTACCATTCTCATTATTTACAGAAAGACAACATGGAGCCAATAGTTCTCTCTAGAGTAAGTGATCTGTGTCACGACAGTAAAAGATGTCGTAACTTCATCCGCACGGAAGTAATCTGAAGCGAAACTAATCTACTAAACCTACAAGGCCTCAAAATTAAACATTAGGATGAAATAGAATGTCTAGCCGTAGCGATTCGTCGCCAACTTTGGCAGCATGAGAGAAGAACGGAAAGGTTTCGGTAATACCCATCATTCCTCTTCTCGAACATTCAGAAGAAAGAACGAAAGCTACTACAAATCCATATGCAGTAATGATAGTACTCCAGTTATGAGATTTGGAATGGTAGGACTGAATATTCCAGCATAATTGTAACGCACGAAATGGGTGTACTGGAATAGCGGGAGAACTCTTGGGATTCCTGCGAGTGGAAGACAAGAGTAGTTGAGGTCGACGGTTGGTGGTGGAGCGATGGGAAGGGGCCTGTAAGAGAATTAAAGTATTTGAGAAGTTTCGTGTGCAAAATTAATACTGATGTTTTGATTAAATGTTTTCGGGGTGAAAATGAAAAGGTGATGTGCTCACTTTAGATAAGAACCTATACTTATTGCTTAAAGTTAAGAAAAATGTTGATAGATTTACGATAAAGTAAAGGTGTTTCTGATTGGTATAGTAGGAAGATCAATAGAAGAGCAAAGACGGATGTACTGAATTGTGTTCTATTTTGAAGCAAAAATATCTACACGTGGATAATTGAAGACTTCAATTCAAGGCAGATTTTGAGTTTTTCCCTCGTTAACTTGTGATTTATGATGTAGTGATATTTTGTTCCCATCCAAATCTTCGAAGATGCTGAGCTATGTGCACCCCATCACAAGAAGCCACATGTTGCCAGATCATTGTAGGACAGAAGTGATGTCGTGCCAATACAACGATGGCAAATGTTGTTTTCGTTTCATTTCTTACAAGAGGTTTTATTTATCATCTCCGCAGATACAAGGGATATCAGAGACCCTTGATAGTGGCCAGGAAACTCTCCTGGAAAGCTTTCCCCGTCAGACCCTTTCCTATCAAAACGATCTTGCCTTCAGATTCGTTTCCAGACGAGCTGTTTGGCGCATCTAGAATCTCAAAAATATCTCGTACACCTTGTACAATTTTCATTTCGCCATTCGACAGGGGCAACTTTGCTTTTAAGCGATGAATCTCATAACTAGAGTTGTCCTCTGAGGTACATGATTCTAGGGATGGTAGTTTTGAGTCCCAAAGGATTGATCTCAACCAGGCGTCAAGGTTTGGTATCTGGTCGGCTGTTAATACTGGTGTAGTAAGCGTTATGGTTGTTATCGTCTAAAATCTGTTAGTTGATGATAAATGTAGGTGGGATTAAGAGGTACGTACTGGATCGAGATGACTATGTCCCTTTTCAGATATATTCAAAGATCCGACACTATCATAAGCATGAAGATCAAGTAAGAAGCCTTCCAGGTTTGGAACCTTTCCTTGCTCTGTAACATGAATCTTAGCCAATCCATTAATGGCCTCGACACGTTCTCGGACTGCTTGCAGCTCTTGCTCGTTGACAAGATCCGATTTGTTCAATACAATAACATCAGCATGGGAGATTTGTAAGTGTGCCGTGCTCATCAAAGGTCCAGAGTGACCATCGTGAACCTCGTGTCCTTCCGTGGGAAGTTCTTCTTGCGCAGGCTCATCTAAACTCTTCAGAATATTCTTTGCGTCAACTAGTGTCACAATTCCGTCAAGGTAAATAGTGCTACCAAGTCCCTCGTCAACCCAAAATAAGGGAGCAATATTTCCGGGATCTGCTAGGCCAGTAGTTTCGAGTAGTATGTAATCGAATGCACCTTTCTTTTCCATTAGTGATTCAATGGCGTTTACTCCTTGGTCTCTAATTTCTGTGAGTTGAGGTCCAAAAGATTTCATAATGAGCAATGAATTACTTCACAGAACAGCAAATGCATCCATTTCCAACGTCAAGCCATTCCTGGACTTCTTCTCCACCAGTGTTCACGGTTAAAGTCTTTTCGATGTCGGCAGCTACATATCTAGTTAACATTTAAGATTGCATTAGAAGCCTTTCAAAATGCTCACAGTTTCCAAATTCTATATAAATTATCAGTGAAAAAGCTTATGGAGCAAGGACAAATACTCGCCGTTAAGAATTACTGCGATCTTTTTCCCATGTTGCTCGGTCAAGATATAGTTCATCAATGTGGTTTTGCCCGCACCCAAATATCCTACAACCATGTGAGAAACAAATATTTTTCACGGAGTGACGTCGCTAACCTGTAACAATGGTAATAGGCACTTTTCTTGGTTTCTCTTCTTTTGTATTTTCTACTTCTCCTACGTCTACCAGAGTAGGGGGAAGCTCATCGTCCTCAGAGTCCATTTTAGAGTTGTGTTGTTTGGCTGTCAGGTGAAGGAAGTCGCCGTCGCAAAGGTAGCCTCGTTAAGGTTCGAGTCGAGCCGGATTTTGATAGGCTGACGCGGGAGACCTAGATGGGCGCGTAGCCTCTTTCCTCCAACAACTTCACCAAGCGCTGGCAACTTTGACGACGATTATGGTAAAGACTTGTTGGAAAATTGACACTTTTGATACCTCGCACTCATTGTAGCACATTTCGAATTCCAGCTCATGAGCTTTGGCCAATTATAGCGAGATGTCGCTTCCACCTTCTTCGCCCAGGCTTCCGAGCCCTCCACCACCAACAGAGATTCAGATTGGACCAAAATCGCCATCTATGGGCAGCTCCAACAACTTAGAGTCCTCGATTGAGCAGAGCGTTATCGATGCCAATGCGAAGAGAAGGATACATCCGGGCACTCGGTCTGCCGACATGGCAGCTGGTCCTCCTTTGGTGCCTCTAAGTGAAGTATGCTCTGCCTACCTTCCCATCTTAGCTACATTCTAACAGAATTCAAGCTAGATTCCGCCTTCCAGCTCCAAGAACATCTCAAAGCTCTTCATCACCATTACATCAAGCCCTCCGATTCCGACTCTTCCGTTCCGATAAACCGCGAAACCGCTACGCTCATTGCGACCCAACCCGAAGGCGTTGACCGCGCGCTATGGCTTTATGAACTCTGCCGGTTCCTAATAAACAAATGCAACGAGCTGATAATCGGCTTCCTTTTCGACGATCCACCATGTTCGGCAACAACCTGCCCAGAGATGCGGGCTAGCGAATGGCAATTTCTCTGCGCCGTACACGAGAGTCCCAAGAGCTGTTGCGCGATTGACTATTGCTGCCACACACTGGACTGGGCAACCAACATCGTGACTAGTCAGAAGATCTTTCCTAGTAGGCTTAGCCTTGGAGCTGGGGATGCTATGGATGATCGGGGAGCCGGCGTAAAGCATTTGACGAACATCTTTAGGAGGCTGCACCGGATTTTTGCACATGCTTGGTTTCAACACCGCGGTGTATTCTGGCAGGTCGAGGGTCAGACCGGGCTATATGTTTTGTTCAAAACTGTGTGTGATACCTATGAGCTGCTGCCGGCTGAGAACTACAAGCTCCCCCCTGAAGCTGAGGGATTGGAACCAGTTGAGGAAGTGAAAGCACAAGCTCCCACAATACTGAAAGCTGACGGGAACCATAAATCCAACTCTCACGCTGAGGACGACTTTATGAATGTATCCAGGAGTGGGACGAGTACTAGGCGCCATATCCGCCAGTCACCATCTGTTGGATCGGCAGTGCCTACAGTTTTGGAATCAGACGAAGAAGACCCAGATGTGACTGCCAAATTTGACAAGTTGAATATCACCGAAGAGGAAGAGGAAGATTCTGGAAACACAACTGAGACAACTGAGGTCCCAGTCATCGTTGATAGCTATGAGGTGGATGAACATAACGACGGGTCTCCACCACCACCAGCAAAGGTAGAGTCACCCATTCTTGAACATACAGAACTTGAATCGGAAGCGCCAGATGATCCCTCAAGCTCCCTGACTCCAGATTCATCGGAAGATGAACCCGAGGAAGAGGAGAAGGATGAATTGAAAGAACCAGACGAGGAGGACGCTGCGGAATCAATGTCGCCTATTGTCCCTGATGCAGAAATCACCATCACGGCGCCATCTCCTATCGAAGCCGAGGGAAGGTCTATTGAGAAAGAACTCGACAAGGAAAAGCCAAAAGGAGAGGAAAGTGAAGAAAAGGAAGAGAAGAGTAAGGAAAAGGAATCCGAGGAAAAGTCAAAAGAGCCAAAAGAGGAAGAAAAGAAAGATTCGTCTACATGACATATCCGATTCTAGAACCTCACTTGTAATTTCTACTACTAAGATACCCATCACCATTCTTGTCGCCAGGGATAGAACCTTCAAATTCGATGCATTATTCGGATATTCACATAGGGATAATAGCATTTGGATATTGTTATTAATAGACATATTTTTATTTATTGAGACCCAAACGCCGTTTGCATGCTTTCATCCATGTGGGTATCATCTTGTTTACAAACTCTGAAATTCATCTTTTGATATCCAAAACGCCTGCCCACCGATGACCTGACCGAAAAATTGAATTATTCCATTTCTACTGGATGTTGTGGATGTTGAGATTGTTGTGGATGTGGACGTTGTGACTGATGCGCGGGCATTTCGTGTGGGTGACTGAAGTTCACAACGTGATTGTCTTCTGGGTAAGGCTGGGTGTGTTGACGGCCAAGCTGACCCGGATACGGCTGCGCTGGGCGTTGTTGTTCTGGATGTTGATATTGCTCAGCTTGTCCATATTGCTGGCTTGTTTGACGATACGCCATATTTTGCTCATTCGGTCCCCCGAAGTGGTTCTGGTAGGCCGGAGGCGCATTTTGATATTGTGCTTGCTCGTGAGGATTGCCGTAAGCATGCGGATTGGCATTCTGATATTGTGCTTGCTCGTTAGGATTACCATAGGCGTGCGGATTGGCATTTTGATATCCTTGGTCTTGGTTCAGAGGTGGACTTCTTGGGTTACCGAGGTGGTTCCATGATACTCGTGGGCCTGCATTTGGTCCGCCTGCTAGGGAGCTTTGGTATGAGGCTCGGCCATTCTGCTGGCTACCTGACATTGAGGCGGACGGACTAGCGCTTCGTGTGCTTAGTGGTTTCGGGTAGAGAGCAGAGTCGTGAGCAGCGGACTTTTCGTCTCTATTAGAGGACTGGTCATCAAAACGGCCACCTTGGGGTCCAACAGGGCCGATGTTGCGAAGTCCACCAAGACCACCAAGACCGAGTCCTAATTGCGATTCTCTATTGCTATCCCGGCTCGAGTGCTGGGAGAATCCAGTGGATTGTCGGCTGAGAGAAGGCTGGCTAACAGAAGGAGCGCGAGCAAGTCTTTCATTTTCCATAGATGCCTCAACTATTTGGGCCCTGACTAGAACCCTCGAGACAAGAGCCGAATGTGCTTTTTTCAATGTCTTCTTCACAAACCCTGTCATCATGATATTGCACTTCATATCGACATCCTCCCTCAAATAGAGCCCAGATAATGGCGCTCCAACTCCCAACTCAACTGGCGCGACGGGTTCTCCAGGCAGTGATCCTCCCAAGGTCCATTTTCCTTTTATGTTTAATCCCATCGGCGCATAAACATGAGTCTGAAGCCCGAGTGCGAGATCATGGAAGCAGGCATTATAGGTGACCTTTCCCGTCACTACTCCTCCGGGCAAGTAGGACACTTTGTCTGTCAAGCTGTACCAAGTGCAATGATACTCTTCGGCGTCGGCGTTGTTTGGTGGTTTGATCGGATGTCGCTCCACCACAAGCGGGTTGAGATCGATCATCTCGATGTGATCGTGGAGGGTTTCAAGAACCGTTTCGCGCGTGATACCTCCGGGCAAGGGAGTAATCGTGGTGAAGACTGTTCTCTTCGACATTTTGGGAATAATTCGCAAATCGTTGGTATGAGAAAGGACACACGACAGACTGCAGATATGAGTTCAAGATTGAGTTGGGGCGATGCGGGAACCCAATTGTAAGATGAACCTGGTAGAACGGCTATTAGAAAGCGAAAGCTAAGTCGATGACAGTTGGAATTGTTGGACGGAGTGCAACGATCCCCTTTTCAGGAACAGTAGAGGCGTGAACCAACGAAGCTATAATTATTATTAGATCGGCAACGCGCGCATCCAGTGTATCGTGCTTTTCCCGACAGCCAACACAGCCCCAGAAGGTGGTATAAGTGGCTGAGTTGAGCTTGCGGTGGTGCTTACAAACTAAAATTGCCGGAAGAGTTGCGAAGGGATAAATTCGTGTTGGTTTTTCGTCCTTACGGAAACTTGTTACTTACAAAGTATGGAAGATGAGATGACCTTTTGGCTCTCCGCTGTTCCGAAGGACAGCAAAGCTCGACTGTTTTGTTGTTTATGTCAAAGACAAGCGCCATGCCTGGATATCATCGAGTACGTCGGCGAAATATCGGCCGAGGGACCGGCCCGGTACCGGCCAATCTAGCAATGCAGGGACCACCAACTGAAGGCTTGCAATGTTCTTTGCAGGCCAATCCCTCGTTCATCTGCTTACCAACAACATTTTATTACTCCTAGCAGGCGCTTGGAATTCAAAGATTTCGGACTTCTTTGGTTTACAAGCTTAACAGTCGATCGTTCCAAAATCAAATTCACCAATATCCAGATTCGCTAATGAATCACTTCTTCAGCAGTCAAACGCGCAGACGCGCTCCGCAGTCATGATAGATCTCGGCGCACATCTCTGAAGTCTGCTCAGGCATTATGTTAATGGCTAGTTGAATACTAAGGTTACTGATGAGGACGCCGCTAAATGGAACTGAAAGATCTAAACTGGGAAGTATCTTGGCAAACCAATCATCTATCCGAGAGTCAAGAGGTTCACCCTTTGCGATTAGAGACTGCTCACGCACCTTTCCCAATGATATCGCGAACAAGCGGACGCTTTGGAATGTTGAACGCCATGTCTGAAGATGACGACGGCAAGAATAATCATCTCTAACGCGATCTTGCTAACGAGCCGCTAAGGTAAGACACAGCACCTCTCTTATAAAATATTCGTTTAAACTACGTCACAAGTCGTCTCGCGACGTGTCGATTCTCTTGAAGTTGCAGTTCTTCGTTGTGTCTACGAATCGAAACATGGCAACATCAGCACTCATATGATGATACCCAATCTCTTCAGGACTGCCACCCCAATCATCATTTTTTCCCATCAACTACACTCTGACTTCGCTGAGCATACAGCCTTACCTATGCCTTGAGATCTCGTGGCTTATACCTAAGTCTTATGGGCTGCTTTGGCTTGGTAGCCGCATGAGCATTCAGATCTGGAGGAGGCACTTCATCATAATGAACCCCCTTGTCGTCGCAGGTGTCAAAGTCGTAGCGAGTTATGAAAATGGCCACAATCAGAAATTGTTCTAGTTTGGCGAACTTGGGGAATATGATCAGCCGCAGCACAAGTCAAAGATTCGGGCTCAAGCTTCAAAGGCATGAAAAAAAGCCAGTTCAAAAAAGACAAAACTCACTCTTGTACCGAGACATGGATGCCTTCCCGCTCCCCATCCTACCCAACACAATGGCTTCTTCTTGTCCTCAGCACGATCTGGAAAGTACCGACTGGGATCCCATTTCAGCGGCTCCGAGTAGATCTCTGGATCTTGGTGTACATCTGAAAAATGGTATGTCTGTGATTCGCATCAGCATTATGAAAAGCCAAAGGGAAAGACATATACACACGATAAAGGCACCACTCGGGATAACCTCATTGCCAATCTTCACATCCCCATCATCGATGTTACGGCGATACATGGTTCCCAGTAGCTGCAGGCGAATACTGTCCCTTAGGCAATAGTCCAACAGTGGGAATTCGGTCTCCCAAGCCTCAATGGGGATGGCTTCGAAGCGCTGTGTCAATGGCAAAGAGCGATCGGGTGCGTATTTGTCCACAACGCCATCGACTTCAGCTCGTACACGATCGTACCAATATCGACTGCTGCCAATATAGGTGAGCATGAATGAAGCATTGATTCCAGTGTTGAGCTGCCCGGCGAAGACCGCGCCGACAATAAACTAAGATAGATCCAGAGTCAGTTATTTGTTTTTCATATATTTCAAGAGGTTTTGTAGCGAACCTGAATGACAGATTTGATATCATCGCCCATATCAATTAAGTACTGCAGCGCGTCGTCTTCACGACGGCCAGTTATCTTACGGTCGTCCATGAGCCCCTTAAAAAGATGGAATAATCGCCCTCCTGCTATAGTGCGTTTGAAGAAGGCTAATGTGGGCATCCAAGGGAAGATGATGCTCGTAGGCGTAGTACTTTGCTCGATGGTTTCGAAGAGTTTCAACGTCTTCTTTAACTTCGTAGTATTACTGGCAATCTCAGCACTTCCCACCATTCGCATAGTTAACTGAAAGACAATCAAGTAGATTGAGTTAAAGGGATCTGTCATGCCTGTCTGCGAGGGAAGCTCGTCAAGACGGGCTTGAATATCATGTATGAATGGACTTATATCTTCAGGCTACTGTCAGCAACACATAACATTGTGGTACATGTTTCGGGGTTCTCTCACTCTTAGCAAGATATTCACGTCGAAGGAGATGGTTGACTCTACGCGCGAAGTAGCTTAGGAAACCTGGCTCTTGAGCTACATCGGCGCCCTCGTCATTCTTCACTCGTGGACCGCCGCCGAAGAGGACGGCATAGCTGTTGGGAAAGTCCAAGTCAGCATAATGGCTAGACGTTGATCAATTGCAGAATGAACCACAACATATTCACATCAATCTACTAGTGGGATAGCGCCCGTCGGGGTGCGAGGTCCAGCAATGGCTTCGCTCTGCTTCTTATACCAGCACGCTCTTAACATACCCTTAAACCACGTCGAAGAGAAAACGAAGGGAAAAAAGCACACCTACCCTTCCGCAATACCAAACTTTGTGTTCTGGAAAAACACCTGCCTACTCTCGTCGCCTGAAAGCCCTACTATGAAGTGCTGGCCTAACCAGAAACAAAAGTTCCCCGTTGGTGAGTTGCGAATGCCATCGCGGAAGAAGTCGAGGCGTGCAGTGAAAAAACGTACAGCACCTAAAACAGGAAGATTTTCAAAGATAGGAAGAAGCTTTGGCGCTTTCAGTGGGTGCGCAGGACGGCGGAAGAAGAAGAAGAAAATAAATGCGCTGGCGAGTGTTGCGTAGGCAGAGAGTGACAAGAGGGGAATCCGAGAGAGCTGGATGTCGGTAGTGGGGAAGACCATGATGCTGGGATTTCGGTGAACAGCAAGACAGGGAAGCGCAGCAGGTGTGAGAGATACAGCACGGAGCTGAGATCAACCTGGAGAGATTGCAACAATATAGAATCAAGCAACAACAGCATGTGGAAAGAGCTAAAGGTGATCTGACCAGACGCACTTGAGCTGCAGTCCGGGGTAATAAGCTCATTTACTAGCGCTACACTCGACATGGCTATTATCGACAACATAAATAAATTCGCCGCCAGTGCCTCTCTTAGCTCGTACGAGGACATCGTAACTTACCCATTCTAGCTCTAGCATTATGTTGCTCATCTTCATCTCGATTCCATGGCCGTGCGAGCCGGTTATCTTCAGATGAATCTACATATCTACCGGTAAGCCTTTCCCTCGCTCGTGGGGGACAAAGAAGTGTCATTAAACTGCCTACCAATCTCGGAATGGATAAGTCGACTTCGAACAGAACTTAGAAGTCTCATTTTGAATAAATGAGACTTCTATATGTGGTAGTGTTCTAAGTTAATCCACTAAATATACAATATTTCGTCCCCTTAATCGAAGAAATATCGTGTTTCGACTGTCACTTATTTTGTCCACCGCGAGCCTCCTTTCCTACCCCGTCGTCATATTGAAGTACGCTCCGTGCAATGTAGCATTTCCTCTGTGTGGTCACACTGCAGGAGCACATTACCTATCTGACATGATATCCAACTCGCAGATTGCAATTAAAATTCAGGTACATTTCAAGAAGTCTGGGTTTGAATTTTCCTCTCGGCGCATCACCCTCCAGTTGTATTTCGCTGACCCCTCTCTTACAGCGCATCGGCAAGGGTCTTATCAACTGTGCCTCCCGCTACCGCCCACATTACGGCACTTGCATACAGCTACCTTCCCATTGGGGGCCAAGATCTTTCTTCAGTGGAAAGATGTGGTCGATGGTGTGGTTCAGCCTCTAAGAGGGACACTATGGGTAAATTCGCTGGCTTGGAAATGTTAGCGAGCATTCGAGTGAGATGATGCGATTCGTTCTTGCAGGAAAATTCCCTACTAGTTTCTATATCCATGGGCTTTGCTGTATCTCATATTAATGAGACGCTGTCAAGCTTAGGATACAGAAGAGAGTACGGGGAGACCGAACCCCAGTTACGACTTTTTGCTTGCGCTGAGGTACGGAAGGACCTCTTCCGTTCATTGGAGGGATTCATCCAGTATTTGAAGAGTTTACTTGTCTTGGACTCATACAAAGAATTGTTTCTGCACTGCATCGAAAACACTAAGTAAGTATGAAACCTAGGTAAGCTGATGAAACACCCTATATAACCTTTTCTACTTCTTCATATGTCCCAAATGTCTCCCAACTCCAGTTACGCTAAATCAATATTACATTTACATAAGCTAGAAAGTAACCGACCGCGGCTTCAGTAATATAGGGGTGCTCGCATATGGATAAATGAAAGACCTCCAGACGAAACTGTTTTTGGACCTCCTCGGGTCGGCAAGCTTCATGTCGTAATTCATTATCAACAGAGCTAGCATAGTCTTGACCAAGGCTGTGGCGTAGAATCGACCAGAGCAAGCATTACGTCCCGTGCCCCAGAGCTGCCAGTCGAGAACTTCGTTAAATGCGGATTGTTTCCCAGGTTCGGGCACTTCGAACTGAGTGGCACTGAGAATTGTGTCGTAGAGTTTGGGCTCAACAAACCTGAACCCGTGAAAGTCGAGGGGTTTTGCCCAGTACACTTGATCGCGATGCATCGCTTTAGGAGCAGTGCATACCCATTCGCCGACTGGGACTTTGTGGCCACCGGATAGTTCGAACGGTTTGAGAGCTATACGTCGTGTGCTCACTTTGTTCGGGTTAGACACTTGAAAGTAACAGTGGCTTAGGGCATGTATCTTACTGGCTTCGACCGGATTCAAGCGAGAGGATTCCTTCATGAAGCTATCGAGCAATGGGAATTCTTGCCCTTTGGATTGGTCAAATGACCCCCATCCCGACCTCTCGATGTCCTTACGCAGTATAGGAATGTATTCGGGGTGGAGACACAGGTCATGCAGCACAAAGCACGCGGTCTGGAAATGTAAGCTGTTGAACTCTCTTTTCTTTTTCATAGGGTCCTACCGTGGAGGTGATGTGTACTGAACCAAACCAGAGAGCGATTAGCTCATGTACCACTCGTTCAGCCGCCCAAGGCCTTGTTGTACCATTGATGATCCATTGGATACAGTCATTCTGCCTACATGTTAATCATGTATACCTTTCGGGATTTTTGGCATTCTCACATGTTCGGGTACTTCATATCCTTGCTTTTTCCGTTCTCTTTCCTCAAGTCTCAGTTCCACAAGTGGCATCAATGTGTCAAAGATAACATTTTGAGAATTGAACGTCCGGGACAGGAATCGTCCAACAGTACTAGGGAACACAGATTAGCCACAATAATGGCGAGGGATCGCTAAAGTGCTGCGCTTACGGAGAAATCGCTTGTGGTAGCACTCGTACCACCTCTGATATGATGAGTGTTGTTTCGATAAATCCTACCCCAGCTTTCATAAACTCCGGATTCTGGACTTAATCTTCCGTTAGTCACTTGGTACGACACTGCCGGTTAGGATGACCGATGCGTACCTAGTTCTTCACCGAAGAATGACATAATGTTGGAGTGGGCGATACACTCGACCAACATAGGGAAAAGTTTAGGGGAGAAGAAACCTAAGCGAGGTCATTAGTTAGAAGATTCAATAGGTGGTATGCAATTACATACCATTTTTGAGCGGCCCTGACAAGATATGCCGATCAAAAATAGCTCTTAAATGGCGACGGACCTCTGGCATCAGATTTGGCAAATAATTGGTTAGGTAAGTTCTCAATGTTCGATTTAGGGGCACTGAATCTCGACCTCTGGAGTTCGCCCAATCAAAATTGTGCATGGTATACTGAGGCTGAAGAATCTCCTTTGCTGCGGCTGTTAATGAGAGTACTGTATCTGGAACAGCATTGATCTCTTCAATGTGTTCCCAGGTCGAAACGAAGTGATAGCGATTTTCTGGAACATCCAGAGAGAAAGGTGCTCCATTAGCCTAGGAAATCTTCGTCAGCGAGTATCCATCTCAAACTCCGACATATTGAAAAGTACCTTTTTGTAGGCATCTGCGATAAGCGTGGGACCTTGTATGAGAAATCTCCAGGCCTTGACACGCTTTCTGAATGTAGATATTAGTGCCTCGAAAAGCGAGAACAAATCGCCCATAGATTTCTGATGTTCTGTTAGCTTTTTTCGGCATCTCAACCAGTTCGACGGGTCTTACTAGTTCATCTTTTGTCTGGGACCGCCATTTAGCATATTTTGCAGCCAACACGATCGTGCCTAAAACACCGACCAGAATGACGGGTCTCTGGAAATCGAAAAGAGGTGACAGCATTGTTACAGAAATGACAGCGTTAATCAAAAGTCAGATTGTCAAATGTTGTGCAACACAGCTGCATTAGTAGCCAAAACTCTTGAACAGGGAGACAAGGAGACGCTTCATATATGATCATCGCAGGTATATGTACATTCAGGCCTCGCCGGAGCTCACGATAAGGAGGAGACATGGGCCTTAGGCTTAACTGGGTGGCGTTGACTGAAGTCGAGAAAGTCTTGCGTAAGCCGCGGTTTAAGAGAAAAGATGCCCAGTCTAATGTTTCCTTTATTAGTCTGCTGTTTCCCATGGAGGATGAAGTGCATATCGTAGGGCCAACACCATTTCGCAAGTTACTGCATCGTAGCTCCGGAGTGATCATCACACACCTGCATCTCCCCAACGCCAACGGTTGGTCAGAAGCGTCCAACGTTGGACAATGCCGAAGCGCAGTACCGTGACTGTGCCTCGTGCCGACAGAGGGGAAGTCCCTTTGACCAGTTGACGAGCAGCCTGTACGCCTCGAAGCCTCTTGGCCTTTCCTCAATGCGTGAACCTGGTCGGCGACGGTGAGCTTACGGAAGGTACACTTTTGTCTCGCCTCGAAGCAACTTAACCTGGGCCTGGTGCCTTGGGGTTGTGCTCGCGATCTTCTGTCCGATACTGGCAAATTGCGATCTTCCGTGTGTCTCAATAATGATGATGGATGCATCGTTAAGCCATCAGACATAGCCCTGTCCTGTCGATCGCAACCCGACCCGACATCTACAGACATCGTTGCTGCCGCTTACTTCCAGGAAGATGGCGTCAACAAGAGTAATCGCTGCTCGTAAATCGTCGTTGGCAGCGAGGTACGTGCCCATAACAAGTACCAGGCCGGATATACGAGTACGACACATAACGAGGCTATTTGCTCGTCGGGTTGATGGGATCAAAAACAAATGACTGGGGATAAATATAACTTATCAAGCTCTGCCCTGCGGTCATCAATTGCTGCATGACCATACAAAACATCTAAATCCTGACGTCGGTATGTCAGGTTGGTTTGTACAACGCCAGTCATCTCTGCATAATCAGATCGAAATTAGCAGATGGTTCCACGAAGTCGCAGCAGTGATGGTCCAAACATATCCAAAGTTGGATGGTTACACTTCCTGATTCCGACCAAGCGATGAGATTGGTTCAGCCTAAACGAACAGCCAACATCACTCTATTTACTCCCCGTACTTTCGACGCCTCTTTCACCACGCGCTTTGCGCTTTGCGATTTGCCAGAAAAACTACATCGCACGCATGTCAGACCTTGCTGGAGCTCAGGAAAGGCTCCCCAAGTCTGGCATGTCCGACCAGCAGCCCACGCAAACCTCAGAGGAGGAGTCGAAAGTCGAAGTCGGCAATAATGCGGAAGCCAAGGAGACTGAAACCTTTCGACTTTCGTGGGACGTTGGAGGAGTGTTCTTTGCGTTACTAGTACTCTCACTAATGTCCTCCATTGACGCGACGATTGTGACAACCTCGCTCCCTACGATTGCTCGCGAGATCGGCGGAGGAGCAGAATATATCTGTACGTTTCAATGTTTACCTTTTTCCTCCTTGGAATGGTTTCTGATGTCTTTATATTTTAGGGGTCATCAATGGCTTCCTCTTCGCATCAACAGCTACGCAACCACTTTTCGCGCAGGTCTCGAATATTTTCGGCCGTCGCAACCCGATTCTGTTTGCACTCTTCCTCTTTGCTCTGGGCAGTGGTATTGCAGGCGGCGCACGAAACCCAGCTACTCTGATATCGGGTCGAACACTTCAAGGTCTAGGAACCAGCGGATTGTATGTTCTAGCCGATATCATTCTCTGCGATATTGTTCCGCCACGATGGCGAGGACCTTATCTGAGCAGCGTGCTCTCGATGGCCGCCGTGGGTTCGACAGTTGGTCCTATTATCGGAGGCGCGCTGGCAGAGAGAAATTGGCGTTGGGTTTTCTGGCTGAATCTCCCTGTGTCTGCTCTTGGACTTGCCATCATCCTGCTCTGCTTGAGAGTTAGGTATCCACCAATCCCGAACTGGAAGAACGCGATCGCAGCCGTCGACTTCGTAGGAAATGGCATTTTCATCCCGAGTATAATCGCGATTCTTCTCGGACTAGTAATGGGTGGTTCCAAATTCCCATGGAGTTCATGGCATATCGTGGTTCCTCTTGTTCTCGGGTTTTTGGGTTGGGTAGCTTTCCATGTGTACGAGTCTTCACCTCGGTTCTGCAAACAGCCAACGATGCCAGCCCGGTTATTCAAGCATCGCACTTCAGCAATTAGCTACGTGCTTATCTTTACTGGATCCATCGTCATAACGGCTACCAACTATTTTCTCCCAGTATACTTTCAAGCAGTCAAGGGAGTGTCGCCTCTTGACTCTGGCGTGTATTATCTGCCCTTCGCGCTTGCTATCATTCCATTTGGTGGCATGGGAGCCGCCTTTATATCCAAGACTGGGCAGTACATACCTTTACATGGAATTGGATTTGCATTGAGTGCAATCGGAACCGGGCTTTTCTCAATCTTGGACGAAGACTCGAGCCCCGGGGCTTGGATTGGATTTCAAATTATCGCATCTGGTGGTTCAGGCCTTGTATTTACATCTACCTTGATCTCGACACTTGCGCCGTTGCCAGAGGAAGATGTCGCCATTGCTACCGGAACATACTCTTTCATACGTTCTTTTGGATTTGTATGGGGTTTGACAATCGCCTCGGTAGCTTTCAACAGCCAAATCGACAGGTATTTAGGAATTGTGGATGATGAGGTGGTGCGTAGCCTAATGGCCAACGGACGGGCATATGCATTTGCAACCCGAGGCACGTTTGATGCCCTGACTGCTATCACTAGATCTCAGGTCACAGAGGTGTATGTGAAGGCTCTGCGGATGATCTGGATTATAGTTGCTGCGTTCTCTTGCTTTGGGTTCTTCTGTATCTTTGCCGAGAAGCACGTGAAGTTGCGCAAAGAGAAGGGAAATGAATTTGGGCTAGGTGAGAAGAAGCCCAAGCCCGTTGAGTGTGAAGACGGCAAAATCCAGTAAATCAAGAAGAACAATAATTCCTGGTTGGCTCGACCAGGTACTTGGTCCTGAGTTTCTACAAGTACTTCGAAGCAGGAAGTGAGGTTGGCAAGCCAAGCGCAGAGTGGATATTTTGGCGTGTCTAGACTCTCCTCCACTAATCTTTAATTCCACCAAAAAACGGACAATAATCGGTTCCTCCCGCATCCTCCGGCTCACGTAAAGTAAGATATGGCGCATCTCAACCTCTATAATCGGCAGAAGGGGCTTCAATTTGTAAGTGCTTGGTAAGGCTGGTAGGACGCAAGAGGAAGGCTTCTTGGACTGTGATTTCGTAAAAATCCTAGACTGTAGATACCACATTGATATGTGCCAGGCCCAGGAGAGACTATTTCCAGTTATTATTTGTCCACCCGGTAATCTGCTCCCCCCACACCAACGCACCAACATGAGATTGATCCACCTCCACACACCCTATCGACGCCGCTTCCGTCGCTCACCTAATGTACAGTACGACCCCAGCCAACACGATATGATCTGCCCCCTTGAGAAAAGATACGACCCCTACACCGTGCCGCTTCAGTTGCTCCTCGACGAATGCCCATCTAATCTTTCTCCTCTGCCAAGGGTCCACCCACACTTCCACAATCAAAATGCACCTTCGCGTGCATTTATCCATCTGTGCCTCATCACCATTTGTGATCCTTCGAAAACCATCCTCGACACACAATGCAGCCCGCTATCTGCAAGTCGAACCACCACCTGGGCAGAGTAGCATCTACGGAGCAGAGCTCGCTGTCATGCCAGCCAGACCCCAAGCAGCAATACAGAGGACGCTCAAGAGACGAAATGGGGCCACGCTCCTATTGCCATGGTACCAGATGGTCAGCACATCCGCAATACCGCAATATCCTCCCATCACAGCCATCGTGGTGTCGACCCCGGCTAGATTGCCCTGCAGGTAAAGTGCGAAGACGAGCAGCCCCAATGTGCTCGTTCGCATCGTGTGGCCATAATAGACAATTTGAGCCTCGCGGGATCGCGCAATCTGGTCAGTCATGCCCCAGGTGAGGAGGGCGGCTTGGGGTCGTAGGAGGCCGTGGAACAGCCCGCCGAAGAACATTGGTGTGGCCGACAGAAGGGCTGGAACGTGGAGCCAGGAGAAGTGATCGAGCATGATGGCGGTGGTGGGGTAGGTGGTTGTGGACTTTCTGTGTGGTGTTGAGGCGTTTGATAACCTTATGTTTTGTCGCGCACTGCGTAAGTATTCGAGCAGGTAAGTTTGTTTTCCGCTCGTTGATGTTGAGTTGTGTCGCTGTTGGCTAGATCGTTGATGATTTGATTTGATTTGATTTTGTCGAAGGATTCGACTCCAAAGTAAGCTTAAGTTCGAAGCCTGGCCTTTTATGTTTGCTCTTTCTGCCGCGGCCTATAGGCACTCAGTATCAACCAACCAACAACTTTCTCTCCGCATCGGTACGCCCATACGCACTCACGCCGCAGCCATGTAGGAAGCCATGCTTACCTCGCCATGTACTCCGTCCTACGAAGGTAACCCTCCATTATCGGTTGGTTAAATAACTCTCCTGTCACGCCCTGTCAGCGCTTGTCAGGCATGCCTCCCAGATGAAATAACAATTAGGTGGACGCTCAAACTCCGAGTCTTGTTCTTATTATTCCCGATTTCCTGGATTCACACGGCCTCATAGGACAATAGCTGAATCTTCAAAGTCACACACAGCTCTTTAGATCACAATGTCTATGTCCTTTGACCCAAACACCACTCCTTTAACCTTGAACCCAAGTGGCGCTCCACCGAACTTTATCAATCCCGAAACTCAAGCTCCAACTGTCCTTGGTACAGGTCTTCTGCTCATCATTATCAGTACAATATGTACGGCTGTTCGGTGCCATAGTAGCTTGAAAAGTACCAAGAAACTTCACCTCGATGACTGTAAGACACTTCTAACGCCTACCTCTGCTCGGTCTGTTCTAACCGAGATTTTCTAGATTGCACGATCTTTGGACTGGCAGGTGCAATTGCTTATTGGGCTATCATCTACTCTTGTAGGTTACAACCAGTCCTTTGGTGATTATCAGTCAATTGAATGAACACCTTATCTAACGTGTTGAATTTAGTGGCCAAAGATGGCTGGGGAAGACACAGCTACGATGTTCCTCTAGCCTTTCTCGACGATTCCTACACCGATGTGAGTCTTCCATAGGTTCCAAGCGCATGTTAAAATACTTATGTTTCATGTTCAGAGACAATTCGCATCTCAGATTCTCATCTCGCCCGTCAAGTTTGCTATCACATCGGCCATCATCATCCTCTATGTACGCCTGTTCGGGACACTTAAATGGGTTCGCTGGACATCGTACTTTCTCTATGCCTTCCTGTTCCTGATTCAGGTCCAAAATATCGGTATCGCTCTCTACTGGTACATTCCAAGAGCAGGTGATGTCAACAACATTCAAGCTGCCTTGATGAGAACCGCAAAAACCGCATCCTCAGCAATCGTTAACGCTGTGTGTTCTACGGTTGTCGACATCATTCTCTTCCTGATCCCAATTATCATTGTACCTTCTCTCAACATGACCCGCAGAAAGACACAAGCTTGCTATGCCGTATTTGGGTTCGGTGCTCTGTAAGTGTTTGAACTGGTGGCAGATTCCAGTTGTCTCTCCAAGTAAATGCTAATTATAACTTAGAATTATCGTGGTTGATTGTGTTGGTATCGCCTACAAGACCTATGGAGTGCTTGGCAAGAACGGAGATCCATTCTGGGTCGGCATGATTTCTATCATCACTGTGTAAGCATACGATGCTACCTGGGAACCAACTAAGATGGCATCACTAATCCAGCTCTAGTTACGCCGAAACATTTGCCCTCGTCATGGTCTCCTGCATCCCAGGTCTTTCGGCCTTCTATGTCGGCACCTTCATGAAAAGTCGCCTTTACTCATCCCTTCAATACGGACTGCTCAACCGTATGCGCAGATCTCAAAGATCCGACCGATCCGACCTCCCTTCTGTCGAGGGCGATACAGACAGATACGCTAAGTCTAACCGATACGATCCATCTTCACAACGTCAGCCAAAATCTTCACACTCGACTAAGTCTTTGGTTGGAAGTGAAAGTGGGAAGAATGTTGTTATTGAGATGGAGCCTCCGAAGACTTCAAATGTGTCGAACTATTCTACGTTAGGGAAGCAGGAGAGTGGGCAGGCTGGTATGAGATAGTAAGGAAGGACCTAGAAAGTGTAGGCCGAATCTCTTTCAGGGGAACTCTTGGTGTTGACTTTTTGTGTATATGTTGGATAATGTGCCATGACCTAGTATAAAGACGATTGTGGTGATTCATTGTACAAGATACTAAAAGCTCAAGGAGAAAATTGTCAGTAAATAAATACTGCTTTAAAGAGTCCACTTTGATCTGGCAGTTTCTTGCTAGTTTTATACTGCCTCGTACCTCCCCTGGAAGTAAACTTTTGGAAAATGTGTCGTCTTCTACAATTACCACCAGCTTCTGTGATGTTTACCTGTTATCACTTATGCTTCTATACCACTCTAGGAGAACTCTATCAATCATCTGTCCAAAGTGGTAGTAAATTGCTTGCCTCTTTCTAGTTCCCGATGTTATCAAGGTCAAAATATCCAAGACCCACTTAGTTCTAGACATGTTGTCTGTAAATATAAAACTCTTTTTAATCCTAAGGCATGGATATATGTGTAATGTTCCTAGTCGTCCACCAATATCTCCGATGCAAGTGCTGCTTCCGTGGCAGCTAGCTTCAGGTTATATTGTACGTGCATACAGGTCGTGTCACCAACAAATAGACTTATGCTTAAATTGATCGACGAAGGCCGCACGTAACACCAACCAACATTCATATGCACGGTAAAGCGGCAGTTTTTCATGGTTTACGAGAAAGGGGTTGCACGACAGGATTGTTATTGAAGTTCGGTAGAAGGGTATACCGTATTCTTGATCGGCAAGCTTAGATACGTTGTAAACATCAATGTCCATTACGTATTTATAATATGTACAATCTAACATATCCACGGGTATTCGCTGATACAACAATTTACATAGCAGCATAGGCAATCGCAACAGCCGCACCACCAACCATCCACGCATTTCCAGTGATCATAGGCATACCACCGGTGCTTGTAGCAGAAGAGGCAGCACTTGACGCGGATGACGCTGCAGACGACGCTGCCGAAGCCGCAGATCCAGTGCTTGCTCTAGAGCTTGACGCAGAGCTTGATCCGCTGCTCGCCGCTGACGAACTGGCAGCGGAACTCGACCCAGCGGTGGATGTGGCAGACGCAGAACTAGCAGCACTCGCGATGGCACCGGCGGTAAGCGTCACGACCTGGATCTGCTCGTTGAAGTTGGAGATGACGGTCGAGGAAGAGGAGGAGGTTTGCGTGGATCCGAAAACGCCAGAGTTCGAGTAGGAGCAGGTCGCGGTTGCGGAGTTGGTGATTGTGCAGCCGAGATCCATGGTTTCGACCTCGCCTTCTCCGTCGTCGGCGGAGTAGGTGTAGTGGAGAGCTGGGAGATGTATTAGTTTGGTCCGTGGATGGAGTGGGAAGAGACGTACTTGATGGTCCTTGGGTTACTGTGAAAGAAGGGGGGACACCGCATTCTGAGCTATCGGCATCAGAGGGACATGCAAGGGCATAGGTTGTCATGGCTGAGTCCTGTTCGCGTTTGTCAGTCTTGGATACCACGATGGAAAAGATGGAAGAGATGGGACATACAGATCCAACGACCGAAGCAAGGAGAGTTTGTTTATCGAACCCAGGAAGGTAAAGAGACACGGTCGATTGAGCAGACGCGACGCTCAAAAGCGCAACAGCAGCGATGGTAGATTTGTACATCTTGAACGAGCGTATATATTGAAAGTATGATAAACGGTTGAAAAACACTTGTTAAAGACAGTAGAGTATGTGGCGTAAATAATGGCTTGAAGGCTGCAGAAGCTGGGGAAAGGAGAGGTTTTGTACAGCACCAAGAGCTAATTTAGGACGCTCCATTTTTCTGTTTGGACCCTGCAGGCGTCAAAAGCTTAGCAGTGTTTGCCCCTGACTTGCGCCGCCGCCATCTGCTTATAAAGTGGAAAACTTGTTGGAGGTGGCCTATCATGAGGGTCGAGGAGCCGCATGGTGGATCAACGACGTCTGAGAATCCAGAGGGAGGACCTTGGAACGATCGTCGTTTGGGTTTGGAACTGGGAATCCTGAAATGAGAGTAAGATGCGGGTTAGGTTTGCCCGACCAGAGTTCTTGGGCATCAGAAGGTTACTGTAGCTGCACGCATCTCATGTGTTCTGGAAACGACGGATCGTGAGTTGGGACGAACTGATTTGAATGACTGTTTCAGATTATTTGCTTATACGACCGCCAAGAGAAAATTTCTCTCGTTTGTTATCGACCAAGTTGCCTCAATAGTCGTTTGCAGTATATGCACATCTTGGCATCCCTTCATCTCGTATTCATAAGGAGCTATAATGTTTTTGATGACATGTCATCTTTCGAATATAGTTGTCTTGGGACTTAACATCATCAGATGAAGCTCGATTGACGATACATTGTTTTTGCCATCGCTAGATCATTTCGGAGTACAAAACCAATGTCAGCTTTTTGGTAGTAGGTAACACCTATGTTGTGTTGGGCGGAACCCAAATATGAGATCACAATTAGAAGTGAGAACTATGGCTTGTATTTTGAATAAGCTTTAATCCAACCAATACTTTTCTGACGTTTTGATATCCTATGCTCCTCCATTAATGCATCAACCATCATTAAACTCCCACTAATGCAATTACAACCCCATTATACAATAAAACTCGTAAGTCATAATCCGCTAAATGTTAACAGACCGAACTCGTCAGCTGTTAAACATATCCACCTCAGAAAAGCTGTTTGTTCTCGGACATTTCACCGTTCCATCCTTCAAACCAAGCACTTTTTCAATCGCCTTCTCACCACACCTATTACTTATCGCCAAGCTAAGGGTATAGCTTCCTTTCTTCTGCGAAGGACTTTGATCATTAAAAGCGTACGAGCTATCGTCTTCGTATCTCCAGCTATCAGTACCAAGAACCCGATCGCACTTGTCTGCTTCTGCCTTGATGGATTTGCCCCAGTTACCATCGTCCCAGTTCGAGAGCTTGAACTCAAAGTGATAATTCCATGCGATAAGAGCATCGGCTCTACGGCAGGAGAGATGCATATAGCCAAGGTGTTCGTTGTCGGCTGGAAAGTCATCGTGGGAAGTATCTCCGGGTCCTTTGGTGTTGATATCGTGCACTCCAACTTGGTAGAACTCGCCATATGAAGGGCCGTTGACCCAGCCTGCATCTTTACTGCCACCAGTTGTGTCGATGATCTTTGCAGTTGCGTCGTAGCAATTTTGCCCCGCCTGAGTAGTGTGAAAGTAGAATTCCTTGGTGTTCGCAATCTTGACGGCGTATTGACATCCATCTTTTCCTACTCGGTTTGCACGAACGAATTGTGACGGAATGCCTTCGAGAGTGGATGCGTCGCAAACATTTTGGCATGCTTTATCTCGTGCTCGGTAGAGAATATTCTTCACATCAGGCTTGGAGTTATCTGCCATGATCCAGTATTTCGGAAAGTTAGAGTTGAGATCTGCACCTTGACCAACTGTGACATCGCTAGGAATTGGGGCCGGTGTTGACACTGGCACGGTTGGCGTTCCGTCAGAACTAGTGAGCCCTTGGAGCGCCCTGTTGAAAACATCATCTGATGACAGGGCATTGAAATCGTCGAAATTGCCGAGATGCAGGATGTTTGGACCGGTATCTTCAGCCACAGATGGGCCTTGCTTGTTTGGAACACCTGGGAAATATTCTGTGGTGCTCCACCAGTAGAGCGCTTACACCTGATTAGCATGATTCCCATGTCAATCCTAAATTGGTAGCAACTTACAGCTTAGAAGCCATGCATAGCTATCAGCATTAGTAGACGCTCTGCTAGCGCCTCCGCCATTATCTATGCTTCGTGTCGCCAGCTGATGAACTCTTTTTGGCCCATATGCTTGTGGGCCAATCTGCCCAGGGTCAATGTACTCATCGTTGACTAAAGTAAAATTAACAAAATATGCCCCAGACAGGAAATAAGGATCTTACTATGTGGTTTGCCGATAAGATCAGTATGCATCATTTCGTGTAAGAACATGTGTCCACTGGTGAAGAAGTTCCTCGCGTCTTGCATCTTAGCAATGTTATTGTCCCTGAGAGCCTCCTGCATTTCGCTGAACTTTTGATCAATTGTCGAGGTTGTGAAGAAGACAGGACACATAGTGATGTAGTGGTAGTAACCAAACCAACCATTGTATGTCCAGGCATATCCGCCAACTTGTTTTCCTTGCTTTTGCACATTACACCAGTCTTTTGTGTCTTGACAGCTGACAGTGATGACATTTTCCCCTTGGAGTCTGAAGTTTGCTGCCCTTTCAACATTATCTAGTTGTGGGTTAGTTATGCTGTTTCGTGAGGTAGAGATAAGTCATACCGTGAATGCGAGATTGCTGAGCTCCATAATCCGGGCCCATGTAGAAATGTGCCCCGCCACGAGCTCGGGAATTTGCAGGAAAATTTGTAGACTCAATCGCCAAGGTGTAGGCATCCCAAGCCGCAGTCTCCAGGAAGCCTTCCTTTCCATCTTTGCAAGTTCCATCGTGGTGTAGGGTCCCGCCAAAGGCACGTACGCCTCCGTCATTAGCTCGTAAAGCTTCTTTACAATCTTCTGAAGGATTGGCACTATCTGTGCATTGAACCGGCAGTTGGGGCCATCCATTAGGAAAAGGATTGTCTGGTCTGTGAAGCTTCGTGAGGCTGGCTGGGGGGGTAGTTGGGTCACTGGAACTGGGATCTCCTGTGTCCTGCCGAGCCGAAAGTTGAGAATGGGGAAGTGCAGCTGCGAGCAAGAAACTGCAAAGGAGAAGTGACCGGATAGACATTTTGTGGTTGTGTTGTGTGTAATCAGGATACAGAAGAGGAAGTACGCTTTTACAAGCAAAGAAAAGAGAAATTGAGATCCATTCGATGGATTATGTATTGAGAGAAGCTTGAAACATACTTATAGCCTCGAATACGGGCTGCAAGTGGATGGTTTAATATAAACCTCTGTGAACAAGTTCAGCCCTAAACGCTAACACTGCTAGCTTGTTGAACTTTAGGTTGATCTCCAGGACTCAGTACTGGGATACTTATTTCCCGGAGCCTTTGTCCTAGAAAAAAAGCTGTGTGCGCTCGCGCCGAGAGAGGCGTAGAATTGAAGGTACCTGTCAGATGCACGCTGTTAGGTCAGAGACAGGTTTAAGCTTGTTCATTTCATTCTGTAAATACGCACATGAGCCAATCAGATCACGCCAGATGTATCATATGGGGGCGGGATACCCACAAATACCTCGCTAAGTACCTAGGTATCCCTCAACTCAGCCTCAACGTGAGCCTCTTCCTTCCCGCAACTCACATAATCGTCACATAATCGCTAGTGACCTTGATGGCACACCTAGATCACATTGCTCGAGTCATTGATCAAGATGTACTTCGAAGTACAACACCTGACAACCTACCCTATTCGCCAAGGGCAAGGAGTTGCCGGCTCTATGGGTGTGAATATCTGAAACGACCAAGGGAGGCGTCGATGTACACTTGAGATTCCACCTGCATCAGAAATGATTAGATTGCTAGCACGGCCTGTGTTCGATGTCTGCCTTGTGACTAGTCTATCGACCGAACTACAACATCTAAACCTTGAGTCAACGTTACTGGTATTGAAAGTTTAGGAGGTTACTCACCTCTTCTCCATTGCAAATGTAGAAAAGTCGACAAGCTGTTTCATTTTATGTGCTCATAAAGAGGAAGGATTCAGTTTTTGTAGAGATGTGATGATATGAAGATAGAATTGGTTGAATGTTCGTGGTTAGAAGATCGAATGAGCCTTTTTAAACTTGGCTCGACGGGACACAGGGGATAGCGCAGCAAGAGACGGCTGACGGAAAGGGAAAATTCTCAATGATTTGAAACTTTTTCTTTGCCCTGCACGGAGAGCACTTAGACCGACACTCAATCCGTAAAGGGGTTACAGACAATCAATCCAATGCCGCGAAAGTTTTTCGACGAATAGATATCGTTTGTCTTGGTTGGAAGCCTCTAAGTGGAGATTAGAAGTCTACCACGAACGTACTAGCAGAGGAATAATATTGATCTATGAGCTGGCATCCCGAATGTTTAGGAGGTCTGAGTAGTCTGGAAGTCTCGAGCCAAAGATGTGGTTATAGTCAGGAGGTGGTGCCTCGTGATCATAATCGGGGGCCCTCTGGAGCCACTTGGCTTCATAATCCTTGAGAGATTGCCTACGGCCAATCTGCCACCAGCGTGTAGTTTTTTTGACGCATCTTAGCCAATATTCACAGGGGTCGTCCCAGTCTGGTTTGATACCTGACTTCCAGAAAGATAGCGACGCTCTGCGGTGTAGCTCGTATAGTAACTCGATGTTCTTTCTATCAACGCCCTGCGCGAGTCGTATCAAGTCTTCGTCTGATCTCCTTCGGTAACTCCGTAACTTTTCAATGTTGGGGGGAATATCAAGATATCGAGGGAGAAAAGGAGCAAGAGCTCGACGGTCGGGGTCTGTGATGCCTAGAGGATCTCGATAATATACGGTAACGGCATCTTCGAGGTTGTAGTTTGGCATCTGTGCCTTACTAAATTTTCCTATCAACTTCTTAACAGAAGGAAGAGTCATGTTAAAATTTTGTAAGGTATGGGGGTGTGTATTTGTTATTGAAAGGATGTTATTTTTGAGTGCGATGTCCTTTGTGACTAAATATTCAAGGTATGTTTGTTGTTCTACGAACCTGTTTTCTTTTAGCTCTGTTCAACAGCATTCTTTAACACAAAATTCAAAGAGTTGAATGTGGCGCAAATATCACAAAGATACCCCACCTGAGAAGTGAACCCAATGTGGGAGGCTGCCAAATTTCCACTTCTGCTGTTCTTGATCGATTTGTTCCTATGTGTCAGGTATTGTGGTTATGGCGGATTTCCTAGCGGACGAACCTCAAAAGATAATTCTCGGGCCACTGCAACATTCTTTGGATATTTGTTTGCCGAGGGTCTGTCGAAGTCCTGTCTATGATTGTAGTCATCTTCCCAAGTCAGTAAAAAGAATCGAATCGTGATGGATAGAAGACTGTGTGTTTGAATTCACAACCGACAACACGACATAGTAGACGCTAGCCTTCGGAAGGATCAAAATGGATCGAAACAAGATGTAATCCGAGTCACCCTACACAGGAGCCTAACAAAATATGTCAACGAAGGCCATGAAGGATGGTTTAACTTAATTTATCAAGACGGCTGAATGTTGAAGTAAAGCCATGATGTACGCAGAAGTGAGTAAGGCACGCATGATACTCGCAGTATTGGTGGTAGACAATGTCTGACGGGACGTGAAGATCACTCCAAAACTTGGAGCCACAAGCCTTGTCTTTGGCTGGCAACATGCTGCTGAACCGCTCATAACAGGTTATACGTCCCAGTGGCATTCTAGACAACTTGATCACTGACGAAGTGTGCCCCTGAGAAGAATGTCGTGCTAGATCCACCGCAGTAACCCACGGATGCCCTAATGCACAAAAAGAAGCACCACATCCGGTGTCGAATCGCAGATCGATGGTCGGCAGCAAGCCTATCTTGCGGCTTCGTAGCCAATACCAGAGATAGGAACGAGTCCCGGTGCCTCAATAAAAGGGTGCCACGTTGGTGTAGAGCGAATACATGTTACTGTATGTTTGATTGGAGAGGCTGATAAAAGGAGACAGCTCCGAAAGTCTTATTAGTTGCATTATCCCAACAAGGCCTAGTCCGAATCTAGGGCCACCAGGGTTTGAGCTCATTTATTACATCGAAATGAAGTGGTGAAAATGTTGGTGTGATTAAACAGCGAATGATTGCTGGATAAAAAAATGTGCTAATGAAGTAGAGTCGTAGACTGGTTGAAAACCGCCAAATGGTGAAGTCGGGATGTGAACCAACTGGGCACGTGCCGTACACCTAAATCCCGTACTCGTACGTCCCGCCAAGAGATCAGTAAGCAGGTGGAGCTCGGGCACTGTGGATGTTCAGCCTGGAATACCTAGGTAATTCAGGTGCAATTCAGGTGCAATTGGTCTTCGGACTTAACACCACACAGCGTTCCTAGGCACTAGGGTGTCGGCAACTTGCCGCAGCCTTTCTTTGCTACGAAATTCGAGCTCAGACCCGCTTTCATCTCGTTACTGTCCTGACCAACGGATCACCGGCCAAAATAATACACCATCCAGAATCAACAGTCAGAACGTACGGAAGCTAGGGAAGCAAGCGCTGCTCCTTCGCATGCTCTAACCCTCCCCAAAAACCATGTGAAGTCTTATCAGTGTGCAGCCAACCATCATGGTCTTGCCAGCACTTTTCAATAAATCAGTAAACAGCAGCACTGCACCCCGTCGGTCGTCACGTACATCTCCTCGTAGCACCTCCTCTGCGCAGAGCTCTGAAAGAAGTTCCTCTGAACCTCCTCCCGCTTGCGGACCCCTCGACCATCTTTATATACACGAAGAGGCTCATCTCAAGGACATCAATTCCGAGCCGCCGGATCTTCGCGAGCTGAACAATAGTCTTGTAGCACTGGCCGCCATTTTCCCCGATGTGCAAGTTGAGGTCTTCCGGGAGATGCTTTCGAGTTTCGACGAAGAGTCCAGACTGGCAGTTGTGACGGAAGCTTTGTTGAAAGACAAAATGCAGTTTGTGCGGGGAAGAAACAAAGTTGCTGGAAAAGAGAAGGTTGCCACTGATGGAGACAAGGCGGGGGATTCCATCTTTCAAGGCTTGGTACAACCTGAAGAGAAGTTCAGGAGTCCTGAATACAAGAAGGCTGTAAAGGGCATAGCATACCAGGAGTTTAAGGGCCTTTCTCGATCGACAATAAACGGCGTTCTGGCAGAACACAACTACGCTTACACACTCGCGAGGCCAACGCTCACGGCACTGTCCTCGAAGTCGTGGCGCTTCTCGATATCGTCCCTTTTTTCACGCAGAAAAACGACCGCTTCAGCCGACCCTGAGCATCACCCGCTAGTAATCTGGCAATCGACCGGCAGGGGGTCGATAGTCCCCACGCTGAAGGCAACGGGTTCTGCGGAACTGGACAAGGAACTATTCGACGCACTTATTGTGCCAATAAATCAGAAAGCGCAGGAAGATCGAGAAGCCAAAGATCACGTATTGGCTCGCGAAGTCAACAACGAGGAGGCTGAGGCCAATGAAGGCCTACACGACTGCGAATGCTGCTTCACTGCTACAACTTTCGAGGAGCTATCAGCCTGTGACGATGCCGGTCACTTTGTTTGCTTTCAGTGTGTGAGACATTCTGTAAAAGAAGCAGTGTTTGGACAAGGCTGGCAACGCACCATAAACACCGATAGTGGCACACTGCGTTGCATAGCCGCGATGTCTGGAGAATGCCAAGGCTGCATTTCACAGAGTCTAATCCGGCGAGCATTCGATGAGGATAAAGGAGAAAAAGACGTCGTTCGGAAACTTGACGAACGGCTAGCTGAGGATAGTCTGCTCAAAACTGGACTTCCCCTGATTCGATGTCCATTTTGCAGCTATGCTGAGGTGGACGAGCTCTACCTTCCAGAATCTCAGCGAGCATGGAGGATAAAGCGTGCTGGAGACACTTTTCTTTATACTCTCATTATTTTGGTCTTAGGCGTTGGCATGATACCCTTCTTTTTACCGGTGTTTTTACTGTTTTCATTTTTATTCATACTCTTCTCCTCGCGTCAAACCTTCGGCGACTTCACCTTGGGCCATTTTCACGCTTCTCTTGCCCGCTTGCGGCGCAAACAACACGGCCTAAAGTTTGTCTGTCAAAACTCGGAATGTAGGCGAGCCTCGTGTATTTCTTGCTCCAAAGGCTGGAAAGATATACACATCTGTCATGAATCCTCCCTCCTTGCGCTGCGCACGCAAGTTGAACTAGCCATGTCGCTAGCAGTTAAGAGGACCTGCCCTCGTTGCAACACATCTTTCGTCAAATCTTCCGGGTGCAATAAACTCACCTGCATCTGTGGTTACCAGATGTGCTACGTCTGCCGCAAGGACATTGGAAACGGCGAAGGCTACAGACACTTCTGTGAACACTTCCGGCCGAACGGTGGACGAGGCTGTACTGAATGCTCGAAATGCGATCTTTACCGATGTGAAGATGATGAGGTTGTGGTGAAAAAAGCAAAAGAGGAGGCGGAACGTCAGTGGGTCGAAAAAGAAGGCACCGATCTCGGTGGCAATGAAAAAGTGCGCAAGGTACTCCAGGAGAAGCGGAAAAATGATGGAGACGTGGGATGGTGGAGTTGCCATTTGAGCATGCCAAATTGGCAGAGCATGCTAGACGCAATGATGGAGATGGTCGTGGAATGAAGGGGGATGTTCTATTAATGCCCTTAATGTTTATGTGACCGAAATGGTAACTGGGGTGGTTGGATTTTTGATTTCCGGTGCAGGGTTATTATATAGTTATCTCGGAATTGGGCACCGCTTCTAGGCTTAGAAGCGGTGAGAAGAGAAGGGAACTCGATGTAACGAATTTTTGGATTAATTCGATACCAAAAGACGTATTTCACTACCAATTTGCTTCACCATGTGTATACTGCTCAAACAATCTCAAACGGTTGGGTGCAATAATTTATCAAAAGGGTATCATCAAATTCCTTCTCCTCTGATCGCCATCAAACAGCAACACTTCGAGTCATAGCTAACTCCGAGCTCTTGCTCCATACTCCACTAGGTTCTCTTCTCCACAAGGCGAGCTTTCCATCATCACCAGTTGAGCCTAGCAATTGCCCGTCCGCGTCGAACTCAACCCGCCAGACAGGAGATCTATTAGTCTCCAGCTTTGACACCTCAGTTGCAGCGTGAATCACCTCACCATGATTGCCTTGAGCTTCTGGATGACGACTTGCGCCAGGCTTCGAGCTGGCCAGTCCTGCTGAGATGCCACCTGGTGCGTTTCTTATACCGTTTTCATGGCTACGCTGCGATGCCACGACTACCTGCTCCGGAATCTTACTAAAATCCTTACTTCTGCCTTCCTTACCCCCTTTCGCAGGAGTAGTAACCTGAAATACCCTGACTGAACCATCCTTACAAGCCGTGGCTATAACATCAAACCCTCTAATATTCCCTGGAGCCCAAGCCACATCTCTGACCAATCCCCTATGCCCCTTCAGTTCCGCAGCAAGATATAATTCCTTAGTATTAGCCGAGCCTAGACTCACAGCGTGACTAATCTCCTTCGTCCGCCAAATACTAGCTTTCCCCATACTAGCAACTACCACCCCTAAGCTATCCCTCTGCACGCCTCTCTGGATCGCTTTATAACACGGCTCGAGATTCGGATCAAACACCACTTTGAATGCTACCTCCTCCCCTCTTGGCGGTTTCTCGCACACGTACACCTGATCTAATTCATTCCAACTCTCCATATTTTCTGGCTCCTCGTTTTCGTAGATGGTAAGTAGCGCATTTCGGTTGATGAGTGCGAGGTAGGTATGTCGTGTTTCTGGGTTGTGTTTCATGGAAAATGAAAGCCATGGCGCGCGTGCGGGAGAGGGAAGCGACCATACAGGTGCATTGGAGCGGGAGTTGAAGCGTCGGCCTTTGCCTGGAGCGAGAGTTGGGTCTTCAACCCAGAGTTTGAATCTGCCATCTGCGCCGATTGAAGCAATGAGGTTTGGGTGGATGGTTGGTGGGAGCCATTGGATCTTCGAACGAATTAGTCGGCCATGTGCACATCTCGATTAATTCATACCTCTAGAATCTCTGAAGTGTGAGCTCCCCAAGTATCACATATATTCCAGCTTCCATCCCGGTGCCGGTTGTATACTTTGATCTTGCCGTCTACCGAACCGGACGCGAATCGATCGCCATACATATTAAAGGCAGTCGCCTCGACCATATCTCGATGCCCATTTTGAAGCAGGGCAAAGCCGTCCTGCTCTGGCTCCGCTACGTCGCGGTTCATCGTAGGTGCCATTCAGAGCTCGTACATTTGAGATTGTTGTGGCGGTGTTTGCAATGCCCATGCCCAAGACAGAGAGCTTGGGCCATCGCGGGGAGATGTGCCTTTAAACCCTACACTTGCAGCAAGGCTAGACAAACAGGGGCCCTTTGCCGTCCGGAGTATTTTTCTATGAGTCGTGGCCTCAGCCTCGAGCATGTTTCTTTCCTAAGCCTCGTCGCATGTCTTCTTCACTCGCTCGTTCCAATCCAATGTCAATTTAGACTTCTTGTATATTATCTGGAGGACTGAAAGGATATATTTCTATGGGGGTTCGACGTTCGAAAGCCGGCACTAGTTTCTCCCCTTTTACAAATAATGGTCCTCCGCAGCGCAACAATGGCCACTTCATCGGCATCGGCTCTGTCCTTCACAGAGACATTGAGTCTTCTCTCACTCTCACTCGCCAGCTTTGCCGTCATAGCAAACACCTTTCAAGGCGATGGCGCGCCTCTCGTCGCCTCTCTGGCGTTTAGCGGACTGGCGTTCGCAAGTTCTTATTCCATGATACGATGGCTTGGACCGACGTTTATGAAAGCAGGGCTGAAGGGAAAGGATATGAGCAAAGTGAACAAGAAGGAGATTCCAGAGACCATGGGTGCTGTCTGTGCAGTGGTGTATCTCTTGATCATCACTGTCTTCATTCCATTTCCGTTTTATAAGGATATAGTGGCTGCGACATCTGGTGGTGGGAATCGCGATGTAGTCCTGGAGACTATTGAGCATGTACAAAATGGGAGGTTTCTCCATAAGTTTCCGCATAATAAAGTAAGTGGTTCTTCTGACCATTTCAACAAATACTGATCCTTTGGTAGTTGGCATCATATCTATCAGCAATCCTTACAGTACAGTCCATCTCCATTCTCGGGATCGGAGACGATCTTTTCGATATCCGATGGCGGCATAAGTTCTTCATCCCTGGAATCGCAAGCATACCTCTCCTCATTGTATATTTCGTCGACTTCGGTGTAACCCATATTGTCGTTCCTATACCACTCCGACCATATCTGGGAGAACTCCTTCAACTCGGCCCTTTGTACTACCTATATATGTTCGCCATCGCCATTTTCTGCCCAAATAGCATCAATATTCTTGCCGGTATAAACGGAATCGAGGTCTCCCAATCTCTAGTCATAGCATGTCTTCTCGTCATAAACGATTGCTACTACCTCCTCAACCCATATCCTCATCCAGCAACCGACTCCCACCTCTTCTCACTCTACATGCTCCTCCCTTTCATCGGCGTTTCCCTTGCACTCTGGTGGCACAACTGGTATCCATCACGGGTCTTTGTAGGAGACACCTACTGCTACTTCGCTGGCATGGTCTTCGCTGTTGTCGGCATTCTTGGCCATTTCTCTAAAACCCTCCTCCTACTATTCATCCCGCAAATCTTCAATTTCATCTATTCCGCGCCTCAATTATTTCGTATAGTCGAATGTCCTCGTCACCGCCTCCCACGCTTCAACGCTCGCACCAATCTCATGGAGCCATCCGTCACCGAATGGGTATCTCCACCAAAACCTGTCATCGTCATATTCCTCAAAGTCCTCCACCAGCTCCACCTCCTCCGAGTAACAACAAATGAAAAGGGTATCATTACCGAAAGCACCAATTTTACGTTGTTGAATCTGTGGTTAGTATGGTTTGGTCCGAAGCGAGAGGATAGGTTAGCGATTGAGATTTTAGCTATGCAGACCGTCGTGGGGTTGTTTGGGTTGTTTGTGAGACATAATTTCGCATTGCTGCTATTTGAGAAGGACAATTTGAAGGGTATATTATAGATAGTAAGCGAGAGTGGTGGATGTAAGTGTGTAAAAACATATAAGAGACAAATTCAAATAACCGTAATGAATGTGAACACCGAATGTCATGCTTTCTCGTTCATCGGCCGTTTAAATAAATTTCTCTGGAAAAGACCAAGAGCCAGACAAGCAATCAAGACGAATCCTCTTACCGAACTTTTTCGCTTCTGTAATACAATCTCATTCATGATCTATCTTCAAGCATCTGTGCACATCGAAACAGTCTCACGAAAAGTCACGACAGTACACACAAAATAACAGCTTTAGAAGTTTTCTAAAATTTCGAGTGCCGAATACGGCTTCATGAAGATTTTGTGGTGGGTGGTGGTTCGTCGCTACTGGTACAACAAGATTTCCACAATGCTCTCTCTCTCTCTTCCGAGGGACAGATGAATAAGTGATCGCCCCCAGCAAATAAAATAAAATGTCCTTAATCACATTAACAAAGAGTAATTTTAATCCTCCATTCCCCGGATTTACGTGGCCGTTGATAGACGCCGTCCCAAAGCCCCCAACCTTTTATAACCCAATGGAACCAAACCGGTCCCCGAAAGAAGCGCTCAAAAATGAAACACGAAAGGGAAAGTTGTACGCTAGAAGCAAAACGTGTAGTTGGAACCACGATGTCTATGTATGTTACAAAGTGCCATTCAGTAACTGAGGTGGCCCATTAACCTTGTGGGTAAATTCTGATGGTAGTGTCGCATTTGTCATTGGGTCAATGGCCTTTTCCGTAGGAGTTTCCACTAGCGCCGATCCTTCTAAGAAACCATTGGCTTTGGCCTCTTCGATTGTGGACAGCGAAGGCTTCAGTACAGCTGGTGGTATTGTAGGGCTGCTGCCACCTTGTGATTTGTTGGCACTGTGAGCAGTGTCGTTTTTCCTCAGCCTAGCAGCCTTATAATCGCTTAAACTCATTTTCTTGGTCTTGACTGGACTGGGATGCTGAGCCACACCGTTGCCCGACGAGGATGAAAATGCGATTGGAAAATGTAATGAGCCAAAGGGAGACTGTGCCATTGCTGACGCGGAAGATGGAGTGACTGAACCTGACATTGACCCGGAGATGGTTTGGGTAGTGAAGCTCGGAGAAGGCGGTAATTGAACCCTCAGCTCTGGTGACCGCTGATTTGGTGAAGGCGCACGCGCCGTAACGGTGTTTACCTGACCCGGCCATGGTGGAGGTGGAGGTTTTATTGAATTGCTTATCGTAATCGTGGGAGCATCAGTCATATTTACATCTGTTGAAATGGCTGCATCAACCGAAGGCGTAGAAGAAGAGACGCTCATATGCCGACCTTTGGAGTCGACCGGGGACTCACCGGAATGCTCATCATTGTGTGCACCGGAATCCATCGTGAGTAGAGGAGAAGAGTCGTTTTCAGCTCGACCAATCGCATATGCCATTTGTAGCTCCATTTGTTTCTCTTGATGAATCTGAATCTTGTGGCGGTTCTTGAGCAAGCGCTGGCCGAGGGAGATTATCCTTCTCTTAGTCCGTGGTTTACACTCTTTCCACCAGGCATCTTCCACATCATCGGTCTGGGCCGAGGAGTCCGTATAAGCACACTTTGAAGGTGTCGATGGCCCTTGGCCGCTGTTGGATGACACATTTCGTGGAGTTTGGTTACTGGTGGATGGCAGTACTGCTGTCGGAGACGTAGCACTATTGGGAGACCCTGACTGCCGCCTCGAAGTACTAGCATCCACATATTGTCGTCCTCGGGATGTAGTGGTGCCATTTTCAGCCGAATGCGAAATAGACGGTCGAGCTACAACTGATCGTTGTCTTTGCTTCTGAGAAGATTGTGTTGTGCCGGAGTTCGTACCAGGTCCGTCAGATGGCCGTTTCTTCTTCCGAGGCGGTCCTTGCTCCATCTTGCGAAACGTGTCCTCGAGCATAGCAAGCTTCCGTTTCTCGCGATCCGATGCGTCCAGGTTGGCGCCATTGGACTCACTGACGCCATGCAAAGGCGTCAAATCTCGACTGTGGGGTTTGCCGCGGGAAGAACCTGATATTGAACGGCTGTCATCGTCGTCGCCATTCTCATGCTGGCCTTCACTTGCAGCTCTGCTGTTGGTAGCTTGACCCGTGCTGGTGGGCGAGACGTGGTTCTGTTTAGTCTTACGGCCCTTCTTCGCTTTGCCTCCATTCGACTGCGGCTGCGATCTTCCGTTGTAATTCCTGTGAAATCGAACAAAAGCACAGTCGTTTCCAAGGTCGCAGGCGCAACCGCCATGTTCCGAGAGTACTAAGTCAATGATGACGGTGAGTTGTTCGTACTCTATGTCGCTAATACTTGAGCCATCGAAAGGCAACCCGTCTTCTTCCCCCAGGTTCAGCAAATGAAGATAACGCGAACGCACATTCGTTGGAAACCGGAAATCCCAGGGCAAGGTTATCTGCTCATTGGCTGTAAGAGGCCTTTCGCTGACAAGCCAGAAGTGATACTCGGCGTTGTTGAAAATGAAGGTCTCCAGGGTTGTGTTTGCTCTGCAGCTACGCCGTGTATATCTCATGATGGATCCTGACAGCCGCGTATCCAGACAAAGAGGTAATCGCGGATGAAAAAACACAAAGGGTTTTGGATGGACGGTATCTTTCCAGCCATTTTCGGGATCCTCACAATAATCTTTCTGAAAGCCAACGAGGCCAAACAGTTCCCCAATGCGACCCGCTTGGGAAAGGGCGGTGGGAGTGGTCAAGAGCCGCCAGGAGACAGGCGTGTCATTGATTGTAGCATACTTCTTCTCGACCTTCAACGCTGGCCATTTGAGGTTTTTGATGTTGTCGATCTTGAGATTCTGAAACACCTCATCCTTATCCCGTATTCCAGTGTCTTTTTGTAAACTCTCCGGGTCACGAAGCCAAGAAGACAACGAATTTGTGACGGACAGATTGGCCATAGAATTTCCATCGAGATCCGTTTTAACTGCGTCTTCGTTGTCGTAAAGTCTTAAGAAGTGGTCCGAGTAGGAATGAAATTGGAAGTCGTGGGGTAGGTCCGGCGGTGTGTGGGCAGGGCTTGGAGGATGAATGTGATTATTCGGACGCTGATGTAGAGGGGGAGAACGTTTGGCTTGGGAGTTGATCGAGTGGGTGGACCGGTGGCCCTTCGCTTTCTTCGTGGGTGGGTGATGATCTTGAGGACTGCCATTCTTGTGGCCGTCTTGCTCACCAATGCCATTTACCTGTAACTCGGAAGGCTTAGGTTTCTTTTTGTGGCTTTTCGACGGCGGGCGTTTCGCCTTTCTATCACCGTTTTCGTTGACTGTCTTGTTCTGCCGCTGGTCTCGCTGACGCTCGGTCGCAAAGCGCCCATCGAGAATTCGAGGTTTGCAATCGGTACAAGAGTGATCAAAGTCTGGTTTCGACGCATCGTCAACGCGCCCTGGATAGAAACATTCAATGTGCTGCCATGTGTCGCACGTCTCGCAGTATATCGTGTTTCCATCGTCGTCGTTATAGTCGCAGATACACTTGATCGTGTAAGGCTCCTCGTCTACCGACTCGGCGACGACGAGAGGCGCATCGTTTGCTGAGAATAGCACGGCAGAATTGAGCGAGGCTTGTATAGGAGTCGCGATCTGCGTTGTGATCGAGAGATGTCTTTCTGTCATAATCTAGCAAGAGCCTCCGCGTGGCTGTTAGAGTGAAAGGACAAGGTTGAGTTCACTGATGTGGCCGTCGCATGACGAAGACGGCCGCGACTCGATCGAATCAGTTGTCGCAAAGGGAGAATGATGCTTAACCCTGTGTGTGCCAGTCATCCAGAGCGTGCAAGAGGTGTGTTGATGTCCTAATACTGCTCGAACCGTGCCACTGCGTCGACTCGAGGGAGGGCGTCGACAGAGATAGGGATGGGCGTGGAGGAGTAGGGACGACGAGAGGTTTCAGAAAGGTGGAGATATAGTCGTTATGTATGCAGATACAATACTGAACGCTCGAATGACCTCTCGGACGGTCTCTCGGTGTCGATTGAAGGCTCTTCAAAGACCAGTGAAGGCGAAGACGGGACCAAGACTGTCGAGCCTCTCGCGAAGCAGGTGAGGGGGAGGAAGGCTTCTAAGGTGCGAACGCGTCCGTATGGCGGTGCTGACTCGGGAGGACGGTTCGAATGGATAGTCGATGCTCTCTGCGAGTGATGTGGTGGTGGTGGTGGTGCTGTGGATGTGAAGTTGTAAGAGGAGAGTGTCGAGGGGGTGTGCCTCTGTGAGCCATTGTCCTTTGCTGCTCGCTCTTTCCCCTTCATGTGGCGCCGCTTTTGTGAGGTGTCCATGAGTCGCCCCACCGAGAGGCTGCGCTGCCAATCAGGGCCACCAGCTGGCTAGGCTGCAGGGCGAAATGGTGCCAGTCAACCCAGGTGCAGTGAGCGAAATGCCACCACGAGCGTCGGATCAATCTCCTCTTGAGTTCCGGCATCTGGTGCGGATGCAGCGCAAGCAATGCTGGCGGTGGTGGGAGAAAGAGAGGGGAGAGAGACGGCGAAGATAGAGGAGACAGAGGAGAGGACCTACTTGTACACTGGGTCGCAGCGCAGAGCTCCGGCCCCCGCAGAGGAGGGACGGCGGATGGAAGTGCAAAGGCCACCGGTCGGCGGGCCCTCGACGTTGGTTTGAGCACTGCACTGCTGCTGCGTGCGCAAGCTGAAGCAGACCTCAAGCTGAGGGAGGATGACGATACGGGGCCTGGAAAGCTAAAGCTAAAAAGAGAGAAAGCGCACGGAACTGGGTGGCCGCTCTGAGTGCTTCCAATCATACGAACTTTGTCCATCAGAGGAAATGCCGGTTGTACGCCAGGGTGCTGTCAGCGAATGGGGATCGCAAGACGTCGAGTCGAGTCCATTAGGATCTTGATAAGCCGATTCACGGCCAGCAGAGCGTGTCGACTGGCGCATGGAATTTTCGTGAGTGAAGTGAGTGAATTGAACTGAGGATATCGATATATACCTAGGTAGGTATGCTATGGAACGTGGACCCTCTCAATGGACACAATCGGTCAGGGTGGTCGCTGCCCAGCATGAACGGCGTTATACGGAATCCGCGGGCGTTTGCTACACAGGAGGGGATGAATGAGCCGGGGTCAAACCGCGACTTAAGACGCTGTCGACGCGCCGTTGTTTGCACCGGTGTGTTATTCACTTGCAAATGTAAATAAACCTTGACAATTCGTCAACATCGCTTCTCATCGGCCCAGATAGCCCAGATACCCGCGCCCACAACGCTCTCATTTAGCAATGGAACTGCCTCTTCATCCTTTCTATCCTCTGGGGGCTCTCCTCTCAGGGACGGAGTTTGTTCCCAATACGTTTGGTACACTAGAATTGGTTGCTGTATTTGGTATCGGATGCTTTGTGATTTTGGGCTCTGCCTTGCTGATTGCCCTTCGGGTAAATCCAAAACTCAATTATGCTGATCGTCTATTAGTTATGTGGTTCGTTTTATGTGAGTTTTCGGCATGAAAAAAGGGTACATCTTCTGACGTGGCCAGGTGGAATGATACATCTATTTTTCGAGGGCTACTTTGTTGTGAACCATACCCATATGGCCTCTCGACAGGATTTCTTTGGACAATTATGGAAGGAATACTCCCTCTCAGACTCTAGATATATGTTTTCTGATCCGTTTGTGTTGTGTATGGAAAGTTGGACTGCTGTAGGTCAATTGAGTCTCTAGTGCGAAGAAATAACTAACTCAAGACCGTCTAGATCGCATGGGGACCGCTATCTTTTGTTCTGGCAGTATTAATCGTCAACGACTCGCCATACCGACACCCGATTCAAGCTCTAGTCTCAACAGGCCAATTCTATGGAGATTTATGTAGGATACTGATTTTGTTTTCTTAATATGCCCGAAGCTAACACTAATTCGCAGTATACTTCATGACCAACATATTCGACGAATCGTACACAGGAAGGACTTTCTACAGACCCGAACCGTATTACTACTGGTTCTACTTTGTGTTCATGAACGCCTTTTGGATCGTCATTCCATGTAGTAAGTATCTTGTTCTTAATGATGGATGTGAGCTGACCGTTTTAGTCTGCGTGTACAGCTCTGCAAAGGCAACGGCCAAAGCATTCAGAAATGCAAAAATGACAGGACAGAATGGAAGTGCGAAAAAGCATATGTGACAAGTCAATGTGTCTAGAAGTCAGGAAGAAGAAGGTGAAAATGGAAGCAGTCACAGTAGAATTGACGTGGCAGAAAAGTTTTGCAATTCAAGCGGTGTCTGAAGATTCCGAATATCATTTAATTACAATAAACTACTAATATATCGAACCTCGCTTCATAATCCTTTTCTTTGAGGTAGCAGAATAGATGAAGATACGTCTACCTATGTAAATCTTCTATTCGTGTGTGGATACTGGACAACCCAACAGCAAGCGCAAGCAATGTGATGAGTGAATGGCAAAAAGAAAAACGCGAAAATTTGCAAAACTCGTCCGGGAACATAGGGCCTCGACACCAAGCCCTCATTCCCAGGCCAAATCGCCCCCAAAGGTGTCTCCAATCTCTTCTTCAAGCACCCAGTCCTCAGACCAAGCATCCTAATGAAAAGGTATATTCCAGCGAGTGGATGCAATCAAAAATTCCGCCGATCAGGACCCCGAAGGATACTGAACAGATCTTGTCTCCCCGATGTGCAATGGAGGACTCGTTCTGCAAACTCGTACTTCTTGAGCTACGAGGTTTTCAACAAGGTAAGTATGAAGAGGAAGAAGAAAGAAAAGGAAGGAGCGGACGAGGAGACGAGATTATATAGACTCCCAAGAGGGTCCGAGTGTTTAGGTTTGCTGGGCTGATTGGCTGGGTGTGGTGAGGTGAATCCAATAGGGTGAGAGGTGCTCGGTCCAGCTCGTGATCTGGGCTGGGATAGTGTCAACATGTATTTTGGTTGTCAACATCTATTCTGCGGTGAATGCCGACTTCAGGTAGAGCGAAAAATACTAAGCAATTCGAGTATGGCGATCTCAGGAGGGAGACCTGGAAGATAAGGCGACATATTTGGTGCAAAATTATTTACTGAGCTGTCTGAATCCTGATATCTTCGCTACACATTGTATGGTGTAGAGAGTATACGGGCATAGCACAAAAGCCGTTAAAGAACAGCTACCGAATATGTTTCTGCCTTCATGAATAGGTTTCTAAAAAGCCTGCTGGATATAATACTACAAAATATCTTGCCTTCAGTACCGTAGAAATAAGTAGTGTTTCAAGATACCTGGGACAGTACCGCTCCATTTCTGAGCGTTGTGTGACATTGTTGGCCTGAAGGGGATAAGATTGATACACACCTGCGCACCATTTTATGATTTACAATTAAAATAACTCAAGCTCTCTATGGAAAAAGCAACCAGATGTAAAGTGTATACTTTGAAGCATGTACGAATAATTTAAGTGATTCAAAGGCTTACCGCCATCACGAGTGTTTCGTTACCTCTCCGCAAAACGTCATGACGACCACCTGCAAGTCAGGCAGCTGGAGGAGAAGAGCGCTAAGCCCCCAGTGGCGCGGGGACTAACCAACCTCTCGCATCCAAAACAAGCAGCATCAGCATCTCATTCCGCTTTCAACTTGTCCATCCTCACCACACCGCAAATATGAAGTTCTCACTCGCCCTTACCTCGCTCTTCCTAAGCAGCTTCGTATCCGCCGCAGGTGTATCCTTTTTCAGCAACGGCCAGAAGGTGCTTGAGGACAAAGGAGAAGCGATTCCTGGCGATAACCCACTCATCCACTGCAAGAAGGATCACGACGAGAACATCCTTGTGCTCGACCATGTTAACCTTACTCCAAATCCTCCGGTTCCGTAGGTTGCTTCCCGCGCCTTGTGCAGGCCAGGCGCTAACGTGGTGATAGAGGGCAGAAACTCACAATCGAAGCTGTTGGAACCTTGAGTGAGAAGATTGAGCAGGGCGCATATGTGAACCTCCAGGTCAAATATGGATTGATTAAGTTGCTTAGCACGAGAGCCGATATGTGCGAGCAGATTGCAAATGTGGACTTGAAGTGCCCGGTTGATAAGGGAAAGATCACCCTTACTAAGGATGTTGACATTCCAAAGGAGATCCCAGGTGTAAGTACTGAGTCTCAGATTGTTTATTGGATGCTGATAATTAACAGGGAACTTACACCGTTGTCGCTGATGCTTATACTCAAGATGAGAAGAAGATTGTGTGTTTGGAAGCTACTGTCAAGTTTTAGATGGGAAGGCTAGGATAGGCAGATTGGTACATGGATTGGAGGTTCATAATATGGATTGTATTGGGAGATAATACACAGCTCCAGCGTTTCATGGCTTGCTCACAGATATCTTTGATCTTGGAGTTTCTTTCTTAAGGATGCACCTCATAGCACGTTTACATATTGAAGCGACAATTATTTAGTCACAGTCCAATACAATTATCCCGCGATATAGACTTAGAGTTGTGTCTCTATCATAAGTTTATTTTGCCTCCAACGGCTTATCCCATACTGTCAAGGCTCCGTTCGATCTAGTAGTAAACTAGCTCCAGCCTATGTTCACAACGATAGCCATCTTGCGTGACATATTTCCTTCATGCTTGATATTTATGCTTGATCGTCCTCCTACCCCGTAGCCCCAGCGCTCCATTACAGGCTTTAAGTCTACTCCCCAAAGAGTCTCCGGACTCGTCTTAATACACTATCTTTCTCAGGATCATATGGGTGGTCCTTGCTAGGTATCTCAAGAAGGGCAGGGAAGGCGGCAGTATACGAATCGACTCGGTGACGTATCTTCTCAGCAATCTGGGGAATGTCAGGTACCAATACATATATGGCGACTCATAGGACTATACATGTTGGTTGATTAGAAGGATGCCAATGTCTTTCCGCTCCTCTGTAAATCGAACAAACGCCTCCTCGATAGCTGAAGCCTCCGTTTTACTGTCGACTACTAGAAAGTTCTTTTGCGAATCTGGCGCTGGCGTGACATGCTATCGCAATTAGCCATTCGTTCTGTCTTCCTCGAGCGCTTGAGTCCGTACACCAATTCCTGCCAACAACAGTCCAGTTACGGAGTCCTGCATAAAGTCAGCTTCTCTAAACTTCCACGGTAAACGTAGCTAACTACCTCATCTCCAATGACTGCGAGGAATTGCCTGTCCTTGTAGGCAGATGCTGGAGCTGCCATTTTGATATGCAGTTGTCGAATCGAGAAGATTGCGCAAAGCAACCCATTCCATTGAGCGCAATAGGCGGAAGCTTCCTGACAGGGCGGCGGCGGGCAGAACGCTTGGGCCAATGGCACATCCCTGCTGCGAAAGCTCCCATATCGTCACAGCAGCTTGTAAACAAAGAACCTCTTTAGCAGACCCGACACGCTCACCAGTACTGCCACCTACAATGTGAAAGGCAGTACACGCTACTTCCATAATGTCGCGCCGTCTCATTCGCAGAAAACCTCTTGGGGATCGCATTAAAGACTGGCTTCACCCAGGCGACTTTTTGCTATGGCTTTCGGAAGAAATCGAGACACGAGACTGGGATTCCAAGCATGTAGCAAGTCCGGTTGCTTTGGGTCTCCACGTTGCTCTCTTAATTGCAAGAGCAAATAGCGGAAGTTCGGGAAATAAGGGCAGTGATGATGTTTTTGGCGATGACAATTCTGGTTCGGGCTGGTTAAGCTACATTGTGAGTAGATTCCTCTCTCTGCGCGGAGAATGCTTGATAGCTAATCATTCTCAAAAGTCCACGTTCGTTCTCTACATTCTGACGGGCTTTTCTGTCCTTAATGCCTTTTACACCTTCCTTCGAGTAAGACACTATCGTCTGTTCGAGAGACCTATTGACGCACCGCAAACGACACCTTCCCAACGTCGTGTTCGAATCGATTCATCCCCGGTTTCCTCGTCTCCTCTTCGATTCCTCACAAATATAATCGGGGCAGAAACTGCTGAGTCAAGAGCACATCCAGATGCAAGTCGAGATGTCTGGGAGATGGCTGTTTGGGATCCCTTGCCTGTGTGCCTGAGTCTGTTCTGCCTCTTCAGTCCAGGCCATGTGCTGGTATACTGGCTGTTTTTGCCAACCTTGTCTTCCGACCCGAGACCCAGCATCACTGTCGTTACAGCGTTGTTCCTCCAAATTCTGATGTCGTCCCAGTTGACAATTCTGCGAATGTATTTTTCACAGCAAGAGAAAGACTCTGCTATCATTCAGCAAGAGGTTATAAGCGAGTATGATATCAAGTTTGTTCATCCACGGTTGAATCCACTGGTCCGTGACGTTGGGACGCAATTCTATGGGCCTAATAGCAATGAAGGGGAAGATGGTGATGTTGACGCATATACACCCGCTATCACTCTCAAACGTGGATTTCGAACGAACCCAAATCCAAACTATGCCAAACATGTGGACCCGGACAATACAGAGTCGTTCAATAGATCCGGACGTTCCCAGTCTCCCTTTTATACACCCTCAGCCTACAACTCGCGGAATCACAGTGCTCTAGCGAGCATGACACCAAAACAACCGCTGCGTCAACCTCAATTCCGTCAAAGCATGGCAGACTCTGCTTCCACGGGCGTGAGTACAGGTGACGGGGGAAGCCTAGGAGTCTTCAGTCATGCCAGGTCTCCTCTTAAGAAGGCTACTAGTATGTATGATATGCAGGCACGTGAAGCCCCAAGGAATTCTGCTGAAATGGCAGCACGGGAGCAAGGAGAAAGGAGTAGAAGTCCCACCAAGAGGAGATTAAGCGAAGCCCATCGTTCATTTCTTGGTCTCGATGATAACAGGAGGACGTCTTCTCCAGCTAATTTAAATAAGCCAAAGCCTGGCCCTGCGCAGTACAGCAGGATGCCGTCTAGGTTTTAAACATTTTCTTTATATGCATTTGAACATTTTCGACGGCATCTGGTGGCATCTGGGACTGAATGGAAGTTATAAGGCCCAAAGTCGGTAATCAAAACTGCATTTTCTCCTTTTTCAAATTTTGGCTGATCTATATTGAGTGGTGTTTCATTCCGCTCTTCCTACTCATTCTATACTACCTCAACGGTCTGTATGTGTCATGGGGCACTCAGCACTCAGCACTTCGCACCTTCCTCTTCAACTCTGTCAACCATCACTTGGCCTCATGCTTCCATGAATCAACAATCTTGCTTCTCCAAAAAACATGTCTTTTCCAATTACACTCCCACCATTCCACAATGTCGACAGATGTCGAGCCCCCTTCATCTCCTAAATTATCATTCACCACACACAATCATTCAAAGTCCGTTCGCAAGACAACACCCCATGGACCCCCGCCAGCTGCCTTCGATACGCAAGCTGATCATCGTAAGCATGGCCGATCCGCGTCTTTTAGCGGGTTTGTCTCTCGCATGTTGCCTTCTCGCCGACCAGAAAAAGGGCATGCCCTACGGGCCGGTTTTCAAGACGGCGGTCCCCATAACGCTGTGGACCTCGTTTTTGGGCTCGCTGATGATCATCGTTCGTCGGTCGTGGCCACTGGTGAGACTGGTGACGGCAGTTCGGAGAGGAAGATCAAGAGCTGGGCTCCGCATAATCCTGACATTTCAGGGGCTCATAGCCCAGCTGATCAGGCAGTTCGATCGAACCGATCTGGAGGTTCCTATGAGAATAGAGGAGAGATTCGTAGAAGGCCGCGTTCATTGAGCATAGGCTGGTTGCTAGCTTCGAAACGTGTTGAGGAGAAGGAAGATAATGTGGAATCCGTCACCGCTGAGAGAGGAGAAGGTACACATTTGCGAAAGTATTCGACGCCACTGGGGTTGCCTCAAAGATCGCCTGATGTTTCTCAAGGAATCGATATCCCAAGGTCGTCTGCTTCTGTTCTTGACGTTGAATCTAGCAAATCTCGGCAGCTTTTCGATAAGAAGAAATCCCATCGCGAGCAAAGGAAAAGCTTGCGCGAAAGTGGCGATTTTCTTGGTGTTCAAGGTGCAAATCCGAGGACTGGAATGTGGGATCTCAGCGACAATACAACGAGCAGCAGTGCTCCAAGTCATGTTAGCAGCGAGACCAAGAGGAAGTTAGAACAGCATGCAAAGGAACTGAAGGAGTCGAAACTGAAGTATGAAGAGGCCAAATCGAAACAGCGTGTGGAAATTCAGAGAGTCCAGACTCTGAAAGAGCTCAAGAGGAAAGAAAAAGTCGAGCGAAAGAAATCAGAGAGCAAATCGAAGCAAAAGAGACGGGGCAAGTGGAAGGTTGGTGACAATGGCTGGAGCAGTGTTGCTGAACCTGGTCTCAGTCCGATCCTGCAGTCAGTCGCAGCAACTCCAACAAGAGGTCAGTACACACAAGATCGATCAAATTGATCTCACGCCATGATACTAATCCACATGCAGAAATCCCATCATTCGACAAGCTACTTCCGATGCCGTGCTCTGCTGATGCCGACCCGTTCTGGAAAGACGCATCCATTGCAACAAGTGAATACTTCCCTCCTCGAGGCCCCTCATCACCGCTAGCACTTGGTAGCTTTGAGCAGTCAAATGTAATGAAAAAGACTCCCCTTACACAATCAAGCGCAGCGATCAAGCGAAAGCCTGTAGGGTCGCCCCCAAGTCGTGGATCTGGTAGTGGCTCAACAGAAACGATTGTCCACGTGCCTAGTCACCTCTCAGAAACCACTCCAACGATCAAGAAAGCCGTTCCTCCTAAGCTGGCAGATGAGGATTCGGCGGCAGTGATAGAGCTCAAAGTCCCAGGCCAGTTCTCTTCATTGAATGCCAAGTCACACACTCCCTCGAAACCCTATCATTTTTTAGACATTGGCAAGGGCCGAGCGACAAAACGCAGCCCTTACGAGAGACTGGCTACAGTGATCTCATTCCAGTCGGTCCCGACGAGCCAAGTACGTATCCACGAACCCTCACCCGACAGTCGACGGGTATTTTCACATCAAGGAAAGGTTATCAGCTCCCTCAGCGAACTACCTCCGGTTTCTTTGAAGGATCCCGTGGCGGCTCGCACTCCATCACGAATCCCATTGAGCTCGCAACCCCAGAGAATCCAACCAAACATACAGACTCAAGTATGGGCACCACCAACGATCATCGACACGAAGACCGACAAACCAGGATCACACACCAACACATCCACCACCACCACTACTGGATTCACTCCTCTTCGTCGGGCTCTCGCTCAATTAGACGGACAGGACGATTACGAGAGCAACGGCAATTCCCATCTTACTCCTCGCGAGAAGACGAGCAGAATTCCGCTGCGATCAAGCTCCCTACCGAACAACAAACGCAAGAGCACGCCGAAGGAGAAGTTCCCAACTCATACAGTCGGCACCGATACATACTCGGAACACCACCTGGATCAAACGAAACACAGAACCGAAAGGTTATGTCAAACGGCTTCTCCAAAAGAAAAGAAGGAACCGCAGAAGAGCACACTCACATCCACATCTACGTTCCCTCGCAGCACCAACCAGAAAGCCCTCGCCCACAACGCAGCATTAATAGCTTTTCAAAGTCCCAAGGCAGGAAGGTCGACGGAGCCGAAGGAAGCCCATAGTAGTGATGCCCCGACCGCTCCGAAGGTACGTCTTCAAAAACTAGAAGGCAATGCCGGACGAGTCAAGACCGGATCTCCCACCAGGCTGCCAAGAACCAAGAGGCACGATATCAAGGACACGATCCAGGTGGGAACACCGACAGGGGAACTTCACCATGTCAAGAGAAATGCTGTTGCTCTTTCCCATCCTGCACCGGAGAGGAAGAGGAAGGTCATAATACACGAGAAGGGTGTCTCCTTAGCCAGCGAGACTCCGAAAACGGGTCGGCCATGTGTGTCACTCAGAGATGTAGTAGCCAGTGTCTTGCATACTGCGTGGTGGATCGTGGGGCCCGTATTTGATCCGGCGTCGGAGTTGCGAAATCGATGGGCATATCGCAAACTCACCTGGAGAGATATGGGAACGTTTACTGCGGCCGGAATATTTGCGGTTGCCATGTTCACGATAACAATTGTGTTTACCCGTGTATTGGGAATGGCTTTCCAGGTTCTCAGATCTTTTGTTAGCTTGTTCAAGCTGGTAACTGGGTGATTCAAGATGTATTCGTGCTCAGGGTCCCTGATAAGGAAGCAGCTTCAAACTCGTCAGCATGTTGTTGGTTTCATTAAGACAGCTTGCTATAGCTTTGTGGTAATATACAAAACTCAACTTTGGGCTTAACTGTGCTCTGATTTCGGCTAGTGGCGGTGTGCACATTGCTCCAAATAAGTGCAGGTGACGAGAGGGCACCGCTTTAAAGCAAGTGTGGAAATGATATGTGATGAACTAGACCTTACAGTGCAAGATATCAGACTCGATGCCAACAATCAGCCACGAATGAGGCTGCATGTTCCGTCAGCAGAATGCAATAGGCGCATATGGCTCTTTCGTCAAACTTGAGAACCAGAGAGGAAGCGCACCAAGCATTCATGCATAATCGACATGCAATGATGTTGGTAAACTCCTCAAGTAGTAGCTGCCCAGGCCGTCTGGACGAGGTGATTTCTCAAAGAAACTGCCTCCGGGTCTAAAGGTGGGGTGGTACGAGACCCCTCTATACATGTTTACATTCCATTGAATGAGCAACTTATCGAAACTTTTCCTTGATGTTAAATCTTAATATAGGATATATCTACTCGAGTACGCCTACCTATGTGACACATTTTTAGGCGTTTCTAGGCGAGAAATAGCAAAGTTCGAGGTCGAACAATCACATCCGCGCCATGACTAGGCGAAGCTCTACGTAAATCGGAGTCGGAACAAGATCAAGTCTCCACATCTTTGATGGCCAATTATCACCTTGCGAATGTCATATCCTGGGGATCCTCAAAGCCACCCGATATCGGCGCATTCCACAAACTTTCCAAGTTCGCGCATCATAAAACCACCCCGCACTGCCATCTAAACAATCCTCTTTACCAAACACCGCAACTTTTTTTCTCCTATTCTTACGTCTTTGAGAGAGCTGAGTCCTGAATTGTCGATTGATCAGTTTGCGCAGTGAAATTTGCAAAGATGCCGGCTGCCGACGCTGCTCCAAGGACGCTTTATGATAAGGTCCTCCAGGATCATATTGTGGATGAAAGACTTGATGGCACAATTTTGCTTTATATCGGTATGTAGTCGAGAAAATACTTGTACTAGAATTTCTCAGCTAATCTGACTCCTTGTAGATAGACATTTGGTACACGAAGTCACTTCACCAGTATGTAATAACTCGGTTATTGCCACACAACAGTTTTACTAACTAGCAATAGCAAGCGTTCGAGGGTTTAAAGAATGCTGGACGACAGGTGAGACGGCCGGACTGTACTCTTGCGACAACAGATCATGTATGTACTAGTGGTTCCATTCCAAAGAGCGTTTCTAATATAATCCAGAATGTCCCGACCACCTCCCGAAAAACATTCAAGAATATCGAAACCTTCGTCGAGGTTGAAGACTCAAGATTACAATGCATGACCCTCGAAGACAACGTAAAGGATTTCGGGATCACATATTTTGGACTTGGTGACAAACGTCAGGGTATTGTCCACATCATCGGTCCGGAGCAGGGCTTCACACTCCCTGGCACAACTGTCGTTTGTGGTGATAGTCACACATCAACACATGGAGCCTTTGGGGCTTTGGCCTTTGGAATTGGTACAAGTGAGGTTGAGCATGTACTTGCTACACAGACGATCATCACAAAACGAAGCAAGAACATGCGGATAAAGGTGGATGGGCAGCTCACACCTGGTGTCAGTTCAAAGGACATTATTCTCCATGCAATTGGTAAGATTGGTACGGCTGGTGGAACGGGTGCGGTGATTGAGTTCTGCGGTTCGGCAATTGAAGCTCTTAGTATGGAGGCAAGAATGTCGATTTGCAACATGTCAATCGAGGGCGGTGCTCGTGCCGGTATGATCGCTCCGGACGAGACTACCTTCAAATACCTAGAAGGACGCCCTCTTGCACCAGAACACGGCTCAGAAGAGTGGAATAAGGCTGTTGCGTACTGGAAAAGTCTGAAAACCGACGAGGGTGCCAAATACGATATTGATGTCTTGATAGACGCCAAGGACATTGCACCGTCAGTCACTTGGGGAACTAGTCCAGAGGATGTCGTTCCAATCACTGGCAGCGTTCCGGATCCAGAGACGTTTGCTACCAAGGAGAAGAAAGAAGCCGGTCGACGAATGCTTGAATATATGGGCCTCAAGGCGAACACACCAATGGAAGAGATTGTTCTGGACAAGGTTTTCATCGGGTCTTGCACGAATGCTCGAATTGAGGATCTCCGAGCTGCTGCTGGGATAGTGAAAGGGAAAAAAGTAGCTGCAAACATCAAAAGTGCTATGATTGTGCCTGGTTCTGGTCTTGTCAAGGATAAGGCGGAAGCTGAAGGGCTGGACAAAATTTTCACTGATGCGGGTTTCGAATGGAGAGAGGCTGGATGCAGTATGTGTCTCGGTATGAACCCTGATATATTGGCTCCCCAGGAGCGATGTGCCAGTACGAGCAATCGAAACTTCGAAGGCCGACAAGGAGCTGGTGGACGAACTCATTTAGTTTCACCAGTTACCGCTGCGGCTTGCGCTATTGTGGGAAAACTTACCGACGTACGGAGACTTGCTGAGCACAATTCAACCCCACGACCGGCTTCGCCAACTCCAGTCACCATTAAACCCCATGTTGATGAGAGGATTAACACTGATGACGAAGAGCGAGATCATATTGCGGATCAACCAGCAGAAAACGATGTACCACACACCAACACCATGGCTGCTGGCTCGGCTAAAGGATTGCCGAAGTTCGAAGTCCTGAAGGGTATCGCTGCTCCTCTTGAGCGTGCAAATGTCGACACTGATGCCATCATTCCAAAACAATTCCTGAAAACAATTAAGCGCACCGGTCTTGGTTCAGCTCTATTTAACGAAATGCGATACAACGCCGAAGACGGAAGCGAGAAACCAGATTTTGTTCTCAACCAAGAGCCATATAGAAGATCTAAGATCCTTGTGGTTACCGGTCCAAATTTTGGTTGTGGCAGTTCGAGAGAACACGCTCCATGGGCTCTGTTAGATTTCGGCATCAAATGCGTCATTGCCCCTTCATACGCAGATATTTTCTTTAACAACACCTTCAAGAATGGCATGCTTCCAATCGCCATTGATAATAAGCATGACATCGAAGCTATCGCCGATGAAGCACGCGCTGGCCGAGAAATCGAAGTTGATCTTCCAAATCAATCGATCAATGATAGCACAGGCAAGAAGATCTGTGGGTTCGAAGTCGAAGAATTCCGAAAGCATTGCTTAGTAAACGGCCTCGATGATATCGGCCTTACCATGCAGATGGAAGACAAGATCCTGGCGTTCGAGAAGAAGATGACCACAAAGACTCCTTGGTTAGACGGCCGCGCTTACCTGAAGCGTGGTAAAAATGGAAAGTTGGCGGTTAAGCCTGCGCCTGTACCAAAAACAAATAGGGGGGAGGCGATTAAGGAACCTCTCGATTGGTAGATTACAGTGTGGGAGTGCGGATTTGGAATTTTCTGTAAATATGACGGACGACGACATAATGCTTTTACCATATGGAGGTGTTCTCGTTAATCGTTACTCCTTGAATGGAGTGGTGGACGTCTTTTGACTCGTTTTTGCCAGCAAATGTTGAGAGCATATTTAGCATAGATATCTTAGTTTATGATATCAAATCAGTTTCTGATCAATTAAGCTCACGTTTCACTCGGATTAAGGGCTGAAAGTAGTATTGGTGTGTCGACCGCTGTCTTCTCTGTACTCTGTAGTAATTTAGTAAAGCCTGGTTTACTTCGTTGCACTAGCTCAAGGCATTTTGCCTGCAGCCCGGTATGATGTTCGCAGAAAATGTTCCTAGCTAGTCTTCTGTACTGTATTTTGGTAAAAAAATTTATTACATATTCTGTCATTTACTAAATTTTACTAGCTGCTGATTATTTTGCTCTTAATTAATGGCTCAGTGTCTTCAACTTCAGCCTTCCAAGACCGAAACTCAACTCATGCAGCAGGCCAGGGTGTAGACCATTACACATGCGAGCTTTTTCGCAAAAGACGGTCTTGCAACCCCCGAATCGTGTTGGATTATTTGTACAAGTGGGCGAAGAATGGCTCATAGGTTTTGAGGTTGTGAAGTGGCTTTTGTTCTATTACTATCTATCTAGATTGACATTTCCACGCCACGCAACAAGTAGCCGTGATTCTAATGCCCCAGCCATGCAAGGCAGATGCAAAAAATACGTCGCTCCACCGATGTATATACTCAGCTCAATCTATGTACTCCATGCGCCTTGCTATTTTTTTTTTTTGAAAATGAAAACCAATCGCAATCGAGTAGGGATCTATAGCTTGACAGGATGCTGCTTGCGAATCTTGCCACCATATTTATAAATGAACATAGGTGCAGGGATAAGTGCAATTCCGATGAACCCCAACGTGCTATTACCCCATCCTAGCCCAAGGGCCTCATACATGCTAGGGCCAGCAAGTGGCAGGAAAGCACCGAATAAGGATCGTGAAACGGTCAGAGCAGCAACTGCAGAGGCGGCGTATTCTGGGAATGAGTCGATCGTATAGGTCTGAATAGGAATAAAGATACCCATCATGCCAAAACCGAAGGGAATTAGGCCAATGATGGGAACAATCCAATGTACTGCCTTGTCCGCTGCCCAACCATACCAGAAAAATGATACAGGCACGAAACAGGCGAAGAAAATGCACGCTGGAAGTCGCATTTCAGGCTCGAATACCCCATTGTTAGCTTTAGTCATGCGAACAACTGTTGGGTCAGAGATCTTGCCGACGACGACGAGACCAGCCATGAACCCAATGCCGAGCCCAATATAAGCGAGACCGCAAAGTTCAGGTTGCCAACCGTACGTCTGGATCATCACCGAAGTGATAGTTGTGAAGAGAAGATAAAGGAGTCCGTACACGACGGACATATAGAGAGAGAGGAGGAATACGATTGGCGAAAGAAAGAGCATCTTTAGAGGTCGCACCATGCCTTGAAGAAGGATCTGAGCTGGTGAGTGAATGTGCCCTGTAGGGCTGTAAACACTTCTCAACTCTGGGCGGTTGAGCTCTTTGCGTAACCGGAGAACCTTGCGATTGATGAGGACTTGAGGATTGGTTTCCGAATTGAGCAGTTCAATCCCAATTGTGATGACTGATGCCGAAGCGAGGAGGACCCAGAAAACCCATCTCCAACCGGCCCGTTGAGCGATGAAGCCGCCGCATATCGGCCCGATCACGGGACCAAAAAGTGGGCCCACCGAGTAGATTGAAGTTGCTAGTCCTCGTCGGTCCGGTTGGAACAAATCGGCGATGACGCCACCACCAATTGTCAGGCAGCCAGAGCCTCCAATCCCAGCGAGAAACCGGAAGACAATCAGAGCACTGAGATTAGGAGCGAGAGCACAGCCAATTTGCCAGACACAAAAAAAGACGTTAGCGCCAGTAAGAACGATTCGTCGGCCATAGATCTCAGAGAGCGGCTATGTGGCAGGTTAGGTGACAGCTTTTCTCTACAGCATAGTGAAGACTTACAGCAAGTATCAGCGGGCCAATGACATATCCCAACACAAATATACTCACAGTCAAAGCACTGAGAATTTGAGACGTATTGCCGAATTCGGTGTCCATAAAGGACACTCCCGGCTAGAATATGTGTCAGTGATGAGCGAAGAGACCAGTAGGAACTGTGGTGTGCTTACAGCGAACATAGACGATGCCAGAGGCGAGATGAAAGTGATACTCGCGAGCAACGACAAAATGAACCACTTCTTCTTCTCGGGGAAATTCAGTGGCATTTCTGGATCGGTCTGCGACTCCCATCCAACAATATCATTGTCCAGGTCCGATAGAGGCAAAAGCTTCGGTGCTAGTTTGGCTTTTTTGCTTTTCGAGGAAAGGCTGGTTGCGATTCTGGAAATTCGGCTCTTCGTACTTTTCAAACTGGCTCCAGTCTTCACTTGTTCTAATTCCGCACCATTTAGTTCATTCTTGCGTGGACCAGCCTTGATTGATTCTAATGTCTACGACAGAATCAGATTTTGGTCCAGGTTATTGAGAGGATGTGCCTACGTGTCCCCTCTCCAAATCGGCCATGTGCCCCTTGTCCATCTCTTCCACGACTTCGTGGTCCATATCTGGTTCTCCCACGGCTCCTCCACGTTCTGTCTTCTCTGCCTCGGATGCATAGATCGTTGATTCACTTCGCATGGTGCCATTATCACGGAGGTCACCTTTCTCGGCCTCCTCTCGATGATCGGAAGCCATATCGGATTGTGGTGAAGAAAGTAAAAGAAGAGATAAAAGGAACGAAAGAAAGTTCGGGGTAATACCAAGGCAAGAGCGAATGGATATTGACTCTTGTTCTCGTACTTTGCAGCGCTTGCGAAAAACTCCACGCAAAGGGAAACTGGAAACTGACGGTCAGAAGGAAAGTGTACTTGTCATGCTAGGGCCCTGGGACCGCCCATTCTTTATGAAAACGAGGTCGTGTTCTCTGACGATTTTAGCATCCGGGACGGATACTTATATCCTCATAGATGGTACGGGGAACGTGCATTAATCCGTTATGCACCACTTGTGCGAGAGTTGTGCAAGGCATGTTGTGCACAAAGCTTATTCACAGTGCCGCCAAGACGGGAGCTCCTATTTCGCTCTTCGTCTCCTGGCGAAGGCCGACGACATCCTCGTTTCTTCAGCCTCAGACTGGACTGCCTCGGTCATTAGGTACGGAGTAGCTGTGTATTAAATCCGTGCTCTGGATATCTGATTCTAAATGTTTTTGGATGCGCGCGCACGAGCACGTAATGCATGTCTATCGGTTGATGCAGAGGTACGTCGTATCAGGTTGCACAACTTGCACCTCGCATTATCTTGACTTTGTTTACTCCCCTCCCTACCATACGGCCCAGTTCCGAAATCTAGGGCACGGCACGTTGTACGTCTAATGACTAGGAGTCTAGGACTACGCGTAGCGAAAGGCACAGGCTACGTACGGGTAGCTGGACTCGATAAAGACGAATTAAATGTTGGTATCGACTCTTACGCACACGCAATAGTCCGTGATACTGTCGAGTACATGGGCTGACAGTGCGGCACCCTCACGGCCAGACCTTCCCGAACCAAAACTTGGCTGAAAGTTCTCTAATGAGGTTGAACTTAGGAACGTAGATGCTGGTGATCAGTAACGAAGCTTGTCCGCATCGATATCGAGATTATTGTTTCCCCTGATCTGTGCGACCGCGTGCGTTGTCTTGCTCGCAGCGGGGAATTGCAACAGTAGTTCCTCAGTTACTTCTATCACTTACATTCCATGAACAATCGCAAATGGAGCATGAGAAAGACTGAGAGCATCAAATATTAATCACGATCCTCACTCCTCTATTACTTCTTAATGTTCGGGGCTATGATCACTAATAAGGGCACCTGTTCAGAGGGCGGTTGTCTTATACAAATATGGTATTACCGCTAAGGCCGAGCCGCTTTGTCACTTCCCATCAATAGTTTCTTATTGAGTGGATCTGGAGAGGCCCAGAGCTTATGAGCAAGGACGAGATCTTTCAAATCCCGTCTGGACCCAGTATAGTTATTACCCATCACAGAGGAAACAGGTCTTGTAAGTTGTACTACTGTCTCCCGCAAGAACCACCGTGCAAAAACAGAAGTCTCGTGCAACAGAGAACACGGACTTTAAGGGTTTGTTTTCAGGAGACTCTTGTCCGTCGATTAATTTGATATGGTCTGTTGAGGTAACATGATGGCGATAGCCACTTCGTAATCAAAAAATTCCTACGCATTTACCTGATCTATATAGCATTCCAAAATTCGTAACTTTCCATCGGTACTTAGATGCCTCGCTGGTTTGGGCAACGTATTCATAATCAAAACAAGAAGCCACATTGTGAGGCGAAGGGAGGTCTTGACAACCTTATTGGTAGTGGTGAGAAATAAGAGAGGTACAGTAAGTTCAAGTTTATCGTGAATTGTTTACATAATCAAACAACCAAAAACGGCGTCTCTTCACAGTTTGTCTGAAATGTTGGTTCAAGTGTGCTGTATAGTGGCTAACTTCTTGTGTTCTGAATAGTGTGCTTACCTGCTTCTTCTGGATAACGACTGTCGTTGTCCTCAACCAACCGGAAGTACTGATGTTGTTGGTAACAATGCATTATGAGGGCCATCTTGTCTATGACTGGCTGTTTAATACTATGAGCCGTTTTCGACAAATGGTGATTGCTCCATTCGCAGGCAGCCATCGGTCAGCAAAAGCAGTTACCAGGTCTCCTTCCAGGACTCTTGACTCCGATTCACGAGAATCTTACTCTTGCTTCGATCTACGCATAATTCATAACAAAGATAACAGACCCATTAATTTGTTATTTCATCATCATTGGGGGTGGACCTTCTGTGCTTGTGGCAGCATCACGGATATCAGGATTTCCCGAGATCCAAGGCTTGGTCCTTGAGGCTGGAGAAGATCCCACGGGTAACCCACCTATGAAGACTCCAGCGCTATATATAGCATGTCTAGGGAGTGCGGTGGATTGAAATTTTATGACTGTGTCTCAGGTATGGAAAACTCAGTTTCCTAGAGTCAGATTGAGATAACAATAATCGTATAGTCTTCATTAAATGGAAGTTTTATTTTGAAACAAGGGAAAATAATTGGAGGGTCGAGTACTATCAATGCTCAATTCTTCGTTCTACTATCCGCAGTCATCGATACGTGGAAGGCTTTGGGTAATAGAAGTATGTCTTAAAAGGCGTTAGCACTATAGTTCGAGAAGATCGATCGCAAACCTGTTCGAAACCTCGGGACTCTTGTTAATCAACTGCGGTGATAAGTCAAGATAATGAATAGCTTTTACCCAGTTAGACGACAGACTTACTTCCAGCCGTTTAGCTAGTAATACTCGAGAAAATTGGCCAGTTAATGGCTTCAGAACCATTCCCTGACATGGAAAATTCAAACAGCGTAAAAGCCCCTCTCACAAGCGTGGTTCCACTTTCGAAATTCTGGAGCTATTGGGCTACAGTTTACTATCCCTTAGCCAGAGGGAGATCGAATCTGCAGGTTCTCACAGGCTGTACTGTTCAGAGAATTGTCTTTGTCATTCTTGCACCTAACATTAGAGCTACGGATGTGCATTACCTCTCTGATATTGGTTTTTTGGCACAGGGTCAGACCAGTACCTGTTCTATGTTGCCGAAGAAAAACGCTGGAGTTGCAGACGAAAATCTTCTTGTCTATGGCACTTCGAACCTGCGAATCATAGACGCAACTATTTTTCCATTAATAATCAGAGGAACTCCCCAAGCGGCCATGCATGCTGTCGCCGAAAGAGCGGCAGATATCATTAAAACGTGTCATGGCACTCAATTGCGACGAGATAAAGTCTTAATTTGACTTAGCACCATTAAGTACACCTATTTCGTTCATAATCTCTCTCGGTATTTGCAGTACCCAGTCGAAAAGTTGATCTGGTTTGGCAGGCGAATCTCAGGTTACGTATCTTATTGCAACGGCAGCTTTGAGAGAAACAATGAGAATGGTCAATTTAGCGGTCCACGAGGTGCAACTCGCTAATAAAGCACGTAGTAGTTGTAGTGCATTCCTGGAATGCTTTGACCACCCAACATTCCACGGCGCTGTTTTATTCGGAAGCCTTGAATTCTGTGGATACTGAACAATTCTTATGGTGAGCTTTCTGGATCTCCAGCAAACAAATTCGAAATGCCTCCAAAACCCTGGGTTGAGAAAGAATTGGAACTGGCGGGTGCCCAAGGCAGGTTCCCTTTAGAAAGTCTTCCGGCAGGATACTAATAAACAACCAGGAGCTGGTCGCACACACATACCAGATCTGAAGGGGGATCTCCACTGCCTGTTCGCACGCAAAAACTGGATCAAAGTGACAGAAGAGCACTATCAAACACTTCTGCCATCTATGCAACTAGCTTCCAGACTTATTGAGGTTGGTATGCCGTATGTTGCTAGTTTCTTGCCATCCGACGGTATTACCTCGAAGACAATATCACCGGACGATGATGCCATAAGCTACGAACAAATATCCCTTAAGGAAAGCGTCACAAAAGGCGGAGTAACTGCAGCAAGATTAGAGCTCGAAAAAATCGCCGACAACGTTCAATGGGAAGTGAACCCGGATATATTTTCCAGCATGAACTCCTGGGGTACAAGTATTCTTACGCAACAAACGCAACCATGGTCGTATGAAAATACTGAAATGATCCGCGCCTCCGACACAGCTCTCAGAAATCGAGGTAAAACTCGGCGTTCGATTATCATAGGAATTGCTACTCAGTATATCGATACTATCATCAACAATCCAAGGGACAGCGAACATCATCTTCGCGCAGTATGGCACGCAGCCCTCACAATGGTTCACGAAGTCGGCCATATAATTTGGAATCATGACTTCAATCATGTCCCTGAGAGGGGTGAGCCACATGTAGGAGACATGTGTTGGGCAGAACTCGGGATTGCTTTTACAAGCTGGCTCTTCTCTGGTAATACTCCCACTACCATCCCAACCGTCCATTATCTAGAGGATCCGTTTGATCGACCGCTCATCTGGAGACACGATAAAACTTTGCGGGATGTTGAGTTTCTTGGGGTCAATAGTCGCCCTTTTTATGTTACCTACTGGTCAGTGTCAACTGAATTCTTGGAAAAGACATTGTCTCAGAAATTCTGGGATGACATAGGCAGTCCAAAGAGCATGGGGTTCTCAGCTAAGGCAAGAGCGAGGATACAGCCAGTCATGTCATCTGGAACGCCAAAGCCGGCAACTGCAATGATTCTAGATTTCACCTACGACGGCATACATCCGCTGCGTTGGCGAAGCGAGTGTTTGGATCGTGGGCCGAAGCCAGATACACTCAGTCAACTCACCATGATGGAACTAGAGTTTGCACGGGTAGAGATGGAAGAGGAGAAAGATGCCATAAGACGTATGCGCCGTCGGAATTCTCAGCCTTACTCTGTGCAAGACTCATACTCCACCAACAATCTCTTGGGCCTAGAAGAGGACGTGATAGAGCCGGACATGACAACGTCCATCGATCACGAGAATTCTTCTACTAGAATTGAAGTTCGAGTTCTTGCTGACGATAACCATCTCAACGTTGGCACATCGACAAGTGTAATGAGTGCAGCTTACGACTTCTTTCTGGAGTATAAGAAGGGCGATAGTAGAGATTTCTACCGCGAGTTGACATTAACGCACGAAGCAGAAGTCGACAAGATACTCATACGGACCAGTCCTTTGTTCATCTCAAACAGTTTTACACGCTTGGAAGCTCACCAATTCATCCTCGACCACGATCTTCGAATTTGGAAACCACTCAAACCATCTCAACTTTGGCAGAAAAGTAAGTTAGATCGACATAACCAAGAGGATCGTGTTGTGATATCTCGGATTCGAAACTATCTGCTCTACCAACGTTTCAACAAACACAAGTGTGAGGCACGGTGGCATCAGAGTGTCTTGAAAATCTTCAAGAAAATAGCTGAATCTGCTTTGACGTGGTGTGTAGAAGACCATACCCAGTATTGTGAGATACATGACATTCCAATCGAATTGACCGATGACGATAAAAAGATCTGCTTAAAGGTCTATAATCATCTTCAGGAAGACTGCAAAAGATTCCAGCGGGAGAATCATCTATGGGATGATAATGGGGTTGAATACTATGACCCTATACGAGCTGCCGCAAACGTTACAACCGAATGGATCAAAGAGGATTATACCCACTTCTTCAGACAGCATCACTTGCCAGTGTGGGGAACAGAGGAAGTGCTGATCGAACGCTACTACGCTTGGAAATGGGAGCTCGAGAACGGGCATACACGTCCTGGAAACGGACTTGGAAAGCATGTTTCCCGAATAAATTCCATCAATTGGAATATTCTTGTCTTCCATCTGGATGTCAACAATACGTCAATTGAGGCCATAAAGTCAGCAATCTATACCAAAGGGACATTCCCAGCGAATTGCGAGTTTGAACTTCGAATTCCGAATGAAGAACGACCTCTGGAAAATGACAAAGCACTTGGGTTGTACACTACCGAAGGTGATGGACGAAACCCCCTTGTCATGCCTGATCTGCTAGAGTTGGAAGTGATTGAACGCCAAAGTCGGAAAGTACATATCGACAAGCGAAAGCGAGGAAGGAGCGGATCTACTCAGCCGCCACTCTTCAACAAACGTCAAGCCATACACCGAGATAAAGCTTATGCTCGAGAGTCAGCGTACGATTCTCTCGTCGAGACTATTCCGCATGCACCATCCCCTACTATCGCCGAACGCCTAGCATCTTTATCTGCAACCTCTAATCTCTTTTGTCGAGCTATGTTACCCGACAGTGAACTGACCGTACTTCGTCCCAATGATGGCTACAACCAGGCTGTTAAATTACCAGCGACAGTACTATTGAGCCAAATCAAAGAGGCAGAAGAATTGTTGGGAAAGAGGGTTGGCGATCCGGAACACAAGCAAAGAGAATTAGAACACCTCCATTCAGTAGAGGGTTCCAAGAAATCGGCAATGAGTAGTTATATGTCACAGATCAAGAAAGGAATTAGAAGAGAATATTCTGCTAGTGGTGTTGAGAACCAGAGGTTGCGGGAGAAAGCTTTGAGAGAGGTGTGTTCCCAGCATGTTTTTCTGTTCTTCTGTTCGCCTGTTAACGCAAAGGTCAAATTTAAAACTCAAGCTGATACTTGCACTCTTTTCACAGTTGTACTCGAAATTAAAGTTAGCGAGTCGTGCTGCTTCTTCTGGACGGGTGGGCCGAAATGGTCCGCCTAGGTATGTCGGAGGCGACGACCCATACCCGGACTTCAAGGGGAAGGTGATTTACGACGAAGCCACTGGAGTGCCATATCCCGTTCCGTATCGTGATATAGCACAGTTTTGATAGTCATCATTTAGCCGTCTCAGAGAGGAAGCTCTCAGAAAAATTCACCTGCGTAATTTGTACTGAATGATTCACCCACGTTTCGATTAGTCGCGAGTGTAGCAACGTTTCAATATGTCCATTTAGCTCCCATAATCTAAATGAAGTGTACTTACGTAATGTCTTATGATTTGTACAATAGTCCGTCTACCATTTCACCAATAGCCAAACTGCTAGTCAACCCAGGACTCTCAATCCCAAGAAGATTGATGAAGCCTTCATATCCATCCTCTTTCTGAATGATAAAGTCCTGAAAGCCTTTTCCACTTGCCACTGCACTGTTGTGGCCCAACTTGGGCCGAATGCCAGCATAATCGGGCTGAATAGCATCCTCCTGTATATCAGGCATAAATTTTTTGATCTGCTCGATGGCCTGGGGTAAGCGCTCTGAGTTCACAGCTAGATCATGAGGCGAGTCAACCCATTCAACATCCGGACCAAAGCGGATACGTCCACCAATATCGAGAGTTAGATGTGTTCCTAAGCCACCGAGACCGGGCTCAGGAGCTGGATATATCAGATGTTTGGTTCTAGGTGTGGACGCAGCGTACGAGAAATAGTTTCCTTTGGCGTAGTATGGAGTCCGATGTCTTGAGGTGGGAAGAATCATGTTATTAATCTCGCAGGCGCCAAGTCCTGCGGAATTAATGATCACTTCTGATGTGAAGGTGCTTTCTTCGCCGCTGGATGTATCCCGTGTTGTGATTTCCCAACCTGAAGTGCCATGGTCACCCAGTGCTTCGATTCGAACGACAGGGGAATGAAGAGCAGTATCGCCCCCTCTTTCTTCAAAATCACCTAACAGGAACTGCATGTATGAATGCGAGTCTATTATTCCTGTGGTTGGCGATGCCAAGATTCCGGCCTTTGCTTTGACATATGGCTCAACTCTTGCCGCTTCTTCAATAGAGATGAAATGTGTAGGCGTGCCTTCGATCGTCTGGGTAAACTTATTAAGCTTTGTAAGTTCTTCCCATTGCTGTTCTGTTTGCGCTACAATCCACTTTCCGCAATTGTTATGAGGAATGGAATATTTCTCACACAGCGCATACATCATCTGACGACCTTTGACACAAAGCAAGGTCTTCAGGGAGTCAGCGCCATAGTATAGACCAGCATGGATGACCTGCAAGAAAGTACATTAGCATTATACTTCTACTTGGTGCGTTGCCTACTTCTGAATTCCTAGAACTGGTCTCCATTCCCACCGCACCGTTGCGTTCGATGAGGATGGTACTCGTACCCTCGCGTGCAGCTAACCGTCTCGCAATAGCCAAGCCGACGGCACCCCCTCCAATTACCTGATCGTTCGAAGGACATCAATAAATCATCACATAATTACATGTTATCACAACATCGGGTGCACTCACGGCATGAGTGAAGTCAGCCTGTGTCGACGCTGAACTCGTGAACCCACGCGTCAGGATCCCACTCGTAAAGCGGCCACGCAGCGAACGAGAAAACATTGTGAATAGTTACCGCCTCCTCATTTGTATCTCAATTGACCAGTTCGCAACAATTGTACCCCAAGTTGTAAAAACAGGCCCGTAAATGATGAGATGGGAAGCCGGGCGACATCGCAGGGCTTACGTGGGGTAGTGCGGAAGGCTTGGCTCTCCTGATAGGTCTTAACGTGCTCTCGCACTAGACGTAACAAAACCATAAATTTTACTTCATCTCGAGATCGAAACCTTTATTCATAGTCATAGCCTATAATTAGTAATTGGGATAGTAACTGATGAACTATTTTAGGCCGAATTAGTTCCCTGGGAAGCTAGCCAAAGCAGTTAATTATTACGGCAAACGAGCGTTGTGTTCTGCTCCTATCACTAGCCTCTACTTAAAGACAGACCAGGCACAACATACCATACTCATTAGATTCGTAGATTCGATAGCTCGGAGTCTGGACGGGGGAGGGCACGGTTAAACTTAGGAAAGGGCTAGGCTTAAGGCACTTATGATAGAGCAATAACAAAAAAATTATAGCCGAGTCTGCTAGATTCCTAAGCCCCTCCTACAACATCTCCATACCGGCCACTGTCCTCAAAATTTGGCACTTTCCAAGGCCCTATGGTGTTTCCTTTCAGAATATTCTGAAGGCGAGAAGCATAGTCCTCGAATTCAGGGGTGACTTTAAGTCCCTCTTTGTTGTAGAGTTTCAGACTCAGTCCATGATATTGTTTGAACTGAGATAACGGGGCAGCCCATGCCCCAACATAAGCTTCTTCTTCGTCTTCATCCTCATAACTTTCCTCTTCTCCGCTCCCATTATCGCCCCGAGGGTTCCACGGAGGTCGATCGCCATCGACTGCCAGTGAGTTATTAGACATGACACGGAGAACTTGAACCGGGCATAAACTTACGAGGCGGCTCTTCTATAGCGATATCGACTCTGGGTTCTCCCTTCCATCTCAAGCCCGCAATGCTGACATCCCAGCTAGTATTGCCTCGACGAACTTGGTATCTCTTGTGCAATCTGTCTTTGTTATTTTCGTAATAGCAACTCGAGTAATAGAAGGAGATAGGCATTTTCAGTTCTTCTGGCGGATCATCCTCTTCTGGGACCATGCGAAGCTAAGATGAAGTGTAAGAAGCAATTCTATCCAGGCTCAAGGCAATGACCTGGGAGATGACTTACACAGTTACGGGTCCAAGGATTACTAAAATAATTGCAAATGCTTCCCCAAGAGGAAGGAATGTATGAGTGATAGTGGGAATGACCGTGAATAAGCTCTGATGGAAGAGCGAATCTGAGATGCCTGATCGCTGCTCTGTCGGGCTCGGCGATTCCGAACAAGAACTCCTCAGCGACTCCCATATCAGCAAATTGGAATGCACTTCGAGAAAAGATTGTCGCTTCGTTTGTTGGCAACTCTAGATAAATCTGCTTACAGACTCTCTTGAAGGACGAGACTTCCACTGGGCCGGAAGTCATGCAATCGGTATGGTCTCCTATTCCAGGAGGACACGCTGAGCTTGCTAGACCGTTTGCAGCACGACATAAGTGCAAGTGAAATCGGGGTTTGCAAGGAGATACACTCGGCGCTTCCTCCTTCGCCTTAGTTACATGAAAGACATTTCCAGTCACTGCTTCCGCCCAGATTTTGTCACGAAGTTCGCGGGGCAGGCTCATAAGTCGAGAACTTGCTTGCTTCTCACAGGCTAGTCCATGGGCGGTAATGAGGCTCGCTTCTTTTTCGCTGACCATTTTGCATTGCTTGGGGAAGGCCGCCCACATGAATTCGTCGAAGCCGTCCACCAGATCAAGATTCCCCCAGAAGAAATTTTTGATTTGCGCAACTACTGCTCGACGGGGCGTTGGGGCTTCTTCGTAATCCTGGAGCAGCTGGAGGAAATCTAGGTAGATATCCCATTCTTCAGAAGCCTCATCATGTCCCTGCATTAGTGTCAACAGATACATTAGAAGTACAACGGGTAATGGGTGTAGATCTACCTTTATGCTCGGATCGCTTGGGAGTATCGCGGACTTGACCTTCTTAACATATTCGAACTCTTCTAACCTCGACGCATCAGGATAGTTTTCTAGACAGAGGAAGCACATGACAAAGTTCTGGCCTCTTCAAACCGACGATGGCAAAGTCTCCCTCCTTATTAGCGGCGAGTTGCGTCTTCTCTTTATGTATTCTCTCGCGGTCATCTAGGAGTGGCACAGGCGTTTGGGATCTGGTCGGTCCACTTTAAGTCCTAAAGTAGCAGGCAATCCGCTTTGGCGCCTGGAGCAATCACGAACTCACGTGCGTGTGGAGAGGTATGATTATTGTCTAGGCCTCTACTAGCCAGGCAGCAAGCAGTCTAGACTACGGTCGAAACTTCTTGCCTGCTTTGCTGGCTCTTTACTTGTCGAAAATCGGGTCGCGGTCGCATAAATTCCCATACAAATTGTGAACACACCTTTTCTATTCTTGATTTATCACCACAGCAAATTCTCCATCGTGGCTAGCTAGGACTGACAAGAAGACGCCACTCACCTCTAGCGCCTGTATTGTGACTATGGCTTGTACGATTGCTTATGTATAGGTCGACTATGACCAAGCTAGCATATTATTACTGACTTGTCCTCCTTCCAAGATTCCAGGTTGGATACATATCCAGCCTACCAAGAGACGCTCCAACAGAGAAAGCCAAATGACCTATGAATTAAGTACCCAATTACAGTGCCACCCACCCCAAGAATATTGTACAGATATGCTACAATTATACAGACTATGGCCCTTGCCGCGACTTTCTTCCACACTCCAGACGCCGTTGAGAAGCCGTTCCTATCGTAGCACAACGCTAGGAAAGATTTTCCGAGCTTGAATATCAACATGATACTCATGAATACCGTCTTCCGCGCCAATGTACCTACACCTAGTTGTTAGTGCATAGAACCCACACAAGGAAAATAGAACGTGGTACGCTTACAAGATCCTGCCATCGGCACTCCATGTGCAGCCCATCGTCTCCACGATTCGTGTCCGCGATACCACTCGTTGAGCTGGTAAGCTTTCGTCGCGATTTCGCGATTGCTCACCCGGAGGCACCCAGGGACGGCGAAGGCGATTTGCGAAATCACTTCTGTCCTCGGCCTCTATCTCAAGCCGCATCGGAGCAGATCTATCAGCCGAAGAATCTGAGGCAAATCGCGTATGATAGAGGGCTTCGAAGTCCGCCCACGGATCGTAGGGAGCACCACTCCCTATTGTAGATAGACGTTGCCGTGCCAAAGCAAGTCGCTCTAAGCTATTTGATTCATCTCCGTCATTTCTTGCTTCTCTTTCTAAAGCACTTTCAGCGGCTGCTAACTGAATCATATGAAGTCTCCTTGGCAGTTCTAGCTCGGCTTGCCCTCGCCGTTCTCGGTCGTGATTGCGATCATTGATGTACGATCTTATAGACGTCGCTGAACGCTCTGGATTCACAAATTCGCGTAGGGCTGGTGGTAGGTTTGCAGGTGTGACCCGCCTTTCTGCACTTCCCGTTCGTCCTAAATTGGCAGAATCCGACCTCAGGCTCCTCGATATCTCCACAGCAGATCCTCGAGACGCATTCGCGGCATTTGCCGCATCTCTTTGCCGGCGAGCAATCCCATGTGCATGTAGTACTTCGAGATCTTCTGTTGTAAGAGGAGCCTGACGTCTGTCCAACATTTCTCGGGCCAAGTGATGCCGTAACTGTCTACGCTCCGACTCCAGACCTTGTCGCCGTTCAAGCTCGGCGCCCAAATAATCTGGTGTTGTATTAGTGCCTGGTGAAGACTGATCTGCTCGAAAACTTCGTAATCTCGGATCTATCACATGGTCGGCTAGGCGTTCGGTGACAGTCTCAACTTCATCATCCAGAGATTCGACCTTGATAAGCTGACGAGAGAGACAAAAATTGCGCATATCCGCAACACAAAAAATGCTACTATGTTCAGTCCAAGTAAGAAGGTCGAAAGGCCCGGGCGAGAAAGCCATATCGCGAATAGCTCCAGCTTCAGGACCCGGTCTTGAGTTCGTAAAGGTCTTCACCAAAGCGTCGAATGTATCATCCGTGATTTTCTGTGCATCAAACAAACATACCGTGCCGTACTGGGTCGCAACGGCAAGATATTTGCCCGAGGGTGAAAATGCCACAGCGAAGCTCCCCTTCATGTTATTCGAGTCGCGCCGCTTCTGGCCAGGCAGATGTATACGCCGTCGCCGAACCCATTGGTGCTGGCCATTTTTCTTGTTCCCTTTGATGTGCGACACGACTCGTTCGTGTATGTAGAGATATGGATCATCACAGATAGTCGCAAGTAGTACACCGCTCGGAGACAGAACGGATCGGTTTACACAATCTGGTAGAACCAGTTCTTCCAGTACATCTGATGCCGAGATATCGACGATTGAGACTGAGAAGTCGTTATTGGAGAGAACCGCTACCGGTACATTGTACGCGTTCTCTGAAGCATCTGGATTTGGTGACCATAATTCAATACAATTGACTACCTCTTCTCCGATTTTCGACGTCTTCGCACTCAGAGGACCTCTCGGAATTCGCGTTGCTAGGAACGACTCCGAAGTGGAAATTGTTTCCCTCAAAATCGAGCGACTGGAAGGGTCGAGATCTAATGGTAATCGAGCATCAGGGTCGGCGTCTGCTGTAGTGGATGAAGACCCAATGATCCTCCGCTTGCCTTCATCTAGGCAGACTGCAATGTACTTTCCATCGTCCCCGCCACAGCACAACCAATCTTTTGAAGCAATGAGACATCGTGGATCGAAGGACAACGTAGCGACCACTTCCCTTTCGCGATTGTTTGTGTCGAGTCTGAAGATTTCGCGGCCGCTAGGGTAGAAGATTATGCCTTGTTGCGAGGAGCTGATGAGTGATTTCAACTGCCAGTGACTGCGCGGGGTTCGTTAGAAAGCCGAATGAGGTTTGCTCATGGAAAAATTAGATTTGCATACTCTGTTTTGATCAGGGCGCGGTAATGTTTGCGGGGTTTGAAAAGGATTAGCCCTTCTGTTTCGTGATATCTATTGTGGGACCAGGTCAGTATTTGCGCATCTGATAGCTCGTGTATTTCCAGAGCAGTTCTCACACTCACAAGCTTTCATTTCTGACAGCCATGCTCAGCGCCGCCTTGCCCGCAATACGTAAGTGGCATTAACGATTTAGAGTATTGAAAATCGGATGGCAGTAGATGATCTTGATGTCGCAGCTCCCCATGGGTTTGTACAAGGATATCGTTGATGGTAACAAAGTTGAAATCCGAGAGAAAGAAGTCCAATGTTGCGTGACCGTGATACGTCAATCATGCACAAGGGTTCGAGTAGCAGCTGTGTGAAGAAGGCCAGGCCTAAGGCTGAAAAGTGCGAAGCATATATTTGACTGCCGAGGATTTGCCCGGAAGGAGAATGGCATCCATGTAGATTCTAACACCAATTGTTCGTCATTCAGCAAAGTAGAAAAGATATAACTGTGTTAAGGCTCATCACCTACGAGTACAAGCGTATCATTTGCAAAATTGCCATGCTTCCCAGGTACTGTGCTGTACAAATATATTCGACTAACTGCTCTACGACCGGCTCCGAAGCTCCGAGCCGGGGCAAGGAAGCTGGCCCGCTTTTGTTATCCCTGCTTCGAATGTCATCGAATCGAATTCTAGCGCGCTCGATGAGCCGGCTAGCGCATTTTTTCCAAAGAACTCTCATGCTGAACTTTTTTCTCCGACATCATTTACATCTCAAACCATCCTCTCCTTTTACTGCAATTATCTGCTTCATCTCTTCCGCCACCCATTTACAATAATAATTCTTCTCTTGTAGTAGTAGCAACTGCCACTAATATGTTGTCCTCCAGAATAGCAAGAGCTGTAAGTTACAAAGCTTCATTGATGATGGCGTGAACTGACATCTTTCTAGCTTCCAAGAGCAACTTCTTCAGCGACACGATCCTCAATCCGCGCACCATTTGGATCTTCTTTTGTACGATATAATTCAGATGGCGGCGACAAGAAGATCAAAGGACCAGTCATAGGTATTGATTTAGGTAAGTCATCGACACACGAGATACGCCCCTTGCCATCAAAAAGTCATCGCATATTAATCAGCGGTACAGGAACTACCAACTCAGCTGTGGCTATAATGGAAGGTTCATCAGCAAAGATTATCGAGAACTCAGAAGGTATGAAATCAGCCCTTTACCCCCTTATTTTGCCCCGCTCATATCTTCGATTTAGGTGCTCGAACAACACCATCAGTTGTTGCGTTTACTCAGGACGGCGAGCGGTTAGTTGGTGTTTCAGCAAAGCGACAGGCAGTCGTAAACCCAGAGAACACTCTGTTTGCCACAAAGCGATTGATTGGACGCAAGTTCACCGACGCCGAGGTACAGCGGGATATTAAGGAAGTACCATATAAGATCGTTCAGCACACAAATGGTGACGCATGGGTTGAAGCTCGTGGTCAGAAGTACTCTCCATCACAAATCGGTGGTTTCGTTCTACAGAAGATGAAGGAAACCGCTGAAGCTCATTTGGCTAAGGGCGTGCAAAATGCTGTCGTGACAGTCCCTGCATACTTTAACGATTCTCAGCGTCAAGCCACCAAGGATGCTGGACAAATCGCCGGTTTGAACGTTTTGCGAGTTGTCAACGAGCCAACTGCTGCTGCCTTGGCTTACGGCCTAGAGAAGGATGAGGACAAGATCATCGCGGTTTACGATCTTGGTGGAGGAACTTTCGATATTTCCGTTTTGGAAATTCAAAAGGGTGTTTTCGAAGTCAAGTCTACCAACGGAGATACCCACTTGGGAGGCGAAGATTTCGATATCCATTTGGTCCGACACCTCGTGCAACAATTCAAGAAAGAGTCCGGTATTGATATCTCCAATGACCGTATGGCCATCCAACGTATCCGTGAGGCTGCAGAGAAAGCAAAGATTGAATTGTCATCTTCAATGCAAACAGACATCAACCTTCCTTTCATCACCGCAGACTCGTCCGGACCAAAGCACATTAACTCTAAGCTTTCTCGATCCCAGCTTGAGAAGCTTGTTGATCCCCTCATCACTCGTACCATCGACCCTGTCCGAAAGGCATTGAAGGATGCCAATCTAGCAGCAAAGGACATCCAAGAGGTCATCTTGGTTGGTGGAATGACCCGTATGCCAAAGGTCAGCGAGTCTGTGAAGAGCATCTTTGGTCGAGACCCAGCCAAATCAGTGAACCCTGATGAGGCTGTCGCTATGGGAGCTGCTATCCAAGGTGGTGTCCTTGCTGGTAACGTCACTGACGTTCTCCTTCTTGATGTCACACCTCTGTCCCTCGGTATCGAGACCCTTGGAGGCGTTTTCACCCGTCTCATCAACCGCAACACCACTATCCCAACCAAGAAGTCCCAGGTCTTTTCCACCGCTGCCGATTTCCAGACCGCTGTCGAAATCAAGGTGTACCAAGGAGAGCGTGAGCTTGTCCGTGACAACAAGATGCTCGGAAACTTCCAACTCACTGGAATCCCACCTGCACACAGAGGTGTTCCTCAAATCGAAGTCACCTTCGACATTGACGCTGACGCTATCGTCCATGTCCACGCCAAGGACAAGGCCACCAACAAGGATCAGTCTATCACCCTTGCGTCTGGCTCTGGTCTTTCTGATCAAGAGATTCAAAACATGGTGGATGATTCCGAGCGATATGCCGAGTCAGACAAAGAGCGCAAGGCCTCTATCGAGGCTGCTAACAGATCTGACAGTGTTCTCAACGATACAGAGAAAGCTCTCAATGAGTTCTCTGACAGACTTGATAAGACCGAGGTCGATCAGATCCGCGAGAAGATCGCTACATTGAGAGAGTTCGTTTCCAAGAGTCAGTCCGGTGAAGGAAGCGCGACCGCTGCCGAGCTCAAGGAGAAGACCGACGAGCTTCAAATGGCCAGCTTGAACTTATTCGACAAGATGCACAAAGCACGTGCTGAGTCTGGCGAGGCTCCACCTGCTGGTGAGGCGAACTCAGCTGAGGGCGAGGCTAAGGATGGCGAGAAGAAGCCATAAATAGCGCCATGAGGCAAAATATTCCTTTCTCTTTCCAGCGTTTTCACGGCGGCTCATCTAGACTCCTATCGTCTTGTATTCACCTGTACTCATATGTTGCGCATACGCGACTCTTCTCTGTTGTTATTCATACACCCCGTTTGATCATTGCTTTGGGGCAAAGGCGTTAGTTAGAGCATTCATTGCTTGACGCTCGGAATTTAGCGTTCAAAGATCTGTGTAAAAGGTGGTTTGTTTGTGTAAAGGACACTGGAACAAAATCAGACATCACTGTAGCTGTATAAAATTAGGATACGACCACGAATAATATGACATCCCCTCTCGAATCAATCTACAATTTCTTGATTCGTCGTCACGAAGTAAAGCACGGGCTACAATGCAGGATGCATATTCAGAAGGGAAGGATGAAAAGCCTCCCCGCCTTGCTAGCTTAGATAAAACGGTCCGTATTGTAGAATAGATTCAAATTTGTTGCACTTCGCGATTCCTTATTGAACGTATCCTGGTCAAATTGATAGGAGAGTCTCGATGCTATCCAGCTCGTGCGGTTTTGCTCGGATCTTCTCCGGGTTTTCAACAAGTAGTACATCAACGAGCGAAGAAACAGACCTGACAGAAAACAAGATGGCTGAGCCTCCAATTTGTAAGAAAAAAAGACAAAACCACATTTTTCTTCAGCATTATCTCAATAACAGACCTATAATAGATACATTCAGGCTATATCACGGAGGCTGGGGCTGCAGATCTGGTCGCGTTGGTGCGAAAAGAGGCGAGATCAAAGCACTTAAGAAAGCAATCAAGCCGTAAATATATCCCGCATGTGCCTCGACCGGATCATGAATTAGTTTAAATTGAAATTCCGAATTGTCTCATTACTTTGTCTGACATGCTTGATATTGCACTTGTGCCAATGGAGACGAAAAAAGGTGATCGACTGTGGTGCGGCGATCAAGACAGATGATATATCACGTGCCGATTACTAGCGACTTCAATCCATGCTTCGCACTTTGATAATAATTGGGGCGGACGAAACCTCACTCGACATCTCGTTGACTCTACCTAACCAACGACTTGGACAACCCAGAGGTTTTTGACCCAAGCATTCTGTAAACGCATAAAATCGCGCAGACATAACACACCCGAATAGAGTTTGCTTTTCAAGCCTACAAAATGTCGAAGGCCGTAAAGTATGCCCCTCACCTTCCGCCACATTTTCTTTTCGTCCGGTTTCTAACACGTCTGTAGCCAGCAGCAACAGGACTGGGCTGACGACGAGGACCTCGATGATCAAGTTGACGCCCTCCCTGCGCAAACGACCACCACGAACAAAGATGGCACTAAGACGATCATAACTTGGAGGTTTAACGATGAGGGGAAGAAGGTCAAGACAACCCGCCGGATACGATTTACCACTCATAAGGAAGTTGTCAACCCACGCGTCGCAGAGCGGAAAACATGGAACAAGTTTGGATTGTCTGCTAAGGATGGAGCTGGTCCTGCTTCAGATACCACGAGGTAAGCCTTTTGTGTAAGTGGTGGCGCTTGGGATCTGTACTGATCTCGTTGCAGTGTGGGAGAAAACATCATATTCCGACCAAGCTCAAATTGGCGAAAGGATGCGAAGGAGGAAAAGCCAGCAGCTGATAGCATGAGAGAGCAATTGAAGAACAAGTCGGTCAAGTGTCGTATTTGTGCTGGAGAACATTTCACATCGAGATGTCCATTCAAAGACACCATGGCACCAGTCGGCGAAGAGGGTTCAGCAGATCCGGCAGCAGGTCCAGCGGATGGGGACGGACCGTCAGCAGCTGGAGGTCTCGGTACAGGAAAGAGCTCATATGTTCCTCCACATATGCGAAACGGTGGTGCGAGTAGTGCTGGTGACAGAATGGGTGGTGGCAAGTATGAGAGAGATGATTTAGCAACCCTCCGCGTTACAAACGTAAGATATCCCATTTTTGTTTCATCTTGTTCTTGCGGCTAATCAAATGTTCAGGTTTCCGAAATGGCTGAAGAGCAAGAACTTCGAGATATGTTTGAGCGATTTGGTCGCGTCACTCGTGTCTTCCTTGCGAAGGACAGAGAGACCGGTATGGCGAAGGGCTTTGCATTTATCAGTTTCCAGGAGCGTACGGATGCTGCAAAGGCGTGTGAGAAGATGGATGGTTATGGTTTCAAGCACTTGATTTTAAGAGTTGAGTTTGCCAAGAAGGCTACTTAGATTTTTATGTTGGTACATGTACTTTAATGCAAAGGATCTGAATGATGAAATTTGCCTTTCCATTGCATGATTGTCTCTTCTAGCTCGTAGCTACAGCGTCTCTACACGCTTCAGTTTGCGCTTTTTATGTGTGCTTTGTAGCCCATGATGTACCCGTTCCTTTTCCAGGATGTGTGTTCGAAAGCGTGTGTTATAATCTAGAAATGTGACTTGGATTTCCTTCACAGATTTCGACCTGAGCCATGCCTCGGTCTTCTTCTCTTTACCAGAATCGCTGCTGTTGCCCAATGAAGCCCCTCAAATTTATTGTACATATCGATGTGTATCAAGGTCACCAATTTACATCGAATTCCAGATACTGACCCTCCAGGAAATATGTTTATTGAGCTAGATGTCTATATCTGTTTACAGCTTGCCAAATGCCAGTGTCAACGTGTTGATGACCTTCACCAAGTCAGATCTATGCCATACAATTCTTAATACGAAACATGTGTATGTTGGTCTAAAACTGTGTTGGTCGCTGTCAAAACGCGGGAACATTCTCTTGCGAACTTTTTACTGAGACGAAGAGAGTCAGATATTCGCTTCTTAGAAAACTAGGGAGATCCTTCGTCAGATGATCTAACTATAAAGAGAGTCTCTTATCAAAACTGCTATTTTTCGGTTAAGAGTATTTTTTTCTTTTTTGAAACAAAGAAACATGTTTGGGTATTTAAACAAGATTCCAATAACTCCAAAGCTCCTGATAGTACACCACGTATATATATAAGATGTTTAACCTTCGTAAGGTACATCTTACAACTCTCTCATATAAACATGTCCATCACCCTTACCTTCCTTCGCGCCACCATCTCTGCTGATTCCAATATCTACACCTCCCCACTCCGCTATCTCGCCCCTTTCAACAGGCGGCGGAATCTTGGGCTCGGCGGTACCAGCACGTACACGCAGTGCTTCGTTGAAGTCCATCATTTGGTTGTCGCCGTTTCTAGAGGGCGGAAATTCGTCTCGAGGTTCTTGCGAGTGGAGTGAGTGGGAGTGGCTTAATGTACGAGAAGGTGTGTATTGTGTGTACGATACGTAGGTGAAGTGTGGTGTTGGGGTTCGTGGAGAGCCAAAGATGGAGGGGAGGTAGTGGGTGAAGAATGGTTTACAGGCTGGAATTGAAGCGCATATCTAAAGCTCGTTGCTCAGTCCGATGTCTCATTAGATGCAGAGGAAGTACAGGCACTTACGATACCAATATACAATTCCAGCGATGCCCAGACCCATACTGGGTAACTAGCCCATATCTTATCCCAGGTCCTACTAATCTCCCAGGTATAGTATGTTCTCATTCCCCCGGCTACACAGCTGAGGAAACCAAAGGCGAACAGTATTACCAACGGAACGGTCCTTCGTGACGGTAAGAGTTTCCGAATGTGTAGGTCGGAAGAAATACTCTGCGGATGATGTGAAGGCAGCTTCAAATTCCAAACTGTCCTAATGGGTAATAATACAACAACGAAGTCCGTTAAAGTGTTAATGATTCCTGCAACCAAAAGAGAAGCAGTATCATCTATACAGTTGGGATTCCTCTCCGCTGTGACAGCCCAAGATGCGCTAATGGGTCGGCATTGGAACAAGACTGTGAGACAGAAGATTGTGCCTTGCAACCCAACAATCCAAATGGCGAAAAGGGTGAGGCGCCGCCAGAAAAGTGATGCAGAGGCAAGGATTCGTCGGACCAAGAGGAGCATGGAGAGTTTTGTCAGCGTACAGGCGGCAGCAAAGACAATCTCAGTTGCTAAAACCATTTTCAGGCCACGAGGGATGTCACTTGCAGGAATATCGTACTTTTTGTGATGTTAGCGATTGTAGCTTGTGAAATTACGTGCGACAACTTACTGAATGTCGCGTCCAGAGAAATTTAGTGTCTGCTAGTATGCTTATAATAAAAAACGCGGTTGTAGGAAGCTAGCCAGCATCCATCAGTAACGTATTCCTAATATTCCCATCCATTCAATCTGCGTTCTTGAAGACTCTCCTATCCCAAGTCGTGATTAGGAAAACTCACCAACGCGACCAAAATGAGGACATCATCGGCTCCAAAGATTTTCCTCAGATAGGTTCTCGTAAAAATCCTCAGCCCCACAAAGCAAAGCAAGATCGTGTACAACACCACGTTGAGCACGATCTTGAGGTTTCCCCGCGTTTCTGGATTTACATAATTCGGTTTAGGCCACGCGTTCAGGACTGATGAAGGCGGTCCCTGCATCTCTCATGCTCGTTGTTGAGGTCCCTGGGTTGTGGTGTCATAAAGTATACATTGCCCACCGAAAGACGCCGTGCAAGGTAAGCAAGGTGAGCGAGAGGGAAAGGAGGTGGATTTGAGCTGGAAGACGTGGATGTTATCAACGGAGAACGAGAGACAAGACCGCCCCACGCCTTGATCGTACGTTCAAGGCACAGCGTTCACATAAAGTAGCTACCTTACTTCAGGTGCTTTGTGTGGACGAAAATTGATTGGGGTTGGACGACGGCCTGTCAGCGAATGCCGGACTGCAACCTTGACGGTGGCTAAGCAAGGAAGGGGTTGGCTCCTTCGAAAGCGCAAAATGGTGAGAGATGTACGGAGTACACTCTGCATGTGCGACTGATATTGCATTGGTACAAGGGCTGGATGTTTCTTGTTTTGGATTTTCCGCGCGAGTTAGGTGTCTCGCAGCTTTCGCGTGGCTGAAGGGAAGTGCCGTTGTAGTAGATGGGGGTGAGATTCTGGGGTCAGCTTTGATAAATGGAAACCCTACTCAGTATATTATCCGTGGAGCTGGAATTCTGGAACGGCCTCTTGACAGCAAAGAAGGAAAATACACCCATCAATACCTCTCCTTCCCCAACACAGTCTGCATAAGATATCTAAACCCGACAATGTCATTATACCATGTAATGTCTCCGGTTCATGCGATTATGATCCGGGGTAGATTCAACCTCTCGTAGCACAAATAACGCCACTGTCACACGATACGCCCTCATATTGTCAGAGCGCGGCCCAACACAATTATGATAAATCTGCTTGTGCTCAAACAATAGCCCAATATTATTCCTTGTGGCATTATTTCGAGTCTCGACGACCCGGTTTCGTCCTATTCAAGAAGCGCCATTTTCAGCCCTTTCTGATTCGATACCACGCTATGCAAATTACTTCATTCGAGAAACATCGATGAAAATGTCTCATTCATCACGGAGTATTCAGTCAATGACATACTCTTTCAAGTTCGTCTGCATTTCAACATCATCCAAAACCCATCGCTCTCCACTCTCCAACCCAACAAGATCCCCTTGAACCAACGAACAATCCAACTGCATCTCTTGATCCAAGCGATTGAATAAGCCATCAAACGAGCCCTGAGTGAGGTGGACACCGCCATTCGCGGGCTGATGCGGTGCTCGTAGTCCCGGGCCGCCCAGTTGAAGATGTTGGAGCGTAGGGAGTCCAGTGATGAAGTTGCCGAGTTCAATTTCAGTGGTAATGATGGACTGAAGGTTCAGATATTCGAGTTTATCGAGGTTAATTTCGGCGTCAAGTATGTGTCTGAAGAGGGGAGAGATATCGAATTTTCTCCTGCCGTAAAAGATAAGTGAAAGACGCTGCAGTTGTGTTGCGGAACCGAGGACATTGGATATGTTCTGAATACCTTTGACGTAATGTATACGATCTGAGTCGTGAGAGTCTATACCCAAACTCAAAGTCGTAAGGTTGTTGGCAACAGGAAAGAATCGATCCAATGTTTCTTGTTGCTGAGTGAAGAACTGAAATGGCAATCTATCATGAGACAAGCTCTTCAACTTAACAACCTCGAGATTTGCCGACAATGCAGTCATGATATCTGTAAATCTATCTGATGTAGCAGGTCTATCAAGATGTCTCGTACTTGGTATCTTCCATACCTGCTCTAGCAGATCCAATTCCTCTTCGCCCGGGAAAGGGAACCGCATAGATTCGATATCCAAGGTGTCGAGGTTGCACAACCCACCAACTATCCGAGTCAGCCTGTCTGGTTCGCAGGACTCGGGAAAATATTGCTCTCTCAAAGCTTTAAAACGGAGATATGCCGCCCACTCCAAGAAGTTAGCATGTGAATGTTTGTATTTCTCAAGAGGAAATAAGGGTGTCTAAGATTCTAAGAATGAAACTCTCTCGCAGCCAATTAGAGCCGGAGCTTAGAAGGCAGAACAAAGGAAAAAGTCGTACTGTCGATTCTTGCCCCGGACCTCTTGCCTCGGGCTCCCAAGTAAATTGCAAAAAATATATATTATGACGGGCGTGATATTCGTTGATTGCCGCAAGATTTATTCTCAGAGTGTGAATTTGGTGACAAAAAGACGGATGTTGAGATATTTTCTCTAGCCGTATTGTATCTGGACGGTGGGGGAAACTGGTGAATGTAGAAGGCATAAGATATTCTGATCCTACGAGACCCCATACTTGCGAGACTTGTCGGATTGACTTGACCGATTCGAAGTCAAGATAACTAAGAACATGCCGACGGATCTCGACAGGAAGAAGCATCATCTTAAATGCACAATTGATGAAAGACGTAGAAGTAACTGGATGCCTGTTGTCCCTAACTTTTTATCAATATATGCTCCATTACACTCCGGAAATATAACCCCAAGAGTGCATGTCACCGTATAGGACAACGTACTCAACATATATACATGAGGCTGAGTGTATGAGGCTGAACATAAAACTCAAAAACGACGGGAGCACGAAAAAGGAATGTGATACAAGGACAAGGCAAACGCAGACCCCTCTCTTTCCCCACGAGAGAAGAGTGGTAAGATCTGCATCTCAACCCCACTTCAAGTAGCTCCACCTCACGTCCCACGGTCACGGCGCCCCTAACTCAACGACGTGCGAACCACGCGCCCTCTTGTCACGCCTCACAGCATGGCTTTCTTACAGTAAGGCATTCTTAATACCAGTTCGAAAACTATGTTAATTGAAATCTCTTGGGCAGGTCGTTTTTCAATCTCAGTCCGAGAACGCGTCTTGCGGTCGGCGCATCCTTCCTGGTCTGGGGCTCATTAGGTCTCTACATCACCGATTCGACAGAGAAGAAATTGGGGTTCGAGGCGTCAACAGACGACAAAGAGAGGCTGGCGGGTACATTGCCCAAAATAAGCGTGGTGGAAAGGACGGATCGAGGATGAATAGCAGATGGCAGGTTGTAAGATGAGGCCGCGTCTTGTTGGGGCTGTATGATCATGGGAAGGTCGGAAGGCATACCAAGAGAGCGAGAGCGATGAGCAAGAGACACAAGCATCGACTAGAACGGAGGGCTTTAGAATATGCCAAGTGGGCACGCAATACTCACCCACCATTCCCGAAGCTATACTTTGTACCAAGTAAAAGAAGCGCTACTCGCAAGGTGGCAGGGCACACTCGAGGACAGATAATGCTACAGCTGTTCTGGTAGGCTCGCAGCAAATTTTGCGCTTCACAATTCCGCACTAAGAATTGGAGAATTCGTTATAAACATATGTATGTGAACCTCGTTGTCTAGCGCAATTTTCATCATGATGGATTGGTATTAGCAAAGCCCGAAAAATGGCAGTACTTGTAATGAACGTTCTATTCATATGCTATTCGAATAAGCCGAAAGAGCATCAGCTTGATGCCAAAGGAAAATAATCGCGATAAAAAGTTCAGTTTCGTTTTTTAATGCTTCGTCAACCCACAGCAACCACCATATGCAATAGCCAAGTCCAAGCCCATTTCCCAGTCTAATGCAGCGCCTCGAATACCTTCTTAGAGATACTTTTGAACGACAGAATGCAACCCCGCCCAAATTTTAACAAAAGAAGATCCACCTGGCGAAAAATCTTGTCGGTCACCCCACCACTGTCGCAATCAAAACATCGAACCAGTTTTGTTGTCAAGGACCGACTTAGAAGAATCTCAAGTTCGTACAATGAAATTTTGCGCAAATTCAAAACGCCAACGCAATGCCACCTCGTAAAAGGTAAACCTCTAAAAGACGAAGACCACCCCTTTTTTGTTGCTCAGCCTTTAGCCGCTGCCAGTATGTACACCCATCACGGGAGAATCAATCTGCTTGTTGATAGGTTTGAAAAGTTGAGACATGTCCAGTGTTAAATCCCGCACACCGAATTCTTGATCGACATCATTGACAGACCCAGGTTCCTCCCCCCGCTCCGCGCTATCAGACGCTACAAAGCTTTGAACGTATCTCAGTAAATGCATGACCTGGGTGAAACGTTGGTCCGGAGCGATTTGCCATTCATTTCCACGGTTGTTCTTCATCAAATATTTACCAAGCCAAAAGAAATGTACCCCATCGCGGCAAAACCCGAAACGTCGATAACTCGTTGATGAAGGAGGGTATTGCACAGCCATATCCTCGTCCCAGACCTTCTTCCACTTGTCAAATGCACTATTAGTAGCCTTGAGCATTTGCTGGCTTTTCCCGCCGTCAACCGGGGTAGCTCTTCCACTACTAGTGGCACTGGGAACACCATCGACTCCTCTGACGACCCAGTCATTCTGTGTTAACGGCGTACTAGAACCACTGCCGGGGAAGGCCGGATTTTGAGAATTGCCGCCTTCCTGAGACATCTGCTTCTGGGCATTCCACAATTGAACATGAAGTGCATGAATCAAAACAAATTTAGAGTACAAGTTCGTAGTTCCAGCCTGAAGATCTATGTCGTTACGCATCAGGGTTTCTAAAGCGCTATGCATCTCCGGCTGCTTTAGTCGTCGACTGCCTGCTGGGTTTCGTTCTCGAGCTGGGACTGGACCGTTCAAGCCAAGTGCTTCCGCGCAGTGGGCGGCCGATCGAGCATCCCAAGCTGCATCATCGGCTGGCAAAGGAATTCGAATCTCAAGAGCCTCAAAAAGTGGAGAAGAGTTGAAGTACAGAACCATAGCGGCATCAGTAAGATATATCGCATACATCAATCGTGACCGCTTCTCTTGCTCAACCCAAGCGTTCCAGTTGAATTCGGCAGCAGTATGGGTTTCGCTCTTGATATGGCGTTGATGGTAGGCACTGAATGATCCTGTGGTTACTGGTGTTGTTAATCCCAGCTTCCTCGTGAGTGCAACAATAGAGGGGAACTGTCTCCGGGCACCCTCCCGTTGGACCGGTGTGCCGTGCCAGGTGAACAGAACTTGCATCATGTGAAGAGCGGTCAATTGTTCGAGATCAGTCTTGTAGGAAGATGAAGAGTCACCGCTGTGATCTTGAGAGAGGCTTCTAAGGAGGGTGGAATTACGCTCTATGACGGCCTTAGAGAATTCCATCATGTCTCGGACTTGGGATGGTGCCAGACGCTCTGAATAGACCGCGCCTATACAGATGATTCCCAGAAGTAAGGCTTCGTGCGCGTCGGTGATCCGGAATGTGGGCATATGAATTAGTGGAAAATGGCCTTGGAAGTTTGTGTATTTCTCCAAAAAGTGCTTAACGTTATCGGGAGTAAGATAGCTTTTTATTTCAAGGCCACGAGTAATTACTTGATTGTTAGGAAAGCAAAAGAAGTGTAGTTTGTTGCATACTTCCTGCATGGGATCATTTTGAAAATCCCAGGTAGGAAAATCGGTTGGAACAGGTAATCCACTCCCCGTTCCGGAGTAGACACCGCCGTACAGGCTGCTTTGCGGGTTGGGTTTAATGATCGATTCTGTTTTGATTGCGGATGGTTGCGACGTCGGTAAATTCTGATTGTAATGATTTATATAATTATTGTTTTGTGGTTGAGGGTTATACATTTGCGAGGAGTCGTGGTAACCATGCTGCTGACCAGCGGTGGTAGACTGATATACGTTTCGACTGCTCTGGAGGTACGACATGTCTACGTTCGATTGGGGTTGCATGCCGTTGCCGTGGGAAGAAAATTCATAGCCCTGGCTGTATGAGTGACCGTTCTGACCATTGGACATATACGCGAGTGAAGGATTCATACCATTCGGCATGGTGCTCGCTATGCCACCGGCGTAGTTTTGATCAAAACTACCCCGGCCCGAGCCTCCGGGTCCTGGCCCGGTCATGTTTCTTCTATCACCTCCACCTCCCGCACTTAGCCTCTTCATGCTGTTCGACCGAGATAAATGTTCTGCTTGCTCGTCTGTTAGGTTTGACGAAGCATCTGGCACGCTGCCATCGGGGATCACTCCGAACGGGTGGAGATTGGGGTCTTGCCCCATGTTGTTCATGCCGTTGTTACCCATACCATTGTTGTTCATACCGTTGACGCCCATGAGGTCGCCGTTGCTGGACATTGAACCCGTTGGTTTGTGAGGGCCAGGGTGTGACTTTTTGAGATGAGCCTGTGCGTGTGACAAGTGGCTCGCGCCTGTAGGGTTCCCGCGACGAATGGAGCACTTTTGGAAGTGACGCTTGAGGATGTCGCTTCTCGAAAATGTGTCTCTGCAGAGAACGCACATGTATGGACGGTCACCGGTATCTGCCCCTACGTTAGGCTCGTTGAGATGGAGAAATAAAGAGAAACTCACGTCTAAGAAGATGGCGCTTGAGATGTTTCGCATGAAGGTAAGTTTTAGTACAATGAGGACAAGGAAACTTTCCGTCGGCATCTTTTGCGGGAATCAAAGTGTTCTTCGCACCAGTTCCAGAAGGTTGTGGGGGAGGTCTACCTGGAGCACTTGGAAGAATACCTCGACGCCCTTGAGACCCAACGACGTGGGTCGGTGGTTCCATGTCTTGAAGCATCATGGTACCTTGACCATATGGAGACTGCATACCGGACATGTGCTGGAGGCCATTTGGTGGCATAGGTCTAAGCTGCTGAGGCATACGGTTCTGCGATGGGGCGGGAGCAATGGCTTGGGGTTGAGACATAGCAGTAGACGCTTGAGGCATCATCGGCGCGGATGTTCGATATTGTTGCGGTTGCTGCTGCTGCTGCTGCTGTTGCTGCTGTGGTTGGTAGCCATTGTTAGGCATCATGCCATATCCTCCGCGCGACTGAGCACCAATCTGTGGAAAATTGCTCATGTTGTTGGCGGACCCAGGCGTGCCAGGGGTAGCAGGCGTCCTCGGGGTGTGAGGCGCGCTGCCGTACATTGATTGCATCGTCGCGTGTTGCGAGTTTTGCAGCGGAGGCAACGTATGAGGCGGAATACCTGAATTCTGCTGTTGAAGCTGATGAGGTGATATACCTGGCGAAATGCCCGGCAAGGATGAGTACTGAGGATTGCTGTTGTTTAATCCGTTAGGATGGTATTGGTTGGCGTCCATAATCTTGGAAGCTCGAACGGGCGGTCTGTTGTGCTGAGAAGCATCCAACCCCTCAACTTGGTCACGTCACCGGTCGCGGGCGGCAGGTGCGGAGGATAAATCGACAGTCAAGAACGCTCACACAAACGTATCAACGCAGCGTATGAAGCTTGAGGGCACGTCGCGTCGAGATCGAAAAAAGTCGCGATGGTGGGGGATGAAGCTTGATGTTCCTGCTGCTGCCGGGTGCCCTGATAGGTTGGGTCGAGGCCGAGTCGCAGAATTTGCGGGTACGAGACGAGCGACCTGTTGACGGCGAACGACCAGACAAAGTGGAAATGCTGATGAGGCTCAAGATAATAATTATCGATGTTGTTCAGAAGTGGAGCCTGGTTGGACTTTATCCGTTGGAGTGGTTCCAAAGGTGGGCGGAAAATAAACGCGTGGTGGGGACGAGCTTTGCGAATTGAGGTTGCAGTCGATCCACAGCTTCCGTCCAAAGGTCCAAAGCAGAATCTTTGTGAGGCGGCGCGTCGGTTGACACAACCTTCACCAAGGATATAAGCGGGTGGGGGGGTGGAAAGGTGAATTGGGTTTACTTCTCGACGTGGGACGAAGTGGCGCTGAGGGGGGAGAAGGAGTGGGTTGGTGAATCTCTTGAACTCGAGATGTGGATGGGGTTGATGGGGTTGATGGGGTTGAAGAAACAGTGCAAAATTATTTCTTGAGGAAGGAAAAGAAGGTAGGACAAATCTTTCGTCGACAAACGTAGGCCGGCCGCTTTAACGCAGGTTGACGCAACGGCGGCGGGCGAGGTATGGGCAAGCGGCCGAGCAGCGACGGAGAACGGGGTGCGGACGTGCTTCTCTTCCTGCACAGAACATGAGAGCTTTTGCTTGGTGAGGGACGACCGCGGGTAGTCGTGCCTCTGCGACTGCCCGCTGTCGAGTGCACGACGACTTGGTTTTGCTTGGACTAGCAGAATGGCTAGCACGCGCTAGCTGGTATTAGGACTAAAGGGGAAACAAAGGCGACAGGCAAGCCTTGCGGTGCGCCTGGGTTAGGCGGTGGACAGCGAGTCAAATGGCTGGCACGAGTGGTGAAAAATACCCTAGTCCGTCGCCGTCTGCATTATTTGTTTTCTTCTCTTTTCAATGATTTACAATTCGCCGAACTTGGCCCGCGTGCGTGGAAGAGTCGTGGCGTCTGTCGTAGCGAGCATAAACTCGATGAGGCGAGTCAGAGAGTCGGAATGATGGCAAACACGGAGTGAGTGAGGTGAGACGACATGTATCTGCCATATGGTCTCATCTTTCGAGTATGCTCATAAGGTATGTAGCACTTCCGCTGCAATGCTTCCAGAGAGCTTCAGTTATGGAAGTTCGATCAAGAGATGAGATCAGCGTTGTAGTCAGAACCACCTATTCGTGCAATGGATACTGAGTCGGAATGCTAAGCGATCAACAAAGTGATAACACTCCATTGGAGCTTGTCATGCTCATCAGGCTCATTAAGTCATTATTCATCACTCATGTTCGGTAATACTACTATTTACAGCTTACGATTACCTCGACCTGAATCACTTTCTGCCTGCAAATACCTGGGCAGTAAAAGGTTCTTAGTAAGAATCTCTGCATCTTCCATTCCCATTGCTCGTGAGATAGAGACTCTACATTGGGACAGCACCTTACTGCATCTCTAACTCAAGTACAACCAAGCTGGGCCAACGAGTCACGCTTCCAGAAGCCTACTTCACAGTCTTCACCGCATCAACCTGCCGCAGGTGAAGTTGCTTATAACTTCCCACTGGTCCATCCATGGACACTGCTGTTTTAAGACCACAATGGTGCCGCGAACAAGTCATTGTTTACCAAGCAGCGAGGTTCTCTTGAGAGCTTTTCTCCTCGAATCAAAACGACTTCAGCCAGAGGCAGCATGATCCCAGATGATGGGCCCAAGGACAGCACTGAGGTACATCGGTACAATGGCGCTGGCCATCTGCCACTGGTGGCTAGCAGTCGTCCATCAGCCAGAGCCGTGCAGCTTGTACTTGACATGAGATGCTGCTCTTATTTGTTCCGACCCTCACACCATCCTAAAGAAGAGCAAGTCGCGTCCAGGTTGATGAGGATAGTAGTATCGCAAACGCAATGTTTCATAAGGATGATCGTGTAGAGCCTGGACTCTCCATCATCAAGCTTGATGCCAAGGCTGATATTGAAAGATATTGAAACGAAGGCTAGGCCTTTTGTCCGAGATTGTTAGGTTGAGCGCCAAGTGCGCTGTGTGTTGGAATATGTTTGGCCAGAAGTCTCATGCTAAGAATTATCGCTACAAGTAGTTAATTCTGGCCAACCCTACATCCCTCAACTAGTGTATCTGCGGAAAAATTACGAGGTATGTGTACATTATTCGGCCAGTGCCAGGAACTACTGGACATCGGATTGCAACAGGACGAGGTTTGTTGAGTGTCACCTGATTGATCGTTGCAAGAATCATGCTCCTTCTCAGCCGACTTTCTGATCCTACAACATCAGCCACAATAGCAATACAACCACTGAAAAGACTTTTCAAGGCCTTTTCACGCCTTTCCGAGATACCGCACCCTTTTACGGCATGTTGCCGTGACCACAAGGTTGAGGGTGCAGCAAAAGTGACAAAAATAATATACAGGACGCCGCTTTCACACCTGCGATGACGCGTGCCAGGCATGGCTTTATTTCATCGGCAACTCAACCGAAGCGTTTGCGAGGAACTGAATCTTCTCTATGTGTGTCGCGAGTGGTCAGAAGATCTACGAGTCTGCAGGAGAGGCTCATGAATTTGCCTGTTTGCGATCGCGATCAGCTGTGTAACTCCTGGCAAATGTGTTCGATTGCGGCCTCTGATATGATTATGAATCAGGCATGTTTTCTCTCGAGTCGTGAAGGGGCTTCGGTCAAATTATTGTAGAGCGAGCTTCCCAGCTGTATTTGTGGCTTGCGGCAGCTTATCGAGACGGCCAAGGATACCTACCCAGGAAAGTGCTCGTCCAGTCATGGCTGGTCATGGCTGTGGGCGACGCCGGGAACCGGCTGTAATTCGAGGGCTTACATGGCTGCGATCATTATTATTTGGTGAACACTACTCTCCATTTATCTTATATGTTCGATACCCTATATCTCTCTATTCTCATTTTGATCACGCGAGGTCCGAATTACCTGCTAGATTTGGTGTCTGATGTCTATACCTTTGGGCATACCACGCATACCTAGGTACCTACCTACTTAGTACCTAGGTATTATTCGCCCTGATATCACCAAAAGAGCTTCCCTCAAACCCGCATACAGTAATAATGAGCCATAAACTCTAAATGCGTGGCACTTCGAACATTTCACCTTCCAAACCTCGAAGACTTTCAACGGATCTTTGCCCGAACAGATACTCTCGATTCATAGGTGTCATACAAATTCGAACAATCCTCCGAAGAGGCCACGCAATATGCCTTCTTGCGCGCCTATAGCTGGCTGGCCTGCTCGAACGTATTTCTGAAGCTGCTGCTTTTGTAACATCAAATTCGTGCTTGGATTCGTATTTGCAGCCAGCTTTCAGACCCCAACAATGATGCTCCTGCGCCGTAGTTGGATCGATTGGGATGGTTTGGCCCCCATCAGACGTCTGTTCCTTATGTTTTCTCGTCTCAACCTGCTTCTTTGTCCACGTCCACATGGCGATCAATCACACATCTGCCAGTTCGCGAATAACAGATCGTAGGAGTATTACCCCAGTAACACGGATAAAACGTGCCAAGAGGCATGGTTATTTTGTGGGCTTTCCTTAATTTGGACTACATCGCTCTGTAAGGGCTGGACATGAGCCTGAATTGTGTATACAATATTGCTATCCGGTGTACATTCATCGCTGTTGGCAGATGAAGCCAACAACGAACCAATGCTATCGATGTGTATTTCCTTTGGAGTTGTGTAGGCGAAATTTATTGAGCCAGAATTAGAAGAGACGAGCCCTACTGAGCACAGGGTTTTAAGTTCATTACAAGAGCTCATTCTCATAGCCTCATACTCACAGGCGCATAGCTGTCACTTGTGAAGCGAGTGGTCATTTAGACCAATGAAGTTCCTTGGTTGTATGCGCTATCTTCGCAAGGACAGGCTTCTCAGATATAAAACGACTTTTTCTACCAAGTAAATTCTAAGGTCTATCTGCCGTCGCTTGATCATTGAATAGAACATCATCCTCGGTGATAGCTGGGAGGGTATTTTAGTCAAAAATACCTTGAATTCGAAATGCGCCGCTTCCGCTCTCTTGGAACCTCCCAGTGATGCAGCTCTACCCGACAACAATTCCTTTGGTGCTGCTTGAAGGAGGCTTCGGGCTGTGCAGCGCGAGTCATGTAACTCATGTTTAGAAACGACCGTGCCTCAATGAATTATGCCTGCCACTTTCCATCGCACGATGTTGTAAAAGAAAAGCGGGTAGCATAAGTGGAGCGAAATACGCGTCCTGATTCAGGTTTTATATATCAGGTCGAATGGCTTCATTGTCAAGTATGGATGAAAGCTGTCTTCGTTTCATGAAGACGACAGCTGGCTCGGCAAAAAAATCTGGCAGCGGTTTATTTTCGTCGTGGCAACACGTTTGTTTGATGAGAGAGTCGAGTCAGCAGTGGCAAGCCAGATCGAGGTTTTTCGGCCTTTCTTTTCATTACACGAGGTCGAGCAGCATTCTTTCTCGACATTGTTACGACTCGTTCACCGACAAGACACGATGATCAGATTTTTAGGTCGGATTCGTTGTTGTCCTCCGATATGAAAAATTGTAACGACCAAAAGAATCCTGGTAGGAAGTCGCTAGTTCTGCAAACTCCACGCTTTCTTATTCGAATCTACAACGAATAATTTTTACAGAGTACTCGAAGCGTGACAAAACCATCTGTACTCTTGTACAACAACTGGGGATTACTTCATTCAAGTACGAAAGTTACTGAGTACGAGGAGTCGAGCATTCGATTCCCTAATCTCGTATTTCATACGTCATAAGGGGCATCAGACGGTTGTTTCATGTTTCAATCTCATACCTATCATTGGCCGAGGTAGCTTCTCATCACCGTATTGTGGGTTGCGAATACCAATTCGTTCATGATCGCCACTATGCGGCGCAGTAAAGAAGTCTTTGAAGTCTCGAGTTTCGAATTATATACTTCTCCTTTTTCACACTTCTGTCTAAGCACCACAATCGTTGATTGAAATCTATACACTCATTTGATAGAATCGGGAAAAGGACTCTTACTTTTTCAACTACTCGCGATATAAAAGCATTCTTTACACATTTCAATTTCAACATGTATTGTTCGATTATCCTCCTTACGTTCGCGGCTCTCGCTTCCGCCAAAACAGACATCGCTGGTTGCGTAACTTCCAAAACAACCAACCAGTACGGAGAGGCATCCGTACTGTGGTACATTCCTACATCTGGAGAAATCTGCGAAATTTTGGAGTCCGTATTTTTCCTTTGTTCCCCCGTTCAAACTCTTGTCCCTAGTGGCCGGGAGCATGTTTGATCTTTGGACACGGCTCTCGGCTCCGGAGCGAACAAGAAAGACGTATGCTAATTTATTGGAAAAAGCTGTGGCGGTGGGCGCGCACCCCCTAAGACGACGGTTCCTGGATGTGGTGCCTATGTTGGAACAGCGACATACTCCCCTCAATTTCTCGCAGGATTCAACGCCCAAGAGACAGGCGCCCCTCAAGCACAAAGTTCCATGGCATCCCTCCCTTCTAGTACCATGACTATTACCTCTGCGGCTACAACCAGCTCTGCGGTAGCAGTCGAAATTTCAGAATCTGCTGTATCAAGCGAGGTTATCTCATCAACTACTTCCGAAGCTGTCTTTACTATCCAGACGAGCGTACCTCCTGCCGCGGAGGTTACAAGCACAGGAATCCTAGTTGCACCCACTCCTGCTAGCACTCTCGCCTCTGCGCCTGCTGTTGGGAATGGAACTGCCACCAGTTCGAGCGCTGCTGCGACTTCTTCACTTGTCGTCAACAATGCTGGTGCAAGCATTTCTGTCCAGGGGATGAGTGGACTCATGGGAGTTGCTGCTGTGCTTTTTGCTTTCCTTTTGTAGATGCGTCGTATCAATGTAATACCTCAGACGGATATTGATTTGTTGGAGCAATGGGATAGTGTAGAAACATGTTCAGAGGTGTCTGTATCTTCGCATGGAACTGGGACTGATAATTGTATTGCATAGCGCGGAGGTAATGTCAACATTGAGATGGTAAGGTTATCATAAGGAATTTAGAATCATCATTGGGTTCCCGATGTAAAATTGTTGGGTTTTACTTGTTTCGATACGCAGCTTGGCTTGGAGCATCGGGTGGATAATGTGTTATAACCTTTTGTAATTTAGTATGCTTTAAGTACGCGGAGTGTGATCCTCTGGCTATCTCTGAAGACATTTAATTACTTGTTGAAATTGATAAATGCATGAGGCTAGTTTATGTGAGCTACACGGTACCGTATTGTTTCCTTATAGAGGAACTTGAGAGAGCATTATGCAAGTCCACACGACTTTGGAGGCTTTTCAGTTATGTGAGGGTCATCGCGTGACTTGCTGTTATCAGTTTATGATGTTGCATTTCGAAATTTTCCAGGAAAAAAAAAGTGCCTTACTTGAAGTTGTGGAATGGCTAATTCAGTACCAGTAGTGTTTGGATATATTACAGTAACAGAACAGAAAGGAAATCGTATAGATTAATAAAAATCGTGGAGGAATGAGGCTGAGGCGTCCCCGAAGTGCATATAAGGTTGTGGCGTCTGCCGAATTCTACGGGGAGCCAGTCATCCCTTCAATGCAGTTCGCGAAAGATTTCCTGGGTATCGCGAGACACCATGCGCATTAGAATTGGACATCAATCAATTATGTCGACATCCACATCCTTACGGCCAATGGCTAGAAGGCTACTCCAGCCTAATGCTAGCCAGCAGATACCACCAAGCTTCCTCCTTCCAAGCATCTTCGCCCCCAGTCCGCAAATCGCTTCTTTCTCCTCAACGCCCAACTCCTTCTATCCAAGAGACAACAACAAACAGCGTGGAGTTTCCTCTCAACGCCGAACTGGTCTTCGACAGCCAGTTTCCGTCTCTAAAACCGCTCTTCCAACTCCAGTCAACGCGAAAGACCTCCCGAAAATTGAAACCGATCCGGACCATGGCCTTTGGGGGTTCTTTCACAGTAAGGAAAAGTCCCTGGCGACTCCTGAAGAAGATGCAGCTCACGGAAGAGCCTGGTGTGTGGAGGAATTGAGAGCGAAGAGCTGGGAGGATTTACACGCCCTTTGGTGGGTTTGCGTTAAGGAGAGGAATCGTATTGCGACGGAAAACTATGAACGTAAAAGGTTGAACGCTGGGTATGGAGCACATGAGGCTAAGGTCAGAGCTGCCATGGTAAGTTCTGCAGTTCAATTAAGGGACACGAGATGCTAATCTGGTCAAATAGGTCAGGATAACTCAGCGAGGTATCAAGCAAACATTGACTGAGAGATATTATTCTTGGAGGGAAGCGGAGCTTTTGGCGCAGCAGGATCCAGAGATCAACTTGAGCGCAGATGGCGTGTCATATACGCCGAAAGAATTTACGGAGGAAGAATATGTTGATGAGGATGTCCCAGAAGAAGTTACCGAGGAGGAGGCAATTCGAGCAGAGGAAGCTCTAAAGTCACAGGCAATTCCTCCGGAAACGAAGCCAGTTGAGAAGTCACCGGACGCAGCATAATCTTCTGGACGGATATACGTGCAGATCTCTGGTGGCCAGACAAAGCTCCTCACATGTGTTCGTCTACAAGCCACTTAGACTAGGTTAGTAAGGCTGTGTTAGACGCAGCAGTCTATGTACAAGAAACTGTAAAAACTACGATGTATTATAAACGGGGTCTAAGAACAACTTGACTTTTTGAAATAGTGCTCCCTAACAATATCAATAATGGTAGCATAAGAAGTGGTGAAGCTTTGACAAGCCTCCCTGTTAGAAAGGAAAGAGGCGGTAACGCTGCACTTACGCGAGGCCAATCACAACAACCATCACCTCTCCCCAGTAAATAAACCACCACCTCCAACCTTTGTTCACCGACCGATCGATATAATCTACCAAGCCTCTTAGATTCTCAACTGACGGAAGCTTATACTTTCTATCAATATGGATGAGATCGCCCCCGAGTACGATGTCGTGGTCCTTGGAACAGGTAGGAGACAACCCCGCATGGCGGGGCAGATCAAAGTTGGCTGACAGCAATACAGGTCTGACGGAATGTGTGCTTTCTGGGTATGGCGACTGGCGCAGGGCATAATGATGGTAGTGCTAATTCTCGTATAGTGTGTTGAGTGTCAAAGGCAAGAAGGTGTTGCATATTGACCGTAATGATCACTATGGAGGGTAAGCTTGAAACCCCACCCCTTCGATAGCCAGTCTAACCAAATATTAGAGAGGCAGCTTCAGTAAACATTGAGACTGTCAGTATACCACCGATTTGTCACCTCCGAACCTATCTGACACATCTCAGCTCTTCAAGAAGTACGGCAACTACAACAAGGGGGAAGAACCATGGAAAAAATATGGGCGCGTCAACGACTGGAACATTGATCTCGTACCTAAACTTCTCATGTCCTCGGGCGAACTTACGAACATCCTCGTTTCTACCGATGTCACTCGATACCTCGAATTTAAACAGGTTGCTGGCAGCTATGTTCAACAAGGCGCTGGTCCAAAGGCTACAGTCGCGAAAGTGCCTTCTGATGCCGGTGAGGCCTTGAGATCTTCGCTGATGGGTATCTTTGAAAAAAGGAGGATGAAGTCGTTTATTGAGTGGGTTGGTACCTTCAATCTAGGAGATTCTGCAAGTCACAAGGGTATGTTGGTTTGGAACGGCGACGATACTTGTTTCGCTGACTGCTGGTAGGATTGTCTATGGGCACATGCACCATGAAGGATGTCTACGACAAATTCGGACTTGAGGCTACAACCCGAGACTTTATTGGCCACGCCATGGCTCTTTACCAGACTGATGCATATCTAACGGAGAAGGGAGGAGCACCAGCTGCCATCGAAAGAATCCGTCTTTACGGAAACTCTGTCTCGAGATATGGCAAATCTCCATATATCTACCCTCTCTACGGCCTTGGAGAGCTTCCTCAAGGTTTTGCTCGTCTCTCCGCTATCTACGGTGGAACTTACATGCTCAATACCAATATTGATGATTTTATTTATGATGGATCTAAGGTTGTGGGCATTAAAGCAACAATGCAAGATAGAGGTGGAGATGAGCCAATGAAGTTCGAGACCAAGTGCAAGAAGATTCTTGCGGATCCTTCTTACTTCCCTGGTAAGGTTCAAGTCACTGGCCAGTTATTGAAGGCGATCTGCATCTTGAATCACCCAATTGCGGGAACCGACAACTCTGATTCCTGCCAATTGATCATTCCCCAGTCTCAAGTAGGACGAAAGAACGGTAATTTACCTGCGCTTTCGATTACTCTATGTCGCTAATGATTTACAGATATCTACATTGCGGTTGTTTCAAGTGCCCACAGCGTATGCCCCAAGGGTTATTACATTGCCATCGTCTCGACGATTGCCGAAACTTCCGCAAACCACCACTTGGAGCTCGCGCCTGGTATCGAACGTCTCGGTAAGATTGAGGAGAAGTTTATGGTAAGTTCATATGTTCCGCACAGTAAGAATTTGATATTGACTGAAGTAGGGTCCGCCAATTCCATTGTACGAGCCTCTCGAGAGTGGTCAAAATGACAACATCTTCATCTCCAAGTCCTACGATGCTACCAGTCACTTCGAAACCACTACCGATGATGTCCGGGACATCTACCAACGTGCCGAGGGACACCCGCTTGTCGTTGAGGGTCTGAGGGAGGGAACGAACTTGGTTGGTGAAGACTAGGAAGATATGATCAATGATAGTGAGGAAACGAGAAGGTGGGGAAATATCTCGAGGGCGGATCGCCCAAGTCAGAAAGAGCAAAATAATTAAATTGATATTGAGATTAGAAAGGGGTGATGTCGTTGGTACATAGAGGAATGTCTACGTGATGGATTCTGGTATTTTGCTGCCAATGATTTGATGCCTGGGGTTTTTGACAAATTTAACTTTTTTTGTTTGAAGCCACTTCAGATGCTGCATACCTTCCTTTGATCGAACAGTTCATTTTTATGATTCTCTCGAGATGTTTTATCGAGCTCATACTTCCGATCTGTCTCTAAATCAGCCATATATAAGATTTCTTCACCATGATTCGGACATTCTCATTTGTTCCTGCTTCGGTGTCAGTCGTAGAGTCGGAGTGGACAGTAGAACTCTCGACAATCAATTCAACCTCGACTTCTCTGAGGCATTTGTACTGTACAATGGACTTTAAGTGGTAAATTGACAAGGTTATAATGAACTGTATTCGGATTTAATCTCGTACTAAATGCTATACATTTCCAGCTCGTCTTTGCTTTCTTTGCTCTAGGTGCTACACAAAAATAATAAAAGAAGAGGTATTAATACATATTACACATCTAGACCGTCTGCTTTAGTGACTGGTAGTATGTTCAAGTGGTAGTATGTTCAAGTGGTAGTATGTTCAAGTGGTAGTATGTTCAAGTGGTAGTATGTTCAAGTGGTCGTATCTGGGCTTGTGAGATTTTGGAGTCGAGATGAGATATTGGTGTTGAGCTCTTGGAGCAGTGAGATGATCCTGCGACTTTATATGAACATATGCTAGTTTTCTGTTCGAACCGGACGTGGGAACAGAGTGGTCGGAGTACGTGGGTACATATATGTATGAGGCTGATCTGCTGTCGGATATCAATTTTCCGTGCTCTACGTAAATATGCTCCAGGTGGACACAATAAGTGGTGGTGGAGAATGTGTGATTTTCAATCTAACGGAGAGAATAGCTCATTTCGTCAACAATTGAAAGAATATCTGTCTTTCGTATATGATTTCGATCAATAAGGTGTTTTAAGACTTTATTTGGAATGTTATGAAACGTACGTTTCTACACTTGGCTGTAAGTTGGGAGTCATATCAACCACTAAGGGATGTTACAGAGGTTACTTGTTTTACTTGCCTAATCATCGGTTTTACATTCTTGCTGTTTTATCTTTGTCTCTAAAATTGGCAAAGTTATATAGTCGCTCTTAGTTCAGGTTTTCTGTATCAAGTTCTCAAATGTATTACAAGTGCTTGTGACTATGATGATTGTACTGTAAACAAATTCCAGCGGTTTGATTATACTGTTTCTTACTGCTTCATGAGAAGATTTTATATGCTGGACAAAGGATACATCATTCAACTGATATGTTTTGAGCGCATTGTAGTGTAAATGCGTGAAGTTGATTGTTACTCTTCTTCTTCTTTATTGCAATCACATCAGAGAACATCAGAGAACCAAGTATGACTTAAAACAAAGTTGAAGATAACCGACTTTAGGTCATTTGATTACTTAGCTAACTTGATGAATTGTTCTTCTCCTATTTCGATCTTTCTTCAGTATACAATCTGGAACAAAGTCATAAAGAGGGCGTTTGGAAGCATGAAATAATTATGATTTATGTGGATTTTGTTCTCGGAGGTTCAAGTGATGATCATCTCAATTACATATACCAACTGTTTCACATGTTCTAGTGCAACCTCAACATACAACACACATCTCAAGTGATACAGATTAAGTCGGATGTTTTCAGAATTCTGCTTCAAGAAAACAATAAGTGATATGGCACTTCGAGGAAGGGACAAGGAGTACTAGGCCATTCATCTTTGATCCTTACTAGTATCTTTCTTTTCATGTTGCTGCTTTGTTGAGCTGCCAGATAAGTTATAGTTATCGCTAGGTAGATTGAGCTGAGAGAAAAGCAGACACATGTATTCTGGGACATAAGTTTCCTGGCTATTGATAAATGAAGGAAGAGGAAGAATATTAGTAGCGTTAGCGCAGATAGTCTTACAAGATGCCAGATATTTCTATGGTTTTTCTTGGGCCTCGGAGAGCTTTGGCAATGATCACATCAGTTGGCACATCAGTTGGCACATCAGTTGGCACATCAGTTGGCACATCAGTTGGCAACCGACAAAATATTTCAACGCAATAGAAGAGCGGTCGACTTCTCCGAACGAACTAGTCAAGTTTCCTTGACATAGCATGAGGTTATTTATTATCTGGGTTTATTACAAAGCACTACTAATTAGAGCAACTTGGCCTAACCTGTAGCCGTTTGTATTGCAATATATAAACTTATTATTGACACCTGTTAGTTTGATCAGACTAAGTATTCTGGTTGTCTGCTAAGTTGTCAGGCAACTCTGGCAAACAGGAATCAGCCCTTAGAAGGGCTGGTTGTCTAACAAGTATTTTCAGAGAACCGTACAAAGAAGATACAAACTGTCACTATGGTTATCTGCGGCATCAAAATATCAGCTCATTATAATAGGTGGCCGAGAGGGCGGTCTGGCAGTTTTAAAAAAAGATTAGACCAAGAAAGAATCGCCTCACGAGTATATAAAAGTCAGTATATACAATAAAATCCGTCTACTCTTCTCTTGTATATGCTCAAATTTTGAAAATTATGGAGAGAGTACAATGAATAGAGAGCGTGTAGAACCGGAGGTGTTATTGGCATTAATGAGGCTCTATCTGATAATGTATCTGTCAATAGAGTAACGCTAAGAAACGGACATGGCAAAGGTATACTATACTTCACGGAATAAGGGCGAGATCAAAGACAGTGTTTTTCTGATCCATTCTCAAAAAACCATTGTATTTCGTCCATGATCTTGAGTGTATAAGACGATCTAATAATCTTTGACATAAACCAAGAGATGAGAGCAGCCTCTTATTTGGCCCTCTAGAAGTCGAGGGTATACGCAGTCATGGCAGTTCTAATTTCACGGCAGAGAAACTCAGATCTAAGCATCAGGGAAATCTAAAGATTAGGATCTACATCTCCTGATGAAAAGAAATGATTGAACGGTGAAGGGAATGATCTGACAGGTACCAAACGAATGACAGATTAACCTGCTAGCAGAATCCGAGCAAATGAATACATCAGGAAGCGTAGATCTTGAAAGTGAAGATCGCCTACCTATGGAGATTAGGACATACCTAGCCTAGGTACGATTGAAAACGATGCTTGATCTGCATCCGCACCACAGGAAGAGTTGGTTGAAGTTTCAAGTATATATGCATCCTACATGTCAATCCATACCACACACAAACAAGACTTCCCAAAGCACGATTTCTGCTTCTACGTGTTCAACAAGAAAGAAAAGGTGATTGGAAAAGATAGCGAAAAGATAAGGCTGAAGACATGGTAGCAAGATGCATCGGCCCGTACGTTCCCTCTCCCATGCCTATACCTGGAGTTGTGATAGGAAGGTTTCCTTGTGCAAAGATTTGCATGTGTTGATAAGGATTCAACGGCTGAAAGGTGGATGGATGCGATTTGGCTTATCGTGTGCGTATGCACGAGATGGGGAGGCGTTGTCCATGCATGCAGGTGCGGGTATGATAAAAGGAAAAATATGAAAAGTTACATTGTTGGGAGGGATACTTTTGGATATGGGTTTGGCTGTTGATATGGGAGTATGGGATGAAGCTGATTGATGGAAGTGACGACTACGAGTATTCGAGTATGATATAATTGATGCCCAAAGCTCAAAGGTTAATTAACATATTGCCGAAGCGTCGTGGGAGCGGAAATGAGATGTGATAATAGTTCCTTGAGCTTGTCTTTTGAACTTGATGTCCTGATCAGGAGACTCCCGGAGGTTCACCGCCAAAGGTGCATGCAGGTTGATCGTAGGATGGTCCGTGAACCTGCACAGCGATTTCGGCTGTTCGGGTGGAGGACGCATCCATGCGACGGATGCGTTTTGATATTGATACATCTGACGGTAATCTAGGTACCCACGTAGTAAGTGGACGGTACCTAGGTATTCCGACACTTAAGAGGTCGTAAGAAGAGATTGAAAGAATCATGAGGGGTTCATGATTGTATCTGTTTTACGTTACTGATAGAATATTCGTTTACGATTCATGCAAGTACGAAAGGTACGAAAGCATTTCAGTTACTTCGAAGTATGACTTCTTATGGAAATGCGGTGAAGCCTCCGCTTGTGTAGTGCTACCGGTTTCTGTACCTTTCGCCTCTCGATTCTCGAACCCTCGGTGCATCTGGCCCCGCTATTTCTCGTGAGGGTAAACAGCAACAGTTCTCAGCCAGTTCCAGTCTCGCGGCAGACAAGAGAAGTGCCAGAGATCTTCTACTTCAGAAACTTTCGAAACTACCTAGGTAGCTCCACCCGACATTATTTCCTCATTATGGCTGACGCAATAAATCATATTATGTCAAGCCAATCGATCAAATTTGGTATCTCGCCAGAACCAGACTCGGCCAGTGCAGTAAACAACAAGGAGTGCGAGCTTCTGCGTGGTTAGCGTTATGGCATCACAATTGTCTGCTTCTGGTTCTGCTAGACAAAAGTTCTGCCAGTTTCTGCCGTTTCTGCCGTCTCTGCCCCACCAAAACCTTTCCCTCTTTCCCTCTTTCCCCATCAACAACAGCCGACGACTCCCAGTGCTCTTCGTATCACACAATTTTCTGCCCAGAACATTTAGGAAGCAACACGCAAGTGAACATCTGCATGTCTCGCCAATCAACCCGTAGTGCGCTTCCAATCCATGGACTTATTCGCTCAGCAAAAGAGAAATCTTTAAATGAGCTCTCCAAGTGGATGCAATAGCTTGATGCCCGTGTGGTGGGGTGCCGAGAGGCACTAGATAGATACTGTACGAAGCTAATGTTCGCGCTCCATCGATGGCTCTACTGGTAGTTTGGCCCACTACACAAACCTTATCCAAGCAGTATTTCTACCTCTCCTCCCTCCGTCTCCTCCTCCACACCGAGTTTTCCAGCTTCATATCTGTCCAAACGCTATCAATCTCAAACTATCCTCTCTGCTTTCACTCAAACCGCTTGCAGATCCCAAGATCTACAGTTCCACATTCCACCGCTTGCCCTTCTTCCACATTACCCAAAACAGAACCTATCCGCCACCAAATTTGAACTCAATTGAAAAGAAAAAACCTCTGCTCATATTCTTATATACCCATCGCAACCGAGCTTCAATCAATTTGAGTTCACGTCGTAAGAGCCAAGTCAAGTTGGAGAACATGCATCTAACCCGCCAGCCCAAGATTCGAGATCCAGATCAGTTCCCGACCACACAACTATTTCTGCTCGGTAAGTAAACCGATTGTGTCTCATCCACGACTCACAGCTAATTTTCCACAGCCATTGTTCGCTTGGCTGAGCCGATCGCCCTCACATCTATCTTCCCATACGCCTTCCCGCTGGTCAAACGATTCCATGTCGGTAACGAGAACGATGCCTCCTTTTACGCCGGACTCCTCATATCTGCCTTCGCGCTCGCTGAGTCGCTGACTGGCATGTATTGGGGAGGCTTGTCCGATCGCGTAGGAAGAAAGCCAGTTCTACTTTTGGGATGCCTAGGTACGATGCTCAGCATGATTATGGTCGGATTTTCATCAAATATATGGATGGCATTGCTAGGGCGAGCTTGCGGTGGCTTTTTGGTAAGCTTTGAATCCTCGCTTAGCTCAAACTTTGCTAATGAAGATAGAACGGCAATATCGGTGTCATCCAGACCATGGTAGGGGAATTAGTTACGAAGCCAGAACACGAGCCTCGAGCATACAGCATCATGCCCTTCGTCTGGTCGATCGGTACAATTCTTGGTCCAGCGATCGGAGGATACTTTGCAGATCCATCAGCCTCCTTCCCGGATACATTTTCTCCTGAGGGCCTATTTGGGAAGTTCCCTTATCTTCTGCCCAACTTGCTTTGCTCTGGACTTCTTGGGATCAGCATTGTTGCTGGCTACTTCCTCCTATTCGAGACCCACCCAGATATGCAACCTCGAGTCTCTCTTCCAGATTCCACCTACACATCTGAAGAAACGCCTCTGATTGCAACCGCGGACGCAATCAAGACACCGGCAGTTGATCTCCGTGCAGATGCTTATGGCACATTCGAGGGTAGCGACGACAGCACATGGCGAAACAACAATACCAAAGTGAAGCCTGTACGAATTTTCACCAAGCGAGTCATTGCTATCATCGTGGCTCTCGGAATCTTCACCTACCATAGCATGACCTACGATCACCTACTCCCAATCTTCCTCGAGGATGACAAATCCGAGCCACTTTCATCTTTCGCGACGTCAGTTGGTGGTATGGATATTTTCCACATGTCTGGCGGACTCGGAATCAGCATCCAGAAAGTGGGTGTGATCATGAGTATCAACGGCATCATCGCGCTCTTTGTGCAGGCGGTCATATTCCCCTTCGCTGCCCAATACTTTGGCATCCACCGCTTGTTCATCCTCGTCAGCATCCTTCATCCGATCGCCTACATTGTCATGCCTTTCCTGGTATCTTTACCTGAATCTTGGGTCACACTTGGAATCTACGCCTGCCTCACCATTCGAAACTTGCTGTCTATTCTCGCTTATCCGGTTCTCCTCATTCTACTCAAGGAAGCGACGCCTAGCCCGTCTGTCCTTGGTAAGATCAATGGATTGGCTGCTTCTGCGGGAGCTGCTTGCAGAACCGTGGCTCCTCCTGTAGCTGGTTACCTTTACACCATTGGTTCTCGTGTTGGTTTCACTGGTATTGCCTGGTACGGAAGTGCCTTTGTGGCAATCATTGGAGCAATTCAATGCTTCAGTGTCAAGAGGGCGAAGACCGAAGTCACCGAAGAAGATCAATGGGATGCTGGAGATTGCAACAGCCGAAGTTCAAGCTCAACAGCTTCGGAGACGAGCTCTCTACTTCGTGAATAGATCCGCAAGCTGCTGGAAGAGAGATATATATATATACATATATATACGAAACAAAATTATCCGGGGGGATACAAAAATGGGTTGGAGTTTAAGGAATGGGCATATTCATGGCAAGGCGTTTGGGGATCTTTGTACGCCACATTTCCGGTTGGCGGTATCATCTACAAGGCTTTGGGATTTTGAGCCTCGTGGCTGTCGGCGTTATATACCTTGTTGCGATTTATCTATCGTGGATGTCTGGAAGTTTTGAGAGATTAGGTACGCCGGATGATGATTAGATGTACAGACATTACGTTTTAATAGATAGATTATCAATAGATGAGATGAGATAAATTAGATAATTGTATACAAGTACTTGATAACATCTAGCTTTTGCAGTAGTGGGGGATGCATTTAAGTAAAGAGCTTAACCAGGCATGCAAATGCATAACAAACATCACGAGCATGCTATGTCAGTTCACAACGCATACTGTAAACTCGATTGAATGGTTATTTGTCGTTACAGCAGAAGCTAATAAAACAAGTCGGGCAGTGGTGGTGCTACATATCGGTGGCCTTAGTCATGAAACGTGGGAGACAGAATGGATCACGCAAGGGGACTGTGAAGCGGACTTTTTGTATCACAGGGTATATAGAACTTTCATTTGAAGTTTATCCCGCTCAGAGAAGTGTCTATGCGATTCAACACCATGTCGTATGTCGAGTTCCTCGACTCACGCCAACCCGCCTAAAGCCCAGTCCCAATTTTGTCCCATAACGCCAGAACCCCGCGCAAGCTATGCAATGCAATTCCCGACAGAGTAGTGATTCGGACCAGACGCTAAGAGTATTCAATTTTAATTTGTAATGGATTTTTGTCAAAGAGATCCGTCCATTACGCGTGGCAACCGATTGGAAGTGGAAAGTTCAGTCGTCCTTTTGTTCAGCCGCAGCAGCTTCAGATACCGATTCTGAGCGTAATAAGTGCGAGGGTGTGGCTGGTTCGTGTGTAATAGACGCATTTGCATGCAGCTCAGTGACTTGACGTTCTGTTTATTCATTTTTAGCATCTGCACAAAACAATACCACGGTCCTGCAACTCACCTAACTCCCGTATCCTTTGCCGGAGCATCTGATTCTCTCTCACCATCATCTGGGTTTCCGCTTGGTAGAAAGCACTCTCATCTCGACTACCCAATCCTTCCCCTTCAGCACTTATCGATGTCGCTCTCATCCTCGGGGATGCAGTTCGGCTGGGTGTTCGAGATCTTCTGCTATGCGCGAGATCTGGTCTCGTTAAGTCGAAAGAGCTGCGTGGGTGTAATACGGCTGATGGCGATCGAGGGGTCGATGTGGCGGACTGTATGGCTGCGGGACGTTGTGAGAAGGATAATGAACGTTCTGAAGTAGGTGTCGAATCATCGATAACCTGAGGTGCGCTCTCTGGTTGTCCACTTGCAGCTTGGAGTTGTTGTAGTTGCTGCTGCTGGGTTCTGATCATCTGTAACAAGCGATTCTAGCATGGATTTTAGCATTGTTTCATACTAATGGTGACTTCAGGTACCCACGACTTGCGCTTCTTGTTCTTGTTCCAACTCTTGATGTATCTCTCCCAGACTTGGTGCGCGATTGTGATGTGGATCCCCACTGTGAATTACGGGTGATCCGCCCAAGGAATGAGGACTTGTTGTTCGAAATGACGAGACATTACTTTCATGCACCATCTCGCCCGGTGGAGGTAAACTAGGATCGTTTAATTGAAGATTCATCAAGACAGTCGAGCGCCTTCTGCCGGTATGTGATGCTTGTCGATTTCGATTTACAGAACTGCTAGAAGAGCCTAGCAAACCGTCAGCATACAGAACATATAGAGACATCTAGAACATAACGAACGTCTTGAGCTTTCATGCTGGAGTCCTGCATTGACCGCCGCCGCGGCTTGTAGAGAAGTTGAGGCAGTTCGTGAGGATGGTGATGGTGTTTGGGTCCGTAAGGCTGAAGCTTCAACTGGGGTTGGTACTCTTGCCATAGCTGAGGTTTGGATGGATCTTGAAGGTGGTAAAGAGTTTAGGTCTGGCATTGCGGATTGACCGTCTTATAGGGCAATCGTTCGCGGTCGCGCAGGAATGGTAAAGAAGGCGAACGCGCTCGCGCTATCCGATATTCCAGGCCAGGCCCGGACTAGGTGAAGACGGGAATTCGCCGGGTCAAAAGACTGGACAGGACAAAATAGGATACAAGCGAATGTAATGTGGGCAAGCAGTGGCAGAGGATGGAGTACAAGTGACAGATACCTGGCGCAAAGGTGATTATTAGGTGGAGTGATCGAGGTTTGTTAATATGACTGGCCTAGACGGTTGCAGGTGGGATGCTTTTTTGAACCCCTCGAACGGAAGCGGTCATCAGACTGCCAGACCCGCTCGATGCTTTTCGCTTTGGGCCGCTGCAGGGACCGGCCATGTCGGTCCGAGAGGCGGATTGACCGCCGGTTCCCTATTAACTAAGCCCATCCGACGACGAACATCACCCCATCACGTTGTTTGTTCACAGCCAAGTCTACGATCTCCGACGAAGTCGAATTCATACGCTTACCTATTCACGTATATGGCACATGTTGGAGTTGCTTTATTTCTTTCCGATAAATGTGGGCGGGCATACTATCATTCTTGAGCAGGTGTGCTTGTGGTTTTATCACACAGCATGAAGTCAGATCTTGCAATGAAAGTTTTCTTTAACGATAGAGGCAGTCTTGCATTTCCACGAAGCAGATGAGTATAAGATGTGGGCCGTGGTTCCAGATTATGATAAAGTTGATTTCATTGCACTTGAAACGGAGTTCGGAAATCATGATGGCATTCGGAGTTGGGCTGACCATATGCATGTTCCGCGAAAGGCGCTCATACGTACGCTATGTTGTGTAAGTGGGCTATCATAAAGTAGATGTAATATGAAATATTTCTAGAGGAAAGCTCTCACGATATAGAAATTCTGACCTCTCCTACCGTTAACCTCAATTCTACCACTAAGCACGGTAAACATGGAACCTCCCATACTCTACGATACCTCAAAGCACGAGCATCTCATAGCATCTATGGTTAAATGCCATGCTGATTGCATCACTTTTGAGCCGTTCATGATAGCAAATTTCATACCCCCATTGAATAACGAGCTCATGACTGAGTGGTGGAGGAGACGCTGCAACGAGACGAAGAATGATGATGTACTTTCGGGCACTCGATATATTATTCTACAGCTGGCGCGGAATTCTACAACAGGAGAAGAGGAGGTAGCTGGTATCGTCATGCTCGCTTCGGCATTTAATGAAAATGGCAATTTCCGCGGTATGGTCGAGAAGCTTTTAGTGAGTCCAGAGCACCGTAAGAAAGGAAATGCAGGAGCTATGATGAGGAAATTGGAAGAAGTTGCTAGGCAGCACGGGAAGCTTCTTTTGGTAAGCTGCTACCGTTGATAGCACAAAAGGATGGAATTGACTATAGGTTGCAGCTGCTAGACACTGAGGTTGGAAGCCCGGCGGAGTCTATATATCCGAAATGGGGATATGTACCAGTAAAGTCATGACATCTGATTGAACTGGAACTCTTCTAATAAAATTCAGGTCGGAATTGTTCCTCGTATGGAGATACAACCAAGAAACAACAAGCTGGCTGACACGATATTCTTTTACAAGGATATGAGACCAGAGGACTGGGCTCCTTAAATGACCAGCCTACAGCCATTTTGAGATATATTAGGCAAGCCTCGAATCTCTAATGCAAACCCCAACTGTTAGCATCTTTCCTTCTGGATACGACGGAGTAACTCCTGGAGTTATTCTCTATGCGCTTGAGCCGGCGAGTAGGTGTTTCCGACGGGTTGTGAAAACCAGGTGGGTTTGTCACAGTGTTAAAATGATTTGGGACTTGCTAAAACTTCGTTGTCGGTGGGCAAGCGAGGTATCACCAATTTTCTGATCAACCTGATAATACAATGATCCGAGCTATAGAATACTTTTATCTCGATGGATTTCGAATTGGAGTTCAGAGAGATCTTAGTTACTTCAGAGAATAGTCGAAATAGCACATGTTGGGTCGAATTGTTCTACTGAACGTCATATTTGAAGTAGTAATAAATTGGTCTGCCGCGAGTCTGGAACTTAAGGAATGGAAATATGAGATTAGTCGTGAAGTGTTACGGGGGCCGTGACTCATGTGAGCAATGAATCGGTCTGCAAAGAAAATGAGGGTATGTGGATTAAAATGCGTGATATAGTATTAAAATCCATTCCGGGGTAAAGATACTAGTTAAATATCGAGGCATGATGTTTCTCTCGATGGCTTGTCTGTAATTGTGTAACAGAACTAGGTAGCTCTTTCTATTGAACGTCGACGATAAGAAATCCTTGGAGTTGCTCCAAGTAGGTTTGCCGTAATTGACCAGGAGACGGAACATGCTGACAAGTTCGGGTTCTGAACCATCACTGGGCCTCAATCAGTTCTTCGAAATGGAGAAAGTGGTCGTCAAGATCAATATTATGCCTTTCGGGGTTTTCGGTTCACCAGACGCAATCCCAAGATATGATCTAGAAACTATGTGACCTGGAACTTTTAGTTTATTCCAGAGCATAAATGTAAACGAAAATAGGGCGCAAATCAACGCTGATATCTTTTAATTTCCCAATATTTTAGCAAAGATCATAAAGATCAAAGGACGACAGCCATAAATATCTAGTGGACAACACCCACGTGCTCTGTTCTAGTCCGCGACTCCAACCATTATCCCGGCCTAAGCCCTATACAAAATTCGTTATTCGTTATTAATAATACAATCTCAAATCCAGTTGCGCCCAAGACTATAATATCGTCTTCCCGCCTTCCATTCGATGATCGTCATACGCCACTGTCAGAGCTGCCATAACTGTGTAGTCGATGCCGGGTGACACTTTTACAACATACTGTGATAATGTTAGTTATTCAATCGGAAGATGATGAGACTGTCCAAACTAGTTGCTTGGCTACACTTACACTATGTTTTTCCTTAGCCATTTCTTTGACGCCACCCTCCGGCCTAGATATTCGACCAATTGGAACGCCATAACACTAGTCAAATTATCAGCCGATATCCTTATTATTCCAAGCACACCACTGAACGGGGTGTACTCACATTAACATAAACATCGTTCGTCGAAGCACTGCCCCGAACATTCCATTTAACTGTCCGCTTATCCCTCGCGTTGGTAAATTCCACAGTCCACGAGGCGTTCACTATTCCGATTAGTCTCCCATCCGAGCTAAGACTGTCGGTGGACTTACAGGTATCCGGGTCCCTGCTAACAGCAAAAACAACCTGGCCCTGTTTACTGACCGCAACCCTTCTCTTTCCTTTCCCACCCTGTTTCCGAGTCTTAAACAACAGGTTCCCCCTCGTGTCACAGAATTCCCTCTTCTCCCCCCAACTATTTGGGTTGCCTCTTATAGCCAACACCCGACTAGATCCGCATATAACCTCCCACCGCATATCACGTACCCACGTTCGGTTTCTAGACATCCATATCTCCATTCCACCTTCACCAGCATAGAATCTGCGGTCGAACCATACACCACATTCTTTTATCCTCCTTGGGGTTTGCAGAAGAGAGATATGGGATCGCACTGATTGGTTTGAACGGTGTAGCGTCCCGAGAGTTTGTTCTGACGCTTTGCGGTGCGGGCCGGGTGGCTTGTTGGGGATGGATGGTAGTGGGGGTAGTGGATTATCGAGAACGGACGATGAACGCGAGCCTGAGCGCGATGGCATTGAGGAGCGACGGCGAAGGGAAGGGTAGTTTGACATAGGCGAGGTGGGAAGGTCCATAGACGTCGGTAGTTCGAGGGTCGAGTAGTCTTGGTGGTGGAAGTCGTATGGGTCCTTTCCATAGGAAGGGAAGAGCGTGGCCGTCAATTCTAACGTTGAGTATTCGCTGATGTCTGGAAGAGCAATCATCTTTTCGTCCGATACCTCGACGACTTCAAGACCACTGAATGGCTCTAGTGTTGTATCCACCTCTTTCCCCTCGTCCTCCGCCTGCACGGTGGTGTCGTCGTCCTTCTCATTGTCGTTTTCATATTCCTTCTCAGTCTCTTCCTCTGGCTCCGTTATTGGTTCTACGTCGACCTTAGATTCAGTCTCTGGCTCCGGATCTGGCTTTTGGATTGGCAATGTTGGTATGGACTCTGCTTCAGACGAATCGCTCGTTGCGCGAGCGTAATGATGTCTCTGGGATGGGAGGGTCCTCAACGACGAGATCGGCGAGGTGCTGGACGTGGCTGGAGTTGTAGACGCCATAATCGAGAGGCTGTACTGTTCAAAGTTGAATGAACTGTGTAGAAGAGAATGACGAAAGGGTGCACACGCTGAGAGTTCTCTCTGAAACTCCTCGAAGGAGCGCTCCCAGAGTGTGCTTCAAGCAACTGGGAGTCTGGGACTGGTCAGACTGAGCTTATGGGCTGCGGCACAGGGCCCAAATGCAGTGAGAAACGCGCAGGATATGTTGGCGTCGTAAAACGTGATCAAATCATTGGCCGGATAATAACATTTAATATCAACAGGAATCGGTCACATTGGTGAAGAAAACTACGTGTTGGTGCAGTCTGTCTATCGAGATTGCGCATATTTGAGGGTTACATACAACTTCCGGATCACCACACCACGGTCTCAATAAGCGCAGGCAATCGCCAGTTTCGAACCCGTGTAACCTCAACTCAAGCAGAATTGGGAAGCAGTCAAATAAATACACAGATAAAGACATTTATTCCTACGGTGTTCCGCGTGGTGCGGCCATTCGCCGCAGTCTACGAAGATGTGGTTTATTTACAACTTTTTGATACTATACATCTAATTGTTTTCTTATCTAGCCGCGAGCTCTATTTCTGCGGTGGCTGCTGTGTGGTAGGAGTTGCAGTATCACGTTTGAAGTATGCCCATTGACCTTCGACGGGCTTTTCTGCCAGATCTTCCCAACTATAGCGTATTCTCGTGTTAGCAGTGTTGGGTGATATTATGCCGGATGTCCTCGTTACGAACGGTGTCTTCTGGAAGGAAGATCCCATACGCAGCTGATGTCGAACCCCAAAGCGGTTTTGTCCACAGATAGGGTGATTAGTACTTACACTCGGGATTGCAACATCACGTCCGCCAGCTTGAGTTCTCCTTCTGCAACTTGAATAACCTCCTCGATGAGTCCAGCACCGATTTTGTTCTCTAGCTCACCAATCCTATCCAGCTTTAGTAGAGGCACATTTCCTAAAACTCTCCAAGGTCCTTACTGAGCAGCCGTCAAGAGGGGCTCCGGTGGAAATATAGCGCGGGGACGGTTTTGATTGTATTTCATAAACGTGCCCACCTCTATGCCGCCCTTCACATCCTTCTCCCCGTCCCACTCCTGATCCGGATCTTCAAGGTCGCTCGGCGCAGGGCTAGTGAGAAAAGTTGTATCGCCATGTGTTTCCTTGGTCATTTTGCCGGCCACACTGACGATGTTTCCTTCGACATTGTCCTCCGTCTTGAAGAGGTCCGGGTGCGCCTCTACCACTTGCTGCGCTGCCTTTTTCCACTCTTCAAAATTGCTGGGTTTTATAGACGTCACAATTGACATGCGATGCTTGGTTAGAGCTTCTGCCGACTGTCGATAGAGGGATGATTCTGGGAATTGAGCGAGCTTGTCGAGGGTACGACTATAGAGGTAGACGAGGGCGGATCGAGGGGAAGGGTGAGTTCGAAGGCCAGTGAGACCAGTGGGTGCTCCCGGTTCCAGATAATTCGAAGGTTTAACCGCTGCCAGCTGGCGGAATGTGCGTCTCATCGTGGGCAAAGTCAATGGGTTGTCGCGCAAATTCAATGTTGCCGCAAAGAGGATTTGATGAGGTCAACAGCGCAAGAGCTTCGATGTCTTGGCGACCTTAGCGTGGCTTTACTTCTAAACACCTGCACTCTTCGACGGGGCGACTCAGCTCCGTCTAGCAAAACCCAGAACTGAATGGGAATGACAACAAAAGTATTCACAGTGATGCTACAAGCCCGGAAATTTTCTGCATGTAAGATCGATGGCTTCATCCCGTTCATCTTCTGGTCTAAGACAAATATAGTCACGTGCTTAACATGTGAACAGAAAGACGATCTAGTGGTTTGGATACATAATATAAGTAGATCAAACGTTCACTGTCTTACCGTAATAATGGTTCATCTCTAATCTTAAGAGTAATTGGCAGATAGTGTTCTCCTCTGCCAAATCATCAAGGTTAAACAAGCCAAGAGTGGTAGGAGTGTGCTTGCCGGCCAGCGTCTTCTCCCCGTACCCGGCCTTTTCACTGAGACTCTTGCAGACCGTGATGAAGACGCCGACTTTCCTCTGGAACTTGGCGTATAACTCGCCAACCTGCTTGTCCGGCGCTCCACCAACTTCGAGTCCCAGTTGTCGTGAACGTTCAGAAAACTGAAGAATCAAAGTAAATATCTCCTCAAGGAGCTTCATTACTGGCTGCTGACGCTTTCTTAACAGTAGCACAAACATGATTCTGTCAACTACCTTCTCGTGATAGTCTCTTAATTTGTCAATGCCCTCGTCCTGTCCGAGTGAAAAGTTGTGGTTATCAGTGTTGAATCGTTCTTCAACCTGGTCTAATTTGCGTTGAAATACTTGCCAGGTTGCTGCAATGCCAGTATCGAAGAAATACCCGCATACACTAGAAACAAACTGCTGAGCCTCGATTCTAAATCGTTGAGCCATCCCATCAAGCCCTCGGAGACGGGAACACCTAGTCGTTGCATGTTGGAAGAGAGCGGAGACGACATAAAGCATGCGAATAAGACGTAAGAGTAATTTGAATATCTGGTCATATTTGTACAATATCACAGGAGTGATGACCGCGTCAAGAGGCTGGGGCGGTTTGTAGGAGAGTCGTAGGAAATCGAGTGCTTCGACCGAGTTCGGGTTCATACACTTCTCGATTTGGTCCTCTGACATGTCCCTGACAGCAAAGCTCAAGTCGCCGGGTAGGCTTTGAGCAAGGAATGTGGAACCACCGGAGCTTGACTGATTGGATCTAGAGATGTGACTTTCAGCCAACAATCCCATCAATGCTAATTGAAGTTCTGAGCTGGCAGGTGGCCAGTTGTCTCTCTCTCCAAGGCGAAGCCCCATGATACCCCCAGAGCGAGCAATTCCCCTTTGTCTTTCCGCAGTTTCTAACTCTGGATCAAATAACGCATGTGACAGCTTACTCGAGAACACTCCGTTTCCGAGCAAGTGAAAACTGTGTTGCAGGTCCAGATGTTCCCGCAGGTTGTGGTTCTTGAAGAACATGCGCATGCATGTTCCGTTCACAATTCGGGCTTGTGCTGATATGATGTGGTTGAATGACAGGAGAGGAAGCAGAGAAACTGGGGCCGAAAGAGATGGCTGATCCCCGATTTGACGCGAACCGGGGACTGTTAGCAGAAAATCGTTTAGTCCAGTTGATAGAGCGTCAGGAAGGGTGGCAAAACGTGTAGACTCGTTCAAGACATCTATCGAAGCTAACAGGCGTGCTTGCATGTCCGCCTCTGTCTTTCCAAAGAAGCCCAATGGACATATTTCTTCGTTTGAGGCCTCAAGTGGAGTTTCACTTGATTTTGGTTTTGTATCGGCGCTCGTGAAAACTCGAACTGCCTCTAGCAAATCTGTTTCATATTGCGTCGCCTTTGCTTCAGTCTCCAGGATATCGTCCCAAGAGAAACGCCAATCCAACTTTGGGGGTGAAGCAGCAGCTACCACATCAGGCCTAGCAAGTGGATGATCAGAGTGGTGTTCCCTCAAATATCGGAGGCTCCTGCCCACTTCAAACATCACTCTCGCATCTTCAGGAGTGATGAAAGATGGAATTTTGTCAAAGTTCAAAACAAATTCCGGCTTGTCGAGCTCCATCCCTTGTTCATCCACCCATTCCTTGTTTTCTACACTCACGAAGCTTTTGCCTGGTCCATTCATCGTCAAGCCCAGCTCTGTCTCCCGTTGAATGCCAAGCCACTCACCACAGAAGTTGAGCCATGGGCGTGATACGCGAGCCAATACTTCTAAAAGAATTTCTTTCATTGAATCAGTCCTATGATCTAGCAGTTGTATCTCTTCATAGATTGTGGATAACATCGATTCGTCGTTTCGTGTAGTGGAAATGTGGTCGATGATCTGTTGAAAACATTGCAGGATCGAATGGGTTGGGCTAAATAAGCTTTGAAGTTGTAGAAGACTATTTTGCATGGAACTGCTAGCACTCAAGCGGGCTTGTATTGTCGATAACAATGTTGACACGGTATCCGCCAAGGCAACCCGGCTAGGGGAAACGCCCTCAGTGTAAGCTTGGTGGATAAACCGCTGGAGGGACTTGGTGATATTGCCGCAATCCATAAACATTGTCAACAGAGCATCCATGGACTCGCCAGTAAAACCAGATATTCTCATTTCGGGAAAGGCAGAGATGAAAGTTTGCTTTTCCTCATTCCAAGCGAATATCACGGAGCTTCGTCCTAGGCCGAGTGCGAGCAGAGATACTGTATAAGTTCTGCTATCAACGACTACATGCTGGCTGTTGTTGACTCGCAAGAGGTCTGTTTTGTCGACGAGGGCGGCATCGAACGTGGCTCGGTCAAGCTCCGTGATGTACGGCGTTTGCCGTTCTTGAACACTCTCATTGACAAACACATCCCAACTTTTAAAATTCGCCTCTTCCAAAGGAGTCTCTTCGGGCAGCAGCCATATGTCACCGTATCCAGTCGGCTCTTCCGTGGCTACATGCAGAAGGTCATTTTGCTGCGCGGGTGTCTTAGGTAGTAGTGGTTCACTTGTCGGGATGTTCAAGTCTAGTTGAGGTATTCTAAAGAAGTCATCGTGTAGATGCGCTGATTCCGAGACATCTGGCAGTGTTAAATCAATATCTACTCCAAATTAGCAAATGATTTATCGGCTAGGATTCAATGTGTTGACCATCGAAATGGTGTTGAGAGAAAAGTATCCCGCCAGTTTGACTTTCTCTAGAATGGACCTGAGAGGGTGCCCACAGATCAGGGATGGTGAAAGGTTGGCCCAAATCTCTGTCGTTGTAGTCCATTGTCGTAACTTTTTATATGGTTACGTCGCGTCAGCAATCTGGGATCCATAGACGACGCGTCAATGACGGTTGAGTTCTCGGCTACTCCCGGCGCTACTGTACGGCTCTTTTCCCCAAAGAATAACCTCAGCACGACACCAGCAATTCAAAGCCAAAGAATGCTCATACGATGCCTCCAAAAAAGAAAGGGAAAGGAGTGGCCCGCGCGGCATCTACTCCTGTAGCGGACGATGATGCGATGGCCATTGATACACCACAGGAACCTGAGACGCCCAAGCCAACCCACGATATTTTGAAGGACCCTTGGACTGATGAGCAAGAAACTTCCCTTTTCAAGGGCATCATGCGCTGGAAACCCGCTGGTAACTATTAAACCTAATTCAATTTAGCATTCTTACTAATTGAACATCAGGTATGCATAAACACTTCCGCATGATTGCCTTGTCCGAACATCTTCGAAATCATGGGTACGATCCTAATGTTGAGACGCATATACAGATCCCTGGAATATGGGAAAAGTTGAACACGCTCTATAACTTGGAAATTATCGATGAACGGGAAAATTCTTTGTTTGACTACGAGGATGGAGACGATCAATACCTCGATTTTGAACTGCCCCAGGAATACGAAGAACCTATGTTTATGAAAGGAAAGCGCTCCCCTAGTGAGGCCAATTCGTCACCCCCGCGCCTCAATCGATCACCATCACTACCACCTGCGAGAAAGCGCAAGAGGGGGGATAACATCATGCAGAAAAACAGGGCGAGCACGGTTGAAGATACTGATGAAGCAAGAACCTCGCCTGCAAAATCCCCGACACCAAAGGTGCGAACAGGAAGGAATGCGAAGCGCTCACTAGGTAGGGTTAAAGTCGAATCGAGTTCCAGAGCTCCAAGCAGGGCTGAAACTACTATGGATGAAGAGGACGGAGAAGAGGAGGGAACTGAAGAAGGCGCTGAAGACGATGAGGCTGAGGAAGATAAGGCCTCGCCTTCTCCAAAAGCGACGAAGGTTACGAAGTCGAAAACCGAGGCTTCCTCTAAAGCACAAGGCCCAGCGCGCAAGAGCAAGAGAAAAAGATGAACATTGCTTTGCAATGAGTATTGGTAGCATTTCGTCCCAAGAGCTAAAAAGCGGAATTGTACACTCTGCACAGACCGAAAGCGCGTGTGGTGTGACGGGGTTAGATAGTCAATCTTAGAAGGGATTAGCAGTCTTCTCTGACGGGTTCAAGCAGAGCTTGTTGTAGAGGACAAAGGTGTTTGGCTTGCAGTTGTACATCCTCGCCGTTGGCCATCCTATACTGGGATGACAAGGCTAAGGCCGAGACGGGAGATCATGGGACAGGAGCACATGATATTTGGTGCTTAGTACGAGCTGAGAATCCGTGAACTGGAATTTGTTTGATGTAGTATAGCCGCAAGGCCGAGTTAAATTGCATCAGTCTTTCCACCAGCTAGCACTCAAGCTGAGCCGGCGATGCTTTCGGTCCTCGGCTTGTGAATTGCATCCAATTTCTTCGTGGGGTTCTGTAGTTGGTGGGGCCTGGGAGAATGGCCCGAAGGGATCTAAGTGAAAGTGCCATCTTATTCTAGTAGGACTGTTTGGGTCTGGATGTGATCGCTGTTTTGTCTGTGGTAATTGGATGTTGTATTGCGATTCAACTAAATGTTCCAAGTATTCTGGATCCAGATTGAATTGGTGCTCCCCAGGCTTGTACATCGGCGGATTTCTCGTGGGCCTGGAATTGACAGTGACACCAAGCACCTGCGATTTTGCCTCGGTTCGGAGCAGTGGAAACCGCAACCGACTTCCACGTCCCCTCCAGCCAACCACAACAGAATAGCAGAACGAACATCTCCCGCCGTAGCGCTCCTTTAGAAGAAACTCTGTTTGAGAATTACGACTGTTTTCTATTCTTCATCTCTCTCGTTTGAATACCATTTTGGGAATGTGGAAAGCGATTGCCAAAGGTCGTTCGCAGTCCCAGGTGCTTCGAGGCAGCTTCAAGCCCAGCTTAAGGGTAAGCTTTGCATGTGCTTTGTGCTGGAGACATAGCTAATTATACGCGTCTAGCAAGTTGGAAAAGCAATGGCACCTATAACTGGCCGCAATAGCAGTACATTGCCAGGACGTATGTCAATACCCCGTGCCTAACTGTCTGATTTTTTATTGACGCCCCTCGAAGTGTACAAGGAGGACCCGTCGAAAGGGCCTATGTTACGATATGAGGACTCTCTTCCCAAACTTCCTGTGCCGACATTAGAGGAGACTGCGGCGCGGTATCTCAAGACTGTCCACCCTCTGTTATCACCCTCCGAACTCGAATCCACGACGAAAGCTGTGCAAGAATTTATCAAACCCGGCGCAATTGGCACCAAGCTGCAGGAAAAGCTGATTTCCCGCAGAGAAGACCCAAAACACAAGAATTGGATATACGAGTGGTGGAATGACGCAGCATATTTGACATATAGAGACCCAGTTGTACCATACGTGAGCTACTTCTACTCTCACCGCGATGACAGAAGAAGGAGGGATCCTTCGAAGAGAGCTGCCGCGATCAGTACTGCAATCTTGTCCTTCAAGAAACAAGTGGATGAGAAGACGCTCGAACCAGAATACATGAAAAAACTACCAATTTCCATGGAGAGTTATCAGTGGATGTTCAACGCTTGCCGCATACCAGCAAAGCCCGCAGATTTCCCTAAGACATATTCACCAGCAGAGCACAAGCACATCCTAGTAGTTCGCAAGAACCAGTTCTTCAAGGTTATGCACGAAGTCGACGGGAAGCAATTGAACACTTCGGAGTTGGAGCAGCAATTTAAGCGCATATATGAGAGGGCAGAAAGGCAGCCAGGGATTGGTATGCTGACCACTGAAAACCGTGATGTATGGACAGATGCTAGAGAGGTTCTCTTGAACGCTCACCCCTCCAATGCTGCAGCGCTAGAGGCCATTGAGGCTGCTTCGTTTGTAATCTGCTTGGATGATGCAGCTCCAGTCACGCTGGAAGAAAGAGCCCATCAGTACTGGCACGGCGATGGATCTAATAGATGGTTCGACAAACCTCTTCAATTTATCGTTAACGATAATGGCACCTCTGGCTTCACTGGAGAGCACTCGATGATGGACGGTACTCCTACACACAGACTCAACGACTATGTGAACGAAGTCATTTTCGCGAATAAACTTGACTTTTCCGATCCTTCTGTGCGCTCCAACCTTCCGGAGCCTACCCCTATCAAATTCCATGTCAACAAGGAAGTTCAAGCGGAGGTCGAACGTGCTACCAAGGACTTCAACCAGGTTATTGGATCCCATGAACTTAGAGTGCAGGCATATCAAGGCTATGGAAAGGGGTTGATCAAGAAATTCAAATCCTCACCTGACGCATACGTCCAAATGATTATTCAACTCGCCTATTTCAAGATGTATGGCAAGAGCAGACCGACCTATGAGTCGGCGGCTACTAGACGCTTCCAACAAGGTCGAACAGAAACTTGTCGGTCGGTTTCAGATGATTCAGTTGCCTTTTGCAAAGCTATGCAAGACTCGTCGATTTCACCTGAAGAGACGGTGTCTCTTTTCCGTAAAGCAATCAATTCTCATGTGGAATATATTACAGCAGCGTCGGACGGAAAGGGCGTTGACCGACATCTTTTTGGCCTAAAGAAACTTCTCGGTCCCAACGACGAGATGCCAGCCATCTACAAGGACCCAGCGTTCGCTTACTCAAGCAAATGGTTCATTTCGTCCTCTCAACTTAGTTCTGAATACTTCAATGGATATGGTTGGAGCCAGGTAGTTGATGATGGTTGGGGGATTGCTTATATGATTAATGAGAACAGGTAAGACTCTTGTATTTTGCTACACCCCTTACATCTGCTAATGATATTTTTAGCATTCAATTTAACGTATGCTCAAAAGGTCTCGGCAGCGACCGAATGTCCTTTTATTTGAATGAAGCAGCGGGTGATATGAGGGACCTGTTGGCACCTACGCTTGAGGCGCCCAAGGCGAAATTGTGAGCAAATCATGATTTATAGAGTAATGATAGACAAGAACTTCATATTCTCCGGGTTGAAACCTCCTTGAATGCTATTGCCTTGGGTGAACGTGTGTATGAAAGTGTATATCATAGATCTAGGCATTGGTTGATTGAGTTCTTACAATAAAACGACTTGAGATAGTAGACTCCTCCTGTTACTTCTTCGAACTTTGCGACCTGAATTCAGTATCACTCGCTCAAATATTCTTGTGGTCTAAACGCCTGCCGAGGAGAAGGGTACAGATGCTATGAATGTGGAAATGTCTTATTACAAAGCTGTGATCTCCGATATAATACATATTGCACATAATACACGCCATTGCAATTCGTACAGCTATAATTCCAACCTCTATGACCGTCTACCGTCTTCTCAAATACCAGTTGAACGCCAGTTGCAGTGTGTCGGGGGCGAAAGGGGAAGGTACCTCTGAAAGTCCCGCTTTCGCCACAGGATGTCTAAGATAAACTGCTGAGCAGATTTTGTGGTTTACTTCTAAGTATCGGGGAACAAATGCGAAAGCACTCATATAAGGTCGTGGCCGCCATGGGGTTGCGTACGGCTTAGATTCGTCAATGATATTTTGGCGACTTTCCTGTAAAGCCTTGCGGGCTCGTTGTTTTGCGGCATTGGAGACCGTTGTAACCACACTGGAAGATTGTGAAGCTGGGGCCGTCTCGGTCTTTGTAGGAGGCTGAAGTGTTTTCGCAGCTGGTAATGATTTTCCGGTGGTTAAGGTCAGTCGGTCGACGAGTTTAGCGAGATCTCCATCCAAATCGTCAATTGGTTTGCGATTGACTGAAGCCATGGTTTGTCTCACATCCTTAGTGAACTTCCGCAACTCCTGCTTCTTCTTTGCCGAAGGTGGGCTCTTGGTGTTTTCCATCAAAGCTTTGACTTGCGTGACCAGAGCCTGTAAATCTGACCTCCTCTGTTTCCTCGCCTCCACATCCCCCATGGGCTCACTTAGTATCGGGCGTGGTGTTGGGGCCAGTGCTTCCTTCTTTTGTGCCGCTATTTTCGCTGCGGCATTCTTCAAAGCTTGTGCTCGAGCCTCAATCCTCTTTTCGTGCCTTCTGGCATTCACCTCACGCTGAACTTTTCTTTTCTCGCGACCTTTCTTTACTTGTTCGGCTGTCTTCGTCTGACCAGTTGCAAAGAGAACGCGCTCCGGTTCGACTTGAAACATGTCTCCTGGATTGAGCAAGTATCCTGGGTAAGGCATCTGAGCAATTTTTAGCATTTAAACCTTTACAACAACGAACCAGATCGCACCTTTTGACCATTGACCTTGACACTGCCATGCGTCACAAATTGTCTTGCCTGCCTCGCACTGCTTGCAAACAATGCCCGAAAAACAGCTACGTCTAATCGCCGCTCTATGGGAGCAAAGGTCTGCGCCATATAGGGTATCTTGAATTTCTTCCTTGGCTCTTTCATCTGAGGGTCGTTTGGGTCGTAACGCTTTTGCTCTAGTCCAGATCCACGCCCTGCAGCAAGTTCCGAGCCGTCGTGCTGTGCTAGATATTTGTAATCCATAGGAATGACCGCGTCCAACTTTGATGTAAACATCCTCTGCCATTGTTTCTCGCGGATCTGCTCGCCATGGTACGCCCTTGAGGCAGATTTAGCGGCCCATTTTTGCTGAAAGAATGTGCCAAAAGAGAAACGCGGCCGCAATCGACTGAGGTTATAAAGATTGTATTTGTTCCATGTCATGCGAACTTTCTGGCAAAGGGGATGAAGTCAGTATTGTAACACAAGCAATGAATTCGGAGCCGATGCAGACTTACCACTCGCTTCAACCCATGAAACCTTTTCCGCGACATCGTTGAGGTTCGACAGCTAGATCTGGTTGTTGTACACCGCAGGTAATATTTCTGAGAGGAGGTTCCTGATGCATTTCGGTACAAAAGTTGCGGACACGCTAGTGGACACAACGATTGGCTTGATCGATGAGCACCGACCCACTCGATTCTTCAGGCGAGCAGCCAGCAGCCAGCATTACTAGAACTATCTCCTCTAATGCTTGCCACATGTAAGTAGCTTGGCCTCGACGATGAATCGTACCCGAATTTTGTTATTGTAATTCATACGCTAAGACATACAGAGATGCTTTACCATATGTTCGCACGAGCCTAAAATTGCAAAGACAAGATATCCTAGCAACTGCCCTACTAGTACCCTAGGAGCAAGATGCCAATTGCAGTAACTGCTCTTGTTCCTGGCGATATCACAGGTGCTGTGACTGCTATACAAGAGGCTTTCAACGGAGACCCGTATTCTCAATGGGTTTACACGGACCAATCCAAGGTAAGTTTACAATCCATTTACACTTATTGTGCTAGCCAGTTTCGTATGTCAAGGGATAGTTGTATTCCTCCTGTTGTTCGTTACTGGTTCATAAAGAAACCTAGTCTCTGTTATCGCCCTTGCTTTAATATGTTACAAAAACTCCTTCTATTGTATGTTAGGAGAGTGTCGCTTCATAGAAGTATTCTTGGACGTCAAATTTCCATCTGATCACCTTAAATATGTCATTCTATATACGGCTGATGATCCGGCCGGCGTCGGTGTTGAAGAGCTAAGCTCTTCACATTTTTTGGGTGTTTAAAGTCGACTTGACATATATGTGAACACTTTGACGTGGAACTGACTGGAAAGATGGATCTAAACAGGAATCGCGTGTCCCTGGGTATACGGTGCCGTTGGGGTATTAGGAATGCCCTCTTTTACGTAGCTAAAGACACAGACACCGAACAAAAGGACGAGGTTCTAGGTATTGCTATGTGGATGCCACCAAGACCGCAAGAACAGAAAGAAACGTGGAGTGAGTGGTTTGAAGGCTGGAGGCTGTGGACAGAGCAAGTTGTCATGAACTCATTGTACGGGCGAGGTGGTCTGAATGTGCAGAGGTATTGGATCTGGAAAGCCAAACAAGCCGAAGCCCAGTCTCAAATCTGGACAGATCCACGAGGCTATTACTTTCTCAACATTATGGTCGTCAAGCCCGGTAGTCAAGGAAAAGGAATTGGGAAAGCACTCGCGAGGGAGGTTACCCAGCGAGCCGATGAAGAAGGTAGAAGGTGCTACTTGGAGTCCAGTAGGGATGTACCAAACATCAAGATTTATGAGGCGATGGGGTTCCATTTCGTGAAGCAGATGGATTGTGAAGAGTCGGGAGATATTTGTAAACTTTATTGTATGGTACGAGAGCCTCAGCGCCCTGCTGTTGAGGCTTAGAATTTGGAGGAAATGATCCTAAATGGGAGGTATAACATCATGTTCAAAGGACAATCTGTATGCGTTATATTGCATGTAAAAGATCGTAGGAGCGTGTTTTACTTTGTATGCAAGTCGATATCGAGAAAATGCGAAGCCATGGCGTCTATTCAACGAGGAGATAGAATGTTGGAGCAGGTCGAACCAAATCATGTACGAAGCAAGCCCAGGTCCTTTTCAAAAGATGTAATCATAACATCTTCCACGGTGGTTGTTATCTGGCTTGGGTTGAGACTTCTCTGAAGCTGAGCAATACTTGCCCAGGCGAGATCGATCCGGCACGCCCGTCGCACTAGTTCCCGACGGCCGCTCCGGTGCATGAACAAGAAGCTTACTTGTGAAAACTTGTAAAAGCTGGAGGATCAAGAGATATACCTAGGATCAAATTTGCACGTCACTTGGCCTCCCGATGAAATCTGAGCTTGACAATTGCGATGAATTGAATATTTTGCTAAGGTATTTAACAATGTCAGCTACTCGTAGATTTTCTCATAAATCTCCGTCCCACGCGGGACGTGCATGCTTGCTTTTATTTTGACGCGGAATGATGCTCATTTTTCTCGCTAACCTTATCTATTTGGGCTGCTGGCCCAAGCTTCATGACTTCAAGAAAATTGTGCTCACTCCCGGCCTCCTTTCTCTATTCTTAACCTGAAGTGCTTCAATCAGCAATGGCGACGACGACGACAGCCACGGCCATGCGGTCAATTGGTCTTAATCTAGCCCGTATGAACCCTCCCAGCCAGGCTATCATGCGCCGGTCGTTCGTAACCTCGTCACGATCCTTTGTCACTCGCGCCAGGCCTAGTATCAATAAGCACGACAGTCTACAGAAGAGCTTCCGCCGAGCATACGCGGACGCGAAACCTGCTCTTGGTCCTGCGAAAAGGGCGAAAAGATTCAGATACTTCACCTATCTTTGGAGACTTACTTATCTGAGTGCTATTGGAGGAGCTGCTTATCTTGCTTATGGCGTTTGGGACCTTAGACATCCGGATGACCAATTCGAGCCCGATCCTAATAAGAAGAACCTCGTTATTCTTGGTGAGTTGAGACTCGAGGGTCTTTTATATAATCCCACGCCGTCACTGACATTGTCCCGCTAGGTACCGGATGGGGTGCAGTCTCTCTCCTCAAAAAGCTCGACACAGAGAATTACAACGTTATCGTCATCTCACCAAGAAACTACTTCCTCTTCACACCTTTATTGCCATCATGTACGACTGGAACAGTCGAACACAGGTCTATTATGGAACCTATCCGCAGCATAACGAGACATAAGCAGGCGGCTGTCAAGTTCTACGAAGCCGAAGCAACTAAAATCGACCCCGAACGGAAGACTGTTCTCATCGACGATAATTCCGATGTCAAAGGAGCATCGAACAAGACCGAGGTCTCTTATGACATGCTTGTCGTTAGTGTTGGGGCTGAGAACGCTACATTCGGTATTCCTGGAGTAAAGGAGCACTCTTGTTTCTTAAAGGAGATTGGTGACGCGCAACAAATACGGAAGAAGATTATGGACTGCGTAGAGACGGCGACCTTTAAGGATCAATCCCCAGAAGAGGTGGAACGACTCCTTCATATGGTGGTGGTTGGCGGTGGCCCAACTGGTGTCGAGTTCGCTGGGGAGCTCCAGGATTTTTTCGATCAAGATATTAAGAAGTGGGTTCCAGAGATTAGTGACAAGTTCAAGGTTACACTTATCGAAGCGCTTCCCAACGTTCTTCCTATGTTTTCCAAACAATTGATCGACTACACGGAATCCACTTTCAAAGAAGAAAAAATTACGATCAAGACTAAGACTGCCGTCAAGAAGGTCACAGATAAAACGGTGGAAGCCGAAGCCACTGGACCTGATGGTAAGAAGACTACAGAGGTCATGCCTTATGGCTTGCTCGTTTGGGCGACCGGAAATGCTGTTCGGCCTGTGGTCAAGGATCTGATGTCCCAGATTCCGGCACAGAAAGATTCCCGAAGAGGTTTGGCAGTCAACGAGTACTTAGTTGTCCAAGGAACTAAGGATATCTGGGCTACGGGCGATTGTGCGGTCGCTGGATATGCGCCAACAGCGCAAGTCGCTTCCCAGGAAGGCGCCTTCCTTGCTAGACTTTTCAATACCATGGCGAAAAGCGAGGCTATCGAGAATCAGATCCACGAATTGAGCTCTAGCCTCAACTTGAAGCCTGGAGATAGTGCGTCTGTTTCAAAGGAAATCGAGGCTCATGAGAAACAGTTACGAAGAATTAAGGACATCAAGCCATTCCACTATACTCATCAAGGTTCATTAGCTTATATTGGAAGTGAAAGAGCTGTGGCAGACGTCAGTTGGTTGAATGGAAACTTTGCTACTGGCGGTGGATTGACATATTTGTTTTGGAGAAGTGCATACTTGAGCATGTGCTTTAGCAGTAAGTTCGTCCTGCCGCTTGACCTGATGCTTTCTAACTTTTGGTCTCGCAGCACGTAATCGTGTTCTCGTCGTTCTTGACTGGCTCAAGTCTAAAGCATTCGGTCGAGACGTGTCCCGAGAATAAATCCATTCTTCAATATCTTACAATCGGTCAGTAGGGTGTGGTATATAGAGGTTATTGGCGTAGGCGTAAGAGTGTATGATTGCCGATAATTTGAGATTCGGATCGTGTAACATCTTTTCCTATTAATGAGGTTCTCGGGCATAGAAGGTATATGATGCAAATAGTTTTCCAGACCTAATTTTTCGTATCAAGCAAGCTTGAACAAGGCAGATTCAACTCAATCAATAAGTTTGTCATGACACTTGAGGGATGTTACCACGATCTTAGGATCCCTCCTTTCCTCGTCTTGTGGTCGAGTATTGCACATGTATCCTTCACGTGCTTGGAGTACCGTCACCCCTTTCGGCGCTCTGCATAAAGCATCATGGTTTTGTTGCAAGTCGCGATGAACGAGGGCGAGTGCGGGAAACTGCCCTCTCGCTTACTTTACTAGTACCTTGTATGAAGCTTACTCCGCTTCCCTCCTAACATCTGATTCTTGATGAAAGTGGAGCATGCTTCGAAGCCGCAAAGTTCCTGGACCCTTGAAATCAGAGCAATGCCTGATGCTCCTCCTTTATTAAGTAGAACTGTAGAAGTCGTATAGACACCCAGTCCTGGACTTATCCTATTCTAGATATGTTATTTCCCGCAGAGCTACATCGCATCAGTGACATGAACATAGTCCCTGCCCTTTTCCGCCAGAATATTGAATCAAATTTTTTGTTGCATATCGCGAAAGGGCGCCCTCACATCCATCCGCCCAGACTGGACTCCTGCATGCAGCCTGTAGGAGACCGCATGACTGGACCAACACCTTCCAAGGTTCCGCCTGGCCGCCCTGCGCAGATAGTAAAATACCATAACTTAGGGATTTTGTTATCACGCCCTTGGACTACTCGAGGCAATTCCTGTTCATTTAATTGCATGAACAAAGATGCTATTCAGGGTTGCAAACATTTGCTTTTTCCTAAAGTCACGCCACAGTTTGATCTCCTGGTTGGAAAAAGTTAGCAAACTGCTAATAATCAGCAGTCGTATACTTACAAAGTGATCCTCGCATTTCGCAGCGACGGCATCAATCAATAGAACACCCAGTCTTACAGTACTAGCAGCAAATATTATATTGAATTTCCTATTTCGGACATTTCATACAATTTGTTGCACTTCGTAAAAAGGGCGCGAGCATCAGGGCGTTGGGCGAAGAGGGCGAGGGCGTGCATGAGGGCGTAGTGACCTACCCGGTGGGCCATGGGATGACCGAGTTCGTCCCCTCCCTCCCCTCCTCTCACAACAGGAAAATCGAGAGCAAAGTTTTTCATTCCTTCCTTCTTTCTCTAACAAGGCGCGAACACCTGCAGGAGCCTGACTAGACAAGGTATCCATCTATGGAATTCTGAAGTTTACATGATATATTACAAGTTACAAACACCTATATTGTTCTCCTTGAGTAGGCCCAGTATGCCTTAAATGGCAATTTCCATTCTCGGCTTCTCAACTCGGGCTTGAAAACGTCGAAATCATACTTTTCAAGACTCTCTAGCCAAAGCCGGGTAGAAACAGCTGGCATAAGTACTCCAAACCCCCTTTCCAACTCATCGAGTTGCGACTGTCCACTAGGGATTCTTTCAGCGTAGTTGTGGCCTTCGTCGCCTTCATGTTCATAAGCATGACCTGCATCCTCGCCTTGCTGCAGATTCTTCATCATCTCTCTGGCAGTAATGAGGTGATCATTTGCTCGAGTAGCAACTTTAAAGATAGCATCTTTTAGCCCGGGCGCTTCAGAGCCATGTCTGAAGATGTCTTCTTCTCGGACTCCCGTTTCTACCATAATATCTAGTGGCAATACCACCGAGCCCTGACGGCCGCCTGCATTACCAACAAACGCAGCATTATTGTTGTGGTGATTCGGTGGGGGAGGAAACGCAAGCAGTGGTAAACCCCGTAGTACAGCAGCAATTCCGGTGGCTTTTCCAATATGACTCGCAACATGATCTGTTGTCATTGAGTTCAGAGGGACAGCTGCAAGCGTTAAGTAAAGCAAGGTAGAGTACGTATTTTCAGCGTACTTCTCTAGAGCATCCATCGTCGTGTAAGGCCGGTTATCCATATATTGCTCTCGCGTATTGATTATTTTCATGAACCATCCTTTCATAATGTTCGTGCTGAATCCCGGATTCTGAATTTTCAGAGAGGCGAGAGCATGGTGCAGAAGGATTGCCACAGGCTCTTTTGGAGGAGTATCTGCAAACGTACGAGTGAGGCTATCGCGCCAGAACTGCATTCGTAATGCACCGACTGTAGGGTTTGAAACTAAATCTGGTATTCGAGCCAGTTCAATGTTGAGCGTTCGAATGGCGAGGTACGCATCTCGTGCTGAATTTGGGATAAAGCCCTGTAAAGTGAAAGATGGGGAATCAAAGTTTCTAGTTGGCGTTAAACAAGATCCAAGTGATAAGAAATTGACTTACTGGACAAGATTGGAGCAATACAATCTCGCTCCTTGGACATCGGCATCTGTTATTCGGGACGGATGAGGGGCGGGAGTACTGTATGAAGTCGTCGCGAAGGCGCATCTGGACTGAAGGCTCCGCTTCAGTTGCAATGGAAACCGTACGCTTGCTCTTGCAGAATACATCACATTATTTGTGAGATCAATGAGCTACAGAAAATACAGCAATCCATGTCTAGGAGGAGGCGCACAACATTCACTTGTCGAGGTGTGAAGGACGTCACGAAGATCTAATCTACGCGAGAAAATATCCGACGCGTCTCCCGGGATCTCCTTCCACCTCTATGTGTATGTACTTATATACAAGTCAACAACAAACAACAGAATGAGCTTCGCAGAACCAGAAGGACGACCAGCCAAGAAAAGGAGGTTTTTCGAAGAGAAATCTAACCTGCTTGATGCTTCATTGACTTCCAGTGCCTCTCTGCCGGACGAAATCGACGCGTTTCCTGGAACATCCTCAACGGACGCCTACGATGGCAACCAATACAGTATCAAGAAAGAGGACCCAGAATCATTGGACTCATTCCAAGATGACTTCACGCGAGATATCAAGCCTCTTTCCGGGTTTGATAAGCAGACGTTCGAAAGCTTTATTGGGGATAAGGTCTCGTCAGATATACTAGGTCGCTTAAGAGAAGCTTGTGGAAGCGACATTGAAAGAGCTGTGAATATGTACTTCGATGGTTCATGGCGAAACTTCAAGAAAGAGAAGATTGGGAATAGCTCGAGCACTGGGGTCATGTCTGTCAATGCATTTACGAAATCATTGCCCATCGTCGAGAAAAACAACACCGCCACAAAGCGATCCGAAACAGAAGTTTTTGCAGATATCACTCCGGCTCTTAGAGACTCCATGCCGGAGCATCGTTATATTGGAGCTTTTGGAGTTGGGGGCTGGGCAACTACGAGTGGCACAAACCTAATTAAGCATGGTGAGGTTGTCCGCATCGACAGGCAGAAAATTCAACCCATGAGGACTCCTATATCCAAAGGCAGAGGAAGAACCGCTGTAAATCAGCCACCACCCAAAGCGAACACCGCTGCCGGCAAACGGGTAGACGTGATTGTACGCTTCACAAATTCGAAGGGCAGTGAAATTGGAAGATTGCCTAGAGAAACAGCGAACTGGGTTTCGACGTTAATGGACCAGAAGGTTTGCAGATTTGAAGGGACATGCGTCTATGCTCCTGAACGCATTCGAACGAATGACACAATATTCTTACAACTAAGATGCTCACTACTACGGACCGCGTTCGATAACGCGGGGTTTAGTATGCCAGATAATAGAGCCACGGGTATGTTTGAAGAGAAGGAGACCTCAGAAGAAAAAGAGTTACGTTTGCGTCAAGTAGCCCTCGTCAAACTTTTCGACGAAGTAAATCTTCTACCATCGAAGACATCTGCCACGACAGCCAAACATAAACGAGAAGGGCTACTTCAGGCCGCTGAAGTCGCTGAGCAGTATGAGAGATCCAAGGCAAAGGATGTAAAGGTTGAATCCAAAGAGGTTGTGAGTCTCTCCCCTCCATCAGAAGAAGCAGAGGATGGGAAGGAACTTGAGCAAGACCAGTTGGACGCGCTTTACAAAAAAGCACAATCGTTCGATTTTAATGCCCCAGCTGCAGAGCCTGCAGCAACCTTTGCAATGGATTTACGGCAATATCAGAAACAAGCACTACACTGGATGATGTCGAAAGAGAAGGATGAAAAGAACAGTGATCGAGAAGTGTCTATGCATCCACTATGGGAAGAATATGCATGGCCAATTCGGGATATGGACGATAAAGACCTTCCGGGTGTCAGAGGTCAAGATTCACTTTATGTGAATCCCTATAGCGGCGAGTTATCTTTGAGATTCCCAGTGCAAGAACAGAATTGCTTGGGAGGAATCTTGGCCGATGAGATGGGACTGGGTAAGACAATTGAGATGATGAGTCTGATTCATTCACATAAGTCTGATGTCTGGCAAAACATGGTTAACCCAACTGCTGTCACTGCATCGGTCAACAATCTGCCTAGGTTACCTGTGAATTCCGGCAATGTAGAGTCAGCGCCATGTACAACTCTCGTTGTGGCCCCTATGTCACTGTTGGCACAGTGGCAAAGTGAAGCCGAAAACGCTTCAAAGGATGGCACATTGAAGAGCATGGTGTACTATGGTAATGAGAAAAATGCGGATCTTCAAGCATTATGTTGCGAGAAGAATGCTGCTTCTGCTCCAAATGTCATTATTACCAGCTATGGTGTCATTCTCTCAGAATTCAACAAAGTGGCAGCGAATGGCGGCAACAGGGCCGCCCATGGAGGCCTCTTTTCCTTGAAATATTTTCGCGTTATATTGGACGAAGCTCATCATATCAAGAATCGTCAAAGCAAAACTGCTCGGGCATGCTATGAGATCGACGCAGAGCACCGATGGGTGCTGACCGGCACTCCTATCGTAAACAGGCTAGAAGACTTATTCAGTCTGGTCCGTTTCCTTAGAGTTGAGCCGTGGAGTAACTTCTCATTCTGGAAGACATTCATCACTGTGCCTTTTGAGTCCAAGGATTTTATGCGAGCGCTTGATGTTGTCCAGACTGTCCTCGAGCCGCTCGTTCTTAGAAGAACAAAGGACATGAAGACACCTGCGGGCGAGGCCCTTGTCCCTCTGCCACTAAAGACCATCAACATTGTTGATATCGAGCTATCACAGCCAGAGCGTGAGGTGTACGACCATATATTCACGCGCGCGAAGCGAAACCTTGCGGCAAACATGGAAGCTGGCACTGTAATGAAGGCTTACACGAGCATCTTTGCTCAGATTTTACGGCTACGCCAATCTTGTTGCCATCCTATTTTGACAAGAAATCAGAATCTTGTGGCGGATGAAGAGGATGCCGCTGTGGTTGCTGATGCCGCGAGTGGGATGGCTGATGATATGGACCTTCAGTCTCTGATCGAACGCTTCACTGCAGAAACGGACGACTCTGCGGACGCGAATGCATTCGGCGCACATGTTCTTGAGCAGATTCGTGACGAAGCAGAGAACGAATGTCCTATCTGCGCCGAGGAGCCTATGATTGAGCAAACAGTGACAGGTTGTTGGCACTCAGCCTGCAAAAAATGTCTTCTGGATTACATCAATCATCAGACCGATAAAAATGAGATTCCTCGGTGTTTCTCCTGCTGCGAAGTTCTAAATACCCGCGATATCTTTGAGGTAGTTCGCGATGATGGCCACCCCGACAGCAAAATAACTTTGCAGCGTCTTGGATCGAATTCTTCAGCAAAAGTCGGCGCCCTGCTAACTTCGCTCAAAACCTTGCGCAACGAGAAGCCGAGGACGAAAACGGTGGTTTTCTCTCAATTCACATCATTTCTTTCCCTGATCGAGCCTGCGCTCACGAGGGCAGCCATCCCATTTCTTCGACTAGATGGAACCATGGCTCAGAAAGCCCGAACAGCAGTTTTGAAGGATTTTTCCGCTTCAAAGAAAGGAGTCGTCCTACTTCTTAGTTTAAGAGCTGGTGGAGTTGGCTTGAATTTGACAATGGCTAAGAGAGTTTACATGATGGATCCGTGGTGGAGTTTTGCGGTTGAGGCGCAGGCTATCGATCGTGTTCATAGAATGGGTCAGACGGATGAGGTGTTGGTCAGTAGATTCATCGTTAAGGATAGCATTGAGGAGAAGATGTTAAAGATTCAGGATAGAAAGAAGTTCATGTGAGTACAGTTCTCCTGCCGTTGAACTTAACAAAATGATTGAATGGGCATAAAATTGGATAAAGCTGACTTCTACGTAGTGCGAGCTCTTTGGGGATGATGAGTGACGAGGAGAAGAAACTGCAGAGGATTGAGGATATCAAGGAGTTGCTATCGTGAGCGGAGACTTGGTCAAGGGATGCATTGATGGCGCCAAACGGGTTGTATATTTGCGTTATGTATGTTGGACTGTATATACCTACCAACTAGATTAGGTGTCCTGGTAGACCTGCGAAACTAATTCGCAACTCAGGTTTGCTGAGGTAAATTGTTATATGTTACGGATTCAGCTTCTAGTCAGCATTGTTAGGCAAGTGACTCTGTGGCTGTGAAGAATAATTTCTCATGCTGCTTTGGTACTTGTTGCTATAGTGGAAGAATATAGCTTTATTATAAATGAAGGATATAAACTTAAGCACTCCGTCCGAATTCGTTGGGAATGTGACGCTCCACCAGAGTAAACGGCGTTTATGATGAAAGCTGGGTCGAGCTTGATACTTCTTACCCTTCTGATGCAACTTAGAATATGACTTCCGTGCAGTATGTTTTCGTGCTTGATACTTAGTTTGGTCGTAGTTTGGTCGTTCTAAAGTCATAAAAGGATTTACCAAGTTTTGAAAAGGTGGTTCGAGATTTCATCATTGACATTTCTCCTTCCTATATATTCTACTTCATGAATGGAATTCGTAGTTTCGCCCTGCGGAAACTAGAATATCTTCCCTCAAATCTCCTGGCCCATTCCGTTTCTGATATGACTAAACGTAGAGTTCACACTTAGCCACTCATGCAACCCATCTTCGTCTTCAAGCCCTTCGAGTTATCCAACCCCAGCATGTAATCACAATCCCAAAAGCATGAAACCCCAGTAGATTTGAGATTGCAACTTCTACTTTTCAAAACTTCGTTAAACAAGGCCACGACCACGGTGACGAAAATGGCCCATTGCCAAAACCCGAGCACAAGATATTTCAACATAACAATTCAATCACTCAGCCTTTGAAGAATTACCAGATCCCAAAGTCCCTAATCCAAAAGCAAAGTGATTCCCTTCCCAAAACTGCCGTATAATTACAATCCCGCTTGAATGGACTCAACACAATGCCGTGTGCGATGTTGGAGTTCGATTACGCTATGCATTAGAGCAATTGCACAACTCCAGCCGAGAATAAGTACCTCGTTGAAAAACAGACATCCATAGTCGTTAACGTTAAATAATGCCTCCAGGTGGTTCATATCCGGTGTTTTGGTATGCTCGCTGAGGATCCAGGCCTGCACTACCAGGTACATCGCCCGCAAGTCCGTCGGCATTCGAAGTCAGCTTCCGTAACATGAACATTGGCTTCTTGCCTTCCTTGTCAAGTTGCTTAAACAGTATCAGTGGTTTCTCGTTCATCCCTAAGCATCTTTCTTGGTCTCCGTAAACAATATATAACGCGTATTGCTCCCATGGTGCGTTGATGTTATATTTTTTCAGAGCAGCTGGTAAAACCTTATAACATGGGTCTTCCATACTGACGCGAAAGGACTTGAATATCTCGACCGACGCTCCTCCACCAGAGTCTGGTGCTGGTGTATTTGAACGTCCAGGCGCAGGTTTTCTCGAGTCGCGATTTGAAGACCCGCCGTAGCCTTCATTAAATGTACCCGTCCTCGGCGTCTGTCGTTCGTAGGAACCAGGCCCCAGCGTGCCGGGGTTGAAGATAGGGGGTGATGTGGGCGAGGGTTGATTCGGCGAAGGGTACCCGGGAGATATGGCCGGGTTAGAGCCACCATTCTGAGCAGTGAGACGTTGGTTCGATAGCACAGCTTCCATAGCAGCATTAGCAGGATCCAGACTGCGCTCCATCAAAGATCTCTCGTAACTCGATTGTGCATAAGTTGGAGATGCATTTTTTGGCGCGTCAAAAAAGAGCTTTTTGGTAGAAAATTTTCGGGATAACCCACCTCCAGATTGACTTGAAGACGGTGTTGGTGCAGGTGGTGATATGGTATCCGAACCGCCATAGGGATAACCAGCGCTATTGATTTGATTCGGGTAAGGAAGCGGCTGCGTTTCTTTAGCCATTTTGAAGACGGGTAATAAGTCTTCTCGCAATTTGTTGTACTCGATAGTGATCTTCTGCAGCTGGGCCTCTGCAAGGCTCATTCGCTCATCGCGTATCCGCAGTTGGTCCACAAGAAGCTTTATATCTTTGAGGGTCGCGGTGGCATATTGAGCTTCAGCGTCGGCGGCTATTACTATGTCAGTCACGTATAACAGCGATAGGTAGTCCCCCACATACTTAATGGGCGGTAGTGATCGCTTTCTATCGGCACGTCTTGCTTGATTTTTATGTCGTAGACATTCTTCAGAATGGTCAATCGATGGCCCACACTAGACACTCCCATCTGCTTCAGATCATCATGCTGCAGCGCGACCAATGCCTCTCCCACGATCTCATTTTCTGTGTCGGATCAGCATGTTGTGCGATGATTATACGTTGGGCGCCTATCCCTACCTAAGAATTGGTCTGCATACTGGCGCAAATTCAGGCTGGCCACAAAGTCAGCGCACTCGTCGGCGGTCCACTCGCTGATAATTGCTTCTGGCAGCTTGTCACTGGCATCGTGGGCGCCGTAGGTCGTTGGAGTGTGCTCGCTCGAGGAGAGATCGTCTGAGGAGGTGGGAGACTGGCCGCCGTCGTATCCCTTTTCACTTCGCTCGTACTCGTCGTCAGCCTCGATGTCGCTTTCGGGGTATGCGGTGCCAGACTCGAACGCCATGCTGGAGCGCGGCCTCGTAGTTCGCGTGGGCGATGGATGGTGCACGTCGCCGTCGTCGTCGTCGGTGGTGGTGGTTCGAATGGCAGGGCGGCCTTTGTCTGTACGTGGTGCTGGTGGGTGGTAGAAGTTGCACTCGAGTGCACTGGCAGGTATGGAATGGCACAGCAAAGTCTCGCCTGAGGCTGCCCGGGAGGCGCACGGACCTTCCAACCTCGAGCGACAGGCGGCGACGAATCACCAGGCGCGCAGAACGAGTTGGGCTGTCGACCGGGCCCCTTGCTATTAATACCCAGGGAGGTGTTGGTCGAGGGGCGCCAAGTAACATGAAGAAAAGGTATATAGTTAGGGAAAAGAAAGATATATAGTAGCCTAGAGAGTTCTTCGTAATATCATGTACGGTATATATACGATGCACCTACGAACAGAACAAGAAGAAGCCAGGACTATTTCACGGCATTGCTAGCCTCTTGCTAGGGCTGCCTTCCATGCTACCTCTACGGCCTTGGCATCGACGTTCTCCACCGACGGCACTCGGCCCCTCCATCGCTAAATTATTGTTCGAGAGTGACTCAAAACACCAGCGCAGTATTCAAAGGTTGTTACCACAGCATACACCCCGTCGACACACAACCCCGCATAGCTTTCTTCATAGTCAAGCACCACCGGAAGACGCGATTGACTCTCATATCCAATTGTATAACTGGCAACTCCACGTTTACGCTCGTTGTTTCTCGCGGCGCAATGTCGCAGAAATCGGCGAAAGGTGCTGGTGGTGGGGCAAAGGCAGCTCCAAAGGGGAAGAAAGCTGCTGCATCAGGGAAGAAAGTCGCTAGATTAGAGGACGAGAGGGAGGAGACTTTGCAAGCGGTGGTACGCTGCTCCTACATCCCCAAACTCGGGAGTTTGGGGGGTATAAGAAGTACTGACATGCTCCTAGATACTTGCTGATTCGTTTGAGACGAGATTCAATCCGTTCACATTAGAGACGCCACGAGTAATGCTCCCTCTAGCATCCCAAGCAAGCAGCTGGTTTTCGTAGCTGGCCTGGAGCTTTAGCTGATATTAGTTACAGTGTCTCTTACCTCTGGCGAACACGCCTTTGATCGAATACACCCTTGAATTCCTGGCAATGTCTGGAGTCGCCGATATATATGTATACTGCGGGGCACACACAGCCGAAGTAGAGAAGTACTTGCAACAATCGAAGTGGTATCCGCCAACCTCATCTGCTTCGCCATTCAACTCCTTAGAAATTGTGAAAACGACGGCAAAATCAGTCGGAGATGCGTTGCGAGACTTGGACGCAAGAGATCTTATTACCGGCGACTTTCTGCTCGTGCATGGAGATTTGGTGTCAAATTTACCAATAGATGGCGCACTAGCTGCTCATCGAAAGAGAAGGTTAGCAGATAAAAACGCGATTATGACAATGATTTTGCGCGACGGGGGCTTGCATGGACATCGAGGGAAGTCAAATGGAATTACACCGGTCTTCGTAGTGGACCCCACGAAAGACCGCTGCATACATTATGAGGAGATGCATGCTCTTCAAGCTAATAAATATGTTAATATCGACCCTGATCTGCTAAACGAGCACTCAGAAATTGACATCAGGACGGATCTGATTGATTGCGGCATCGATATTTGCACACCTGATGTCCTCGCTTTATGGGCCGAGTCATTTGATTACGAAGTTCCACGGCGGCATTTCCTGCATGGGGTGCTGAAAGATTATGAATTGAATGGCAAGACAATACATACAGAAATCGTGGGAGATCATTACGCAGCCAGAGTCTTCAATCTACAATCGTATGAATCAGTCAGTAAAGATGTTCTTGCGAGATGGACATATCCTCTGGTTCCAGACAGTAATCTGCTGGACAACCAAAGCTATAAATATGAAAGCGGTGGGCTCTGTAAAGAGAATGGGGTTATTTTGGCTAGGACATGTAAAGCTGGAAAGAGGACTGTTCTTGGAAGAGATACCAGTATTGGGGATGGAAGTCGGGTCGTGGACAGCATTATTGGAAGAAGATGCGTTATTGGGAAAAACGTCAGTATTAAAGATGCTTACATATGGGACGACGTATCAATAGGCGACGGCACCATCATCGAGAGGGCTATTATCGCCAATGAAGCGGTCATTGGCAAGGACTGTCATCTGGAACCCGGATCATTGATTTCGTACAACGTCAAGATATCAAATGGCACCAATGTACGGGCTGGGACACGCCTTACAAGGGGTAATCGGAAACAAGAAGACGGAACAAAGAGTGATGCACCGTCAGATCCGTCACTGGTCGGCCAAGGAGGATTTGGCCATGCTTTCGAAGATCCAGACGAGTTCTCAGACGATGAATCGTCTGCCTTCCATTCAAACATGGTTTACTCAACCGCCCATCTTAACATATCATCCGAATCCATCTCAACCGTCTCTTCTGAGATAAGTACCTCATCACCTACGACCTCCCGTTCTCGATTATCCAGCTTTGCATCCGACGATGCCGATGGTGGAAACAACGAAAACTTTCACCATGATGCTGTGGAAGGCCTCCTCGGTACTCTGCGAGAGAACGGCGACTTTGATTCGGCAAAGCTCGAGTTCATGGGTCTTCGTCTCAGTAATAACGCAACAGATCAACAAATTCGTCGAGCTATCGCCGTGGCATTCACAAAACGCATATCTCAGCTTGTAGAGAACGACAAACTGGAAGCGAGTAAAGCCGCCGCCCAAGCTTTCGGTGTCAGTGGTGCGGATCGTTTTATCAAGAATGTGGCGATCGGGGATGAGGGTCTTGAAGACGACCAAGTCGATTTCATCTACCGTCTCCAGAAGGATCTGGTGCACCGCAACAATGGCGCCGTTATCCTGGCCGCTATCAGTCAGAGGTTGTATCAGATGGAAATCCTCGAGGAAGAGGCTTTTGAGCGGTGGTGGACAGAGTGCGAGGGGCTAGAGGACGAAGACGAGGGAATGAAGAAGGTGAGGGAGAAGACTGCCGTTTTTATCGAGTGGTTGCGGCAGGCCGAGAGTGAAAGTGAGAGTGGGGAAGAGGATAGTGATTAGAGGCTGGGCTGTAAAGTTTAGCATGGCGTCGCATAAATTGGGTTGCTTAAATCCTGGACACGTATTGCATTGTATTAAAAAAGTAGATTCCTTCATTAGTAAATGCCTTTTGGCGGTCGAACAGATTCGGTTTTTGCGCTTCAATATCACAGTACGGTCAATACTTTTTCGGGGTGTAATGAGCGATCAATTGAATTGACTACTTATAATATTGTCTCATCATAGCAAATTTTGCTATATGTGAAAACTTCAATCTGACGAATTGGGTTGTCGAATATCGATGTAAGAATTATTCAGGCTTTTCATGCACACCGTAATTGATATGTAGTCGCGGAGCATATCTCGCGCAGACCCATTCTCAAAGCTTTTGTGAGAATTCTTGACAACATCTATTCTTTGCTCAATGGGATAATAGAGATGTTAATGCGTTCACGCAGCTCGACACGAAACAAATCCGCTAGGTCAGCCCTCGCAGGCAAGGGAGTGGATTTGAGCAGCTAGCAAGTAATCGCAAAATTGAAACATGTTGGTAAATCTATTAATTTGGGAAACAACTCGCTGATTTATGCACATAACGGACTGGCAATGTGTGAGCCAAAACATACTAGATTCGGAATCCCGAGGGGAAGTAGCCTCCATCGATCCCATCAGTTGCTCTACCTGGCTCCATCTACAGCGCTTTTGTTTCCCGGTATCTAAACGAAAGAAAAGGTAACTAATTACTGAAGGGCAGGTGCTGCCTTAATTTCATCATCTTGGGCGGCTCTGACCGGGGCTGGAGCAGCGACTGGTACTTGTGCCGGTTGCTCTCCGGTTGGAATAATCCCTGGGTTAACAGCCTCATTGTTGATGGCTGCTGGCTTCTCTGTTGCCCACTTTGGAGGACGAGCCCATTCTGGGTTTGTCCATGGACCTTCATCACTCATCATACATCCACCCTCACCAGGGCACTGGCAAGTCCCTCCAAATGCCTTTGGGAGATTCTCAGCCGGGACCTGGGCGAGAAGTTCTTTTTGGTAACCACCTCCCAAGATATGGATCTTCTCAACGGTGATAGGATCTAACCATCCCTTGACAACGCCGAAAACGGTGGAGAATCCCCATGGAGCATTGATCATATACAATTTTCCAAGTCGCTCAGGATAGTAGTTTTGCGACATGACCGACGCTTGTTTGACGTAGGAGTACACGGAACTGACCTTGGTCACTCCGACTCCCTTGAGGTCCATAATCGTGCAGCAAGTCTCGACAAGATGGCCAGACTTTCTTGAACAGGCTGGAAGTCTTGGATCTGCGATTTTTTCGTATTCTACGGCAAGATTCTGAAGCATGCGCTCAGAAGTGGTGATCTTGTACATCGAAGGCAAGTCGATTTTGCCAAGTTGCTCGATATAGACTGGTCGCCCATCCTATCTCCTTGTCAACTCAAGACCACGGCGTAAGAAAGATAATTGACGTGCAACATACCTTATCGGTTTTGTGGTAGTATTGTGGGTAGTACTCGAAAACTTGTGGCTTCTCCTTGTAATCGAAGTTCCGCACGAGGTCATCTAAGCCAAATTCTTTTCGCCAAGTTTCGCAGTCGACGAACCTTCCATCCCGTCAATAGTTGCCCAGACACAGAGAGCGGTGGGGACTTACATCTTTTCTGTAAGGGCCACATCGAATTTGCGAGCTCGGAGAAATCGCAGCTGCACAAACAGATCAGTCGAGTACAGACAGCCAGAGACAGAAACACGCATACAAGAGTCAAGGTGTCCAGACGCTCAGTGTAGCCCAGCGATTCAAGCTTCATCCTCAACTGATGGACCTGGGCATCTTGCTCTGGGGTTGTGTGGCCAGGGTGACCAGGGTGGGCCGTCTCTGACACGGTGGGATAGTCATAATGATCGTATTTAGGATCCTGCGGGATGCTCTTCGCTGCAGCAGCCATCTTGATTGTGAAGAAGAAATATAATAGCTCGAGGGATTATAGCGGTGTCTTGCGAGCGAGTGTGAAGTTGGCGAGACCCATCTGCCCCTCAAAATTAACGGTTTGCGATGACGACCAAAAACACGCGAAGAATAGACGACCAATCATCGTCACGCAACTGCACCAGGTGGGCTGGAGGGTCTTGTTTACCCTGCAGCATTCACGAAATAAGTGACAGACGAAATTCAATAGCTATTAGATCAACTGGACCAACAATTGTATATTCTCCTCCACAAACCATTCTAATTCAGTAGCATCATATAAAGTCAGTCTTCTTCGTAATCGGTTAAACCAAAAAAGACTTTATAAGATACCTGGTTGAACAGATAATTCGTTGAGAAGTACCCAGGTATACCATAACTATTGTCCACCACGGGGCCTAAGTACCTGACTCATAACATAACTATTTTCGGATTTATTCATGTGAGAATGTCGACACACATAGACTTCCGAGGCTGAGATTCCATATTTGGCATTTGCAAGGTCACATTGAAGCAATAATGTATCAGTTCCATCAGCTCGGAAGAAGTTTCATTTGGTTCATATCGCGGCTTTAGCCATTCGAAGAGCCATCTTTGCCTCCCGATTCCAGTGCCTCGTGGTCTCCCTTTTCTTTCCTCTTCATAGTCACATCCCAGTTATACACTCTTGCTGTAGCAACTTCCATAGTCTAGTATTTTGTTAGTATCATTGACATAAATCTGATTCTTAACCCAAGTGAAACAGCGTTGCCGCGACTTACAGTTATTTGCTCCCGCAGAAAGTCTAGATCTTCCTCGCAATTTGACAAATTCAATTTAGCAGTTGCTAATCGCGTGGTGAGCAGTTCCTCGGCTTCATCGATTGGGTAAGACAGCATGACGTTTGCCTGTGTCGCATTAATTACCAGCTTTTACTGCCTTTCCAATGTTACCTACCCCAAGCCACAGATATACCTCGTCCGTTGGTGGTATGTTTGCCTTTGCGAATAGGGTGTCATTCAACTCAAAGGTAGTCTCTATTGGCGCCGACCCAGGCTGCTTGCAGGATCAGTAACAGGATGACCGGCAGACATCGTACCCACGTACCTTTCTCGTTTTCAGAAACTGTACCATGTCTAGTGTTTTCTGGATGTCTGGAATTTTGTCCCTGTGTCCTACTGCCGCCCTCTGCTTATTTGTTTCCATGAATTGATATTTCCTGGCGCAAAAACATGAGTTCCCCACTCATCTTGCTCTATTCGCAGACGTACGATATCATCTCCTGGAATTTTTTCAGAGTGGCTTCGACTTCCGCGCGGGATGTGACATAATCCTCTACTTTGTCGACGAACGGCGCAACGGGAATCCCTCGAGGGTTTGTCGCAGCTGCAACTTTTCTAGAAGATGATAGTCAGCGCCAGCTTTCCAGAGTCCCTTATTGGGCTCGACGAGATACCGCTGGTACTCACTTTGAAGTTTCCTCTGCCATGTTGATTCCGCGCGTGGGTAAATACTTGGACCTCTGTCGCCTGTTGTTTAAGCTGGACGCTTGGAGCTTTCTAAAATTCAGAAGCTCGGACCAGGTGCCTATACGGCCCCCCGCTTAGATTTCTGGCCCTGTCATTAAACAAAATAGGGCATTAGAAGCACGACCTAGAATATTATTTGTTCAAACTTGATAGATTGATGTCTATTTTGTCTAGTACAATGACTATGTCTACATCAGCCCCAGTCACACCCCTTAACTTAACTACTCTCTGTCAATGCAATACCTGTATGCTACCTAGGCACTTAACAGGACTGTCACTTAATTAGACTATCAGGAGCTTCCCGCGGACATTGGCCGAAATCGCCCATCGGCTTCTTGGTGCCCCGCAATACGACAATAAATATGTCGTGGTGCAACCCATTGTTGTCCACCCCAACTCATGCTCTAGAGTACACAAACCCGCGAGCCCTGTTAGTGTTACGGTAACACAGTTGCCACTCTTTGTCTGTCGATGAATACATCGACTGCCGTGGGTGGACAGCCTGTATCAGTGGAGGATGGCTTCCATTTCGCTCTCACACGCTCGACCAACTTCAGCGGTACCGAACTGTCGGGAGACGAGCAATGGGAGAGGAGGAAAAAGATTGTCGCGGGGGTCTTCTTCAACAGACGATTTGTTCCAACATATCACCTCGTCATCCTGGGGGTAGTGTTCCTACTGTCTGTCGCCCACTGGTGGGCTTGGTCGAACAAAAGACGCAGTAGGAAGCGACATAATCGACGACGTGAAGCTGTCTACAACAAAAAAATTGAGAACTCAAGATCCGACCAAGCGTCTCCAGGCTCAAGCTTTAGCACAGCAAACCCTTTGGACATATCTCCCAGCTCTTCGAGCAGTAGCACGACTGACGAGCTGTCAAGACCATCACCGAAGGAGCAAGACAATGAAGAAACACCACTCCTCGGGGGTAGTCAATCTCGGACCGCATCAGGAATGATCCGGACCAGTTTATTCTCGTTGAGAGCAGCTGCTATGTATCAACCAAGACCTATTCCTGCGTTGAACAAAGTGCTACCTGCAAACGGTGCTTCCTTAGCTGTACTCGCTTTTATTGGCTTGAATATATTCTATACGTTCTACAGAATACGCCTCGAAATTCAAGACTGGTTTGTCCTGGCCGACAGGGCAGGAATGCTTTTCGCTGTCAACCTCCCGTACCTATATGTTCTAGGTGCCAAAAATCAACCGTTGAAGATTCTTACAGGACGGTCTTACGAATCTTTAAACCTCTTTCACCGCAGGCTAGGAGAAGTACTTTGCCTGCAAGCCTTATTGCATGGGGTAGGTATGATGGTGTCCTGGTACTTGCTTATCAGGCCCAATGGATTCGGCCTTGTTCGATTCTTAACGGAACGCCTTATTATTTACGGCCTGGTTGCCTTTTTCGCATATGAGCTACTGTACTTGACGTCTTTAGCCAGCTTCCGTCAACGATGGTATGAGCTTTTCTTGGGCTCCCATATCATTCTACAGATCGTAGCACTTCTTTTCCTCTATCTGCATCACCCGACAGGGCGGCCATACGTTCTGGCTTCGTTGGCTGTATATTTAATAGACAGGTTAGTTTATCGACTTGCTCTCAAGAGAACCACTCTGGAGGCCTACGCAACGATCATGGAAGATGATGAAACTGTCAAGCTATCGGCTAGCATTCGACTAGCACCGTCAGGATATTGCAGCAAACTGTTTGGAAAACATATTAAGCATGGATGGGAGGCAACTGATCACGTATTCGTCACTGTTTCAGCGCTGGCTCCTCATCATCGATTGCAGGCGCATCCATTCACGATTTTGTCTAGAGCGCCAACGTCAAACGAAGACGAAGCCCAACTCGTATTGCTGATTCGTGCCAGGGATGGGTTCTCTGCAGATCTACTCATGCGAGCTCGCTCTCACAGAAAGATGGCAATTCAGATTGATGGTCCATATGGTAGTGATCATGCTCGTAGCGTCCTCGAGCATAGTGATCTCGCTATTTTAATCGCTGGAGGCAGTGGTATCGCTGTTCTATGGCCACTTGTTCACTACCTGCTGGATAATGCCGCGTGTGAAGATGTGGAAAATGCCTCACCGACTTATCTTAATAGGCCGAAAATCGTTATTGTTTGGGTCATACATAAAGGTGAGCATATTGAGTGGCTAGGAAGAGAAGTCCTCGCAGATGCCGAGAATAGGGGGGTAGAGATCATCATTCCGAGGGCAACGGAGGAGGTTGGGCGCCCAGACTTGCAAGACATCATTCAACAGATAGTGAGTGCTGATGCGGCCGGAAGTCATAAGAAGCAGAGCATCGGCGTTGTTGCAAGTGGTCCTGATAGTATGGGTCGTCAAGTACGTAACACATGTTCAGGAATGGTCAGGAAAGGGGTAGATATCGATGTCACAGTTGAGAAGTTCGGTTGGTGATGAAAGTTGAGATGGGGTTAGACTACGATTTATGATTTAGCTGCATTAAATGGGTGTACTTAGACAGAGGGTGGCATTTCTATACGGTTATGGGATACAGGCGCATTGGATTATAGACATATTTGGTTCTAGAACTTGTGGGAACGATAGAACTGGTTGTGGACTTGACATGGTGACCTATGTTGGCGATATATGGTATGCGCAAAATGCCTAGGATGTGTTCTCTTGTATGAGGGAGTAGACTGATTTCTAAACGTTTAGTTTTGGGAAATAAATTTAGTAGAAAGTCGAAGAGTATGTGCCTTCTTCCATACATATAATATGCAAACTACCTGGTATCTAATGTACTTGCGTGGCATGCATCAAGCACTTTTTATATTTCTTCGTAGAACCATAATTCCACAAAAGCAACACCAATCAAATCATCTAAACATTTGCAACAAAACAGAATCCCCCTCCCCCCTCCCCCTCCCAAAATCCTTATCCATTTTCACAATCACGAAATTTCCCCAATCACCTCACAATCACACTAGTCTTATCCCATCCGAAATCGCCTTTAACCCAAAACAGTCTAGAACCCTTCCTGCGATATGCAACACAAACCCAGTCTTGTTTCAAATATTTATCGAACTCGGTGACTCGAATCGTCTCGCTAATCGTATTGGCAAGCACTAGAGCTTAGTGTGTGTAACAATGATTGTTTTACCCCTGCAGTGGAGGATTAGGGGGACGAGTATTTTGGTTTGGATATTTTTGACTACACTATGGGGGGATATGTTGAGGCTTTACTAGATAGTACTAGGTTGATTTGGTTCTGGGGCTAGATTCATTTTGTCTTACACGATGGGCTTATTCAGCTCGATCATTGCATTGAGAATTTGTTATGAGGCTATCTTCGACTTCAAGACTGACCTGGTCATATGGCTGGAGTGGACCGATTCATTTCAGATTACTTACTTTTGTTCGAGCTCACAATAGAAACTAGTAAGTTTGATTTGTTGTTATTTGATTAATTAAGTGAAAATTGTCTCATTAGTTTTAGTACAGCTCATTTGCACAGAGTATACAAGATTAAAATTCCCTATGAAGCACTACCTCCTTCCGCTTAAGTGGCCATTGAATCTGCGCCCGCTGAAACCTCTATTCTCATAGACCGGCTTCTTTTCCTTGGTAGTGCTTGTATTGGTGGTAAGAGCATTCCACATTTCCATGATACCAGCCCGCTGAGCGGGAAGCATGCTATATTGCAAGCTATAGAGGTTCTTGCGGTGAATAGGAGGAACGAATTTACCGGTTGCAAGGCAAAGGAGTACGTGGGGTGATAGGTAGTGTTTGCGGATGCGGTGACCCAGTTGGAAGTATTGGTGGAACATGGCTCTGAATGTGAGGGGAACAGACTAAATGGTGGTGTTAGTCAGAAAATGGTGAGAGGTTCGTGACATCAATTACCTTGAGGTAAATATACGACGTTGGCGGCGGAGTAGGTGAGCTAGGATTAGTTGAGGAGTATTGCTGGGTATCTTTGAGTTCAAAACGGATTCCACCTACAATAAATTAGTACAGCAAGCCAACAGTACTGATAGTTCCACTTACCTGGCAATCGTTGAGAGTCTTTAATTCGTAACATGAGAGCAAAAAGAGGAAAATGGTTCAGGCATGCAAGCAAGGTATCTAGAACAGCTTTGAGCGATATTATTGCCATGCGAGAACATGCAAATGTGAGGTAAAATACTATCACAGTAGGCAGTAGGAAGAAAAGGAGTGTAAACAAGATAGTGCCCAAAAGTAATTGATCGAGGTCGTAATCGCAAGAATCGATTCGTTTTCGCAGAACGTTGTGCTTCTTGCCTCGAAATAATTGGAAGAGCGACAACAGTATGGTATACTGCCAATTAAAGATACGGGCGGATGCCATGTAGAAGGAGTAAATGTGAATCGTCAAGATTGAAACGAGATCAGAGAATAGAGCGATCGGCATGCTGGCTCCGGCGAAGCTAGAAAACCCAATAAACCAAATGAGGTGAGGTAGATATGGTTGGAGAGCTTCTACTAGACCTGTTGCAAATTAGCGATGAAAATTAAAACATCGATGTATACGCACCAGACCAATGGTCAATAACCCATAGGAACAAGTCACCTAAGAAGGCTGCTAGCTCAGTATTGAGTTTGAGTCCAGCAGGCCAACGCATCAACCAGGAGATTGTTCTTTGAAGAGCTGCGACCGAGTACAAGCTAAGTATTTTCCCAATAGACTCAGCTACCCAAGTCGAATTGTCAATAATATAAGACCCAAGGGCAATGCCAATGATTACATCATTGGCAACTAGCCACAGACTATTGTAGAATCTGATGTAGTCTGGATGGCTAGTCGTGATACTCTCCCAATCGTCTTTTCGTTTCCTTAGCGTTATGTACTGCATTGGCCAGTAGCAAAACTGCTGGAGTCGAATCTCAACCTGTTGCGCTGTCGCTGATACATCTTTCAAGGCTGCATATTCTGGCTTGGCTCTCCATTCTAGCACGATGAGAAAAGCCTCAGCAGCAACCCTGTGGCATAAGAGCGTAATTATGAAGCCGCGTCGAATGACGGGATAAATGTAAAGAGTTATTAGGTGCCAAATTGCCATGATCAAGAAATCCCTCATGCTAGTAGCTGATTCAACAACTCTTTCAGAAACGCTCAAGCTTCGCCGTGATCGCCTTCCTACAAGTGAAATGTTCTTTTGTAGAATTTGTTGCAACTCCCACGAGCAATTGACTTGATTGACAATCTTCGGAAGAGCACGCTCTTTATGGGAAGGAGGATGCTGGGCAACAGTATGAAGTTTGAGTTTCTCGACGAGCGCCCTTGTCTTCTCTTGTTTCTTCCTTTCTTCCTTTTCTTCTTCAGCTTCGACACTTCCAGGCGCATGTGTGGCCATCTCCGCCTTATCCCCTAAAGCTAATGAAATTGGATTAAGTGATATATACTGCATTCGATTTGGTATAGGCCGCTCATACATGGTAATCTGAATGGTGCTAGCTCTCGCGCAGGATATTTGTGGCATACGCAACTGCTGGCCTGTTGCGGCATGAATTTGAAGCACTTCCACATCCACATGGGCAGAATTCGAAAGGCCTAGTACGTGCATAGATGGCTGACCACATAGTTCATAAATCCGCGCTATGGGATGACTTGAGTTCCTGAACAATGTCCCAACCTTCAGAGCATTCTCCACACTCAGTGCCTGGTCACTTATCAGCTTGTGCTCTTCGGAAGGAGCCGCGAACCCACATCAACGTCCTCCAGTATAGCGACAACAAATATGTCTAGCCCTGAGTTCCTCCATCCTACTATAATTCCAGAAGCGTCGCTTTTAGGCAAGTCCAACGGCCAAAAGATTCTCATAAGCCCATCATGATCGGGCATGACAACACTCGTAACGCAATGCCTTTAGAATGATCCCCGGCGTCGCAATTGCTCTCTAGCAGATATCCCAGCGCTCGCAGATCTTGGGTGCTACCGTGATGTTAGTTTTGCGTAGTGCGACGGTCCAGTGTCCCTACCAAGTCTGTCTCCCTCGACGCAAGCCGCTCCACTGGTATTATGAACAAGAAGAAGAATAGAGACAAGATGGCGAAACCCTTCGCTGTACGCGCCTAGACCAGTATTAGTCAATTTCACGCACACAAGTATATCCTACATACAACAACGCCGTGGTCCCAAGCAAAAACTGCTAATTCGTAGAGTCGAGTTACAAGATCCCAGCGCGCAGTGATGTAGCCGGCTACGAAAATCGCAAGAGTGAGGACAGAGAATGGGTGCATGAATCTCCTTCTATCGCTGGCGCATCCCTAGCCCTCTCGATTTTCTTGAGCCAAATGCGCGGATCCTACAAGTACGCGCGGGACACGCAGGAGAAAGGGACAGTTTATCTGCGGATTTCGTGGTGGGTTTATAGCTGCGAATAAGCTTCCCACATCATCGATAGGTGGACAGAAATATGCCACACAATGGGAAGAAGGCACTAATGTATGGACATGAAGATGCTTTGGTGGCTCAATTGTTTTAATTGTTTAGAGTTGCTGTTTGCAGAAAGCCGATGAACGCCGTCGGATTCTACAGGGATGAGCTGAGATTAATTAAGCTTCCGGAGCATTATCACGTGTCGAGATTCCCCAGATCTCTTCCCCTCTTTAAGTCTTGGTATATCTGCTTTCGGCCAAGTTCGAAGTGCAATAAATACATCTCAAACTTATAGCGAAGGAGAGCAATGGATAACGAGCTAGGATAAAATTGGAATTGTCTCGTTAATGGCACATGTAATTCTTTTTGTCATCCTATGCTAGAGCCGAGATTTCTTGAGACCACCTGAAGATCGAAACGCCATACTAATGCAGTAGTATACAAATCATACAGCTGAGCTCTGCGACAATTAGTCTTCCATGTAAGAATTGAAGGGGCCACAGAGTGTCTTACAACCCCTCCTCATATGTTGAGCATCATTCTCTTTGTGGTCTTCTCGTGCTTCCTCGAGCATTTTGTCGATGCCTCTCTCTTTGAGAGCACCCTGAGATCATGAGCTTAGTCAAAAATGTTGGTCCAAAGGAGTGCAAACCGTCAAGCACTTCTTGTAGTCTTTAAAAAGATTGGCGCATTCATCCGTCGTACCTTTCCCTCTTAGGTATTCTATACGAGTCAACTTCCAAACACAAAATATTGCCAATAAGTGACGGACTTTCGCTGTACCATTTCAAAAAGCAAGAATCATAACGTCTTCAAAATCATGTTAGCCATGGGATACAGAACCACACGCAGATAGTACTTACTCTTTGACTTCGTTGCATTCCGGAGCAAGCGAAGCAGACATTGTGACTTCGCTACGATTTCCTCCTGTCTTGCGCTCTTCTCGATGTGTCCCTTCGTCGTCGACCTCGAGGTTGATAGGTGGGTCCGGTGCCACGCCGGGTCGGGACATCGGCCTCTCAGCGGGCAGGGGCTAGAATATTTTGTCAGTCGCAAACACTTCAAAGAAAGCAATATCTGCCAACAGATGCGCCCAAAGAGAAAATGGATCAATCGCAGGACTTCAAGTCTCTGCAGGAGAAAGTGCAAGAAAACTTGATTGCTACAACGCGAACGGCTGGTCAGATCTCCTCAGAAGATCTTGGTTTTCATCGATCCTTCAACCTTGAAGTAGGAGACGCCCTTGACGAGCAAAATTCACGGCTTTTAGCTCTATCCACGAAGCTGCTCAAGTCGGCGGCCTCAATATCAGAATTACGCGCTCCGGTTCTTGAAGATGCGGACGACGTGGAAAACAATTGGCGGAGTGTGGTGGACGTAATTGATTCCTTGCTGGAAAAGGCAGATACATGTTTGGATGAATACACTGGAATGATCAAGCGCAAAGAACAGCCAGGTGTCGATCAAGTAGGGAATGCCCGTAGTATGCTGGTATTCAATTGTTAATCTATTATTCAGAATTCTTCGAAAGGGAGATCTTCGACATTGGGCAATGCATTTCGGACCCAAAATTTGGTTAAGCCTCAACTTGCCTTTGACCTTAAGCCAGACAACCACAACGCTACGCTCTGGAAGCCCCTTCTCAATTCAAAACCACATGCAATTCTCTCTCTTGAAGATAGTCTAGATACGGTCACAGATGACTTGGAGCAATTATCGTATGGCCATACCTTCCTTTTTTCTCATCCTACTCTGCCCTCGTTTTTTAAGCCCTTGAGACCCCCTCTAGGTCTTCAAAAGAGAGAACAGATTGCCTCCGGCTTTAGCAGAAGTGGAAAATGCTGAATACCGCTGAACGATAGCTTTGTATGGGTACTGACCGCTGCTCTAGATACAAGCATCCTTACGAGACTGAAATACTTCAACTTAAATATCCAGACTTCGTCTATCAGCAATCCGATCCTATACCCTACCAACCTGTTGACGGCACCTCTGCAACATATGTGGATACTGAGGAGGGTGTCCTAGAAATGTTGAGTGAACTCAAAGGTGCTAGTGAAATTGCTATTGATCTTGAGCACCATGACACGCGTACCTATGTCGGTCTGGTATCGCTGATGCAGATAAGTACGCGTGAGAAGGATTGGATAGTAGACACGCTCAAGCCTTGGAGACACAAACTTCAGATTCTGAATGAGGTCTTTGCTGACCCGAAAATTGTGAAGGTAATTTACGACCCCCCACTATGTCTACTGATATTTTTGTACTAATCCAGTAGGTCTTTCATGGAGCATTCATGGATGTGGTCTGGCTTCAACGAGATCTTGGTCTCTACATCGTTGGACTATTTGACACTCACCACGCAAGTCGAACATTGGGTTACCAAGGAGGAAGCTTAGCGTTTCTACTAAAGAAATTCATTGACTTTGATGCTGACAAAAAATATCAAATGGCGGACTGGCGAATACGGTAGGACTTCTAGAGATCTTAATTTTCTGTTTTTTTACTAAACTACGTAGGCCGTTACCAGAGGAAATGCTATATTATGCAAGAGCGGACACCCACTATTTACTATATATCTACGATAACATGCGGAATGAGTTAGTTGCGAAATCGAACGCTGCAGTTCCCGAGGAAAACAAAATTGAAATCACTCTTCAAAAATCGAAGGAGGTTTCCCTCTTACGTTATGAGCGCCAAATATACAACACTGAGAGCGGTAGAGGACCCGGTGGGTGGTATTCGCTCCTAGTAAAAACGCCAGCACTTTTCAACAACGAGCAATTTGCTGTGTTCAAGGCAGTACATGAATGGAGGGATCAGGTTGCGCGCACTGATGATGACAGTACAAATTTCGTCATGCCCAATCGCGTAATCTTCAACATTGCGAAGGTCTTGCCGAATGATGTAGTGGCTCTACTCTCTGTCGCCCATCCTGTGTCATTTAGTGTGAAGTCTCGTTCCGAAGAATTATTAGGAGTTATCAATAAAGCTAAAGCTGATGGAAAAGAAGGCCCAAGCATGATGGACATACTGCGCCCGGACTCTCTGGGTGCTATTGCTAAAGCGAGTATTCCGTCTCTTGCCGCTAAATCGCAGATTCCATCAGAGCAAATTGTAGCAGTGGTCGACGACAATGAGTTGAGAACCGAAAACTCCACATTCTGGGGAGGTGCGTTTGGCAGCAGCATATGGGATGAAGAATTGCTAGATAAAACGCAAGACTTGAGGCTTGCGGTTCCCTTACCGAAGCTATCATCCGAAGCATTTGGAGCTGCGAATGGCGTCAACCCTCCTGTTCCGAAGTTTGACTCTGCCCCTTCGATGGCGACGTCTCCTGTCGTGTCGAGGGACAAACTCGATGAGCCGTTCGTGCTCAAGCGTGGTTCGAAACGGAAGAGCGAAGCCGTCGAAAATGCCGAAGAAGAAGAAGAAGCCAGCGGTGAATATGACATATCACTCAATGACCTCGAAGAGAATGATACTGGAGACGATGGCCTAACAAAGAAAGAGCGGAAAGCTCAGCGCAAAGCAGAGAAGAGAGCCAAAAAGGAGGCCAAGGCTGCCGCCAAGGCTGCTCAAACGGAGGAATCGGGACCAGAAGAAGAAGAAGAAGAACCTTTCGACTATAACAAAGCCGAGCCTGTATTAAATGCAAAACGGAAGGACGAAAAAAGCATCGGAAAAAGCAAGGGGAAAAGGGGGCAACCACAGGCACCATTCGATCCTTATTCAAAGAGTGCTGACGCGCCGAAGGGTATGAGGAGGGCGCAGACGGAAAGAGCAGGTAAAAGCCATACATTTAGAAACTGAAATTTGTGGCGATGGGACATTGTTTACGATGTATGATGGTTGATACCCTCTGGCATTTGGTGGAATTGAGTAGTCAAATTTAATCGAAAGATTTCCAACTCCTCTTCCTAGGTCGATGCATCGAGCTTGGTAGAGTACAATAGGCACGCCAATGTTCCAAGTCCTTCAATCCTTAATAAGTAAACCTCACCATATGCAATCCTTGCTCGCTGGCAGACAAGTAATTAACAAGGTAGGCTTAGTTTGTGTTGTGCAGGTAATTGAGAGTTGGAGTGGTCCGGTTTTTCTGCAGAACTCGAAGTGATAAAGACGATTTTTCAATTTTACGATTTTTAGACTCTAGATATGGGGAGGAAAATGGTAGCCATACTCGAAACTTTATTTTGCAGCACTCTAACTCTACTTCACTATCTGAGGATGGAGGGGTGAAGTTGTGATATCGTCCTTATCTTAGCGTGCACCGCGCAGGGGTTCTTGTACTTTACGCGACTTCAAGTCGCGTCAAGACGCGACCAGTCTCTCCGAAAAGCCTTGATCTACAGATCATTATATTCGTACCAAATTCTCTAATCATGTCTCAGGCCGTATCGTCGAACGTTGTTACCGACCGTGATCAGAACAACATGGATAATTCTCAAATGGATGCAGATGGTGGTATGTCTGAAACTGCAGGAGAACCTACAACGAGGACGCCTGCACTCGACCAAACAATGTCTTCTACCAGGGTTCCTGTGGATGGCAAGACTTCGACTGAGGTCACAATAACACCGGGTATGAAGCTAGAGGTAAAACTGGAAGACCTCTTCGCAGATGAAGAGTCCGATGAAGAATTTCCCAGCTCTCATAATCAAGATATCATGGCGTCCAGCCCCCCTGAAGCGTCTTTATCGCCAGTGTAAGTCGAGATCGTTCGGCCAAATTCATTCTAACGTATCCAAGGCGCGTAGAGGTACCCTCTAAATTCTCTGACTCGGATGTTATGAATCAGTTTTATAAACGATTATTTCCATGGCGCTACTTGTTTCAATGGCTCAATCATTCTCCCACGCCGACGACAGATTTTGGTCACCGAGAATTTGCATTTACATTGCAAAACGACGCATATCTTCGCTACCAGTCCTTTCCAACGTCGGATCTGTGAGTTCTTTAAACTGCAATGTATGCTAGTACTGATTTCAACTAGGTTGCGAAAAGACGTTCTCAGACTTATGCCATCCCGTTTCGAAATCGGCCCTGTATATACTACGAATCCTCGTGATCGTAAGACCTTACGGAAATCATCAGCTTTCAAACCGCTGGCGAAAGAGCTGTGCTTCGATATCGATTTGACTGATTATGATGACATTCGAACATGTTGCGACAAGGCAAATATTTGTATCAAATGCTGGCAATTCATCACCATGTCTATCAAAGTCATTGACGTAGCGTTACGAGATGACTTTGGGTTCAAACACATCTTATGGGTATACTCTGGACGACGTGGTGCTCACGCCTGGGTGTGTGATAAAAAAGCTCGACAAATGGATGATCAGAAGAGAAGGGCAATCGCAGGATATCTGGAAGTCGTTAAAGGCGGTGCTCAAGGAGGAAAGAAAGTCAATGTTAAAAGGCCACTACATCCACACGTGGCGTATGAACTGTCATTGCCTACAATTGATTCAGCTACTAACGATAACCAGGCGAAGTCTTGAAATATTAAAGACACATTTCCAGTCGGATATACTTCAGGATCAAGATCCGTGGGAAACGGATGCCAAATATGAACGTCTCCTGGAGCTGCTTCCCGATCGTACATTAAATGACGCCCTGAGGAAAAAGTGGAGTTCATCTCCAGGAAGAGCGTCGACAGCCAAATGGGCAGACATTGACGCGCTCGCTAAATCTGGGACAAGCAAAAATCTGGACTCGAAAGCCTTGCTTGAAGCCAAACAAGATATCTTACTCGAATACACATACCCCAGGTTGGATATTGAGGTTAGCAAGCACTTAAACCATCTTCTCAAAAGTCCATTCGTAGTCCATCCGGGCACTGGAAGGGTCTGCGTTCCAATCAATCCAAAGAAGCTACGAGAGTTTGATCCACTGGATGTCCCAACAGTCACTGAGCTGTTAACGGACATAGATGAGTGGCTGCCTCCCGCCGAGGACAAAAGTGAAGGAAAGCCTGTTGCTGATTGGGAGAAGACCCGACTCAAGCCTTATATCGAGCACTTTAGGTTATTTGTTGCCACGCTGATGAAGGATGAGAGTGACGTTAAGGGAAAAAGGGAAAGGGAAGATGCTATGGAGTTTTAATCTACAGCTTGTATGTAAGCATAACGGGCGTTTGGAAATTGGCTTGGAATGCCAGAAACGGATTTTGTTGCCTGCCGGGATAATGATACAATGATATGTACTTGTTGGCAGCTTATGGGTGTGAAACGGGTGGACCTTTTAGACAGGATAATCGTCTTTATCTGCTTCAGTAATTGAGATTGGTCTCGGTCAATAAAGGGTCTGCGATTTTTTGAGAGGTAAAGTCCTCGTACGTGGTCAGAAAAGTCTCCGTGAATGAATGGGTAATTTGAAAGATCTCAGTTGTATCTACGAAGTAACATAGTGGTCGCTCTTGCTAACCGATGAGAGTTCTTTGTGCTCGCAATTTAGACCCCTGAAATATATAGTCTGGAATCTTCTATTTCATATTTGGACAAGCAGTTCGGTAGTCCTTGTGGTGAGTTGGTGCCTTAAGGTATCCATGCAGGCCTGCCCTCGTCGCTTAATACTTTTGTCAAAGCCATCCATCGAGCTCAAGTGCTCAACAGCACATCACAGAACTTTCGACACATAAACTTCCCATACTACCCGGTCAACTCCTCCAACGATAAATCCGGCACATACCATCAATTGAACTTCTGCCCACACGATCGCAGGAAAACGTATCTACAATAATTCCTCGAGCACCGAATCAACCTCACCCTCAGATCATCGAATTGCCCCTCTCGACCTCGACGCGACACTACATCTGCCTCCTCTATCTAAGGTTGACTTCCTAGACGTGGTGATTCACTCTATGAAATAGTTGGCTGCTCATCAATCTCAATAATCGACTCCCTGGACCTGTGCACTGGGTCTTCGTATTTACCTGTCTGCTACCGCGAAACTGCCATTCGACTACTACTCACCCAACTCGAGATATTGTTCAATACATTATGGCAGACGCTCTGACAAATCAACTAGAATCTACAACCTTAGCGTACGTGTTATGCTTGTTTCAATGCGTGCATGTTCACTTCTAACACAAATACAGTGGTGAGGCTGGGCCAGATGATTGGAAGAAGGCACTAAAGGTTCCTGCCAAGGACACAAGACATCAGACGGAAGTATGAGTGAATTACGAATGATCAAGAATGAAACTGACACGCTGTCATAGGATGTTACCGCCACCAAAGGGCTGGATTTTGAGGAATTCAAACTCAAGCGGGATCTGTTGATGGGGATTTTTGAGGCTGGATTCGAGAAGCCATCACCGATCCAAGAAGAGGCTATCCCTGTCGCCCTTACTGGACGAGACATTCTCGCTCGTGCAAAGAATGGCACTGGCAAAACTGCCGCGTTCGTTATTCCAGCGCTCGAACGCATCAATCCTAAAAGCTCGAAGGTCCAATGTTTGATTCTTGTTCCAACCCGAGAATTGGCTCTGCAAACATCTCAAGTGTGCAAGACACTGGGAAAGCACCTCGGCATTAATGTTATGGTTACCACGGGTGGTACAACTTTGCGCGATGATATCGTACGCTTAGCAGATCCGGTTCATATCATCGTTGGCACACCAGGCAGAATTTTGGATTTGGCTGGAAAGAATGTGGCCGACCTCAGCGAATGTCCTATGTTCATCATGGACGAAGCTGATAAACTCCTCTCACCTGAATTCACCCCTGTAATTGAACAACTTTTGCAATTCCACCCGAACGACAGACAAGTCATGCTATTTAGCGCGACCTTCCCTATCACCGTCAAAACCTTTTCAGACAAGAATATGCAGAGTCCTTACGAAATTAACCTTATGGACGAACTGACGCTTCGCGGTATCACGCAATACTATGCTTTTGTGGAGGAAAAGCAGAAGGTCCACTGTCTAAACACATTGTTTTCCAAGCTCCAGATTAATCAATCGATCATCTTTTGCAACTCCACAAATCGGGTTGAGTTGCTCGCAAAGAAGATTACCGAATTAGGATACTCATGTTTTTACAGTCACGCTCGAATGATTCAAGCGAATCGTAACAGAGTGTTCCACGATTTCCGCAATGGTGTTTGCCGAAATCTTGTTTGTTCTGATCTGCTCACCCGAGGTATTGATATACAAGCTGTCAATGTTGTCATCAATTTTGATTTTCCAAAGAACGCTGAAACGTATCTTCATCGTATTGGTCGATCTGGTCGTTTCGGGCATCTTGGTCTTGCGATCAACCTGATTAACTGGGAGGACCGCTTCAATCTTTATAATATTGAGCGAGACTTAGGAACCGAAATCCAACCAATTCCGCAGACCATCGACAAAAACCTCTACGTCTACGACAGCCCAGAGAACATTCCACGACCGATTTCAAACTTCCAGACAAATACCCGTCAGCCTAGCGGAAGAGAACAACCTCGGGAACCTCAACAGCAGTCTGGCAACCAAAGACCGAACACTCAAGGTGGCTATAGCAACGGTCGACAGAACGGCTCAAATCAGAACCAAGGCCAGAGACAACCACAGGGACAGCGTCAAGGCCCAGGACAAAATTTCTCTCGTGGGAATGGCAGGTTCGATCACAATAACCGCCGTGGAGGAGGGGCCCCAGGCGGTACTCAGAGCCGACAGAATCAGAATCAGACCCCAAATGGCTACGAAGGTCAAGGACGAGGAGGGGGCCGCGGCCAACCCCCTCAATAACCAGTTTCACTAAAATTTCTGATCTTTTGGTTTTATATTTTGTACATAGTTGTCTCGTCGTTCTCGATCAAAGATAGACCCGAGCCGGATACTATCTTGAGGCTTTCACCTCTGGCAGCACTACAGCACCTCGGGTCATAGTGTTGGCCTTGTCCGTAATGCGTTGGGTCCTGCGATGGTCTCTTGCTTGGAGTTGGGCTTTGCATTTGTATCATACGATTTTTCTTTTTTCCATTGTACGCCTCTCTAATCTGATGAGGAGCAGCGGACGTCAAAAAGTTCAGCGGCTTTGAATTTGATATCATGACTGGATGGGGCTGGCGTTGTGGAGTATATGGTTGCGTATCGCTCACACGATACCTTGGGCACCGGATATGCAAGAAGGGCATGACTGGCGTCGGCAGAGATTATGTTTTCTTACGGCTTGGACGAAGGCTTATAAAAAGCTTGTGGTTGATATGGGGGAGATTGGAGGCGCGTGAGTTGGGGACTACTCCAACACGATATATCGGTTAGCGGGTGTGGATGGGTGTTCATTACGGGATACCAGATTGTCAAAGATTGTTACTCTTTCGTACTCTCAGAAACGGAAGGGCCTGACAAGGAGGCTGAGGTGGATACAAAACACAAAAAAACGCTTTTTTTGAGAGGACGCTAGTTGAAAAGCATCGGACTCCTATAGAGGATGAGGCTCCATAGTTCGGATTTTCTGCTCGCAAATATTACCTTTTTCTCTCAATCTGTCTTGGGGTTGATCAATGTGCTAGGTCCTGTTCGTGAGCTTTGCCAGCGGTGATTTTCTTTCAGCTGAGTAGGAGTACTTCTACCTGCTTCGGCCCATTCATGGGGAGTTTACATATTAGCGTAGAGCTATTGGGTGAAACTCGTGAAGCTGACGACGAAACGTTGTACAGACGCACTTCTGACCGAGTCTTCGGGTGACGCTTAGCTCGTAGTTGGGTTGCCTTTGGATCTGTCATTGGTCAGGAATTTTTGACTTCGGGTGCTAGAGCCGCTCTCGTATAACCTCTATCAATCAGGGCTGTTGTCAATCATGAAGCTGTGTGCGTGGAAATCGTGAAGTAGAAGTCAAGACCTCCAGATATCCGTTGGCCACCCGACGGTGGTGATCGCTGGGGATTGTGATTACGGCATGACAAGATTTAGGAGTGATCCTGTCAATTCTGCAATTTCTAAAGCCTTTCTGATCAACAGTTGTAGGGGAGTATGCTGTTGAAATGCGGCGCTTGGTTGGCTTTGATGAGTGTTGGAAATAGAGTGAAGCCAGACACGACATCGACGAAAATCTACACTGCCATCACGGCCCTAGGAATCTTCTAAGACATACTTCTCGTTGAATCTGACCAATAGCTAACCATACTCCCACCCTCACACAAACACCACACGTCACCAAGCTATCTCTTGTCCAGTCCTCCCAGACGATGACAACTAATCCAGCACCTCCCTAGATATTCGGAGAAAAGCCATCCGCAAAAGCCAGAAAAGAGGTCATTACCAAGATACAGCCATCTCTGGGTTTTCGAGGCAGCAGATTCTCGGTGCAACGACGGAGGAGCTTGATGTCCTTCGAAATATGCTTCTGGAAACAGGTAGACGAAGACGGGATGCGACGTTGGAGGATGTTGGGGTATGGGGTATGGGGTAGGGACCAGGAAACTACTTTAATGGGGTATCCGAGCTGCGTTTAGAGAATGCTGGGAAGTGGGAAATCAAAATGTGCTTGGATGGTTTTTCTGCCCTTTTCTGAGGTAGGTACTGCGTATGTGACGGTCTCTGCTGGTACGACAAACTGGCAGTACCAGAGTTGGACGTGCTGGGTATGTATGTGGGGTCGTGTGAGTTTAGGCGCGAGGGGAAGTGGTCGAGCAGACGATGGTGGTTGGGTTCTCCGCGGTACTCGTTGTGGGTGAGGTCGTACTGAGGGATCTGGATCTGGGGAAGCGAAATGTACCCCAGAAGAGGATATTCTGGATGTGGGGAGGGGAGAGGGTGGGTTGGGGAAATGCGAACTCATGCGAACGCCTTTGCTCGAACGACAGGGAGTCGTTGCTTAGGCTGAATGGATGTCTCGGAGCGGAGCGAGAGGCGATGGTGGTTTATTCATGGTTTTTGGTGAGGTTTGATGGGATGGTGATGGAGTATAGCGGTTGTGTTATAGCTCGTGATGCTAAAGGTCAATTTCAAGACCGGAATGGTTGACTTTCAGGTCCGTCTTAGTATTAGGTGTTGTGGTTCATTGCTATGGTTGGTATTGGACCATCGCTGGAAGAAGAAGCACAGGAGAAAATAAAATTGAAATAAGATTATGGCTGCAATACCTGATAGGTGGATAGAAGTAAACTGTACGGAGCAGTCTTTACACAACATTCGGAAGTTCTTGTCGAGTCTTTGACCTTACTGGTGGCAATGAGTGATTCCTGTCGCTTCGGTAAGCGAGAACGTTGTTGAACCTGCACGGCGACAAGCGTTGCCTGGATCCATGTTTTCGTGGAGTACGGTTCGAGGACGAAAAAGTCTGTTCTCGGTTTGCATTGGATACTTGGTATGGAAGCCAAAGTCTGCAACGTCCCAGATGGAGTTGACTGAATGTCCTTGCGCTGGAAGGAGGGGGAGGGATCCTGAAAGGGCCAAGCGAGAAGCGGAAAGGGGGGCGTGTCTCTTCTACCGTTAGCGCGGCAGTCGACGGGTTACTACGTGGATTATTAGGAATTTAGGATGCTGACAATTTGTCTGGCGCTGCATGGCCAAGGGGACTGAACACAATGGTACGGAGTATTGTACCAAAGGTCATCCATTACCGTAAGACTGTGTGGACGGGGCCTCGAAAATGACCTTGGTCGAAGGGGTCGTCCCGGGCCCGAATGCCTAGGCTTCCTTCTCTGGTCTGGTTCTGGGCCGTTCCGACGTTGCGTGCCTTTCCTCTTACGAAGTATCAACTTACCAAGGCTCTGATCCTTCTGCGACAGCTCTGACAGCTCTGACAACTGCGGGTGTTCATCCTCGCCTGACGGCAATGAGATGATCCTCCCGGTCGTTGATGGGACGAGCCGTGAAGCCACATGGGCAGGTGTGCAGAGGCGTGCAAGGTGTGCAGACGGAGAGCCATACATTCGGCTAGCACGTGAAAATAACGCTGGAAGGATAATCGTCTTCTGCTGCAAGTCTGCAACGCCTGCATCGACTAACAGCCAAAATGAGGATGGTGTTGACGGTGACGGGGGCGGTGAAGATGCTACCACCGACTAGCCAGGACCAGGTGGTAACCTTGGGAGGAGGGAGGGAGGGAGTGAGTAGTAGGCATGGCTTATCACTTATTTCCTTCACATATATCATGGCCGTTGTGTCCACTTGCTCATCCTCTCTGGCCGTCGTTGTTGTTGTCCCTCCCATGTGCCCCCCGCTGGATCTCGCTTCTACATCTATGTCCGCACCGCATTTCTAGATTCTAAGGAGAGAAGCCGGTATTGTTCATGCTCCCAATAATCAAGCTGTCCCTCGGCCATACCCCTTTCCAAGTTACCTAGGCATGAGAAGCAGTGCTTGGTAAAGAATTCGCCGCAAAACAACCAGGACGCGAGTCGTGGGCAAATACCGCCGGACCGGCACTGCACTAGAGCTTCAAAAAGTTGCCAGAACCAAGAGCAGATCCACTCCTCCCAACACGGCCACGACGGAGGACAAAACCCACGACATTCCACCTGGCGTGGTGTTGTTTGTCGTCGTCGTCGTTGCTCTGGTACGCGGGCTTCTCGTCTGTATCTGTATCTGGAATTAACCTTCACGGCATCGCGCAGAGAGCCAGCGTCCTGGCACCGGGCAACCCAATCATGTCCTCTATTGTAAGAGAACCCGCACTTGTTCCTTCTCCCAGACATCCACAGTCAAGAGAATGCTCTCCCTCCCGTGCTGCACCCGGGTCAGAGACGGCGACTGACATGTGTGCGACTACAGTTGTGTCTCGCGCATTATTGCGATACTCACGGCCCCACGCCCTTGATGGTCACCGAGGGCCTGCCTGTGGGATGTACAACATGTTTCGAAGACGACGAGGCCTTTGGCAGCCGGCGACCTAGTACCAGCTCACGCTCGCTCAATCCTCAGGATGGGTTGGCGGCAATTCGTGGCGGGAGTAGGACCAATTCAACGTCCTCGGAAAACAAGGAAAACAACGTCGAGCGCAACACCCTACCAAGTCAATCTCCGAAGATTCCCTCTACCTCAGCAATCGAAACGCCCCCAGAAAGTCCTCGAGTCGCGGCATTGCAGACGGGCCATGGTGGCAACTCCCATAGACGCGATTCGAGTTTCCGCAAGACCTACGACGAGAATGATAAGAAGCGAGCGATCCCCTGCGAGAACTGTGCTCTTACATTACCAAAGAAGACGAAAGAGGATGGGCCTACAAGCCGGACAGACTATAGTGGTCCAATCCTGCGAACTCGCAAGCCTTATGAGAGAGTTGTTGCGCCTATGGAAGAGCCATCGCCTCCTAAATCCGCAGCTTCTTCTGATTCGGAAGCCGATGTCACAACGAGAAGATCAAAGCGATCATACCCTATGATTCGAGCCACAACCTCCTCGAGTAATTCTTCTTTTGGTTCATTGAATTCTCATGACCATTACGTTGACTACACTTCTACTCATGAACCCTTGGCTTCTACATCTTTCTCTATTATCCGACAGTCGTGTCTACGAACACTCTCTTGCGAAACGCTGCCGCCATCGAGCCAGTATATGCCGAATGCAGCATCTCCCACCTCGCCATTCCTGAACAGTCCCTTCTCGAATGGTCCTACTCCTTCAACGACCACGTCTTCAGGCGGACCTATCTTTTTTGGAGATCCTCTAGCTGGCTACACCACCGCCTTTATTTTCAGAATCCCAGATCCTAACGCTCGAGGTCGGCGCCGTGTTTACGCGCTCATGGCACTGTCAACACATCGTGAGCGTCTAGCCATGCAGACGTTTTCCTTCCTCTCTGTCGCTTTCCGTGAGCTAGCTGCTTGGATTCAAGCACTCGCAGAGAGCGAACTGGAACGATCGGAGAATGCCAATTCCTCCCCACGGATAGGCAACGGCGAAGGTCGGCAAAGCGCCTTCAACACACCTCGAAGCTCATTTCTTCAGGGTCGTAATCGCAGCGGAGATGGCAAATACGCTGGCATGAGTCTCCAATCCAGAGGCTTGGCCGAGCTTGTTGGTCTTCCAGACTTCTTCATTGAGCTTCACGCTCGATTTGTTAGACTACTGATTGAGTTGAACGTCGTGATGGGCGTTTGACGGCATCATTGGCTTAAATTAGTACGAATACATGATTGGATGAAACTCAGGATCTTATCAGAGATCTGGATACAAATGTGAGAAATCTAGGTTAGGGATTTCTCATACCCATTTCAGACACGAAAAGCTTATTACCACACTACGAACAATCTTAGCTTTGCGCTCAGCCAAGCTGACATGTTGGAATCATTGGACTGAATGATAAAACCGGAAACGAAATACACGAGAGAAATGGTGGTAATGATTGACTGTACAACAAATGATGTTTTAAGCGTGCATTTTGGCGTTCTTTGGGGGGAAGCGAAAACCGGGAAGAGAAAATGTAAAGGCCTTTGTGTCTTGTCGGGTTCTGAAGATATGATAGCGTTTCAGCGTTTTTGTAGAGGTTTTGTACGTCCCGGATTGGGGATTGATGGCGTTTCAAGCTTTGTGGATTTGAAAGGGGAGAGGGATGATACCACTGTAGCATAGGCGAGTCTGCTAGCGATTAGTTGAATTAAGTTTTCTAAGAGACATTTTGTGTTTCTGAAATTTGTTGTTCTCGTGTATATAACTACCGCATGTGTCTTATCATTTCATCCATGTTCCTGTATGATGTATCCCTCTGTTCATTTTCTGTAGTAGCAGAATGAACACTACTCCGGCTCGTAAAGGATCGATACTGGCTAGACTTTGCAATTGCGAGTTAGCATCTTACACGGCGGACTTTGGATCAACGAAGTAAATTCTCGTAGGCTATTTTGATTGCAGGAGGTTTGCCAGGGAATGCTTGATAGTCGCTGTCATGGGTTTTAACTATCCACAGAATGGACTCTAGAGTCTAGGCTGATATTTGGGGCACGAAGACAGTGGGAACAAAACAACTGCTTAACAAGGGGTACGATACTCGTTGCTCTCTCAATCTAATGATACAGAATCGTTAATAACTTAGAGGTATCTCGAGCATATTAGGACCAGAGTTGAGTGGGTGGCTATGTAGTGTAGATGCATTCATAATACCCGTACAACGACGAATGTAACTGATCAAAACGAGTAAGAGTTTATAGATTTACATCATCTAGTGCCTACTGATCATAGCTAAATTACACAACCATTGCTAGCCACCTTATTCGAGCGCCACATATCCCCAGAACTCCCTGCCCGATTCCCAACAAAATTTATTTTTACAACGCTTTAATACTCTGAAAGAACGGATTAGCAAGTAACTTATCATCGCCCTTCACAAGTTCCCGCATCAACCCAATCTTCTCATCTTTGCTCATCTGCTTCCCCTCACAGCCCGCTTTCCATCTGAGCAACACATCCTTAAGCAGCGCACTTCCCGTTTCCACATCCTCCTTCTCATACTTGACCGTCGCACCCTCATGCTTACTCGTAAAATCCTCCAGCTCGTCAGCCTTCCTCTTCGCCATATTAACGACCTTCTCCGGGAACCGAACGAGCTCGGCGACGTGGATCCCGAAACTCTGATCACAGATTCCGTCCTCGACCTTGTACAGCAAAGTAACCTCGCGTTTGGCTTTGCCGTTATCGTCGATGTGCGCAACGACGTGCAAATTTTGGACTTGTGGGTAGGTGTCCACGAGCGCTGTGAGCTCGTGGAAATGAGTAGCAAACATGCTGAAACATCCGATTTCTTTGATGATGTGCTCGGAGATTGCCCAGGCGAGCCCGAAACCGTCGTATGTGCTGGTGCCGCGCCCTAGTTCGTCGATGATGATGAGGGATTCCGAGGTAGCGGATTTGAGGATGTTGGCTGTTTCCAGCATTTCCGCCATGAACGTGGAGACTCCTTTGAGTTGAGAATCGCTGGCTCCTACTCTGGCAAGGATACAATCAAATATGGTTAATTCAGCTTCCGAGCAAGGAACGAAACATCCGATCTGTGCCATGAGTGCTATCACACCTATCTGGCGGATATAAGTCGACTTTCCTCCACAATTTGGCCCGGTAATGATGAGGAATTGGGAAGACCCTCTTTCGAGAGTCACATCGTTAGTGATAAATTGTATGTCGTCTTGCATTTCCATGCATGGATGTCTGGCTTCCTTCAATATAGTGCTGCCCTCACCTCGAGGGTGCATTTTTGGCCGGACGTATGATGTAGGAGCGTGTACCGAACAGTGGGCAAAGCTGACAATAACGTCCAAATGTGCGATTACACCAGCGAGGAACTCGATCACCGGACAGTATGAGGCAGCAACACTGACTACTTCATTGACCAAGCTACTTTGCGTCCGATTGTAGTTCTCAGCTAATTGGTCAAACTCTCTTCGACAACTCTGCAACTTGTGTGTGGTGAAGAATACACCGTTCTTCTGCGTGGAGCATTCTTGATATTTCTTATTGTTCCGTATGCAGCCAGCCTCTGCTCGAGTAAGACGCATACACCAGCCATGGACCTTGTGATTCTCCAGAAATAGCTTTTTGTCGATTTCCTGACCAAGGTCTTTACTTGCTGCTCGATGTTCAACGTCCATCTCGTGCCTTGACTTTTCTAGCTTTCTCTGAATGATCCGTAAACCGTCGTCGAACTCGGGCTTGATCTTGTATTCGTGATTTTCCATAGCTTCCAAATCGACCGTTGTCTCAACCATTTCTAGCAATTTTGCAAGACTATCTGAATAGTCCCTAAGCTTAATCGTGTATGCTTCATCAAGAGGGTTTCGATATTGTTCATCAATTACCCCTTCAAGAGTCGCGATAATATTCGGCAACCTCAACACAACCTGATATGCTCGAATTACATCCTCCAGGTTGGCCATCTTCCTCTGAAATCTTTTGGCTAGTCGATATAGATCTGGTATTGATCGAAGATGCTCCTCTTGCATAGTTTGTCTTAGCTCTGTGTCTTCGACAAATGCCTCCACAAGTTGTTGTCGTTTCTCTATTTCATCTTTGCTCATTAGCGGCTGCTTTAGCCATTGCGCCATCAATCTGCTTCCTATTGGTGTTTTACAGTGATTGAGAAGACCGTATAGAGACATGGTCTTCGAACCATCCCTAGGTCCCGGCATAAGGTTAAGAGCTTTGAGAGCCGAAGCATCGAGTTTCATAAACTGAGAAAGGTCGTGTTGATATAACTGATATTGACCAAAATTCGAGTTATCATGCATAACTCCCAGGTATTTTATAAGCGCAGCTGCCGACCCCATAGCAAGCTTGAGATCCGTCTGAGGCAATATGCCTGCAGACTTTTCATCCTTGAGCAGTCTGGCGAGATCCTGGTCAATGTCTTTCGTGCCAAAATCGCCTCCCGGGCGCTCGGAAATAGCAATGCCACAAGAATCAATGATCGCTCTGAGTTTCGCCATTTCCACGTTTTTGTCACCTTTGTCGACCTGTATCAAACATTCCTTGACTCCTAGTTGAATGAGTAAGGATTCGAAATTGGAATATAAGTCGTTGTCCAGAAATTCCGAAACACCCAGTTCGCGAACACTCGCATCCGCAAAACAGACTCCAACATTTCTTGCCTCTGAAGCTTTCGCGGAAACCTTTACCGCTAGTATGATCGGGGCTGCGTCAAATTGGCCTCCTAACTCTTCCTCGATGTCCTGTAAATTTCCGGGTGACGCTTGTTTGCTAACCTTCCAGTTCATTCTCCCTCCATTGCTTGCCCAGACTTCTATTCGCTTCCCAAGTCTGAAGAGTGCCTCGCGCAGAAAATTCCTGAACACCGTGATGGACAGTGTGACTGACGGGAGGCCTGTAGAGTCATTCTTGCCGAGCTGTCGCAACACTGAGGTTGTTTTGTAGACCTATTTGAATGTTAGTCAAACGAAAGGTTTACAGTAGTGAAAGCCTAACCGTCCGGGCAATAAACGAAGCATCATCTCCATGTGCCGTATACCAGTCCCCTCGATCGAAGATTCGTATAGTATCATCGTCCTTGGCAGGTAAATTCTTGAAGAACTTGATAAAGCTGGACTCGTCGTCAACCTGTGAGCGCTGTCAGAGTGGCGTTCAACAATCAATATTATGAACATTTACCTTCAATTCGGGTCTGGAAGACATTGTAATTGTGAAAAATGAAAAGCGAATGTATGATGAATTTATATCAAATGCAAGGCGCTGAACATTTTGTTTCCGAAACCACTTTAAATCGCCTTGATAAGTCGCGACTCGATATCTGGGGGAACGCGACGCGAAGCACCAATCCGAAAGTAGAATTTCTGCCGGAAATAATTTATACACCGCCTATATCTTCATTGCCAAAATTTAAGCGTCGCGAGCGACAACCCCGCCATGCTGTATAGGAACAAAAATGTCAGACCTCGAAGAACGACCCTCAAAGATCCGCAAGGTTAATCCTTCTGAAGAATCTGCAGAGGCTTGGACAGGCATCGAAACGCCAGTCACCGACGCCGAACAACAAGCGCTTGAAGAGAAAGTAGACCCAACAACAACCACAATCTCAGAAGACGAAGATCCCACGACGAACTTTAGACGACCTAGGTACGACATTCAAATAGAGTATCCTCCTGGGATATCAAAATCTCAACGTAAGAAGCTCGCCAGAAAAGCAGAATGGGAGGCTGGTAAAGATTATCGAAAAGCCAAACGGAAGGAGCAACAAAAAGCGAAAAAGGAAAGGAAACGAGAAGCCAAAGCGGAGATTCAAACTAAAATCGAGAATGGAGATTTGGAATTACCAAAACCGCCACCGAAAGCGAATTCAGCGCGACCGGTCCAGGTCCCATTGACTTTGATATTGGATTGCGACTTCGATACTTACATGGTAGACAAAGAAATCATTTCCTTGGGGAGCCAAATCACAAGATGTCATTCTGATAACCGCAAGAGCATGTATAGAAGCCATCTATGTGTTAGTAGCTGGGGAGGGAGACTAAGGGAAAGATTTGAGGGTGTGTTGACGAACAATCATCTGGGTTGGACAGGGGTGAGATTTATGGAGGATGATTTTGAAGTGGTAGGGAAGGTTTTGGATGAGGTTATGAGAGGTAAAGAGGGAGGTGTCCTTGCTGGTGCTCTTGCTGAGACCATAGATGGTGTACAAGAATCATCTGAGCGGCATTCTGTCATAGAGAATGTGGCACCTATAGAGCAACTCGAAGACACAAAGCCAAAGCTGGTGTATCTGTCATCCGACTCTCCTAACACGCTTGAGAGACTGTCGCCAAATACAAGTTATATAATTGGTGGCATTGTCGACAAGAATCGACATAAAGGATTGTGCTACAAGAAAGCATGCGAGCGAGGCATTCCAACAGCAAAATTGCCAATTGGGGAATTTTTGACCATGCAAAGTCGGACTGTGTTGACAGTCAACCACGTCGTGGAAATTATGTTGAAGTGGTTAGAAACTGGTGATTGGGGAGAGGCATTCTTAAAGGTCATTCCAAAGCGAAAGGAGGCTAAGCTCAAGACGACTAGGAGCGAAAGTGAGAACAAGGATGATGAAGATAGTGAGGGAGAGCAGGATGTTGGGGAGGCGGTTCCAGATGGTCCACAGAATTCAAGAAGCGGCATACTAACAGAACAAGTAAAACCCGATGTAGTTGGAACGGGCCCTGAGAGGCAAATAGCAACCGAGCCGTTGTAGGTTTGTAATAATACTATATGAACCGTTCGCCGTCCTTTCAAGCGTTTGAGTGCCTCTACTAAAAACCGAAGAGCCCTGGATATCATTGCCTTGTAATCCAAATATCCTTTTCCCTCGAGTTCCGAATACGCCACTCTAGCTAAAATCAAACTTCCTGGATGCCTCTCACCATGGGATGCAAAAGAATGGGTAATATCGCGTCTATTTCCACCCTCATTCTTTATGCATCCCATTAACATACTCCTCGGCTTTTGTCGCTCTGTCGCACCTTGCTACGACTTCGGGTAGTCCACCTAACACTCTTTCGAGTCCCTTCACCCCATGACTCCAATTCTGCTCAACTGAATCCTGTCTCTCCAATTTTCCAATTCCCAGAACGCTTCCACCAATACTCCTCTTCTTTTCGGCATCGTCCATCTTTGCGGCCAGTACTTTCAGGTTTTCGTCGTCCGCTTCCACTTCTTCCTTAAATCTCTTCTTGTTCTTTTCCACGACAGCGCCAGGAATGTTCCGTCGTAATCGCGCTATCTCCTCTATGAGGTCCTCTTCCTGCCGCGCGTTATCTTTCGCCTTCTCGAATAGTTTATGGTTGAATGGCTCGTGTTCTTCGATGATGCCTGTTGGTAGGGAGCTGGAGGAGAGGACGGATTGAATTTGTTCTTGGGATGGAGAAAGGCCGTTTATTGTTATATTTGGTGCGAGGACTTGGAAAACTTTATGGATATACTGCGCGGCGATGACAAGTTAGAAGAACTAGCGGCGACCCAGGAAGAATAAAAACGCGTACATTATGCACATCCTCTTCTACTCGTTTTCTCATAGCATCTTCTTCCACCCCATCCATCGGCGGTAAAGCTTGATCAATTTTTTCCTCCGCTCCTCGCTGGATATTTCCAACCAAGTACTGCAGATCCTCAATTGATTGCAGTTCTATCTTCCTCTGCAGTTCCGTCATTTTGTTCACTGCCAACCATCTGTTGAGTTTTGTTGGGTAGAACGTGCGTGATGTGCTGCGTACGTCAGTTCGTGTTTTCGAAAGTTGATGTTCGTCGCGAATTTCGTCTGTTTACTTCCCCGGGAAGCCCACCAAAATAGTAACCCGGAGAACCTTATTTCTCTCGTCGTGCCGCGCCGCCGTCTTCTCAAAATGCGGGGTGACGCGAAGTGGGGTCACTTCAACCGTCATCCATTTCTCGACTTATTGTCATTGAGAATAAGAGATACAATTACACACTGTTTCTGGAATTATCCTATGATTCTATTGTAATAGAGCTTAATTGAATTAGTACACTTGAGAACAACAAAATGCGAGCTCGAATTCCTAAGCACATGCAGGTAGGAGCTGCAGGCCCAGCTGCATGCACGGCAACTTTTCCATCCCATCCCATCCCATCACCATGCCTATAGATTCCCCTACAGCTGGAGTTACACGCAGCTCGCTCCGCCTCTAATTTGATAACACGACTTTACTTTGCCACGCAAGCGCATAGTCCAAGTGCTACACTACAGCTTTCTAAGCTCTTCAGCTGTCAGAGGCTGTCACGAGGCGGAATGCTTGATCTACCTTGGTCCCATGTGTTGTGGCTCCCGCGATTGGCAGAGGAGGTTGGAGTAAGAACGGCCCGGAAACAAAACAATTTGTGGTTCTATTGACGCCTCTAATGGTTTCCTGTTAGAAGCACGTCGCTGACCGCTATCTCATGTTCCGTAGGCGCGGAAAAGCCGTATATGTCCGTCGCTTTAAGCAACTTTCTCAATCCGGACTGTGAACACATCAGCTGCAGTTAGCTCATTAATTAGTGAAATGAACCCGCCAGCCACAGGAAAAGTCACTGTCTCGAAAGGCATAGCAACCTTAGGCTTTGCAAGTAACAAACTTCCGTAGATCGGCGTGAGAAGAGATGATTCCAATTGCTAATAGCTGTCCCAACCGGACATGCCAGGCCCTTAAGCTCGTACGCCTTCAATTAATCAAACCAGTCTTATTATGCCCAACGCGATTGCAAACACAATGTGACGCCCTAACCAGAAGCTCTAGAGGCAATCGCCAAATTCCATTGAAAAATGCCAAACTCCTTCAGTTCCAAACCCTGTTCCACATTTGTGCAGACTAGTTGTAAATTCGACGCAACGCAGTCGTCCAGCAGCAATAAAGACTCCGTCGTTGAAATTCATAGGAATCATATGTTCAATCCCAGCGCCAAAGCATGTGCAACTCCATAACCCACTCCGCGGGGCCACTTTCCGTTTAAACACAGATGAGCCTCCCTTTACTGCGGGAACATCTTTTTTATCTCCTCGTCGCTAAGTGTAATTTCATGTACAGGATCACGCTTTCGTTCGAGGGATTCGAAGTCGCATTCGACGTAGGAGGGAAGGAAGATCTCTAGGATTGCGTTAGCAAATCTACTCGAGTACTAAAAACACGCAGACCGTGGAACAAACCTGGATTCCAGTCAAAGCCTTGAGATGACCTAACGCAGGTAATCTACCGAAGAAGCGTGTTAGCAGTGCTTAGTTGCAGCGGGGGTTGATAATGGAACCTACCAAACGTGGCACTCCATCCGGATCTCCAATGTTGATAACGGTGTGTTCTTGCTTAGAGAGAGACGAGCCTGTAAATATGTCAGAAATGTATCACTTCCTTTAGTCTTTTGCTGTCAAGCTGCCAAGATGCCACAGGCATCTGCTCAGAGCAACTGCAGTCCAGACCTCGTGAAGCCTAGCGGATGAGCTGCAAATGGAACTTACTTAATAAACTTGGCCTTCGATCATGACCGTGCTTGGAGACCGATGATGACGAGCCAGGAGGTGTCGCATTTGTTCTTTCTGTGGAGGATTGTGGTGTTTGTGGTGAGCTCGAATAAGACGATACCGAGCCAGCCTTACTGCTTTCCCCATATGCAGTTCTACTCGGGATGGTAATAGAAGACGACATGATGCAAAACAAAACTAGTGTTTAACAGAGCGAGAGAGTTCAAAGATTGTAGAGCGAAGAAGAAGTGTTATCGATTTTGTCAGTGTTGATTTGATTAGGTTGAGAAGAACGGCCTGACTCAGTGAGTAGGTAAGGTAGTGGAAGCTCGAATGATGGATGCTCCAGGTCCGTGCAGGCTGGCAGCTCCCGAGATTCGGCGGTGCTTGCAGTGGAGCCTTAATGCCTGAACTAAAATACTTGTTGCCTCAGGTATCATAGCGCATAGGTAAGGCTGGCAACGTAACGCGCCTCACCGAAGCTATCCTTCCTCCGACGAACTCATCTCACGACATCCACCAACAACAATCCATCAACTCCACAGAGTTGCATTCAGTGTCTTCAGAGCCGCTCACAACAGATTATGGCGGATACAATGGTTGAAAACCCTGCACAGCAGGTTTTACCGCATCGCAAACAGATGCCATCTTCAATACCGAACATCGATTCTCTCGAAGGCCTAGGAACCGATGGGTCGGACGAATATTCAACATTAAAAAAGCTGCAGCGGCACCTTGAGTCAGTTGTGCTGTACACGCCACTCAAATGCAAAACTAATGAGCATATAGATATATCCAGCTTCAAGAAGAATACATCAAGGATGAGCAACGGTTCGTCTTTCCCATACGATCCATTTCCGTTGCATTAGCTGACCATTGCATAGGAGTTTGAAAAGGGAGCTGGTGAGAGCGCAAGAAGAGATCAAGCGTATTCAAAGTGTGCCGCTAGTCATTGGACAGTTTATGGAGGCTATAGATCAGAAGTAAGGTTCCAAGCCAATACCCCGGGTTTCTACTAATACGTCGCAGTACTGGCATCGTGCAATCTTCCACTGGTTCTAATTATGTCGTTCGAATTCTCTCCACTCTCGATCGCGAGCTTCTCAAGCCATCCTCCTCAGTTGCCCTCCATCGCCACTCCAATTCACTTGTCGATATCCTGCCCCCAGAAGCAGATTCCTCCATTGCCATGCTCGGTGCAGACGAGAAGCCAGATGTTACATACGCTGATGTGGGTGGACTGGATATGCAAAAGCAAGAGATCAGAGAAGCCGTAGAACTCCCATTGACTCATTTTGATCTCTACAAGCAAATTGGTATCGATCCTCCGAGAGGTGTTCTTCTGTATGGTCCACCCGGGACTGGAAAGACCATGTTGGTGAAGGCCGTTGCCAATTCGACGACTGCAAGTTTCATACGTGTAGTTGGGTCCGAGTTCGTACAAAAGTATCTTGGAGAAGGTCCACGTATGGTTAGAGATGTCTTCAGAATGGCGAGGGAGAACTCCCCTTCAATCATCTTCATCGACGAAATCGATGCCATCGCGACTAAGCGTTTCGATGCTCAGACTGGTGCTGATAGGGAAGTCCAGCGTATTTTGCTAGAATTGTTGAATCAGATGGATGGGTTCGATCAGACTTCGAACGTCAAGGTCATCATGGCCACCAACAGAGCCGACACGCTGGATCCTGCGCTTCTTCGTCCCGGCCGTCTAGATCGAAAGATTGAATTTCCTAATCTTCGAGACCGCAGGGAGCGACGATTGATTTTTACCACGATTGCCTCAAAGATGTCATTGTCGCCCGAAGTAGATTTGGACAGCTTGATTGTTCGTAATGATCCTCTAAGTGGCGCTATTATTGCGGCTATCATGCAAGAAGCTGGTTTGAGAGCGGTTAGAAAGAACAGATACAACATTATCCAAGCAGATCTCGAAGACGCATACTCAAGCCAGGTCAAGGGCACTCAGGAGGTAAGCAATTTTGTCCTTTGCCAATTACGGAGAACTGCTAACAAGTTTCTAGGCAAATAAATTCGACTTCTACAAGTAGAAATACGAGATGATGGAGCGCTTATTAGATAGACATCCTGCCAACATGGGCTTTGGCAAGCCCTGAGGATTACTCTTTCACCGGAGCGAGCAGATGTATGATGATATAATTACAGGAATAGTGCACTACTACAAAAGGGCATTTGCAAGCCCAAGACCTCGTATGTACCAACAAAATAAACAGAAGGCGTGCAGCTGTACCATTATTCTCAACGCATTGGTCTTTGACATACGTGCTCGTCTCTAATAGATCAGCCGAGCAAGCTGGCTTCAAGCTCAAAACGGTGAACAAAATCTCATCCAGAGACAACTTTCAATCATGCTGTTGATGTTTGAATGGTGAATCCCGACAGAGTCTGTATGGCTGGAATCAGGAACTTGTTGCCAATGAAATCTGTCAGTAGACAAAAGACAAAGGAAGGACTTGCCGCAAATTTGTTAAAAAATCTTAGATACAAGATATGTTAACCTAGAAGGTGAACCGGCGATCTCATGTGTTCCAGGTTTGCAAACTTGTTGTTGCATGCATGTTCAATAGTAACACTGATTCAAAGTGGCACAATGTGGAACTATGGAATACTCCGTACTATTTTGAGTGCGATGTGGCCATAAGGCTGGTAACCGGGTCCGTTCATTGTCCACGCTGTAGAACCAAGAATACCAAACGTACAGCATTGCTCTGATGGATTTAAAAGGGATCGCTTCGCTTCCTGGGAGAGTTACCTACCTTATCTACCTATAGGTATAGGTAGGTAACTGCCCAGGTGCAGGCGAATCTGATGAAGCGAGGCGATGGCCGGACGGGTAATACAGTTAGTTGCTGTATGTACTCTTTTGGAAAGACTAAGATATGGACAAGAGAGATAAAATTGCAGGCTTTTCTGTAAAGGGAAAAGATGTCTCTTAGTCTAACATCTCTCTCTTTCTTATTTCATTAATCCTGTCATCATCAGCGACAAATTGCAATAGCTATTTGACTCATCTCCGACTGAACATCGATATGTACTTAGAAACACTACCCTACGTCAATATGCATTTCTTCTATATCGCCCTATTTATCACCTTCCTCTCTACCTGTGTTTTTAGCAAGAATCCTAAGCTTAATCAATACCAAAGTATAGAAGACTGGTATAGCCACTCTACATATCATCTACTTATATACTTACCTAATTCTAGTAAAGCCGATGTAAACATTATCAGTCATTCTTCTCCGCCATTGAACACTTGTCATAGAATCGATAAAAAGACAAAGGCATTGTATTTAGTTACAGGTGATGGAGCTCTTACTGGCCGTTTTGCTTGTATGTTTTGCGCCATTTGTATATTACTTCGAAGTGTCGGGGGTTGTACTGTGCTAATAAGAGAATCATTAGATTGCTCTGATGGCGATTGCGTTCGTTGCCGTCATGATGATCACAATAAAGGTCTTAGGCGGGGACGTTGTCTTGAGAGCGAACCAGGTCAAGCTCATATCTGGTTCGGGTGGCTGTTGTTCTGAATATCCACCATTAATAGAGCATCTTTTGCAATTCAGATATATTTGGACTCTGGCTAGTTGATTCATCTCCCTGGTCTCATATTTACCAGTTAATGGTATTTACAAATTTGGTGCACTGTTGCAAATGTAAGATAGAACTACCAAGTAAGCTGCTCGGCTATCAGTGCCGTTGCGACGTTTCGTACATTGTTAAGACTTAAGTCCTGGGACCGGTAACAAAATTATTGGATCTGAAGAAGGATGGTTGTAGCGATTGGTCGACTCATCTGCTCTAAGCCCCAACACTGTTGATTCATGCACCTCGCCGCCGTTAGATTGCTCCAGATTGGCTTTCCAGGCGCGCCAGGGCTGACGGACGCACTTGTCACTTTCTCGCCAAGAGCTCATCCTGGAGTCTTGGACCCAACGCGGAAACTATGTTTTTGAATTCCTCCTGCCACCGTCTCTCATCATCAAAATATACTTCCTCTTGCAGAACATCAATCGTCGAGTGTCACACTCCCTCGTTGATACGCGGCCACCCGTTGTTACACTTGCACTGCCCCTGCTGGTAACAAAAGCTCGCTGCCCTCGGCTGGTTGCCTTACCCCTTGAAAATGGTCCAGAAGCAAAACGAGATGCTCAATGGTTTCTGGCGCATCAAATGGTGGAGGTATCGATACGCAATACTAGCTGGAATATTATTAAACATATTCCTCATCAATCATTTCTTTCTCGATCAATCGATATCAGACCTCAACCCTTTCCCAGCTACGCAGTACCCCCCGCCAACTGTACCCCGTCCGAAAGACGCAGATGCACCACCAGCACCCTCGGGAGTTATAGTCACTCCACCGAAATCGTCTGCGACGTACAACCTGAATGATTACAACTTTAACGGACAATACGTGGGATGGCCGCTCGAGCGGTTGTGCGGCGAGACCAAGTGGCAAGAAGGGCTGGTCTTCGTATGCGACAACAATTCTGGAGGAATTGGCAACATTCGAAACTTCATCTTGACCTGTATTCGATATGCTATCGAGGCTGGCGCAACTGGTATTACAATGCCTCAGATTCAGCGACGCTCGGAAACGGATCTTGCAAATATCTTCACTACTGGGTTCAAACCGCTCAACTACTTTTTCGACGAAGAGCACTTCCGCAGCTCTATAGAGACTTACTGTCCGCAGATGAAAATCTTCAACACGAAAACCGATATTCCAAACGCGGGTAAAATACAAGAGATCACCGAATTCTATCCCAAGGATCTCAATGTCGATACAGATGGATGTGACGGGCGTGGTGTAAACCGACATTTGGATCAATTCCGTCAGAAGTTTGACCAGTGGATTCGCGATAACAAACGACCATCAAGCTGGGAGGAGCCAACCACATTGAGGTTTAGATGGGCAACATTCTTTGAGTGGCCCATCATCCGAGATGGGCCGGAATTCGCGGCAACTTTTGGCGATCTGCTGAGAATTAATAAGGATATCGAGAAGATTGCTGTGAAGACAATCTTGGAGCTTCAGAAATTTGCTGGCGTCCAGCCTGACGGAACCCTTATCACGGCACCCTACCTAGGCGTTCATCTGAGGACAGAGAGCGATGCGCTTAACTTCTGGCCAGACTTTGATACTCAAAGTGACGGATATATCCGGGAGGCGGATACACGAAATATGAAGCACGCATACTTGGCGTCAGGAAATGCTACCGACGGCCACAGATTTGGTGCTAAAGCCTTTGACAAGCTGGGGTTGAAAGTAACTCAGAAAATGGACTTATTGAAGGGAGAAGATTTAAAGGCTCTGACAGATTTGAGCTGGGATCAACAAGCCCTGGTGGATTATTTGGTACTATCTAAGAGTACTCATTTCACCGGATGTTCATTCTCTTCTTTCGCTATGAACATTGGAATCAAGAGACACTTGATGACCGGAGGAATCAACTCGCGCCCATGGCGGAGTCCGGGAGACGTCTTTTCGACTCTCGTTGGGAGATTTGACAGCTGGTATGGTGATTGGATGTTCATGTACGAATGCATGTGGCCATGATCCTATTAACATGGAAATTTGTCATCATTACGACCAGCCCAGCACTTCCTTCGATAGAGGTCAAAGCAACTGGAATATATATCACATCGAGCTTAGAGCTCAACTGTACAAATTCGAGGCGACCGCCAGTGGAAGCAGTCAAGGAGGTAGCCACATCTTAGTTCGTGTTAGATCGCGGAGCACTGGGGCTTTGTACCAGCATATAAGGGCAACATCAACGTTTGAAGAAATGGGCATATAAATGGAGTTTACAGCGTTTGTTTAATTATAATTCTGGGCGCAAATAGTCACAAGAATCGTTTCGGTTGGCAAAGCGGCGTACTACACTAGAGGGTATACACAGTTTGATCCGAAAACTTGCAGATTTTGTGCAATATCGTAGTCTGCCTACTCCACAAGGCGTATTTCAGATTGCGTATTCTTGATCGCAACCAAAATGCCCAAATTCCACATGTTCTGACAGGCATCAGCATTATTCACGATGTTGTAACTCGATCTCGGGCGCTATTATTTCTTGGGAGATTGATTGCGAAGCCGGTAGCCAAGGTATTTTCACTGGCTGGCTGCCTTGTTCGCCTTGTGTTTCCTAACGCGTACACTTCGTATCCCGGATGTCAGCCGCTCCATGTGTATAATGTATACTAGCGAAGAACATGTACGTAATATGCCATGGCCTTGACAATCACGGAGATGAGAATGGTATTATTGCCGCAGTTCCGCCTCTGTGACCGTCAGCAATAATCAAACATATTTGTTGACGGTATGTATAGCGAGGTACGATCAGATTTTGTTCGAAAGTCAGAATCACCTAGAGCAATACTAATGGTCTGAGTGTCTTTATTCTCGCCTACTTCTAATTACTGTCGGAACAATTCGTATAATTTCATTTGATTGTAGTTCCGAAAACAACAAGATGCTTCAAACGACTTTACTCGCTTGCCTCGCTGCTCTCTGCAATGGCCAATTCGTTATTCCCCTTCCAGCTCTTACAGGACCTAGTCAGGTTGGCACCATTACTCTAGAGCTAGTCGACAATACACGTCTCGATCCTCTGAGTCCAACACCTCAGGCCCGGGATCTGATGATTTCGGTTTTCTATCCCATCCAGCACACCCGACGTTACACGCTTTCTCCCGCCTACGATCCTCTATACGCCGAGTTCTTAACCACTTCTCTCGGTGTCCCTCCAGGAATTTTCTCAAGTGTCATTTCTCAATCTTACGCTGGTGCATATCTCCATCCTCCAGATGCCAATCCAGGACAACCCAACATTCTCCTATACTCCCCCGGCTACGGTGGTTCAAGAGAGGAATATACGGCAACACTCGAAAACCTAGCATCTTATAACTACATCGTCGTAGGCATAGACCACCCATACGACACTGGATTCATCGCATACCCCAACAACCGCACCGTCACCCCCATCGGCGACCCAATAGGCGACTCTCCAGACGTTCCCGCTACATCCGCAAATCTAACACAATACCGCGCCGCGGACTTCATTTCCGTGATCAACGCCCTAGGCAAGAATGCGACTTTCGCAAAGCAAATCCCAGGTGTCCACGGCAAGCTCGACGTCTCGAAAGTCGGAGTCCTAGGCCACAGTCTTGGGGGTGCTTCCGCCGCTACAGCCATGGCCTTGGACTCCCGCTTTGCTTGCGGTTCCAACCTCGACGGCGCATTCTGGGGCAATCTCACGCAGATCTCCAAAGCTGTTACCAAGCCGTTCCTGCTAGTAGAAGCGAATGGACACAATAGAACCTCCGACGCATCGTTTGCTGCGTTCTTGGATGCGAATCCGAAGGGGAAATATGTGCTTGATGTGAAGAACGCGAAACATGCAACGTTTACTGATTTGGCATATTTGTCTGATGTCGCCAAGGCCGCTGGGATTCCGGTTCCTGAGCAGGATTTTGGAACGATTGGGGGAGAGCGGATGTTAGTTCTTCTAGCGAAGTATCTGGATGTGTATTTCCGGAAGTGTCTTGGTGGTGGTGATATTAAGAAGGGCTTGGAAGGAGTGACTGGATTTCCTGAGGTCACTTTAAGCTAGTGATACGGAATAGAGCTGACTCTCCGAGTGTGGTGAGGTCTCTTAAGGAGCTCGAATGGCAGAAGTTTCCTGTCGATAAATATTTAGCACACAGTCCCAAACGCTACATTTAGCTGATTCACTTACATAATATCATATATACTACCTAGGTATCCAATGCTCTGACTAGATGAGCCCTCTTTGACTCGAAATTTCGAGCCTGACCAATATCAAATGGCATTATGGCGGTATCTGCTCAAAATGCCACTTAAAACTCAACGGTACCTCTGTTGTTTACCCGAATGCAACACAGATGAAGCGACTTAGTGCCAACCACATAGACAAATTCGAAAGATTGAGCTGCCTCTAGTGGAACTCTGATTTCCTCGATGCTGCAGGACATGTCTGGCACTTTGTATGAAGTTTGCTACATTTGCAACAGTGGAATACTATTACGAAAATTAGTGATAAAAAAGCCGGGTGACTGGTGTTCCTTTCACTCCACCAGAAAGCTTTCATATTTTCGCTAGATGGTTCTTAAATAAACGCCCATCGCCAGCGCCAGTTCGCATCATTCCGAACTATTGCTGCCCAAGTATGGAGTTTCTTGTTTGGTGCGATTTAAAGTGACTTATGAGCACCGAATCAGCATCTGAAAAGATTAGCATTCCTCTTGCAACTGTTGATGAAAAGCACTTCTGATTTCTCGAGTTGAGTTTGCTAGGAATTAGGAGAGCCATCGACAATTCATCCGTATACATAGAAAATGAAACATGTAGTACCCATGAATAAACTTTCAAAAATAAGGTTTCCACAATATTGACGACTGAGCGAGACGTACCGGTAGCAGCTTCAAAATTAAGGCAATTTGGCAGCTGCTAGCAGCGAACAGATATTATTGAATCTCTCTCGTAGCCTAGCTATCCATAATATATAAAACCAATTATGCTACATATAAACCGACTGCTTGGTCACATGCGCGTTACATTAATACCTAGCACCAAGCCACAAGGGCAATCTTTTCGATCCCTTATCGTGACTGCGAGAGATAAAGTCAATCGAGTATGAGTTTACCGCCTGAGCTTTTATGATAACTGTATCGACCCAGCTTCTTATTTATAGCTGTCTCGGCGTGCTCATTCCTGGTAAATTGTTGGTCTTTCCTCCTTCAATAGTCAAGGCTGCCATCAAATCCCTCGCCGTGATGGTCTAACCCGTTGCTTCTCCATCTTCTTCTTGCCTCCGGCTTCTCTTCCCTATTCTCCAGACTTACGCAGGACTGCTCAATCTAGTTCGTATGAGGTATGCTGTTTTCTACTGGCGAGACATTTGCGAAGTATCGAGTGTTCGTGTAAAATTTGGACCTTAAAAAGGTGGCTTTATTGCCCTGTTTGCCCTTTTTCTTTTGGCAGATAGGATGGGATAATTTACTTTTACCAACCACTGTGTCTAATTGACGCTAATAGCTTGCTTGTTTTGGCTATTTGAAATAACGGACCCCGCTTCTGCAATATGTTAGCTGTATCCCGGCCTGATTTTGATCTGTTGCAACTCACTGTTTTTGGATTTCTTCTCTGCTTTCCTTCCAGACTTTTCTTCATGCCTTCTCTTCTTTCCATGGCTCGCTTCCTTCTTAGAAGATGTGTCTGTTTTGTGCGTTTTGGTGGGTTCAGCTGGAACGCTGTTCGATGCGTCTACCATCTCAACATCGGATTCTTCAGAAGACTCAGAACCCAGTTTACCACCGTCACCTTCACCAAATCCTATCGGCAAGAACCTCATTTTCAAGCCTTTGGGTTGCTGTCTGACGGGTTTCTTGGCAGGTACAGTAGCTTTGGAAGATGCCGAACCGGAATCGTTCACACCGGGTAAGCTGACTATTCGTCTCAGGTGAAGTACCTGGTCAATTGGCCTCGAAACTAAATCCCAATCAGACAGGTCTGTCTCCAGGGAGTAAGTTTTAAATACCTGTCTTGTACCCCTCGCTAGTAGAGGAGGGGATCATGAGAATGGTGCCAGAATTCTGCTCAGGATCGTTTTCACTACTCTTGGCAAATCCGTAGTCAGCTCCATCCTTAGAATATACCGTGTCCCCGTTTTTCACATCAAGTAGAGAAATATTCTCGATAGATGAAATAGGCACAGATGCTGGCGCCGTAAAATACCAAATCTGTTTCCCACCTAAGTTCGACTTCTTAAAAGCGTCCGAAACTGCCCCCACATCTTTTACCGTGGTTTTTTCGAAGCCTGTTGGTGGGGTATATTTAACAGGCGCTCTTGTAGTAACGACAGGCGGAGCGGAAGGCGCAGGAACACTACTGCGAAACAATTAGTTTTGAAAAAGGAGGAATTGAATACATCTTACTTTGTGCCCTTTGCTGTTTGGGATACTTCCTCCTCGTCTTCATCGTCCTGTTCTTCGGCGCCGCTCTCCTCACCTTCGGTACTCTCTTGACTGGAACTATCGTTTTCGCTAGAGCTGTCACTACCATCCGGTGCTGGCGGCTTCCCATTATTGGTTAAAGCGCTTTTAGAAGGTATCTTGGGAAGAGATTCGGCGTCGCTGTCAGAGGCTGAATCATCCCCACTGTCTTCGACAAATTCCGTACTCAGCACTTTGGAGGGGACTTCGCGTTTCTCGGACTTCTTAGAGGTGCGATGTTTTTTGTCTTTAGCGTTCTTCGCGAGGGCGTGCGAGGAAGGAGTGGCTTTCGGCATGGTGAGGTTCTGAGGAAATATTCCAGCTGGCAGGTTTGGCGCAACCGCTGCGGGTAGGAATCAAAAAGATGAAGCTCAAGAACTTTTTTAATGGGTCGGCAAAAATTCGGATAATCTTTGCTCACGAACTCTTCTTGGTTCCAGCCTGTTAGTTCATGAGCTCCCTAACTTACGTCCTTCTATTGTAATAACGTAAAATTTGTTGATTTGAGACCCAGAATCGTCGGTATGAATGTTCCTAAGAAACGTCGGAAGATTGATGCTCCTTCTAATGGCCCTCGTAAGTTTTTCAATTTCCAACACAACACCTGCTGAACCGCAGTAGCGATGAGCGCCATTGCAGCACGGCGTGCGAGAATTGAAGCCAAAACCGAGCATCCAGGGCCAAGCGTTGATACTAAAACACCACATCCAAAGCCAATGTTGGCTGAAGTCGCTGAAGTCTCTCCATCAGGCCCGGGTTCTTCGATTTCTCAAAACCTTGGGAACATTACTCATCCCAGTGTCCGTACCAATACCTTAGATCAAAGACGTGCTCTAAAGATCAATGATGGACAGGGTGACTTAGATACAGAATTATCGTGAGTTAAGCACATTCGGTTTCATGCTCTATTAATGATTCAGGAAGCGTAGAACTATGGGAAGATTCTCCTGAGCCGTCCCCAGAAAAGGCGACTATTATGCTTTCCACATTTCGGCCTAGTAGAGAATTGAAAAACTTCAAAGAATTGAAAAATGGCGATTTGTTGATCCGACTGGCTCCTGGTGAGGTAAGCAAATCAAAGGCGACACACAGAGTATTTCTCTAAGACCTCTAGCGACTGGTTATTCTAGGGCAATATGAAATGTTAGTATTGAAAGGAGAGATTACCTTCTTGGGTGCTACGATATCCGCAACTACCACTGTACACGCCATATACGCCCCGTCATCGCACTCCCTGCCGGTGATCCGATGTCTAGGAACTGAAGTAGGCCATGCAGAAATCCTCTTCCGGCATAGTAAAAGTGGCCTCGAGACTTTGCACACATTATCACCCCTATTTGCCAAAATTTGGAATGACGGGAAACGTCCATTTGGAGACGAATTTCCCTCACTTCTAAAAAGCAACAGGAGCTCAACATATCAGATTGTGCGATCACTGTACCGCTTTCTCAATTTGAGCTGACAAACATCTCAGATATTCTCTGCCAGTGCCCAGAGGGCATTTCTGCAGCCGCTTGTATCTCCACCACAGTGGAATGCTATGCTTGCAAATCTGGCTGACACAAGCCCCAGGAGCAAATCTGTTAGCATGCTTTGTGGCCCGAAAGCTTCTGGAAAATCGACATTTACGAAACTTTTGGCCAACAAGCTTCTCCTAGCGTCTTCGAAATCACAATCAATAGGCGTGGCGATCTTAGATCTGGACCCTGGGCAGCCTGAATTTTCATTGCCCGGACAGCTGTCCCTGATTCATTTACGAGAACCGAACTTTGGACCCCCTTTTTCTCATCCGCGAGCTTCAAAAAAGAGCAATATCATCCGGTCTCATGCGATTGCTGCAGTCTCCCCTTCCATGGACCCAAATCTATATACTGCCTGTGCCATTGACCTTTATACGCATTATCGCATTCTTGTCCAGAAATTCCCAGAATGTCCTTTGATTATCAACACCCCAGGCTGGGTTTTGGGCACCGGGCTGGAGATTCTCGTAGAATTAATTTCTAAGATACATCCAACTGAAGTCATCTACATGTCTGAGGACGGACCTCGTGAAGTCGTTGATAGCCTCAAAGAATCTGCTGGCTCTACGCCCGTATATACCCTCCCGTCTCAGGCTAGTGAGTACACGACTAGGACAGCAGTACATCTGAGAACCATGCAATACATGTCGTATCTTCACTTGAATGCGAGTGTGAATGAAGTCTTGTCCTGGAACAACGCGCCACTAACATCAGTCCGGCCGTGGGAAATTCATTATTTAGGCGACAAAGCTGGCTTATTGGCAATAATATGTTATGGAGAGCAGCCATCGGCGAACTTATTAGCTGAGACAATCAATGGCACTTTGGTGTCAGTGGTCGTAGTTGACGATATGAAAGCAATTCCGGGATGGAAGACTAAAGAGGAGGACGTCCCTAAGGCCCAGGCCCAAGCTCAAGATAATGGTGGGATGGGAGATGAGAATTATGTGGCATTCGAAGATCACTCGGAAATTGGGCTCTTTGACGTCGACGAACTTCATCCCATTTCACTTACGGAGCCACTAATCATACGGACGCAAGCCGAGAAACTACCTTACTTCAACCCCGAAAACGCCATCTCCCTTAACCCCAGATATTCGCAAGCTCTGGGCTTAGCTCTCATCCGCGGTATCGATGTTCCTCGGCGAAAGTTACAGATTTTGACGTCCATCGAACCTAGCGTTGTCGAGGAGATCAATCGGATGGGGAAAAATATAGTACTCATCAGTGGCAAGTTGGATACACCTGGATGGGCTTATACAGAAGAGCTAGTACAACGTGAAGTGATAGCAAAGCAGAACGGCGATGAAGCAACGACTGATGATTTCGACAAGGATAGAGAAGAGATGGTGGATGACAATGCAGATGTAGACGATTCTTTCACAGAAACTCCTTGGGTACAGAGATTACAGGGGTCCGAAGGAAGGGGAGTTGGATCGAGAGTTTGGAGGGTGAGAAGAGACCTTGGAAAGAACGCCGATACTGTAACGTAGGCGGGAAAATGGTGTCAGTCAGCAGTTAATTCTAAGTCTTTATATTTAACAGAAACGTTTACCCTCGTGTTTTATGTCAGGACATTCATGTGTATAGAATGCCCACTTGGATGATAATTGGGGTTGTCGAAGCGTGTAGGTGGTTTGGCTGCAAAGGATGGACGAAACCAAAAATCAATCAATAGACTTACCTTGTGATTTTCAGTACTCTCCTTAGATCCATAGTACAAGACCTATAACTGTAAGATTTCTGCACTCATAAAAGCAGTTATCAGACACATACATTCTTACTAAGGAACAATAACCTTTCCAAAACCTCACTTCATGTTCAACCTTCCTCGCTCGTACACCTCAACCCTATTAAGCCAACAAGCTCCTTACCCCCCCTCTAAGCGAGCCCTCCCGCTACCGTCACACGATTTCTCCTCCCGCGAATCCTACGTTTCGAACATCCAACCCCTCATTGGTCAGCTCTGCGAACAAAGTTTCAAATCGTTTGTGATCCTCCCGTCCCGATCGCTCGCCTCACATCCACGTCTCTCCCGGACAAATCCCATCTACACCTTCCAGATCAGTCCCACCACCGAACCCTCGGCTTCAGAAGGATACCTGCTTCCCATGTGTCACGTCGCTGGTGATCGTCTGTGCCTCGGGAGGACAGGATATACCGAGAAGTGGGGGAGGGGGATTTTGGTAGTGTTTGAAACGAGAGTAGGGAGTTGAAGAAATTTGTTTTGCTGAGGAGATGTTGGCGTAAGGAAGTGAGGGTTGGTGGTTCTGTAGACTCGTTGTTGGAAAAGAAGGAATTCGTGCTTCGTGAGTGAAGTCCTGAGATTGTACCTGCGTTTTCTGGACTAGGAATAATGTTGGTGAGCTTGGTGGAAGGATTGTACCTGCTTTAACGAGGCTGAGACCGTGGGTCTGTACTTGTACGACCGAGATTGATGACCCGAAAGTTGCAGTTCCTGGCTCGTGGTGGACAGAGAATTGGTGCGCACCTTACGTTTATACGGGTAGATGCCAGTAGATCTAAACATGTTTACGTCTTATCAGGTTTTTTTGTTGAAACAAAAAGGCATCCTCTGCTTAAATAGGAGAGAGTAGAATGAAGAATATCGTGTCTAGCTGAAAAGCTAATTGGTGAGTTACGACAGCTACCTGTTCGTCTATTGAGAGTCCGGAATTTATTAGGACAACGAATCGCGGGACTTCCGGTATGGCGTAGTGCGACACTCAGTTCCAGACCTATACCATCTTCCTGGTGAGTCGTGATCGCCGGTACAAAATGTGTGGAATCACGAGCAATTACTATATATGGAAAAACACGAGTGTGTTCCCCGACGCTGTGCGAACTTGACAGAAATGAGACAAGTAGAAACGACGCACTGAGGTGGATACAGTTAGGTCAAACGATACCATTCAAGTGTCATTATCATGTTGCGATAGGAAAGGCAGATCAGAAATAGGGTTCCAATTATAAACGGAGATAGTTAGAGATTCATTATACAATTAGAAAATACATCGTGACACATTATTTCCCAGCCCAACCATCGAACATGCTTTACGCTGTTGATACCCATCCAATTTCCTAACTCCAGATTGATCCCAAGTAGCATGCAATATCGTATTTCCCATATTTTCCAAGTTTAGTTTCGTATGCCAAAGGCGGCTTTCTGAGCAACAAGATTTCGTCTGCTCTTCTCCACGACAGATAGAATACTCATGACAGCTAGGAAGTCAAACTCCTCCCCCAGGTTTGTCATTCCAGCAGCATTCAAGAATCGAAACATTCCCAGAACCTTGCTTTTACCCGTCATATGCTTCGAAGAGGCGCCTAAGCCTGCGTAGACAGCCACCGTAGCGCCCGTAGATATCCGTACAAGTTTCATTCCTCCAGATTCTTTTGTGCCAGAAGATGTTCGGATGAAAGGGCCAGTCGAGTAGCGCCATTCGAATCGTTCACGGACAAACGAATTTGGCAAAGTATGTGAGAATGAGAACCTTTCTGCCGTGAACATGCCACCTGTGGGTGAGAGTTGTTCCGTCCGAAGCCTTGGAACATTGCTATTCGAGGAGTCGGTAGATATGGTTGGAGAATTTGGAAGGGAGATAGTGCGGTATGTTGGCGTCACCGTCGAGCCACAAGGACATATTGTTATGTCGGCCTTCTCTGAACCTGCTTGGTATTCGACGTATGAGAGTACAGGTGAGCTCTTGCTAGGCCCAGTATGAAGGAGAATATCGGGTCTGTGATCGAACTCAAATGGTGAAGGGTCACTTCCAACGGATATGTAGAGCAGGTGAGGTGGTGATGGTAGAGGTTTTACATCGTTTGGCGACGGTGCTGGAGGCGAAGGAGATAACGCGAAGTCGTCTCCATTCTTACGGTAGAATGTGATATCTCGAGGTAATCGAGGGTATGAAGACATCGATGCTAAAATCGGCTCTGTAACGACCTCTGGCAAGTCCGAATATGCTGAGGGGCTGATATCGCCAATGTTTTGCCAATAAGATGTGGTATCTTGAGGGAGACTTGAGTATGAAGGCTTTGATGCTAGGAACTGGCCTGTGACAACCTCCGGCAGATCTGAATACACGGACGGGCTAACATCACCCCCTTTCCTACGGTAAGATGCGATATGTTGCGACAGACTCGAATGTGAACGTTTCGTTGCCAGGACTGGCTTGGTGACGACCTCTGGTAAGTCCGAATAGACTCTTGGTTTGACGAATGACCCATCATCGAATCCCAAAATCTTCTTCCACTTCCTGTCCGAGTTCGATCGTAGTAAATCTTCTTCTGTAGGCCTATTCAACATGAGTTCTTCCACCCGTCGGTGGGCATCTCTCTGAGAAAATGAGTCCAGCATGGTGCTGATGGTTGGCTTCGACAACGTGGAAATGGAAAGTCGCAGTATAAGTGAGGGTTTCGTTCCTGGGAGCTTATTATGAGCATGGTAGGCACATGCCGGTTAAAGCTAGGGCTGAAACGCCGAAGAGAATGGTGATCTTCGACGAACGTAATTGGCCGATCGATACGCACAAGAGCTGCACGTAGGATGCAGGGGAGTTCTACAAGGGGAAGTTGACTGGTGACAGTCGGCAGAAGCGGGATGGACCCTACCAAGGCAGATGGGAATATGGAGAAAATTAACCACTCGGCTATCTAGACAAAATACTGAGTGATGATGTTTGCTCGTGATCTTGGATAAGGGTCTGAATATATCGTGTGAGGTTCAGATAAAAAGAACCGCAAGACCGACAAAGAGGGAAGCATGGTCTCGGAACATCCAGAGGATACTCGGTCGAGGTGGCGCCTAACTTGAAGCTTACCACCCACCACAACTCGACAAATAGCAAAGTCTAGACGAGGAAAAGGTAGTAATCATTGTTCGCTGTCCCAGACAGGAAGCCCCCCTCTTGCACAGACCGGTCGGCCAAACGTAAGAAAAGAGCAGACAATGATAACTAATGCAACATAGAACCGGAAACAGTCGAGCATTCGTTCACAGTTGACAAAACGCTTGTGAGTTAATCACAGCTTCGCGTTTAACGATTCCAATGGTGCCTGAACGGAAACTAAGAATGTGACAAGGAGAGAGAAAGCGTTCGTGCAGGGCTACCTATACCTCGTACTCCATGAAGCAATAAATGATCTGGCAAATCAGGAACACACTCGAGTCCTCAAGCCATGAACCTAATGATTTGGCATGATAGCATTGACAGAGTTCCTCAGCCTATGGAAGCAATTCTGGTTCCATGCTGTGTGCACTTGCACAACAGACAATGTGGTACCCTTCCACCCATTCTTGTGCTTTCCCTGCCCGACCCAAGCGTATCATCTGCAGCTTACACTTTCCACGTGTAAGCATCAATTTAGCCATTGGCTTGGGGCTCCGGCGTCCGTTCGTGGTTCGTAGTTGGGTTCGGAGTGCGCGCGAAGAGGGTGTGGTGGGAATGTGGTGACTTGGATGTGACAATTAGATGGGGTTGCATGCAGGTTCTTGGTGCTGACAGCGATGCGTATTTTCCACAGAAGTGGACACGGAAATGACGTTCTCTCGTAAGCGTATAGTTTCATTGAAGAATTTGATGAAGGGTCGATTGGTGATGCTCTGCGAGTATTCTTGTCGAAGGTCAGAGCTTGGAGTGAGGTTGAAATTAACAATTTGAGGTCACGTCGCTGCGGCTTAAAGGGGCAATGACCAGTGCTAATCTTCAACCTTGAAGATTCAACCACGGCGAACAACATCGAGAATTTTCACAGATCCTACATTGCATTTCCTCATTCTAAACCTTTCACCTTCTCAGATCCGATTGTATGCTGGTAATACCTAATATCTGACGAACTGGTGTGGATCTCCCACCCAGGAAGAAGTTCTTCGGCGACCCATTATTAGACGGCGATGTCGCCTCGACTCGTCATTTAATTGGAGGATTTCCTCAAACCGTTAGAATATTGTCCAGCCACATGCTACTCGCCTGTTCTTTCTATTATCAGATTCTCACGGAGCGTGGTGGGTATGCTGCAAAAACGGGTTAGTTTATCCCGTTAATGCAGATGATGCTACTACCCGCCATGCAAGCAAGCGTTTACGAAGCATGTGGCAGGAGAAAAGTCGATGGGCCCGAAGAGTGATAACTTCTTGTGGACAGTGGACACCTTTCCAAGATGGTGGAAGAATACCGAGAGAAATTCTCCTGCATCGCGGCCATAGATTGACATTTGATATCAGGTAAGAGCATCATGAGGATTTCTGCAAACGAAAGATGGAGAGCACTATGATAAATCTGGGTGATAGTTGGTCATTCCACCTTTGCCGAGAAGATCATGGTTTCTCTGTGGAGATAATCCAGCATAGCCTGTCGCTGGAGATACCAAAGAGTCGGATACGACATCGTCATGTTCCCTGCAAGTGGACAACAATTATCGGCAGGTTCGAAAAGCCTTCAAAATGGGTTTTCATTTTGAATAAATAGGTCCTTCTAAGTCACATGTCAAGATGCGTTGAGATGATAATTCTACGAAGTACATCCTACCCGACACTTATTTTATCCATCAAGATGCTCCTTCTAGGCCCAAAAAGCAATTTTGCAGCCTATTATACATCCACCTAATCCCTTACTGTCTATCTTTTTCCTTCGAGTGTTTTAAACGGTAGTTTGATCATAGCCAAGTCGAATTGATACTGATTCGAACCTACCAAGTTGCGCGTATCACCGCAAGGTGCCTAAAGTCTGCAAGCACGGTGTATAAATCTAGGTTCATCCTGATCCAGCACTCCTTCGACTACTCAAAATTAACTCAAAATTTCCATCAACTCTTCCAAAAGAACAGTCACTAGTAGACTCCCTTCATCCGACCCCTATCGAGCTTTCCACCTCACACCACCAACCCAATTCGCAAAAGCAATAACATCCTCCCTCTCCTCCAACCTCTCCACCGTATACCAATCCCTCGCCAACTCCTCATTCGAAGCAACCCTATGCACAAAACCTACGTTTCTCGTCAGCATACCACATTTCGCTATCCGCCATCTCCAAACATCAACATAGAGTACATACTATGACACGCCCTACAAAGCCAAGCAACATTCCCCAACTGATCCTCAGTGTGCCATCCCCGCTTTAAAACCTTCTGATGCATCTCCCTAGGGATAAGATGGTGATATGTCAATGGTATCCAACTCCTCTCGCACAATTCACAGCCGGAAGCTTTGTCTTTGGTTAGAGACGGCGGGGGTGGTGCTGTGAGTAATGTTTCTGTATATGCGTTTAATGCTCGGACTAATATATTATTCGTCTCGAGCTGCGGATCTGAGAGGTAGGCTGAGAGTGTGTCCATGACTGATGGTGCCATGGTATTGATGACATGCGAGACTGTCGATTCCGGGAGGGGAATGCTGTATGTCTTGTGTAGTGAGGGTGTGTTGATCCATATTGAGTAGGTCAAGGTCCGGAGATCAGATGGTAAAGATGTGAAGATCTCCTCTGCTAAGTACTATTCTCAATCAACGAATTACTATCAGTTTTAGTAAGTGATTGACTGGTTACTCACATCTACAAACTCGGCTAATTCGCTAGCATCGTCCTCTGACTTATCCTCCACCGCCACTACAGGTTTTATAGCAGTTTTCCTCCCACTTCGATTGCTTCTTACTTTCTTCTGTTTAATAGAGGGTTTGGAACTGGATTTCTCGATTAATGGTGCTGAGAGACAATCTCTGAATAGTGTGAAGTTTGCGTCCTCTATCTTTTGTATCTCGGCATCATGATGACGATTCGCCATCTTGTCGGTTCAACAGAACGAAAGATTAGGTGGTGTTTTGCAAGTTGTGTCTAAGAGATTTGATCATGGTAATAAGTCGTTGCATATATACTCAAATTTTATATACATAATGATGTACCCAAAAAGAACTACATAGAACCTAAACTCTCAGCCCTTCCCGCATAGTACAGTAACTCAACCCCGCTATTTCCACTCCATCCCACCGAATGCGTCATCCAAAAACCCCAACACTCACAGCGAAACTATCACTCATCTCGACTCATCTCCCCTACAATTAAAATCCAGAAGATTCTCCAAGTCAATCGCCAAGATCTTTCCCTTCCCTATCCTAAAAAAGAGCAAAACCCCCAGAGAAACGTGACCATGACCTCCAAAAGCAAAACCGTCGTGGCATTCGACCTCTACGGCACCCTCCTCAGCACCGAAAGCATATCCAAAGAACTCGCCGTGCATTTCGGAGACGACAAAGCCGCCGAGGTATCTGCATTATGGCGACGGTTAGCCAGCCTCCTCACGCTCCTACCCACTCCCGAGTTCTGATTTCCATCTAGGTTTCAGCTGGAATATACATGGCGAATGAATAGCATGCGTGAGTCCGCGAAATCCTCGCAATAGCTCGTCTAATTCGATGTCTTAGAGCTGTATAAACCATTCTCGGACATCACGCGGACATCACTGCTTCATGCTCTTAAGGAATCAGGCGTGAAGCTTGAAGACAAGGATATCGCCAATCTGATGAAAGCCTATGATAACCTAGGGACGTTTGATGACGTTCCTTCTGCTCTAGAGGGCATCAAAAACTCGGAGACTATTGACGCGTATGTCTTTTCTAACGGTACCAATGATATGGTATCTAGCTCTGTAAACCAGTCTCCAAGTCTATCCAAGTTTTCTGAGGTATTCAAGGGATTGATCACTGTTGAGGAGGTTAAAGTCTATAAGCCACATCCAAAAGTGTACAGTTATTTGCTAAAACAGGTGGGCAAAGATCCGGAGAATAAAGAGCATGTAGCAAGCGTGTGGCTGGTCACTGGGAACCCATTTGATGTTGTTGGCGCCAGAGCGGCAGGAATGCAAGCGGCTTGGGTAGATAGGCAGGGACATCATGGAAAGGGGGGCTGGAGTGATCGGTTGGGGGATCTAGCTAGTGGAGGGCCAACTATTGTTGTTGAGGGTGTAGATGAAGCTATCAAAGGGATTGAGAAATGGGTCGAGGAAAAGAAGCTATGACAATGGGTATATTATGTCAATACATAGTATTTGATTTAAAGCGAGACGATATCGTCAATCGCTGATGATTGAATGCTCAAAATCGAGTAAATAGACCGTTGAATGCCCATTAAACTCCGTGATATCATGACTGGTTGAAGTAGCCAGAACCGAGCGCCTGCAAAATGTCCCGACGCTTTTCACAACGCACCCGCCCCAAGAAACCAAAGGAAAAACGTTTAAGCATGTGCAAACTACTCCGCTCTCCAGCCCTCAACTGGAAGAGGGAAGGATCCAGCCCAGGAAGCAATCTCCTTGCGCATAGCGCTGATCTTCTCAACCTCACCACCAGCCACCTTGGCCTTGAAGTCCTTTAGCTTGTTGTCGGGCTTTGGAAGAGCAGCTTGAACTTCCTTGCAGATCTTGATGCATTGATCAATGTAATCTGCGACCTTCTTGAAGTGATCCTCACCAAACCCACGGGAAGTCATAGCTGGTGTACCGATGCGGATACCGCATGGCGTAAGCGCAGACTTGTCACCTGGAATGGAGTTCTTGTTGCAAGCAATATTGACCTGTTCCAGAACTGCCTCTACGCGCGCACCATCGAGTGCCTGTGGCCGCAGATCAAGAAGTACCATATGAGAATCCGTTCCATCAGCGACCAGCTTGTAACCGAGATTCTTGAACTCAACTTCAAGAGCCTTTGCATTTTTGACAACCTGCTCTTGGTATGCCTTAAAATCTGGTGTGGTGGCTTGCTTGAGAGCAACGGCAAGAGCGGTAATGGTGTGGTTGTGAGGTCCTCCCTGGTGACCGGGGAAAACAGAGAAATTGATAGGACCCTCCAAGTCGTACAGAGTCTCCTTACCGGTCTTAGCATCGGTCTTGCGAACACCCTTTCTGAAAAAGATCATGGCACCACGTGGTCCACGAAGAGACTTGTGTGTAGTTGTCGTGACGATATCGGCATACTCGAAAGGACTTGGAATGACGCCGGCGGCAATGAGACCAGAAATGTGTGCCATGTCAACAACGAGATATGCGCCCACTAGATCAGCGATCTCTCGCATACGCTTGTAGTCGATCAGACGGCAGTATGCAGAGGTACCAGCGACGAGAACCTTGGGTCTGTACATAAGAGCATTCTGCTCCAGTTGCTCGTAATCAATGATCCCAGTCTCGAGGTTGACTCTATATGGGAACGTCTCGAAATATGTGGAAACGGCGGAGATCCTAGTTACTCTTTAGTATGCTGTCAATGTATGGCACAAAATCCACTCACTTCCGCTGTGGGGTTTGGTAGCCGTGGCTCAAATGACCACCGTGAGGAAGGTCAAGACCCATGAGTCTATCGTGAGGTCTCATGATAGCTTGATAGACCTGCAAGTTGGCGGGACTGCCACTCAAGCACTGAACATTAACACCCCATTTGTCTGGAGTGACATTGAAAGCTTTAAGGGCACGAGCCTGGCAGGTCAACTCAATGGCGTCGATGTGCTGATTTCCACCGTAGTATCTGGCACCGGGGTAGCCTTCCGAGTATTTGTTAGACATGGGCGATCCCAACGCATCGAAGACAGCGCGGGAAGTAACATTTTCGGAGGCGATGAGGATGATGGATTCGCGTTGACGTTGGATTTCCAATTTCTGAGAGAGAAAGGGAAATTAGCAAATATATTCTTCCAATTTAAAAGACAAATCCTGACATACCATAATCTCCGCAATCTCTGGATCCGTGTCGAGCAGCGACTTCTCCAGCATCTAGCAAATATCGGTCAGTCTACATTTTCAGCATGTCAGCTTGGAGGGGCAACGCACATCCTGGTGGGTTTTTGGGAGAGCATAGGTGGTGCTAGCACCATTGGTACCGTTGGCTGCCATTTTTGCGATCTGGTGATTTGCAATTGAGGTTGTGTTTACAATGGTTTTTGGTGACGGTGAGATGGGTTTGAGACGGAGAGGTTATTGAGTCAAAAATTCTTTTTGGGCTTGCCTTCAGCCATTTTGTTAGCGCCCCGCGCTGTGCCCCTCCATTATTTTCTGCTCGACCCGGTGAAGGATCGACAGGGATCTGGATAGTGCCGAATCAGATGTGGTCAAAGCTTTTGGATCTTACCACTCCCACTCCGAGTTCCGATTTCGGCTCCGTCGCGTACTCGTTCCCTCGTTCGCTTTCATTTGCGAACTCACTTGGTAGTGGAATTTGTTGAAGAACTTCCAGCAAGTTGATATTTTCCTCTTTCAAAAGGCTTTTTGGGACTGTAACGCCTAACATCACAGAGAATTGTGTCTGCTGGGCTCGAATAAGCAGCGATGCCTCTGCCTTCGAGCGACGGCATTGGAGGACGACGAGGAGGTAATGCTGACCGCATCAGAGTACATAACTTCTATCCCGCTCACTCTTCGATCAGCTTCTCGCGGTGAAGAAGTAGGTATGTTCTGCTTCAACCATATCTCTGGGACTTATTGATCAAATTGAACTTCCGCTTCTTGCTGTGTCGATAAGCTCTGAACCAATCTCTTCATCGTGGCGAGATTCGCTGAACCGACACAAAAGGAGTAGAAAGAAGTAACAAGGCGACTCCGTGAACCAGGTGCCGAGATTGATACGTCTGATGTGATATCCGGCTGGAAATTTTAGACTACAACCATTGCCTAGCAGATTCATGAAGGGTCGGACAGTTTGGCACTTTTCCGGAAGCACTGTCTTGCATACCACAGTACGATCAAGCAATTTTTGCTGTTATATGTTACTGTATAGTTTTGCTTGATTGAAGTGCCAAGTACGATAAATGACACTTTGACTGGGTTATACTGTTATACCTACTTGGCGGAAGACTGTTGAAGACTTATTTCCAATTACTATTCACTTCTTGAACTTTCTTTTTGATCTCTTGCCCAAATTTCAACAAATTTATCCTACCCAACATGCAAGAATACGTTTAACTATCCTGTTGAGCTTCCCCCCGGCCATTTTTACCTCCATTCATCTGAGGCTTCAATACGAGATTTCCATGCTGAGGAGAGCTTCTATCTGTGCTAGATAATATTCAAACTTAGATTACCTACTAATGATTTCCAAAGTTTCTGTTAAAAGCACGAATACCCTTTTAGCTCGTTAGGTATACACACTTATACTGGAACTAGCAAGTACAGCTGAATGAGACCGCAGCCATGTGCCAAGTCTCCATTGTACGGTTTAGTAGATCATTCAATACACGATAAAAGAACTTAGAAACTGAAGGGAACTCTAGAAACCGAGTTAAATTGCGTACTCCGTACCTTTAAAATTTGTCACTCACTTTGCCTTTTTTGACAACATCATAGTAACAGATAAAACACACTCCTAGATATTATGTCTCCGATGAGATTACTCTCAGGTTAGAATGAATAACTTGTTGGACCAGCGAAGTCAAAAAATCCTCAATCTTCATCTAACACCGACTGAGTTCACAAAGTACAAGTCAAAGAAATCCTCTTCCCCCCATATCAACGCCAACCTCACTCAACCCATCAAAGATGTTTACACCCCCCCCCCCCTTTCCAAAGCTGAAAATCACAATTTCTCATCATCGTCCGAAGACCGACCAAAACACCATCGAATATTCCGCAAACGTTACCATCGGGGCTGTGCGGATCCCCAGAAACCGGGCTCCATTCCACTCCACCGATCTCCCACAGCCTACCAGCGATCGCCGTCAATCGACTGGCACGCCACAATGAGACCCCTTGCCACGCACAGCGAAGTTTCGTCTGAACGTTTGGTGTTCCTGGTTGTTGAAACCAAAGCTACAACACGCTCCTATTAATCGAGACGGTTTCAATTACTGTCACAGAGATGAAAGTTGTTGGGTTTGGATACTAGATCTTGGTGTACTACTTTTTGTCAAATCTGAATGTGCCTCGCCAGTGAACAGCATAAGGCAATTTAGTACATGAAGACTAGGTTAACAATCCTGCGATAGTCGAGATTGGAAGTCAAGATGGTGTATTAAAGCGTGCGGCACGGGGAGCGCACGCGCGCAAACGTACGGCTGTTGACACGAGAATTTGTTTGCCTACTTGAGAAATTTGAGCCATAATTTCCGGTTTCATTGGTGAGGAGTTTAATCGTTACGAGCATGACTCAAACTTTACGAGTAGACCAACCGCACTTGAACAAGGCCAACGGAATGTGATGTAGAAAATGCCATATCTTTATAAGATTATGTGTAATAACTGACCGAAGTACAAAGAATATTCACTTGTAAATAACAGTCATTTTGTCAAAAGCCGCCCGCTTAAGATCCTGCAGTCTGCGTTTGATACTACAGTAGCCAGTAATCAGAACTTTGATGTGCTCACACATATTCTTCTTTGCTTCCGATCTCTGTGATTTTCGAGGAAAGGCTTCGTAGGGTTAGGGGCCCGCGAGCGAGTGTATGCGTCCTCGTGCGATCCATTATGGTTAAGTCGTAGCCATAGTCGATTCTTGAAGCCATGAGTACCGTGAGGTTGGTATGAGTCGCCATAAGTGCTCAATTCTCGATGTAAATCCGGAAGGAACTCCTTCACCGCATTGAAGTCGATATTAGAGGAGCTCGAGAGCGTGCCAGAAAGCGCTTCTGTAGAACCTTTCACGCATACGCGCTTCGAGGTCTTCTTCCATATGTACTCTCATACTGTGAAACGACGTATGGTGGTGGTGGTGCATGCTCAGCGTGTCCGACCCGGTCCAAGTGATCAGTGGCATAAAGATCGGGTACTTCCTCAGTCCTGCTTACTGCCCACCCTAGGCTCGTCGGCGCTCGCTGTGTTGGCTTGGGAACATCTTCAGAACTATCCCACGTCCATCTCTGCCAGCCTTCCTGATCCAAGCTATCGACAGTCATCATAGCTAGATGCAAGTCTTCTAGCTCTCTTATACGTTGGGGATCTTCCACGCGTCCCTGATTGCGTGTCTGTTCCAGTTGACGGCCCCTTGCAGTGGGCTCTTGTTCATCATGGCGATACCATGGATCAGTAGACCATGGCATATCATCTTCTCCCAGTCGAAAGTGAGACGGCAATGGAGGTAGTGGCCGATCTCTCAGTGTTGGAGTTAATACTAGAGATGGTGCCATGATGCTGACGACACCGCTTCCATAGGACGATAATGACGAGACAGGGCTTGCTATATCCGGTGATAGAGGTACGGGGGTGGTCGCTACTTGAGGAGGAGCCGAACGACCTCTTTCGCGTGGTGTTGGTGTCTCGATTCCCAATCTGCGTGATCGCTGCGAATTATCTCTGTGTTGCGGGCGTTGAGAACCTCGGTGCTGTTGTTGGCGCTGCTGACGTTGCTGTCTTTCCAGTCTCGATTGTTGCCATAGAGGCGCTAAACTCGAGGACTGAGCATCTCGATTTTCCTGGTGTTGGCGCTTCATACTTTCTCGCATGGCATCAGAAGTGTAGTTCATGGACGACATGTGTGGTCTGTCTACTGGAGAGAAAGAAACACCAAATTCAACGTTTATAAATATCCCTGGTGCTGGCCAGCGAGACGCCGAATTTGAGTTTCGAAAATCCCAGTGGGCCATGGTTTATAATGGAGGTGATCTCGAAAACTAAAAGTTGTGTGAGGAAGGATCCGTTATCGAAAAGGATTATTGGCAGGTGGAAGCCACGGTGCAACATAGGATGATAGAAACAAAGGAGTTGAAGTGCGATACCGTTGTGCTATGAAGCAGTCCTGCTTCTTTCGTAATTTTGGCACACAAATTCGGGCCATGCAAATGAAACGATCACCCAGGAGAGCACAAACCACCGACAGATCTAGGAGTACTTCGCCCACCTATCATTCGGGGGTATTTCAGCTGCAGGGGACGCCGAACGCAAGTTATCATAGGCTCGGTAGCCCACTGTTGTCAAAGACTGAGATGAGGAGAGCGAGGCTATGGAACACGCGGAGAACTCGAAGGATTGACATCCTAGGGGGCAGTGCAGCTCAACGGCTAAAACTCGAACCCCTCCCCTCGTCCATGCGCGCGGGATTGTGAAATCTCAAGTAAATACACAACAAGCTAAGGGCACGATAATGGCATGAGAACGCAAGACGCTGGAAGCGAATTGCTAGAAAGACGCCCAGATGCAATATCCACCCAAGCATAGGAACAATCGGTCGTTATGTCCAATATTGGTCAAATAACTAGGTACCTAGGTCCTTGTAAGGTCTAGCTCGAGCCGGGCTGTGATCCAGCAAAAGAACAATCGACGTACACCGTCTATTGCCACGAGTTGCAGTTGTGACGACTCCGAGTCCCAGGGCCAACGCTTCGTGAATCGAGGCTGGTGTCGTTCCACGACCACCAACACCACGAGCCTCACGAACGGTCAGAGGCCCCGACGTATTGTGACAATCCAACGAGCAGCAGAAGCAGAAATGTAAAATGACCCATCGAGCAAATACATTTGCATAATGTGCTCGTAGACGTACGTAGCAACCAGATCCATCCACGCGAGAAAGGGTGTAAGGTGTAGGGTCTTGTACGGTACCAAGCCTCTGCGCACTCCAGAAATTGAGGGGTTGACGTTCAATATGCTGGAGCCACACTAAGATGAAGTAAAAGCCCCAACTCTAGGAGATGAGCTGGCTGAGTGAGGTCAAGTCCACGGAAAGAGAGGGGTGAGGAGAGGCGCGAGGAGAGGCGCGAGGAGGCTCTTCGGGTGGCACGGGAGGGCGCGGCTTGAGAATCTTGGAACATCATGAATTCTCGAAATAGCCGCGCGCTTGAACTGATGGATGAAAGAAGCTCTGGAATTGGAGTTCTCGACGCGTCCCAAAGCGGTATCATGAAATGGTGATGAATGAAATTACCTACCTAGGTAGTTACGGAGTACTGGTTCCTGAAGAGGAAAAACGGGACGACGACGGAGATGCTGCTGAAGCTAGTGTCTTGGCGGTCTTAATTATTATCCTCGACATACGCGCACGTGACGGATGCCTCCTCTCTTTGTCTCGGGACACATAACTTCGACTTGCACATTCAAGCGACGACTCTTCAATGCGACTTCCAGTCAGCTGAGCTACTTATGTGGAATGTGACCATCTCCCAGCGACTGCATTGAGGCCTGGAGTCAGAAACCACAGGTTTTGCAAGTATGTATATTTTATTGCAGCTACTCGCACACCCAGTCGCCAGAGTCGGTGTCGAGGGTATGGCATGCGTCTAGCTCCCTGATGCAAAACACTTGCGTTCAGCTACAGTAAACTACTAGATCGTAGAAAGTATAAATGTTGCAAGAACTAACATCTAATCTTTGGGACGCAGTAGCGGACTTGTGCCTGGCCGATAACAGGGAAGGCTCCTATACGAGCTCGGGAGCGTTTGTCGCTAAACTTTCTTGTCATCGCAGTAAAGTCTGTTGCATATGGCGAGGACATTTATAGCAGAGCCATCTCTCCGCACACGGCGCTGGATTTTCCGCTTAAGACGAGGATAAGTCGAACTTCCGATACCCAGCCTCCCCTTTCTCACTGCGATGGCTCTTAATAGTCCCACAGCCAGCTTCTACGTCGACTACCTAGCTGAGGGTTGCACTAGGAGGCCTACGGCAGTACCTCGCGCTTGCCAATATATGAAGACGTGTTCGATATTCTTCGCCATCATTGTCAAACAGTCAATGACTGGCTATGACTGGCATGGTTCTGTCGAGGTAAGTTCTGGTAGCTCATTAATCCTACAGCTAGTTCCAGTTACAGGAACACCCCTGGACGCCGACATCGAGTTTCTGACAAGAGGGGCCGGCCTATAAACTGGAGAGAAAGCGATAGGTTCGTAATCAGCCGTCAAGTCGACGTAATACATACAAAACTAAGACTACTCCAAATCGACGTTGCGATATGCTTCGAAAGATGTCTTTCATATAAAAGCGAAGCGGTTTAGGGGCTTGAGCGCATCTTAGTCCTTTTAAATTGACTTTCTTCTCTGTCAGTCTCGACACCGTTAGCAGACTCATAGGATCAACTGGGGATGTTGTGAAAATGCGTTGTTGTATTTGCCGCCGTCCAGCATTATGGACTGGTAATGGTGGGCCATGATTAATCAGCCGCCAAACCCCACTGGCTTAAAGCTCGAGGCACAAGGAGGGTAGGCTAAAGCTATCAGAAGAGAACGAAAGAAAAGAAGACATGAGTTAGTACATCGCCGTGCGATATCTGGAAGCTGCAGGAAACGCTTGTGGATCTGTTTCGATATATGTGATCGAGAGCTCTACAGGTTCGACTGCAGCAGGTCGACGACTGCTCGTTGCTCAAGGCCCATGGTTTCCGCTGCGTAGCTTTGACTAAGTCGCCCTCCAACCAATCTCGGATAGCCCAGATACAACAGAGCTTTTGACGTCTGTGATCGTTCCAACAAACTACGAGAGTTCTTTTCACTCTTAAACCCCCCCAGAGCGGCCGCACAGTCAACTGAGACCAACCTTTCCGAGGCTCTGTTCCCAACAAGAGATTCCACTCTAAGTCGACAAGATATAAAATGTGTCATCTGACTCATACGCACCCCAGAATCTGCTGAACACAGGGCAAAAGCTCAGTTGCCGTGGAACGTCTGGACTTTACCTCAAATCGAGAAGTGATCCCTTGACAACTTAGACGGTTGGATCTTTGGATATGGCTTAACTGAGCTCAGGAGGTTGGGATATCAGAAAAAGAAGCCTAGCTCGCTTTAGTTTGTGATGAAAACCCACCGGCGCCCACCTGTTCTTAATATCGTGAGCCAGTCTCACCTAGACATTAGACCATCAATCTGAGGGGGCCGTGGGAGCTGGTCATCAAATACCGCACTAAGTATCTAGGCACTTCAAACTGCAAGAACTGTAGCCGACATTAAGTGACATGGAAGTTTTTGTAGCATTAGGTAGGTTTGCTTTCGTGGCAATATAACAATAGTGTAGCGCCGACATACCAAGATATCTCCTCTCTCTTCTGTGGTGTACAAGATAAAGTATCACACCTCACTCGCAAACTTGTATCAAAAATAATTGGCTTATCACATGCGCTGCCACCCAACAAACAATCGGCAGCAAAATCTACCCGTCTTACGGCGCCGAGATTTTCTGGCACTGGATTACTGAACACCTGGAATACCGCCTCGCGGGAAGCCCTTCTACAATCAAACACTGATTTATCGTCGGAAACTCAATACTCGCAGTTGGGGCTGTATCTTAATTTCTTGTCGTCTGCCCTCGTAGGCAAGGGATAATAAGATATCACTTTCGTAGTGGTGGTATGGAAAATAAGCTCGGATTATTTAATCCCTTGACCATTGTGTCAATTGTATCATCTCATTGGTGCATGTGGAAGAGACACGGCAGGCAATTACAAGGTTCTTCGCATCCAGCTTCGAAGTCATCTTCGCCTAGCTGTTAGTTCAGCTTCCTCGCCTTGTCGGGCGTACGCGACATAATTTAATTGTAAGACTTCCAACTCAATGACTGGAGTATTCTTCGTTTTTGATGTATAAAACAGTATATACGTCTTCCCGGCGTCGTTTCATCCCATTCATGATAACGCAACTCACGCTCTCTACACAGATCTAATTGCAGCAAAATAAACAGCGGACAAAAAGGGACAGCGACGAGTGTACGACAGTACTCATCGGATCCCGAAACTGTTGCTTGAAATTTGAAGCCCCGGGAGAGAAGGCATGGCAGAAAATGGAAAATATGGTACGAGTTCTCATTTTGATTACCAGCCTAGTGATAACCCTCTGACAAGATTATAGTCGAAGGTTCTTTGTACTTCTACGCGCCAAACAAAGGGGCTCCTGTTGTCTGGGCCACTCTCTTTGGTGTCTCTATGATATGGCATACATATCAGTGTGTGTAAGTCATTGTAATACCCCCACAGTTGTCTTCGTCTAATATTTTTCGAAGTCGTTACAAGTGCTGGAAAGTCACTGGGATTTTCCCTTGGGCGGCACTTCTATTCGTTATTGGCTATATACTCCGAGAAATAGGCGCTTTCATGTATGGAAACATCAATATCTTCATCGCAAGTCTAGTGTTCATCTACGCTGCTCCGTAAGCCTTGCTCCTTTAAAAACTAACTTACCCAAATTCGCTGATATTTCTTCAAGTCCGATCTATGAACTGGCAAACTACTTCATCCTCTCTCGAATTCTTTATTACGTCCCATACCATTCTCCAATCCACCCAGGGCGGGTCCTGACGACCTTCGGATTCATATCTACAATAATCGAAGCCCTAAACGGCAACGGTGCTGCATACGTCGCTAACACGTCACTCTCACAGAAGAAGCAAGAGATCGGACATTCTCTGCTTAAATCCGCACTCATTCTACAACTTGTTGTGCTAAGTCTATTTGTGGTACTGGCAATTACGTTCCACCGACGATGCTTGAAAGCTGGCTTGGTGCCGAATAACCTAGTCCAACCACTTCGCACACTTTATATCAGCAGCACCTTAATCGGCATTCGAACGACCTTCAGAACCGTCGAGTACTTCACCGCCTCCTCGCTGAATTTCCAAGGTGAAATCGACCCAAATTCTCTCTCTCCATTGCTGAGGTATGAATGGTTCTTTTGGGTCTTTGAGGGGTCTTTGATGATGATTAATACTTTCCTCCTCAATTTCAATCACCCAATGCGGTACCTACCTCGTAACAATAAGGTGTATCTGGCTCTCGATGGTGTTACCGAAGTCGAAGGTCCAGGCTACGATGATAAAAGGCATTGGCTCGTGACTGTGGTTGATCCTTTCGATTTAGCAAGCGCTCTCAGAGGCAAAAAGCTAGAGGAAAGGTTCTGGGAGACTCACCAGGAAGGAAGAGCTACGACTGTTAAACCTCATGGGGCCGCTGAAGCTGGCGATGTGGAAGCTGTTGATGTAGAGCAGGGGAAAAGCGGGTGACTAATGTGGATGCAATGGTGGGTGTTCCTCATGATTCAGAAGAAAAATTTCTGAGCTTGGTATTTATGCGACCTTTGAGCTACGATCTGACCGAATCGGGCAAACATGGTTGAATTCCTCATGATCCATTTTGTCATTCCATCAGATTTGATTCGAATACCCTTATGATCAAATGATAATTTATTTGAAGAGTTGCATCCCCAGAATTTTGCCCGAAAATTATCAGTGAACGGAATCAATCACGTAAAATCGAGTGGCCAAAACCTCACAATTCAATCACGAAATTAAACGATATAGCCTATTGGAGACGTCTCTGATTCCTTAAGAATGAACTTGAATTAAGTAATCTGCGTAGCGGAGGTTGTAACCACGCGATGGTCATGTCATTTAACTAAGCAGCGTGCGCTTTTATAACTATTTCGAAGTACCTACGATGCCGATTCAATAATGTCGGCGTCTCTGACAAGAGAAGCCTCGCGTCAGTATTTTTAAGTTTCTGATAATAATAATAAGACAAAGAAAACAGCAAGAGAGACAATCCAGCTCGGCTCATCACAAAAGGCAGCTCACACAATCTCCTCGGTATCAATCAACCAATCCAAAACCTGAAGATCTAGATTGGTAGACTCACACTTGCCTCAACCTGGTCTCAAAACGAGTCGGTGACATGTTTTCCAGCGGCTTGTTTCAACATCCTTCGCCTGACAAGTTAAGAACTCTACATCGACTCCAGACTGCTCGACCTGTTGATTGGCACACAAACCAAGATGATAACGTGCCCCATAGTACCGTACCTCAAATCTCACAGGAACCAATATATATTCAAAAGTGCCATGCCACATAAGTATCGGCATGCCTTTATCGTACTCCTCGGCCACTCAATAGTTGGAACAAGGTCCTGGCAGAATTAAGCGAGAATTGTTTTCTTCCTTCTGCTAGTTTATAGTACCCCATATTCCAAACCTTCGTGCTCAGAAGCAAAGAGCTTGAGCGTGGCTTTTAAAATGAATTGTTAGTTGCTATTGCTAGGAATGATAATTTGGGCTTTCGTGATGGATCTCACACTCACCTATCTTTTTTCTACAAGCAATGAAGGGAACTAGCACTCTACTCATCGACAATAGAATAGGATAGCAGGTTTTCTATAAAGTGATCAATCTTATCTCACTCCTCTTTTATCCTTCCATCCATATTACTAAAGGAAATTGTGAATTGGCCTTCGCGGGACGAATATTAATGTTATACACACAGTCCTTTACTTTAGTCACTATTATGCATTTCTCGAGCCCAATTGCAATTTTCAGCGTCGCTGTTTTAGCAGCAGCTTTTTCTTAATAACATACAGATCGAGCAGGTGGGCTTCATGCCAGGGCACGAGAACTTACAAGCTACGCTCGATTAGCAGAAACCCTTCATCGGGTCTGCTACGGGGCTATTTTGGAGATCTGCTCGCTCAACTCATAAGTGTTAGGGTTGACGAGGGCCTCGCTTAGGGTTCTAGGCGACGACTATAATCTCAATTGTGCAATGAAGTGGTGTGAGCGGTATTATGGCCAGGAGTGGTAAATATACTTTGATTGAAACGAATACACAGAAATACCATGTTTAACAGTATTAAGAAGTGTATATAATAGTAAATAATTCTCGGGCATCGCCGCAAAGTGAGCATCACTATCATGAAGATTTCTCAGCTAAGAAGGAACATTAGGCTGAGTACCCTTGTTGTTAGCGAAGAATGAACGGCTCCTCCGTTACCTTACCACTAAGTTTCCAATACCGCATCCAATCAAGAAACGCCATACCAACCAGTTTGGAGGTCTGGATGGCAAAATTGGGAATGGAAGAGTCGTCTATATTTTCCGGCTTTGGAAGGTATGCAACGTCGTTCTCATTCTTTCGAATTACAAAGGGAAATGAACCCCCGGGAAATTCAACCACCTTGTCACCAACTTGACATCCCGGGGACGCCAGTCCAATATGACCAGTATCCAGCCGATATACACGGCATCCTTTGAGGGCATGCTGCATGACACCACTGAGGTACATTCCCGTTGCTATAGCATCGGCATCACCAAGTCTCTCCGCATTGTTGAGCCTAGATTCTAATCCTGCGGGGTTGTTCGTGAAAGATCTAACTATCAGATAATACATTTCGGCGTGACGTGGGTCGCTGATGGTTATACCCGTTGAAGGATCCATGTTGGCAAACAAAGATCTAGCTAATCGTCCCCTATCCTGGACACTTCTTGGAGTTCCCAGAACTATCGGAAGTGGATTGATCCAGAAATGTTCGCGTTCCTCGACTAGATTAAGAAGCAACTCCATCTCAATGGCTACTAACCACTCCAGGAAGTTAGCATATGAATATTTGTATGTTTCAGGAGGAAAGAGGAGTGTCTAAGAATGAAACACTTTCACAGCCACTTGGAGCCAGAGCTTAGAAGAGAGAACAAGGGAAAAGGTCGCATACTTGCAGCAACGAGGCAAGAGATCCGTCGCCCTCATTGAAATCAGGTTCTGGTGCTAGTTTAGTAATAATGCCGACAGTTGAGCCTCGTATTGCTAGACCGTCCGTCTCCTCAGTGACTGGAAAGTACGGGACGAGTGGGTCTTCAGCTTTTTCGATCTGAGCAGTGTTGTAAGTGCAGAAGAAGACATGCCCAAGGTTAGAGAAATCTGGTACCCACGATGGCAGATCTGGTATATTCTTTTCCGAAACAGCCAACGCGAGTATATCAGTGTAGCCAGATTTGACTACTCTCCGGACAACATCCTTATAGATCAACTGTGGGGATTTATCATAATCAGCTACAATACCTAGCGACTGCTGGTCTGTTGCTAAGCCTAGAAGCCCGTATACATAATCTCTAGGATTAAAAGCTTGGTAGTCATGGGAACCTCCATGAGCGTAAAATAGCAATTGATAAAGATTGTGATGTTCTAGTTGCTCAGCCATCTTTGTCACCACCAAGAATTCCGGCTGCCGATTGATGAGATAGATGTCACCCATCGTCATGGCTTTCGACTCGTCGGTTTTCTTGTACACTTTAAGGCTAGCGAACTCTGAAATCGCAAGGAGGGCAACTTCGACGTCTTCAGCTTGACTTGAGCCGCAGAGAAAAATAGTTTTACGGGAGACAGCGATCTCTTGGATGATCCAGATCCGCGTCCAATATGGCCTGATCCACAGCTCGGCAATTGCTGCGAATTCCTTAATACGTTTTGAGAAGAACTTATCTAGCGACTGCTGCATTTGCCGGTGAGCCCATACAGAGGGCACCTCATAACGTCTAGCCTTGCTGAAGCTCATCTTTCTTATTTGGCGATGTACTGACTGCAGAGTAGCCATGGCGAGATCACTGTCTGGCGACGCTGGCCCTAACCAAGCGATAACCCTGTCTGCATACTTGTATGTGCTCGTCATTTGCTGAACCTGCCAGCTCTTCTCGATGTTATCGTTCTGATTAATACAAACTGCGTCTGCCCAGATGACTCGAAAGTCAGTGTGGTCTCGAATCGAATGCAGTGCGTCAGACAAGCTTTTGGTGATCTTCGCCTGAACACCGTTGATACCGAGTTCGCAGGTAGGATCGGGATCGCCCCAGACGTACGAGAGGGCAAAATATTTGAGGTGAGGTCTTTGCCTCAAGCCTTGCCACATAGAAGATGGAGTTGTCTGGGAAGTGAAATCATCAAGGGACGAGTGAATTATGGTGCATTTCAGCGGCGGAGGAGTAGCACTCCTTAATTTAGCGAGTTTAGGCGCATCTTCGAGGACGATGAGTCTGATTTCTCTTCTGGCGCGCTGAAGCTCGTGGTAAGGAATTGCAGACATGCTTTGGTGCAACTGCTTGGAGAGTTGCGCAATGCTTGCACTTGCAAGAATTGCGGCTGAACAATAAAACAGCTGAGAAAGAAGAGACGGGAGCGAGCAACGGAACAGCTGAGGATCTCACGGGTCACGTGGCTTCCACCGAGAGTCCCTGCCATCACGTGGCTTACCAGCAGCCGAGGTATGAATTGTGACCATCCCGCAAAGCAACCCATAGCCAGGAGTGCTCGCAACCGCAAGATGCGTGCTCTTTTCAGTTTGGCCCGGCCCACAGGAGTTTCGTCGAGATATCTTCAACGAGCGTACTCGTCGCAGGTTCCGTCTTTGGTCAAGATCCACGACATTCCAGCTCCGAGTTCTGGACGCATCCGTATTTTGTCCCTCTCGCGACCAGAAGCACGAAATGCCATCTCACGACAACTGCTTCAAGAGCTGAGGAATGCCGTCCATGACATCGACTCCGAGTATGAGCGCGTAAACCCTGCTGCGAAAACTGGCCTTGGGGCCTCCGTTGAGGTTCCCCAACAGCAGAGATTCGGAGGTGCTGCTGGCGTCGACGCAAAAGCTCCTACGCGTGCGGTGATCCTGGCCAGTGAGGTCGATTCCTGTTTCTGTGCTGGAGCGGATTTGAAAGAGCGGAAAGGGATGAGTGAGTCTGAGTACGTACTGCGACTGGGGACGCTCTTGTTTCACGTTTCCAGCTTTACTGAGGCGCAAACAGAACACAGGATTTCCTCTCGAACCTGCGACAAACCTTCGCGAAGCTCGCAGATCTACCAATACCCACGATTAGTGCGATATCATCTCTTGCCCTGGGTGGGGGTCTTGAGCTTGGGTTGTGCACACACTTTCGTGTGCTTGCGTCAACCGCCCAAGTCGCACTTCCCGAGACGCGGCTTGGTATAATACCTGGAGCGGGCGGTACATACCGGCTACCAGCTCTCATTGGGGTATCCCGCGCGCGAGATCTTATCCTCACTGGCCGGCGAGTAAGTGCTGCGGAGGCCTATTTTCTCGGTATTGCAGACCGTCTAGTGGAAGTGGTACCGGAAGATGGGGAAGCACAAGAACAACTGATGAAAAGAGCGGGCGACGAGGTGCTTCGAGAAGCGATAAAACTCGCTGGGGAAATTTGTGCGGGTGCTCCAACAGCGGTCAGAAGTGCGTTGTTTGCCGTAAGCGGAAAGATGACTTCCCCTGGGAACCCAGCAGCTGCAGAGAATGCAATGTATGATGGCGTTGTGAAGACGGAAGATAGGAACGAGGCTTTGAAAGCATTTGCGGAGAAGCGGAAGCCGATATTCACAGGGCGCTGAATAGAACTTCACACCGTGAGGGCGTCGAGTTCAAGAAGCTGGGTTTACGAGTCAAATCGCTCGAAGTGTCGAAGAGCTTGACTTGGACGTCCTGATCAAATTTGCGGTGCGTGACAGTTCGATGGATGAGACCAGAGCGGAAGACAGCGGGAAGACGTAACGTTCTGTGGTGTTGTAAATAAGTTCAGCGGCTTGCCACGATGAGATATCAAACAGGGCCGATACGTAAAGATCAAGCAAAATAGTGAAAGGTGAATAATATTAGCTGTGAATGTCCTCAGATGCTGAATTACATACCTCGATTATCTATTCAAAAATAGGCCTTTTTCCGCTCTAACGTGGAGGTGCTTTATTTACCCGGCATAGTAGCATCAAGAACTATACAATCACTGTAGATCGACACTCATACTATAATCGCATCACCACTCGCTAGCATGACATCTTAAAACTACCCCACACTCACCCACCCGCATGGAAACATTCTGACCTCAACAACCACCTTCGGATTCAGCCTCATATCATTCAATCCATTATATCGCAATGGCCTCCAACGGTACAAATGGCACCAACGGCAATACGACAGCATCGCAACTCCCACCAGAAGCCATAGCTTTTGCCACAAGAATGTACGATGCTGCACGAACCGGACAAGTGGATATTTTTGAACAAGCCTTACCTGCTGGCTTGCCCGCCAATATGACCAACGAAAAGGGGGATAGTCTGGTGAGTGTTTACATTCTTCTGTCGTAAGCCTGGAAACGAACACAAACAATCATTGGTATTGCTGGGGGAGGATGTGGCTCATTCCAAACATTCGTGACCCTTTGCAATTTTGAAGTTTAGTACTATCTTGGTGTCTGTCCGTTCATGTGTAGGGAGCGTTTAAGATGGAACGATAGTTAAAATCTCAAATGGGTTACCAGCAGAGGCACTTGGAAGCTAATACGTGTGGTAGATCATGCTTGCATCGTACCATGGCCACGCACCGCTTGTAAGACTGCTCCTCCAACACGGGGCAAACCCGAATTCTTTGAACGATAGAGGCCAATCGCCTCTTGCTGGTGCCGTGTTCAAGGGTGAAGCAGATGTTATTGAAGTAAGTTCATTCGCTATTCTCGTTTCATACTTTGGAGGCCTCGTCTCGTTGCACGTTCTTGGTTTTGCTTCGTCTCAACGCTCTTGGCCTTGAAGAAGGGGGAAGCATGCAGAGGGAATAATGTTTGAGACAATGAAAGCTCACAACATCGGCATAGGCTTTATTAGAAGGAGAGGCCGACCCAGAGCACGGCGCACCAAGCGCGATGGAAGCTGTTGTTTTATTCAAACAAGAAGATCGGTGGAGAACAGCTTTTGAGAATGCACCCGGTCGAGGGAAAACGGTATGACAGCTTGTATGCATCATAAGCATTTCAATGAGATTTTTCATGTCAAGAAAAACAGATGTTTGAAATTAAGTAGAGCACTATATGATTCCGACAGAATAATTCGAAGACGACATAAAAACAAAACCCCATGCAACCGTTCCACACAAACTGTCGACGGCATGTCCGCATTTCAGACTAGTATGGGCCCCTTTGTCTGGCCAGCTGGCAGGCGCCAACCTCTCTCAATCACGATCAATATATATGGCACGCCGACATATTCTTTTCTCCTCTAAGACGGTGCCGTCTTCGTCAATGTATGTCCATACTTCGGCTCGCACGCAAAACGTTTCTTCCGTACTCTCCGGCAACCGAAACTCGTACTTTTGGAATTGCATCATAAATACAATCCGCACATACAGCCACTCAACCAAATCGCGAACCATGTTACCGTGACGGAGATAAGATTCACCATCTGTACCTAGATCCCAGAAACGCGAATCTGAATAAGGTCGACATAGAATGCTCATGGAATGGATGAGTTTTTTGATGTTTGCGTGCGGCAAGTTTTCTGCTCTGGCGAGTGTGAATGGTAGCTTTGCGAGTTCGGTGGCTACATCAGGCGAGACTAACCAAAATTAGTGGTGAACCAAGCTAGAAGGCTCTATGGATTTTGAGACATACACTTTACGTTTTTCAACGAGTCGAAGTATGCTCTCAAGTCTTCATGTTGCTGGACAGTAAATGGGAGATAACTCTCGTGAGGGTCTCCTTCGAGAGAAGTTCTTCGGAAGACAACATCGTATATGACATGCTCCAAAATCCATTTCCTTCTTTTGGGATTTCGGAGGAGGCTTAAAACTGATGCTGCAGGCATTACTTCGTAACCTAAAGCTTTTAAAGCCTCGCCCACTTCAGTATCATCCCAGTCTGAGATGGAAGATTCCCGGTCGGTTGCCATCTCCCAAAACGTCATAGGTTGGGAAAACCATTCTCTATTATCTATATTGAAAGGTGCTCCTTCCCAAGGTTTGAAGAATAGTGTGTATCCCAGAAAATGACGTTTGTCTGGGTTAAAAATTTCCACGATTCGTAGCTGCTCTGGCTCTGGTTCTTCCACGGCAGGGAGGATTTCTGCCGTTGATGCCTTCAAAGTGGAGGCCCGGAGCTGGGCAAACAAGTATATCGAAAGGCAACTTAAGATCAGAATGGTCAATAAGGTTGGAAGCAGAGTTGCCAGAAGCACCACCGAGAGCGATTGCATGTTGAGAGTTGTTTTTGGGGCGAAACGAGCTTGAGAATGTTTTTGAAAGAAAAGTTCCACTGTAGCTGGGGTATGGAATGCAGTTTTATTTCAAGCCATAACAAAGAACGACGCCTCTCTTCCATATGCCGTGATTGGTTCAGCTTTCTTTGTATATCCTCGTATAATTAACCGCTTTAAAATTGGTAGAATTTGACCAAAGGAATCAAACCCGATGAAAGCAGAATTTCCGTTTGTTGTTGTGGAAGTGTCTCAACATTCCACATGATAATGCCTCATCCGTTGGCACCTTAAGCAGGCCAGGTTTCGGCAAGCCACCGACTGCTGTCTTTCGCCAGAGTTGGATCTCGCACGCCTCTTTCTGGACATACTTTGCTCTCAGCTTTTGAACTTCCAGAGGTGATCTCCTGGTGCAACATCTCAATATCTCGTCGATCAAAACGATGCACATTCAATTCCTAGCTGAGATTTAGCTCAAACTACTGTTGTCTTCAAGAAATCGGATTTCAAGATAGGTCACAACCCACAGTAAGAGTCGTTTGTAACGTTTGTCTCGGCTAAGTATCCGAGACGCAAACTTTGGAGGAGATTGCCACGACACACATCATAGGGCAATAGTTATGATCTAGAGAATACATCGGGAAGTATGTTTCGGGACGCTTTCTTTCGGCCTCAGCCCCTCGCGATGTATCGTATTTGGCGTTAAGCAATGCCCGTTCTGGGGTTGAGAACCTACTAGTGAGACTATGCAACAGCAAGAAAGGAGCGAAGGTTTTCCTGAATATATGCAAGAGTAAGCACAGAACCTCTGCAATCAACTCACTTGATCATCTTCATCAAAATGGAAGTTATCATCACTATAGATTTCGGTATGACCGGATCTGGTAAGCACATCTTCGCAGTTTTTGGTTTTGACTGAAACTAACCAAAAGATTGATTCAGCAGCAGAATGGTTTCAACTCATAAAAGACCCAAAATCACTGGTTAAAGGGGGTCTGATCGGTAAGATACCAACACGCCTGGCATACGAAGAGGATGGTAAAGTCATTGCCTTCGGTGATGGCTGTAAAAGCGGGCAAAGGATCCAGGAACTCTTCAAAGGCGAATTTTCCACAACGAGAACAGATAGCACCCGTTTGGTAGAGGTCTGCAAGTTGATATCGGATTACCTTCACCATTTCTGCAATCACGTCTTGGAGGAAATCGAAAATGTCGAAAACACTACACGAGAAATACTTGATGTCGAATGGCATCTCACAACACCAGGCTCATGGACCGAGCCTATCCAACGGAACTTTAGGGTGCTCGCGTCTAGAGTTTTGCAAGGTCTGCTACCACGAAGCAAGGTTATCGTGGAACAAACAGAGGCCACAACCAGTTGCGAATATCTCAGGAACCAATTTGTGTTCGATAGTGCTTGGGTAATAACCTGCGATATTGGGGGAGCCACAATGGATACCGCCTTGATGATAGGCAAAGACGATGAAGTCTTTCCTATTTATCACAACGACCTAACAGGTGGCACCGCTGGCGTCTGCAAAATTGACAAAGCTTTCAAAGTTGGTGTTATGGATTCTTCCACTTACGAGGGTAGCAGCAAATCTCTCGAATTGGAGAAAATCGCATCAGATATTGTCAGAAGCTCTCAGTGGGAAGAGGCTCGATACTCTTCTGATGCCGTATCAGAAGTTTCAATACAAGTTGAGTACGATCTCAGCAAAGCCATTTTGCCTTCCAGCGGGATTTCAATTGAGGGATACACCATGAGAGTTCCCAGGTCAGGGTTCTTCAATACTATTTTCTTCATGGTACTAATGGTGAAACAGTAACCTTATGGTAACATTCTTCCAACAATTTCTCGATGCCCTTGTGCTTGAAATTGACCAAGGGCTGCATAAGCTCAAGAAATTGGCTGTCCATAAAGCTACTTCACCAGTAAGTATCATTACTTATCACACGTTGAGTTAGGAACTAATTACGACGAACTGTAGGGTGTCATTGCTCTCTGTGGTGGAGGAGGCACAATGGTATATGCAATTAACTATCTGAGAATGCGGTATTCGAAGTGTGAGATCAGAGTTCTCCCTTCTCCGGTTGACTCGTAAGTTCAGAGCACTTTTCATTTCAAGACTTTCATGTAGCATAACTTCTTGTATTCTGTCTCCAAAACGGGCATGTAAACAAGAACCCTTTCAAGTGATACTAGTATCCCTTTTGGAAAGAAAGGTCTTTCACAGAATTACCAGGTCTGACAATCTAACAAGCGCCCTCGCAACCCTGCGAGGACACCGCCTATATCTCACTAGACAATCGGACAAAGTGTTTGTGACGGATTCACAACTTGGTCTTTCCGATGGGTCCTCTACAGGTGCCATACAATGGAAGGTAAGCGAGATAATGTCCCCTGATATCGAGTCAAGTACTTACAACTGATAGGATTCGACTGGTACTACTACCTGGAACTTCAGCAGTGGGGATCAGGTGGCAGCCCACCACCTTTTTGTTTGCAAGAAAGGCACCGGACATAAAGCCTCCTCATTGGAGCAATTCAAACTGAACCCTGGAAAATGTCCTGGCATTGCTGTTTGGGAACTGTACGTGACTTTGGACAAGAAGTGGAGAAAGCAAAATTATTGCATTGAAGTGGTCTGCAAAGGAGTAGGAAAGTTTGATTTTAGAGCATAGAGTCCGAAAGATGAGAGACATGTTTTTCAGGTGAGGTCTGTGGCTGTCGAAAATATGTAGGAGATAGAAGGCATTTAGTATGCGATGCAAAGAAATTGGACAAATGCCGGTGTGGAGTTTTGGAGTTTATGAAAATACGAATGTTTAACAATTTTGCCATCATTGTCAGAAACGGTTTCCTGGAAAAACCAACGTCTGACCCATTTCAGCATAAACACAAAAATCACCATTGCTTTTGCCATTCCTGCAAAAACTTGATATTTCCAGGAAGTAATTGGCGACAGGTTTAGCAAGGCTCGCAGTGGAAAAACAGATGGCAGCACTCTCCAGTACTCCCTGGTAGTTTATAGGTTGATAATAGTATAGTCAGAATTCTAAGAACTTGCTAAGCTAATCAGAATTCAAAAGTAGAGTCTCACATAATCTCATTTATTTACCTTGATAATAGTATGCAAGATATTCTGTCAATCAGACCAATAAAACGTTAAATTCCACCTGCCTTTAATTATGCTCCATCGCGAGGCGAGACAATGAGCTACCAGTAGGGATGTAACATTAGACAGATATGCAAAGCGTCGTTTTGAACGTGTGCATCAAGATCATAACCTTCGTCAGGCCATCAGATCTTTTCCAAGAGCCCGCGAACACGACCACTATGTTCTGAGCAGTTTGCAATCCCAGCTGAAATAATGTCATTCGACAATCTGCCTGCTCTGGCATTCAGGGGGTACCAGGCCCCACCCGCCAGATGTCATGCTGTTTCCTCGTAATGATTCAAGCTTCCGCGTTTCTTTCGTCTATGTCTCGGATACTTGCAGATATCGAAGCATCTTCAGCCGAATTAGCAGAACTGTCATAAACCACCTGAATTTGTGTTGTTTGATCAGGGCAGCTGAGCAGTTTCCAAGCCAATATATTTATGAACCACCAGCACAGATAATAACAACCCGGAATTCCATAATTTGAGCTATATGGCTGAAGTCTTTCAGATAAGTTGTATCACTACATCAGCACAGATACAAGTGACTCAAAAATGTCTTCTTTGAGTTGGAAAGCTGAGAAAGAGTGTGCCACCACATCAGCACGGTTGTTGCAGATTGCAAACTTGCCGGTTCTTAGATAAAGCTGAAGTATTTCATTCAAAGAAATGCACCGCCACATCAGCACTGACGCCAATGGCTCAGAAAAGAGTTAGTTAGGAGAAAATAGCTGAAACTTTTCCAAAGAAAAGTATGGTAGCAGAGCACAGATGGAAACAAATTGGTGTTGTCTGGTCTGATCAAGCCGAGAGATTTTCAAGCAAAGGTAATTTTTCTAGTCGTGTCTTTCCTATGCCATTCACGTGGGAAACAGTCTAAGTATAGAGCAGGACAACTCCGTGTATATAACATTCAGGACTGGTCTTCCAATGTTGAAATCCAACAAACACACTTTCAGCCTCTCTTCTTTTCCTCATCTTTCCTTTTGCTTTCATACACTATCAGACATATTTCCAATTTATCTTCTCTTGACCCATCATACCAATATTACTTTAGCTGTCAACAATACTCTCCGGAAGAGCTACTGATACTAAAGTCATAACTGCAAAAGAACAAAACAAACAGTCGGAAATGGCCTTTCCAATGCTTTCAATCGACCTCAAAGATATCCTCGATACATCGATTTACATTGTCCGAACCATTCGAAAGATCAACAACCTCTCTCAGGAACAGAAGCACCACAGTACCCTCCTTCAGACTCTCTCGGCCATGGTTGAGCAATTGACCAGCAACATCCAAGACTATGTCCTGGACGACACCCATCTTTCTCTTTGGAGCACGGCTGTGAACACCTGCGAGATGAGAATCAAGGAGATAGAGATAGCATTGGAGAAGAAGGGCCGGCGATGGGATGTCATCTGGGTCATGTGGTACTTTTCAAGATCCGAGATGATTTAAAATTTGGAAAACTTGAGCGAGGACGTTGCTGCATTGACGAGAGTAAATGATTTGTTAGTTAACAGCTTCTACGCTCTTGATTTTTACTAATTCTTGACGGTGTCCAGAATTGGAAGCGATGCTATCCCCAGACTTCGGTTACGCGCCTTGGCCCATCCACAGGCCATCACCTCGGACACAGCGAATTGAGGGACCATTGACGGTATACCTCAGCCCAAGCAATTCCAACACAAACCAAGGTGTAGCTGCGATGCGGTGTCAAGCGATTTCCCGGTGACGAATAATTTTGAGTTGGGCATTTTGGGTTAGCATTTTGAGTTGGGTGTTTGGATGTAGATTAGAGAGGAGGCTCAACTGATGCTGGACGTCGAGTCTATACTTTGATTGAACCAAACACATTACATTCTTTATCTCTTGCAGAACTCAAATAAGTGGCCACTGAGTTTGGTGAGAAAATGAGAAGTGAAAACAGTCTCTCGATAAGATGGAGAAGTGCCAATAACAGCCGAAAATCACGGACTATGTAATCATTCAGTAGAATATATATACTAACTAGAAGGTATCTATTGCAGGAGTTTGGATAGCCTAGTAGTCACCCCCAAGGCTGTGTGAAGAGATCGTGCCTTTATCTGCTTGTCCTTATACGAGGGAAAAGCATCTGGATTCTGATATAAAACTGTATAACTGTTGAATTGGGATCTGTTTCGAACTATTCTCAATTCGGCCTATTCGTCACCAACCTTGCACTATCCCAGCTATGCATGTCTGGTGCCGCAAAATATGACCTTAATCCGGCCGGACAACACTCTTTCCAAGATATGATCTAACTGCTAACAAAGGTAAGACTTAACCACTTGGCTATCTGGACCTTCAAAGTTTGTTAACAATAAACCCAGGGCTTATAGATGTTCCAAACTGACAAGATTTCCTCTTAGATCTACCTTGTGACTTTCCGTCTCCCGACGTCGAGTGTGTGTAAACCTTTGGAACGAAAAGTGCCCCTTCGACTCCTCCATAGGGAAGCCAATACTATAAAGCGAAATGAACAATATTACCAAGGATCAAAAATACTACAGCTCTAATGACTTGTGAGATCAACAAACTCCAACCTTCCAAGTGCTCTCAACAGGTGATGCCAAATTTTCAATTCCACTAAAAGCAAAAAATAACAATATTCTACAAGCGATCCAGACTCCATTGCTAAACCATAAACCCCAGCCCTCCAAATTCAAGATACTCCAGCACTCCGAGCTCTCAATGACTGTATCTAACGCAATGGATAGTGAGATGATGTGTTCAGATCGATGATCGTTACTCATCAATGGAGTCTACACTCCTCTCCCAAGGCGGCATCGCCTTTACCAGACTTGTCGGTTTTGTCGGTTTTACCAGTCTTGTCGGTCTTATCAGTCTTGTCGGTTTTATCAGTTTTACCAGTCCTGTCAGTCTTATCAGTCTTGTCGGTCTTGTCAGTCGTGTCGGTCTTATCAGTCTTGTTTGTTTTGCCGGTCTTTTCCTTGGTCTTCTCATTCTTCTCCTTAGTTTTCTCCTTTTTCCCCTTTGTTTTATCCCCACCACGCGGGTTCAAGAGTGCCAAAACCTCCCGGCTCTCCAGATCACGCTTGTTTTTCGGTGCGGCATGTGCGCCGAATTGCTTGAAGCCCACCGAGGGGTTGTCGCCGTAACCCTTTCTCTTGAGGGCAGCAAGCATCTTAGCCAGAGTATCATAGCACTTTGCTTCCAAGCCCAGCGGCCCTGGACCGGCAGTCTTGGTTGGACCTCCCAACACAGCTTTGGGAGGAGAAGTTCGTTCATGCCAGGGCCGCATCGGCCCATACGCAATACCTCGCTTGGGTCCTCGTCTGCGAGTGCTGGGATGGTTTGAATGGTGGCGACAGTTGCCGCCTCCGACCAAGGAGTCTCGCGTGCAGGTTCACGGAGTATGGCTTTGGGGGCCTCCATAAACGAGTCTTCGTCAGCCAGAACGTAGCAATCTATTTGTGAAGTCAGCGGACTATCCTACTGATGTAGAGTGGGTGATGAGCTTACGCCATGCTGAACCAGGAGTCACCTATTCTCCAGCTACGTTCGCCAGCGATTTACCGACACCAAATTGTCCTGCGCCGGTTGTATGGGGCTTGGATGCATCCCAGTACAGAAATCCTCTGTAATTGATACCGGCTGCTTCTTCCTAAAATCCCAATTATCAGCATAAGTGAGGTGGATATCAACAGTTAAGAGGAGAGTAAGGTCAGTTCGACATACCGCACTAACCACTCGATAACCGATCAAGATTTTATTAGCCCTAGGAACTAAAATGGCGGAGCCGTGTAAAGCTTCGTGGGTGGGCGATGCGTCAGCCCAAGCGGTTAGAAGAGCCGTGAGAAGAGTTATGGAAATAAACATGGTTAAGAAAGGGGATGACAAGGAGAAAAGAAGAATCAATCCTGTTGATAAGAATATGTATGGGATACAGTAAAAATTGAAATTTTGATTGTATGAAAGGCTTTGTTGTAGAGGTAGTTGTTAATGATGATTTGATGTTGAAAAGAATGAAAAGAATGAAGAACATCAATGTGTATTTGTACTTATCCAAGAACAATCTCATGACACCATGTAACACCAGATAATGTCAATTACCTCAAGGAAGCATAGATGATCAAGTCCACTATCATTCCTTTATTCCTATCATAGACACAGGTGGAGTTGGTGATGGTAGCATGGAAGCATTTACGTCTGCAACGTCCTCTAGGATCTGGAGGTTTTCCTATGAATACCTTGTGAGTAGAGACAATGATATGCTCATTACCAAATACTTAGCTTAGGATGTGACCTTTACATAGCAAACATTATGAACCATTAGGGGAACGTAATGCATACCTGTACCTGTTGTAACTCCTTCAACTAGTAGAATCCCACAATCCAAGAACAGACAAAGTCAAAGATCAGGAGACTACCTATGACAGAAACAGCGCAGTGCAGCATACGAGCTCTAACCCTGCAAAGTTACTAGATAGATGCAGGCTTTTGTCTTGTGAACTCTATTTCAATCCCCAACAAAATACAGCAGCGACAGGACACATGCGCAGGGCACGCAACATCCTTCCGTTTACAAGTAGAAAATACCCACAAAGACTGAGGCTTCAGACTCCTGAAAAGCCCATCTTGTCCTAGTAAGGATCCGGCATAGGGAAAAGAAGTGGAAGATACCCATCTAGGCATATGCGTCCCACTTCGCACACGCTATCCCTCACTAGCTGACAGGAGCCTCCCAGCTGAGAAAGCGCTTAATGATGTGGCTTTGTGCTCCTTCTAATAAGCTATACGATCGTCTGCTCTTTTGCCGCATTTATGCACATACTCCAGAATGTAGGTTTCCAACTTTAAAAGGGCTGCCGGCAGGACAGCAGATGTGGGGGGGGGGCTTGACTCACCTGCACTCGACGCCTTCTACGACCCTGGAATTGAAGCTATTTCATGTGATTCCAGACTCTGGGATCCAGAGACTGGCTTTAGTCGACACGCACCTCACCCTAGTCAATATTTCGCCTCGATCGAAAGCGCCTTATTCGGAGAAGAACCACATATCACTTCCATTAACTCAATTCAATGCACGACATGCCGGACGCCTTGTAGCAGCCATCCGAACATCAAAAGCTCGAGCTTCACCAGACGTCGTCTTAGCTTGAGCTAATAATTTTTTGAAGGTGTGAAGGCGATCAGTGGCTGCTAATTTTGACCGTGTTCGTGGCGAGGTATAAGATAAACCTCTTTTACCGCTTGGATAATTGGGCCTACTACTTACAGTCCAGAGGGCTACGCCCTCCAGGCTTTTGAGGTATTCCACAGAATGTAAAGACAACTCAAGATTCCGGGGTGTCTTACTTGGTAGACTTGGTGAAGGATCTAACCCACTTGTTAGCTTGGAGTCAGCATTGCGTCAACTTTGAATTAATAAAAAAAATCAGAGAATGAGGATGATTGGAGCGATCGTAAGATTACAACAACAACAAGGCTATGCTACTCTTTAATTTGACTGTTGCGAGCCTGTCTGTTGATATCCTCTTATTTCGACGAGGTATTTAGGGTGGTAGAGCTCATCTGCCCTAGGAATTGTCTGATCAGGGATCTGTCAAGCGAAGTCCTTAGGAGGATTCCCTTTGAATGTAGCAGCCTTACCTCCCATCTATAATAAAGCTTCATTCGACACTTTGTCGAAAGACAACAGATATCCTAATAGCTCGGAATACTGTCTCCCCAAATGTAGTCATCCAGACCCCTGTAATACGGATGAACTCGTTAAACGCTCGTACATGCACCTCAGAGGCGCGATGAGTGACGTTTTTCGAGGCTTCAGGAGTCCCCGAAAACCCGCCATGACCACGAAAGTGTAATATTTTAGCAGAGCTGACATGTATGGGACTAGCGTTAAATAGATAGTGAGAAATGAATTTCAAGAAAAGTGAAGAAATTAGAAAACTTTACGTGTAAATTCTGAAAAATGTTAGACAGGGAATAGCTAGAATCGATTGAACGTACCTCCTTACATGTGCTAGGTTTGAAGCCAGGGAGTGCTGGATGTGTGGTCCAAGATGGACATGAGAAACCGTTATATCTCAGCCTGTTAAGTTAATTATATGAGTGAATATGACGAGTGGATAAAGGGCCAATCGGATAGATCTGGCTAAAGTCTACAAGAAAGGCCCTTACTGTCAACGTTTATGCAAAGCTGAAGGTGCGCGTAATCCGAAGCCTATTGGTCGTTGTCAGAAAGAAATGTAATTGCCATGTACTCGTGCTTCAGACACTGAACCTCGAACCAAACTGTTGCCTCCTACCTTATTTGTCAAACCATGATGAATACTCAAGTATTAGCTGTACAGAAGAGATGCAAATGTGTTCGAGTTCCATAAGCTCATGCAGCGATTTAAATATTCTTGATCCTGAACAATGGCCTGATCTTTAAGAATGCTGGGAGGTTCCTATGTACGGAGTACCGTAACTGTGGAATAGTAAAATGAATACAGGTTTCAAGAATCAGCCACATCAGTTGATGAGGTACTTTTGAGGTTCGAACTGTGGCTTCGCTACTCGGGCAGTACCAAGGTAGAAAGGCGGATTTCAACCCTCATTTGAAATTGCAACGCATCTGGGTACATTCTTCTTTGCAAAAACAAGTTCGTGTGGCTGCTGCTGGCCACAGCCAATGACCAGTTGCGTTTTCTGCAGCGCCTCAGATAAGGTTAGCGGATAGGCAACTTGGAGGCCTCGATGAGGAATTGAACCCTCAACCTTTGAAGGCGCGGAAGCTGCAGGCCATCAGGGGTTGCATATCGCAAACCAGTCAGGACGTGGACATACACTTCTCCACCAATCTGAAGCTTAGCGAGCGACCTGTTCCTGGCGCTGGCACGATCTGGTGGACGCTGTCTGGGACATTTTGGGAATTGTGAACACCACCAAAGTCTTGTCCTTCCTGGCCCCTGGTTTTTGCCCTTCCAGAATTCGCCCCTTGTGCCGACGCGATGGACCGTGCAGACACCCATCATCTTGAAATCCAATTTCTGTCACTGGAGTTTGCAGCTATTCTAGACGACCGGCTCTGGAGTGTTGTTGTTGTGCTGTGCGATGCTGTGCTTCCATGAGAGTTGTTCGAGATGCAACACACCGCTCTTCTCTGACCAGTACTCTCCTCCTGCTTGCTGGTGGACGGAGATCTGAACTCGTAGAAGAACAATGAATGTCTCCTCAATCGTCGATACCCGCGCCGTTGTTTGGGCCAGTTACACCTGCTCGGGACCCCGCAGGTCGTCATCGCAGGCTGGTCTGGCGTTGGTAACGCAGTTGTTTGTACCTCACCCTCATCCTCACGCTGAAACTGCGACTTCTCATCGTGGAGAGGACTTCGAATGCTGTGCATATCTTGCCCTCTTTCTTCCCGTCGGTAATGTAATAAAATCGTTGGACAGCGATCATCAACAGCTTCCATGAACAGCTTCCTTCCTGATCGGAGCGCAGCGGTCAGGAAAGCGAAAGAGATACCTCGCACGGGACAGCTGGTCCACCAGCACAGAAACGGCTTGATGTAGAATAAGAAGTGAGCAAAACGTGGATGGTGGAGCTGATACTTCGTACTCATTCGTGCGAGACACAACAAACCACAGACCTCTTCTGTTTTTGAAGCTGTCTCCGGTATCAACAAATGCTTGGGGGCGAACTCTCTTGCATATAGAAGACGATGCGTTGTAGAGCAGATCGTCTACGATCGAGTAGTATAACAAACGAAAAGTAGGTAGTTGTAATAATGATGTGTTGCCGAATGTTTGGTTTGTATGTTCGTTTCGACTGTCTTGTTGAAGGATCGAGGGCGAGGAACCAGCCCATGCCAGCCCGAGATGCCGCCTCGCTCGTTGTTCGTTCTTCAAAGCGCAGCTCCACTCAGCTGCGGGCTTCCACTTAAAATTCTCCTTCCACACCACACCTCGAACCGCTAGCTACGAAGTCTAGCTCCCCTTCCCTCGAACCCGTACTCCATGCATCTTTCGTACGAGGTAGACAGTCGCAATCCCCCCATCGCAATCTTTCCTACATCCGCGGATCAAAGACTGAGACCATCAGATACAGAGGGAGCGCCCTCGTCGACGCGTTCAAATCATTTCGTCTTGGAGCTCCAATACTTCGCCATATTTGAAAGGCAACTTATTAGCAGCACGACAAACAGCAGAGCGTGGTAACCTTAATCCTGCATCCATCATTCCACGAGGCACAACTCTCATACATCCGACCCTTCGGTCATTCAATCACAGTCTCTACCGTTTCCACGACCTGGCCGAAAACCAAATCACTCGGTAATCGTCGCCAGTCCCCCGTTGTTTCGATCGCAGGCAGTATCAATATCTTCCTACGTTTCCTGTCAGACACCCCGGCTGCACGCTATTCTGAGGAAGCATTGATTGCAAGGTTACGTCCCCAGATTGCCCAATGCGAATCTAAGGTTCATCCTTCGCTGTTACCAAGATTGCTGGACAAAACAGACAGAGAGAGTGGATGTGCGCGCGGAGCTACCATTGATTACAGGTCCTCTGTCTACTGCCGCATGCAATTGCCTCCTCTCACGGCGAATCTCGATCCTATGCCCGGTCTGGCCTGACTACAGCTTCATGATGCAGTCGTTTGAGAATTCGGCAACGCCATCTACAAAGCGTCTTGGAGTGTCGTTGAATGTCGATACGGGCTATAAAGGGAAACGAGTCGATAGGTCGCCGCCTCGAACGCCTGCCGCCCAAGACCCTCAGTCGAGCACCTCCAATATCCCCGATGTCAACAAGGCGCTAAAACCGCAAAGACAAACCTTCCTCGATGACATTACTCCAATTGACCCGACTTCGAGCAAAGACAGTGATACCGTGCGAGGTAATCACAGCCGGGACTCTCATGATCTTTCATTGTCGCCTCGGCAGGTCACTCGCGATTCACTGGTAGACCACATGCTACTCTCTTTGGATCAGTTCTCCTTTGGACAGGAAGGCGACGCGTTCGACAGGCAGCCGACCGTGGACGAGGAACAGCTGTATTCCACCTTTGGCGACGAGGAACAATACCAAACAACATCGAACTTTGCGCCTCGAGGCGGTCGGGTTGGACACAGTTATTCATACAGCTCCGATTATGAGCAGGCCGACGACGCGAGTCGATACTCAGGCCCATCGCGTGGGCGCAGGAGCAACAGTAGTTCGAACTTTCAATCGGGCCTAGGAAGGATCAACAGTCTTCGTAACGAAGGGGCCACTGCTAGTTTTGTTTCGAATCGTGCCCCCGTACCTATTCCACCAAGGGGCCTACATTCGCGGAGCGGCAAGGGGAGCAAAGGGAGCAGCGCAAATAGTTTTGATCTTGGATACGCTCAAGTTACAAGCAATCAACGTTGGGCTCATGGACTTGCTGGCCGGTCGTCGAGCTTTGATTACGGGATGGAGCGTCAGGCTACAATGACTTCCCAAATCACCGCAATGCCCACACAGCATGCTCCGGCTTTTACATACGATTACGATGCTGCCCCGACTCCGACAATTCCAGGAGGACCTCGGAGGCTTCGACCTGCCTCCCCAGTGATGATCCCTCCTGCACGAGAACCTCCATCACCTGAAGAACAAATAACTCCTGAATTCCAGAGATTGGAGCGTAAAAGAAGCACGAAATCGTCCAAAAGCGCATATGTGGGAAAGGAGGCTGCGAGCTTGACGAACGGTGGAAGGCTTGACTATGGCCTTCATGATAGCACTCGTGAACTGCCACCCATGCCAGCATTTATCAGAGAACCTGCACCAGCTCCCTTGGTAGGATATGGAAAAGTGAAAGACGCGCCAACCCAATCGCAATTAACACCGCAACCGCCAAAGGACAGGCCAGGCTTTTTCCGCAGAGTATTCGGTGGTTCGAGAAACAACGTCAATTCTGTTAGCACCCCAGATCCTCCGCCCTCGCACGGATCCACGACTTCAACCGAAACAACGAACCGACCTAGTAGCAGAACTCACCACATTGCTAACCAGATGAAGTCTCAATCTCTGCCTCCACCTCGGGATACTCCTCTTCCAGCGAAAGAAAATGCACATGTCTTGAGTAAAAAGTCCTCTTCATTTTTCCGGAGACGAAAGAAGTCTGTTGCCGAGCCAGACCCGATGCCTGCGCCACTGACAGCGCCCCCGGTGCTGCTTCAAAGCGAGCTGGATGGACGGACAGCACCCAGTCCCGTCAGTAGCCTGCGAAAAGTGATGAACCCATACCTTCGGACACCAGCCAGAAGCCCGAACGATCCTAACCGCCATTCAGGCATCGACAGGCAGATGAATGAGAGTCCGGATTTACAGCGCTCAGCGAGAGGATTTTCCCCGGACTATGAGCCCGACAAAAATGCTACGATTAGAGCTGTGCGATCCAACCCCCGGGGAACACCTAGTACCGCCCCTTCATCCTCTAGCTCAGTCCAAAAACCCTTTCTCAGCGTTGGCCCAAGCGGCCTTGTTGGTACCTTTCTCAACGATGCTAGCGATGATGGACGCAGTAATGCGTCGCAGACAGGTCCGTTCACCAAAGATGTCCCAGAGACGGAACATGTACGCGTTAATGTTCCCCCACCTGTTGTACAGACAAGTACAACTTCGTCGGTGAAACGAGATATGGCACTTGTCGCAGGGTACGAAAGGACTCATTCGAAGCCTTCGCTAGCGAACACTCAGTCAGATGCCATTGCCCGGTCACCAATCTTGGAGTCGCCAAGGAGCAATATCGCACCCCAATCTCTGCCACCGCAAGTCGTGAAAACAGACGGCACTAAAGACGCAGACTGGGTGATATTGACGCCAACTAGGAACACCCAGCCAATAGAAAAGGAGAATCGGGTATGGTTGGAGCCCTCATCTGACGAAGAAGAAGTCATTTTGGCTGGTTCAAAGCTGTCCTTGCCCTCTCCAACTGCAAGATCCTCTGGCTCTACTGACGGCCCATATATGTCTGCAACAAGTCTACCTGTTGTTCAAGTTGAGGGCGAGCATGGAAGTGCACCGCCATCTCCGCAACTACTCAGCGCAGTGGAAGCTATTAGATCGCTAGACGACTCACTCTTGAATGACACAACCCCTACCGAAAATGACCGTGAGAAAGCTAAGAAGATATACGACGGAAATGAGGATTTTATTCAAAAAGAGAGAGCAGCAGCATGGATGGGTGAAGAGGGTGTTGTTCGTGCGAGAACCCTAATTGCGTATATGGAACTGTACGATTTTTCCAATATCAACATCTTGGCCGCTCTGCGTCTCCTATGCAGCAAGCTCGTACTGAAAGCGGAGAGCCAACAGGTAGACCGGATCTTGGATGCGTTTGCGCAGCGATGGTGCCAGTGCAATCCCAAGCATGGCTTCAAAGTTACTGGTATGTTTTGTGCGTAGTCTGGGGATGCAGGATTTACTGACAGCTCATAGATGTCGTGCACACGATTTGCTACTCAATACTTCTGCTCAATACAGATCTACATATGGCCGATATCGAGCAGAAAATGACTCGAAGCCAGTTTATCAAGAACACCATGCCAACGATTCGACGAAGTGTTGCGGAGTCCGCTCCAAATGCGTTCGAGACGAGACCGTCAGTGCTCCCCGGGAAAAGTTCCACTTTTGATCCCGTGAGATCCGGAGAAGCCTTGTCGAAGCCAGAACGAACTTCGATTGAAGTAGAAAAAGCTCCGTCATCATGGAGAACTTCCTTTAAGCCCCCTGTCAGGTCAGACTCTGAAGGTGGCATCGCGCCAACACCTTTGGACTATGACACTCCGATGGACGATTGTGGACCCCTGGTGAAAGCACCCTTCCATGGTACGTTGCGTACTTGGGAGGTTCAAGTCGAAATTGTACTCAAAGATTTTTTCAATTCCATTCGGGCAGAGCGACTTCCGCTGTTCGGGGCCACTGTAGAAAAACCTCACCTCCAAGCACCATCAACAAACAGCCTGGCCGTATTTGCTAACGGCGTCTTACGGCGAACTCCAAGTGTGCTGAGCAAATCACCCTCCGAAGCTCAGAGTAACTACGCACGTGGAAGGACCGCAGAAACTGTGCGCGTCGGGAAAGGGCAGTGGGGAACTAAGAATCGTTCGAGACCTCGTTTGTATGGCAATGGAGGTCTGGGCTCTAGTCGTACCAGTCTCGATGATCAGTCATCGATGTGGAGTCCGTCCGTCTCTTCAAGTACGTGGAGCAAGTATTCCCTTGGAAAGACTCAGACTTCCATGTCTGTCGATTCTCTTGGTTCAAGTTATCCCCAGGGCGATTATCAGCAATCTATTGGATTTGCAAATGCCTTGAGCCAAGCGATTATTCGCGAAGAAGCCATTAGCAGCGTCAACAGCAATGGCAGTGATCGCGAAGAAGTTCGCATCGCTCCCTTGCTCGAAGACGAATCGTTAGAACTTGCTGGTTCACCTTGGGCAAAGGAAGGGATCCTCAAGCACAAGCATCACCTGGAAGCACTGGGCAAGAAAGCCAAGGATCGCAACTGGAATGAAGTATTTGCTGTTGTCGAGAAGGGATATCTGAGCCTTTTCTCCTTCTCATCAAAGAGCATGCGCAATAAATCCAAAGGCAAAGCTATTGGTGGTGTCGTGGGAGGTGGAAATTGGCAAGAGAACGCAGAGAGTCTCGGGTCATTCTTGTTGAGACAAACCATTGCTAGTGCTCTCCCATCACCTGGTTACTCCAAAGCACGACCTCATGTATGGGCTCTATCCCTACCAACTGGAGCGGTACATCTTTTCCAGGTCGGTACTCCTGATATTGTCAAGGAGTTCGTCTCGACAGCCAATTATTGGAGTGCACGCTTATCAAATCACCCATTAGTCGGTGGCATCAGCAACATCGAATATGGTTGGTCTGAGAGTATTGTAAACAACGCCCTTGTCACTGCTATCAACGACTCAACAGCATCTAGACCGTCAACGAGCGGTGCCAGACCAAGCATGCAGAGTTCTCTGAGATCCAGATCTAGTGTTGATCACGGCATAGGAGGCATTCGTGCAAGATTACCAGGGGACAAGATATCAATCTCGGACTGGTCGCCACCTACACAAAGTATGCGTGCTAGTAATCTGATGGAAGCGGATCAGCTTCAGACTCTAAGCTCATACGTGGCTGGTATTGAGGAAGAGTTGCAAAAGCACAATCAACTGCGAAGTCCCATGCTTTTAGCTGTAAGTCACTTCATTGCCGCGTTTAGGTCTCTGCTAATCCAACTAGTTCACACCACGCCACCCCAATGCCCAAAAGGCCATGGCGAATTGGGAGAAAAAGTCTTCATATCTCCTTCGTGAGATTGTGAAATTTCGAACGTATATCGATTGCTTGACGGCCGCTGATGCATGTAAGCAAAAAGTTTACGCTGAACGAGAAGCCGAAAGAGCGCTTGCCGAAGAATACGACGAAGGGGACATAACCCTTCGCCCCGAATAGATCGAATCAGTCGTGTCGGAAATTTGTTGGAATACATCACATCTCTTTTGTTTGCATATTTTCGAAGAGTCAAAACTCGCCACTACGCCTTATGTTTATACGTCTCACGCCTGTTACAAAATATTCCTTACGACTTCCAACGTCTGCAATTCCGGGCGTCAGGCATTTGGAGGTTATGCTTCGTCATCTAATTGACAGGCCGAAAACTGTTTACGGTTCAATTTTCAATTGTATATGGGAATTTCCTTTTTTTCATTGGCTAGGATTGGGGCATTTGCACTGATGGTGTTAGTTGGTTTCTGCGGTGCTCTGTTCATTGTCTATACCCAGCCGCGCTGTTTGCTTTTGTACAATTATTTTTATTCGGTGGTGGATATATTGTGGTGATGTCTACTAGCTATCATCTATCGCATGAGTGGAATCGCTAGCTCGAAAATGTTCAAGGAACATGTAATAGAGGTTGACGAAGTTGACCTTGGCGCACGAAAACAACGTTACGAGTTATGAATATTGGAAATAGCGAGTCATCTTATCACGCAGTAGGATAGTAGTGATCGATTGGTTGATGGGACGAGGAGTAGCTGGTGATGGTTATATAAATATATGTTTCGTCTTCGTAGCCCTGACAGTACTATAGCATTATGAGGAGTAGATACTTGATCTTATAAATCTTTTGATTCCTGTTTTGTTTTCACATTACACGATCCGAAAATCCTAAAATGCTTGAGAATAATTTGTTGCACATGTACAGTTACAGTATCTACCCTATCCACTCACCTAGCTTCCCCCGGCTAGGGATCCGGCTTCCGAAACGGCCCGTTGCAAGAATGCCATGGGCCAGAACATGGCAATTGGAACCCGCCCAGCGTCACCGCCAAACCCGAGTATAAGCAGTTAACGTCTAAAACTTCTTAAGTCTATCTAAGGGATCAAATGTTTATAAAAACGAGAATAAATATATCTTTGACATGGTAAATAATCAAAAATACACCACGAGATGAAAGAAGCCTCGACATGTGCTCCAGCCCCCGGGTCATAGTCAGGTAGTCCGGAGCTACTTCCCCTCAAACGAGCGGCCCATGACGTAGCCATCGAAGCTTCCCTCTCCCCCCCCTTGCAAGCTTTGACCCTAGTCTAGGCCATACCTTACACTTACCAGCTTGACCTCCCCTTTCCTCTTTCCATTTCTTCTTCGAACAATCAAAGAATCAAACAGTCCAGAAATCAACTCAATTGAATTGCCTCCAACTTAAATAAATACCTTTTCCAAGCAATACGCAAAAATGTCTTTCCTCACCAGAGTCCAGCCAATGCTCCGCACCCGTGGCTTCGCGGCCGTCGCTCCAAGAGCTTTCTCGACCTCGTTCGTCGTGCGCAAGAGTGCTACCGAGGCGGTTAAGGATACCGTGAAGGGTGTTGATCGTGCGGTTTCGGATAAGATTGTTGATGGCATTGAGGTTGGTCGTATGTATCCCTTTTTCTTCATCCTACTTTTCCCTTTCCCTACACCTCCCCTTCTTCTCACACTATCCTCTTCCTCCTACCCTTCCCACTTCCTTGCTACTTGATTAAGTCCCGAGCTAACACGTTCAGAAACCGCAACTCAAAAAGTCAAAGAGGCCGCCGGCATGTCAACAAACGAGATGAAGGCCAAGGCGAACGAGGTAGCCGGTGAGGCCAAGGAGAAGGCCGGCGAGATGAGCGGAAAGGCGTCGGAGTTGTCGGGCGAGGCGAAGGGAAAGGCGGCGGAGCTGAAGGGGGAGGCGGTGGGAAAGAAGGAGGAGATTAAGGGGAAGATGTAGAGTGTCTTATCATCGTGGTTAATGAGGATTTGGACGTGGGATTTGAGGGGGCAAGTACTGAGAGGAAGCGCCCCGCATGTGTATTATAGGTTTTGAGCGGGAAAATTACTGAAACGTTCTTAATTGAAAGGCATATTCATCTTTAGATTGTGTGTTGTGTCTATGATGACTATCTGTCAAGTCTGCCATATGATGTTGACTCGCTTGGATACGTAATCTTGTCCTGCATAACATAGACAACTCCTCTAAATCTATTTACCCATCTTCTTACCCATCACTATCGAAAATGTATGCATTCACCTTAAATCGCACCCTCTCACCACACCTCGCTTCAAAACCCACCCCCTCATCTCCCACCCCCTCCGACCTCTCACCTAAACCCATCTTCACAAAAATCAAGATCATAAATCCAGTATATTGAAAAAAACAGAATTACACTACCAGGCACAGGCCTACGCGTATAAAGGAAGCCTCCGCGGTGGAAGTGAGGAGAAGGGATGAGGAGGTTGTTAGTTCGTGACCGGGTTTGAACCAGGTTTTTTGTTTTGTTTTGGTGATGTGGGGGGTTGATCTTTTGGTGGTTTGAGAAGGTAGTTGGGAGGGGTGAGATGGGTGAGAAAGGGGGGGGATGGGTCTGTTTTAGATTATCGTTATATCTTTTTTATATATTTAAGGGGAAATAATCGAGTGTTTTTTGTTGATAATAATCATTATCCTTATAAAGACGTTGGAATTTTTAGTAGCGGTGGGGGTTATCTTTTTCTTAACTATGTTATGATAGTTGATATCTAAGAAACGCCTGTAATAGTGTGATTTAGATATTTGTTATATCTATTTATATATTATTTAAGCGGTGAAAAAACCCTTCCTTTTGTTTATAAGCGTTATATATCTTTTAGAGACCATGAGTTTTATCAACTAGTATCCTTAACCACCTTCCCCTCTCCTAAATCACTTCCGAGCGCTAAACGCCTGTGATAAGGTTAAGGTATTGCTCGTTGATAAAGTCGCGAGATGAGGTGCTTTCGTGACGAGTGCTAACTGAGGACTGAAGGTTTTTATAGTGTAGAGGGTAGGATAGGATAAGAACGTAGTTGAGTGGACGGAGGTGGTATGGGGGGATGAGGTTGTAGAAGTGTGATGAAATAAGATAAGTCGTGAGGAAAGGGACAGCTTTGGATAAATCTAAGAGGTGGGTAGGAAGATGAAGTAAAGATGTATTATTAGAATTTTTCGGATGTTGACAGGTTGGAGGTATGGTATATCATTGCTATACCTAGCCCTGGAATTTGCGAAGTAACACGGTGTGGTGGAAGTGCAATCAGCTATCGGTAAATCAAAACCCGTATACATTTTACCTTCGATCAATCCAATTATCTATATTAAATCAAATCAAACCAAATACAACCCCAATCTTCACACCACCTCCTACAATCCAACATCCTTTAAGTCAAAGATAATCAAAACCCGGATCCTCACAAACGCCAAAATAAGACCCTACACTTCATCTCCACAAACCCCCTCCCTGCCTCTCACGAGTCCTATTGGACACCTCCTCATGGTAGTATATGAGAAAAGCTCTGCTACAAGCGGTATCGATTTATTTGAGTAAATCTACAATATAGTCTCTTGTAACAACGTAGAGATGTTTAATAAGGGTGGAGTGTTAGCATCTCCTTTTCTCTGATATTGTACTTCAAGGGTCCCGTTAGTCTTGCAACGCATTAGTGAATATCATCAAGACTCATCCCAACCAGGCAGACAACTCAATCAAGTCCAACATCTCATTCCCATTCCCATAAAATCTAATCCGACTAACCTATATATCCCCACCCCAAACTTCTACCCCCTCTCCCAAAATGCAACAAACCACACCAACCCAACCCCAAACGCCCAAAGATGCACCTAAACCCTTCCTCCTAGCACCCCCCAACCCGCTCCCCCACAACACCTACCGTCCCTCCTCAGCCAAAACCCAAACCCCCGCCTTCAACCGCTCAACCACCTCGCCCCGAATCCACAACATATCCCTCCCCTCCCTCCCCATCCCCTCCGCCCACTCAAACAGCAACCTCAATCCCAGCAGGCGATCGCGCTTCCCACTCGCCACCGTCGCATTCTCAAGCACGAGCCTCGCATCAACGACCGTTTCCTTCGTGCCCGCATGGATATCACTGGCGCCGCCCTGGTCAGGCGGCAGGACGAGTGCCTGCTCGGCTTTCGAAAGCGAGGCGAAGGCTGGGAGACGGAAGAGCCATTGTAGGGAGTGTGCGGAGGAGGGGGTTGCGTCGTTGAGGGCCTGGAGGGTGGATGTGAAGGGGGAGGTGGAGGCGTCGTGGGCGGGACGACGACGGACGTAGACTGTTTGGGTGGATTTGAAGGAGGCGATGTGGGTTTGGTTTTGGGCGAGGTCGAGGACGATGTTCCAGTGCGTGTCGCTGGCTGTGCGGAGTGTTTTGATTTGGTTGAGTTCGGGGAGGAGACACGGGGTGTGTTTTTTGGTCAGGGTGGAGTTGAGGTGCGTTATTTCGATGGGCATGGAGACTGGTTGGTTGGTGTCTATGTCGCGGGTTACGAGACAGCGTGCTTCTGCCGCGAGAGCCCAGAAGTGTCGAAAGGCTTGGAGGTGGGATGTGTTGTCTTGGATTGAGGATGGGAAAATTGGGTAGAAGGCCACTAGAAGCGCAGCGAGTGCCATGTTTGAGGTGCCAAACGTGAAGGTCCCACCTCCCAAGAATAATGCACCAATTGCCAGATGAGCCGCCAGATGACTTCCATATGGCGTCTCATCATCATCACGACCATGCAACGACCGTAACCGTCTGAATACTACAAGATCTCCAGTACCAGCCATAACAGTAGCCAAACTCAACGCTACCAGATCCTGACACGTCCTCACAGTACCCCGTGTCAGCTTCTTGTCATAGGTATCAGCATTAATACGACAAATCCGCATAAGCTGATCCAAATAATGGATAAGAAGGTCCCGAACAACAAACGATCCTGACCCTGCGAATCGAAGACCAATACTAAAGCACAATCCCGCAAGAATATCGTAGAATGGCAAATCATCACTGATCAAGAACTTTACTTTCTCTAATGAACTCCTCGGCCGATAGGCTGACGGCAAACTTCTCGTAATCCATGCGAAAGTAGGCTCGATCTTGCTCCAAAGTATCAAGTTCTTCGCAAGTGTACGAAGAAGAAAGATGTCGGGTCTGACATAGTCGAATTGGAGAAGCGAGTCTGGTATATCAATCTTCCGCGCTAGTACTTGATTCTCGGATTTCATGAAAATGAGCGCGATGGCCATGACAGCAGCTGCAGTAGCTTTGTCGAACACATGCACAAGATCAACTTTCTTACTGCCAGCAGCCAGAGCCAGTAACCGCTCAGTAAGTCGCATGTCGTGAAGTCCCTGGAGATCTGAACCTTTTCCAAGGTTGATAAAACCGAGAGCGAAACCAGCAGCTAATCGATAGCCTTCATTTCGAAGAGGTTCCTCTTCGGTCTCTGTGTCAATGTGTTCAATCTCGGAAACCATGATTTCACTCATACGACGGTGTTGAGTGTTGGCATAGAGTAATCCTATTCCCATGATACCAGTTGTCTGTGTCAAAGGCGATAGGTTTAACTCAGCTGCCCCTGGTGGTAACATCCTAGTCACATGGACTGACAACAGCCGAGTAATTAAAGAATCCATAGTACCCATATACGACGCAGCAAGTCCTAGCAACAGCCCAATTGAAGTCATCGTATGTTTCGGCGTCAAATATTTGAACGCCACCCATTTCGCCACAGACTTTAAGTGACCATTCAGCCCCAAAGCAAGAAGAAATCCAGCATGTCGATTATTCAAGTCCTGAACCGGTTTATTGAACAGAATCCACGACGTATCGATCCCCTTAGCATCACGAGAAATGCTCAGTCCAGCGGCAACTCCAGCATGAAAGAAAGCCCAGCCGATTTTCTCCTCGGTAAACGCCGTCTTGTCAATAGCAACAGTATTGTTGTCCGGTTTCATCACACAAGACAAATTGAAGCCACTTATCACAAGTCGTTCTGTCAAAAGTGGCGTCCTAGCACTGAAGTATAATAGACCTCTGCCCGATGAAATAGCCAATGTTCGATATGCCAACATCTGAGCGTGGACTTTCTGTGCTTCCAACAATTGTGATTCAGACCAATCTGGTTCTGACTGGCAACGTGCAACGACAGGTCTTGTAGTACTTAATATACCCGTCGCTTCATTCATTCTTCTGTCATCTTTGAATATGGCGCGGGTCACAGTCTGCCTTTCTAACTCTGTTGCACCATCAAAAGTCTTTGGTGGTTCTGCATCCAGAGCAGATGAGCATATCGTATGCACATCCAAATTCGATTCATGTGATGGAACGAGTAAGCTTGATTGAGTGTTGCGTGGTCGTTGCCCCGGAGTCAGAAGCATATTTACGTCTTCTCGACCAGCGATAGCTAACAACTCCTTACTCCATGTCGTTGGTGGCTCCATCTGACATTGAACCAGTGCTTCTCGCAATGGTGCCAAAATTGACTCTGGTAATGTTTCAAGCAAGACAGTGTCCAATCCAGCTTCGGCCAAAGCTTCAACAAATTGAGCGGATGACCAATCAGGCCGCAGAACGGCGAAGAACTTTTCAAAAAGCAGCGTCCTAGGCGTAAGCTGTGTCCATTGTTCCAGGTGTCGTGCTTGCCTAGCTAGAGTTGGAGCTCGATTAGATAAAATTGCAGGTAAGGTCACGAATTCAGCTCCATGCTGAGTAGTGAAGCACGTTTGAATCCACTGGTATATTGAGGGGCATTCATAAGGCTCTGGTATTGGAGGATCAACGGACGATGCTGAAGGATGATTAGCATATCATATTATATCCGAGAAACGAAACTCACCAGTATCATAGACCACATCCAACAAAGAAGCATCTTCATTAGAGTAATATTCTGACCAATTCAACCACCGAAGCCATTTCACAATCTGTCCTAAAATAGGTGCTAAATTGGCCACCCCAACGCTGAAAGAATCCGTCGTCATCGTATTGAGTTTATTTTCCTCACGAATGAGATGAAGACCAATCACAAGATCCACAAGGTTCGCGGTCCTCTCATTAGGATCTTTGTTTCGAGAAGTCGGCAAGTCGCTGCTGACCGTCGACTCTCCAAAAGACGATGTTGCAAATTCTCTAGCAAGCCTCAGGTGCCTCTGCAAATCACTTTGCGAAGACAAGACCGGGTCCAAGTCGTTATCTTTCATATTCCCCGAACTGCTTTCTTCTGCAAGCCATTGCCATGCTGGATTATTCGCCCAGCTTGGCAGTGGATCTCCATATGTTGATTCCTGCGCTAGCATCTCCTGCCAGCTCTCTGTATCAGAATGCACTCCACTGCTAGAACGCAAATGAGCACGAGATTTCTTCCTCTTGTGTACAGTATTTCGGCCTTGCCTCGGATCCATGCTAAGGCTCAGAAAGAGTGAAAATAGTGTTATGACGAGTGCAGTCCATTCGGCATCCACAGTTTCTATAGACTCTAATCGGAGCCATTGCATCACTTTCCACCAGGCGACCACCACACTCTCCCCTCCACCTTGGCCGGGAAGCACCGCCCTGCAAAGATTCAAGATTTTGCGTACATGGGGATTTTGAGCTTCCAATCGGATCTGAAGTTGATGAAGCTTGCCCTCGTCGTCAACAAGATCAACATGGCCATGCGGTTTCGAATTTCGAAGACCGCGAAGAGCTCGTGGCCCCTGGCTGAGAACTCGCTTGAAACCGCCTTCACGTCGAGCACGCGGTGTAGCATCGTGACCCAAGTCGCGAATGTTACTGATAGTAAACTTACCAGGAAGTGGGATCTTCATGAGAGAACTCCACGGCGCCTGTAGACTAAGTTCTCCATATCCGTCAGGAGTCTTGGTTAAAACCAAGATCCGAGAAATCTGACCATCATCAAGTCGACATGCGTCCAGAACATCGCTTGCTCTTACAACAGGGGCAAGATTCAGAACATTCACATCCTTCTCTCGTTTCTTACCGCGAATCGAATTCTCGTGGTTGACACTCGTGTGAATCTTTCGGTGTAAGGTTAGGACCACGAGTTTCTGTTCATCCGAATCAAGAATGCATATGACAATAGAATTTCCGTGCCTCTCATCTGCAGCAGACATGGGCGCAGTAAGCATAAAGACCTTGCATTGGCTTTTAGCAGGTATATGCTGACTTGAATATCGAACATTACTATGCTCAGCATTAACAGAGCAGACTTTGGTAAGAACCACCTCTTGACGAAGAGAATCGAATTCATCATCATCCAAGCCCATATTGTGAAAGCCCTCAAAATCGCCGCCTGCTCTCAGTTCGTCTAGTAAATCATCAATTGGAGCTTCTAGAAGACTATTCAGACTCTGGCCGAACTGGGGGGGCTGATTCAAACTTGGTCCAGACACTCCAGGATAAACCCCAAGACTAGTTCTACCATGCTGACTTCCTAGAGACTCCCCACGACGGTTGGAAGTATGTTGCTGACCAGTTGCCAGCTCAGTGAAGGCCGATCGCTCATGGTTAGCAGATAAATCTGCGCGTGCTAACATTGAGCTGACCCGGCGAGACTTTCTTCTTGTGACGGTGCTTCCATTCCACTCCGTATCAAGGGCTGACACAAAGTCTACCGTCTTCTCTTTGGCCCCATCCGCTTGCTTTGCTCCTCCTTTGGCGCCTGGGGCCCCGCCAAAGCTCTCCCTGAAAGTTGCCTGGTTGTTCATGACCGGAGTGGTAGCACCAGTAGCAGTACCTGGCATAAATGAGCTTCGACGCCTCGAAGGATCACTCGAAACACGGCGTTTTTGACTCAAAGTATCCTCGCTAATATAAGTCATTTTCCAGACTGTGTAAACGCTTGTTTCTCGATTCAATGTCAAAGCTAATACCAAAGGTTGGTCGCTGCTACCCTGATCAAAAGCCCCGCGTGGGCTTATATGAAGTATCTCCTCTGAGATATCTAAGGTGGCGAGTTTAATCGAACCCCGTCTCTGCCCTTTCAATTCTGATTTCGAGGGTTGTGCCGCTACCAGACCCAATTCCGAGAGAGGATCTGAAAGCGAGAATAGCCGTGGCCATTTTGCATCATCCTTCAGAGCTGGCGGATCCCATAAATCCTTCAATGTAGAGTTGAACTGTAATGACATCTTCTTGGGAGCTGCAAAGTCGGCGATGGAGAAGGTGGAAAGCTGCGAGCTTGAGGCAGACCATGGTTGCGGTTGTGAAGATGCGACGAATGAATTCGGCGGGACCTTGGGAAACTTGAGAGAAGCAGCGATCAGGTTGTCCACCCTCAATTTTCTTTGTATGATAATCCCATTGGGCGCAGCAATTGCAAGCTCGACTTCGAAAGGCAGATGTATGACATGGCTGGTTCCCGAGAGAAAGTAGACATGCGCCTGCGTCTTCAAGAAGACCACAATTGCCGCAGACCTTTTCGAAATTCCCTTCTTACTTCCATCCTTTGTAGATTTCGATTCGAGTGGTCCAACGCTTGGAAAAGAAGTCAACAATGCCTGGCTGACCTCCTCCCTTTCGAGGTCGAATTTGTAGCATTTCCGAAACACCCCTCCTCTCGACCATATTACACTTCGCGGGGTAACCAGTAATTCGTCCTCGTCGAAAACAGAGTCACCGTTCACATCGTGATGATTATGCCAGTCGTACGAGGTAGTAGGGGGGTCTGATGGTAGCAGGTGCTCTTGGATCGCATATTGGAGTCCTGTAGGCTGATGGAGGCCCAAGGAAATGACCGAGGCCATAGCTAGGATTGTGGACGATGAATGTTCATGGGCGCATCATGAATGGGTAGGGAAAATCTTCAGCGTCCATAGTATTTTCGTCTTGCGTTTCTGTCAGTGTACATACTCCTGGTGACGTTGCAAGTGGAATTGTTGATAAAATGCATTGGTTCGCGCTTTCCTGGAGACGCGTCGCGACAAATTGAAAATGACACCCGCCGTGCACCAAATTTATCAAACCAAAATATAAAAAAATTCGGGTTTGAACAGTGTCTATAACCTTTACGCTCTACAATTACATTACTAGCTAGTACCAATTACTCAAAAAAGTCCTCAAAGTCCTTCCAGGTTGCAGTCTAAGCTTAGAAGATATCAAAAGTTAAAAGTCACAGGTGGAATAACATAAGCATTTTTTGGCTGGAATTAAACAGTTCTAGCATCTATATGTCTCGCTATACTTTCCTCAAATCCTTGATTTCAAGGTGGAATCTGATGCGTAACTCCAAATGAGGATACCCAAGCTTTGCCCTATAAAGATGAAAGGTAGCAGTTGGATGATAACTGGTACACTATGCCTATAGCACACACACACACCAAGCAGTTCAGACTCAGGCAATCAAACGCTCCAATTATCTACATGCTTCGAATACCCTCTATCTCAGTATCAACTGTGATACATTCAACTTGCAAGAGTCTCGCAAACTCACGAACTCCATTCCCTGGTTTATTCATGATCAAGCGCCGAGAGTTCAGCTTGCACAGAGGCTTTGGTACCGATCTTCTTCATTTGGGTATCCTCAAGCTTCTCGCCTCCTGCAAGGCGCATCTCCAAATCCTCAATGGCGCGGATCTTCTTCTGTAGCCCTCGAAGCTTCTTCGCACTGGGACTTCCGCCGCCTGGAGACGTGACTGACAACTCAGGCGCCGCTTGAGGTGGCATGTTGATTGACAAGTTGTTCACGTCTCGGAGAGAGACACCACCACCATTCGCTCCGCGATACTCGCGGTTGCCTTGGTGTTGATTCTGATTTTGATGCTGACCTTGTTGCTGATAACCCTGTTGTGGGTGCCCTTGCTGCTGTTGGTAGTCTCTTTGACCTTGCCCTTGACCTTGTCCTTGGTATTGTTGATGTTGGTTCTGGTGCATACTCGGCTGTCTCCCTTGTCCAGTGTTGCTACGGTATCGTTGTTGCGACGTAGTACGAACATCTTGAGTCCCCTTGGAACGGCTACGCTGATGCTCCCGTCGATCTCGGCGTTCTGGACTACGATGCTCCCCACCGTGACTCGGTCCTTCAGAGGCAGCTCCAAGACCAGCAGCCTTTGCCTCTGCATCCTTAGCCTTCTTTGCTTCGCGCTTCTTCTTGTTCTTCAACGCAGCCTTGGACAAATTTTCATCCCCTTCCGCAGCAGCAGCTCCAGGGGGTCCACTAGCCGGTGCGGTTCCAGGTGGAAGATTATCGACAGCTTCAGCTCCTGGAACTTGACGTCTGGCCCGAGGTCCGAACCCGTTGGAATTAACCAAGGAAGTTCCGTTGCTAACAATATGAGCAGCTCCACCTTCGTCTTCACGCTTGAAGTGGAGAGGGGTCGAGGTTCCGCGGGCTCCTGGTGGCCTGTAAGCTCCGGCAGGTTTCGAGGGTGTCTTGACAGTTCCCAGATAAGCTAGAGCCGATGCGTGAGGAATTGGAATTGGGTGCAATGGATCGCCCGATGCAACCTGCTCCACTGATTGTGGTCTCCAAGTGACATGATACAACTCCACCATATCCTGATTGTACATGATGCCACCTCCAACATGCCACAAGCGCACCCCGTTATCAACACGGAGACGTGGGCTTGTGGTGGCAGTCAAGATGTATTTACTATCTGGACTCCACTCGCAGACACTGGGGTTCCCGCCCTCAATAGTGCAGATTTTCTTATAATCTTTTTCGAGATCATAAATATCCATTTGACCAGCAAGATTTCCAAAACCTGCAACCAAAACAAATCTACCAGTTGGAGAGAATAATATCGTGTTTCTCGGTCCAAGTGGGAAGGTGTGTGTAGCTACAGCTCTCTGATTGAAGATCGTCGTCTTGGCTGGCATATATCCGTAAATCACACCAAATTCTTTCGAGTTGGGGGACCAGGATACATCATGGATTGGGCCATCTTTGTCTAGAGTAATTCTGGAATCGAACCCACCATTTGCGCTTAGCACATATAATGTAGTCTCTCCATAATAACTCTTGCCTGTCTTGTCAACCTCGGTTTGCGCCAGGACGATGAGTGTCGTGCCCAGTTGGTTCCATTTTAATTGCACCTTGTCGCCTTTGAAAAAGGTCTTCTGCGAAACGGGGGAGGTGAATTGCGGCACATTAAATACCTTGACGGCTGCTGGTTGACCCTACAGTTTGTTAGCATGTACCGATAAGAAAAACTTCCGACTCACCTTGCGTTCCGGAATGAAAACTGCTATAGAGTGGTTGTTACCAGGCGAGATGGCAAAATCGGCAACACCTTCCGCTCGAAGTTTGTTCCAAACAGTGCTCAAGTTTCCACTTTCGTAAAACTGAACCTCGTTGGTCACAGTTCGGGCACAGTACCTCTCATCGAAGGTGTATTGCAGGTTCCAACCAGTCTGAGATTTTTGCACGAATCTGCCCACGACCTCTTTTGGGGCACCATCTGCGAGGTCCTCCGCGGTGTGCCAGACCTTGAGATTCTTGACAGCGTCACCGTTCTCGTCCTTTGACGGGCGCTCCCAAGTGATGATGTATGACCCGCGAGGGGAAAAGCCTATTTCGTACACGTTTGGCGTGGGCAGACTGGTGATGACGTGGCCGACAGATGCGTCAACAACGGTAACGCCCTCATTTGAAGCCCAGGCAAAATAGCGGCCGCAAGGGGAGTAGGTACAGCAACGCGAGTTTCCTTCGGGTCTCAAAAAACCAGGCAAAGGCTCGTAGACAGGCGCAGCATCCACGATGCCAATCTCCTTCAGGGTTCGGTATGCAAACTGCGTTGGGGCTGCCATGACTACTGAAAGTCACAGAAGGGTTCTTTGAAGCAGGATGTGGTGGTCGTTCTTGTTTCGAGGTCTTCGAGGTCGCTTTGGAGCTGGGTGCGACCTTGGGCGTGAATAATATCCTTTGTTGGAGGGGTTTTGTCGGTGAGAAATGAACAATGGGCTTAGGATTGAGTGTAGGGTACTCGAATCACACAGCTATGGCGATGACTTTGAGTATATTGGATATACGGATATTGGAGGATTGAAGACGAGGAATTGGCAGGAATGACTACACCGGTAGGAATAGATTGGCGGGTACCGTAGATTGAGGCGCGTGAGGAGGAGAGAAAGGGAAGAAGTTTAGGATGGATGCGGGCGTTGATTTTGTGTGTTCGTTCTTCTTGCAGGCGCAGGCCTTTAGCGAGCCGCGGGATGGAACGCCGCTAAGAAAAACAACGATTGAGTGCCGGGTGGAGAGCCAGGGGAAGCCGCAACTGATGTCGCGGGAAGAAAGCAGATCATCAACAGCTCATCAACAAACATTCGATAATCTGATAATGAAGTCGCTGTAGGTCAAATTGGCTCACGATTATATTAGTCGACCTTATGTCTCTTCCCTCGTAACGCACCTCCCTTTGTCAGCTCAAATTTTCTCAAACGCTGCGCTCAGCCAACGCCCCAATTCCTCGCTGCAAGGCTGACTTGGCTGGATGCGAAGGATAGATCTAGCCTCAACGGTTGAAGGTCTGTTTTGCTCTTCGTGCAACGCCGCAACGGCTGTTCTAGCGGTGATTGAGTCAGTCGCTGCTTGCTTTGAAAGTTTATCATGACTAGCGTAGTAACACGTTATGACTACCTCCGTTGAAGATATGGTACTAACGTTAGTTTCTTACTTTTGGGTGCATAAAGAGACTCGATCCATAGATGATAGAACTACTGTGATCTGGCGAATATACCAAATGTTTCTTGGGGAATCAGGAAGGTAATTGCAGTCCGATAAGATATTTCAGATATATTAAATCAATTACTATTGTGAAATCTAAGCCTCTAACTATTAATAAACCGTTATTACAACTTTTCCGAAGCCCTAGCTTCAATTGTCTTTTCAACAGCGTTATTTTCCACATCAATCACCGCGTTTTCATCACCTTTAATCTCTCCTCTCTCCAAGGCCAACCTCTCTTGATGTCTCTTCGCTCTCGCCGCTCGTTTCTGACCCTTCTCGTTGTCCTCTCTCATCTGTTTGATCATTGGACTCCTGGCTCTAATTCTATCGCCCCATTTGTAAAACACGAATGGAATAGGAATCAAGGCGATTTGAACCAATCCCAAGAGTGTTCCCGCCCAATGTGGTGTGAGAGCTTTGTACATTGCAGGTCCGGCAAGTGGCAAGGTTCCACCGAGTGCTGATCGAACCACCGCGTTTCCAGCGAGCGCAGATGCTGCGTAAATTCCGTATGATCCTGCTAGATAGTTCGAAGCGTAGATAAACACAAGGCAATTTCCAGCGCCAAAAGGAACGCCTGCTAGAATGGGCCAGATCCAATGAATGGTGACTGGAGTAGCGGTCCATGAGAACCAGATCTGTCCGATCGGGCACAAAAAAGAGGCAAAGCAGATGATACTGACGGATGCTTCAGGGTAGGGTCGTCCAGTTTCTGGGTCTTTCGGATGCGAGTTGATGACTCGTCGAGCGAATGGTTCTGTTGCAATTGCAATCATTGTACCAACACCGATGCCAACGAAGGACAAGCCAGTGAAACCTTGCGACCAACCACGCTCGCCGCTGTAAATTAAAGGATATGCCACGAAACAAAGATAAAGTATGCCGTAAATAATCTAGCAAACCATGGAATCAGTTTTGGTCACACGGCCAGAGAATATATGACTTACCGCAATATAAGCATTCCAGAACCACAGAATAGGCTCTGTAAATGACAATACAAAGGGCCTCGACAAGTTGACCTTGAAGAGCTGTAGCACTATGGGTTGTCAGTCTTGAGTCTAAAAATTGAAAATGATGACTTTACAGCTCATATGATTGTCGTATCGACACCAGTATCTATCGTCACCGGTCTCTTTTCGCATTTTTGCTGCTTTCCTCTTCAAGATGCTTGGGGCGTACGTCTCTTTAATCATAGCGCACATCATCCAAGCAACGCCTGCTAATATCATGACGATCCAGTTCGTCCACCTCCAGCCCAGATATTCTGCTGCGAATCTACAACAAGTCAGAATGTCTTCTGAATATCAATCGATGAGCTAACTTACCCTCCGATTACAGGACCTACAACCGGACCATTCATAGGGCCTGAAAAAAAATTAGAATGTCTCAATGAGTCTGAGGAATGTTTTTACTGACCTATAGACCATATACTAAAAGCAAGCGCACGGTGGCTATCATCCACTATATCCGATACTGTTCCTGGCGAATTAGATATCATTGCAGCACCTGCCAAAGCACTGCCATTTTATTAGCTCTAGAACGATCTGTAGAATGGAAGAACTTACCCAAAGAAGCGCACAACCAGTACCTCCGCCAACGAAGTGGCCAATGCACAGGGCAAAACCAACAGACAGAAAGCAGCCAGAGCTCCGATGTAAACTGGTCTCCTTCCATATATCTCACTCAAAGGTGCCAGTACCAAACTTCCTACCGCCAATCCAAGCAAGTACATGGTCACTCCAAGCGTGGCCACAGGCTCACTTCGAAAATCAGTAAGATATTTCAAGAGGTCTGGGACTGTAATGAGTACCTCTCTACGCCAAACTCCTTCATCATGCCAGGCATGCTGCTGGTGTAACTGGTACTATACATCACGACCACCAAAGTCGCGAAGCTCACCGAGAAAGTGATCATACCACGGTACCATAATGGCCAGCTCCTTGGATCGTCTGGGTCGTTTTCGGTAAAGTCTACTTCGAATGATGGAATACGCGAGCCGGTGGTAGCGAACGACGTTCCTGTCTGAGTTTGCGTCAAATCGGGTCGAGCTGTTTGTTCAGCTTCGGTGAAAAGATTTGGTGTTAAGGCGCGTTCCAGAGGCGACAAAGGATCTGAGTCTCTAGAATCATCACTGGAAGAGCTCGAGTGCGAATTCCTTGGTGAAATGTGAAGTTCCTTTTCGACATGGTCCCTTGACGTTGAGGTACGCGTCGGAAAACCCGCGGTGGAGGATCCCATTTCCCTCTTTTCATCATCCATGCTCGACATTATTCTGGTTGCACTTCGAGAGGTTTTTTTCCGCGAAATAACCACTACGTTGACATGCCTTGGGCGATAGGTGTTACAAGCAGAAGTTCGTGGTACAGGCGATGGGGAAAGTGTGACTTTAAAACGCGTATCGATCTAGACGTACGAAAGTGGGACTGGCTGTGGAACATGTCATCTGTAGATGCGAAGGTGAGTTGAAATACGAGTGAATGTTCCGGTGACGAGAGAGCGATGTTGGTCGTCTTTTACGAAGACGTCGACGGAGTTAGATGGGGATAAGGGTTTGGCAGTCGAGTCGAATCGGAGAAGAAGCCAAAAAGAAAAGGTGACTGACTGGGACGGGAGTCATTATGGATAGTGATTTGAGCCGGTACAAGTACTCTAAGCTCAGTCGAGGCGGTTGCAATTCCGCATCCACATCGATTATTGCTGTCGATCGCGACCCCTGGAAAAGTGGATAGGAGATTGTTCGACTCTTTCGAGCGAAAGCATTGACGAGCGAGACGAGGAAAGAATCGTCTTTCCGCCGGCTTTCTTTTTATACCAATCCTATCCTATACATGCTTTTGGATTGAGGTTCATCTAGAATATATCACCGCTTGCTTGATGTCCACGATATCTTAATATTTACTGGCAAAGGGTTCCGCTCTGCAGCAAAAAACATCACGCCTACCCCATTTTCGTGGTATTCATTCAGCCTGCGGGGTACAGTAGTAGCTTACCTTGGGGAGCTCCAGTCTCCAGCACCCAGAATCCAGATGCTGTGATTTTCTTTTTCGGGGAGTTCTTGCTCCAAATGGCATGGATCGTGCCGCATAGCCGGTTGCCCGTCCTGTCAAAGCTGTCCCGTCGCGGTCTTGCAAATGCGCCAGACGATTCGGTTAGGGCTGATTGCAAGTGACATACGAGTACCTAGGGTAGGTAATAGCACTCCCCAAGTACTCCGTACGTACAGAACATTGTCGGTGTAGAAAGCACAATCTCTCTCAAAGTCCCAGAAACTCCGAGCAGCAGATGCCGTCAATGCGCTCATATGAATATTGCTGAGCAAGCATCGACACGGTACCTAATCTACCTATTCCGTTCCAGTACCCGTCTCGTCCGACATAGGCAACTCACACCGATAAGCATGAGGCTCAAGTACTTGTGAAGCTTGGACCACGCTTGACCTTGGCCGACAGGCCAGCTCTTTTCATGCCTGGTGGCCTGGAAACAACAGCATCTGTTTCAGGCTCCTAGACGCGCTTCCAAACAAACCCGCGTCTAAACTGGACCAAGCTCATGGAAAAATAAGGTAAGTCCTTCAATTTCAACTCGAGTCCACACCACATAGCCATCGATCTTCCTTTATTCGTCTCGCCTCAATCAAATGGCCAACAGCTATTCGAAGCCAAGAGTCACGAAGAATGGCAGAAAAGTCCAATTGAGGTACTGTAGAGCTCGAGATTCAATACACTTTTCAGTCACTGATGCGACTTGAATAGCTATGAATTGCCTCATCGGATACACACTGTCAAAGTATACCCAATCAAATCACCGAACGACTCAATCATCATACTCTACGGCCATGAAAACGGGGTAAGGATAGTCTGGAGAGGTGGTAGACCATTCAAGGAACCGTCAGAAACCCCCACAACCGCGGAAAAGACGAACGGCCGGACAAATGCGGTGATATCTCTGGACTCTGATGATGAGGGCGGCCCTCCGAAATTTGAGGATAAGCCGGAGTTCGAAGACGAAGAAGATTTGGATCCATCCATACAATATCCGGAAATACTGCAAACACTCGACATACACTTTGGGACACCCGTACTCCAGTTAGCAACACTACCTAGTTCAGTGCTAAAAGCAGAAGGCGCAAGCTGGCAAGCGTTTCAGCCCTTGCAGCAGAAGATAATTTTCGCTGCAGGATGCGCCGACAGCAGCCTGAAGCTGGTAACTTTACCAACAACACCACCATCTCCCATAAGCAAGGATCGATCCGAATTCCGAATATCTTTTACAGAGGCTTACGCAGGAAAAGGCAATTGGGGGGAGACTGTCACATCCTTGACAGGGTCGCGCCAGGCATCTGCTGGTATTTCGTTGACCGCTAGAGTCGAGAATACGTCTAGTTCGTCGAGAAGCACTCCACAAATCATTGTCGCATCACATACTCCGGAAGTTAGCGGGGTACTGTACATGTACAAAGTCTCTACAAAATCTCCAGAAGCACACCTACAGCCATTTCAAAAGATATACCTATCATCCCCTGCCAAATCTATAGCATTCAACCCGTCATTGGATGGACAGCGATCAAGTCACTTATTAGTAGCGGACAAGAAAGGGGCATGTCGAATCTATGACTATGCGAAACTGTCAACCACCTCTGACGAAGGTACCGAAGGGAATGTCATCCAAGAAGGCACATGGCTACTTTCATTATACACCCGATTCGAGAGCCCAAAGAGTAATCAACTGACACCTCGGTTGATTGGTTCACATACTGGTTTTGGAAGAAAGCCTATCGTTGATGCCAAATGGGTAGCGGCTGGAAGAGCTGTGATTGTCCTATTAGTGGATGGCGAATGGGGAGTCTGGGATATCGAAGGAGCCGGACCCGGCGCTTCGAAAGGCTTACTCGGACCACAAGGTGTCAAAACTGGCGCTATATCGGAATACAGTCTGACTGGCTTCATCGATGCTGCTCGTAAAACACAGCAAAGCGGTCCCCCTCAAATCCCCGGAAAGTTTATCCCATCAACACCATCTGCGAGTCGATCTCTAGCCTTGTTTGGCAGCAAAGCTAACGTGGAAACTGGTCATGGCGAAATATCTGTGATGGATATTTCCTCGTCTGTCTCCAAAAACATCCTGGATGAATCTATTGTGTTTTGGCTAGGACAGACATATACCCAGATACCAAACCTTTCCAAGTACTGGCGTGCGAACGCAGGCAAGAACGCCGACAAACCTTCTGGGAATGCGTTAAATAACGCTTCGGGCTCCGTGGCTGTGCGATTGAACCATGTGAATCTTCAAGGCGAACGCTGTTCCGGCATAGACCAAATCCCAACAACAAATTCTGGTGATCTACCAACGGAACTAATTGTTCTCGGCGAACATCGCTATATCATCTTATCAACTCCGTCCATCAGCAAGCAGCCAAAACCTAGGGCAACATCTAACAATTTGGCTTTGGTGGCAAGGAATTCAACGACATATGGTGACTTGACAGTGATGGACATAGATCAAGAGCTAGACAAGATGGAATATCGAAGTTCAAAACGCAACAAGCTGTTTTAGGTGTATAGAATTGACACGAGTAGCGTCGGTGTAATGATTTGGATTAGGAATATTGGCCCCCAGATACCCCAAAAGACCAAGAAATTCCCGTACTGATTTACTCAAGACGTTTTCTCGCTTCTTATGTGTTAGTTTCCTAGCATTTGCTCACGCACCCATCTTTCCGATACCCGCAAGGCCAGGTGGAGTACAAGGCGAGATCAATCCTTGCAACTCTGTATTCCATGCGGGACATGAACCTCATCGTGCTTGCGATCTTTGTATCGACCTTCGCGCTTGAGCTAGGAATACTGTACCTATTCCTAAAATGTTACGGCATAAAAAGGATTGTGGAGGTTTCCTAGGCCAGTATCTACTGCTACTTTTATGCTCGTCAAGGCCTTCGGGGTCTCGACATGGTCATGTTGTGGTTTATATACTCTGGTACATGTCGACTGTCTCAAAGCGACAAATTCATTAAATGGTAAGCAATATTTTTTTCTCCCCTCCAATTTTTACAGCGATATGATGAACAAATCATAGCTTTTTAACCCTTAATGGAGTTTGACTCCTTGAAGACCAAAAAACAACTCTAATTTTTTCCTGAATGCTGAATCCTTCGAACGAAATTGTCTTACTTTCTGGGGATGCACATGCTGACTATTCTACAGTTCAACCTCATTAGACAGATTCCATATCATACCCCACTGTGTCGTTCGACTGTGAAACCCAGACCTGTCAGTATCAAGTGGCACATCTTAATTTTGACCTCACAAGATAGACCTCACACTACTAGCCCTCCAATATGCCACTCAGCAATTCTTCTAGGTCGTCTTATAAGAACGCTTCACCGGGTCTCAATAAACTGGGAAATAATCATCACCCAAATGTAATGTTCCCTTGTCAAGACTACAGAGCAAACACCTTCTGCAATCCCACTAAACAGGCTCGTAATATAGTAGAAATGCTTAATTTTCATTACATCTTCCCTCCATTGAAATTTCCACAAACCATCAACATAACCTCAACACTCAAACCCCTTCTTTCCCATTCAACCCCAACACTCTTCTTCTCCCAACGCCTTCCCCCACACCTTCGCACTCAACTCGTAAAATCAGCAACCTCCTGCTTCGCCCCCTCCACAGGCTTCACCCACGACACCCTCGACCTCGTAAACAACTCCACATCCGGCACAAACTCCTCGGCGGCATCCACCCCATCCACACACCCCGCCTTAATCACAATCGTCCCGGGATACCCGCTCGACGACCGATACAGTAGTGAGCCACAGGTCGCGCACATATCTAGATACATTATCATCAGCACCATCCCATCCCCTTTCCTCATCCATTTATCCCTCGCGCGCTTGGGGAGTTTGGGGGGACATACGATTCACCATCTCATTCCCACTATCCACCCTCTTCGCCCATGTTTTTAGTTCGCCCCGGAGGACCGTGAGGGAGGTGTCTGGGTACAGAATGTTCAGGGCGAAGGCTGCGCCGGTTAGTTTCCGTTCGTCGAGGCAGTGGCAGCGGAATTTTAGGAGGGGGGTGGGGGCGTAGGATATGGCGGTGTGGGTGCAGAGGCAGGAGGATTGTGGCATTGTTTTGGGTGGGTGGAGGTGGGTGGTGGGTGGTGTGCTTGTGAAATGGGTGTTGATAGGGTGAGGAAGTGGTGATGTGATATGGAAGTAGACAAGTAAGTTGTTATTGTGATATTATATTTTATCTAGAGAACCAAACCTCTTTATATACGATGACTCAAGTTTCAAAATCCGTCGTAACTCCTTACCTCCTTATCTCCATTCCTACAAATTCCAAATCTCCAACTCTTCACGATCACATATCTTTCCACTTCTTATTTTCCCAAAATGGTAATATGGGCACAAAGTGAGTTGCGCCTCACGTTTACTACCTATGTAGGCACGAAACGTTTGGGCTGATTTGACTGGGCGGTGTTGAGTAATCGGAATTTGGGATGCTTGAATGGGAATTAAGGGGGAGTGAGAGGATGAGTGAGATTGAGTTGGGTATTTGCGATAGTTAGGTGAGGTGAGGTGATTAGTGATCTTACACAACCCTTCCATGCTGGACATCCAATCCAAGATGCTCAAACCAAGTCATCCTCTGTCTTCTTCAACTTGTTTGTTCGTGCAATATGCTTCACTCCTGTTTTTCGTGGAAGGATAGTTGATGTTGTGGTGGGTGGGTGAGTGGGTGAGATTGGGACCAAATGTGTGAATAGTTGTTGAGTGTAGGATTGTTTGTGTAGAATTAGGTGTGCGGTGATTGGAATATAATACAAAACTCCCAGACCATGATCTCGATTTTCTCTCATAACACATTTCTCGTACCCGCTATCCTAAATGCCACTTCCTATCACGACTTGCACAGAACGACACGAGCTATGATCAGCACCGGCGAAGACGAGACATTCGCAAAAGCTAGGTATGGAATTCATAAAGTTTTGACTAGGTGAGAAGAATTACGATGAAATTCCTGGGAGAATATATTGGACGCTGAAGTCTGACCTGCAATGAAAAATCTTAGAGACTGAGTACTTGTACCAAACATCTATGATCTCTCAGCTCATGCTCTTTCTCACCTTTTATATATTAAGCAGTGCACCAGCGGCATTGCTTTCTACACCTCATGACTGCTCTTCTCCTGCCACAAAGGCATATTTCTTTTTACCACGCCATCTACTCTGTACACATCCAAGATTTATCTCCGGTGCACACGCGCAGCTATCCTAAGGTGATTTTCTCAAGACGGTTCTAGATGATTTCACAAGTTATTTTGCTCCCTGAAGAGCAGTACAAGTAAGCTACATCTCAGATAGGACATTTTATAATTGACTTTGTAATATTTGCATTTTCTAGGTTCCTTCTTCGGTGGATTTCCATTGTTTGGAGAGATATAAACAAAATAAGACTCCACTAAGCCACCGATGGTCTTTCTGTATTTAGTGAAACTTCGTTATTGTCTTTTGACGGAGAAATGCGACATTAAAATTTCTGTCTTCATCCTAGGCTCAGCTAGATTGTATAGATGAGATTATTCCCAGCTTTTGTTTTTGCGATTCAATGGGCGGATGACGTCTTTTATGAAACTATGTGTAAATCCCCTTCATTCATACTTCGAGTCTAGACTTGAAAACCCCTCGCTGGGGTCTTGATAGGATCTATAAGTGGCTGCTTGCAACGACAAATTAATCTACTTCAACGCTTTCGAGCGAGCGAAAAGTCATTTAATTTACACGCCTGGTAAGCGGTGGTTTCCTCGGCTTACTTGTATGTAATACTTTAGGGGATCCAAGTTGGGCTTTCAGGAATTTGTAGACTAGTCATTGGAGCTACAATTAGTCAAGGTTGGGTTTGTTAGCTGCGTGTCATCGAGATTGTCAAGATGGTGGAGCCGACTTACAGCCCAACCTTTGTCTTTCTTCAATAGCCAACCTTTTCTATAGAACTAAACAGCGGATTTTTCTATGGCCAATGTAAGGTTGGCAATGTATAATCATCTTTAGAGCAATCTTAACTCCACAGTATCGCTTTACCAGGTCATTTCCCTACTGTCCAAGCCGAGGTAACCCTAGCGACAATTCAAGAGGAAGCATGCTTCAAAAACTGCCGAGGAGGACTTTGAAATTTCCCAAAGCAGTCACATCTTAGTCATAGCATATTGTCATCTACTCCAATGTATCGAAAATAGTTGATTCCTGCACTTCCACCATTGTAATCTCCTATGCAGGACAGGACTGCAGCTATGACAACATGAATTTGCGACTTCGATGAATCATGAAAACAAAGCAAAGATGAACACATGGGATCAACTGTCCATGTGAGCATCAAGTTCTTTCTATTGAAGATAACAGTACCAGTCCTTGTCGATAGCGTAGGCACTTTGACTGTTGACACTCATCTCTTCAGCGCAAAGTTACAGATCTTCCTTCTACCGTATGGCAAGCACTTCAGTCTAAACAAGGACGATCCAAAAGCCCATCTGCGTGTGTTCAAAATTCGGTAAATAGAAAGCCCCCGCTGTGTTCCAAGCCAGTTTTCACGAGACTTGCTTCAGCAATACGGCCAGCTTATTAGAAATATGAAAGCATCTGAAACGAGATTTCGACATCCTGAATGGCGTCTTAGACATACATGTGCTGCAGCTTTATAGAGAAGTGATTTCTACGCTACACAACGCCACTGATATTTCGGTGTGTATTACATGGATCTTCCTCTTCCTGTCTGCAAGTGGGTGGTTGTTGGGCAATCAGATGTTCAAAGCAAAGTAGGAATATCTGAAAAGGAGTATACAATCTTCCCCGGGTTTTCGTCTCAGAAAGGATCGATACAAACATTCAGATTCCTTTTTCGTAAAAGCGCATAGGCTCTGAAGGACAAAATAGGCATGAACGTCCAATTAAAAGATTTGGCACACATCTTTACCCCTGTGGAGAACGGAGTTCCTGAAAGCGATGAGGACCTGCTTTGCAAACTTGGCACGACTCTTCGGCTGCTGAATTATTTCTGGGATCATTTTGAATGAAGTGATGTCGAGAATGCCAGTTTCCTATAGACTGGCTAGAGCTTGAGGAGGCATGAATGGTTTGGTATGACAAGCTTAACACGATAGTAGGCTATTTTGCATCATATCTCTATTGATTCGTAGGCAATACTCTACCCTTGAAGGGAGATCTTCGTCAAAGCCACAGATACAGGCGTGATTATAGGAGAAAGGGGCGTGCTTGCTTTGATATTTGGAGCTTTAAGAGCCGCAACTATACATAAGAATGCTTTTTTAAGAGAGCAGTTTCTTCGACATCATCCATCAGCCGTGGTATACCAGAGGTTATGTACGGCTGTCAAATCTATGAAGTTCAACTGAGCAAACGTATTTGCAGTGAAAGGGAGTAGCTGTGAGGGATCTTGGTTTCATTTGTGGCGGAGCTGAGTGTGGTACGTTTGGATGAGTGAAAGCCCAAGAACTCTTCCAATGTTCCACAGTTTTAATATAATGTAATCAAAAGTAAGTGCTGTCACCTTCTAATCACATCTGATTGTGTCAAGTCGTCAAAGATTATTACATCACTTCATACGCCGATCATATCAGTAACAGAAGCGCCTCAAGCGCTTTCAGAAAGAGATATACTTGGGCTTCTTCAGCTTCGTTGACTCTTTGAGGAAGACATTTAATTAGTTTTTACTTGAATAACTCAACTTGAGGCACTCACAGGTCGGTAGTATCATTTGCTGAGCGGACAATGACTGAGATCATTGACTAGTCAGTTTGTACATAATGCACCCTCGCGCCGCAAGTGCTTTTCGTGCTCCACACTTCAACACGATGAGTATTTCATAAATAGAAGAGCCGAAAAGTCAACAGTAAAATGTGATTTCGTACAAGTTTACCGCCAAGAACGGCGAGTTAAGTAGAGAAATGAAAATGTAAGCTAATTTCACATGTCCAACAAGCCAAGAACTCCAACCTCAAAGCGCATCCAAACAACCTCCCAATCCCAACACCCACTCCCCACGAATCTCCACAACAGACCATGAACACCCAACCCAACAATCCTGCAGAACATTTACGTGAGTCCAACCACCATCGATAGGTCCCCATTTCTTAATTTAAATTCCCCATGATTGGCAAAGGGAGTACTGCCAGCCAAGACGGTACCAACGGCACCCAGGTCGTCGTACCCGCTTATTTCGCAAGGCGAAGTTGGAAGTGATGTTTGTTGGCGGTTTCGATGCTGGCTTGGCTGGCTTGTTGGTTCTTGGGATGATTATTTTTTTCAGCTTCTTCAGCTCTTGCTGTTGGAAGGGAGGGGGTTGGCGTTTTCTGGCAAGGGCGAGAGGGGGAGGAATGAATCGGTCATACGGTGGGTTTTGGGACCGATGGTTACACGGAAGGAGTGATGCAAGGAAGTTGTAAATGGTATATGTGATTAGATACTTCAAGTGCCAAGGATATATACATATATGATATGCTGAAGAAGCAATGGTATTTACAAGCCGACTCCTATGAGTGTTATGCCGAACAAAAGAAATATGATGGCTAGCTTGCAGGGCAAAGCTGCTTTATACAAAAAAACAACGAGAACTCCGAAGCCATGACAATGCTAGTATGCTTATATACAATATATGATGTGATAATCAGAACGGTGGAATGACATTCGCTGTACAGCGCAAGACCCAATACGCCTAGTTTATATGCAAATATGTTATGTACCCTTTCCCTTGGCTCTATCCGAGGTAATCGAGAGACACGCTTTTTCTTTGAATGATGACCTTGTGTATCCAGGACGCGACGATGTAGGAATATGCGTAATACATGAAGTTTCTTATTTTGGGAGCTCGCTCACCTGAACGGCATGTGGAAGAATAGGTTTTTCGCCAGCCGAGAGATCGGTTTGTGGCGTTTCGAATGTGTATTTGACCCAGCGTTCTGTCAATTTCGCGCAGAGAGGATCGACGTATTTCGTCCAGTAATGTGCGACAGTGTATAAGATGACGAACCAAATTGGAAGCCAGCACCAAAATCGTGCCCTTGAAGGTGGGGGAAAGTTGTGTCCAGGTTCCCTTTTTCCATCTTCATGGATAATATCTGCTGGAACTTGGAATCCATAATACATCCATACCAAAATCGTTCGAAGGAGACTGCCGTGGAGAAGGTATACAGCGAAGGAGTTTTTTCCAAAGTAAAGGAGATATCTGTTTGATAGGAAATTCTTCGCGGATGGTGAGAAGTGGATGCCGAGAGCGACAAAATTGAGACCGAGTCCAGAGTACGCTCGTGGCGTTTCGTTATCGTGTGGGAAAATCAATACAGACCAGTGACCCATTTTCGTGGACCAGTGAACCCAGTCTACATGATTTTCCGGGTAGGAAGCGAGGATAAGTCCGATGAGTATGAGAATTGGAGCGAGGAATCTTTGTGGCCATTTGCGAGCTTGGCACCAAGCGATGTGACTAGGACTTTGTGAGAGGTCGGAAAGGAAGACACCAAAGAAGAATTGCATTCCAAAGGCAGCTAAAATTGTCAGAATGCGTGACAGGAAGCAGATCAATAACACAAGACTTACGTTCATTGCCGATGTAGTTGTACAAGTAAAACCCGAAAGCGGCCATCATCCTGAATCTTGGTTTCAAATATGCTGTAGCCACCAGGAACATGTACACCGTCATGCTACCCTTGAGCAAAGGAAGTAAAGTCCACTGGTTTTTGTCGTATACGTTCCACATCTTCGTCCAAGTGGTGATACAGTTTAAGATCAAATCCATGACGGCTTGTCCAATGTACGGTGTCATGTTCGGCGAAGTATAATTGAGCCACCAGCCTTCCACCCTATTCGCAACCTCGAATACACCGAACTGGGTAACGAACCAGATGAGAATTGTAGCGATCGTGGTAGGAAGCATAAGTCTTGGTACTCGTCTAAATGCGCTCTTTGCAAGTTGCTGCATCATCAATTCTTGCTGTCCTGATCTACACTGTCGTATCGGTTTCAGAGCACAAACGTAACCTGTCACCAAAGAGAATATCGCAACTCCTACTCTTCCTTGGAACATAATCCGGATGATGGGCCATTGTGCTACTCGCGGCTTGGCACCTTCGGCGTCGGCAGGTAGGAAGAGACCTTCGTCCCACGATCTCGCAATGTGTGTGAGGACAACAAGAAGAGAAGCAAAACCCCGGAGACCCTAAGAACAATCAGTAAACTACCCATCAGGGTAAAATGAGGCAAATAGAGTCAATGAGGATTTGGAAACAGTAAAACTTACATCAACCCATTTCACATTCTCGGCCTTGACAGCCATATTGAAGCCTCCTGTCTCTCAAGCCGATATAATTTTATATCTTCCCAGTCCAAAGGCTTTGTCAAAAAGCGTGCCTGTCGGTCCCTGATCTTTCCGGCGCTCTACAAACTCTCGAAAACGATGGTGGGAGGGCTGGAGAGTAAAGTTAAAGTTAACTGTATTTCAATGACAATAGGCGAAAACAGCCAATGCAGTACGTAAAGAAGGTCGTTATTGTTTGCTAGACGTCAAAACAAAAAGAAAGACTTGCAGAAAGGATGTCAAGATCACAACAGGAGGATCAAAACTAGGGGAGCCAACCCTTATGAACATCCAGGCTTCAGAAGCCCCTACGATATCCTGCATGACTTGAAGTCGGGAATGAGCTGCCACCGTACATGAGCCCCCCACTGGACAAATCAACTGGATACCACCGTGGGCATGGGTACCCATGCGCCTGGGGCGTGAAATTTATTTTCGACGAAACACCCACAAAATTTATCCGACAGCCAAGCTGGCGCGTCTTGGTGGCTTCCGAGATGCCGGCTTAGCATAGATCTGGTGCGATCTCAACGTCGTGCTATTTGAGGAGAGTTGAGGCTCTGAAAGCTGGGCCGACGATGCTCATTACTTGGGGTTTGTGATTGGGACTGTCCAAGTCCTTGTGTATACTTTGCGGTACACAGCAGATGTCAGGGGCTTGTCTTGTGTCAATTCATGTGACTGTGCCGAAGGACCGGAGGAGCTTGGAGAGGAGGAGCGTACTCGTACTCCGTAGAGAAGTGTTTAGTGTGTTATTGAGCCTCGACTCGCCGGCCTTTTGGGGATGCAAATCAGTGTCTTGAGACGTGGAGGCGTTGAAGTGATCCAACAACGCCGTACAGCAGCGCCAAAGCGCTATAGCCTACTACCAGCTATGAATTTACGGTTGTTCGTGGCAGTATGACCTCCCTTTATTGGTGAGCAAAAGCAATGATTTTACCTATGATGGAACAACAATGGTGGCTTTGGTGTAATAATCCGCTATGTACTTCGAGGAAAATGCACAAGGTTTAATCTGTACAAGCTACGGACGGTGGCAGCCATCAGCCATTCTCTTTGGATGGAGGTAAGCTACCAGGTGCCGTCGCTCGTGCTTCCAGCCAGGTTTTGAGAAGCGATGCGGGAGTGGCTGTCCTTCTGACCAGTAGTTTGCAGCAGCGCAAAAAGCGTTGTTATCGACCTCAAACTAAACCCCAAGAAAGGGGACTTGGCATCGCGGGGACGCAGGTTTGAAGTTGGTACTGCAACCTCGCAAGATCAAGCACATCACCATCCTCATGGCGGTAGGATTTAGGTACAGGAATACACAATCTGTAACTAAGACAAAGGTATGAACTATACACTCAACAACGTATAAAGAGCACTTGAAGGTTACTATGGCCTCAGAATACATTTACATGAAGACCAAGTGGACGATCCTGGTCTAGCCAACTGACTCGGGTTACAGTAGGTGCAATCGCTCGCTTCGCGAGCCTTGCACCTGCCAACTTGGAACCAACTTTTCACAGCGCACCCTAGACTCGCTGTGCCCTTCAAGCAAACTAAAGGGATAAAGGACTCCAGAGGACGAATCTAAAGTTTGGCCAAGAAGACAGCGCGGCTGGTCCCTGCGCCTAATCCATGAAACGGATCTGGTGTCCTCTCTCTTCCTACGTCAGCGAGGGGTCTTGAGCCATTGGATAATGGGATTTTGGTCCAAACAACCAATTAGAATAAGATGACGAATAAATATAGGGGAGTTGCTCATGGACTGCGTAACGGTAGCCGGAATTGGACAATTCGAATCTCGGACCAACGACGAAATAGGAGTCCTATTCGAAGCGGAAGCGAGGAAGCGAGGAAGTGGCGGCTTGTTTGAACAGGGCATACATAATCTGTTGCGAATCCATACTGAAAGAACCGCTCGGTATTACAAGAATGGCCGTTTTACAGCTTCAAGACTTCACGACACTGACTATGAAAGCTTGCGAGGTGTTGTAACAACCAGGTCTCTGGCATAAACCCATTTCTATTTCGAGGTCCGCTCAGTCATCAATACTGGAGTTCTATACGAGTACGCGTCGCACAGAGAAAGGATGTCAGAACAAACACAACAGGTGTAGCACTGCATTCCAAGCCATCGGCTTATCACCTTGACAGCAAAGACAATGTCTCTTGTAAGATGATATGATACTCGAACACTCTCTTTCTCGTCATCATTCATCCGTTCAGATCGCCATGTTATTATGAGCAGTGGAGGACCACGCGTTCAAGCTTTGACGGGACGAAAATGGAAATCCAGGTCCACGGAACTCCGCTCTACGGGACAACCCATACAAAGCCTAATTTACACATACTGCGCTTATCAGAGTTTGGGATTAATTGTTTGGTTGTGATTCTACACTATGACAGCTCACTATCAAATCCACTGGGAGATGTGATCTGATCATACACCGAAGTGTGTTGCGAATCATTTGACGTCGACATGGCAATAGCTACGTTATATACCGTGAGGCTGAGTACGACCAGATTCCATCCAAAGTCTTCGATATTATTCTTTTCAACGAGCTGAGTTCTCGAGATCATTATTGACAAGAATCAATTTCATTACGTCCCAAAGCATGCGAATTCCAGGAGTCGAACGCGTGGCGATGGCGTACGCTCATTTCTGGTTGGTGCAATCGAGACTCTCCTATCGCGGGGTTTTGATATCCAGTAAATAATGGAACTCCTTCAAATCTTCTGGATCCGAAGATCCCTCTAATCTCAAGTCCACGTGGAACATCTCCACATGTCCACTTCCCCTTTTCGGATCTGCCTGGACCTCGCTTAGATCGTCATGTGCTGCGTACAGCCTCTATGTTTCAAGCTAGCCTTTGGCATATGAGGTCAAATTAAGCTCATTCTTGAACTCTAGTTGGAGGTATCCGCTTGGCCTGTGGTTGCTCTAATATCAATTGCTTTGGGGGAACTTATTAATAGTTCTGAAGCTCGCCGAATTTTCTGTTTTGGTAACCTATTCAGATTCAGATAGTTCAATGGCAAGATAATACCATTCAATTTGTTGTGTTGGAGACTGTTGTCTGAAGAGAAGTTCGATAGAATTATATCACCTTGAGCTCCAAAGATTAATCATCTAAAGATGCTTCGGGTCAGCTTTGAGGTCCAGCCTTGTTAATTCGGGATCCAGACTCCAGTCAAGCGAAATATACGTCAACAGAATACGCAAGACGAGGCGTCACAGTAACGCAGGCTCTCTTTATTGGGGCTGGGAAGCAAGTTATTTTTATTTAAATCTAATGCATAACTTCGTCTTCTGAACTTTCTTACAAGTGTCTATTCATAAAAGCTAGTTTCGGCTTGAAACTATCTTTCATGAGATGTTGCTAACTTTGTGAGTAAATCTGTCTTTGAAGGTCTTGAAAACTTGAAAGTTGGGTTTTCCAACCAGCTGCCAGTTTCGATACTTGCATACCTTAGTTGGTATGGTGAACAATCCATTTTTGAATACGTGGTAGTAGTAGTATTATTTATTTCACCGCTTAGTTGCAATACATTTTGCTGTCCTCGGTTATGAGGTACAGACTTATGAAATTTATTACATTCATGAGTATATTATAAATGACCAGAAAAATAATCTTAACTTACTAATTGAACTACTGTTGAGTTTTCAAGGCCTGACGAGTGTTAGCACGTCAGAACGAACAAACACAAAGCTAGATGGAAGAAGATTATTTTTAGATTTGATTTTAAGTTTGTTTGTTTTTATGTGTGATCTTTTAGTCTATCTGTATGTCATGTATACTAGCTACCCGAAAACTTAGTTGCGACTGAGATTGATCAAAAGTTGGTTGAAATATTGCGGGTTTCAGAGTCACCATCATCCTCATGGAGACGTTTTCGCTTTTTCGTTACGACATCCCTTACCACAGTTTCATCGTCTATGTAATCACCGCTTGGAGACTGATCGATGAGTTTCAACGCAGCACCCTGCTGCTGCTGGTATTTTGCTACAATATCTTCGCTGCTCCCAACCAAAAACTCTGGAGCCGTCTGCTCCATATACTTCCTCCATGCTTGTGCTGCATTCAAAGGTGTATCTCGCCAAGATTCGGGCAATTTGAGAACTTCTTCCTTATATTCCGGGAAATTATTACACACGCTTATGTAAAGAAGCTTATGTAGACGCGCATAGGGGTTTTGTGGTGGCGATGGCTCATCGGGCATCTCCTCTATACTGAAGGTTTGAGAAAGTGGCGAGCTTACCACTGGCTTGCATGGGTTAAAGTTTGTGATTGTGTCTCGGCGAGAGCGAGGTACTGAAAATTTTGACTCAATTGAGACCAGATACTGTGCCAACCCCCGCATGTATTTGCTTTGTCTTCGTCTACTTTGTCTTCGTCGATTTGGCATGGTGTTGCAAATCAGATATATTCTGGTAGAAGTTTCGGTGAAAATACAAATTTCTGTTCTTACGAATTGTCGACCTCGCTGTTCTTTGTCATGAAGCTAGTTGTTTAGGGTTGACCCTCATTCTGGCTATGTATTTACTGTTTCTCTGAACATATTGACTTTTGGGCAAGTAAAAATGAGTTATGAAGTTAATTCCGACAGAATAGAGGTTTAATATATAATTTTTCTTTTATAAGCTCTATGAAAACACAATATACATATAAAGCAACAGACAATTTCTCCTTAGGAGCTGATCTTTCTAATCCCTTCCTATACTTACCAAGACCAAATAACTAATGCCCTAAATCGTCTTTGCCTTCCCTCATACCATCATACATTTCTATTTGTACTCTTGCCTCTTCGCTCAATTTATTTATGCTCCATGATGCAGGAGATATCGGAATCGCTAACGTCGTCATCGCTGTCCCAACGTTGATAGCGAGTTTTCTTTGTTGATTGCTTATATCGCCAATAGGCATATGTTCTACTGACTTTGGAAAATAGCCGGCGAGGGTGGCGGAGATGTATCGATCCACCAAATAAGGTTGGCATGATTAGGATTTGTTGTAGAAATAATTTTTTTGAATGCGTGTATAGTCGTCTTAGCAGAACGTCTTATTTGGAGATTTTTGGAGTGTTTGAAAGAATAGAGTTGTCTAATGATAAGGATGATCTGAGGTGTGAACTGCTTTTTATCAGAAATTGCTATGAGGAAAGTCCTCTTTTCAGCCAACTTTCGCCATTGTTACAACACCTCCTTTGACTCTGGATATAGACTTTGGGTCTTTGTTTCATCTTTTTGTTGATATATTTGGAACAAAGCTCAACAAGTCTTTTGTTCTTTGTAACAACAAAGCGAACAAAATCTCTTTGATATAACCGTAAAGATAAAGCTCTAATGCTTAAGATATAGTAGCTAAGTCAGATAGTGAAAAAGAACAATCCATTGTGTTTAAATCAGCTGCAAACTTTCACTTAATTAGACTCAGTCAATTTCTTGTCCTTCAAGATTGCTCCATAGAAAACCCACAAGCTCAAGACACTCGCGTTATAGCAATTTCTTTTTACAGCTTTTTACCTTGGAGAATCCCCTCATATAGCCCAAAATATGGCAACTCACCCAAGTTCTCAGCGATATAAGAGCACTGATATGGCACAAAAAGCTCTAAGCAAGCATTCAACACCGATCCGCAAATCATTGCCTCGGTTGCAGCAATACAAGCGGGGACAAGGTCTTAATTCCCCAAAGATCTGTCGGTCAGAAGCCCTTACAGCATGGCTCGCCCCTCAACCTCTTCGTGAACGTCCCAGAAAGGCCTGGCAGCAACAATCGTTACTCCAAAAGAAAAAACCTCGTCGTCTTGCTCTTCGCTCGGACTTATGGCGGACATGGAAAATAAGCGACTTCCCTGAAGGTGAGTTTTGGGGAGAACCAGACATGGACGAAAGAAACAGCGAATCCAAAAGACTATCCTTGATTGATGAAGACGAGAGCTGGACGGACAGTGACCTTGATGACGATTGTGCACTACCGCAGGCGGTATCACGAGATTTATCTAAACATCCACAATTTATGCCGGCATCAAATGTTCATTCCTCCAAACTGACAATTCGAAGAAATAATTCGTCAGATTCCTCATCAGATGAGGAGATGGGTATCGACGAAGAGCAAGCAGAAGCCCCAGACACGCTACCTCCTCCAGTCAATTATACCATGTCATCATTTGGTATCAACGAGTCAGAAGCCACTGACTACTCAAAATCGCATACAGATTCTCTCGAAAACATTTTCGATACTATTTTTCAAGAGTCAAGTTCTCAGTCAAAGGAAGAAATGAGGTTGTACTGTCTTGCCTCTGTCCCCAAGGTAGGGTCTTCTTAAAATATTAAGTAGAAAAACATGCTTTTACGCTCGAAACAATAATCAAACACCAATTTATGGTTCATCAATGATATTATCAGAGATAATTTTCTTTCTGTTCACTAAACGTAGATTCGCTAAATATCTTATCTGTGACAACGGAATAATTGATCTCCATAAATGCAAACACTTTTCGGTAGAAGAGTGTAGTCTAAAGAGCGAGGGATTTCACCGACCATAACGGAAAACACATCCCGTGGCATAAATCGTGACCAAGAAATCAATATAGGGGAAGCCTTCTCTGAGAACAACTAATTGGGTCAATGGTAAAGCCTTCTACAAAGATGACTAAATGGTGCGCCTTGCAAGAAAGCATGACCTTTGTAAGAGTGATGCTGTCCTTGAAATTTGAAGTCCTATGTTCAGGTGGTGTCTTTGTTGACTCATACCAGAACAGCACAACATCGTCTATTTTATTCGGGAAGAACACCAAGACTCATTTTCAGATCCAGAGTTCCATTAAACCCCTAAACTAAGAGGAAGCAAAAGGATTCCAACTAATTTTACACGGTAAGACGAGTAGGGAAAAAAAAGCACAAAGCAACAAGAATTCGACAATATGACTGACGAACACTACAGCTCGCTGAGCTCGGAACAAAAGCTCAAGATAGCTCGCCTTGAGCTGAGAGAAATTACTGATCGTGGCATACCAGAGCCAGGCCCTAAAAGAGAGACTACCAAAGTGCCTGAACCAGCGAATGAAGAGGACCATACAGATCATGAAGCATCTGAAATAGAGTCTTCATCTTCGGCCTTGGAACGAGTGAAGAAGGCGCTCAATGAGTTAAGAATCAAAGCAAACCTACCTCCTCTACCAACTCCTCCACCAAAAGCCTTCCAACCAACTCAAAAGGGCAGCTCGCTAGGTGGCTCTTATCCACGATCAAATCTCTGGAAAGTGTGGGACGAGTCTACAGAGATCTATGTACTGGATGGTGGTAGTCTGGTGACGGCTGACTTTGATTGTCTATTCTGAGCCAGGAGACAGAAGTGTTAAACGTATCTCGGTCAATATTAATAGTCAATATCAGTAAACCAGGAAACTAACAAATTGAAAAAAAAATCTAATTCTAACAAGCGTACCTAATGAAATAGAAAGTTCTAACCGATAAAGCATGGACATAGTTAACTAACAGCCAGATAAGTTTAGTTTCAAGCAAGTGTACAAAAACGAGCAACTGGATAAAAGGCAAGTAAATCAATTGATCTGACCACGTAACATAACGATAGAAACGTTAGATATACCTGTGTAGTCGTATATAATAACCCTCTTGTGTTGATCTACCACACGTCATTAGAAATCTAGGTCTGGAGAAGGAGGGATGTTGAGATGCTGCCGAAAACAAAAACCTAGCCTCCGGAACAGATGCCTTGTTCCAATAAGTCTAAACAGAAGAGTCAGAAGGTTCTAGACAAAGACCGGTAATGTAAGCTTTTTTCTATAAATGTCGGAACCTGCTTCCGAAAGGACAGAAGGACAGTCAGTTTTCACAAACTTGCAAACACACCGTAGATTCTGAGTATCATTTAGCGCAAAAGATGGCAGGTAGCCGTAAGTCGGTTGAGAGTGCGGTGACTGCTTGGCTTGACAGTCAGGACTCCTGGTACACAGTTCCCGAGGGGTTAGTGGCTACTAGAGCCAGCAGTATGACTATGGGCACCTGTTACACAGCTCCTGAGGGGTTAGCGGCTACTAGAACAAGCAGTATGAATTTAACTCCACCCAGTATGACTACGGACTCACGGCCGCGTTCTTCGAAGAACATACCAGTGGTAGCCATGAACAGCAGCTTGTATACGCGTGCCAACGGGTCTTCATTCACTTTACCAGTTCTTCGATTGAGAACGGATGTAGGCCCAGTGAGGCCAGTACAGTCATTGTCTGGGGCTTCGCTACCGACAATGACAGTACCCCCGTCGGCCGAGGCTTTTCATCTCCCGTATCCCCCCGTTTCTACACAGCTCGGTACATTACCAATGCTAGTATCGTCATCATCAGAACCTTCGTGGGCACAAAGACCTGTGCACCCGTTATCACGGAAGACATTACCAATTGGTCCAAGTCCGCTTTCACAGGTCCATACACCAGCCGAACCCTTGCAAAGGAGGCCCAAGAAAAAGTCATTCAAGAGGCAAGTCACTGGTTTATTTGAACCGAAGATCCTTCCAATCTTCAAAACAAAACCAGGGTTGTCACCCACGAAGAAGGTAGCAAAGGTTGGTAAAAGAGCGCTGAAGTACGTATGGACTCATGTCGTACGAACTTTCACTCTTGGCTGGGACAAGGGTGATGACAATTACAGTGTTCGTAGCTGGTAAGATCCTGGAAATCCAGGAGATAACACAGAAACCGTCAAATACGTTATAACCTGTAACATTATGCAAGACATAAAATACACCAAAAATACGGAAATTCCTGGTGGCAAGATTGTAACCATCCATTGCGTTTTCAACTGTAACATTATGCCCGATATAAGGTTGTACCAAAAGAAGAGGCGATCGCTGGAGTTAAGGTAACAACTTACTATTCAATACGTTAGACTTGTAATACTATGCTAGACATAAAATTACAACGAAAAAAGTTAGGAAATCCCTGGAGTTAAGGTTCGGCGGTCGGTTGGGTTAAGCCCCCCTATAAAGTTATGCAGGACATAAGAAGTTACACCCCAAAAAGAAATCAAATATCATTAAACAACAACTGACTACACCTGACTATGTGCCTGCTTGAAGAAGTGAATTATGACGAGCTATTTTGCATGAGCTGAACCTGAATGAAATGAACACGAGGAAGAATTGACACAAAGCACGAAAGATCTCCTTTGTGTTCGTCTGCATTTTTGGGGTTCTGACACCCTTCCACAGACTTTTGTGCATTGTAATGAAATTTCTTTCAATGAAAAGAACGAAGACTCAATGAACGTGCAACAACAAACGTCAAGCACTAATCTGAAAACTAAGAGGACAGAACACTAAGAGATACCGGGGAAGCTGCCCATTGTTCTACGGCAGCTTAGAAAACAGAGCCAAATGTGGCGTAATAAGACAGGTCGCTCAGCTCGTCAGGCTGATATAGCCTGTTACGCTGTAAAACCGAACACAATTGCTATCTCTACTCAAAATCAAAAGTGCCGAAAAACAAAAAAGAAACGCAATGCCCGAAAAAAGGACAGATTCAGAGTGCTCATCCTCCAGCAAATCAGAGGACGGGACATTCACTCCACCAGAACACAAAACCCTAGAAATAACATGGGATGACGAAGAACTTGAACTCCTTGATTCCATCACCTCAGTCCGATGGCATCAATTCTACGTTTGTCCGGGCTGGCTCGGCTTCATCATTCCCCTACGCCAATTCATACTCAAGCGACCTGGAAACAAGAAGTTATTCTATGACTATGGACCTTCGCCCGCGAAGAAAGCTTATGATCCGTCCGAAGCCGTAATGTCTGGTGGATTAGGAGAGGGAGATCCTGTGACGATTGAAAACCGCGTGGTCCTGCCGGGTGTGTTGGAGATGGGTGAAATAGATACGTTGGTCAAGACGCAGAAGTATCTTACTATTTATCTCAAGGAAGCGGACTGGGATGGCCAGGACAATATCGGGATCTCGTTGCAGCTCATCTCAGATTACACTCTTATCTATGAGACTTTTAACCCGGGGGATTCTGACTGGACGGATGTGATTGACGAAAGCGCAGCCATGACCACGAAAGCCATCGTCCGGAAATTTTCACACATGATAAAGCAGAATTCTCGGATGCTTTGAGGGTCCAACGGTAAGTCGTGCGCTGGATGAAGAAATCTTTCACAAGGGAAAATGAAGGACATGTACCTGAAATTCGGAGATTCGTTATGTGTACGACGACGGTGACATTTCTTATTGTGAAATTCCTCAATGATTGAACAACGGAACTTGTACTATCGTTAGTCCCTGCTTTTCAAATCAGCAGTAAAAAGTCTGCGGGAAATCGAACACTAACCTAGAACTAGCTTCGAGAAGTCCATTTAGTGCCTTAATTATATTTTACAGTCCAGTCAACTCTTTCATTGCTGAATTACATCTCCTCTATCCTTCATCTGCCCTACCAAGAACTCCCACTCAGCAGCACTAACTTTACTCACACTCATTCTCGACTGAGCCAACATCTGCATATTCTGCAAGGGATGGCTCTTTTCTGCTCGCCAGTCTTTTAACTCCTTTAGCGTGATAGGGGTGTCAAGTTTTTGGCGGAAAACGACATGAACCACTGACCATTTAGGGTCATCTGGACTGGATTTTGGATCGTAGTATGGCTTCGAAGAGTCATGAGCTGATACTGAAAAGCCAATTAGATAAGGACTGTGGTTAAAAGGATCGTTACATACAATCAGGCGAGTGTTCCTTAACAATCTCCATGATCCCAACAATGGCAGGTACTTTACAACTAGAATGGTAGAAGAATGCTAGATCACCCTTTTTCATGGCTCGGAGGTTGTTTCGCGCTATTCACAATCAGTACGCGCATATTTAATTCAAACACATTACAATAACCCACCAGCAAAGTTGCGAATTCCTACTACATATTAGCATTTTTAACCAGACTGCAATGAAGACATTACCATCCCAGGGTTCCGGCTCAGATTTTGCAGCAAGGTCGTCAATTGAGAAACTAATATCATGACCCTTCTCCATTCTGGGCTCGGGCTCGGCTTTCATGAGCCAATATTGGCGTCCACCAGATGGAGCTTTGGCTTTAGACCCATCTTCCACAGCGGGTGGAGTTGTGTCCTTTTCTTTCGATGCTTTTTCATTTTTCTACAGCCAGATTAGGAACAAATTCCAAAGCAGAAAAGAAGGTCAGAAAATACGGGTAACCATAGTCTCCAAACGGAGCGTGTGAAGGAATTACTTACTGCTTCTTTCTTATCTTTTTTCAGGTCAAGGTCTTCCGCTTCTTTTGGCTCTTTTGCTTCCGTTTTGCTACTCTTACCTTTCTTACTCTTCTTCGCTGGTGGGGGAGATACTTCTGTCGGCGTCGATTGTGCCTTCACTTGCTTGGAAGGCGTTCGACTTGATCGGCGAGGTGTCTCAACATCTCCTTCAATCGTGTCATTCTTGGCTTTTCGTTTTGGCATATTTTTACCACGTTGCGAAGGCTAGGACAAATCGAACCTAAAAGGATATGGTAGTGTGATGATGCTCGGCGAAAGTCGTTCAAGTCGCGCACCTGGGCAATTATATCGCGTCGTGCTCGAATCGAGATTGACCAATCAAGAAAAGTGGGTCGTCTGTATCAATAATTCATCGTTCACTTCATAGATGTAACAGCACTTCTAACAACACGAATGATTATACATCAGAATTAGCACATGTCAACATACTACATTGCCGAGAAATAATATTTAATAGCAAAATCACCTTCTAACATCCAAAGGACTGGGTTTGAAAGTCGTAAATTGATCTACGTCAAAGCGTGCCACGCAGAGCAGCCGTTCATCTATGTTATCTAAACACAAATCGCACCGATGCTCAGCCATATTAAAAATGTAGATACAGATCTAGCTGCAGCATGAGAGAACTCATCTCTACGGGCATCATAACTTTTGGCGTGCTTGATTTGCCCAACCGAAACGCCGGCCATGCTAATCCCCATCCGCATCCATGTCGACTTGACCATGCCCAGAAACTTCAAAGTTTATCGCTTACAGAGCGATTTCATTTTGCAACTGCAGCACTCAAGACTTGTGTCCTGAAGAAACCACCCTTCGTCCGCTCAATCACTTGCTGGTACACGCTGCTTGGTGGGTGGTTCATCACTACTGTGCCCTCCTTATAATCGATCTTGGCATCAACTCGGGTATCTCTAATCAAGTTGACAATCCACTTCTCACCCTCATCCTGGTTCAAACCTAATCTCGCGCTCAAGTCCTTGATATCGATACGCTGGTGAATCTTGCAGTAGCTTTCCGAGATGAGATGACGTGCCGCCTCTACAAATGGATCTGACGAAGCGTGGAGGAAGAAATCGGAACGGAGAACCTCCTCGGCTTCTGAAAGCTTCTTTTGTGCCTCCTCAAAATCAAAGTCGATATATAGAGCCTTAATGAAATCCGTGACCGGGTCGCTGTACTCGTAGTTCTCTTGCTTAACAATACGAATAATATCCTTAAGCTGCTTCTGGTACTGGCCGGTGTTACGTGTGCGACTTCGGTTGGTGATCACGGCTGCTGTGAGATATCTAAGAATCCACGGGCAGGCGGTTTGGATTGTGTTGATAAATGGGGCGGAAAAGAAAAGTTCGCAAATGGTATCGCGGGCAGGTTCGTAGTTGAAAAATGGGAAAAGGCACCAGTGGATGAGCCATGTTCGGTGTGTAAGTTGTGCGAGAGGATTGTTGAAGAGTTTTGTGTCGATCGATTCCTTCACTTTCTGGACTTCCTCCATAGCTGCCTCCCAGTTTCCAGTAAGGATCTCAGATGCTAGTTTCCCCCATGTTGCAGCAGAAACCTTGTCATTGTCGGTAGAAAGAACTCGGAATTGGTAGAGGAGTTCGGAAGCGGCGCCATAATTTCCACAGCTGTATTGGAAGTTTCCGAAATCATAAAGAACGTTAACCATATCCAAAGTGACCTATGACCATATCAGTACTTGCTCATATGGGCTCCCTTTCAAAACTCACACCATGCTCTTTCTTCAAGAACTCCAAATTCGCCAACTTATCACTTCGCAGACCAGTAACGACATCTTCTCTGCCGAGAAGATCTGTAATCTGCTGACTCTCATTCTCATATTTCTCCAGCCTGTCTAGAACCTCCTGTCTCTTTGTCGCATATTCTTTTGGTGGGTCATCTATATCTTCCATCACACAGTATAATCTCGCCACGAAATCGGTCATGTTCGTCTTTTTCAACAGCTCGAACTGCGCTCTCGCAGTGGATGGCGAGCCCTCTGCATCTTCGGCAAACTGGAGGAGAGGGAATATCAAATGGCGATCGAGATGGGTGACTAGTTTTGGGAGAAGATCGTAATCCGTAGCTACGTCCTCGGGGGTTCTGCTTGCGTCCGCCATGATTGCGAGTTGCGCAAGTCGTTTTTTGATTTGGAAGTCGTCGTCGCAGTGGGGTCGATCTCGAAATATCGCTTTTGTGTGCGGCCCGCCAAATCAGAATATCTTAGGCTAGTCCAAGATTGGCTAGCGTAAAATACTTCGCGTTGACCTCGTTGGACTTTTTGTAGCCTCGCGACATTAAGCCTTGCAATAAGCTAGAATTAATCGTCAATTGTCACCAACTCAAGTAGGTACATATTCTTCGGCTGTTTCCTGTTCCGACAATTCCCAAATGTAGGAATCTTCCCAAAGAAGCATCAACTTCTCCATCAGATGCTTCTCACATCTTAGGACTACTTTCTAACAATCTACCAGAAAACCATCAAGCCTCCATCAACCCACCATGTCTCTCCCCTTCCTCAGACCATCAAGTCTTCCCCGCCCCTCAACAATCCGTCAATTCCTACGCGCCACAAACACACGCACCTACTCAACCCCTTCGACGCCTTCAACCCCCGAACCCACCACCTCCACCCCATCCCCAATCAACGCCTCCACCAAACCCTACCGCGTCCTGCTGTCCCCCTCAAACCAATACCCGGTCTACCAAATCAGCAAACGCGGCGGCAACAAGCACGAAACCAAGATCAAGAACATCCAAGGCGACGTCCAGGCCTTGCGCAGCGATTTACAGGAGCTGTTGAGCGAGGAGGGGAAGGAGAAGGTGGATGTGATGTTGAAGAATAGTAATGGGCAACTGGTTGTGAAGGTATGTTGATGAAGAGAAAGAGGAGGGTTTCAAATGGTTGAGGCTAATACGATATAGGGACATAAGAGAATTGTGATATCAAAGTTCTTCGAGGCGCAGAATGTGGGGTATAAGCAGGTGATTGAGACGTTATGATTTGAAGCGGGCGGTTTGTATAAAAGTGAAAAGGATATGCTGTGTATGTAAAAGTAGCCTTGCCATCGGGGCAGGAAATGTTGGTTGTATCAATATATATATGCGACGTACGTATTATGTACAGTAAAACCACACGCGTAGGAGAGTACCTATTAGTGAAAGAGATGCATTAAATACGAGACTGAATATTTCCAGTTTACATGATAACTCAAATTGCAATTCAACTTGCCATACGGTCTAGAACATGTAAATTCTGTTAACCTAGCTACGATTTGTTTACAATCTCGCTAGGTGGATATTATCTAAACGTGACAACTAAGTCACTATCGCGAGCTGATAATGATCATGCCTCTCACACGAACAAGAAAATAGCCACGAGATGAAACAGCGGTAGCACTATACATATATTGGACGAGAATATTAATATCAGCTTAATAATTATCGGCCAAGCTACAATCACATCTATCCATTTCTTTCTGACCACGCTAAAGATCCAAATGTACACGATGGGAACCAGAAGTATACATGTACATATATTCCTCCATCTTTTCTTTCCTATGATGAGTTCCGTGTCCCCACGCCGAAGCCGTATCATAAAGTAGCCATCCCGGCATAAGAGCACAACGCCCGTAACACTCCCTGAACCCTTTTATCTGGCTGTGCAATTCGCAATGCTTGCAACAAATTCTCCTTGGCTGGTAGCCCACTCGGTGGTATACTTGCCGCCGGATCATCTGGATCTTTGCTCTTCTCTCCTAGTTTCCTCAAAACTGCGATGCCACGCATGGCAATAAAGTGTAAGCTTTCGTCCTCGACTCCTTTAGGAATCAATTGGGCACCCCGTCCGTGTGTTGGCGGCGCAGGTGTGGTTTCAAGACACAATGACAATATCAATCGGGATAAATTTTGTGCAAAGCCATCATCAGAAGTCAACCACGACTTGGCAACCCCAGATTCGTATCCTGGGGCGAGGTTAGATAGTACCTCTGCAGCAAGTATTCCTTGCATGATCATCGGTTTTCGCGCTTCTACATTTGAAGTAGGCACACCTCTCTTCCCATCATTCTTTTCGTCCGGCAATGCCGAAATCGAGAGACCAAATGTACGGGTAAGTAGGTCGTACGGCGGCGAAGAGGCGACATCTGATGCAAAGATAGTTTTGTAATGTGTCCGATTTGGCTCATCACGGGCTAACAGTTTTGCTAAACTGTCTATTGCCGGTGGAAGATATCGATGCATCGCAGGATCGTATGGCAGGAAGTTGACCCTTTCTGACTGGTTTGGAGGAGGACATGGCGCAAACGCTAGGAGAAAATGCAGGAGACACAGAGCTTGTTCTCGGCCTGGTACTTCAATGGCTTGAGAAACATTAGACAGAAAGATGATAATATCTTTCATGAAGTCGAGGGTATTTTTGTTCGTTCGTAAAAGCATGTTTCGCGTTCCAAGGTACCTAATGACCACACACAAGAATTTGATAACTGGTTCGTCGGCAAGGAGAGGATAATTTGATTCGACGAACGAAAGATTCCGTAATATTGTCGTTATACATATCAAACGATCGACAGCTCGATCAAGCTCGTATTCAACCGTTCCGAATTCATTAATATCTTGCAGAGAATCTTGTTCGGCTCGACAACCACGCAAAACATCCTCGTAAGATGTAACGAGCATCACGTCAGAGACTTCAGGCGCACTGACTGCCAGAGATTCGACCTGCTCTTCAGCACAATCGACCAGGACTTCAACCAAGTCCTCACAAAAGAGTAGATTTATCTGTATCCGTGGCTCCATAGACAATGATGCTATGGTGTCTAGCGCCATCCGAACCTCTGCGTGGATTCCGCTTTGCAAGCTCATGGTAAGAGCATGAATATCAATTGCTCCCAAGTCCGGCACAGGAGGAATATCAGGTTTTACATGCATCAGTTCCGTCCCCATTTTCCCCAGAGATGTCAGATTTATTCCACCCCAAGTATCAAGTGTTCGAACCTTGGGGTCATACTGATCAGGTAAATTGAATTCTCGTGATACAGGCGGCTCTCCAACCTGTAGTCCAGCACCAACTTGGGGTGACTGCAAAGATAAACTCCCGGGCTTGACCGCAGAGACCGGCGAAGGCATTGTAAAAGATGTCCCATTTTGCGGAGGGGTGCCACCCATGCTTCTTGAAAGACTGTTCCGAGAATGACTCTGAGTGAGTCCAGGTCGAGGCTGGCCCGGAGGCTGGGGCGTTGAGAAACCATTGACTGACGGCGGTTGCTGCTGATGTATTTGACCCATCTGCTTCACGGAAGTCGTCATTTGTTGTTGCTGAAGTTGCTGTTGCTGCATGAGCGCTTGCTGCTGCATATATTGCTGCTGCTGTTGCTGCATTATTTGGGGATTCATCGGCTTGGTAGGTGACATTTGAGGACCAGGCCCAACAGGGCTGGTATTTTGTTGCATCATGGCCGCTCTCTGCCGTTGTTGATTCATCTGCCATGCTTCATCAAACATAGCTAGGTAGTTGTCATAATGTACCTTGAGTTGCTGTCCAGCAGTTTGCGCCTGCATGGGGTGAAATTGCAGTGCTTGCGCAATTTGCACCCACCCGTTCTGTGCTGTAACTTTCTTGTACCCACCGTACTTTCTCACAGTCATATACAAAGAAATCAGAGGAATAGTACGGTCGCCAACAACGGGATTCAAGTCGAGCCGCAGGTTTCTTTGCGCCATGAAGGATTGTAAACTCTTCATGAAGTTATCCGGATTTGGGCCGCCTGGAGGTTGTTGCGGTTGCTGTGGACGCATACCAGGGAACTGCTGACCATTTTGCTGCGCTGCTTGCATTTGGGCTCTTGCCATTGGATTTACATTCGGTGGCATATTGCCCCTCTGCGCGGCCATTAGGTTTTGCTGTTGCATCTGTTTCTGCACCTGCATTTGGTAAAGCATTTTCTGTTGTTCTATAGTCTGCGGACGCGGTTGGCCTTGCTGCTGAGCCTGTTGGTACATTTGTGAATTTGCCATATGCTGCTGCTGCATTTGGGGAGTAGCCATGGCATTTGGGTTTTGAGGAGGGGCCGAGTTTCGACCAGGCGGTGGAGTGAAAGTTTGGCCGAATCCTTGAGGAAAATTAGGATTTTGGGGATATGGGTTATTATTTTGAGGTGTGTCGACCCTGGCTCCATGCTCTGATTGGGACGGTGAGGCTTGGGGAAATTGCTGAGCTGCTGGGGAAAAGGGATGAGGAGATGCAGTGGACACTCGTTGCGGTACGCCGCCTGGACGTAATTGATTGGCCATTATGGGTGATGGACTCGCATTCGCAGAGCCGTTTTGTAAATGCGAGTATGGCGCCCCTTGAGAAGGATGTTGCTGAGGCGTACTTGTCGGAAAGCCGCCAGGATATGGATTTTGCTGAGGAGTTTGTGAACGGGAATTGGGCAACATCCCGGGCGCTTGTCTTGGAGAAGTTCCTAAACTGTCCTCTCGTGGTCTGGGTCTTTTTGAGGGTATTACTTGGTTGGTCTGATATTGAGGATTATTGAAGCCGGGAGACCCAGCGCCATTGCGCATGGCACCATTTTGCATGCGCTGCTGGAGTTGCTGGTTCTGGAACTGGGAGGAAGGATCGAAGGAGTTCGGGTTGTTCATAAACGCTGAAGGGTCGAGCATACCTCCGGATGAGTGTGAATCGAGAGGGTTGAATCCTCCGCCATTGTGATTTTGAACGGCGGCGGCGTCGTTCATCCAGGCACTCATGTCTGTGGGAAGCCCATCTGCGGTCGCGACGAGATGTCAGCTTTTGTAAAGTATATCTGAACCTCCATAGAGAAGCTGGCCGATGGAATTGAGATGGACAGGCGCGACTCGAAGCGGGTCGCGATGGAGTCGAGAGGTTGACGCGGTAGATGGCGACCAGACAAAGGGGAATTGCCCAATGTCCGTCGGGCACATCAACAACGTCTTCGACGATGCAGTAGAGTCGCGACGACGTTCAACAGACGTCACAAGACATATGGAAGCAGGAGATTGATAGGAGGTATGGAAGGGAAGGTCTTACCTAAAGCCAGTACGCGCTGGTCGTGCTGCTGATGAGGTCGGTCGCAAGATGCAACCGCCGAAACTCTCGGGCTGGGAAACCGCTTAATTTATCCTAACCCGATTGGGCCAAATTAAAACTAAAAATAATGATTTTTCGAAGCAAGGCTAAGACCGGGCGCCGCGAAACAGCACGATATATTATCGATAGGAGCGATACCGTTGCAGAATAATAACCGACGGACTGTTGTCTAACACTGCTTGCTAGTCAAAGACTGTGCCGATCAATAATTCGGAGGATGGTTGATGTTGGCTCGGGCTGTTTGATGCTGCAATGGTACTTCTCTGAATTTCTGAGTGAACTGGGGTTGTTACAGCTCATGAAACGTGACGGTCACGTTTCTGGTGAGGTGAGGCGAGGATTTGGCTGGGGACAAAATAAGTGGCAGTCGAGACACGATTATTTCTTAAAACAATTGACGAAATATCGTATATTTAGTGATCCAACTTGGCACACTATCACATATTCCGTCAATCATTTCAAGTAAATGACACCTCCCTCGGTTCTATTCGAAGTCGACTTATTCAGTCCAACGATTAGTGGGTGTCTGACACTCATCTTATCTTCCACGAGGGGGGTTGAGATGGAAAGAAGGGCAAAAACGAAGCGCATCAAGCTCAGTCGCACCGAGCACCAGGACGTACCTAGTAACCTAGCAGATACGATCAGATCTCCTGGTCGGGGATGGTCCGTAAGTGCCGAACGGTAGAGGGATGCGATGGTGAGAACCAGAGATCTGCCAGAGTGATAGGGCTGTCCGCCCAGCGAATCCGTGACACTCAAACTGATTGCGGCACAAGAAGAGCCGGAAATAAGCGGGTGCAGGCAGGCTAGACACGAGCAGATGCTGGAGAAAGCAGCGTGGCCGGCGAGTAGTGGCACAAGATCAAACCGACGGATGGATGCACTTCCAGACTGCCAGACGCAGAAACAATCAACGTGGCCAAGCGCTGGATCGGGTCGAGAGATTGGGGAGATGCCGAAAGCGTGTCTGAGCCGGTGGAGTCGCTGTCGGTGCAGTGAGTACAGTAGTAGTCGTCGTCCGTGACTGGAGTTGGCTTTTTACGTCGCTTGTAAATTGCCCGCTGTTGTCCTTCCTCCCGTCCTCCCAGCCCAACGCCAAACGACCCAATCAGGATGGCCATATTGCTCTTTCCAGATTCCGCAATCCCCGTTGGAAGAAGAACGAATTGATTGCTGCTCCGCGAATCTTCGCCTGGCTGAGAATCTGCATCGCATCGCATCTCATCCCTCCCAGTGCGGTGCCATTTTCTGTATATTGATCGGGTGGTGCTCCCAGTGGTATTCGGATATATCAAAAGATTGGGTCTGGAACCCAGAATCAGCCAACCCGGGAACGGGGGAGAGGGCTGGCTGCTTTAGGTCCCCCAGCATTCTTAGCTCGCCGTGAATCCGCTGTCAAAGGTTGGCCAGCGGTCGCAACTTTGCGACACGATGATGCTGATGTTTTGGAATGGGACGTCGAGCGCGTGTTCGTTTTCTAGGACTGCTCTCGCGATCACTTGATGCGTGCTGGATATTTCTCCATCTCAGGTTCCATGCTCGACTGACTGACAGGCTTCATTTGAGGGCTCGGCTGATACAGCGGCAGGGCGAGTAGTAGCAGGAATGAACAAGAAATAAACAACGAGCCAGTCGACGTAGAACACAACGAGAGCAAACGAGAGCAAGATGAAAGTGATAGAAAGAGAAAAGAAGGTGGGAGGCAGGCAAATACGGGGCGAGGGTGGTCTTAAAGGAAATGCCGTAGATATGGTTTAAGTTATTAATCACGTGCTTTGATTACCTTGCCAGGTGGGCTGCGCGGACGAACCCCCACCAAGGGTTGACGACAACCAATTCCTCGGTGCAGCTAGACACGACCGTAGGAGGCCGAATAAGACGAACAGCTTCCACGATGGTATGTCTAAAGCTCAGAGGATGTCTATTCTTTTCCCGGCCCATTCTCTAACACCATCAATAGTCTCAATCCCTCCGTCCTTACCTGCAATGCGTGCGATCCTCCCTAACATCCGCCCTCTGCCTGTCCAACTTCGCATCCCAGACTTCAGAAAGACACAACGTCCCCGAAATCGAAGCGCAGACATCCCCTGAGGTACTGCTGAATCCGCTGACGGTCGCGCGAAACGAGAATGAGCGAGTCTTTATTGAGCCCAGCATCAACAGTGTGCGAATTAGCATCAAGATCAAACAAGCGGATGAAATCGAGCATATATTAGTACACAAGTTCACTCGATTCTTAACCCAGAGAGCGGAGGCATTTTTCATTTTACGGCGGAAACCTGTCAAGGTTCGTGAGGAATTCCATGGCACGGTGGCGGGTTTACAACGAGGTTGCTGATATTAGTGCAGGGCTACGATATCTCATTCCTGATCACGAACTTTCACACCGAAGAAATGCTGAAGCACAAGTTGGTGGACTTCATCATACAATTTATGGAAGAGGTAGATAAGGAAATCTCGGAAATGAAGCTCTTCGTATGTTCTTGAGTTGCATCAAGCTTCGCTGTACTAACTGAGAGAACAGCTTAATGCGCGGGCAAGATTCGTGGCAGAGTCCTTTTTAACACCTGTAAGGATCAATAATAGAGCTTTCCATCTAAGGCTGGAAACATTTTACTGACTATTCCCGTTAGTTTGATTAAGGAGCAATAGCAGTGTCCGAAGAATTGGGCTCAGCTGATAGCAGGGATTTACCGGAGGAAGCAATGTTTGGCATTGGTAGCAAGATCACCCGGGGCGTTTGGAGAATAAAACAGAGTTGATCTCGAGGAACTGCCAGTTTGTCGCACACATTGACCTTAAGCTTATTAAGAGCTGGGCACGCTTGAAGTAGCCATCTGACACTTCCAATCAAAAGTATCCCCTCAGTAACAAGCATAAATCCATATTAACGCTTGTTGAAACTAATTAAGAGGTGTCTGCCTATGGGTGCATCATCTAAGGGAAATCCAGATGTGCTATCCTACTCTCATGTGTCTTCGCTTCGAGTTTACTGTTTTGGGAAATGAAACATGCGTTCTAGGCCTCGATAGTGATACAGAGCTTGAAAGTGAGCATGAACATAATACCACCGCGGCAAAGTTTATATCAACACCTTTATTTGGTCTCCTGTAACGAACATCTCTTTAACCTTTCAATACAATACCAAGCGCACGAGCGTACTCATCCATCCGTATCATACTGTCAGGGGAAGTGTTAACTTCGAGCAGTGGAGGAAAAACTCGGTCTCAGTTACAATTCAGAAAGGAAAAGGCAGCCTCCCAGGTGACGCAATCTGATTGACCATCGTCGCCTTGCTAAACGAATAAAGCATGAGATGTGATCCATCAGGACTGAACCGAATGCAAATAATAACTTTCCTATTGTCAGTAGTACAGTCTAGGCTAACAATACCAAAGCGAAATTGATTGTTGAGGTAGCGAATGTCCAACGTGTTTTTCCGCCGACAGATTCACTTTATATTTCTGAAGCAAACTCTGTCATTCTATATTAACCTCCGATCCCAACACCAAATCACTATCAAACATAGCCAAGGCAGCGCAAAGAAATGAAGCAGAGATTCCGAAACTTGCCCAGCGAGCGGCATAATGGTCACACTCCTATTCCGCCGTATATTGCGAATCAGAACCAGCTGAGCACAGATAGCAATGATTCTCAAGATTCTGTCCTAACCCAGGTTCCAATGTCCTACCATATGGCAAATTCATTTGCACCACAACAAAATTCTACTGACCAGGCTGTCCAAAATGCGCAGTTCACTCAACAGAACTTTCACCAAGGTGACCAGTCAGGGGGGGTCTCTGGCATTTCTTCGAAACCTCTCAACCCAACTTCTTCGGAATTCTCCCCCCAAGGGTCCCAATTCTGGAAGAACTCGTCACCCCAGATGCCCTCGACGCCATCAACTGGGTATAATGGCCAGCGCAGTGGTCAGCCGCAAGGTCGTGGCCAAAAGACAAATCCGCAAACAAACTTGACGGCAAACGGGCAGATCTACGCTCAACATCAGTATAAAATGGCACCTAGTCAAATTTCGTCGGCTCACTTTTACTCCAACAATCAAGCAGGATCTGCACAAGACACAATGAGTGGCTCTGGATATCAGTACAACTCGATCTTTGGAGCGCCAGCAGGCTCATACCAATATAGCGGCACTTCTGCCTCTGCTATGAACGCATACCAAAGTCAGAATCGCGGCCATCAACCACCAGCTCTGGGTGCTGCTTTCTCCCATGGCCCGAGTTTTGTTCAGCACAATGCGGCTAGAGGTGCCTCTGAAGTCGGTCCTGCGCGAGGTGGAAATGCAGGTGAAACTGGCGCTCGAGGTGAGGTTGGGCAGAACAGCCGCAACTTTCCAAATCAAAATGCTCTCGCTTACGGCAATTTCTCACAACGCAGTGGTCAGGACTTCACCTATGGTGCTAGATCTGGAATGGGAGCCGGGTTCAATGGTGAAGGTCATAAATCTAACATGGCAGCCGTATCCGTTTCGACGTACCCTGATAGCAGCCGCGGTTCATACTCTTCCGGAACTGGTGGTCCCGTTCGCCCTCACGTTCTTCGAGATTCATCTCCTGATCGGAGCATGACCTCGAGCAATTTATCGCATCATTCTCGATCTATTGCTGACACTGCTTCTGCAAACCCTTCTTCGCATTCCGCTCAAGGTGATAGTATTACTCGAGGTCCAACACCCGGCGAGCAATCTCAACCTCTCAATCTCGAATTCAGTTCTGAACCTCGTGGTATTCGAACCGCGTCGCGTAATTCTAACCAATCTTCAACACCTGATATTCGACCACGTCGCAGACAATCGACTGTTAGCCTTTCAAGTGATACTCTTCGTCGGCATACCGAAACCTGGGATATCGCAAAGACATTGAAAGGATTAGATGTAAACGACAAGACGGAAGACATGAAACGTCACAATAACCCCCCAAAGATGATCAACCTTTTGGCAGCTGGAGGCATCACATCTGGTATCTTGTCACCCATTACGGAAGGCCAAGGCATGTATGCTTCAGCGCCACCAGTTCGATCTTTGGATCCTTTTGGTCCTACACCTTCCATGTCTTCTCCATATAGTGGTAGTACTTCTCTTGCTCCAGTCAATAACATGAGCAATGCACTTCGCGCACTCACTGCAAACGGTAGTCGGAAGCCTTCAGTTGAAGAAGCTCTCTTACTTAACAACCTTCCATTCATCGAAATGTGTAGAACTGCCAAGGTAGATACCTGGGGTGTTGTCAAGATCAAAAACGTAAGTTAACTCCAGCTCCAAGTTGACTAGACTGACAATGTTTTAGATCCCCTACAGTGTCAACCGAGCCGAAGTGATGGCGTTTCTCGGCCGTAATGCGAGATTGATCAATGAGACTGATTACGAACCCATTCACATTGTTATGGAACGTGTCACGAGCAAGACCCTTGACTGCTACGTTGAATTCGTAAACTTCAACGAGGCCGTTGCAGCTGTCAACCGTTTCGAGGGAAATAGAATTGGTGGCCGAAGTGGTCGTTTGGGACAACGTCATGTTGAAGTTGAGCTTTCAAGCCAGGAGGCCTTGATGAAGGAGTTGTTTCCGAAGGCTAAGAACGTTACCTGGAGAGGAGCGAGGCCCGAGATTGCGCCCAGAGATCCGAACGACAAGTACAACTCTGGTTTCCAAGGTTTTGTTAGCAAGGAGGAGTTGGTCATGTTGGTCAAGCATGTTGAGGCACCACAGCGAGTAGGTCAACGATGATTTAGTATGTGAATATGTGCTAATTGAAACAGTCACCATTCTCCAAGGATTGTCCTCAACGTCCATTTGAATGTCTCATTAGCACTTTGCTCAAGGTACATATTCTATCTTACTTCTCCACCGGAAATTGACTAACAACATCTAGTATCCTTGGTATATGGTTGAATACATCACCATCGAAGACCGCAACCTGATTCATCAAACAACTAAAGAATTGCTTACTATGCTTGTCGAACGAGTACACAATGAGCGCGATCCTGTCAACTTGACTCACATGCTTCTCAAGCGTGTCTGCCGAGCTGCTTTGAGATGCCCAGGTTTTACGCCCATCATGAAGGATGACATTGTATACATTGCGGGTTTGGAAGATAGACTTGCGATTGAGGCTGGTGTTCCACCGTTCGCATATGAATGGAAGGTTCTCTGGACTATTGGCCCCAAGCCAGGTGTTCCGAATGATCTCCTCCTGGTAAGTATTATCTGCAATATCTTATATATATAACATATAAATACTAACCTACTCATAGTGGTACATTGCAATCATCCGCGAAGCCACCGAAGAAGCCGGTCCAGTCCTATCTCTCGCTCAACGTGCCGCCACACAACAGTCTTCCCAAGAATCTCCCAAACTTTTCGGCAACCTCGAAAAGCACATCCAGAGACGTCCAGGATTGGCACATCAAACACTCGCAGAAGTAGCTGAGACCGAATGGGCTGCTATCGAAAAAGTCCTAATCCACGCCTTGACCCCGCGCATCGAACAATAAGGCCTCGATAGCAATTTTGAATTTCGGAGCTGAAGTCCTGGATATCCAATGTTGGAAATGTCCTCACACGTACGAATTGGAAGTTACGATAATGTTGCGATCACGACTCTACATTGGTTTGAACATATGTTTCATTACGACTCGCCAATTCTTGTCAGAACATTTAGCTCTTCTTTCCCTAGCTTCGCAACACTCGTATATTCGGCACTCACTCTTACCAATCTTGCTACCTCGAATTACATTCCAACCATGGAGAAAAATTTCAACACATTTTGACGATCTATCCGCTACTTTGTGAATGCTACGGCATCTCACAGCTTGTTCATTGCTCGTTCTCGAACATTGCTTTGCACAACCTCGCACTCGTTTCCTGTCTTTGATATCTTGCTTCAACACTTCATCAACCGCCTCGACCGACCATTTCGTCGTACTCTTTCCCGGAAGCTAATTCCTCGAAAGGCATTCAACAGCCATCTCGCAGAAAAACAATATTTCCTGGCTACTTGATAACATGCTTCGGCACATCATCAAAAGCCTCGAAGAAACCCCATCCAAATGCTCAATTAAAACCATTTTCCTTGTCTAATTTTCGTCCCAACAATACCATCGAACACCATCATTTCCTGGTTCTTGGCGACTTGCATTCGCACCTCACCAAACGCCCGGATCTGTCGCCATGTCGAGGTCAACATGCACGATTTCCTTTGTGACTTTTGTCACCCCATACCATGATACGACACGATTGATTATACATACATATTCCCGTGGCACAATCTTGTTCTACAACCCCCAAAAATCCCGGATTATCAGATTCAAATTTTCACACAACAGTCACACTCTATTTCTCTTCAACACCAAGGCTAACACCCTTTTGTTTTTGCTTGCTCGGGCGGGTAATTTAGAATGGAAGAATGCTGGTACGATAGATTGGAGTTTTCCTTTTTCCCCACATACACCAAGACCAAAAAAAAATCTGTTTTTGCTACTAGGCGCGATTAATATGTGAAGAAGGATGGCTGGGTGAGCGTACCTGTTTGTAAGATAGTTGATTGAGATTATGAATGAAATGAATTTCGAAAATTCGTGAAATGTGAGGGAGATTTGGCGATGATGCAATCTTACATGCATTCCTTCAGCCCTGTGGTGTGCGCATGAAATGTTGAGAAAACACTAATTCCTCATCCCTCGCCCCACCCGTGATATCTTCAGGATCAAAAACGTGACTCTGCAATAATCCTTCACATGACATCACAAACCACACTCTCCTCCCCCTTCTACACTCCCCCTCCTGATCCATGCCCGCCCAAAAATAAGAATCTTACCTACCTAAACTCGCCAAAGATGAGCAATTTCCACGCCCGCAAATCTAAAATCCTATCCCTCCTCTCCGTCCCGCCGGAGGAATACGATGATCTGTCGCCGAAAGGCAGTATCGATACTAACATCCGGGAGCTGATTGATGAGGTTAATGGAAGGGAGGGGTGGGTCACGACTAGTAGTTGTGGAGGGAGGGTGGCTGTGTTTTTGGAGGGGAGGAAAGCTGGGTCTAGGGGAGATGAGGGCGAAGAAAATCAGGATGGAGATAGTGGGAGAAAGACAATTGCGGGGATAGGAGGGAAGGGAGGGGGTGGTCGTTGGTTATACGTCTCTCACGACCCTGTTAGTCTAGTTAAGGGTGAGAGTTGGGCGGAGAAATTCGGTATGCTACGGTCATCAGACGATATACGAGGAGATAAGAAAGCAGAGGACGTGAGATTCGTGCGCTTTAAATTCGAACCCATGGTATATACCTCCCCTAAAACATCAATCTAATAGGTAGGTAAAGTATAATAGTAGCTGACGCTTATCCAGATCCTACATATCCTCACCTCCTCCCCCACACACGCACAAACCCTCCTCACAGCCGCCCTGCAATCCGGGTTCCGCGAAAGCGGCGCGCTGAATCTGACGAGTGGGTGTCCGATGGTGGGCGTGCGGTCGATGGGGTTGGGCATGGAGAGTGTGGTGGGCGTGGAACGGGATGGGGTGTGTTATTGTGTTGTGCCTGAGTGGCAGCTGCGTGATCTGGTGGGGGTTGCGAATGCGAGGTTTAGGGAGAATGAGGGGAGGATTGCGCGGTTTAGGGGGTTGTTGATGGAGGGGAAGGGGAAAGAGGGGTGGGAGGATGGGGAGAGTAGGGCGAGGAGGTTGAGGGGGGAGGGGTTGAGGAGACGGGAGGAGATGAGGAGGGAGAGAGATATGGGGGATAGGGAGGTTCAGGATGATGAGGGGTATGAAATTGATTTGTTTAATGGTTTTTGATAGTTGTGTTTTTTGATGTGTGAGGTTTGAGTGTGTCTCTTAATTGCTACCATATCATTTGGGTAGGATATTGTTATTGTCGGGTCCCACCTTCTTTCACGTGGTCGGAGAATTACGTAGGATTCTTTTCTGAAGAAGAAAGAATACGTGTGCTCGATCAATGCTTATCCGACACCTAGCTGCACAAATGCCATATGGGATCTTCCAGTAGTTAGTCAGAGTATGTGATCATTTAGTGATGAACACAGCATTTTAGCTCCACATCTTCAGTATCGCTCATTCCAATAGACAAGACCATCGAATGACCTCTAATACACATATGCTACACTTCTAACCCCCTCTCACCCCAATTACATCCGCCTACCTAACAACCTTCTCCACCCAACTCTCCTCCAACCTCCTAACCTCCGCCTTAAACGTCTCAACCTCCCTCCAACAATCCAACGGTCTCCGATCATTATCCCTCAAACACCTAACCACCTCCCCCTTCGCCTTCTCCACGCCCTCATCCACCTCACTCAACTTCTTCCTAGATTCCAGTTTCTTCCGCAGCTCCGACACATCATTCTGCACCGCCTCCCTACCCAGATCCCGGAGCGTGTCGCCCGCGGATTTACCGTCTTTCTTTGGTTCCGGCGCTGAGATCTTGGAGATGGTGTCTTCGAAATCGGCCGAGGCGCGCGATTGCAGTTTTTTGAGCTCCTCGGCGACGCGCGATTGGATGTGGAGTTCGAGCGTTTTGGCGCGTGTGGAATCGGACTATTACAATCATGAGCGTGATCTTCCTTATGGGGGGTAGATGGGACGAACCTCTGGGCTGTTTTGCAGAGAATCGACGAGATCTGGGGAGAACCGGACGGGTGTATCACTGCTGGGATCAGTAGTTGCGCAACTCATAATGCCAATTGAGGAAGTTTTACCTCGTCCATACGTGCGATGTAGGTGCCGTAGCAGGTTTTGAAGATCCGGAACCCATATTGTGAGAGGGGAAGGTTCAATGCCGGATTGATTTGGGTTGATTGGAGCTTCGAAATTTGAAGTGAGGCCGTTTGAAGCCGTGATGCCGACAGACTGTTAAGCGCCGATACTCGTGACTTGTATCGCGCTTACCGGGAGACTCTCTTGGCACTTTTTGTGTGGGATTTTGTGCATGTGATCGGATTGAGTCGATCCTGCCCCGCTGCGCACGACATATTTTGGGTGGTTGTCATGAAGAGTCTTCTCGCGTAACCCTTTTCAAGATGTTCTCCGTGGATATATCCATCGTATGAATTGATTTTGCGAACCGAGCACTTTGTTATCTACAGCCGAGTCTCCTTTCTTTATTTCTCAAAATCAGAGAAAGAATTCAACATTGTCATACTCGAGATAGAAGTATTCGGAAGTATCAGTATTCAAAATGATGCGGATGTACCCCAACGGCGCATGCTTTGCTTCACCCACAATGAAAAGCCATGAAAAGCCACTTCATCTTTCTCAAACCATCTCCAACTTCCTCATTTCATGATATGATCAGCTTATTACTCGTATCATTGCAAGAATATCCTCGTATCATCGTGAGATTCCCCCGTCGTGACTCCTCATCCCGAATCTAACAAAAGTGACTTCGTATTGTTTGCATTTCGTTCTAAACCATCGAATGATTCGAAATCAATCTATTTAACTTCGTCTGAGGATGCAGACAGGGTATGTAAGTCTGCGGGTGATGTCCGCCTGAAGATGGATCCTCAAAACCCAAGTGACTGGAATCCCATCATCCTTTGCCAAGATGTGACATTCTCCCCCATCATGGTGTTTCCCAGCTGGCGAGCAGCTTTCCAGCTGGTGGTTTTCCTGGGCTTGCTTGGTCGGAGATGGTTCGTCTCTCCCTTTTCATCTTGCTATAGATTCGAGGCGGAGACATTCCATTATCACCTATCAAACCGGTCTCTCCGCTGGTCTTTGCCTCGACGTTTCAAACAGTCCACCAGTCAGAATACGCTGCTGGGCTTGTACCTGGCTGCGACCTGGGACCCATGCATGCAGTCCGGCATCGCGCCTGTGACCGCCACCGAACCGTGCTGGCACCGATAGGCTTGCGGTCCGTTACGAGCGCCCAGAACCAACCGCTTCGATTTCCCTGAGCACACCCTGGTAGAATGGTTTGCGAAATCAACCTCATGCTTGCCCCGCTGCGTAAAACATCACGTTCTGCCCATCATGACCGTTGAGCTGTCAAACCGGCGAGAGCTGTCGACGACGCTCCATTCGCTGCGACGCGCCTCTGGTACACATAATTCGTCCCAGCGACATCATCGACGGGTGGTCGTGATCCCCTGGGAGGAACATGTCTACCAGCTGGCCAACAGCCACCCTAGGGGGGTAGTTGCAGAAAATGAGTGGAGATCCCCATTCCTCGTCCTACGAGAGACTTCTCATCGCTCCCCATAAACAAAACTTGTCCTTCTCTCTCTTGAACCAGGTTGTACCTTTACAGTTCATCGACTTCATTAATTCTGTTGCTGCAGACTTCTGCGCCGTGCGACATCTTCTCTCCTCTGCTCATCCAACAGTCGAACTGATACCCTCGTTGAGTCGCGAAAGAAAAAACAACAGCTGCTGCGCAGCCAAAAGAAGACAATCTTTACTCGAGAAACTCAGAAATAATCCAAAACAAATAATCTCAGCTTCCGCAGATACACGTCCAAGCACTTCATCTAAATAATCTACTACAACGCGACCACGGCTCTGTTAAGAAATACGATCTATATTCGAAACAATCTGGCTTGGCTCCACTCCACTTCTTATCATCTCATATAGAGGAAACGACTCCCCACCCGACGACCATACGACTGAAGACGGACCATCTCCTCTTCTGGAAAGAATAGAGTGGTGTTTGTGCGGAAATCGTTCGTCGCCGGGGTGCGCCGCGTTGCTTGATTTGCACAAGCATTGGCAATTTGGCGTCCGAAGTTGTCTGTTCGTGAGCGAGAGCGAGCCTATTCCACCTCGTCGGCGAGCGACGAAACTTAAAAGTCGGAGTTCCCACCAGGCCGGACTCGACGTCAACTACGGTTCACGATCATTCTTTTTCGTACCCCATCACTTTCGTTAATCGGTGCAGAATATACTTGAATTCCAACTTTCGAGTCCAGGAGACATACATTCCTTTCACTTCCAACTTATCCGGACCAAAGAGACCTTTGCTAGGGCAACATCAAACAATTCATTGTCAATAGTAACCTTTGTGATTCACACTCGGCTGGCTCTTTTGACACAGGAGACAAAGCAGTATGCTCATTGCGAACGACTTTCATTCCCTGTTCTTTGTCAAGAGTCAATAGTAATCCTCAGAACATTGTTATTGTCATTTACTTATTAAGCTCCAATTCGTGAGTTTGTTCTCTTTGCTCGTCCGATTTCTTAGAGTGTTCCAATCACACTTAGACAAAGACCGCCTCTAATACATCTTCCAGATTTCTAACTTTCTGGAACGACCGATTTTTTCAAACATACAACAACCGCTATGCAACAATCCACGATAGCAACCACTGTGTCGTCGCACGACAACAGCACAGGCAATGCAACCTCCGAATTCGACCCCGCTGGGACGATAGCTCCGTACGCAACCGCTTTAAATGGCGTCTCTCAAAATGTGAACATGCTGTTCAAGGACATTTCGTGGATGAGTCTGGGCATGCTGGCTGTGCTCATTTTGACGATACGATTAATACAGAGAGCAGTCGCACATTCAAGACATATCGGTGCGATGGGACTATCCGGGGAAGCCCAACGATTTTGGGCCATCAACAGATACGCCGCGTGGTGGAAATTCAAGAAGCATATGCTTTACGCACCACTGAAAGGGAAGCGACATAACAGAGAGATCAGACTCTCCAAAGCCGGAAACCTAGGCACGATTCCTTCTCGATTTCACACCATCCTCATCACCTTGTTCATTACAGGAAACATCATCTACTGCGCCTACCTCGACTATCGCAGAGAAAACAAATGGTCCGTCATTGCAGAACTTCGAGGACGAACGGGAGTCATGTCCGTGGTCAACATGGTGCCTCTCATCATCTTTGCCGGACGCAACAATCCTCTGATTGCTATCTTGCAAATCAGTTTCGACACGTACAACCTTCTCCATCGATGGATCGGCAGAATGATTGTCTTGCAGGTCATCGTACACACTCTCTGCTGGGCCATCGTCAAACATGCCGCAACTGGATGGTCAGGGATGTGGCACATGATCACCGATGATCCATTCATCGGATGGGGAACGGTTGGTACGACCGCAATGATCATTCTTGCCCTTCAAGCTCTCTCACCAATCCGACACGCCTTTTACGAGACGTTCTTGAATGTTCACATCATTCTCGCATTCATCGCATTCTTGGGAACTTGGATCCACTGCAAAGTCGCCAACCTCCCAACACTTCCTTGGATCGAGGCTATTGTTATCCTCTGGCTTATCGAGAGAAGTGTTCGCTTCTTGAGAATCGTCTGGAACAACTATGCTAAGAAAGAGGGATGGACCAGAGCAAGTGTTGAGGCCATGCCGGGAGAGGCTGTTCGAGTCACTTTCCACATGCCAAAATATGTCAAGATAAATCCAGGAACACATGCGTACGTTCGTTTCGCTGGTGTCAACCCCTGGGAATCTCACCCCTTCTCCATCGCCTGGGTACAGCACAAACCCAAGAACGCCACTGCTCTGCCAATCAGCGAGAAAGGCGCCTCAGAAAGTACTCTTCGCGAGCATGAACTCATGACTGATGCCTCCTTCATCATCCAAGCCCAAACAGGTATGACTCGCAAACTCTACGAGAAAGCCTTCCTCCATGGCGCCCAAACCTTGATGATGAAAGGCGCACTCGAGGGACCATACGCCGGTCACCACTCTCTCGATTCTTACGGCCACGCCGTCCTCTTTGCCGGCGCCTCAGGAATCACCCACCAAATCTCCTACGTCCAGCACCTCCTCCAAGGCTTCAACGACATGACCGTCGCCACCCGACGCATCACCCTCATCTGGATCATCCGCGACTCGGAACAACTCGAATGGGTCGCTCCCTGGATGAACATCATCCTCGCCATGCCCCAGCGCCGCGAGGTCCTCCGCGTCAAACTCTTCGTCACCCGTCCCAAGAACCCGCGCGAGATCCAATCCGTCTCGCGCACCGTCGATATGACGCCCGGTCGGCCGAACGTTAAACTCCTCCTCCAGAACGAGGTCAAGGAGCAGAAGGGCGCCATGTGCGTGACCGTTTGTGGACCTGGAGGCCTCGCTGATAACGTCCGCGAGGCTGTACGAGAGGTGCAAGAAGACGGCGTGGTAGATTTCGTGGAAGAGAGTTTCACGTGGTAAACGAGCTTGGACAGCAAAGGATTTGGGAAAATGGCATCTGTAATTAATAATGGGGATTTAACCTTGGTGTGATGTTTGTGAGACACAGACGAATCTTTTCGATGTATATACTTTAGCATGTCATACTGTGTGTGTGGCCTTGATATATTGGCGGGATAGGATAGGGGGATCAAATTTAGATGGTTGTAAGGGAGTGGAATATAGAGTGACCATTTACTGCTGGAGTTTTTACTTTTTAGTGTATTTTTTTTAGATTAGCGTTTTTCGTGTTTGGAATAAATACCCTGATGTTTTGTTGTTACTTTCAAATTTTGTTTTTATGTGAATGGGTTTTTCGGTTTTGATTAAAGTGTGTCTACGTGTGTGTGTGTATCCGAGTAATTGGGTTTGATATAGGAAAAGGGTAGGAGATAAGTGAGATCATGTACATGAAACTGAAATTACACGCCAAGTCTTGACTCTTTCGGTAGGATAATTTTTGGTATTAAGGGTGTGTGTGCACTGTGGACGTATTTTACTTTTTGGGGATGGGGGCCCGGGGTGAGACATTCGAAATACGCTGCCTTGAGCGGCGGGGGAGTTTCTTGGTAGGACTGGGCTTGGTTTGGAAGGGTTTGGTAGGGCTTGGTTTGGAACTTCTGGAAAATGGGGAGCAGATTGGGGTGTGTGTTTTTGCGATGGGTTTGAGGGGGTTCTTTGTTTGGTCTGTTGGGGTGGGATGGAGGATTAGGGGTTTTTTGTTCTGGGCTTTTTGGCTTGGTTTAGAGCTCCTTGAATAGAAATCGGGATTGTTGGAAGTTGGCTTAGGCTGAGGTTTGGGGGGTTTCTTTGTTTGGTTTTGGTGGGTGGGGGGGATAAAGGGTTTGGGATCTATTTTTGGAGGGGGTGGAGGAGAGGGGGGAGTGGGATAAAGGAGGTGGATTGTGGGATGGATGAGGGGGGTTTTGGGGTGTTTGTGGGTGGTGTTCTAGAGTTGTTTGTTAGGGGTTCTTGTGGTCATGTTTGATGGCTTGGGTGGCTTGTTTGGAGTGATGATTCGATGATGAATGGTGTGATTTGGCAGTCAGATTGTAAATTGACAGTACCATAGTGTTCCAAAGCGTAGCTACTTTTATTGTTGTGATGCAGAATGTGTGGCTCTGATTCTTGTTCTGGAGTTTTAACTTTTGAGTGCGAGGAGTAGTGGTGGACGGGAGTATCACCTGACTGGACCCCCTTTGATTTCACACTAACGCTTTTCACTGATTTAGGCTTGATACGAGATTAGAAACGACCGCTCGTGGAAACGATCGTTTTCTCTACTAGTACGTAGAACCAATGAAATAAAGTACACTATGGAAATTTTGTTAACGAAATTGTCCATTTGACTTGTAATATCCCCCAGAAATTTTTATTCCTGTCCAACTTATCTTCCTACAACATAACTCCCGACCAACGAATCATGGCAGCAACTAGCTCATCATCTTACTCGCCCTCGGCTTATCCCATTTGCAACAACAGCTTTCCTGGACCGAATCTCTATCTCGTTCACTAACGTTGGTGGGCATATTGCAGCTGCAAATCGGGAGGGAGTAACGGCCAGACTTTTTCCTCGATTCGAGCACCATATTCGAGCACCATATTCGAGGAGTAGTTTAGTAGCTTTTATGGCTTTGTCTTGGGGTTCACATAGTCTAACAGTATATTCTAGAAGTGACTCCCATGTTGTAGGATTTGACCTGGCTTCGACATTTGCGCCTGCTTCAAGAAGTAGTGCAATGGCATCTAAATTGCAGAGCTTTGAGTATCTTATGTATCCCTCAATCGCCCGCCATAATGGCGTTTTTGAATTTATCTCTGTTGCTTCGAGATTTGCACCTTATACTGTCAGCTTTCTGTTACTCCAAATATTGTGTGTGATGTGTAACCTTTCGAGATCAAAAGTTGCATAACAGAACAGTGTCCGTTATAAGCAGCCAAATGGAGTGGCGCATTCTGTAACGTTGGGTCCGGCATATTGATATCTGCTCCATCATCAATGAGACATTTAACAGTTTCCATGTGACCAAATCTAGCAGCGATATGTAACCCTTCTGAAGACAGACGTATTCTTTTGGATATGTCTGAGGTGTAGCTCAAAATGAGTTGAACTGTTTCCACTAACTTCTTTTCAATGGCCGTATCGAGTGCTGAAGTTCCCCACATATCTTTCAGGGATGCATCTAAGCCTGCGTCTAACAGGACTTGGACGCTTTTAAATTTTTCCGCACTTACCGCTATCTGCAGAGCATTTGCCCCTCGAGCAAACTTGAAGTCTGGATATGGCCTGGCCATTCTCATCAATTTCTCAGTATTTTCTTCCCCTATCGCCTCCAAATATTCCACTTCTTCACTTTTATGCGAGCTACTAGCCACCGTCGTGTCGAACTTCGGTCGAGATGTTGCAATTTCCCCGTGTTTAACTCTCATATGTTTCCACAAATAGTCTTTCCTGGTCGTTCCTTTGAATTTACAACCTGAAAAGCTACATTTCAGTTTCTGTAAAGCTAGATGTACTATTGATTGATGACGCTTAAGATCGTTCTTGAGAGCAAACCCCACGGTGCAAATAAGGCATTTGTAGGGCTTATCATGTTGTTTTCGATGGCGACTGTTCACGTGTGAGGAAAGACTCGATGTTTGGAATAATTCTTACTTGTAATGCATGCGTTTTGCGAACAATTTTTCACAGTCTTCACATCGATATTGGCTGGTATCAATGGCGTCTAACGCCATCTCGAAAATAATAAGATTTTCGAAATTCAAGATTGAATATTTCGTATAGTAAATCGCGATCTCCTTGGACGAGGAATGAGAAGGAGACAGGCTTCGGTCCCTGGCAATTTTCAAAGATGAGTGCGTGACAATGAGCTGGACACAACCATCTCCTCGACCAATAGGATGTGTTCTCTAGAGCGCCCCGTTGCGCCCTCTTCTCAGCTAGATCTTTCATAACATTGCCACACGCCCTGTTCTTATTTTCAATAATATTCGGAACTTTACAGTACTGTTATTACTTCTGCTTCCTTTCTCAATTTACCATCATAACGAGCGGCTCATAAACCCACTCGCTCGACGCAGCTTCGATTCTACGAAGGAATCTTCCCTCATCACACGATGAGTCCGAAAGATAGATCGCAGACGAAAGGCTTCTCTCCACAAGAGGTCAGCACGATGAATGAATATTGTCAAAAGCTGGCTGGGACGAACAATGGCAATGAGAGGTGAGTAAAAAAAAATTCCAGCTGACGGTATGCCTAGAACCTTCACAAAGTTCTCCTGCACATGCGCCCCCTCCGTTTTGCTTATTGGTGCGATTCAAGATCATATCACCCAATTAGAATCGCAGCTTCGGTCGCTCAGGAGTGAACACTGTACAGCTACCGTACCCCCTGCTTTAGCTTTCAGTCATCAGAGCCTCGCATCACCTAACGCTGTCGAGCCTTTGGACGGGGTAGTCTTTGATCCAGCCCTCAAAAACTGTGCGGAAACAGATCAGCAATTGTTCGATCAGTTCACCAACGGCAATGCGTTTGCAGATGATGATTCCAGTCTCAGCGGAGATGCAGATGCTTTTCATGTTGTTGACAAGACTTCAATGCAACCGGCTCAAACTCATCGGAGCCAACTAATTGCTGATGTTTCCGGGGACTCTATGCAAGTGAGCGGCTTTTATAATGAGGGCCTAAACAGCTCCTGGGACCAAACACCGTTCGACTTTGAGCAGGTCTTGTCTGATGCAAACTTTACCGCAGGCAATATGAACTTGCCTTCCTCATCTGCCAAAAATCATGTATCATTGTGTGATTTTGGCACTGGAACGGAAATTTTCCCCTCGGATGGATCTACTATGGGACTTGCTAACGTCGATATCGGATCCATCTCAGCTATTACGGGTCCTGGACAGCTCCAAACAAATCCGGTTGCAACTCGACACAGTTGCCCACACTGCTCCCGATCTTTTAGTCGTGCGAGCGATCAGAGGCGTCACTCTAAGAAACATCAGCCCACCGCTCAGAGATTTTCTTGCATCTTCCCAGGGTGTGGAAAGGTCTTTCTTCGGAGTGATCATCTCCGTCAACATCGCATGATTCACAACCCAAACGGTCAACGTTTCCCTTGTACCTTCGAAGGCTGTGGAAAGGACTTCTTAAGAAGCGACAATCTTAGAAAACATCAAAATAGTCAAGGTCACTACTAGTAGAGCTGAGCTTCAAGCGAAAGATTGCGTAACTACGCTGAATGGTCATTGGCGTAACTCCGCTTCGAGATGGAGGTTGAATGAGGTATTCGGGGGTGGACTTGCACCTCAACGTGCTTCGGGTTGTTTTGCGGAAGTTATTTGGTCTCTTCTTTGTTTTCTCTCGCTGATGATGTTGCCCTTCATTTACTCCTAGTGTTTTTCGACCAAATTTTCGTTAGGCATGTTTTGCAAACCCCCCTTTTTGTTCGCTTATTTACGGCCGCCTATTTCCTATGTCATCTGTCGTCTTTGGCGACAGGAATTCGGATATGAAGATACAAAAAGACCCCCCCTTACTGTTCTCCTTTAGGTCTATCTCTCTTTTTCAACCCAAAAAAGCTAGCTAAATAAAAAGACTTCTCCTTTCAAAGATACAGTCCATCTGTTGTCTTCGTCGTTGATACTGACTTCTCTATAACGCCATTGTGACTTTCTATATCTATTGTGTAATACACTTTACAACACTTGGTATTATTGATGTCGTTGGTACGCCGTTCCATCGTCTTTGCCTGCTGATCAATTGATATCACGAAGTGTATATCCCTGTTCCACCACATGTACCTGCGATCTATAAAAGTTTCAAGTCGACTTTCGATGCAGGTTAATCCCAATGAACTCCCTGCTATTAATTCTAGTAACAACCATTCGCATATGACATCGACAGAGTTTTGCAAACTGCTCGGTAAGACTACCTAGCTGACACCTCAAAGCAATATCCTCCGCATGCTTGATTTTCTAGGAGTATCTCATGCAATAGCTTGAGATAAAGAAATCAAACAAATATGTTACATTACATTGAGCATATCAAAATATGTCTGCGATGGGCATAAAGAATATTCCGCACCCGCTCCTCCACGCACCAAACCTGTCTGCAGATTCCGAGGTTGCCAAACAGTTGTATCCTTATTTGGCCAGTGTGGCATTTTCCTATTGTGAAAAACAATATCTTCTAAGCCCAGACTACCTCATGCTAGTCGATCTGAACTCCGTGCTCACTGCTAAACACTCTGGTATAATACTTTCCGTTACGCGGCTCAATCCAGCAAAAGCTGTAAGTGTGATGACGCCGATTTCAGACAAGACTTACCAAGATCTTATTTACAGAAGACATGACTTGATAAAACAAGTTAGTCATCCAGATTTATTCTTCGACTTATTCGAAATGAAGCGGGCTAGAAACTTGGAGCTTACTGATTATTTCAAGCTATGTTTCACTTGTTAATATCTAAACAGCGTTCTATATTAGCTATTTATTGATAGCTTTTCAAAACAAATCTATAGATACGCTTATGAATTGACATTTTAAAAAATTGAATTAAAACCAGAAAAGAAGAAACAAAATTCTATACGATACTTACTTATGATAGGAACGCTACAGTTTTGTTCGGGATCACCAGACATCCCACCCTCTCGGACCTTACATAAGCTATTGTGACACCCACCTGATCACTTGGAACGGTACAGTGTTTTTGGTAGCAAACAACATTTGTCGTTAAGGCTGCGCTATTGCTCAAAGAAACCAGGCTGATAAAACATATCACGTATGCACATGCTTCGAGTATGCCGGATTTACTCATAGCCCATCAGTGAAGGCCTATCGGGGGAAGATACACCATCAAGTCAAACCCGTTCACGATGCGACTCATCAACACTTCGTCTTTCGATATCGTCGAATTTGCACCTGGTAGCGTTCCGCCATATGCTATATTATCCCATCGATGGGATGAAACGGAGCTTACTTTGCAAGATGTGAAACAAAGTGATCGCAATCTGTTGCCTGGATTCTCCAAAATTCAAGGGTGTTGTAGCCAAGCTCGAAATGATGGGTTGGGTTGGGCATGGATTGATTCGTGCTGTATTGATAAATCCAGCAGCGCTGAGTTATCTGAGGCGATCAATTCCATGTTTCAATGGTACAGGAACTCTCGGGTTTGCTACACCTATCTTTCAGATGTTTCCAACGGGGTTTCTGACATACAGGCTGGTGGACCACAGTTTATGGCTTCACAGTGGTTTACCAGAGGCTGGACTTTACAAGAACTTCTTGCGCCGAAGTACCTGAGGTTTTTTGACACTTCGTGGACTTTAATCGGGCCTCGGAATGATTGGCAAGCAAATGATGCGATTCTCAAACTTGAAAAGCTTATTGAGCTGGCGACGGGGATTAAACACCTGTCTGATTATAACAACGCATCTGTTGCATGCAAGATGTCTTGGGCAGCTGGTAGATATACTACCAGGGAGGAGGATCGTGCTTACAGTTTGATGGGACTCTTTGGGGTCAATATGCCTCTTCTATATGGTGAAGGACCTAGAGCATTTCACAGGTTACAGCTGGAAATCTTGCGAGAAACCGACGATGAATCAATCTTTGCATGGGCAGATCCTCAAGATCTTAGCGGAGGACTTTTGGCACCTTCTGTGAATGCGTTCAAAAATTCGGGTGGAGTCGAACGATTGGAGCACCCACTTACCCTGGATGGTGGACAGCGTTCACAGTCTTACGAGAGACCTCCTTATAGTATGACCAACAAGGGAATCCATTTCCAAGGACGGCCTTTGGAACTGCTTGAGGAGAATGAAAATGTAGATGGGGAAACTGAAAACGGATCTTCTGCGTTAGTAGTTTTACCCATCCACTGTACAGATACTTCAAAGGGACACGGCAGACTGATGTGTGTGTGGCTTGGAAGAGTCAGCACCGCAAGAAAACAATGGATGAGAGCAAATTCGGACATATTGTTGTCCTTGAATGAAAGTCAGCAAGCGTCTCTTCTGCGCGAAAATCATCAAGACTGGGAGAGTTTCTATGTACGTCAACTTGGAAGATATGAGTCGCCATTTCAAGGACCCTTTAAGATCGTAATATTCATCGCTGAGCTCAAAAATCAAGGCTATGAGTACAAACATTATGCCATCCACGAAAGCTCATTCATGCATGATCGCTACAAGTTGACACAACTGCCTGATGCGATACAATTCGATATCGAGTCACTTCTCATGAGTGGCTTGACGATGGCAATTGTGTTTATCAACGAGGCTGGCCAGACCTTCTTCCTGGTTGTCAATGTTATGGATTTCCAGATTTCCATTGAGCTTTTAGGACCATTCACGTATCTTGGAAAGACTTTGCCTGGGCGGTCGAGAAAAAACTGGGCGATCTTCGACGACTATTTCCAGCAAGCAAGCTGGAGGACGCGTTCTAGAGAAGCATCCATTAGCTGGGACAGTGAAGGAATAGAACTTGTGGCACATCTTCAGCGGATTTGGTCAGAACGAGAACAGGGTTATCATATCTCATTCATTGTGAAAAGACATTAAGATGCTTAACAATGGCAAGTTTGTGTTACCAGAATTTCTTTATTAGGGCTATAAATTATGAGGGGGTTGCATTAATATAGTGCCTTTTTGAGCTTTTATCTGGCTCTTGAAACAAGTTCACGATTAAGCTCACTTCTCTACGGTGCATCGGCGAATTTATTTTCTTCCAACTACTTAGGATTTCTTTACGCTCAGTTGCCTGAACTGAATTTGGATGCTTTCAGACAGGCCGATTCAAGACTAGATATGAAAGTAGAAATGGAATGAAATAAGTACGAACCACAGGCAAGATATATTTTCTAGACTAGGACGCATCCGTGCTATTCTATCGAGAGCAGTCTACAATAGACACTCCAAACATAACAGGAAGATAATGATCACAGCGGGTGAGTTTTGTTGTTTGTCGGTGATGGAATATTCTCGCTTAACCAAACTGCATTCTGTTGGTTCACAGTCAACGATTTTGCATCTGAGGATGCGAGCGCTATCTTCGAATATGATATTTCGAACATGAGTGATAATTTTCTATTCTTAGCATCCACGAAGTAGGATAAGCGCTTAGACTCGTTCTCTTCGTATCTCCTTCTCGTAGCCGAGCGTCTGCCGTGCTAACCGGACAAGCGATTTAGAACTCTGGGCGCATTCTTGGGTGCTTTTCAATTGGGCACAAGATCCCTTGTGATTCAATTGTTGTCTGGGTTATTAATTTACCAATGCTTTTGCTGCCCATTGGGGCTGTGGAAATGGGCGCTAGTGAGGGCTATGGCGGGACCGGCAATGTGCTTCCAGAAGACATTTTGGATATCCATGACATGTGAACCTAGTAAGTGCTGAGAAGTAAATCGTCTCATCTTCTGTTTCCTTTTCGTTCTTTCATAGTTTTACTGTAACGTTATTCAGAGTACAAGGAGATTGATTGTAGTCGATGTCATAGCACAGCAAGAATGAATTACCAGCAACAACCACAATATCAGGGTGAGTACCGAACATTTGTTTGACAACAACAAATATATCACATCCGTCTGTATTCTTACAGAAATACAGATCCTAATGCCCAATATGGCTATCCACCACCTCAACAGTATCCTCAGCAAGGCTACAACCAAGGTTATGCTGGACAACAACAACAAGTAAGTAGATTCTCATGTCAACTATAATGCTCAAGAAAAAATCAATAGACGCTGACTATAACAGATGTACGCTCAGCAGCAACCACCTCAAACAGTCATCGTTGAGAAGGAAAAGAAGGACCGTGGATGTCTGACCACTTGGTATGACTTTAGTCGTCTATGAATGCCATGTTTGAAGCTAATCGGTGTCGATATAGTCTCATGACCTTGTGTTGTTGTTGGTTGTGCGGAGAAACCTGTGAATGCTGCTTCGATTGTTGCGATGTGTGTTGCTAGATAGTTTAATATGTTTGGAGTTCGGTGGAAGGAAGGGTGGTCCTCTGGCCATGTAATTTCCATTTGGAACTTTCTTATAGTGTTTGGAGACGTTTTGGGGTTCAGTGTAGAGAAGAAATATACTCAATAGCTTAGTATTGCAAACAGTCTTCCGTCTGGCAGAGCTTCTGCAACACGCGAAGCCGTCTAATGATTGTATCACATAGCACGATTCGAATCCCTCGGGGTGTTTTTATTATTCCTGGGCTGACAGGATCATTGATACCTGAGTCCGAAGTGATTTGTATGATCCACCTCGGTAAGCCTAATGTAGAAATCGGTGTGAGAGCGATAGTGAGATGGTCGCCGAGGAACGTCTAGGTCAGCCACGTGGAATAATAGCCGTTGCTGACCACATCCATGATTCGATATTATCATTATTGTCGTCGAGGCTTGTCTCAAACGACCCGGACATCTTCAAACCATTCGAAGCTATGGGAAACGATCGGCCCGGGCCGAAACCTAAAAGCAAGTCTGTTCAATAGTTAGCATCATGCTCGAGGTCTCGAACGTCTCAAGTTTCAAAATCTTCTTTCTATGCTATAATTGTGCCTTGCACCTTTTATCCGGATGAATTCCCGCTTGGGACGACGTATTCTTGTGATACTGTATGTACCGGCAATCATCAAGCTAATTCAGCAGCACTCACCTAACCCTGTTTTCCCCCTTTCGACGGCACCAGCCTCATGAGGGGTTAAAATGAAATAAATAATGTACGTCAGCCACCACATGTGTGTTAATTTACCGCCAAGGGCAGCTTGGCTAGCCCGCTCGAGCGCTGCTTGACCAGTCGAATGTGAAGATTTGCAGGGTGTTCCGGGACCCCTAACCCGCCTAGTGGGTACCACAGCAAAACCTCAAGAAGTCCAAGAGACTCCCACCGTATCAAAAGTCGCCCAAGCGATGGTTTCTACGCATCCCACGCCATCAGCGGATGCAGCAGAAGATCAATTGTGGCAGAATCCGATGCACCTTGGAGGGGTACACGATGTGTCCCACAATCTCTACTGTTGTGCTTCCAATGGTCTAGTAAGCACATCCCACCTTGTAGTAGGTTGAGGTATTAGAGGGTGGTCCTCCGCACCGTTTCTTTGCTTCCGAATATTCCTCATTTTCGATTGCGTTGGTTCCTTGATCTTTTCAATCTCTATCCTCAATCTCTGTCCAGCATGTCGTTCTTCAATAAACTCAACAAGGAGTTCTCGGGGTTTATGGATGGTGGAAAGAAGCCTGAAGCTCAAGCACCACCACCGCCAGCAGCAGATCATTCAAGAGGTACTACACCTGTGATTCCTGTAATCCATATTTCAATAACCCTTCGTTGCTAACATGATGGACTATAGGATACGGCGACTACAATCAGCAGCAACAATATCCACCTCAAGGACAGTATCAACAGTACCCACCTCAACATCAACAACAACAGAATCAATACGCACCCTCTCCTGCACAATCACCTCCTGCACCAGGTCAATACAACCAACAAGGACAATGGCAAGCGCCGTCAACTCCACAGCAGTATGGTAGCCAACCATACAGTGGACCTCCAGCACAACAGCAGTACGGTCAACCAGCTGCACAGCCATATGGCCAACCTCCTCAGCAATACGGCAGCCCAGCTCCTCAATACAATCAATATCAATCACCGCCTCCTCAACAAAACATTCCTGCTCCACATGCTCCCATTCTACCACCCGGGTGGACTCCACTCTGGGATCCAAACGGAGGCCGTTGGGCATACATGGGAGGTGATCAGAAAGTAGTCTGGACAGCACCAACAAGTCCTTTTGTTGATCAAGGCGCCCATGACTCAAGTCGTGGTGCTTTCGGTGGACCAGTTCCCGTTGATGCTGGATACGGAGCCGCGGCTGGGCCTGCAGGATATGGTGCGGCAACAGCTTTAGACACCAAGGACGTGAAGAAGGACAAAAAGGATGACTCAAATAAGAAGATGATGATGGGAGCTGCTGGTGGTCTGGCAGTCGGTGCTATTGGTGGTGCTTTGATTGCAAACGCGATGGGTAAGTCTAGAATATCCCCGCCAAGATTCTTCGAGAGTGCTCCATCCTAAACTGTTTGATACTGACATTACTTTAGATGATGATGACCATCATGGCGGCGGCGGAGGGCATGGAGGTGGTTATGGTGGTGGATATGGCGGCGGTGGAGGCTATGCACCAGATGGCTACCCATCTCAGCAAGCTTACCCACCTCCTGCTGGATCTGGCAGCTCTGTCAGTAGCAGCGACAAGGAAGAGCTTGAGGAAGCTAGAGAGGATTATGAAGAGGCTTATGAAGAGGCCTACGGTTCTGATTGATCCGTCCTTGGACACATACAGTGGGACAGCTACGAAGTTATGACTTTATGTTGCAAGCCAGCAATCAGTTGTGGTTAGGCAAGTGTTGCAAAATTTGTGTTGGTCAGCAAATAATGAGATACGAGAACTCGTTATCGCAACGATGTATTTGCGCCAGATGGTAGCCAAGTTATATGCCTTCTACCATATCATGAATTTCGGGCTAGTCATGAGAACAACGCCCATGTGCGCCCACAGAGCCAAGATCATTCAATTGTAGCTGCCAAGTTGTGTCCACAACACACAGGTATTCATACCACTACCACTTGACCTGGCATATGGCTGTCAGACTTCAATCTCTATCGATATAGATTACTTGACATCTTTGAAGAGTTACACAAACTCCAACTTCCTTTATTCTTCAACCTCATCAATTAACTCGCTAAAACTATGACTAGGATAGTTAAAGGGGGAAGATGGTCGAAAATCGCTCCTCGCTTGTGACACCACTAATTGACTAGCCAAGCGAACTGGCTATGGCGAAATCATTCCCACTTTTAGCATCATCGATCAAACTCTTCCACAGTTACGTTATGTGGCCCTCTACAACCCAATTACTAGAAGGATTTTATGCCGATAAGGCTACGGTAGTTACCAAGGGCTTGGAAGCGGCAGAGCCCACGTGGTAAGCTTTTCAAACATATATCTCCAATTGACGGCCCCGTATTTCTTCAACACTTGAGCTTCTGTTCGCAACAATGTCGGACATCCAGAAACCTCAATACGGAAGAACAGACGTGGATCTAGCTCGCGGCAATGGAGCGCAAGAAATCGATCCAGAAAGCGGCGTGAAGCGAGGTCTCAAAACTCGACATCTGAGTATGATGGCCCTGGCAGGAATCATAGGACCTGGTCTCCTCGTCGGATCCGGAGGTGCACTCTCAAGTGGTGGACCAGCGGCTCTGCTGATCGGATTCGGAGTGATTGGTATAATTGCTTTCAGTATCATGCAGTCGTTGGGAGAGATCACGACTTTATATCCGACGGGAGGAGCTTTCACAAGTCTGGCCGACCGGTTCGTTGATAAGGCGTTTGGGGTGGCGGTTGGATGGAATTACTTCATTATCTGGGCTGCTGTCCTGGCTAATGAATATAATGCTGTCTCTTCGATTTTCGTCTTTTGGAGCGACAAGGTCCCTTTGTGGGGATATTTCTTGCTCTTCTGGTTTGCGTTTCTAGCATTCCAGCTTCTTGGAGTTGAGGCATTCGGGGAGGCCGAATTTTGGCTTGCGTGGGTTGTTCCTCAACGGTCGAGAAGTTCAATGCTAACCCTTTCAGTCTTCTCAAACTCGGTGGCTTGGTAGCTTATTTCCTCTTTGCTATCGTGTATGCAGCAGGAGGTCTGAAAGGCCAAGATGGAGCGTTAGGGTTTCGTTATTGGAATGACCCCGGAGCCTTTGCCGACGGGTTTCCAGGTGTTGCAAAGGTCTTTGTATTCTGCTCAACCTTCTATGCTGGTGTAGAATCAGTGGCTGTTGCTGCTACAGAAACTCGAAATCCACGACATGCAGTTCCTTTGGCAATTCGTCAAGTATTTTGGCGTATCCTGTTCATATACATGGGTTCTGCCTTTTTTTTTGGTCTAACATGCCCTTCCAACGCTGACGGTCTTGTCAATGGTGGTAGCAGAGCTTTGAAATCGCCAATGACAGTTGCGATCCAGAACGCTGGCTGGGAAGGAGGAGTACACCTCGTGAATGCTTTCATCTTCGCCACATGTCTTTCAGCAACCAATAGTTCGATATATATTGGCTCTCGAACGATTCTATTCATGGCTCAGGAAGGAAAGGCTCCAAAATTCCTGGGATACACAGACAAGCGAGGCGTTCCAATCTTCGCCATCATCTTCACAAATCTGTTCGGTGCTCTATCCATGATGAATGTAAGCACAGGTGCTAGTGCAGCATATGGATACATCGTAAATCTGAGCGGTGTATCAACTTTCTTAGTTTGGGGATCAATCTCTTTCACCCACATTCGCTTCCGACAAGCTTGGGTATCTCAAGGGCGAACTGTTGATCAATTACCATTCAAATCGCTCTGGTATCCATGGAACGCATATTTCGGACTGGGCGCGAACATATTCCTGGCATTCATCCAAGGCTGGACAACCTTCGCACCTTTCGATGCTGGATTATTTGTCGATGCGTATATTCTTCTCCCGCTTTTCCCTGTTATTTACTTCGCTTATAAATTCTACTTCAAAACTCGGTTTTGGCGATTGCACGAAATCGATCTCGACTCTGGAAGGAGGGTTGATCTTGATGCCGCAGTTGAGGAGGAATATTCCGGATCTGATGATGGTCTACATCCAAGGAAGCAGGCTCTTTGGCGTAGGCTTGCAAAGAACTTCTGATGGAAACCTTGAAACGGGGCCTGACTTCGCGCAATTCGGGTTGAATTTGATTGTTAGGCCCGGCCCAGTTTCAAACAATTTTAATCCGTTATACTGCCGAAACTCGCTTCACAGTTACAAAGCGAGTTGCCTTTTAAAACTATATCAAGGGTTATTCCAGTGGTGAACAACATACGTGCCTAGATCCAGCAGTCATGGGTTCGAGCTGTAATTGTTGTGGATACCATTCTGCCCAAAAGTCCGAACAAACTAATGCTAATGCAAACAAGCAATTGAAACTTCTATGTATCTTCGGAAGGCTCTTTCCAACTAGCAAACTATGTTCTCAGCAAAGATACCAGGGCGCAAGTGGCGAGTTAGCTGATTCTTTTTTACATGCACAAAAACAGTTACTCACATCTACAAACCACTCAACTATCACCTCTCAAGTTCTCTATCAATCTCGCTATAATATTCTGTCTTAGAAACAAGCTATCACCGCTTCAATCTGTTCTAGGGATGGAAGTCCCACTGATCGCACTTATGCTAAATGTGCAAGTCACCGCCATCCCCAGACAAAGTACATATACAGCCAATATATTTCAAAACAATACGTTATGCTTTCACATACGACCATAGACTAGAGAACATTGGGCATCCCGTCCGCTCTGCCATACACAAGCTCTAGATCGGCAGATTAGTAGTTGGGTGGGTGACCACCAGCGAATACCTGCTGTTGTATGTTTTTGGTTTTTTCAACATTTTTGGGTCTCGCTTAGCTTTTGTTCCCCTGACATGCAGGTGTGGAGTTAGAGGGATAGCTTTTTGGAAAATGAGTGAAAAATGAAGGAGAAGAAGAAGTTTAACGGCTATTAAAGGTAAGGTTTAGGAAATACAGGACGTTACATCTGGAAAACTCCGCTTCGTTTTCGAATTTCCCTTTTCGCTTAGCACATCATCAGGTGTTGTCAGGATCCATTTCCGTAACAATTAACTAAATTCAATATTTCGAGACACTTATTTACTATATATCAAGCTCCTAGTCCTAATACAAATATCTTGTTTCAAACAATCCGTAGTTGAAACCAGACACCCCTCAGTAAACAAATTCCCCACGGGTGGGAAAAAACCCCTTTCTTAATTTTATCTTGAACTTACAAGAATTTATATATTATACAAAGTAGTTGGTATAAAGGGGCGAAAGTTTTGAGTAATGCTGCTTTAGAGTGATAGCATTACTTGTGAAAACTGCCTCTCTCTATAAGTGGACGAGTCATCACGTACCTTCTTACATGGAAGGGGTTGATGAAGTTTGATGCTAACGAACACGACACTTCTGCCTCTCGGCCAAGACCTAGGGTCTTTGTTTTCAGGTTCTCCTGATTCTCTTGTAAGCCGCATGGCCAATGGGGACCTTGACTTGAAAATGTGTTTTTGTGACTCTCACAATGAGAAGTGATTGTGTTTACAACCTGTAAAACGAAGAAGTCCCGTTGTTACTCTATGTTGTAATAGCAGCTTGGAAATAGTATTTTTCGAACGCTGTCTGGTACTGGCACGATATATCACGTTTAAACATCGACATCGAGGATTTTTCTGCAACGGAAATTCTCGATAGAGTATTTACCAAGTCAGATGCAGATGTTATCTCAGAAAGCGCCCCATTGTCTCGAACAAGTAATCAATCATATGAGCTCCATCTTGACTGTACTATTATCTTCTTGTAGTAGCAACTTACATGTTATATATCTACTATTCTTCACGGAAATGTTCCAGCCCAAGCAATTGAAGGCGAAATGGGCCAAATGATCAATTTGTGGAAGGAAGACATAGATTGACTCTTCCTCCTATATTCACGACGTATGATTCCTTTTACCTGGTCTTTGACCACATATGCTCAACCATTTAGTGGAAAGATGGTCTTCTGAAAACTTCCAAATACCGTTAGTTTGTCTTACAATAAGTTCCAAAGTACCTAATCAGGAAGCTCACTCAATCAAAAAGCAGTCAGTCAGCTAGGTATGGGTGGTAATCTATCAGACATGATAGTATAATTGAGAGTGAAATTGCAAGTGCGTTTAATGAATAGTACATTCCGCAGAGGAATGCAGTAGTTTAGATAGAACTCTCTAGAATACTTAGGACTCCTACAGCTATCATTTAGAAACAGGCGATATTTGCTGTACGCTCCCTGTTTCATCCGCGATATAGTTAAATTTATTTCTTAGCAAGTCTCATTGGGGTTATAAACAAAGTGTGCCTTTCGCAGCGCATTCTGGATATGTTTCACGAATGAGCGGAAAGGAATCTAGGATAGGATAAATACGGAAACTGGGATGAACAGAGCCGCTGCATTACTGCTGAACGTTTTGAGCTTTAGGAACTTAAGTAATTCGTGAAAGCTATTCCAGTAAGCACCTGTGCAAGTGAGAAAACAATTAACTGGCAGATATCCGTACCATTGCAATGTGTTTTGTTTTACATTTGTGTTTTGCACTTTTGGAAATTGGTTCTCATAATTTCATGGGTAAGACACCCGCCAATGAATTATCAACCAGTGATGGCACAAAGTGCTTACCACAAACGGGGGCTCAACGCAGATCATTCTTAAAATGACATCGTTGCAGAAACATTCAATGCCACAGCACGGCATGTTCCGGGAATCAACTCATCCCACTGGGGAGGTCAAAATCTGATTACACATTTTTTGTCCAAGGAGGCCTCATTGGCTGCTAAACCCTTTGAACTGACTGCGAAACAGAGGCGTCAAAGTCATAAGGCAATACGACGTCGATTGGAAATTGACTGAAGATCAGATACGTAGGTGTAAATGTACGAGCGTACATATGAAGGGGTAGATCGACGCTCAATAATACTCCTGCGAGTAACCGAACCGTTGCAAGACATTGAAATACTTCATACGAAAGCAACGATCCAAAGGCAATCGCGAAAATGTCGCAAAATGAGTCCAAAGAGCGGTCAACGGATCGAATGGCACATCGATTCAGAGAATATCAGTTGACGATGGGCGACCGCCCTTGGAATCTCTTGATATGCGATAGTGGATGGTATATCTGATTCGTGAAAACCTTTCCTGTTATCAGACTTATCTTAGCCTACACGCTGAGGTGCAGGCGACCTTCTCGCGTGTCACTAAGAATGGAGAAAACCAGCGTTTATCATGCATAGGGACGCACCAAAGTCTGCAGCGCGGGAAGGCGCAGATTCGGTTCCATGACAGGAACACGGATAGGTTGTATTTTGCAAAGGCTATGATCGACTAGCAGATAGAGCGAATTCTTGATCCAACTACTTACCTGAGGTGGCTCAACATATCTGCTCTCTCCGAGGCCTGCGGTGATGAGAGGCTGTGTATCGATAGATCGTCTTGGTATGTTTCGCATAGAACGAGATTGTAAAAGTCTCCAAAAATTCTTTGGAAAATTAGATAGTGGGGTTTCACGGAGGACGGTGTAAACTTCACGATAAACGGTCTAAACCCCTGACAAGACAACCTGGAAACATCCACATGATGATAAAGAGAAAGGCCGTGCGCGATGTTGTGCCGCAAAGTACTACATTGCGGTGATGGTTTGCATCCCAAGCTGTTTTCGACATCGTTGAAGTACATGAGAGGATGAGCCATCTCGGGAGAAGCAAGTTGTCTGGGACCCATCTCTGTGGACGACACCGACGCGTATTAGCTTGTGCTCCGTACATACCTAGGATAGGGAATAGGTATTCATCGTTTGCCCTCGAGTTGACCCTTTCCAGACACCGCAGCAAGAACTCTCAGCAGCGGTAGTGGTCCGTGGGTGGATTGTTGGAGATCCCCCTCACTTGAAGGATTTCCCCCGCATTGTTTTCGTTTTGACCATAAAGAAAGCGTTTTCAAGATGAGGGTTGTGGCTCTGAAATTCAGAAAGCACTTGCAAATCGTCATGTGTCCAGATTCCAGAAGCATTTCCTTCCGCCGCTCTTTCTCGTTACCTTCTCAAACGATTGCCAGCCCTCGCGAACAGCTAGCTAGCTCTAACTCTTTTGGTACGAGTACCGTCAGGCACAAGTAATCGGCTTTCACGGACAAACCCCTGAGGCTACTAGTACTAGAAATAGGTACAGTCCCAAAATGGATAGTTGGGCTTTAATGCGGCCGCGTCTTGGAGAAACCGGATTCGTACTGTATATCAGACCTTTCTGGAAGTCCGCCCGTGGTCTGCTTAGTCGTTGATCGAAATTTAATAGCGTGATACAGGTAGGTACCTGAATCGGGCGAAGAACTTCAGATCAAACCTGAGTGGCGGGTCCTTCAATGCTTTCTGTCTGCAAATTTCTAAAGACGATTTGCTGCCGTCTCATGTTCGATGGTTTTTTTCTCATAAGCGCCCGTGTCTGATATTCCGTGGTACCAAGCTCGCTGCGAGGTAGTAGACAGAAAAATGATACCAACAGCCTCTGAGAAGAGGTTAGTGAGGAAAATCCGGTGCCATATGATTCCTTTGACGCGAACAAAACCATGACGGCGGCATGTACGGCATTTAGAGATGCAAACCAACGTCCAGGAGAATCGGAGTCAGATTGTGAATGAGGGATCGTGCGAATGCCTGTGCGGGCGTCTTGGCCATCTCTTTCCACTGCAAAGCACTGTTGATTTCTTGTCGCTGGCACGGCTGGTCCCATTTCCCATCTCAGTTCGGAGAGCCTAATGGTCGTAAAGAAGCAGAAATACGACGTCAAAGTCGCACCGTAGGCTCGAGCCAGTTCTGTAGGTGTAATCATGAACGTCTGAGACCACCTGCATGTGAGCAGTACGTACCCGCGCACTGAAATTGCACTTGCATCTTCGATTGAGAGCGGAGAAATATTACTCTGTATCTGTATCAGAAACGGAACATAATGCGTTGCGAAAGAAATCGAAATAGAATTAAACAAAAATACGTGGAAATATTTTCGGCGGTTATTTGTTTGTCAGGTTGTCGTTGCGGTGCGGTGCGTGCGGTAGGGGCCCCTTTGGTCTCGAGGAGGAAACTTTGGGAAGAACGGTTCTCGGCTGCCCCTGGCACTCCTTCGTAAACCTGGTGGACTGTGGGAAGTGGAGAGGGTCCCTCTTCTCATCGCCGCTTCCCTGTGTGCTGTGTTTCAGTCTTCATTTACCTGCATCCCCATCTACACCTCCGTCCGATGAACCTTTGATTCTTTCCACTCGACTAAATTCCAGCTCCAGCTCCAAATAGCCTCTTCGCAACCCATTTGCATCCGCCGCTTGTTCTTCCTTTGCGCCATCCAATCTGCTCCATATCGCATCTCGCTCCAGCCTTCCTGCCTGGTCCCCTCTACAAACCAAACCCAAATTCCACGACTGCATCCGGAACTTTTTCCGACCAGAAGCCAGACATTCTGCGTCATCTTAACACACGCCACGAGGAGCCCTGCAGCAGAGATCGAGTCGCTGAGACCTGTTGTAATTAGAGGAATCCCTTCGTTGTCGTATCTGCTATCCAAACAAGCCGCTCGCTGGTCGAAATACGAAGCCGCTCTTCACATCCTATCTCATGAATCGAATACAAAGATAACATAGCATCAGAAGCGGGTAAATACCGACATTGATTCGCTCGCGCCCAGGTCAGACGTTGTTGGGTCCCGAGTGGAATTTGAGTCCTTTGTTCCAACAAGGACGACAAGGACTTGTGGAGCGATTTAGGTCGATAGGAATTGCAGCTCCAGTGAACACAACAACCCCTCCTTCAATTTCTTGCTGAGTTCAAATGACTAGCGTGATGCTTCAAACCCCGTCCAGGGCATCTACAGCTTCTTCTTCGTCCTTCCAACCGGTATCACGCCAAAACACCATGTCTTCTCACGATGGAGGACGTTCTGTTCGCCAGTCGAAACGCTACTCGATGACAACACTCTATCTGTCCATGTCTGCGAACGAAAAGGACTTGGAAATCGAGGATGATCTTGCCAAAGGTAGAGTCTCCATCAATCATACGAATTGAATAGATTCTAACTCGTACCTAGCTCAGAAAATCTTACGAGACCTCAAGTCGAAAATCTCCTCCCAATCAAAGAAGAACTTCGTGTTAGAAAAGGATGTTAGATATCTAGACTCGCGGATAGCACTGTTGATTCAGAATCGAATGGCATTAGAAGAGGTAGGCACGCTCTGAATTGTGCACGCGCAAAGCTAATATACAGCAGCAAAATGAGGTTGCAAGCCATTTGGAGGACGCATCAGATTTGCAAGAAGGTTTCTTTCCGAACGACGAAAAGACCCAGAAATACGGCAATTTGTTATTTCTCTTGCAGTCTGAACCTCGGCATATCGCACACCTCTGTCGTCTTGTCACAATGGCAGAGATCGACTCTTTGCTCCAAACCGTCATGTTCACAATCTATGGAAATCAATATGAAAGTCGTGAAGAGCATCTACTTTTGACTATGTTTCAGGTATTTTTATGTACAACTTTTTAATTTGGGCTATCAGCTAACCTCCCCTGAAGTCTGTTCTCACCTATCAATTTGACAATACTCCCGAATACTCCTCCTTACTTCGCGCAAACACTCCAGTCTCACGCATGATGACAACATATACACGCAGAGGTCCGGGGCAGAGCTATCTGAAGACTGTCTTAGCCGATCGGATCAATGGACTCATTGAGCTGAAGGACCTTGACTTGGAAATCAACCCATTAAAAGTCTACGAACGAATGATCGAGCAGATCGAAGCGGACACTGGAAGTCTTCCAGCTTCTTTACCGAGAGGAGTGACTGCAGAACAGGCAGCAGATAATACCCAGGTTCAAGCTATCATCGAGCCTCGATTGACAATGCTTATGGAGATAGCCAACGGATTCTTGAGTACAATCATAGAAGGGTTGGAAGAGACACCATATGGTATCAGATGGATATGCAAACAAATTCGAAGTCTCACGAAGCGCAAATATCCAGATGCTAACGATCAAGTTATCTGCACATTGATTGGAGGATTCTTTTTCTTACGTTTCATTAATCCTGCAATTGTCACCCCAAAATCATACATGCTTATCGATGGAACGCCTGCGGAGAGACCGAGACGAACGTTGACCTTGATCGCGAAAATGCTGCAAAATTTGGCGAACAAACCTTCATACGCCAAGGAACCATATATGGCCAAATTGCAGCCTTTCATCCAGCAAAACAAGGAGCGAGTGAACAAGTTCATGCTCGATCTCTGCGAGGTCCAAGATTTCTACGAGAGCCTGGAAATGGATAACTATGTTGCTCTTTCGAAAAAGGACTTGGAGTTATCGATTACTCTGAACGAAGTCTATGCGACACATGCCCTGTTGGAGAAACACAGCAACGAGCTCAACAAAGATGATAATTCTCATCTCGCTGTGATATTGGCGGATTTAGGAACAGCCCCTCCCCAGTTACCACGAAAGGAGAACAGGGCCATCAATTTACCGCTATTCAGTAAATGGGAGACCGCTATCGACGATTTGACAGCGGCGCTGGACATCACCCAAGAAGAAGTCTTCTTTATGGAAGCGAAGTCAACGTTCGTGCAAATCATGAGATCGATACCCAGTAACAGTGCCGTTGCACGGAGACCACTTCGTCTTGAGCGTGTTGCTGATGCCGCAGCTACATCTCGAAATGATGCCGTTATGGTACGAAAAGGTATACGTGCAATGGAACTTTTGAGCCAGTTACAAGAGCTTGGAGTTATTGACAAGTCCGATCAATTCAGTACTCTCCGTGATGAGGTTGAGCAAGAGCTGCAGCACCTTGGCTCTCTCAAGGATGGTGTGATTGTTGAAACCCAAAAACTAGACGAGGTCTTTAAGACAATTCGTGACCACAATTCGTACTTGGTGGGCCAGCTCGAAACATACAAAAGCTATCTTCACAATGTCCGCAGTCAGAGCGAAGGTACCAGACGGAAACAGCAGAAACACCAGGTCCTCGGTCCATATAAATTTACTCACCAACAACTCGAAAAAGAAGGTGTCATTCAGAAGAGTAATGTGCCAGACAACAGGAGAGCTAACATCTACTTCAACTTCACTAGCCCTCTTCCTGGCACTTTCGTTATTTCGCTTCACTACAAGGGTATGTATATCCTTATAATCTGTTACAATTCCAAACTAACATTTCCAGGACGCAACCGTGGGCTGCTAGAGCTCGATCTTAAGCTGGATGATCTTCTCGAGATGCAAAAAGACAACCAAGAAGATTTAGATCTCGAATACGTCCAATTCAATGTTCCAAAGGTTCTCGCTCTACTAAACAAACGATTTGCGAGAAAGAAGGGCTGGTAGTTTCTCAGAATCCGTGGATTTGCAACTCGAATACCACTTGCTGGGACATCGCAAATAGTTCCTGGGGACAGGGCGTTATAAGGATTTGATACTTGATGAGCGAAAGGCGCGCCATTGATTATGCTTTTGTTCTGCGTTCTATACCTTTGTTCTTCTCTTTCCTATTTTGCTCGAATTTTTTGGCAGTTTTCATGAGAATTCGCTCGTATATGGCTTGGAGAAGTTGATTTTCTGTTGCTCTTTCGTTATTTGGGAATGGGCGGCTGTTATCTTGGCTGGCTGGTCCGGGAGCTATGGCATGTTGGCCTACTTCCCCAACTTTGTTGTGTAAAATTGATGGATGACGATTGAGCTGGCGACTAGGAGAATAATTCTTGCACTTTGAATGAATATAACGGCGGCATGGAGTATGAGATGGGAATTGGTGGCTATGACTGGCTCGAAAGCGAGCGAGATTTAACTGTAATATCATGATGGAAAGATTCTTATCTTATTGCTCAGTCTTCGATGACGCTTTTTTCTGTGGAGCATGGTGATATCAATATGTCCCAGTAAGTGTAGTATTTTACGCTCGCGTTCTAACTAGTAAGCTAGAAATTTACCGACTAGCAACCAGTGTGGTGGTGTTGCGAGACAGAACTGCATGTAACACTCAGAATAAAGGAGCCATTTTTAGTTTATTCAATACATTTTATAGATTGGACTTATATATGTAGCTTTTTTGCACATTCGAGCTCGAGTTGCAATATTGAAAGCGGAAGATTGAACTCAGGTACACCAAGCCCATCTGAGACCTATCTCAAGGACGTTTAGAAAGGCCATGAAATAACTGGAAATTTTCGACATACCCTACTTTCTCTTTGAAGTGGTGACATTCCGTCGCGCATACAGAAACATTTTGATAGGGGGTGGGGCACCCCGCCATCACCCCGTCAACCGACCCCAGTAAATATTGAACCTCGAAACTTCGATGTCAATCTCAGCATTTGCGACAGCGACGACGACGACTTATCAGCATCGATAATGGCTAGGCTAGCGAGAGGAGATAGTGGCGATGAGCTTCCGGAGGTTACAGCTATAGTACCGAGTTCGAGAAACACAGGTCGAAGAGATGCAAAGAAGCGCGCTGGGACCGTATCGAATTCGCGAAAGGTTGCTGGAGGGGTGGGCGAGGAAAATGGAATTGAGAATGAAGCGACCGGAAGGGGGAAAGAAAAACCGCAGAACAAGGTCGACGAAAATGAAAGTCAGAAGGCGAAACCGCGGAAAAGAATTCTTAAACAGAAAACGGATAATCCATTATTACGGCCTCTGACGGCGACGACCGCTTCTTCCTCTGAACAATCGATTCGCAAGACAAGCGTCAAAACATTCTTAGTTGCGGAAAAAGAGATTGTGGCTGGACCAAAGAAGATTCAAATCACACAACCGGAGAAGGCGAAAATTAAGTCAAGAAGGAAGATTGAGGAAAGCGAGAGCGAGAGTGATGGGATGTCGGATTTTGTAGTAAGCGACGATGAGAGTGTGTTTCTTATTGAGAGTAGCGAGGAGGAAGTGGAAGAGGTGGCTAAGACACTACCTAGAAGTGTCAGAAGACTGGTCAGAGGGAGAAGACCTGTGAGAGAGCAGACACCCGAGGATTTGGGTGGTGGGGAGGAGAGTGAGGATGATGATTTGGTGGGGAGGATTAAGAAATTGAGTATGGGGGAACCAGAGAAACAGCGGAGGAATGAGATGTCGTCCAGGGAACGTCCAGAAGACTTGGAGACTAGAACGAAAAAGGAGCCAGTGATGAAGAAGAAGGTGGAAGATTTGGGTTTAGATCTCGATGACCAATTTTCACATCGATTGTAAGTCTTGCCTATTCTCTGTACAAGATGACACGACTAATTCTCTACTAGTTTACCACAGCCAATTATACCAAGAAAAGAACCTTTGCCAAAGAAAAAGTCTCAACCACCCAGCTCAGATTTAGAAGACCCCTTCACACTACGATTGTAAGCTTCCCAATCTGTCTAGGGTTACGCATCTAACAGCCGATCAGCTCTCCCTCACAAACCAAGCCTAAGAAACCCTCCAAGAAAGCGCAATTCACAACTCCTCCCAGTAGTCCTGATTTAAAGCCGAGTAAATTCCTCTCACCAACCAAAAACCCACCCCGAATTCCAGACTCACCACACAAACCAGACTCCAACGAATTCTGGGACATCGACGTAATCAACGACTGGAACAACGAATACTCACCTCAAAAACCTATCCTCCCTACCCGCCCACTCTCAGACACACCCGGTAAACTCCTCTTCTCACCCGGCAAAAAAAGCCCTTCCAAACCCGACCGCGCAGCCAAAGCCGCCAAAAAAGCTTTTGCCGACACCAAAAACGCCCTCGCAGAATCCTTTCTCCAAGAACTAGACACTCAAATCACAGCCGGCCAAATCGCCACCCTCTCCGCTTCCACTGGCGGCGTCAAAATCATCTGGTCCAACAAACTCAACACCACAGCTGGTCGCGCGACTTGGAAACGGGAGACGCTTAAATCGGCGACTGGGGTCACACATCGCCATCACGCAGCCATCGAACTCGCGTCGAAGGTTATCGATGATGAGGAGCGGCTGCTAAATGTGGTTGCGCATGAGTTCTGCCATCTCGCGAATTTCATGGTGAGTGGTATCAAAGATCGACCGCATGGAAAGGAGTTTAAAGAGTGGGCGGCGAAAGTGTCGAGGGTCTTTGGGGCGAGGGGCGTGGAAGTCACGACGAAACATGGGTATGAGATTGCGTATAAATTTCGCTGGGAGTGTGGGGATTGTGGGCTGGGGTTTGAGAGACATAGTCGGAGTATTGATACTAAACGGCATCGGTGTGGGGGGTGTAAGGGGGTTTTGGTGCAGGTTCGACCGGTGCCGAGGGAGGGGGTGGGGGAGGGGAAGGGAAAGGGGGGGACTCAGTATAATGAGTTTGTGAGGGAACATTTGGGGAGGGTTAGGGAGGAGAATCCGGGGAGTCCGTTGAAGGTTATTATGGGGTTGGTGGGGGAGAGGTGGAGGGAGATGAAGAGGGGGGAGGTGGGCGGGAATGAGGGTAGAGATAGGGGTGTGAAGGGGAAGGAGCCTGGAAAGGATGAGGTGGAGGATGTAGTTAGGAAGTTGGATTTCTTGGATTTGACGAGTCCTTGAGATCTTGTAGCGGGAACATAAGATTGATAGATGGGTCGTTGTTTGAGTCATGGTAGATATTGACATTACAGTTTCTTCTTGAGAAAAAGAAGGCAACTCGACCTCGAGTGGGAGAATAGGCGTCTGAGTAGGGTTGGTAAATAATGAATAATTTGCGCACTATACCACCTCTATATCAGGATGAGACTCTCTCGGTGGATTTTCTGCCTTGACTACAGATCAGTAGCTACACTAGAATCTCTTGTTAGTCCAAGAAGATCGTACACTTTAGATCTATCTCCTGCCGACCACGACCGTACAGTATTGTTTTAGAGGAGATAATGCACAACAACTTAGCTCACCACGTAGGTTTCATGTCTTCACAGGACTTAAATGCTCATAGAATATGTTACATTTCGTAAATCACAGTATCACAATATCTCAAAGTAATACATTATGAATATTGATTAGACTTTACAGCATTACACATCAATAGCTCCCACACAAATATACTTCGAAACAAAACCCATCTATTTTCTCATCCCAAACTTCAACAAACTAAGACCTTCAGGTATCTAAACCCCCAATCCCAAAGCACAAAGAATAAAAAACCACTCAATATAGAGTACACCAAAGTCAAAAATCTCTCAAATTTAATAGAATCAAAATAGGATATTCTAAAATACGCCTTCTAAAAATGCATCAGCCAAAAAAGCTATCCAAAAACCCCATACAATACATATAATGTAGTATTAAAAATCCCAAATCTCTCCATCCATAGCAAAGTTCTTTTTTAAGATTACAACAAGATCATTCCCATCCCTGCCATGCCCGCAACAACCACATATACACCCAAACTTAGCAGTCCTGTGTTCAAAGCCGGAACGGTAATCATACCCGCCGCAGCTTTAGATGTAGAGGAGGTCGACGCGCCGGACGATCCAGTTCCCGATCCTCCAGAAGCCCCAGCAGCCGTAGGCGCCGCGGTGACGGTTCCAGTTCCCGCGGCACCAGCAGCGGAAACGAGACTCGAGCACGAAGAGCTGGTGGAGCCAGATTGGACCTTTGCGTTTCCGCCGAAATCACACGCCGTCTTGGCGGATTTCTGGGAGACGTAGTATTGGTTAAAGGCGAAGGAAAGCTGTTGGGAGGCAGTGCAGACGGAATAGGCGCCGTAGACGCCTGTGGTGCCGTTAGCAGAGATGCCGGCGCAGGCGTTCTTGTCGAGGCCGCAGACGGTGTCGAAGAGGTCGGCGGTTTGATTGCCGGTGAGACCTGAGTTGGCGACGCAGGAGAGCGAAGAGACCATGCACTCGCAGAGTTGGGCGTTGGCGATGGGTGGGAGGTTGGAGGACGCTGCCCAGGCGGTTCCAGTTGCTGGACAGGCTGAAGCGACGGTGTTGGAGACGACATAAGCGGCTGAGGCGGTGTTAGAGGGTCGGACGGCGTTTAGTTGCGAGGAGAGGGCTGTGTAATCTGGAAGCTTGGAGGCAGTTGTTCCTGTGAGAGAGACGATACCTGGGTTTTGTCAGTATTTCGTAGTGATTGCTAGAAAAGAGCTATTACCGTAATCGTTGGCTTCCTGGAAATACATATACATGATACCACCTGACCAGACATTGGTCATGTTGGGACCGTAGATGGCCGCAACTTCAGTAAAGACGCGAGGTTGAACAGTGTTGCATCCGTACTCAGCAAAGAAAGCTGGGACAGAGAACTTCTCGAATTCCTTGGTACGTTGATCGAATCCAGACTCGGTGAAAGAGGAATCTCCGCACCAGGAGTAGATGTTGTATCCCCAGAAATCAATAGCTTCAGAAGCATCTCCACAGTTGAAGTAAGACGCCAAATCATCACGAATAGCAGCATCATCGTTGGTAGCATATCCGACACCAATGGTTCTGTAATTCTTGGTCTTGATATATGCCTTCATATCACGGACGGCAGCCTTGACGAAAGCACTGGCATCAGTGTTGGTGCGATCATTGGAAACCTCATTTCCAGCGAAGAATCCAAGGGTGTTGGTGTATCCAGCCAAAGCATCAACAACGCCCGCGTAGGTTGCAAAGAGCTCGGTGTTCCATTTAGGATCATCTCGAATAATCGAATCGACCGGGTTTGATAGGTCCTGAATAAGGTAGATGCCGTTGTCTGCAAGCAACTTCATGCAGAAGTCGTGGTTCGCGGAGGCGTTAATCGCATAGACTCGGATGGTGTTTACTCCCAAGGCAGCAATCAGAGGAACATCACGCGTACATCCAGCTTGGTCGGCTAGAGGATCTGTGAATTTGCCAGTTGCTGATGTTGACCCATTGGTGCTGACATCCTGTTGATATGCGATTCCCTTGATGAAGAACTCTGTGCCATTCTCGTAAAAGAAATGGGAGCCCTATATTAGAAGCCATGTGAGAAAAGAATGATTGAAAGAGGGTGGGGTTTTAGTCGCGTACCTTGATGACGATTGGAGGCAGGTCCGCTGCTGCTACCGCTGTAGCGAAGAGAGCCCCGCTGAGCACCGTCGCCGCAAATGAAGCAAGCCCGGAGGTCTTCATGGTTGTGATATGAGTATTATGAGAAGGATAATAGAAAGCGAGCACTGGAATGGACAATCACTTGATATCCCCAGAATCCGCGCAATGGTCGCTTAAGTGTTGGTGTCGTAATTGAGATCAGTTTAATTTAAGAAAACCAGCGTGAATGGAGGCTGCAATTGCCAGTCAACGAGTGTAGTGAGTGAGCGTATAGAAGAGGTTTGTGGAGATGAAATCGCACGACGGCGGAGAAGAGGTTGGAAATGACAAAAATAGAAGATTGAGGAATGCAGAAACCAGGAGGAAAGAGCGAGAGCGCCGTGAGATATGGTTCAAACAAAAGGAGTGGCGGCCGTGATCTGGAGACTCGTTTCGACGCACCCAAGAATACCAAGGGACAGCGATGCCAGAAATGGGCTGGGCAACTCTTGGGACCACACCCAAGACTTTGTGTGGATTGTCCGCGCAATCACAACAGAAACAACCGTAGGTAATAAGCCATTTCAGATCCAACTGGTGAATCGTAGCATGCACATGCGTGGAGCTGAAGATCAAGACTTTGACGGACGCTTCTCTCGGATGAGCTTGATATCGTTGCCAGAAGCTTCACGGCCACTACGGCTTTGCTGGTGATATCTTGTCTCCAGGAAATTTACACCTTTGGGTGCGCCACACAGCAGATCATCCCATCATACGTTCTGCATTGGGTCGATCCTGGTGTCGTACAACTGGTGATGTTGGAATCTCTCGACGTGGGACGTTTCTCTTTCTGCGTGGTGGATGAGAAGTGAGCAGATCCTCCGTTCCTCCCGTCGTGATCCTCACGCCCTCCACTGCCCTACGGTGTACGAAATGTAGCCGCCAGCAGGAATAATTACACGCCGCACGTGACGCGCTTTTCAAAACAAGAGAGAGTTGCTGGGAGATTGACTGGAGAGCTGTCGCCCAAAATGGTTACAGATGGTTGTTGCCATGACTTTGCCAACAATATCTCACTGTGTTGGGAACGAGACCGAGATGAGGATGCTCGTTTGCATTCTAAGTGAGGACCAGCCCGGCTGAGAGGAGAGAAATAGAAAAGATCTCACTGCGATACTCTAGCCTCCACTGTTTAGCAGATTGTCAAATCCTCGTCTGTTCTGTTGTTTCCATCACACTCCTTCCACAGCAGCTCATCACAACAACTTACCGTTTGGGCTTTCGATACCAATTGGCAGCTCGCACACTGCACCAAATCAATTATCACAAAGATTCTTCGAGGATTCAAGGCAGCTGAGAAAGCCTCTATACCGGCTTCAGCGCTGATGTATCAGAGCTGTGTCAGGAAGTGGATGACTGCGGCCCAGCTGGCTCACGGCATGAAGGAATCGAGACTTCAAACAAGACGACCGGAGCGATGAAAGTCCAATGGGTCCGAGGTTCCGGACGTATCCAGGACAAACTGCCGAACCACCTGGTCAGTTCAGATGATTTGAAAGCAATTGATGGATGGACAAGGCAAAGTATATCTCATTTCACAACTCCTAGAATCACCCCTATCCGGCAAAAAATTACCTTGATTTGTGCATATCTTTCAACAAGGGGTTGTGCGTGCCCCTATTCTCCTTGAATTAGTTGCAGCTTGAGATCGCCCCGGATCGCGGACATAAGCTCATTGCTTCCGGTGATTCGCTGAGCCCATCCATAAATGTTGAGCGAACTGGATAAGCGGTCATCTAGAATGCCCTGACAGGGCCGATAAGGGGCTGTGGTTTTGTTGCCACTGTGCCAGGTAGGCTAATTCTATTTTAGGGGCTTTCGCAATCATCGAATTCATGAATTAGATGCGATGGGAGATCCACTCTCTGCCACTCCATCCGGAACGTCGTCGACGACTACCACGGCGAGCTTTGGAATCAATGGCGACGACAAATTTCGACAGCTTTTGCCCGATGTTTGTCCTGATTTTTGGGTGGAATCCATCTTTTGTTGCTTTGGTCGAGGAGACTTCTGGTAGCAAGACATATTAATTGGTGAGCAGCATGGTTATCTGCACGCTGACATACCAACCATCTCGACTCGTATCAAAACTCGGAAAGCAACTCGGAGAGTACGTACTGTATACAGGATGCATATTCTTGGTACCTGCGGTAGTCGCTTGGGTTTACAATGTATACCGAATAGGGTGGCCGCGGCTAATTACGAGCATGTCGTATGATGATGGTGGAATAGTAGAATGCCACACCCAAAACTGACTCGTTTGCTCGACTGCCGGTATTCAGAGAGTGGCAGGCTCTGTTGATTTGACGCCTGGTATTGTTACGATGTGGCAAATTCCCGTTCCTTTACTTACGGCTCCCATGGCTCAGAGAATGTTCTTAAGCGCAAGAGCGAGAACACAGATCCCTCAATGGTTCCCCACGAAACATCGTTTGAATGCTCGACTAAGGATCTGACAGCGGGGATACTGATCCTATTGAAAAGGAGTGCTGGGACGGCGAAGACGAAATATTTGCCAGTGTCTCTCATTCGAGCCAGCCAGTCGTATCCGCATCTACATGGCTGGGACTGGTGTAGGTTTGGGATAAGAAGGCTGTTGTTCAGAGTCGATGCGAACAAATATGAAGCTAACGATTGACGGCTTGATCTTCTACGCCAATGAACTTGTGTTGTGCTAGTCCCCCGCTGCCGCTGTCTAAGAATTATATACTCCAACGATTCTCGAGAGATGTCGAGAGATGCGTTGTCGGCCGGACACAACATACAGCACTGTGGTACCAAGTGGGAGAAGTAGTAGAGCTTGTGCTGGTGGCGAGGACTGAAGATAGAATAATTGACAAACTGTGGTAAGCTGTAGATGATCCCTCTGAGGTTGCATTTCGATGAGCTCATTGCGAAGGGGATCTGCCCGGATTTGCAGTACTTTGTAGATTCAAGGAATTGAGAGTAAAGTAGTATTGGGTTTTGACCTCAAACCACCTCCTCTCATGAGTTACCTTCGACCGTAAGTATGCAGCAAACGGCCTACGGGAATCTTGAATGCCCGCTTGGCCAATGAACCGCTGCTTGTGTCTTTGAGTGAGTTGGCTGGTGTCAGCACAGCAGAGAAACTTGCGAAGTTCAAGTATGAGGTGGACACCGGTGGGTTGCTAAACCGGCCGTTGGGTTCCGTTGCAAGGCTTGATTGATAGTGGCTTTGTAGCAGTGGTTGTCAAGTCTCCAATGCATCAAGATCCTCTACCCCTTAACCCATCGTAGACACATTCACCTGCTGCTTCGACCGTGAATCCCAGCTGTCCGTACCTGTCGCCAGGTCATCCTCGAGCAGAGCTAAGCCCGATCAAGCCTCTCAACCCCCTTCATTCCACGCACCGCAGCACCCACCCAATCACAGATCGCTCATCGTGCTTGAGACGACCCACCTCTCCGCTACAGCACTCGCGAGCGAAAAACGCCCCCCATCCACGCCCACGTCTTCTGTCTTTTCTTCCCCGTCTCCCTCCAATTCATCTCAAACATCCTCATCCTCCCAGCTTTCAGGACATCTCGAACTGTCCAGCTGCGAGTGTTTGTTTGCTCTTCTCGTTGCGTCTTTTCGATTGATTCTACCACGTTCGTTCGATTGCACTGCGTATTCAACCTTCTCTCCTAATTAGAGTTCGAGGCGATCGAGGGAGTGGCTATAATTTTCTAGCTCATCCAAGAAGGGGCTACGGACTGTCACCCAAGCAACACGCAAGCACCTCTTCCTTCCTCCACAACCATCTTTCGGTCTCTTGTACACAAACCCTCGACTTCCGGCCATTACGCCAAGTACGTTCTTTCGTGACCTTTGCGATCTGGGACGCCGCTCGTTCTCCCGCAATTCCCTCGCAGAGCGCCGTTACGAGTTGTTTTCATCTTCAGGAATCGCTTTTTTACGATCGACATCTGCGGATAGCCAGGACTTGTGTCTTTTCGACCTTGTTATACCAGCGTATCAAAAACTAATTGCAAATTCAATGTCAAACTAATAGTACGTACTCCTCTCAGTCCGCCTGCTGTTGGACTGTCATTGCCACGATCTACCAATCGTAAGAAAAATATTTCACGACTCTTGCTGACCTTGTCTCCTTCAGGCATATCGATAGAACGCAATTATGTCGGGACACCCACAGCAGCCTCAGGGCCAGGCCGCTCAAGGCCATTATGATGAAGGCTACGGTCAACATCAACAAGGGAACACAGATTCCTATTACCAGGATGATCACGGACAACCATACTACGACAACAATGACGGATATGGAGACCAACAACACCCACCAGGACAACACCCACAAGGTGGTGATGGATATTACGATGAATCGTTCGTTTTCCCCAACCTCACATTGAGAACACAACTAATAGCATTTCAGGGGATATTACAATGCGGACGCCAACAACCCGTACCAGCAAGAGGGTGGCTACTACGAGGGTCAAGAGCATGGTGGTCAGGATCAAGACGAATATTACAATGACCAATACTATGACCAGGGAGCGCCTGCTGCTGGTCAGCATCCGCAACCAAAGCGTCGAGGGGACTCGGAGGAAGATTCCGAGACCTTCAGCGATTTCACCATGAGATCCGACATGGCTCGGGCCACCGACATGGATTACTATGGACGCGGTGATGAGCGTTACAACAGCTACAACGAGAGTCAAATGGACGGGCGAGGTTATAGACCTCCTTCATCCCAGGTTTCTTATGGTGGCAACCGGTCATCTGGAGCATCCACTCCAAACTATGGTATGGACTATAACAACGTTCTTCCAGCCGGACAGCGATCCCGCGAACCTTATCCAGCATGGACTTCCGATGCACAAATCCCGCTTTCCAAAGAGGAGGTAGAGGACATTTTCCTCGATTTGACCGCCAAATTTGGATTTCAACGGGACAGCATGCGAAACATGTACGATCATTTGATGACTTTGTTGGACTCTCGTGCATCCCGCATGACACCAAATCAAGCCCTATTGTCTCTTCACGCCGATTACATTGGAGGAGACAATGCGAACTACCGAAAATGGTACTTTGCGGCTCATCTCGATCTCGATGATGCCGTCGGGTTTGCAAACATGAAGCTCGGAAAAGGTTCTCGCAAGACTCGCAAGGCGCGAAAAGCAGCCAAGAAGAAGACCGATACCGACCCACACAACGAGGCCCAAACGTTGGAAGAACTCGAAGGTGATAACAGTTTAGAGGCTGCCGAGTACAGATGGAAAACGCGCATGAACCGCATGTCTCAGCACGACCGAGTCCGTCAAATTGCTCTTTATCTCCTCTGCTGGGGTGAAGCCAATCAGACTCGTTTCATGCCAGAGTGTCTGTGCTTCATCTTCAAGTGCGCCGATGATTACCTCAACTCGCCAGCTTGCCAGAATCTGGTAGAGCCTGTGGAGGAATTTACCTACCTGAATCAAGTCATCACACCTCTGTACCAGTACTGCAGAGACCAAGGATACGAGATTGACGAGGGCAAGTACGTTCGCCGTGAAAGAGATCACAACAAGATTATCGGTTACGATGATTGCAACCAGCTTTTCTGGTATCCGGAAGGAATTGAATTAATTGTGATGGAGGACAAGACCCGTCTCGTAGATTTCCCACCAGCCGAGCGATTCTTGAAGCTTAAGGACGTCAAATGGAACAAGGTCTTTTTCAAGACCTACAAGGAGACCCGATCCTGGTTCCATATGTTGGTCAACTTCAACCGAATTTGGGTTATCCACATCACCGCATACTGGTTCTATACCGCTAAGAACTCCCCAACAATTCTCGTCCGAGGCTACGAACAGCAAAGAAATAACCTGCCTCCTGCCTCTGCACAATGGTCAGCTGTCGCATTGGGCGGCACTGTTGCAACTCTTATCATGATCGCCGCCACACTCGCCGAATGGTCCTATGTTCCCCGCAGATGGTCCGGCGCTCAGCATCTCACTAAAAGACTGCTGTTCCTTATCGTTGTTCTCGCTATCAATGCTGGACCCAGTGTTTACATCTTCGTCATCCCAGATACACAGAATGGCAAGATTGCACTGATCCTCGGTATCGTACAGTTCTTGATCGCCATGGCTACATTCCTTTTCTTTTCCGTCATGCCACTTGGCGGGTTGTTTGGAAGCTACTTGACCAGAAACACTCGCCAATATGTCGCCAGTCAGACATTCACGGCGAGCTACCCGCGGCTCAGTGGAAACGACATGTGGATGTCTTACGGTCTTTGGGTGGTTGTCTTTGGTGCAAAACTTGCAGAATCCTACTTTGCCTTGACCTTGTCTTTCCGTGATCCTATTCGAATCTTGGCCTCAATGGAGATTTCCACCTGCATGGGCGACACAATCCTCAAGAAATATCTTTGCCCCTACCAGCCAAAGATTCTCTTGGGTCTGATGTTCATCACCGATTTATGTCTCTTCTTCCTAGACACATTTTTGTGGTACATTATTATGAATACTGTGTACTCCGTCGCCAGATCTTTCTACCTCGGAGTCTCCATCTGGACTCCTTGGAGAAATATTTTCTCTCGCCTGCCAAAACGTATCTACTCAAAGGTGCTGGCAACAACCGACATGGAGATCAAGTACAAGCCAAAGGTGCTCATTTCCCAAATTTGGAACGCTATCGTCATTTCCATGTACAGAGAACATCTCCTTGCAATCGACCACGTCCAAAAACTTCTATATCATCAGGTTCCTTCGGAACAGGAGGGTAAGAGAACGCTCAGGGCGCCAACATTCTTCGTTTCTCAGGAAGATCATTCTTTCAAAACAGAGTTTTTCCCAGCCCAGAGCGAGGCTGAGCGACGTATTTCTTTCTTCGCTCAGTCTTTGTCGACTCCTATTCCAGAGCCTCTTCCGGTCGACAATATGCCAACCTTCACCGTCATGATTCCCCACTACAGCGAGAAGATTCTTCTGTCCCTTCGAGAAATTATCCGCGAGGACGACCCTTACTCTCGTGTCACTCTTCTGGAATATCTTAAACAGCTTCACCCTCACGAATGGGACTGCTTCGTCAAGGACACCAAAATTCTTGCGGATGAGACTTCCCAATTCAACGGAGATTACGAGAAGAATGAAAAGGATACGGCCAAGAGCAAGATTGATGATCTTCCATTCTACTGCATCGGTTTCAAATCTGCCGCGCCAGAATATACTCTTAGGACCCGGATCTGGGCATCTCTGCGATCGCAAACTCTCTACCGTACTATCTCTGGTTTCATGAACTACAGTCGAGCCATCAAGCTTCTTTACCGTGTAGAGAACCCCGAGGTCGTACAAATGTTCGGTGGCAACTCTGATAAGCTTGAACGTGAGTTGGAGCGAATGGCCCGCCGCAAGTTCAAACTTGTTGTTTCCATGCAACGTTATGCCAAATTCAAGAAGGAAGAGATGGAAAACACCGAATTCCTGCTCCGTGCTTATCCCGATCTCCAGATTGCGTACTTGGATGAAGAAGCTCCACTCGTTGAGGGTGAAGAACCTCGCCTCTATTCTGCCCTCATCGATGGCCACTCTGAAATCATGGAGAACGGTATGAGACGACCAAAGTTCCGTATTCAGCTTTCCGGTAACCCAATTCTTGGTGATGGAAAATCCGACAACCAGAATCATGCCATCATTTTCTACCGTGGTGAATACATTCAACTTATTGATGCCAATCAAGACAACTACCTCGAAGAGTGTTTGAAGATCCGAAGTGTCCTCGCTGAATTCGAAGAAATGACCACTGACAACGTCTCTCCATATACTCCCGGCGTCGACAACCCAAAGATTGCTCCAGTGGCCATTCTTGGTGCTCGTGAATACATTTTCTCCGAGAACATTGGTATCCTTGGTGATATTGCTGCTGGAAAGGAACAAACGTTCGGTACTCTCTTTGCTCGTACTCTTGCAACCATTGGTGGAAAACTTCATTATGGACATCCTGATTTCTTGAACGGTACCTTCATGACAACTCGTGGTGGTGTTTCAAAAGCTCAAAAGGGTCTCCATCTCAACGAAGATATTTACGCCGGTATGACTGCACTTCTCCGTGGCGGTCGCATCAAGCACTGCGAGTACTACCAGTGTGGAAAGGGTCGTGATCTTGGATTTGGATCTATTTTGAACTTCACAACGAAAATTGGAACCGGAATGGGAGAGCAGATGCTCTCTCGCGAGTACTACTACTTGGGCACCCAACTTCCTCTGGATCGCTTCCTGTCCTTCTACTACGCTCATCCTGGTTTCCATTTGAACAACATGTTCATTATGTTGTCTGTGCAGATGTTCATGATCTGCTTGATCAATCTTGGTGCTCTTCGCAACCAGACCATCATTTGCAAGTACAACCCAGACGTGCCAATCACGGATTCGCTTTTCCCTACCGGATGTGCCAACATTACACCTATCACCGATTGGGTTTGGCGTTGTATTATTTCCATCATGACCGTCTTCGTCGTATCTTTCGTCCCACTGGTGGTACAAGAGTTGACTGAGCGTGGATTCTGGCGCGCTGCTACTCGTCTTGGAAAGCAGTTCTGTTCTTTGTCGCCTTTCTTCGAAGTTTTTGTCTGCCAAATCTACGCCAACTCGGTTCAGCAGGATCTATCATTCGGTGGTGCTAGATATATCGGTACAGGTCGTGGCTTCGCCACTGCTCGTATTCCATTCGGTGTCTTGTACTCTCGATTTGCGGGTCCATCCATTTACCTGGGTGCTCGTTCTCTGATGATGTTGTTGTTTGCAACCCTCACCATCTGGCAACCAGCCTTGGTCTACTTCTGGATCACGTTGTTAGCCATGTGCACATCGCCATTCATCTACAATCCTCATCAGTTCGCATGGAATGACTTCTTCATTGATTATCGTGATTTCTTGAGATGGCTATCTCGTGGAAATTCCCGCTCTCACTCGTCCTCATGGATTGCATACTGCCGTCTGTCCCGTACAAGAGTCACAGGTTATAAGCGCAAAATCTTGGGAGATCCATCCTCGAAGATGTCTGGTGACGTTCCCCGGGCTTCATTCTCGAACCTCTTTTTCGCCGAGATCGTTGGTCCTCTTTTGATCGTCGCCGTCACCTTGATTCCTTACCTTTTCATCAATGCACAAACCGGCGTCACTCAGGAACACAACCCAGATGCTGACCTGAAGCCAACTGCTGCTCTCATTCGTGTTGGGATCGTTGCGTTTGCCCCAATTGCCGTCAACGCTGGTGTCCTTCTTGGCATGTTCGGAATGGCATGCTGTATGGGACCTGTTCTCAGCATGTGCTGTAAGAAGTTCGGTTCCGTCCTCGCAGCTATCGCCCATGCTACTTCCGTCATCATGCTCCTTGTATCCTTTGAGATCATGTTCTTCTTGGAAGGATTCGTCTTTGCTAAGGCTCTCCTCGGAATGATCGCTGCGACAGCCATTCAGAGATTTATCTACAAGCTGATCATCGGTCTGGCTTTGACCAGAGAGATGAAGACTGACACCTCCAACATTGCATTCTGGACCGGAAAGTGGTACTCTATGGGATGGCACTCCGTCTCCCAACCAGCTCGTGAATTCCTTTGCAAGATCACGGAACTTGGAATGTTCGCTGGTGATTTCGTCCTTGGGCATGTGTTGTTGTTCCTGATGTTGCCTGTCATTGCTATTCCAAAGGTGGATGTTGCTCACTCCGTCATGCTCTTCTGGCTCCGTCCTAGGTAAATCTCCCTTCCATGACCGTATCTTGCATACTTACTAACCTGAATCTAGTCGACAAATTCGTCCTCCAATTTATTCCATGAAGCAATCTAGACTTCGTAAGAGACGTGTCTGGCGCTTCGCCATCCTATACTTTGTCCTCCTCATTGTTGGACTCGCGTTAATCGTGGGCCCGATCGTAGCGGGCAAGAAGGTGTTGAGCGACAGCTTGATCAAAAGCATCCCAATGGATCTGTATCAACCCAACAACCTCAACAACAACGACACACGTGGCCGAAACGAGACGGGAACTGGCGCTGCCGCTTCAGGTGGTGCTGCGCAGACCTCTGCCGGCTCTAATGCTAAGGTTCGATTATTTTAAGCTATCACGAAATCTGATGCTTGCCGGTTCTGTATAATATAAGAGGGACGTAGTACATTACAATGACTTTTGGCTTGATGGGAGGCGACGGTGTCTAAGTAATTGTTTTGGTGTTTGCATGGTACACGGCTTTAGACATGTTTTTTCTTTCTCTTTTCTCATAAGCGTTCTTATGGGGATTACATATCTGATCCAGTATGCGAAGGTATCATTCTCGCAACTGGGTACGCGGCTGTGTTGTATTATGCGGCATGATCATAATAAAATGTTCTACAATGGTATATTATTTGTTGTTATCAATTTTAAATATATTGTGATGAAGTTTCTGCTTAATTGGAGAATTTTGTGCATAAGACGGAACCTATAGATGGTCTCTGTTTCAGAAAGAGTATCGACCATAATTATCAGCACTTGTAGGCCAGTTTCTATTTTAAATGATGTAGGTATATTACTAAATGTACGATATTATGCTGTTTATATTGGATGCATAATAGCGCAGACGGGCGGTTTGTTGAGTGGCTGTCTTCCTATATAATAGCACGTGATTTTTGTCCGGAGCTGTCGGCATTTGTTCGTGACGCGCCGCCCCGAGATTCTCCCAAGACAATAGGGGATTTTGAGTATACCATAATTCTTAGCCATCTCATGTCGTTCTCTAGTAAACCAAGTGACAACATGGAGTTTCACGATGCCCAGAAATTCGTGGCCAGGTCGATCGACGAGATCACCAACCGTTTCCAGAAAGTACCTGGGTCAGCAATGCTGATCCGGTACATTCAATCCAGCTATCAAGACGACCCAGTCCGCTCCGCCATTGAACTGATCTTAGTGATCTTTTTCATTCGATATCTGCTTGCGCCATCCTACGCGACACATACTGGCAACTTTGTAACCTTGACGGAAGAGGTATGTCAGAACCAGAGAATTGCGGCGCATCAATTGACTGGAAATTAGGAAATCGACGACCTCGTGGATGAATGGACTCCTGAGCCTCTGGTTGCGCCTCAAACGGCATTCGAAAAGGAAGAAGCAGAAAAGCTACCAGTTATTGTCGGGTACGATGTTGTGTGGGGTCCATGGAATTCCTACTAACACTATAGCAGACCCTCAGGTCCAAAGACCAGACTCTCCAACGGCCGAACCGTTACAAACCTCGCATCTTATAACTTCTACAATTTCGTCGGAAATGAGCAGGTCAAAGAGAAAGCTATTCAGACTCTCCGAACATATGGTGTTGGACCCTGCGGCCCTCCTCAATTCTACGGCACTCAAGATGTACACATGAAGACGGAGGCAGACATTGCTTCTTGTTTAGGGACGGAAGGATGTATCGTCTACGCCCAAGCCTTCTCTACGATTTCTAGTGTCATTCCCGCTTTCTGCAAAAGAGGCGATGTCATCGTGGCCGATCGGGCTGTCAATTATGCTATTCGCAAAGGTCTTCAGATCTGCAGGAGTACGATTCGATATTATGAACACAATGATATGGAGGATTTGGAACGAGTGCTGCAGAAGGTAGTCAAGGATCAAGCGAAGAAGCCTTTGACTAGGAGATTTATTGTTACTGAAGGGTTGTTCGAGACGGTTGGGGACTGTGTGGATCTGCCAAAATTGGTACGAAATATCTCAAGTTTGTTAAAAAGCCTTGCTGACCACTCTCTAGGTTGAACTAAAACAAAGATACAAATTCCGTCTCATGCTCGATGAGACATGGTCATTCGGAGTTCTTGGCAGAACCGGTCGTGGACTTACCGAAGCTCAAAACGTAGATGCCTCTCAAGTGGACATGCTGGTCGGGTCGCTTGCAGGACCTCTCTGCGCAGGTGGTGGTTTCTGTGCTGGATCAGTTGATGTCGTAGCACACCAGCGTATTACTGCTGCGTCCTATACATATTCTGCAGCTTTACCAGCGATGCTTGCTACAACCGCTAGCGAAACACTCAACATGCTCCAGTCGAATCCAGAAGTTTTAGTCCAATGTCGGGACAACATCAAGGCAATGAGGGCGCAACTTGACCCCAGAAGTGATTGGGTCAGATGTACAAGTGCGATTGATAATCCTGTCATGCTATTGGTTCTTAAGCCTGACGTGGTCAACTCGAGACGTCTTTCTATTATGGAACAGGAGCGTTTATTACAGGAGTGTGTGGACGAGGTAAGCTTCTAAACATATTGTATTCCTTGACATCAGACTGACATCAGTCTAGACTCTCGCCAATGGCGTCTTGATCACTCGACTCAAGTCTATGCCAGTTGCGCCAGGTGCCAATGGCAAAGACGTAGGTTGGAAACTTCAACCTGCGCTCAAGGTCTGTGTCACGACCGGTCTTTCAAAGAAAGAGATTGAGAAGGCTGGTATCACAATCCGTCACGCTATCACCAAGGTCTTGACACGCAAGACAAGCAGTAAGCTAGGGCTACCATCAGTAGGCTGATGCCGTTGGTAAGCGTTTATAACTTGTACAGTATTTACGGGGCCTATCAAATAGAGTGTGGGTAGGTTTTAATGTCTAATAATGAATGGAAGTGTATGATTATGATGCAAAGCACTTGCTTTCGTTGATGCGTGATAATTTGTTTGGGCACTGCCTTCCCGGTATTTCGGTTCAAGATGCCTTGTGTTTTGGCTGAGCAGTCTCACCAGCCCTACCTGCTCCTGCCTCTTAACTGACTGGCAGCAAAGCAAGAAGACCATGACGGGGAAAATTTGTCAAACCGCCATTTTCAGTTCTCTCTTCGCTTTTGCTTTTTCGCCGAACAAACATAGCTGCCTGTGGATTGGTCGCTTATCTCAATATGCAATGCAACGAGCCGCTACATCTTCGAGTTTATTCGATGCAGCTCGTTTGTTTGCAAAGTCGACGACAAGGCTGGACGATGCTACCCCTCACAATGCTCTCTAGAATTTTGATCTGTGGGCTTGATGAGCAATGTGTTTAAGGCGAGATTACTATAAGGTCGTTGGTTTTTCAATCAGAGGGTATCGAACAAATCCCAGATGGCACCCCGAAACAGTCAACGCCCTCTACTAGGTGTTTGGACCGAGCAATCATCTCGGGACTTCTACAGAAGCATTCAAGTACTGGGAAGTCAGCTGAGATCGGGCCAGAGTCCACAGAAGCCGAAAGACTACAGGAACGTAGCAACTCCAAAATCGACTGGTTACTTACTCTCGTTCGAGGAAGAGCTTCTTCTTGCGGATCACTTCGCTTTCATAGCTCATGCAGTGGATGACAACAAGTACGTTTCAGCGGCCACGATCGAGGAAGGTAAAGACACAACTAGTTATACCGTCAGAATTGCCTCGAATCGGACCTTGAAGCAAACCGTCCAAGACAGATTAGCACGCATCATTGAAATTGTGAAGAAGCACGCGGAAACTGGTAAAATGAACAGCCTGAACCATGTGATACAATCTGATGTTTGAGCTTACAGGAAGAGACCGAGAAGAATTCAAAACAAGACTGTTCCATGAAATAGTCGTTCTCAGTCAGCAGCGTATTTATGGTCGAATTCGGACTACCCAATGGAGCGGGCCACGTCAAAAATGCGCAGCAAGAAAACCCTCCCTACATCATATGATCGGCAGGGAACTTGCTGCGATACGAACATCAAAATTACCCGCCAGTGAGGCTATTAAGATACTTTGTTCAGATCTAGTGCATTTACGAGATGCTCTTGAGAGAGTTGACAAAGGCACTCCACAAGATCAACTGTCTCTCTTGAAAGAAGCACTCATCAAAAGCCATCGAGTCTCAAACCATGGAGGTTACAAGTCTCTCGAAAATAGGCTTAAACATATTGGCTTCGGTGTCGATATATCGGGAAGTGCACAAGTGCAGAAGATAGAAAAGTTGAGTAAATACTGGCAATGCTGCGAGGACTTTATTCATTTCAGCCGAGATCCAAAAACCAGACCCTTTTGTAAGAATTTGAAACTCGAGATTTGCCAGGCACCACCATCGAGAAAACCAGTCGGGTCAGAAGAATCGTGCTTTGTGCACGGGGAAGTACAATTGGCATTGTACTATGAGCAACACCCTTCGAAATTACCTCCACAAGCTTTAGGATCGAGCAAATCCGCTTGTTGTCTTTGTGACCTGTTCATCGCTCATCATGGCAAACTTCGAATGTCGCATTCTCATATGAGACTATATTCCAAATGGACGATACCACAGTGTGAAAGTTTTAGTCAAGAGCAGTGCCAAAGACTCAGGTCGATCATAGTGTCTGTGATGAAGGATATCCGCCAATTTCAGGTTATGAGAAGTCAGTATTACTTCAATTCAAACGCGGAGAGTATGGCGCACCTTCCACGATTTTTGAGGTCCGAGGATATGGCTCCTTCGGAATTGAGCTCTGTACTGCAACTTCAAGAGATTGTGAATCCGGTTATTCAGATACAGAGTGGTAGTGAGGGCAGTTCGTCAACAGCCTGTCTCACTTCAGTAATCGATCATGCAGTCACTAAGGATATCCACAGGCCGACTTCAATAACCGACCTTCCCAACACAGAAGCTATCCATCACGGACTCGTCGACCTACCGATCCAGCTCGCGATTTTTCCACTCACCAAATCTTGTACGGTGTTCAACGCAACGGTGGAATACTATTTCGATCTGGAGGATATCGAATGCGGCAAGCTTTGTATTTCCGATTTGATATTTGAAGAGAGCTCGGAGGAACGGAAAGGTGTTAATGTTGAAGATTGCAAGGTTGACTCGACGATATGTGTTCGTGCTGAGCCGGACTCGCGTAATTTGGTATTTTATATTTTGAATACATTAACTAGTGGACTGAGGGTAGATGTTATTTGGGGAAGTATGTCTGATGCTTAATAGGGCATACATTTTTGAGTGTTTTGAAAGTGTGTTGACGAGCGTTGTGTGCTCGCAGGGCAGTCTTCATCAAAATGATGATCGATACCTCGCTTATTCCGAGTAGATGGAATTTGAACGACTTCCATTGATTGAATCCCATCTCTCTATTCTATACAATGAGACACAGTATTCTAAGACAGTCGTCCCATTTTAGCGATCGTGAGGAGGAATCGGGAAATAAATACCCAGCTTATCTAATGGTAGGATATGTGGCTTCACAACTTAGGGGGGATTTGACCCTGAGCCTCACAATCTTTTGCTTACATCTGAAACTAAAAACCATCTCTACCCAATCCTCCAGATCATCTCACACTCCCACCCTCCCAAAAAAATTCACCATCGCCACCCGCTCGTCCCCCTTCAAATCCACATATATATGACTCACACGCCCCCTCGGTCCAACCCACCATTTCACCCGAGCCGCAATGCTTCTAATATAAAAACCTATAAGAAATTTTGCTTCATCGAATCATATCACGAAGAGGTTTCAATGCCATTTCAACGGATTTGAGAAGGAAAGCAATGTGGCGCAGCGGAAGCGCGCCGGGCTCATAACCCGGAGGTCCCTGGATCGAAACCAGGCATTGCTATGTTTTTTGTATTTACTGTGACTCGTAGTCAAGATTTATTTTTTCCTTCTTCAGGAAAGAGAACTCTGATTTGGAGCTTTATTGTGTCTATGATTTCTGGTAAAGAATTTTTGGAAATGTTTTTGGAGGTCTGGTCGTTGTATTTGCTAGGCGAGACTTTTAGATGGGTGGGAGCCGAGGTTTGGTTTTGCAAAACACTTCACAATTACTTTGCGTTCGGAAGATAGGACTTCACTAATATGGGCTCCTTTCAACTTAATGGTTATGATATTATGGTTCATAAATTGAATTTTGGGCAGATATTGCCGATGCGTTCATTTTGAAGATCAAGCTTGGTTCAGAGATCTCTAGTATTGCAATTGCATTGCTCCTTCCGAAGTATTACTCTTTTTATCTGAAGCCAACTCACCTCTGACATGAAGAAAGTGTTATAGATATGGGATAAAACTAATGTGAGCATGAGCAGTGTTGCAATTTACACTAGGAGGTACTGGTAACATGACTTGATCAAGTAATTCTTATCGTTTTTGGAACGCTAGGAACTCTTCGAACGAGGAGTGACAAATCCTAGCTTATGGCCTCTGTTAAACAAATTCTCTAGTCTTCTTTCTAAGGTTGGCTCTGATCGCTGTACTAGTTTAGGCAGAAAACATCAATTTGAGGGTCACGTTGCTAGGTTGACAGTCCAGGGTCATGAGGAATTCCAGAATGGTATGCGCACTTGACATGTTTCCAACTTTAGTAACGAGTAAATGGTGTGCTTTGAAAAGCTCCCAATGATACATGAATGCTAGCATACTTGTTAGCCTGTCACTCTTACCCAAGCCTGTCTTGTAGAGAGCAGATTCTGGCCAAAAGTCAATTTAAGTGCCGTCAAACTACGATTCAATCATCTGTTTTATACAATTGACGATATTTTGGGCAAGATATCACGATCAACCACAATCAAATTGACTGGTGGGGTAAAGTGTCGTCGGAATAAGAATATGGTCTGGAAACTGACTGGCAGTTGATGAGCCTAAGTCGGTTGGTCGGAGCTACCGATATGAGATGGGCTACTGTATCTACTCATCATAGCGACTTGTGTTCCAAGTAGACAGTGCGCTAGTCCGTAAGGCTAGCGGAATAAGATACTATCGTCATCTCAAGTTCCGAGATGTCGGATGTGTCCTGACAACTTGACACTTCGCTAACTAACGTCTTATTTTCGACAAAGAGAGCGATGTAATTGATTGGAAAATCATACGATTGAGTCTAGAGTATTATTGACACACCCGGATTTGCATTGATCCATATTGGCTTAGCAATGATCTACAATGTCAGGGAAGTCCAATAATTGAATGTGATCTACCACCAAATCGAGTTTGGGCAGATCCATTTTGACTGAGAATGAGCTTTGTGGAAACAGTGTGAACAGATCCACTTTGACTGGGAATAAGCCTTATAAAATTCATTCTCAGCCAAAATGGATCCGGATGCGCTTTAAAAACGCGTCTAGTCGCGCCTTCCCCTCCCCCTTTCAACAAGCGAGTCGTCATTCTTTGAAACCCCCCACAACATTTACAACAATTTAGTTCAACCCACTCAGAAAACAGCTAGGGAATAAATTTCATTCACAGTTAGTGCAACACACTAGAAAACATACAGCGTATTCTAATCTAGCATTCACTTGATGCTAGACTTGACATGGAATTCTGATGCCAATCCTCACATCATCGCAATCGAGATCGCATCTTCGACCTCTCCACCATTCACTGTATAAGTCCCGTCCTCCCACCACTCTCCTCCCTCTCTTTCTCATCCTCATCTTCGACTTCGACAAACATCGCCTTCTTTGCTTAATGACTTTCAAATTGTGAGTACACATTCCAATCTTCCCGTGCTGCCTTTGCAATTTCAGCTTTGTCTTCGGACAAAAAGCACAGTTGTCTGGTAGATGAGGTTATTCTCTCGGCTTTGCTTCTAGAATTACCATGCGGACGGGAGAAGATGGTGTAGAGGAGCCCCTGCTCTTTACCCAGTCTTCTCTTTGAAGAAGTGTACTCACCAGCCCTGGCACTTTAGCTAACTAAATTTTAGTTTTTGGAAGTCGCAGATGATTTAATTGAAACCATCAACACTTCAGCCTTTCGCCTTTCGCCTTCTTCAACTTTCAACTGTCAACTTCTCGGACTTTGGTAAGCCCATTCTACTGTATTCCTTTGTCTATTCCTTTCCTCCCCCGTCTGAGCTAGTGCTCATCACATTTGCTCGTTCGAACAACTGAGGAGAAGGCTGTTTGCTCTCTCTCCTTTGAGAGTAGTGATGACTGAGCTGTGCTCGACAAAGCTTTCCTTTGTCGCTCAGTACAAAAAGTCCCCTTAGCATTAGCTTATGGGTGTTTGTTATAGACTCAGCTCAACAATATGTTTGACTTTGACAACATCTCCAGAACTATCTACCTCACCAACTCACCACCCTCATCACTCATCCCTCATCCCCTCGTCCTCAGTCTAGTAAGTACACCACTTCCTTCACCACACTACCTGTTTCCCTTCGCGCCCCTTCCCTCCTCTGCCCTCACCATCCCCACCTTATATTCAAAGCCTGGGGAGAAGACTGTCTGCTCTCTCCCCTTTACAAGCCGTAGGAGACCGGGCTATTCGCTCTCTATCCGCTTTAGTTCTATCATCTGGGCAGACTGGGCAGCTTTGCTCTCTTTCCTTTGTGGGGTAATCTTGTCTGTTTGATGTGCATAACGTTTTCTTTTGTAATCCACAACATAAAACACATGTTAGCATAATAAGCTACCAGTTAGGTTTATAGCTTATTCTTACAAACGCTCAAGTACTTCGATTCTCCAATTCTTTGGTCAGCGATCTGTTTCTTTTTATACCCGCCTCTCATTTTCCATCCATATCCTCATTAAATTTGCTTGCTAACATACAAAACTTCTTTGCCGACTTAATTTCGTGTAGGATTTGGGTACTTCATGGTAGCGAGAAATGACTTTTGGATCTTACTGTTCTTTGATCTTTGTAAGTGAAAGCAAGTCTTATCCTCTAGCATTAGAACTAATGATAACCCGTATCTCAAGACCAAACTGTTACTTCCCGTTCATCAGGTGCAATGCAATCGACATTAGTGCTCAAACAATGAGTTAATATTGCCCTGCGAGCGACATGTATCACATTTGCGTATGGGACCTTTGTAAGAGCCTGACGTTCAACATGCAGTGCATCTCTTAAGCGGTATATGATATTAACTTGACAAGAATTCTCTTTCTTGGAACCTAGCATCTGACTTTACTTAATATTTCAGTCTTGCCTGCAAAAGCTACAGAGTCGAGAAATCGAATGTTCTAATTTCGCTAGCGTCATGTTCTAGGTATCATGTCTTCTCTTGTAGTAACTGAAAATGACATCTCTTTTTTCCTTCTTGATACTTTTTCATTCTGAGCTCATTTCCTTTTTAATCAAAACTTGTTGCTTCCATATATGCTATGCGAAAGTTCAATCTTTTGCACTTACACTTTGACTTTGGTAAACCCCTCTAACTCAAAATCCAAGAGTTGAGAAACAAGTTATAGCTTTGTAAATTTCGAGTTGTAATTTGGATCTTGAACCATTTGTAATGACTTACTTGTGCTGTAGTATCAGTTTTTGACTAGCGTAACATTATTGCTTGCCATCAAGACAGGTTAAAATAAGATTCAGCGATGAAGGGCCATTCTGATCTTGAAGACCACTAAGCAGAAGTCTTCTCCATGACAAAGTCACTCCTAGCAAATCGCCTAATACCCGTTAGTCACACCCCTAGCATGTAAGATTATGATGAATCCTCTCCGTCAGATAACCAACTTCCAAAAACCACAAAATAACAAATGTAGAGCAGACAAACGGTGAAGCACCTACCTATAAAACCCTCCCAACCATAAGCCCCCACCTTCCTAAAAAGTAAACCGTCTCACCATCCCACCCCCATCCGCCAACGGTAGTACAAAAAACGCCTCTCCCCCAAACCCCCGCCATGCAAACCCCCACGCCGTCCAACAAGCTCTGCTCGCCTCCGATGAGCTTATCGTTCCTCAATTCGTCATTCCCATTTACCGGGAACCGATTTGTGAAATGAACATCCCGCGTTCACGTTTGCTCAGTCCAGGAAGTAGGTGCCAATGAGAAAAGGATCCGGCCCACGAGTCTCGAGAGGTCGGCCGTGCCGATATGTAAGTTCGGAGAAGTCGCCAGAACGGTCGATGTCACATACATGAATCTCATAGATCTCTCTTATGTGCGTGAGGATCGAAGAAAAGTGATAAGAAATGCTCGACGAATAGAAAATGAGAGAAGCAGTATTCCTTCAGATGTAACCTTCTCCCCTCTGGAAAGC